TATTTTATTAGAGATTATTTAAACGGTTGTCTTATTTTTACCTAATATCTTATCTAGTTTTAAATTTAAGTAAATAATAAATAAGCTTTTAAATCCTTCATCTTAAGATTATATCTTCTTTTAATATAGAATTAAAGCTTTTTAAAAAGATTTCTAGTATTTATTATATTATTTCTAGTCTTAATTGTTTATAAGAAAGAATTTAAATTTATTTATAGATATAAGGATTATACTAATTATGGAGATATATCCTTAAATATTATTAGTGTGAAAGTAATATTTATTAAACTTAGTATAAATAATTTTAAATATATATAATATATTTTATTTTTATAGAATCTATTTGTGTTAAAACTATGCTATTAATTTTTTAAGATAATAAAATAATTTATTATAGATCTTAAAGATATAATATATAATGATATCTTAGATCTTAGAAAGTTAGATTATATAATTAAAAAATAGTTTAATAATATAAAAAAGATAATAAACTTAATATTGTTCTTTATTATAAAGTAGAAGCTTCTTATAGTTATATTCTTTATTTAAAAAAAGATATAGTTATAAAGCTTAATGTAATATTAGAAAGTAGAATTCTAATAGATTTAAATTTTTCAACTAGAACTAATTTAATTAGAGTTATTTAAAAATTATAAAATATCTTTTAATATTAAGAACTAATATTTATATAGATAATAAGATAGCAAACTTTATTAAGAGTAATAAAAATTTTATATTTTATATCCTATATATTAGCTTAAACTAGTCTTAATTATTTCTTAGTTTATTTTATCTTAATCAAATTATTTGTTAGAATTATCTTAATATAATTAAAAAATTAATTAAGATTTAGCTAAATAATATGAATAAGATAGTTTATTCATATTATTATTAGGAATTATTAAATATAGATATTTTAAGAGCTTCTTATAGCGTTTATATATGATCTTTAGTATATTATTTATATTATATATGATCTAATAGTAGTTTTATTAAATCCTTATATAATATACGAAGTTTTATTTAAACTTGTTTTTTTAATTTAAATTAATTTAAAGTTATTATTCTGTTTATTTAATATATATTATTTAGTTATAGAAAATAAATAATTTCTTTTAATAAAAACTAATATATTAAAAAAAGAAGGAATTAGAGATCGTTTAATTAGTTATTAAAGAGATTTGTTAATAATAGAATTAGTTAAAAAGAGAGTAAATAATTAAGCTAATATAAATAAGGAGTTATTAGTCTCTCTATTATAAAAAAAAGATATAAAATCAAAGTATTAGCTTTAAGATATAATCTAATTAAAACTTAAGAATTAATATAAAATAAAATAAATAAAAAAGTATATTTATTATTTATAGTTAAAAATAATTAAAAGAAATTAGAAGTAATAGATTAATTAAGACTAAAGATTATCTTCTTATTAATTAATTTAAAAATTATATAATAAATAAATATCAATACATAATCTAGAAAAAGTCTAAAAAAAACCAAAAAACTTAATAAAATTATTAGAAAATCTAATAAAAGCTTCACTCCTTTATTATTTTCTAAAAATTCTTACAAACATTTTATCTAAAATTTTTAACTTTAATTAAAAGGTTTATAACCAAGGAGATCTAGAATATATATAATAATTTCTAAACTTCTTAAAATTTAATTCATTCTAAAACTCTTCTCTAATTAATAAAATTGAAAAAAAAAAGATATTTTATTATATTTCTTTCTAGTTTTATATTATATAAAATCTATATTAATACTACTTATCATAAATATATATTTCTATAATCTATATATTATAATTCTAAAAATATCAAATTGAATATAATTTTAATAGAAATTATAGATTTTAAACAATAATTAATATTAAATCAAGCTATTTATCCTTATAAACAATCCTTTTTTATAAAGTTTTATTATTTTTATTACTAAATATTCAAGTCTATCTTAATATAACTAAAATAACAAAAAATTATATATTTAATCTAAATAAGTAAAGTATTTTATATAGTAAATTATATAAAAGTTAGGTCTAGTTAGGTTTTTATGAGGTTATCTAGAGTATTGGTAGTTAGATCTAGTATGAGTTTAGATTAGAAGATTTAGTATTGGACCCAAGTTAGGTCTAGTGCTAGGTTAGGATCTTTAATTCTATTTCTAGATTATATAGAAGTCTAGATTTTATAGAGATATAGTTTTTTTATCATTATTTTACATAAGATTAATCTTATAATCATTTTCTTTCTTACAAAATAAGAGTAATTTTATTACTTATTTAAGATTAAAAAATGATAAAAAGTTATGATATTATATAGATAATTTATTAATAAGATTAATAGATATCTTCTTTTTTAATACTATTTATAATAATAGTAAAGACTTCTTCTTTATATAAGTTATCTTATTAATAAAAATAATAGATCTTATAGTATATATATATTATAGAGATTTTAATAATATTAAGGAATAACAATAATCTAATATTCTATAATCTTATCTAAAAAGAATAAAGAAATAATTAATCTTTAAATGTATCAAAATAAGTGTTTTATTAGTTTAACTAAAATAGTCTTCAAATAAGATTACATCTAATATGATCTAGGATTATATAAAAATAGGCGATCTTTTTAAAATAACGACTAATTAATAATATTATTTGTATAATATATATGATTTATCTTTACCCTTCTATCTCTTGAAATAATTAAAATAGGATCTTAATTATCTTGAGCTATTTCTTTTTTATAAAAGATTTGTCAATAGCTTTATATATTAAATAGCTATTATTAATTGATATATAAGTGATCAAATATTAATCAAGTATAGTTATGATTATAAATAATGAGGACTTTATATAAATAGTTTTATAAGGGTTATTCTTTTTCTAAATTAGAAGTGTTTATATTAAATAGGTTAATAGTATTAGTAGTCTATATAATATTAATATTAGTAATAGGATAAACTATAGGTTATAGTTTATATTTATAGATAATATAGCCTATTTATTTATAATGAAGATAATTATCGTTTTTATAATATCACTTAATTTTGCTTTAGAAAACCTAGATAGCTTGTTTTCCTATTTCTAGGTTTATATAAAAAGACTTTTTATCGAGAATAGTAATATATATTTTATAAACTTTTAAATTTTGTAAGATAATAATCTAGATAGATTTTTAGTCTATCTTATTAGTATTAATACTTTATAAGATATAAGACTAGTAACTTTTAAATATCTAATATAAATAGAAGATCTTTATATATATTATATTAATATTAATATTTAATAACTAGTTTTAATAATTATTATATAAATTAGATCTAGCTTTATAAATTAAAGTTAATATATATTTTAGAATCTTTATTAATAGAAATAGAATCCTTTATTTTATTAGTTGACTAATATCTCTAATAATAATTATTAATTATTTAAATTTATAAAGAAAATTAAAGAAAATCTTTTTTTTTTTTTTTTTTAAATTTATATATATATATAATTATATAAATATTTTAAATATAAATATATTAACTAATAATTTTTAAAATCTATTAAAAATATAATAGACTTACTTTTAAAAGATTAAATAATAATATTTATTTATTATTAACTTGGTTTTTAAGTTTATATAAAAGAGAAGATATTATTCTAAATTATTATTATTAAATTTAATAATATTTAGATATATTAGTTAAAAAAAAGATATATTAGGTAATATAACTAATATAGCTAATTATAAAAGATTTATTATTATTTATAAGCTAATAGTTATATTATTTTTCATTAAAATATTTTAAAAGATAGATATAAAATTAACACTAATATTATATATTTATAAAAAATCTATTTTTAATAATTTATATAAAGATTTTCTTTTATTAATTTAATATTATAAATATCTTATTCTTTTAAATCTTATTAATATTCGTTTATTTTATTAGTTTAAAGGTTTTGTATTTATTTAATCACAGTTTATTACAATCTAATAAGATACCTCTTTTATATTATTTTTAAAGATCAAATCCTAATATTAGAGATCTAGCCTAGTTATATAATAATAGATAGGGTTCTTAGAAAATCAAGAAGGATTTAATGAAGAGGAGGACCTCGGAGTAAACTAAGCTATGGGTAAATACAAGGGAATCATCGATAAGCGAGGATTACTAAGCGCAGTGTAGCAAGCAACTCCAGAGGGATCTCCTGTATAAGAAGATCCTATAATGACATGTAACCTAATATCCTATATAAAAGCGCCCGACCATATAATATCTTCTTTCTCTCTCTAAGATTTTTGTAAACAGCATATTGGTCTAGTCTAATTAAATCAATAAAGCTTTAGCCCTTAATATCTTTGGACTATTTAGATGCCATGTAGGGTTTATTCAAAATAGTGTGAAAATCTGTCTTTTATTACATAGATCTCAGTCCTTCTTGGCAGGGGCTGTAATCACATGATCTAACTAGTAAAATACATGATGCAAACAATACAAACAATAGGTTCTCAGCTCCTGGTCTGTGACATGTTGTATTATCCAAAGGAATGTGGAACATCCACTGGGGGTGTTTTTTAACAGTCCCCTATTTATAAACTTACAGGTACCCATAAAGGTCATCCTCTCAAGGCTTGATCCCTAGATAGACTAACTACCCTCAGGGTTGGAAGGTTGGTCCCTTGAAATACTCTAGTGACAAGGTGATCCGATGGTCATGAGGATTACCCGTGGTCCAAATATATCAACCAAAGCTTTCATTGATTTTGACAAGAGGTTGTATATATTCACATCATCGGTACTAAAATGATTTCGTAATACAGTTTCACTCAATAAAAACATATTGTTTCATCTTGTCTTCCAAGGTTACTTTCATTCGTATGGACAAGATAAGAAACAGTAGCTGCCTTTCCAGTCTCTTCTGCCTGCTTGTCTTCTTCTCGGCCATGTCCACAGTCGCGTCTTGGATTTCAGCCTGAAACGCTCACTGGCCCTCTCAATCCCTCTCAGTCCCTCTCCCATAAAATTTCTTCGCCGACGTCTTCCATAGAAACACTCGTAACAAGGTCAAAGTCAACCGTATCGATCAATTGCAGCCCTGCAGCCTGCGCCAGACCATCTACGTATCCTTCCGAGGTGAAACATACTTTCGTCCCTGCAACCGCCTTATTGTTCGTGGTGACTAAGTTTTCTGGGAGGTGACTCTCACGATTCAGCGTACACAGTGTCGCGATGGTCTTCAAAAAGTCTCGGGTATAGGCTTCGTCGGACCGATCCTCCAGGACCTGGAAGTTATCTATGAAGCCATACACCAACCTTGGACCAATACTCCGCACGTCCCTGATCAGCTGAAGTGTTTCGACCACCCCCAAGTCGCCCCGCGCGAGGGCAGCAAAACGTGTAGGAGAGAGGTCCATCCCAGCGTATCCTTGAGCTGGTAATAGTTGGACCAGCTGTGTCACAACGGAGGCAAGAAATAAACCTAGGCTGACCCCCTGGGGCAACTCTGAGTGGTGATGGTCTGCGAAGGTGCAAAAGTAGATGATGCAGGGGATGCTGTTAGTCCGTGCCAATGCCGCCAGAGACACTGCAGTCAAGGAACTTGGGCTGGGCCGAGGAACGCCGTGAGGCCCTTTAATCCAGAGGTTATCTGACTTGTGGCCTTGCAGCCATGTCCCCAGGCGATAATGCACCTCATCTTCCAGCTGAAGAACCGATGACTGACGAGCGGCCTGGATCAAGTGATCAACTTGATTCATCCACTGACTTGTGAAAATGGCCAGCTCTGCCTGTATTTCGGTCCGGATGAACCAGAAATGCGTTCGCGGGGCTGGATCAGCCTCGACTTCTGGGTATGGGGGTTCACTGTCATCACCCTCTATGCCTGTGATCATACTCGTGACTGAGACTGGCTGGGGTGTTTGGAGAGGGAACGATTGTTGCACTTGAAGCTTTTGAAGAAATTCGTCGAGGAACAATCTTTGCTCGTCGAGTTGGCGCGGGAAGTTGCCTAAGAGTTTCCCCATGAGTTTCTCTATGTTCTCTAGTCCCCAGACCGTGCGGTGGCGGAAATCGAGGCTGACATGACGTTCCATGCGGCGCTCAATGACCGACAGTTGGTCTTTCTTGGACGTGAAAAGTTGTTTGAATGCGCCTTCATCGAAACTGGTCAGTAAGCGTTTCCAGCTGGACTTGGACCACTTGTTGAATATCTCAGTGAAGAACTCGAAGACAACGACATAAAGCTCCCGGATGTATTGACGAAGAGCAGGAATCTCCTTATGCTCATCCATCAGCCTGTTCCAGAAGTCAATGTCGTGACCCAAATCGTCGAGTGTATCAGCCACCCCCTCGGCGATATTCTGGTGGTTGATGGTAGCCTGAACGATGGCAGAGAGAGACCCCGTCAGCAGGCTGACATACTTCTCATCTTTGGGAATGATTGCCAGCAGTGAACTATGATTCTCACAGATATCGCAGAGCCTTTGAAATTTGGATTTGACCTTGCCTACTGTGCTTGCTTCTCGCCCCGACTGCCATGTTGCGGATGCTTTGGTCACTGTGGCCACGAGAAATTGGATATCTGGTCTTTCATGGTCCCCAAGCTGCATCTGCTGGTCTTCGGGGAGATTGCGTCGAAACTTGCTCCATGCCGCGTGGAGTCGCCGGCTTTGATGCAATAGAGTGGCCTCTTCATCTGGGGCAGATTCGTGAGCCAATTCCCGTCCTTCTAGCAGTAATTGATCCCATTCCTCTTGCAGTGACTCCGGTCGCTCTTTTGCTTGGTCGCACGCAGCCTTGATCGCCAGAGCACGGTTGGGGGGGGTCCCCCGGTGAGGAGTGCGAGATGTCGCTGAACCGCCGAGGTATCCCCCCGGGCTCTGCTTGTCGGCCTCTGTTCATGTTTAAATCCGACCACTTGATCAATCAATTGATCTCCAAGTTTCCATGCTGCCAGAAGATGGATTGCAAGAAATGCAGGCTGACAGCCAGCCTTCTGACCTGTTTGACTTGGCCCTCCATGCACTTTACGGTGGATCAACACGTGTCCTGCTTCGCCTCATTCAAAAGCCACTCGGGACCCTTCGTTTTCTCTGTTCGTTTTCTACAGGGAGTAAGTAGGGCTCAAAACTAGCCTATTTGAGGGGCTGTGCTGGGCTTCGAGCTTGGGTTTTCTTGAGGCCTACCTGTAAGAATTCTGGAACCCTTGACTCCGTTGGAGGAAAAGGTCAGGAATTGGCACCTGCAGGGCACCTCACCTTGGTCTAGTCCGCACTCGAAAACGGGCTGAGGTGTCCATGAAGAACCCTGTCAGATGGTGGGGGTCGACCGGCCCGACCCATGTCAACACCATCACTTCTCTGCGCTTGTACAGTTGCAGCTATCGGCTACTTAGGAGCTTCATCCTGCACACAATGTAGCTCCCATTTCCCCCTTTCCCTTTCTTGATTCCTATCGGGAAAATCAAATTCAAATATGGGCTCCCAACATGTCGCACAATATGTCAAGGGTCTCTCCGTCGTTGATCTGACCAAGCTCAGATCACATCAAGATACAAAGCCAGAGCACCTACCAGTCACTTGGAATGCCCGGGTCTATCTGGAGGGAAGAAAAATCCCTGACAACGGTGACTTCGGTTCTCGCAAGCCTGACCTGACGTACATCGACGATCGACCCATCGAGCTTTCCGTTGGCGCCCCTCCGACTCAGCAACCCACGGAGCCGGAGAACAATGTGACAGGACCTGTGGAGTGGAGCGGCGCAGTCATTGTGATTGACACGTTCGTTGAGGCGGGTATCCAGACGGACAGCTCATCAGCCATGACGGGCTCACCTCGGCTGGATATGTTAAATCCCACACGGGTGTCTACGCGGTGCCTTGTGGTGGGATCTCCGTTTCTCGCCCACGCACTCGGTTACCTTGTTCAATATTATCCCTCGTTTCATGGGATGCTATTCGATGAATCAATGAGAGAGGGTCTGATAATTCAAGAGCCCTTTGCCGTTCTACTTCATCACTTTGATTCCATAGAGGCGATGGCCGAGGGAAATGCCCCGGTACCTACTTGCAAGAGTGAGCATGATGACAGCACTGAATCGATTGAAAGGACAAAGGACCATCTACAACATCTTGTGGACTTCCTCCGACCCATCTATCAAGAGTTAATGCTGACATATCAAAAACATATTTCTGATCCTGTGCCCCAAGTGGCCTTTGACAAGATCTGGTATCTTCTCAAACCCGGGACAGATGTCTATGTTCAAGTTGACGGGTCAATATATGTAGCAGTTGTGATCGATGTCAAACCCGATGGTGCCAATCACAACAAAGTCGTGGGGAGTGGGAATGTCAAGTGGTGGCTCGTCGATCTGTGGCAACTAGAGACCGACGGGTCTCGTCTCCGACGAGGCTTGATCTCCGCAAAAGTGCGCGCCTACTCTGGACTTCGAGAAGTCACCAGTCTTTCGGTGTGTCCAATCTCCATTTGGGATGCACAAGACGCTGGCGAGCGACGCAGGCATATCATTCGCCGGAGCGCAATCCTCTTCAAGGCGCTTCGTCAGGGTAATCTTCTTGCGGACTACAATGGGCCAATCAAAGAAACAGCTCAAGAGGTAGATCACGGGGCTTCAATGGAGTGATTTAATCGGTCACTGACTTTCCGATAGTACGTTGGAAAGGTGGTGATCGACCACTGGAGAGGACTCACGGACCCTAAACGCCAACGTCCCAATTCTTCGCACGTCAAGGACTATTCAAATCGGTTCCAAGAGTACGATGGAACTTTGATCAACAAGGATCGGCCCTTCAACACTATCCCATCTGCAGATAATACAGAGAATGGAGAGGACGCCCTATCGGCAGCGGAGGCTGCAAAGGATGAACAGATCGCCCGCCTGGAAAAATTGATCTCGGATGACCGATCCGAACGAGAGGCCAAGGAAACTGCACGTCTTCAGGTGCTTGGAATAACCGCCCTGGAGCAGCAACATGCTAGCCACAATCAGCCTACAGATCCTGCACAGCACGAGACAATCGCTCGCCTGGAAAACCGTTTTCTCGATAGACACTCGGAACGGGCGGCCAAGGGAGTCGCACGTCTGGCGGCCATTCAACGTGAGGCGACTGAAAAGGCCGCCCAAGAGCAGGAGCTCGCTCATGACCGTACCGGAAATTCCGGGCAACATTACGCAAAGCCAGAGGGTGATAGCGCCGGCATCAGTCCGACGAAGGTGCACGAGTATCAGGGCACCGAATTGCCTGACATGGAGCCCAGAGTCCACGTCACCCATAAGCTCACCGAGCATCAACTCCTTCTTCTATGCCCCGTTGCGCTGGCATTTGCTCTCGGAACAAAACAGTGGAGTGGGACTTTTTTACGATATGCAATAGGAATGACACTAATACGACTTCAGTCCTAATCTCCCTCGATTATATCCAAGAATCAGTGCCATCAGATGAGATTATCTCAAATCTGATCATTGGTCCGGGCGAGCTGCAAATTATCAAGGCTCTCTCGAACCGCCAAAATAGTCATGTCAAGCACTGGTCGGTCGACTTTATAGAGGGAAAGGGCTCTGGGCAGATCATATTACTACACGGTATCTTTTCGTTGACCGATTCCCCCGGTGATACAGTAATCTAATTAGTGTCCACAGGTCCTCCGGGGGTGGGAAAAACTTACACAGTCGGTACGTCAGTCGTAGATGATCCCATAGGCAACATAGCTAACGAAAAGGTAGAGGCTATATCCGAGTGGTTGCACCGACCACTCCTTACGCTCACAGTGGCTGATATCGGTACGGTCGAGACACTGGTTGAAGAGAACCTCGTGCACTGGTTTAATCTGGCGGAAACATGGAACGCCGTACTCCTCGTTGACGAAGCAGATGTCTTCCTTGAACGACGCCAGAATCGAGACCTCGCTCGAAATGGATTGGTATCAGGTAAGTTGCAGTCTGAGCTATAGTCCCGCTGATCATTAATGATGACCCGTCAATAGCTTTCCTCCGGCGAATGGAATACTTCAAGGGTCTCCTCTTCCTGACCACAAACCGCGTCGGACAGATAGACGATGCCTTCATCTCACGTATCCATATCGCAATTGAGTACCAGAAGCTCAATGAAGAAACGCGGCGGAAAGTTTGGAATGGCTTTTTCCGGAAACTGAAGGCTGATCGCACGAGTAAGATCCAGATCGAACTGGGCGCGAAGAAGTGGATTCTCGATACCGCTGGTGAGACGCAACTCAACGGGCGGGATATTCGCAATGCACTGCAGACGGCTATCACACTGGCGGAGTTCGAGAAGCAAGAAGATCCGGAAGATGATGAATTTCAAGTGACAGTTGTCACTACGGCCCATTTCCAGAAGGTTCTGGGGATGGTGAATCAGTTCCGTAATTAGGTGACGGGCATCAGAAGGGAAGACGAGCAGAAGCGCGCTCAGGGACGCGGTGATCGGAATGATCATGGGTATGGAATTGCCAATGAGATGAAAGGGCTGATGTAGATCTCGGCACAATGGCAACCCGTTCATTTTTTGGTTTTGTTTTGTGTCATTTGATTCAAGTTCGTAAAGATAATGGATTGGTATCACCTCCGAGTTACTCTATAGATACATGTAGTTGATGGAGAGATCGCGTTGTTGAAGAATGTAGATCTATAGGACCAACCTTGGAAAGCCCATCATTTTAGGCATCGTTTTTTGAGGTAGACGCAGGCTTACAGCCATTAGGATCATTGAAACATAGCAATAGAGGCGCATTGAATCATTCATGGCTCCAACTCTTCTCCAGTGCGTGGAATAACCAGGGAATGCAAGAAGATTACTATCATCGGCTGTCTGGTACAGGATGCCCTCGGTGAAAAAATCACCGCCCTTGTAGAGGGTCCATCAATTGAGCATAAAGAAGTCTCACCTACCAAAGCACAGCGCGCCGATGAATATATTGTTGTGAGAGGAGAAGTAGTGTTTGCGGGGCGGATGTAGTGATGTGAATATTAGTCAGCAACCGATAAGAACTCAGATCGGCGGATAAGAAAAAAACCCTCGGAACCTTCTCTTCACCACCTCACATCTTCACATCCTCACACATCATTATGGGAGTCCAGAAAAAGACGCGCAAGTTTGCGCTGGCCAAGAGAGCCATTTCAATGCGTGATAACCGGCTGTAAGTGGCCTCAATCACCTTCGCTGCCACGTGCTGATCTTCGAAGGAAACAAAACCAAGAAAAGACCGAGAAAGGCAAGCAAGCCAAAGATGATTTGGTCAGAGAAGCGTAAGCATGCCGAAATAATGGACTCAAAGTACCCGGACTCCGCTCATCTCGACTACAGTCCTCAGGCGCCTTCCTCCATGTTCTTCCAATACAACACTGCCCTCGCGCCACCCTACTCAGTCTTGGTCGATACCAATTTCATCTCCCACACCATCCAACATAAATTGGAGGTGATCCCCACAATGATGGACTGTCTTTATGCCAAATGCATCCCCATCGTGACCGACTGCGTTCTTGCAGAACTTGAAAAGCTCGGCCCCAAATATCGACTCGCACTCCGTGTAGCCAAAGATCCTCGCTTCGAGCGAGTGAAGTGTGACCACAAGGGAACATATGCCGATGACTGTTTGGTGGATCGTCTGATCAAGCATCGTGTCTACATTGTGGCGACCAACGATCGTGATCTCAAGAGACGAATTCGGTACGCTCACAATCCATCCCGCTGCTACTATTATACAGACTTCTAACACGTAGCCAACAGCAAGATTCCAGGTGCACCCATAATGAGCGTTGCGCGTGGAAAATACGTGATCGAACGACTCCCTGATGCCCCCGAGAAATGAGCGATGCTTTTGTTGCGAATTTGATATAATACCCGCCAGTTATGCCAATGCGAATGATACGAAAACAGGCACATGAATTCATTTATTTTTCTCTCACTCAACCCTATGCCTCTAAGAGGCATTCATTGCCCGCAGTCAAGGGCAGCATACATCCACTTGGACACTGGACATAAGTTACCTAACCATTTGTACATCGGGGTTGCTGTGCTATATGCCTCTCAGACGAGGCCGGTACACCTTGAATATGTCAGAATATTTGGACCTGAGCAACAGAGTGCTTAGCAATATGATTTATAGATTGCTGATCTGGCAGTTCTAACTGCATAGACCGTCGCTGGTGATAGTTTGGCTAAGAATACTTCTGTCGGTTCATTTCATTTGGGCCTGACCACCGCACAAGCAAAAGCAATGGTGGTTACGTGTTGTAGGCGATCAACAGTTGAGACACCATATGCCGCAAGACCTCCGTATTTCCAAAGCTTTGGACCAGTCTTTGCCGCGACATCATTATGTGTAGTGGGGGTAACTCGTCCAAAAGTGATAGGTTGCAGTCGTTCAGAGCTGCGACATGAAGTAGCTGTTGCAGCATCCGAAGTGAGTACAGGATTGCCTGGATTTGAGCCAGTAGGTGGATGTCTGCCCAATCAGTACCTCCTTTCAAGTAACCGCTGGAGAGGAAACTTTCCAGCTGTTCACCACTAGGTACCGTGTTGGATGTTTCATAGATCTCGTAAAGGGCAAAGAAGAACCAAAAGCTCTCTCCGCCAGAGCCAAAGATTTCCCGAACTTGTTTAAGACGTTGGCGTAAGAGGTCCATGTCTGACGCGATTGATGTCTCGTCCAGCTCGATTTGGTCGGCCACAATCCTTCCGCCTCTGCGAACAAATTCACTTATGGTCTTAAATTGACTCTTGAAGGAGAGGTTGAGCGCAGAGTAACCGAGACGTCTATAGGCTCGGCCTTGTTCCCAGGCGCACCGTCTACCGGGGTCTTCGTTCAGAATCCCAAGGTACACATGCAGACTATCATCGGAACAGTAGGTGTTGGGAACCGCATATTGCCAGTATAATTCAGATACCCTCGGATCCATTGGCGGTAGCTGCTTGGATCTACAAGACAACTCTTGGTCGGTAGAGTGCTGATATTCCCGAAGAAAGTCATAATAACCAGATGAGGTCTCGGTGGAATCGGTCTTCGAACGACGGATGGCGTCTGCGAACCGCAGGTGAGGATCCTTGGTCAATTCAAACCCGAAACGACGAATATCTGTGATGCCCAACCGACGTGAAAGATCCTGGGGGCATATTCTCAATCCTTGAATCTGTGGCTCGATCGGGTCCCACACGCGCGTGGGCGAGTGAACAGAGTCCAGGAACAACACCGCGCCAGATGAGCCAAGATCATGAAGCAGAAGATCAGAATCATCGGTCAATACTGCGCAGCCAGTCAATTTTGACACGCGAGCACACTCAACGTCTGCTTCCCCAGGCATCATCACGGTAATGTCTGCCCAGGGATACTCGCTCTCCCCGAGACAGGTGATGTCCGGGTTGATCTCTTTCTGGATGGCATCCCGACTCCATCGGTGCTGTAGATCTTCGCATACAGCTGAGACCATGAAGGGGTTCTCTGCAAGTCCTCTTCTCCCACGCGGCAAGCCGCGGTGACACCAGACCTGCCCGGGCTCAGTCGACAAGACATCGCGATACCGCGATGTAGCTGGGAGTGGTAGATTCCGACGAGCCAAAGTCAGTCGGTGCCGTGATTTCTCTATCCGAGCTAAGCGTACCTTTCGCTTGGGAATAGGTAAGGCTCCATCAAAGCATATCTTGTGTCTGTCGAGCAATGTCAGCGCATGGATTTACCGAGTCTTTCTCGCACAGCCACTTACATTTTCACACGCAGCCGGGTGAGCTCCAGCAAAAAGTTCCCTACTCCGCGACTGATTTCATCGCAAGAAGGTTGATAGTCCAAAATATCACAATTTGGGTCCATCCAACCTAGAAGTCGACGATGGATGTGGTATACCAGACTGGGCCCGTCAATGACTACTTCGACATCACCGCCGAGGAACACCGTTTCAGCGTGTGGAAGCAGATGTTTGGTCAAGTATGGAATACCCATGTCGGAATGATGATTATTGTTTTTGCATCTCTCGTCTATTCTTGAAAGGGCACGGGGGAAGTATTGCCTTTTTTTCATTTTCATCTCATCTCATTAGTCATCAAAGTGCATTTACATCTAAGCGTTGTATAGATCCATGGATCCTATAAAGTCCTCAATCCTATCGACCAAATGTCTGACCTGGCTCAAGAGGTTTGTATGGACAAGCAACCCAATCACATCCCTATTGAAGTCACAGTTAGCGTCCGCACAAAAATATCGGAGTACGTGGCTTACCTGTTTGTAGATCTCCGTCCCCCACCACTTGAACCCATCAACCCAACCTGGGTAGATGAAAGCAAAGAAGACCACCACTACAGCAAAGGCTAATCCCGAATCCAGTGCCGCGGAAAGCGTCATGGCGTACTTCTCCCACCAAGCGGTCCTTCTCCTTCGAATCACGTAGTTGAATACAAAACAAACCAGTGCCCAGATGGAGAAATTCAGCCCAGTGGCAGGGGGAATCCAACTCAGGCTGCCAAAGAGAATAGGGAAGTTGACTAGACGCCAGAAGCTCTTCTTGCTGTGTCTTCCCAGGAGCCACGCCCCGAGAGGGGCCACAGCACCGAGGAGGAACGCCCACACCAGAGGTCGATATAGACCCCCGGGACCAAAGAAGCGCTGAGGCCCAACCACTCCCCACAGTATACTGCCGTTGAAATGTACTCGGGCGATGGGGCAGTTGAACCCGTTGATAGCCTCGGGGGTACACAGCCCTGGGATGTAGCTGAACATCCAGTTCAACACCCCAATTTGCGTCAGACTGGATACCAAGGTCGCCATCATCTGCACCCCGAACAGAATTCGGGGTGGAATCTTCATGTAATGACCGAGCTTGAGGTCGGATGAGAATTTGATCCCCTGGGCTGAACTGATATATGAGTAGGTCACAAAAATCATGTTTGCCACGGGTCTGCCTGGAAATGCAATTCCACACAGAAGCTGACAGATCAGATATAGGCTACTATGTTGGTTGGTGACGGCCATGATGATGCCAACCGGGATGAAGAAGATGCTGGTAATTGCGAGAGCTAAGAGAAGCCCATACCAAGGGAGATGTGTGGGATAGCTGGAGGTTTGATGTTAGCATCAGAACGAAAAGAGGCCAAAGGGGAAAAACTTACTATTCCACGGTGAATGTGGCTATCGCCAACATAGACACGAGGACAAGAAGATACCACGTAAGGGGAGCGTCTTTGTAGCGCCGCATCAAGCGGCAGTGGACGTCTTCTCCCGCCAATGGAACTTCCCTACCAGGGTCGTGTGAACTGTGCCTCGAGATGTCAAAGCTCTGTCTGCCTGCAGTACCCTCTCCCCGAAGGGGTTGGTAAGCCTCCCCATTGGAAACATTCTGTTTTTCTTCGAATGCCTTTCTGGTTTGGTGCCATATGTCTTTCCCGTACCAGCAAATTGTGTGGCTCACAAGCGAAGTGAGAGCCGCAAATTGAACCCCATAGGACAACACATAGGTAATAGGCAGATAGACCGGAGAGTAGTCCTCATAGGCCTTTTGATCGAACAAGAAGTCTGTGGTCAAGATCCGGCTCACGTTGTATGGCCGCCCAGCATTATCAAAGACTGCTGTCGAAAGGATAGGCATGTAGGCAGAGAATAGAACATTTTTGTAATCTAACAATGTATATTAGCATGAAACCCCAGGAAGGAGGCGAGGGCATTGTGTCTCACAGAGGATCGGGGAGGCAAGCCAGATGACCACCACCAGTCCCGTCACGATGTTGGCTGCAGCCCACCAGGGTGTGAGCAACGGGGAGCCGATGTATGCAATCTGCGCCCAATCAAAGGTCACAGGGAACATCCCGAGGCCCGAAGCAACACCAAACTAGACAGAATTAGCTGAAAAGGCCATGGAATTTGACAAGTAGGGATGATAAAGATCTCACCAGATTTGAGACTACAACGTTCTTAGGTGCCAGCCATGTGATCACGTTGAAGTAGCTTAGAGCAGGCATCAGAAGTCCCGGAACAAAGTACCAAAGGAAAGCGCCCGCCCAGACAACGACGAAGAATCGGTATCGAGAGATGCTCCATCCGTTGGCTTTTTTGTTCACAGATTTATGCATCGTGGAGAACATTGCTGTAGACATCAGCGTTCCGGGCCAGATCATAGCCGATGGCCGTACGAGAAATCTTCGAGTAAGTCCCGCAAATGCATATCCCAGGACTTGGGTAGATATGATGAGCAAAAGCTGGTATATAATCGGAACGTCCTGCTTGTAAAATTTGTGCTGCTCCACGATGACCTAGATTCGGGATTAGAATTGAGGGTAAGAGGAAAAGTAGTTGCTACGTTGGCACTCACATCAGTAGCAAAGGCAAACCCGAATGAAACATTACTGCTGATATAGACGCAAGCATGCTCCTTTTCATTCCAACGGCCTTGGCCAAACCACAATCTGGCTCGAGACATCAACGGGAGTGGAGTAGTTTCAATCTCGTCAGACTGTGATTCCCGGTGAAGAAGGGAGCCATTTTCGAAGACTTCAGAGGGATCGCCAGTTCGTTTGAAGGCCACATCCCAGAACTTGCCTAGCGGGTGCACTAGGACAAGTGCGATAATTGGAGTAATGGCGACACTCGGATATCGCAAAGAAAAGAAGAGATTAGCGGCAGACCCTGTCAAGGAGAATAGTAGTGATAGAAGCCACATTCGAGGCGCTGAACATAGTTAGATACACCGTAGATATACCAAAGACAAAACAGGACACCTACTGTTGATCGAGAGAGAGACATTATCCGTTGCGGGAACCGAAGCTCGCACCTGCGCGTACGGTGAATTATCCGGAGGATCCTCGTCGAGAGCTTTGGGGTCGTCATCATCAATGTCGAGGATCTCATCATCTTCACTGGTCATATATGGCGAGGACACTGGGGTCTCTTGCATCACCGGGTTGCCTGGTACCGCCAACCCCGTAGCAAAGGAATATTTGGAGTCCGCACCCATTCCCACGTCGGAGGTGGCAGACGAGGGACGACGTTTGTGTCTTTCTGCATACATGCTGTTCCGTCGCCTACCGAAAGAATACGACCGCCTGGAGCCGCGGCTCTGTGCATGTGAGGAGCTTCCGCCATTTTCGAAGCTTGCACGTTGTAGTCGAGCTTTGGGGGTGTTCTGAATGTGCGGGGTGTCCCTCGAGTCCTCCGAGTCCGAATCTTGTAATGCTCCATATGACGAACCCGTGGGTGACGAGCGGAGCAGAGGGGCTTGCGACATAAAGGCCCTTGAATCTGGAGCGGAACCTTCATTCACATGTGACAAAGGATCATCTGAGTCGCAATCTCCATCGTTACAATCATTGGGATGTGAATCAGTGTTTTCAGCGGGAAGCCACTCGCGCCTCGGGGAGGGGCAAGATAGCTTCCGCGTCCGCAGCGGAATATTGGTCGTCGTGGTGGGGATGGGTATGACGAAATACCGGTATTATCTTTCTTTTAGCGCGGACAGTAGCTCAAGTTCGTCAATTGGGGGTGAATCAGAGGGGAGAGAAAGAGAGAGCTAGTGAAGAACTGGGCTAGAGTCGTAGTCGGGAGACCCGCCCGGACGAGATCGGTGGTGTATTGCAAATACCGATGTAAATTACACATAAAATACCAGAGCTACTTTCGTATACTACATCGTTCTACTATACACTTAGCATCGGCTCCAAGATTTGTTCTTTTTATACACAAGACTTCACATATATACCCCAATTTTTGGTCTATTCTATCATTCATAAGGGTATCAAAACAATTCTACAACCTGGTCATCCTCGTTCGCAATTTGGGGTTGCTCTGCGGGCTGTTCCGCGTCCTCTCCTTCACCTGCCTCGTCGCGCATGAGCACCTGGACCAAGCGATCGCATGCCTCTTGCACGTTCTCATCCTGAACGTGAAGGTGCGTCTCACGGATCAAAGGATAGACCTTGACCTTTCGCATCAGGTCGCGACCCTCCCGAGTGGTGGTGAGAAGACAGAGGGTTTCCAGATGCGTTGTGAGGATGGTATTGTCACTGTCGCGCTGCTTGTCCGGCGACAGCAATTGGAGATCAGGGAGCATGTCCGCGGTGTCCTCATCCGACAGCTCCTCGGGGCCCGCCAGTGGGAGCAGCAAGTATGGAAGCAGGTTGGCCGCGTCTTCGTCGAACAGCATCGGATGCGAATCGACCTCGAAGGCCACATTCTTAATGGTGGATGCGACACCCTTTCGCCGAATGTTGCTCGCGTGCTCTGTGAACACCGTCAACTTGGTGATGGGCACCACACCGTCGTATTCCTGGCGCTCCAGGAAATAGGCCCGGCCCTTTTCCGTCTGGGACAAATCGGCAATGAGGTAGGAGAGATAGTCGTAGTTGGCGTGCTTGTTCAGTGCCCCCTCCGCGCCCTTGACGAAGCAGTCCATGATCTGATCAATCGCATTCTCCGAGGTCGACACAGATTTAGGAGCCTGGCGCTTGAGAGTTAAGAGTCTCTGCAGTTTGTCGGACTTGGCGAGGTTTGCCAGCAGCATGGCCACTTCGTCGGCACTCCTGTCCGTTTCGCTCTGCGTTAACCCTATCAGCTTTTGCGCAGTTGTATGTTCCAGTCCCGCGTTCACTTACTACCAGTCGCAAAAGCAGATCCTCCAGCAGCTTATCATCGTCGGCCAGGATTTTCAGCACCTCCTCGTCGCCAGACAGATTCACCAGCATGGTCACTGCATTCTTCGCAATGGGCTATCTCACACACATCAGCTTGGTCCCGCTATTCCACCAGGCGCAACGTACAGGATAATCGCGGACCAAAAGCTTCAGGTCGCGGACAGGGAGCAATTGTTGACGTTTGAACAGCTCCGGTTGGGCAGTGGAGAATCCGACAAGGTTTTCGGCCGCTGGTTCAGTCAGATCAAGGCCAAGGGGCGTCGCGGGGGTTATGTATACCGATTTGGCGAATTTGGGTATTGCCGTGGTGGAGGAATTCCACCAGCTGTCCAAGGTCAGTACCATTTCATAGGGATCGGAGGGTAGCGCATACCTCTTCGAGTTCAGAAGGCATTTTGTGTGAGGTTGTAAAGTGTTGTCTTCAATAGAGAAGGAGGGGGAGAGTCTCAAATTTTTTTTTGGAAGTGGGGGGTTTTCGGGGGATTCTCGACGTCACTGGAAACGCGGAGATTCGGTTTACTAACGATACTCTACGGTCTCTACTCTACTTGCTCACTTATTATAAAATTGATTATATATATATATACTATGTCGTCTTTCAGATTGATTGAAGATGCTCATATAGTATCAGTAAGAACACGCCCTGAAGCAGTGTAGACGTCTTGGTACTATATGGTAACGTCCGCGCTATACTTGCGGGCTCCGGATCCCCCGCCGTGGGGGAAATGTTAGACCAAACACCACACCATGGCCACTCCAAACTTGAACGAGATCCATGATTTCCTGATCTCATTGGCCTTCAAGGCCGGAGACATCATTAACAATGCACTCCCAGAAACCAATGACACAGGTTCGAAGAAGAACAGTACGTGTTCAGGCGACAGGGCCCGAGATGACAGACCCGAAGACAGAGCTGATGGGTACGTGTAGGCGCCGACTTGGTCACCGAGTATGACCGCGCAGTCGAGAACATGATCTCCACGTCGCTGAGGGAGAAATACCCTGATTATGAGTAGGTCTGAACGTCCTGCTGGACGTCTCATCCTCTGACAGACTCCTCCAGATTTCACGGGGAGGAAACCTACGACCCAGCTCGCCCATTGACAGATGCTCCTACCTTCATTGTCGACCCAATTGATGGTACAATCAACTTTGTGCACGCCTTCCCCTTCGCCTGTGTGTCGCTCGGATTCGCCGTCGGCCGAGTCCCCACCGTGGGAGTGGTCTATAATCCATCGACCAAAACCCTGTACTCCGCTATCAAAGGCCAAGGAGCTTTCCTGAATCAGACAACCCGTCTGCCACTCAAGGGCTCTCACGTTGAACCGCTGGCAGGGCTGAAGAATGCATTGATTGCCGTGGAATGGGGCTCAGATCGCAGTGGCACCAACTGGGAGACCAAGATCCGGACATTCGAGAAATTGGGTCAGTCCCAGGAACACGGGGGAGCTATGGTACGTGCGATGCGGAGCTTGGGCTCTGCGGCGCTGAACCTGTGTGCGGTTGCCGACGGCACGCTGGATATGTACTGGGAAGGCGGATGTTGGGCCTGGGACGTCTGCGCAGGATGGGTCATCCTGTCTGAAGCCGGTGGCATCATGGTAGATGGCTCTCCCGGAAACTGGGAGCCTCGCTTGGACGGAAGGAAATACCTTGCGATCCGCGGGTCGCCCGAAGGAGCGGGACAGAAGGAACTGGCAGAGGAATTTTGGAGTTATATCCAGGGCCCATTGCAATATTGAGCAGTTCAAATTTAGATCGACAGAAGAAGGCGAGGAGCGTTAAAATCACGTAATTACAGGGTATAGATCTATGGGGTAGGGTAGTATATACAAGAGCGTCTAGATGCTATTTCTTCCGAGACCACCGGAAGCCAGCGTTGCTGTCCTCCAGTCCAGAATCACAGTCATCGTCTTCATCAATCTCACGGTCTGTCCATCGTGCCGAATCTTGCCTAGATACCTCTGGGTAATGTCCTCTTTCACTAGCACTCAAGGTCCGCAGGGAATCATTGTCGGGAGAGCCGGCATCACGGGTATAGGACTGATCTTCGGTCACATAGAGGCCAGAGACACTCGACAGTATGTCTGTGTCTGCTCGAGTCATCCGAGGTGGCACAGGTTCAGAATCAGACTGTCCCTCCACCTCGTCGCCCGAGCTTGTCGGTCCGACTCCGGGCGATTTGGCCCTGTCCACATTCTGCTTCATGGAGTCCTCCACCTCGACGAGAGGGGCATGACCAAAGTGGGTATCAACCAAATGCTTAACGACAGGCCAGCCATAAGCATTCGTAAACATGCGTCGCACGATGATATTGTTGTGAGCATCGGGTTCAAGACGAACAAGAACCTTGCGCCACGACAAATCACGGTGGTAGGCCCTCGCGATTTTCTCCTCAACTTTGAGGCCACTCCCGCTATTGCCTGGGTTGCTGCCCGTGCCCGGTTGGTGTTGAGTGGCAGAGGCGGGCGCAGACTTCGCTTTGTTGCCTTGCAATGAGCCAAAATTCAGAGTACGTCGCTTTACCGGCAGAGGCATGGGGATGTCCTCTGGATGGTAAACACGATCATGGAAGATTGTTCGAGGTCGTGCGGCGGGGTCCAGAATGAAGTCTGCAGGAGGAAGAGGTGGCATTAACAAGTCTCCCGCAGACTCAAAGAATGTCGTTTTCGGAGGCGTATGCACTCCTTCGTGTTCATGCGAGTGGCCGGGAGCAGCAGGAGGCGAATGTTCAAGATCGGTTTCAAGGGACCCCAGAGTTTGACTCCGGCTGTAGATTCTTGCCTGTTTCCCTTGAGGCTTCTTGTCCTTGGGACGAAACATTGATAGGAAGCTGTCCAGTGGACCGAGTGGCGTATTCTCCGAGGCACTGTCTGGAACACTCCTCTGAGACGCATTATGGTGATGTGGCACCAGAAATTGCTCGGGCTTTGGAGAAAGCGGGCTTTTGTTTGCATTATCACCGGTGGGACTCGTTGCAACCCCGAGAGAATGTGTGGACCGGGATTGGGGAGCAGCATCCGTGGTGGAGAGCCTCAGTGGTGATTCCTCATCTGAGCGTCCAAACCGCGGCGACTTGGAGTTGGCTCCGGTCAACTCTGCCCATCCCCATTCTGCCATAGTTCCGACAATACCGTTGTCTCTCCTCGCCTTTTCGACTCGGTCCAGACCTCTCCAGTCCAAGAAAAGCAGACAAGATGTCCGCAATGGGACTATGCCATCGTTCACCACGTTGGAATAGACGGTGCGATGTTGAAACTTGCTCAAGACTTCGTGAGCAGGGCCACAAGGTAGAATCCGTAGAAGAGGCTTGGAGCCGGGATCGGAGTTGTTTGGGTCCTTGGAAGCATCTCCCCTGCCTGCTATCATGGCTCCCCAACCACTTCGAACTTTCGGTGCCGTCCAACTCAGTCCCAGGTCTTGCCCAGTACGTCCAACTAAGCCCAAGTCTAAAGCGAATCGAACATACAAGGGGTTTTCATTGCTCAGACCGAGGAATGGAGTTGCAAGAGCGATGAAGTTGATGGGTTTGATCTGATCAAAGAACTTCGGGGAGTGTTTTTGGATGTAGGCGATTGCGTATGTTTGGATCAATCCTCCAAGAGAGTGACCGATAAAGCTTATGCTTGTAATCTGATAAGCATGATCGTCCATTGCGTCTGCTTGGGAACCATCCTGAGCTGTCCCAAGGCCAGACGCGGAGGATGGCTGTGGTCTGTCCTTGCGAGCACTAAAAGGTCTAGAGAATGGACTTGGTTTCGGGCCTTTCAGAGGAAAGTAGGGCTGATCAGGATATGTGAGAAGCAGGACGTATTTGGCCAACCGTTTGCCGAGGTATTGAATTCCGCGCTCAGTTCGAACAGCATTCCCAGAGAATCCTCTCACGACGACTTGTTCTTCGTCGTCGTCAGAGTCGTCAGCCTCGTCCGCGGGAGAACTACACAGAGAGAGATTAGCAGATGTAAGATCGGACATCCAAGCCAGAGCCGCCTGTGATTCATGATCCTTACTTACCCGGAGGTGTTGTGTCCCTTGGGGTCCACATGAGGAGTTTTAGTCTTGTGGGCTTTCTTGTGCGAAGTTCGTGCTGCTGCATCGATGCTTTCCTTGAGGAAGAGCATGTCTGCGCCAAGATTACTGTGCAATCCGTGTGTTAGCAATACGAGATGAACCTTCTTCTTTTTCTTCTTCGGTTTTGCTGAGGGTTTCCTGTTCTCCCTCGAACTCGTATTATCAACTGAAGGCTGGCGGCCTACACCTTCAGGCTCAGTCATATCAGAAGCCTCTTTGACAGATGGAAGCGATGGGCTGTTCCACAAGCTGCTTGTATCATCGACATGAACAGTGATAGCCTTCGAGTACACTCCTTTGGAAGCAAGTGCCTGTTGGCCTCTGGCGTCCGGTCGCCAATGGTCTAGTAGTTTCCCCGGAGGACCATTCCCACTGCTCCATGCGCCGCCGGAAAAGTATGATAAGGACTTCTCATCCCGGCCGACTAGTAACTCGAAGTGAACCGCTGCACTGCTCGAGAAAATCACCTGAGATTGTATCTCAACGATCCATGTCACGCTGTGTTCGCGCGTCGGTCCATCTTGGCCCGAGGATCCAAAGTTATGCGCGTCCTGGAGGTGAGCCGGTATCTTGATGGTGGCATCCCAGCCACCTCCAGCTTTGAGATATGGTTCATATTGTGGATTTCCTTCGATTCCTTGCTTCTCATATTTGGTGTTGGGGTCGAATTGCGCGGGATAGCAAGCAGCGTACAGTGTATACGGGCCATGGAGGTAGGCGGCACGCAACGGGATAGCAGAGGTATTTCTCACGCGAACGAAGAGATCAGAGGGAATAGGTAGGATGGGATCGGCGGCTGGCGTGTATGTGATTGTATACCTGGTGGGTCACACGACTGTTTAGCACTTGAAACCAGAGACCGAAGAGGACTGGGAAGGTCTGGGCATCCGACACTCACCTGACCACCTCTCCTACGCGAACAGTCCCAAATTGATGAACGAGCAGCATCTCTGTCGCGTTTCGGGCATCCACCGGATCTGTCCGCCACCCGGAGAGGGTATGATACCGCGATGTCCGTTCAGAGTGAGATCGCGTTGCGCCTTGATCGGGGGTCTGGGAGGCCGAATACGTGCGCGCAGTGATCAGCATCGAATCTGCTCGATTCCATGATAAGGGAGGTCCACCTAGAAAGAATTCGTTTCTGCGAGTGGAAGAGACTGGGAGTGAAGTACTGAGCGACCTCGCAGAGTGTGGCTGAGCGGGAATGGCGGGAAACACATGATTACCCTCGCTGATCGGCGAACTATCTATTTCTCTTCTATTTCACAATTCTCGTCGGAATAGCGGGAATAACGAATTTCTCTCTAAAAGGACCTCAATGAATCAGGTTCAGTGATCGCCTTGGCTCTTTGCGGAGTTCCACCCAGCCGTCCTTCTCGACAACCACAATCTTTCCGTCAATACACACGCGTCGCCATCTCGCCTCATCTTCTTGGAAATCGATCCGCAGTCTCTCAATGTCGGCATAGGTCACTGTGGATTGCTGCACGTGTTGACCACCTTGGTAGGCGAGAGTCATCAATTGCATCGCGTCCTCTGGTGACATAGGGCCGAACCGAATGAACTTCATCTGTCCGCTGAGAGGCTCCAACCCCGGTGAGATCAAGAACTCTTTCTCAAGCCGAGGAACCAACGTGGCCACGGCATACATATGCTCCAGCTCTTCCAGCTGGCGGGTCTGCTCTGGACTCTCCGAGGTAGTCATCGTGATCTTGCCCGCGAACCGATGGCACGGGGCACCATCCGAGGGGTAGAGTAGTTCGTTGGCAGCCATCTTGAATCGCTCGACTCCAAACTTGCGGTATTCCGCAGTGTCGCTGTCAGCCACCAATGCCGCATGGAGGCTCCAGCTCGCGACAACGGCGCCCCATAACGTATGTGACGTAGTCTCATTGTTCTGGTCTATTGGCACCGATAGGCGACCCTCATCGGCAACGAGCTGACTGCCGGCTGAGAATTCAGCAGCAAAGACAGGCACGGGAGATGGAGACCCGCGTAGTAATGTAGAAAGGCCCGGTACGGGACCCGAGCGTAATCCAATAGAGCTGGCCATGGCATTTCCTGTGCCACAGGGGATCAGCACGAGGTTCGGAGGAACCTTGACTATGGTGTTGGACCTATAGAAGACATCGAGGATATCCACCAGGCCCCCATCACCCGAGAGGAGGATGACGGTTTGCGGAATGCCACGATGAGCCTGCTCCAGGAAGTGCGTTCGAGCTAGATGGGGAATTGTCTCTGGATCCTCAGTCTCGTGGACCGAATACTCAACACCGAGATGTGTCAGAAATGGCTGTATCGCATCTTGATAGACTGTTTTGGCCTTTCCTGTGCCCGATCCCGTAGAAATCACGACGTGTACGGCAGTCTCCTTGTTCAGATGAGTAGGAACGCTGGCCTTTAATGGAACCAACTCAGTGGGAAGAGACTCGAGCTCAATCTTCTTCAGACGGACACGCTCGGGGTCGTCTTTGGGATCGCCCTCGGCGCAAAAGAATAGTACATTATGGCTTGAGGGATTGCTTGACACACAGAGAATATCTTCAAGCTTGATCACAGTCGTGACATCTCCATGAGAATACTGCAGCGTATTATCAACCACGTTGACAGTGGACATGTTGGGTGATCGGAGAGATGACGATCGCGGGGCTCCCGCTGCGGCTAAAAATGTCCTTTTATGGCCCTTTCGAGGGCTAATTTGTGGTCAATCCCCAGCCTTGCGCTTACGGAGCATTAATTAGGTCAATTTACGATACTCGATGACCCAAAAAGGTGTCTCATTTGTTCTCTAAGCTTCTCATCTTCTCGCGTACAGGTACAAAAGCATAAAGTACAGTCATCTCCCAAGTTGTACAGATTTCCCCAAACGCCTCAATAGCAACCGTCAATTACTTTGCCAAAGCATGGGTTATCTTCTCACACAGGGGAACTGCCACGGGGCGAGCCCTCCTCATGAGAGATGTGTTTATCACTCAGGTTCACTGCAATGAATGTTTTGGGCAGCTCCACCCTAAATATATGAATTAGCAAGATGTCCTGGGGCACCTAAGCAGGGGAATCACTCACGTATTGAACTTCGCCTTGAGAGTCTCAATGACCTCCTTCCAGTCTTGATGGGCCGTCAGGCTTCGCCGAGGAGCGCAGCCGATGGAGTGTCGGGAGTCGAGTTGCACATCGAGAGGGTCGAAAGCGTGGCATCCCGGGCTGACCGAGATGCGAATGGAGTAGGAATAAGAGTCCGACTCGCTATCGCGGGCTTCGTATAGTTCAAAGCAAATTTGAGACAGGTAGTCGAGCTCCGGGATTGCACTCCGGGCAATCTTGGTCTGAATCCCACCTTCCAGAATACAGTTCAGAAGGGTGTAAATGTGGGACTCCTTGGTGAAGTAGAAGAAAGATTTGGCATCCTGTGAGGCTTGCACCTCTTCCAAGTCTCGAACAATCTCCTGAAGCAACGGAAGCGATGTCAAAAGTCCGATTTCCAACTTCTCACTGTCGGTGATACCGTATTCCTGGGGTGTCACGTAGTCAAACAAGACCTTGGCCAGCTTGAACAGTTCCCGAAGTTTCGAAAGTCTCTCGTCCATCTTACATTTGGAAGAATTGGAGCCCGGAAAGAGTTTGAAGTAATGATCATAGGAGTCATCGAGCGACCGGAGGTGCGGCAGGGATTCAAGCGCCTGCAGACGCTTCCTCAATCCAAACCGATGCGCAAACGTATGAGGCTCGTCAGACCTGTCACTTCCAGGCTCCTGAGATTTGCCGTCTGGACTTCCATCGGATTTGGTTGCACACTTGCCTTTGATGCTCTCTTTATCATCGTCATCACGCCCAATGTCTGGGGGCATGAAGACCCACTCCAAAAATTGTCTGTTGTGGAGGGCATCGAACTTCATGCTGTCATAAAGTTCAGAGAACTTGCTGGGATCAACCTTCTCGGTGTCACAGAACTCTGCGAACAGCTTCTCCCATCGCTCTTTGAAGAGGCGAGGATCTTCACCGGCACACCAGCGACCTTGAATGTTGTCGATATCTGGATGGTCCGACTGTGGATCACTCGGAGCTGCCTGAGCCGGATTTTCAGGATCATTTGATGGAACAGGGGAAGCGTGCGGTGAACCCTCAAGCTTCTCAAAGTTATGATGCATCACACTCCGGTGGAACTTCATCAACTGAACCAGCGTAGAAAGCACAACCGAGGGCTCTGGAATGTTACCATCCTTGGGCCAGGCAAACTGTGATGGCGCCGAGCCTTCTCGCAAGAGCAATTTCAGCTTCTTCTTGACCTTGTCCATGACATCTTTGGCGGCATTCGAGTCGTCGAGCAAGTCCTTGCGAACCTGTATCAAGTCCCCGGGAATATCCTTCTGGTCCAAAAATGAGCAAGCCCAGATTTGTGCTGGTAAGCAAAGTCAGTTAACTGTGTATAAAGACCGAAGGAGAAAGGCATCTGAAACTCACCACTAGTGCTTACTCTGCGCTCCGAGCTGGTGAATAGCCGAACGTTGTTCAACGCTTCCCGGTTCATCAGCTTCAGGTCGTCACGCATGTTTGATCCAAGATCCTGGGATTGGTAACGCGCAGCGTGGGTAGGCTCGCCACCCCACTTGATCACAAGTTGCAATTTGTCCAGGATCAAGTCGTTCTCGGCGGCGGAGAACCGAGAAAAGGTAGCGCCTGAAATAGAATCACTCCGTGTTTGTGATCTGCGCAATTCCTCATTCTCCGGGGTTTCTCCTTCCACGGGCGACAAGGGCTCCTCGCTAGCCTTGCCCTCAGGCAATGGGGGAGCATCGGCTGGTGTGCTCTGCTCTTTCATTTCCTCTGGCTTTCGTTTCCGGAACATGGGCTTGATCTGTACCTTGGTCCCAGGCCAGCCACCCTTCTTCTCTAACGATGTGCGAAGCAATTTCAGCTTCTCCATATCCTCTAGGCCCTGATCCATAGCCACCTTGACAGCATCGGAAACACTGGCCAATGCAGCTGCTCCCTTGATGACTATCTCTTCCTGATGACCCTTCAAAAGATTCACAAATGGCTGACTATGGAAGGTAAACTTGAACTTCTGTTTCGGAGTTCGGTCGGCGTGCCGAATCACCGCAACCATTCCCTTCAGTTTCCAGGAGTGTTTGGAAGCAGGAAGAGGTGGAAGGGCTTCTTCGTTTGCGTGCTGAATTGAAAGAGCTGGGGATTTCGAGTTCGAGGGACTAAAGCCCCTGGAAGTCGTATGCCCTTCGCGAGAGTTGAGCTTGCTGAGAGCAGCACCGACATCGGGAGCCTCTACCCCGGAAGATGAAGCTACCGAGGGAGTGGCAGTGGAAACCTCAGAGGGAGGGTTTTCGTGGCCCTTGTGGGGAGGCTGGCTACCGTAAAGCCTTGATGTGCTAGGTGACTTCAACAGTGTCTTCAAGGCCTGTCGGTGGGACCCCACTGTGCTCCTTCTGGATGAGCCCATGTCAGGGGATGGCGGCTCGGAAGGCTCAGGTCCCCCTTCGCATTTCCGTCTTTCGCTTAGGAAGATGTCCCTGAGGATATTGGCACATTTATCGTAATAGTCGTTGTTGTCCTTGACAAAACTCCAGCCGTTGACATCAATGACGTAGCTCTTATCACCGACTCGGAGCATGTCGAAGCCACAGATTCTTTGGCCGAATCCATTGGAAATTTTAGAGGCGATCACCGCCTCCTCTTTGCCGAGTTTAGTGATGTATCGAATTTCCTTGCCGTGAGTATTGCGACGAACGAGTCCGTCCACCACGGGTGATTTGCGCGTTTCCGCGTGACAGAAATCGGGACCAACAGTATACGCCTTCACATCCTCGGCATTGTCAACACGGAGGAATTGTTCATACAGGTAACTGGTATCTTTCTCCGTCACGGACCTCGGAACTGAAAGTGTGGGATCATACTCAGAGCTTTTGTTGCCCACCTTTCGAAACAGGCGTCTTCCGCCTCCGCCATACTGTTGATCATTGGGGAAGTAAATGTGGATATTGTGGTCCTCGCCATTGACGGGCTTTTCCACAAAGGGCTTTTTGAACACCTTTCCATCGACGATCAGAGCCTCTCCGTCTTCCGACATGGAGACATTCTGGGTTCGAGGGGCACCGCCACCGATTCCGCTCTCGGGGCCTTCGAGTTTCACACCAGTCAATTGGTAAATGTGCTGACCCAGTTCTGGTGACTCTAGCACGGGACCACCATCGCGGTTGACCTCGATGCGCTTCGGGGTGGGAACGCCCATGTGATCAAGGATCATCAGACAGAGTCGTCTGTCCCACAGAACCTTCTGCATGGGTAGGTCATTGACACAAAGAGGCTTCCGAAGCTTGGCATACGCAATAGCCTTGTCCAACGGGAATCCATCCGAGAAGAACGCGACTAAGAAGTCACACACCGGCCAATTTTCCACTGCTTCATCAAGGATCACCTTGTCTCCGAAGACAATCACCTCGAAGTCGCCTCTGGATTGCAGCCGAGTCAGGATATTCTGACTCGGCTTGCTGCGTGCTTTCACATCCAAGGCACAGACACCGATCCGCCACGGCTTGAGGGAGCTCGATTCCATCTCGCTGATGGAGCTTGCGGCGGTGCTGGCAGCAGTGCTCCCACTGAACCTCCTGGGCGCACGGCTCGACGAGCGTGTGGATTGTCCCATCAAACCGATGGTACGGGCTTCGGAGGCCTCCTTCCCCGGCTGGCTAGGAGACGATTTTCCGTGCTGGGTGGGCTTGGCCGAAACCAGCGTTGTCGGTTCGGGGACGAGCCCTGTAGGCGTCTGATCGTCGGATTCGGGTCCCAGATCGGGCGATGGGGGACCTGCCGTCGACGCGAGCCCCGTGGGGAGTCGCAGAGAGTCCACATCGGCATTTGAGCCGTTGCTATGCTCGGTGCTGGCCATTGGGGAGATAAGGCCCAACGGACAGGAGGGGCAAAACTGTGGGGAGATATGGGCTGCAGGCGATGGGAGGAAATTGAAATTATACGTCAATTCAATAGTCTAATGCCGCCATACGGACATGACAGATAAAGATGAAAGGCGTAATTATGCAGGAAGCTCGAGTGACACCGGATTCTGTAGGCGGAGAGCAGAGGTTCACCGTGTCTTGGCGATGATTTCTATACTTTTTGGCCTTCTTTCTTCTTTCTTCTCTCTTTCCGGTCCTATACTTGGATACTAGAGGACTGTTATAATGTTTGATGAGCATATTAGGAGCATGATATTTCTGTTCTTCTATTCTTAATCAGATCTATACGCCTGGTCTCATTTATATCACATTGCTAGGAACAGATGTGGGCACGTCATTTCAAATTGGAGCCATGGCCACTGTTGTATAGTCTCTGATATTGCAAATCCTCCCCAAGCCCAAAAGACGACTTCCCTCAGACCTTTCATCTGTATAATCTTATTCTTAGATTGGGACTGCACATCTATACTCGAGTGTCCGTCATGTACAAATATACTCCTATCCCCAGAATAGAAGGCGGTCAATACCATGCAGGACTGGGCGGGGCAGAAAAAAAACAGCAAAAAAAAAAAAAGATCCAGCCGAGCTTAAACAGACTTGCGACTAGGTCGGAGATAGGCGTTGGACTGAATATATTCCAAACATGCCTTCTGTGAATGATAATGTCAATGCTCCTATCGCCAAGCGACAGAAGCGAGTCTCCAAAGGCACCAATGTCGGACAACGAGGCTCAAAGATCTTCGCGCCTTTCCGCGTAAGTTGACAAGCCATCGGTATCTGGACTTCTGACTGACGATTACCTTGATAAAGACATTAGGATTGGTATCCCCAACACCGGTGCCATTTACCTCGGTGCGCCTGGGTAAATCGACCTACCAAATTACGACCTCTGTGGGACACTCTCTGCAGACATACGACCTGCGCAAAGGACTGAACCTGGTCTTCTTAAGTCGGCCGCAAACTCCAGAGATTATTACAGCAACATGTGCGTGGCAGGACAAGGTTTTCGCGGCGTGGGGTCATCTTCGCTCGCAATCCACCGGAGGAATCTGGGTGTTCAAGCGTGGTAAAAAGGTCGCGGCTCTGTCAGGTCCGGCGGATCTGAAAGGCCCCATTGAGCGATTGGTGGTTTTCGGTTCGTGGGTAGTTGGCTGTTGGGCTGGAGGCATTGAGGTCTGGAAGACAGGCACTTACGAGCACTATGCCAGCATGCGACCCCAGGCTGGTCAGGGCTCCTCCTACACTGGTGTCATGTGCAACATGCCCACCTATATCAACAAGGTCTTTGTTGGTCGAGCGGACGGTGCGATCGATATCTGGAACCTACGCAGCGGCAAACTCATCCATACGCTGCCCCCTACCTCCCCTGACGCTGGGCCTGTGACAGCCATTCAACCTACACCAGCTCTCTCACTTGTCGCCGTTGCCTACAAGAGCGGCGCACTCGCAATCCAGAATGTCAGCTCTGGACAACTAGTTTTGAAGTTGAAGAATGCATCTTCCCGGGGTCTTCCCGTGACATCCATTACATTCAGAAGCGACGGGCTGGGTGCCGGCCATGACGGTCGCAGTGCGGGTATCATGGCTACTGTCTCGAGTGGAAGCGGCGACGTTACCATGTGGGACCTGAACAACGGAGGTCGCATCGCGGGTATCCTGCGTGGGGCTCATCGTGTTTCGAGCGGTGAACGGGCCATGGGTGCGAACCGTGTCGAGTTCCTGGATGGACAGCCGGTGATTGTGTCTTCGGGCGACGACAATTCCTTGAAGACATGGATCTTTGACACCATCCCCTTCTCGCCGATTCCTCGGCCTCTTCATATCAGAAATGGTCACTCCGCCTCTGTTAGCGCTCTTGACTTCCTGCCCGGGTCGTCTGACGGATCTGATTCGTCCGGCAAGTGGCTGCTGAGTGCCAGCAAGGACTGCAGCCTCTGGGGACTCAGTCTGCGCAAGGATAGCCAGCACACTGAGATCTCCCAGGGCAACCTCGAGCGCAAGGCCAAGAAGGCAGGCCCATCGACCGGATCAAGCCCCATGTCATCCGAGGAGCTGAAAGCCCCTGAAATTACTTGCATTTCTAGCAGCCTGAATCGTGATGGTGGAATGGGCATCACTACATCTGGCCCGATCTGGTCAAACCCAAAGGTGACAAACGCCGATGCTTCTAACACAACAGGCTGGGAAAGCGTGGTAACTGGTCACCGAGGTGACAAATTTGCACGTACCTGGTTCTGGGGTAAAAAGAAGGCAGGCCGCTGGGCATTCCCGACAAGCGATGGAACAGAAGTCAAGGTATGCTGAGCCACTGGCCACGGAAATTCTCTCGAGATCTCGGCTAATCTATATTCACAGAGTGTGACGGTGTCCCATTGTGGAACTTTTGCAGTCATTGGATCTGCAGGAGGATCTATCGATATGTTCAACATGCAGTCCGGCCAGCACCGACAGAGCTTCCCGGCTCGTCTGCCAGCTTCACGCTCTAAGGTTGGTGCGCTGGCCACAGCAGCCGTATCTTCCAAGCACACCAAGGCGGTTACCGGTTTGATGGTCGACAGCCTGAACCGTACCGTCGTCAGCTGTGGCTTGGACGGCAAAGTCAAGGTATGCTTTCCCTTCGGATCCTTTCGATTCCTTCTCTCGCTGCAAATGTGTGACAGTAGCTGACTTTTGCGTAGTTTTGGGACCTGCTCTCCGGAAAGTTCATCGATGAGCTCGATTGGAATCCGATGACCGCCATTACTGGACTCCGTTACAACAAGGCGAGTGAATTAGTCGCATTCAGCTGCGACGATCTCTCCATCCGCGTGATCGATCTTGAGACCAGGAAGCTCGTCCGTGAATTCTGGGGATGCGTGGGCCAAGTCAATGATTTTATTTTCTCCAACGATGGACGCTGGATCATCGCAGCCTCCATGGACTCAGTGGTCCGAGTGTGGGATCTGCCCACGGCTCACTTGGTGGATATCTTCCGCGTATCGAGCACTTGTGTTGCTCTGGCAATGTCATCAACAGGTGAATTCCTTGCTACTGCGCACGCTGGAAGCATCGGCATCAGTCTTTGGAGTAACCGCAGTCTTTTCATGCCTATCTCCACCAAGAACCTGGATGAGACCACCATCGAATCCATTAGTCTTCCGGCAACTTCGGGAGAAGGCGGTGCGGGTCTGATTGAAGCAGCCTTCGTCGAGCCGACCGAGGAAGACGAAACCGATGGCCCAGTTTTGACAACTGACCAGCTTTCGAAGGATATGATGACACTGAGTCTTGTCCCCAAGAGCAGGTGGCAGGCACTTGTTCACTTGGACACCATCAGAGTAAGAAATATTCCTTGCAGAGACATTGATCCTCAGCTAACAATTTTCCAGGAGCGCAACCGTCCCAAGGAAGCCCCCAAGGCTCCCGAGAAGGCTCCTTTCTTCCTTCCCTCTCTCCTCGACAAAAGTGGTCCAGATTCAGCTCAAACTGGCTCGGAGCTGGACAGCGACATCGGGTCGCTGGCAAAGAGCGCCGAGGCCGAACGACTGCGAATCGCCAAGGTGCAGAATGGCCAGAACCCTGGCTCTATCCAGTCTACCTTCACGCGCACTTTGGCTTCTGGCCACCAGTCCGGCAACTTCGACTCATTTGTCGATCATCTCAAGTCCCTGTCCCCGGCCAAGGCCGATCTTGAGATCCGCTCCTTGGATCCCCGGGTGCGCGATGGGCACTCCGAGCTCTCTGATTTCGTTACTGCCCTGACGTGTCGTCTGAAATCCAAGAGAGACTTTGAATTAGTCAATGCTTGGATGGCGGTGTTCTTGAAGATCCATGCCGACACTGTTGGCTTAAGTTCCCACCGTGATGAGCCCGAGTATCGTCTGTTGCAAGGTGCTCTGGCATCTTGGGCCCAGGAGCAAGAGTCAGAGGGCAAGCGCTTGGCTGAGCTGGTGGGATACTGTCGTGGAGTGGTTGGGTTCCTGCGCTCCGCGCGGTAGAATTGTAGAACCCTGAGTGGTATATAGCCTAGGGAGGGAGTTCACTGGTGAATCTCGAAGTCCCTTCCACATTTTTAATTTGATCTATGTCTAAATCAGCGTGTGCATTCTATCATTGTTTCTTCCAATGTTCTCGTGTAGATGAGGTATATAACCTTGCAAACCTCTACGTATAACCCTTGGAGGTAATGGAACAGGACATCTGGTGTCATCCTTGGAGTGGATGTGCACATAGTACGTAGTTGTTCCCTCAGTTCTGGACGAGCGCTGGAAGTAGGCTACATGAACTACTTGGGAAATCTTTGAACGCCATGAATCCCGGCACACTAGAGTGATACTTCTTTTTATATGGTAAGAGTAGGGAATCTGGATATATTTCGGGAATCGCAACTATCTGCCCCAGATTAATTCCATACTAATTACATTCACTTGAGCTACATTAGAGAAGACTCAATAACCCGTGAATAGAAACATTCATTATGAATAAAAAAGTAGATGAGATACAAAGACCATTCAGTCATGGCCAAAATCTGATTAGCTAAGCATGCTGTCACTGCGGTGAAGTGTGACATCGTCAATGTCCATTGATTGTCTGACACCCTCTTTCTCCCGTCCATCACCTTCTCTTGTCGCGCGAGAGAGAGACCAAAAGCTTTCCATTTGTTCTCTTCATTCTCTCGCCGACCCCAAACGGTTCTCACACAACCGCTTCAGTTCGCCATCATGTCGACCCCAACGAATCCCTCCAATGCTCGGACCCCAACCGGACCAAATGGCGCACCGCTGCGAATGCGTCGCCCCAAAGCCGCTGATCCCCTTGTTCGACCCAAAAGACGGCCTCTCCCCAAAGCAGCCACCTCGGCGGTGGGTGGCTACAGGACAGCTACGAAAACACTTCCCACGCGCCCATCAGAGTCTGCGGCGTCCGTGTTCCAGTCAGAGCGGCCCATGATCGAGCTTTCAAACAATGAGATGTCAGCAAACGGATTCAGCGGACCTCTGCTCAGCAACACATACCGCGACTACCCCGTCGTGACGACAAAGCGAGCTCTGATGGAGGGACTGAAACACCATGTTGCGCGATTCGCCTCGAAGAAGAGCGTTGATCCCCGAGATGAATCTCAATTCACACGGCCCGTGCGACTCCACCGCCGCGACCCGCGTTCGCGAACGAACGATCCCAATGCAGGCAGAACTGAGATCGATGGTGAGCCGATGGACGCAGCTGAACGTGAAGCTTATGATGCCCGAAAGGACGCCCGCGAGAAAGAGCGCGCCCAGAACCTCGCTCAAATTGCACCGGCCCTCGGCTCGACCTCGAAACGTCCAAATGCCCCCAAGCAGAAGACACAGCAAGTTTTCAAGTCGGACATGACCCCCGAGGAGATCGCAAGAGCACGGATCAAGTACGAAGAGGCTTTGCCCTGGCACCTGGAGGATTTCGATAATCAACACACTTGGGTTGGAAACTACGAGGCAGCTTTGTCTGAAACCCATGCAGTGTTCGTCATGGAAAACGGCAAGATGCGAATGATCCCGGCTGAAAAGTGGTACAAATTCAACGCGAAGAGTCAGTTCAAGGCTCTGACGATCGAAGAGGCCGAGAAATTCATGGCCAAGAGAGTGAAAGACCCCCGATGGTTCATGGAAAAGCAGCAGCAAATGGAACAAGAGAAAGAACTAGAGACATATGCCAAGCAGCGCAAAGTCTATGCCGGAAAGCAAGCCGCACAGGCGGGCAAGGGCGAGGGACTTGAGGCCGGTGAGATGGATTTCGAAGAAGATCGCTTCGCCGATGACGAGGAGCATGATGACCTGTTCAACGAAGATGAAGATGCCAAAGACGCTGAAAAACGAATTAAGGAAGACCAGCTCAAGGCTAATGTGTTCAACCTCAAGGATGAGAAGGAATACGACGCAGAAGAAGTTCGAGAGAAGCGAGAGCGAGAGGCTCGACGCGTACTGGGCAAGGGTGTTCGCAAGGCACTGAAGAAGCGGGAAAGGAACTACGATTACAGCAGTGGTTCTGATGCTAACCCATACTCGGATGAGGAGGTATGTCATGGTGTGCCCCTAGTGTGATCGAACCCAAGCTGATTTAAACCTCCACTCTAGAGCTCCGACGACAGCGAGACCGAACGCGCCAAAGAAGAAGAGCGAAAGAAGGCAGAGGAAGAAAAGAACCAGAAAGACTCCGCAGCCTCCAGCAAGGGCAACAACACACCATCTGGTCGGCCCAAACATACAGACGCTTTGAAGAAAGCCGCTGGGTCTCGGAAGAGACTTGGATCGCCCAACGGCTCCGACGCCAGCGGCACCGACACTTCTCGAAAGAAGGTCAAGAACCTTCCTCACATTTCATCCCAGCCGCCATCGCGCCCGATCTCTCCCTCGGCGCTGCAAGTATGTGAAGCAATTCCAATCCTACAACGACCGTCCCAGGATATGCTAACTAATCTAGACTGGCAAGAAGCGTGTGCGCGCCAACAACCCCGGAGGTGCAGGATCTGGTAGCGACGTCGACACCGGCGTCGGATCCGGAGCAGAGATGACTGAGAGTGGCAAGATCAAGAAGCTGAAGCTCAACCCGCCGATGGGTTCCCGTAGTGGTACTCCGCAAGGCTCTCGCGCCGCCAGTCCCATGGCAGGCCGACCTGCTGGAAGTCGCGCCAGCAGCCCCGAGGACCCCACGAAACGCCAGGCACGCATGTCCACGCCTGTCTCTGGGAACCAGACCTTCCCCACCGCTGGAGAGATCCACGCCGCTATCCCGGCTGCTGGTATTCTTAGCAGCGACTTGCTGAAGATCTTCCGTCCTCGCATTGGTGGGTCTAAGGAGAACCACCGCCGATTCATTGCTATTGTGAGGGATGTCAGTGTTTACGGAAAGGAAGATCGCATGTTGCGTCCGGGGAACTGGAAGGGTAACTGAGAGCGCTCTTCTTGCTTTTGCTTACAATCCCTTTTTAATGTCTATATGCAAGCGCAGCTTCAGCTTAGCACAAGACTTCTGTACCTATTCGACCAACGATTGTTTAATACTATTCCTTCAGCGTATTTCGCTCCCTTTCGTTACTCCCGAATCAAGAGGACTACATGCCCTGTCCATTGTACTTCTTTACACCGCGACAGCTACTGCACATCTTGTGATTAGGCTTACATTCTGGAAATATCGAGTACTACCTTTGAGTATACGAAAGGAGCTTGGCCGAGGGCATTGGATCTACCCAATTCACCACTAATTTAGTTACTACTCTGTCCAGCTTCCTAGACTAGTCCAGACAGACCCCTTGATCCTAAAGCAGAGACGCTACCCATGGATATCGTACGTAAAGGTCCGTGTATAAAAGCTACATGTAGACAATAGAACTATGATTCGTTTTGACGTTTGTTACTTGGGTGCTACATATTACATTGGTGTTATGTACGAAGATATAGAGAGAATAGCAGGTCTAAATGGTGAAATGGAAGAAAATAACAATTGAAAACTATAATAAGTAAAGAAAAGATTCATTTATATGCACATTAAAAAACTCCGAGGCTTTGAGGCATATCACATCATGACCCGATGAACAAACAGAAAAGGTCTATCAAAAACACACATTATAGAGGGGGAATCAAGGATGAAGTGATCATTTTTCAACATTGGTGTTGCCCTCCTCGTACTTCTCCCAGTTGGCCAGGATAGAGGCAATGCGAGGGGAGTTGGTGAGCTTGTAGACATCCTCGAAGTACTCCTTGGTAATCTCGAAGGGACGAGCCGTGACGTTGGGGATGTACTTTCCGACGAGCTTGCTGGGATCGATGGTGGTCTTGTTGATCTTCTTCAGCAAGAAGGAACGGAAGGGCTTGACACCGGAGCGCAGGAAGGTACTGTGGAAGGGCACATCGATACCCTTGAGAGGGATGGTGGCGAAGCCACGCTCGAGCTGGATGGGACGGGGCTTGGCCTCGGTTTGCTCGACACAACCCTGGATGATGCTGACCAAGTGCTCCTTGACGTCCTCCAGAGACATGCTCTGCATGAGGGCGGGGATGTCAATGTTCTGCGCCTTCAGGAAGTTGAGGAGGTTGGTGAGAGTGTCAAGAGCACGGAGGTCACCAGCGGCAACGTATTGCATGTTGGCAACGTTGTAGTTGACAATCTCCAGCAACCAGCCGGTGGTCTCGGCAATGACTTCCACAACGTACTGCAGGGCCTGCTCGTTGAAGGTCTTGGAGATACGGCTGGGGTTGACAGCACACATGGAGTAGTTGGAGCGGCCCTGAGCGTCACGCTCGACAGCGACCTGCATGGTCAGACCACGGTAGAACACGACGGAAACCAAGCTCTCGATGGGCATGACATCGGCCAGAGCGGCCAACGCGGAGTATTCACCGAGCGAGTGACCGGCGAAGCTGCTGTCGCGCTGAACCAGACCCTTGGAGCGCATGTCCTCGAAGCTGGCCTTCTCCATCAGAGTCAAGGCAGGCTGAGTGAACTGGGTGGCGGAGAGAAGACCAGTGGGGGAGCGGTAGGTGTAGGAAGCAGTGTTCTCATCAACCTCCTTGAAGATCTTCTCAGACTTGATGGATCCATCGGCGTTGACCGACTCGAAGGTCATCGACATGTAGTTCTGGCGGATAGCCTTACCACGAGGACCACCGAAGTAAACGGTGAGCTCCTTGGGGTTGTTCTTGACAATGTCGATGATGGAGAGACCGTAGTTCTCCATGAAGTGTCGATCGGCACGGTCCCAAACCTCCTGGGCAACAGGGCTGCTGCCGTAGAGCTCCATACCCATACCCTGCTCCTGAGAACCTTGACCAGTGAAGACGTAGGAGGTGACAGGCTGCTCAACCTCCGCCTCACCCTGAAGGACCTTGTCCTCGGTCTCCTTGTTACTGGCCTCGACCTTGATGATCTTGCGACCGGCAATCATACCGACGTGCTGCAGCTTGACGGTGATCATGTCATTGGGCAGAACCATGCCAACCAGGGAAACCTGGAAGCCACGGACGCGACCGATGTTGTTCTCGGCAGCCCAAGTCTCGACGAGACTGCGGACGGCGGCACTGCTGTACATACCGTGGGTGATGGTACCGGGCAGGTTGGCGTAGCTGGAGAAGACACGGGAAACGTGAATGGGGTTGTAATCGCCGGAGACGCGAGCGTAGGTCTCGTTGGAGGCGGGGGCACGCAGCTCGAGGGCGGTCTTTCCACTGAGAGGGATGGGGTTCTCGAAGTACACCGGCTGCTCGATGGAGGTTCCGTTACGCTGCAGGTAGTCGATGACGGGGTTACCGTGGGAGTCACCAGCCTCGTACTCAACAGAAGCGACCTGGATAACCTCCTTGGTGGGCAGCTCGAGGAGAGCCTGTCCAATGGTCTGGACATTGCTGAAGACGGTGTTGTTCTTGAAACGGATCAAGCTCTGCAGACGGAAAGTAAGGGTCTGGCCGAGGAGCTCGGTCTCAGAGTCGTCCATGCGGAACCACTCCTTGGAGCGGAGGATGGCAACATCGCGGCTGGTGGCGAGATGAACCTGCATGGGGACCTCGTCCTTGCGCTGGAAGGTGTTCTCGAAGTCGGTGTAGGCACCGCGGTACAAGAACTGACTGGTCACATGCATGATGGCCTTACCCTCACGCTTGATGGTACCGCAGACCTCAACCATCTTGCCAGACTCCTGGTTGATGACGGCGTTGATCTGAGCGGTAGTGTCCAGAACGTCACCAACCTTGAGGGGCTGGGCACCGGGAACCATCTTGAAACCGTTGGACAGGTGGACCAGCTTCAGCAGATCTCCATCGATGGTACGGGGGAAGATAGGCTTGGTGATAGCCTTCCAGCCCGCCACAATGGCAAAGTCCATGGGAGCGAACACTTCCTTACCGGGACGGTCAACGAAAGCCTCACCAGTGTTACCAACGGCGTGAACGAAGTCGGCAACGGCCTGGGAGGTGATGGTCTCACGACCACCGCTGAAGGTGGCAGTGGTGGGGGTGTCGAAGGGCACGTCCTTGTTGCCGAACCAGATACGGTAGTAGAACTCCTTGATGCGGTCGTTGCGGTCACCCATCACCTCGCGGATGGGAGCGTATCCAGTCTCCGGGTGGTAGGTGAACAAGAAGTTCAGGGGAACGACACCGTTCTCAGCGGTGCGACCCTCGAAGAGAGTCAGGCTGATCTGGCCGTTCTCGAGGACCTTGGCCTCAACAGTCTTGACGAGCTTGCCAGACTGGTAAGGCTCGCGGACACTGATGGCCATCTTGGAGGGGTCGTTGGGGTTGGAGACCTCAACGTGCATACCGGCGGTAGGCGCAACAATGCGCTTCATGGGGTTGGTCTGGAAACGGTGACCCTGGACGTAGACATCGGCCAGGAACAGGGCGTGTCTCCAAGAGTAGACACTGCCAGCCAACAGACCCAACCAGCGGTCGAGATCGGGCAGGACCGCAGAGGGAGAGGAGGACAGACGGAAGCTGACCTTGTTGGCCTCCTCAATGACGGTGAGACCATCGATCTCCTGCTCGGTATCGGTGTTCAGGAGCTGACCACCGAAGTATTCAATGACAGGAATCTTCGACTTGTCACCACCGTAAACATCACGCAGGAGGCCTTCGATGTGACCCTTGTGAACGCCATCCAGAATGTCCTGAACGGGCTCATCGATGATGTTGGAGTAGCGAGCAGCCATGGGACCCTGAAGAATACAGGTACGACCGACATCTTGGCCAACAACAGCCTCAAGATCCTCACTCTGCCACAGGGAATCCTTCTTGAAGAAGAACTCGAAGGTCTCGTCAAGGACGGGAACGAAGGGCACGGGCTTCTGACCGCGACGCTGGCAGAGAAGCAGGAAGTGCTGCACATCCTGAGCGTTGATCAACTGATCAGCAGCAGCGGGGTAAGCAGCAAGAATGCTGTCGACAGCAGGGTAAGGGGTGTCGATGTCAGAGTAGCTCTGGAGCAGGGAGGCCTGACCCTCGGCAGTGGTGAAGCGCTCCTCGACACGGCGGAGGAAGTCACCAGCCAGTCTCTTCAAGGAGGGATCGATCCAGCGAGACTCGTGCTTGATGTACATGAGGTCAACCATGCGGTGAACGACCTCGGTGTAGGTCATATCCTCCAGGTCGACGGTCTCACCGGCAGCGTTGCGGCCGAACCAGACCTTGTGGAAGTCATCGTTCAGCTTCTTGATGATGTAGTTACGCTGCTTCTTCAGCTCGGGAACACGCTTGGCCTTGTCCAGCTTGAAGATCTTCTGGTCCATCTCCTGCCAGAAAAGGACACCACGAGTGGCGAGCTTGTGGATAGGCTCGCCCATCTCGGACAGAACGGTGATGACACCACCGGTAGCCTTCTGGTAAGTCTTCTCCCATTCCTCGTCACCAACACCGGGGGCCTCGGCGATCGCCTTCTTAGCGTTGTAGGAGGTGTGGGCCTCCTTGGCGATCATCATGCGACTACCGAACAGACATCCGTCGAAGGGCATGGGAGGGTAGCCGTACTTGGCGGACCAGGTACCGGAGAGGTAAGGGTAAGTGTCTTCAGCACCGCCGAAACCACTGCCAGCAACGAGAACGATGTTGTCTTGCTTGCGGATGCGGCCGTACATCTGGAGGATGGGCTGGTGGAAGTCCTCGAAGGAGTGGTGACCACCACCACGACCACCGGTCCACTGAAGGATGATGGGGAACTTGGGGTTGGCCTTGGCCACGTTGATGACCTGCTGAATGGCATCGACGGAACCGGGCTTGAAGGCGATGTGCTTGATACCCAGGGTCTCAATGTACTCGTTGGCAACCTCGATGGAGGGCACACCGGCACCAATGGTCAGACCCTCGATGGGGACACCCTCGGCGCGCAGACGGCCGATCAGAGGGATCTGCCAGGCCATAGCACGGGGGTTAACGTAGATCAAGTTGATAGTGATACCACGTCCGGGAGGAATGGTCTTCTCAATCTTGGTGATGGCCTCAGTCATGGTCTTGGCGTTGTAGTAACCACCACCAGCCAACTCAATGTGGTAGCCAGCGTTCATAGTAGCCGCCACAAAGTCCCAGGCAACGGTGGTAGGGGTCATACCGGCAACCATGACAGGGGGGATACCCAGCAGACGACTCATCTTGGTGTCCACGTAGGTCTGTCCGGCGGAGGTTTGGGTGAGACGAGGGCCGTGTTCCTTGACCCAGTCCACGGCAAACTTGACCGAGTGCTCATCACGGTCGAAGAGCTCGGGCTTGTAGCCGACCTCGGCGTTGGTGCCATCCATCTCACCGGCGAGAATGACTCGGACACCGGTACCGTCCTTGTTGCGGTTGGTCAAAACACCCAGACCCGAGATACCACCGGGGCCAAAGTCCAAGATGTGAGTGGCACGGGGGAAGACAGTAGCCTGCTCCCAGTTGACGGCATCGTGAGTAATCATGCGGATGAGCGAGGGAACGATGCTCTTGTCACCGAGTTGACGAAGGTCCTCTCCGGTCTTGGTGTGGAAGACGGGAATGACCAGCTCCTTGGCAGAGATATCGACGACGTCCTCCAAATCCTCCAGGATGCGGTCGTACGCCGAGGAGAGGTACTGGCTGTGGAAGGGAGCGGTGATGGGGAGGAAACGGTTGACAAAGCGGATCTTGCGCTGAGTGAAGGGCACACGGTTCTGGTCGAGTCCGGTGGCGGCCTTGACCTTGCGCAGACGCAGGTTCAGACCGTACAAGGAGATGGGGGGACCGGTGACGACGAAGTTGCGAGCACTGTTGACCAGGGAGATGGAGATGTGGCGGTCCTCGGGCAAGTGCTGGTTGGTGGCATCGATGTGTTCCTGCACCGCAGCGAGGGAAAGATCGCGGATGGACAGCATGGGAGTGGGAGTTCCCTCACCGTTCTCAATGGAGTCCTGCAGCACGGAGGGGGCAATGGAGGTGCGGGGGTAGGCCTGTTGACTGCGCAGACCGATCCAGAAGAGCATGGTCAAGGCATTGCGGGATGCCTTAGCGAAGGACTCCCAGCTGGTGGCGGTCGCAATCGCGGCCGCGGTCACCACACCCTGTGAGTGACCGGTGGTACCGAGGAAGCGCTCCAGAATGTCTCCCGGCTGGCGGCCCAGCACGCGACAGGTGACAGTGTAGTGAGCCAACTGCACCAGACCGATCAATGGCAGACTGACGGGGGCCGACACCAGATAGTCGATATCTGGCTGTGTGTCCCGATCCTGCAACCACTTCATGATATCCAACCCCTTGGGGTACAGCTTGCTAGCCTCGGGCTCGTGTGAGAGAGACTGCAGGAGCTCGGCGGAAGAAGTGATCAGCTCCTCGACGAAAGATGGGTAGGTGGTGTAGATGTCGCGCAATTCATCGAAGTACTCCTCAATGTTTCCTTGTCCGCCGAACACCGAGTAGATGCCAGCCGCCTCGTCCGACGCCGCGCGGAACAGGGCCGAGTCGTAAGGCTTGGTGGGCCGGCCCGCCGCCGCTCGTCCAGCGTAGTATGCCTCGACGACCTGGTTCTTCTTGGACACGATTCCGGGGAGCGCAGCTGCCACGGCGTGCACATCATTCCCGCGCATGAACGCCCGCTCAAATTCATTCAGGACAAGCTTCAAGACATCCAGAAAGTTGCCCTGGGCATCATCCTCCTCCTCGAGCTCGTGGGCTACATGACCAATGTAGCGGGCCACCAGCTCGGTCACTGATGAGGGCTCCTCATCTAAGGCCAATTCATCTGTGGGCTCGGGTAAAGAGGCTGTGAAGCTATCCTTCAATTGGGATGCATGGAAGTGAAGCGAAGTAGGAACGAGGAAAGAGAACTCGAGAGAGCCATGCGAGAGGATAAGAGGGCGGAGGGATTGCGAAGATCGTGGGGTGTTGATCCCGGTCTGGGGACCGGTGGATGTGCCGTACATGATGTCTCTCTTCAATGGCACGGAGATGTGATGGAGAGGGATGGTCGTTGATCAAGATGGAGAGAGAGAGAGAGAGAGTCTGAATAAGGAGAGACCAGGACCCTAAATTAGAAGAGGGGTTGTTTTGTGCTGGGACGATTAGCACAGTGCAGGGGATTCATATTCTCTCGACCGACTTACTGTAGACCTCTGTATAGTTATTCCTGAGGGCCCCGACAGGTTATATTAATCAAAAGGAAGAAATGGACACGACAGGAACAAGCCAAGGGAACAGATATACAGGAAGGGGAGAATGGAGCTCAGAGGATTGGAAAGCGCAGAAAAAAAAGATCCGCTGTTGAACTGCAAGCGGCCCGAAAGGGTTTAGCGCACGAGGAGACCCGCCCCAATGGGTTGCGACTGGGTTGAACCCGTTGAGGATTGGGAATTACCACGCAATTACCCTGCAATTACACTGCAAATACACTGGGATTACCTCCTTTTGCACTGTACATGTTACACCAGTATTCTATTTTGTTGTCATGGCTGACTTTCTCTATCAAACCCCAGAGTTTCTGCTAGTCCGCCGCCATGACCTGACACGCTCACAACCGCCAATGGCTGCATCTCGTTGGGAACTAGATTACGCCGATTGTCGGCTCCGAATATGATCCGCGGAGGGCCGCATATCACTTCTTTAGTGTCCGATCTAAAGCTCGGGAACGCCCAACAGAGCTCTCACCACTTTACGAGACCGCGACCCTCCAGAGCTCCATTGCTCCGGATAAGAAGTACAGGGAAGAAGTAGCGTAATAGCTGAATATTCCCTACTTCCCCATCTTTTCAACTAATTAGAATCCTCCCCAAAAAAATAAGTGTAGAAGGTGAGTGGTCCCCCTGTTATGGAGTTGGTTCCAAAAAAAAAAAAAAGCTGTGGGAAAATTACCAATACCGGTATTAATTACCAACTGGCTCTTCCCACCTTTTTTTCCTCGTTGGAACTGGCCTGGCATCCTTTACTCTCTCTCTGACTTGTGGTGTAAAGGTCTAATCTTCTTCCTCTTTCCTTTTGCTACATATTCCTCTACCTTCATTCCAGCCCCCCTCCCCCTTGGGCTTCTTATCCGCATTCGTCAAACGGACGTTGCGTCCTTAATACTCGTCTTTTTGTTTAATATCAATTGATACCCATAACTTCCATCATGCGTCCGGAAGTCGAGCAGGAGCTCGCCCACACGCTCCTGGTGGAGCTGCTGGCCTACCAATTCGCCTCCCCCGTCCGATGGATTGAGACCCAAGATGTCATCCTCGCCGAGCAGCGCACCGAGCGCATTGTCGAAATCGGTCCCGCAGATACCCTGGGAGGCATGGCACGACGGACACTAGCCTCCAAGTACGAGGCCTACGATGCCGCCACCTCAGTGCAGCGCCAGATTCTGTGCTATAATAAGGACGCCAAGGAGATCTACTACGATGTCGACCCCGTGGAGGACGAGCCCGAGCCCACCCCGGAGGCCGCGCCTTCAGGGCCCGCAGCCCCGGCAGCCGCCCCTGCAGCGGGAGCTCCTCCCCCTCCCCCCAGTGCCGGCCCCGCGGCCGCAGTCGAAGATGCCCCTGTCACAGCAGTCGATGTACTGCGCACATTGGTTGCTCAAAAGTTAAAGAAGAGCCTGGCAGATGTGCCACTGTCAAAAGCCATTAAGGATCTTGTTGGAGGTGAGAATCAGAACACTTTGCTTTTTTGCTTTTTTTCGCCTTGATCTTTTTGCGGGGAAATTCAAATGCTAACCAATATTTGAAACCAGGCAAGTCCACATTACAGAATGAAATCCTGGGTGACCTGGGTAAAGAGTTCGGTTCCACACCAGAGAAGCCCGAGGATGTCCCTCTCGACGAGCTCGGTGCCTCGATGCAGGCCACTTTCAACGGCCAATTGGGCAAGCAGTCCTCTTCTTTGATCGCCAGGATGGTCTCCGCGAAAATGCCTGGTGGTTTCAACATCACCGCAGTGAGGAAATACCTGGAGACCCGCTGGGGTCTGGGAGCCGGTCGTCAAGACGGTGTCCTTCTCCTCGCGCTCACCATGGAGCCCGCGGCTCGTTTGGGATCCGAGGGTGATGCCAAGGCCTACCTGGACGATGTGGCCAACAAGTATGCTGCTAGCGCTGGCGTCAGCCTCTCAGCCCCTACTGCCGGTGGTGACGGCGGCGGTGGCGGCGGTGGTATGGTGATGGACCCTGCTGCTATCGATGCTCTGACCAAGGACCAGCGTGCCTTGTTCAAGCAGCAGCTTGAGATCATTGCCCGCTACCTCAAGATGGACCTCCGCGAGGGTGAGAAGGCTCACGTCATCTCCCAGGAGAGCCAAAAGGCGCTGCAGGCACAGCTTGACCTGTGGCAGGTGGAGCACGGTGACTTCTACGCCTCCGGCATTGAGCCCTCTTTCGACCAGCTGAAGGCCCGTGTCTACGACTCCTCATGGAACTGGGCTCGTCAAGATGCCTTGAGCATGTACTACGATATCATTTTCGGTCGTCTCCAGGTCGTCGACCGCGAGATTGTCAGCCAGTGTATCCGCATCATGAACCGCTCCAACCCCCTCCTCCTTGACTTCATGCAGTACCACATCGACAACTGCCCTACCGACCGTGGCGAGACCTACCAGCTGGCCAAGGAGCTTGGCCAGCAGCTCATCGAGAACTGCCGCGAGGTGCTCGAGGTCGCCCCTGTCTACAAGGACGTTGCTGTCCCTACCGGTCCTCAAACTTCCGTCGATGCCCGTGGAAACATTGGCTACAAGGAGGTGCCCCGTACTAGTGCTCGCAAGCTCGAGCACTACGTTAAGCACATGGCTGAAGGAGGCCCAATCTCCGAGTACAGCAACCGCACCAAGGTCCAGAACGACCTCAAGCAGGTCTACAAGCTCATCCGCAAGCAGCATCGTCTCTCCAAGTCTTCCCAGATCCAGTTTGACACCCTGTACAAGGATGTTGTTCGCGCTCTCGGCATGAACGAGAGCCAGATCATTCCCCAGGAGAACGGCCACGCCAAGAAGGGTGGCTCCGCCAAGCGCACCCTCAGCCACCCCGGCAAGGTTGAGACCATTCCCTTCTTGCACTTGAAGAAGAAGACCGAGCATGGTTGGGACTACAACAAGAAGCTCACCGGCATCTACCTCAATGTCATGGAGTCCGCCGCCAAGGACGGTCTGAGCTTCCAGGGCAAGAACGTTCTCATGACCGGTGCCGGTGCCGGTTCCATTGGTGCCGAGGTCCTGCAGGGTCTGATCAGCGGTGGTGCCAAGGTCGTTGTCACCACCAGTCGCTTCTCCCGTGAGGTGACCGAATACTACCAGGGCATGTATGCCCGTTTCGGTGCCCGTGGCTCCCAGCTGGTTGTCGTGCCCTTCAACCAGGGCAGCAAGCAGGATGTTGAGGCTCTGGTCGAATACATCTACGACACCAAGAAGGGTCTCGGCTGGGACTTGGACTTTGTCGTTCCCTTCGCCGCCATTCCCGAGAACGGCCGTGAGATTGACAACATCGACTCCAAGTCTGAGTTGGCTCACCGTATCATGCTGACCAACCTGCTCCGTCTTCTTGGTTCCATCAAGACCCAGAAGCAGACTCACGGCTTCGAGACTCGCCCCGCTCAGGTCATCCTGCCTTTGTCTCCTAACCACGGAACTTTCGGTAACGACGGTCTGTACTCCGAGTCCAAGCTCGCTCTCGAGACTCTCTTCAACCGCTGGTACTCTGAGAACTGGGGCCACTACCTCACCATCTGTGGTGCCGTCATTGGCTGGACCCGTGGCACCGGTCTCATGGGTGGTAACAACATGGTCGCTGAGGGTGTTGAGAAGCTTGGTGTTCGCACTTTCTCCCAGCAGGAGATGGCCTTCAACCTTCTCGGTCTGATGGCCCCTGCCATCGTCAACCTGTGCCAGCTTGACCCCGTCTTCGCCGATCTCAACGGTGGTCTTCAGTTCATTCCTGACCTGAAGGGCCTGATGACCAAGCTCCGCACCGACATCATGGAGACCAGCGACGTTCGCCAGGCTGTCATCAAGGAGACCGCCATCGAGCACAAGGTCGTCAACGGCGAGGACAGTGGAGCTTTGTACAAGAAGGTTGTCGCGGAGCCCCGTGCCAACATCAAGTTCGAGTTCCCCAACCTGCCTGATTGGGAGGAGGAAGTCAAGCCTCTCAACGAGGGCCTCAAGGGCATGGTCAACCTGGACAAGGTTGTCGTTGTCACCGGTTTCTCCGAAGTCGGTCCCTGGGGTAACTCCCGTACCCGTTGGGAGATGGAGTCCCAGGGCAAGTTCTCCCTGGAGGGCTGTGTTGAGATGGCCTGGATTATGGGTCTGATCAAGCACCACAACGGTCCTCTCAAGGGCAAGGCCTACTCCGGCTGGGTTGACGCCAAGTCCGGTGACCCCGTTGACGACAAGGACATCAAGCCCAAGTACGAGAAGCACATCCTGGAGCACACTGGTATCCGTCTCATCGAGCCTGAGCTCTTCAAGGGTTACGACCCCAAGAAGAAGCAGCTGCTCCAGGAGATCGTCATCCAGGAGGACCTCGAGCCCTTCGAGTCTTCCAAGGAGACCGCCGAGGAGTTCAAGCGTGAGCACGGAGACAAGGCCGAGATCTTCGAGATCCCCGAGTCTGGCGAGTACACCGTCCGCCTTCGCAAGGGTGCCACCATGCTCATCCCCAAGGCACTCCAATTCGACCGCCTTGTCGCTGGTCAGGTGCCCACTGGTTGGGACGCCAGCCGCTACGGTATCCCCGATGATATCATCGAGCAAGTCGACCCCGTCACTCTGTACGTTCTCGTCTGTACCGCCGAGGCCATGTTGTCTTCCGGTATCACCGACCCCTACGAGTTCTACAAGTATGTCCACCTTTCTGAGGTTGGTAACTGCATTGGTTCCGGTATCGGTGGTACCCACGCCCTGCGTGGTATGTACAAGGACCGCTTCTTGGACAAGCCCAAGCAGAAGGATATCCTGCAGGAGTCTTTCATCAACACCATGAGCGCTTGGGTTAACATGTTGCTTCTGTCCTCCACCGGTCCCATCAAGACCCCCGTCGGTGCTTGCGCCACCGCTGTCGAATCCGTTGACATTGGTTACGAGACCATTGTTGAAGGCAAGGCCCGTGTCTGCTTCGTTGGTGGTTTCGATGACTTCCAGGAGGAGGGCTCTTACGAGTTCGCCAACATGAAGGCCACCAGTAACGCCGAGGATGAGTTCGCTCACGGCCGTACCCCTCAGGAGATGTCTCGTCCTACCACCACCACTCGTGCTGGATTCATGGAGTCCCAGGGTTGCGGTATGCAGCTGATCATGACTGCTCAGCTGGCCCTTGACATGGGTGTTCCCATTCACGGTATCATCGCCCTGACCACCACCGCCACTGACAAGATCGGTCGCTCCGTTCCCGCCCCTGGCCAGGGTGTCCTGACCACCGCCCGCGAGAACCCCGGCAAGTTCCCATCTCCCCTTCTCGACCTGAAGTACCGTCGCCGCCAATTGGATCTGCGCAAGAAGCAGATCAACGAGTGGCAGGAGTCCGAGCTCCTCTACCTCCAGGAGGAGGCCGAGGCCATGAAGGCTCAGAGCGACGAGACCTTCAACGAGTCCGAGTACTTGCAGGAGCGTGCTGCGCACATTGAGCGCGAGGCCGTCCGCCAAGAGAAGGATGCTCAGTACAGCCTGGGCAACAACTTCTGGAAGCAGGACTCCCGCATCGCTCCCCTCCGTGGTGCCATGGCCACTTGGGGTCTCACTGTTGACGATATTGAGGTTGCTTCCTTCCACGGTACTTCCACTGTTGCCAACGACAAGAACGAGTCCGATGTGCTCTGCCAGCAGATGAAGCACCTTGGACGCACCAAGGGTAATGCACTCATGGGTATCTTCCAGAAGTACCTTACTGGTCACCCCAAGGGTGCTGCCGGTGCTTGGATGTTCAACGGTTGTTTGCAGGTCCTGGACAGCGGTCTTGTCCCCGGTAACCGCAACGCCGATAACGTTGACAAGGTCATGGAGAAGTTCGATTACATCGTCTACCCCAGCCGCAGCATCCAGACCGACGGTGTCAAGGCCTTCTCCGTCACCTCCTTCGGTTTCGGTCAGAAGGGTGCTCAGGTCATCGGTATCCACCCCCGTTACCTGTACGCCACTCTCGAGAAGTCCCAGTACGAGGCCTACAAGACCAAGGTCGAGGCCCGCCAGAAGAGAGCTTACCGCTACTTCCACAACGGTCTGATCAACAACACCATCTTCGTCGCCAAGAACAAGGCTCCTTACGAGGATGACCTCCAGAGCAAGATCTTCTTGAACCCTGACTACCGTGTCTCCCTTGACAAGAAGACCTCCGAGCTCAAGTACTCCTCTGCTTCCCCCGAGGCCAAGCAATCCGAGGCCACTCGCCAGACCGTCGAGTCCCTCGCCAAGGCCAACGCCGCCGAGAACTCCAAGATCGGCGTCGACGTCGAGCACATCGATTCCGTCAACATCGACAACGAGACCTTTGTTGAGCGCAACTTCACCCAGAGTGAGCAGGACTACTGCCGCCAGGCGGCTTCCCCCCAGTCCTCGTTCGCCGGCCGCTGGAGCGCCAAGGAGGCTGTCTTCAAGTCCCTCGGTGTCAGCAGCAAGGGTGCCGGTGCCGCTCTCAAGGAGATTGAAATCGGTGTCGATGCCAACGGTGCCCCCACTGTGAACGTAAGTACAACATACCATTGCTTCTCCCTTCATAAACAGCCATGCTAACTCACCTTTCTAGCTCCATGGTGCCGCCGCCGCTGCCGCCAAGCAAGCCGGTGTTAAGCAGGTCAGCGTCAGCATCAGCCACAGTGACTCTCAAGCCGTCGCCGTTGCCGTGTCGCAGTTCTAAGCGTGTCGTATCCTTTTTGTTCTTGTTTGCATACCTCGTTGTTGCATTGGATTGAGACGTGATGATTGTGATTTATGTTTTTTTTTAGAGATTTCCGAGCTGGTTCCGTCTCCTGGCTCGTTGTGTTTATAATGGGAGTAATGACATTTCATTTATTGTTCAATAATGCCTATCGAGTATTCTCCAGTATCCAATATCCCGTAAATACTCTGAACCTTGTAATAAAATGAAAGAAACTTATGTATATTGACTCTCAAATCGAGATAATGCTACACTACCTAACTCCAATGCATTTTTTTGTCTCAAGTATTATCATGTATGTTCTTCCTCATCCCATCAAGATCGACTAGCACGGTTCAGAGGACCCCAGTTGGCACGAGGGTTCATCTGGTATCGCACGAGACGCTTTTTGCTATGAGCCGCAGAGACGGCACGGCCGAGCCTGGCATCAAAGACTACTTCAAGGGTACTCGGGTGAGCCGGCTGTGATTTCTGTGCAGGGTTCTCAGCCGGGGATTTGGGGGCGGCGGATTCGGGTTGTGGTTCAGAGACTGTGGGCTGCGGAGCTCGTGATTTAGATCGGTAGAGAGCCGCCTCGACCTTGGTAACCAAGTCACTGACATCGCCTCCTGACTCGACAGCAGAGAGCAGATCTTGCTTCAAGAGGGATAGCGATGGGTCTTTATCGTCGAGCTTGCGGATGTTTTCGCGGCTCTTCGACATGATGACGGCAGCAGCGCTTCCGGGGGCCAGGGCAGATTCCTTGATAGGCGATTTCTGGCGAACCCATTCGCGCATGACCTCCCAGATGACCTCCCAGGGGGCATCGGAGCGGACGGTGTTTGGTTTGGTGTGGGAGCGAGTGGAACGGTATCCGAGATTGCTGAGGGCACCGCGGAAGTCGTCGATTGGGACGGTGGTGGAATGCAGGACCTTTGCTAGTGCGCTGAGGGAGAAGTAGAAGGGGTGTTTTTCTCTCAAAGAGACATCCATTCGGGGGATGATGGCAGGGTATTCAGCGTTTTCTTGAGTCTTTGTGCTCTCTGCCGTTTCGGATGACTGTTCTGGCTTGTTTGCGTCGGATGCTGCTGTCAAATCCAGGTCTTCTTCGAGGGCGGTAGTCAACATGCCCTCGAGACGAGCGCAAGTTCCATAAGTTTCAGGATCGGCACCGGGGAGTAAGGCCAAGATCTTCTGGATGAATTGAGGGTTGTGCAGCGGGCCACCCCACATGGGACCTGCAATATGGGTCTTGGTGCCGCAGTGCTCACATCGGGGAGCCGAAGTAGGCCCCTTGGTAATACCGTGGTGGTGCATGGGGTTTCCTTTCTTGTTCGTTCTGGTTGTGGTGCGGCCAATGTATTGAGTAGTCCAGGCACCACATCCAGCGTCACAGCTGTAGACAACCATTGTGTTACCGGCATTGAACTTCACCTGAGCAGGAGACTTGTGAACTCGAACAAAGACACGCGCGTAGAAATCGATCGAAAGAGACAGCAATGGCTCAATCGCGATTCCATATCTAGACGCAGACATAACAAGGGAGTTCAGAATCAACCTCAGTCCACTTTCATGGGAGTGGAAGCCCTTGAGGGGGATGCCACCGTACAGCGAGAATGCCTTCTCGGAGTAACCAGTGGAAGCCCAGACACCTGCATCGGTGCAAGTGACACAAAGAAGACCACCATCTCTAGCTGCTTGGATAGCAGCATCGATGAAAGGGGACGCTGTGCCATAGGGGTCCAAATCAATCACGTCGAATTTGCCTACATTCTCATACATGTAGGCTCTCGCGTCACCCAGATTTGGCTGGATGGTTTTGATATTGTTGTATTCGATGTTGGTCTTCATGGACTTGATTGCAGACTCAGACAAGTCATTGCCTACCACCCTGGTCGCGAAGGGGATTTCCGAAGCATAGCGCAGGGCACGCAGTCCAGTGGCGGAGAGGGCATCGAGGATCGAGAAGTGTGATGCAGTTTCTGAAGTCAGGCCAATCGGCTTTTCAGTGGGAGCAGGCTGCTCAGGGAGAGTTGCCGGGTCTGTTTCTTGTGGTCTGCCTTCTGCGTTGGGGGCGGGCCTAGGGTTCTCGGTTTGATCATCTTCGCGCTTCCGCTTCTTTTCTCCGTTGCCAGCCTGTTTCTTTAACTTGCGATCTGCTTTTTGTCTCTTCGAGTCTATCAGGTGTTCGCCATATGCGCGAATGGCGAGGACGCTCAGGTCGCGATTGAATTGTTGGATTGGGTTGTAGAAGACAGATTGGCCGGGGTCTTCGTCTTGGAGGTCTCTCCTCGGGCCTTGAGAAGCAGCTTCTTGGCTTGGGGGGTTGAGGATCTGCGCCAGTCCTTCCTTGACCACCTGATATTGAGTTCCCTTGAATTCCACCAGGCTGGGTGTGGGGGAGTCGTTCGCCATGGTGGAGTTAAGTCGCCGATATAGGGTCGGGGATGATTGTAGAAGGGAATAGACAAGGTAGGGTCTGTGTTTAGACTGAGCGCATCTCGTTACCAAGCGAAAAGGCGACAATGAGTTCATGGGCGAAATGCTTGAGAGCTCGTCGCAAGACGTCGCGGGAGAAAAAGATTCGCGCACGGACCATTGTACTTTTTGGTTTTTGTGACGCAAATACCGTATGTGGCGGTAATTTTGTAATTTTGTAGTATGCTACACGACACTGTTCATATGCTTCAACAGCAAAGATACCTCTGATTGAATCCGTGAGGCTGGGCTTGGAAATATAAATCAGGAATTGTCTCGGAGTGATCGTCATGGGGTTACGAAAAATCAAAACGGCCATCTTCCAGATGTAAAGAAAATGATACTCCGGAGCACATGTGGCCATGCCTACCACCCCAACCTTGAAATGACCCGGAAGAGTTTGCAGGATAGAAGCAATGAGAAAAGGAGCAAAGTGACACGGGCATATTTGGACTTGTCACCATTTCTTAAACATCACACATGGTGATATATTTGGTAGGCTTTGAGCACCCACCGAGGTTTGTGCCATAGTTGAATCCCGCCGCCAAGACCTTTCTAGCCACAAGTCATACTTCTGAGCGGAGATTAGCAATTCTGTTCGCCGAAAATGAGGTCACAGTGCCTCAATTGCATCAAGAAGTGTGAAATGTAGAAGTATACTCTCCAACTGATGACACCGCACTAACTGCAAAGGGACTAGTCTGGATCTGACTCGGACTTGTGTCGACGCTGATTGGCTGTCCCGAACTATGTCCTTATACCTTCACGGCGTTAGAATCAATATCACCGAGCACAAGGATACAAAAGAGGCCTCTGATCTCCAGAATTTTTGATATTCAAGAACTTCAAAGTAGCAATTGCATCGTATCTTCTCATTTAATCCTCATCTTCAAGTCGTCCACCATGTCCACCAATCAACAGATTCTTCGCTCCGAGGTGATCCTCGAGAAATATGGAAAGAATCTCGAAGGAAAAACAGGTACTTTCCAACAGCTGTGATCTCTCACGTGAAGTAAACCCTTACTAACACACCTTTTCTTAGTCCTAATCACTGGAGTCTCCGACGACTCCATCGCCGGCGAGCTGGCAGTGCAACTCGCCAGCGCCGATCCAGCCCTCTTGATCCTGAGCGCTCGTGCTGAGTCCAAGGTAGCTGGAATTCAGGCAAAGATCAAATCAGCCAAGCCAGATGTCAAGACTCGCTTCTTGCATATGGACCTCAGTGATTTGGACGCTGTGCGAAACGCCGTCGAGAGCCTACACGACGTGACCCACATTGACCATCTGGTTTGCGTGGCCGGCGTAATGTTCCCACCTTATAGTAAGACCAAGGATGGATTCGAAAGCCAGCTCGGTGTGAACTATCTGGCCAACTTTGTCCTTGTCAAATTGCTCCTGCCCAAGGTTCGCGCTGCTGGTCCATCCTCGTCTATCGTCATCATGGCTTCCTCTATGGCTCGACAGGGAAAAGTGTACTTTGGTGATGTAAACTTTAGTGTTAGTACAAGGTGGACTTTGGAGATTGGTGCGACCTTCTGCTGACTCTTCCTTGCAGAACGGCGAGACCTATGATCCTATGGTTGCATATGGCCAATCGAACGCTGCTAGAGTTATGTTTGCCAAAAGTCTCGGCGAGAAGCTGAAGAATGAGAAGATCCGTGTCTTTAGTGTGGATCCTGGTGGTCAGTTCTGGTCCTGTCTTCTACCTGCTTCCTCTCTTCTGACTTGATATAGCGGTTCACTCTGGCTTGCAGCGACACTGCCCTCCTGAATTTCTCGACCAGGTCGCTGAATGGAAGAAGGCTGGACGTATGTTGGAGAGATCTGTTTGTCATACAATTATACTAACATATGGTCTCACTAGCAATGGTTGATTTAGATGGAAATTCCTACGAGATTCCCCCTTGGACCGGTACCTCTGAAGGAGCAGCCACGGTCATCACCGCGATGATCGACCCGACCATCAAGGGCAAGTCTCTCTTATCAAACAAATCCTTTGAAACACACAGTTGACATCTGCATCTAGACTACAGCGGGTCATACCTCAACCAGAACGCAGTCTCGGATCACGAACTGCACACCCACCTTACGAACACAGCTAACTGGGCCGAGCTGTGGGAAATGAGTGAGAAGATGACTAGCGAGAAGTTCTCTGTTTAAGACAAACACGACCCCGTTTTCATATGTATCCAAGTACATCTGAAGACGAACTCATTCTAGTTCAATGACAACCGCTTTCTCCCCCCGCTGCTTCCTCCAATAATTAGTAGATTTTATAACATCAGGACATTCCTTCATCATCCAAGACCACTTCTTAATTAAATCCGTCGATGCCTCCCAGGCGAGTGGATCCCAAGCTTCACCCCAAACCCGCAATCCCGTCTCGCCCGATGATGAAGTACACATTCCAAAAAGATCTCCGCACGCCTCGTCTTCGTCAAGCGTGCCCATTCTGCGCAGAATGCTTTCTCTTAGGGATAATATTGGGATCAGGTCAATCCACGGATGATGAATGATTTTTCGTTGTGATTTGGATGGCCACAGGCTCGGCGGAAGATGCAGTGATGATGGACCGACGATGTTGAATTGAGAAGCTAGATCATCATTGAGGAGATCAAGAGTCAATCCTAGAAATCTTGCATTGATGAAGGTGGCGCTGAGGAGGCTGTATTGGGATACGTGTGAAGAGATGTTTGGCGAAATAGTCGGATTTTGAAGCCCGTGCAAAGCCCGGAGATAGACTTCATATAAGATAGCGTCGGACGGTGAAGCATTGGCATTGGCATTGGCATTGAGACTGAAATTACAGATAGATTGACAGTCGGTTGGATTGGGTGATTTTCGGGTGATCTTGTGGTCCGGCTGATTCGGCTTCTGGGCGTGATTGATGCTATTGGAAATAGTCGACTCGTCGGTGTAGACCACCCATTTTTTATTTGCTGCAAGGTTATTTGCAGCCTCTAGTGCTTTTCTCTTTCCTGTGACAAGTTAGTACGGAATCGCGGTCGGCTTAGGAAGGATATTCGCTCACTGCTTGCGCGTTGATTGAGACGATTTTGAATCTTCCTCTTAGTTGCCGGGTCTAATTGATCTGGAATATTTGAGGGAGTTCCCGCAGGTGGACTGTCAGCTTGAGGGGCCATTGTGAAGAATGAAGTCGAATGATGTTGCGGATTGGAGGTGAGGCGAAGGTTGAGTTGCGCCCCCGGAGTTAGCCGCATAAACTCCGAGACGTCAGCGGCGATCCTCCTTTCATCTTGCATCTTCCCTCAACCTCTTGGAGCAATCACCCTTTTCCATTACTTTGTGGGCTGGGAGGTATCGGTTACTTCGTGTGTGAGTGGAAATGTCCAAGACTCTGATTATCTATATTATACATATAGGAGCCCTCTCGCAGACGGCCCGACTATTGATGACTTGCTCCTTGTTGAGCACCTCCAGTCAAGACTGACTGCATCCCATTCGCAAAGAGAACCCTGGCATAAGCAGCGTGGAACCAGAATGCAATCCTGGGCAGCCACAATCGATTTTGCTGTGGATCACAATGGAACCCTTCGAGGCTGATTTGAACCAGCTCTTTTGCATTCTCCGGCGTTGTTGGGATTCTCGTGATGCGGAAGCGATGGCAGCCGGAGAATGAATAAGTATCGGAGCCGAATCCATAGTCTACATAACTGGACGTGGATGTGGATGCATTGGTCGGCCCTTTCGAGATTTGTTTGTCGAGCAATTGGAAAGATCCAAAGAGTTTTGTCCCGGTGGGACAGAGATCGTCATCTGGGATGTCTGATCTGTGCCATATACTCGAATTGTAGGACTCGCTTGGAAAGGCTGCTCGTGTACATCAATACCGAGACTCTTGTGGAATATCATCACACAGACTGACCGGTGAAATGAACAGGGAGCAATCTCCAGGCTCCGGCTGTCAAAAGCATGCGCTCGATTCCAAGGACGAATCCACCGAAGAATCCGATTGAAAATAGAGACAGGACTTTTCGATCGTCCATTCCTCTGAGGGCTTTTGTATCCAGAGTCCACGAGACCTCGTCAGAAGAGGCGATGTGATGATGGGGGTTCACCAATTTGGCCGAAGATGAAACAAGGAAATCAGATCCTACTTGGGTTCTGTAGCTCTGATTGTAGAGAGAGCTGAAGAGTACTCTCCCAGGGAAGTTTTGATAAGGTCGGACGGCCATTGCGTCGAGATCAGACAATTTGCTGCAAAGATAGACAGTACTGAATATTATAATTTCCTACTAGCACTTGGGCATACCCTTTAAAGCTATTGAAATATCACTCTATGACTCAAAAGCTCAAGAATTGACATATTTTGTTTGAGCTTACTCCGTACAGTGCTCACCTGACGCTAAAGAAAGCCCGGTTTCTCCCGCAGTTCGAAATGGACACCGAAAGGAACCCGACCTTCTTATTGCTCCACTTCACTAGTCTAAACGACGCTACATTTATGATTCACGATCCAAATACTTACTCGGGACGGGAACACCCGTTCGGCCTCTCCCTATGGCGTCGGAAAAGTGCCCGACACACCTCAGCTCTATCATAGCCATGACGTAGTCCAGTGGCCAACCTCTGATAGCTACTCGACACCCTGTACCCATTTTCGCCAATATCAAATGCAAGAGCACTGTCTTCCACATCATCAGGTCTACGTCTAATATGGCACTTTCCAAACTCCGTCGAATATTGACCTGTGGTCGTGCAAAGGAGTCCAAATCAAATGCCCCCAAGGACAAACCTCACGTAAACACCTTGAAGAACGAAGACGACTTTGACTGTCTCAGTGAGGTCGCTGATCCCTTTCCAATCGAGCGCGTGACAACTGATGAGCAGGCTCGTCGTGAGTCGTTGGAGAGTAACATCTCAGAAACTCATTCGCATCCCCATCTGTCCAATAATTGAAGTCGAATGGTCTGGCTGATAGGTATGCTTCTGCTGGGAGTCATTTTAGGCTTTGAGCTAACAATGAAGTTGATATTTTGCGATTGCCGGGGACATATGACCTGAAGTAGCGAACAAGCTGTATCATGGTTCTGGCTGTGAGAATATGTCTGGAAAAGACGAGCTTCGAGATTCTGCTTTGTGTCGACAGAAATCTGCAGATATCAAGAATGTAGATACATCTTCATGGTAGATATCCTCTTTACTTCGACCAGACAGAAGCATCATATCCATCCATCAACGAAGTAAACTCCTCTCCAGCAGCCGCCCATCCCTTAATTCCACCCGCAAGAATCAAGCTCTTAACCTTCGGATCCTGCTTCTCTTGGAGGTAATCTGCAAACCAAGCAGCGGTACGCGTACCCCGACCAGTAGACGAACCTAAACCCCGACCTTGATTAGCATGTCCCCAGAAAGTAATTGAATATCACATATGCCCTACCGCAGTACCAAACCACGTATTCCGCACTGCTGTTTGATATGAGAGAGTACAATGTCGGAATTGTAGGGTATAGACTTTGGGCAGGCAAGTTCAACGAGCCTCTGATCGTGCCACCCTTTTAGAGGATCAGTACACATATAGCGACAGGACTGAGTTCATTGTTCTTTTACCTCGTAGTCATTCCGACGCACGTCGACAAGTACATAGTCTTTGCCGGCTTGTTTACCCTCTCGGATCCATCCAAGTAACTCTTCTCGTGATAGAGAAGGTGGTGTACTCTTCGGAGCGGGGAATGCCGCATGCCATGGCGTTTCGGTAGACATCAGGCGTACTAATCGAGTGAGCATATCAATAGTACATCGTAGACACTCTCCTGCTGTCCAAAGGGACATACCCCGCGAATGTCACTGCCCGAAGCTGATTGGTCAATGAGAAATTTTGACAAATGCCAGACTGCGAGATCGAACCAATCAGAGTCCGGCAGTGACATCGCATGAGCCTCAACCCTACAATGTTATTTAGAGGCGCCATCTTGGCTACTTTTAAACTTGAAGATCATTTTCTATGATTTCTTCAAAGCCCCAAGTCTCAATGGCGCCTTCTCAGATCCAAACATGTTCCCATATCTCCAGTCAAGACACCACATCTCAAAACCACGGCCTGGAAAAGCAAGATGAGCCCAATACCCCGAACGACCTTCACGAAAAGAAGTCAGCTTTTTCCAGTCTCGGCCTGCTAGATCGCTTCCTTGCTGTATGGATCTTCCTCGCTATGGCCATTGGTATCATTCTGGGAAACTTTGTCCCAAGTACAGGACCTGCCCTTGAAAGAGGGAAATTCGTCGGTGTCTCGATTCCAATCGGTTAGTATGGTCCAACGTCAATATATCAGCTAGCTAACAAGATTTGCATATAAAGCTGTGGGACTGTTAGTCATGATGTATCCAATCCTGTGCAAGGTTCGATTTGAATCTCTGCATCATGTCTTTAAGACAAAAGATATTTGGGCCCAGATGGCTTTCAGCATGCTGCTCAACTGGATAGTCGCACCATTCCTCATGGTAAGATTTGAAGCATACCCTGAGACAGAGATTGCTTGATACTGACTATGCTCATGCAGCTGGGTTTGGCATGGGCTTTCCTACCCGACGAGCCAGAGCTACGTCAAGGACTTATAGTAGTCGGGTTAGCACGATGCATTGCTATGGTATGTTCCGCAGTCAAAATCCAATATTCAAATAAAAACCAAGCTAACTCGTCTGGCCCAGGTCTTGGTGTGGACAGGACTGGCAGGTGGCGACAATGAGTACTGCGCTATCCTCGTTGCCCTCAATTCGATCCTTCAGATGGTGCTGTTCGCTCCCATGGGAGTTTTCTTCATCGAAGTGATAAGCGGAGATCAAGTCACCTTCGAATACGCTATCGCAGCCAAAAGTGTAGCGGTCTTTCTCGGTATTCCCCTGGGGGCCGCGATTATAACGCGATTCATAGGTCGCAAAATTTCAGACCAGTGGTTTGAGACATTCCTGCGATGGATCAGCCCGTTGTCTCTGATCGGACTGTTGTTCACGATCCTGGTGTTGTTCGCCTCGCAGGGTCGCCATGTGGTCGAGCAGATTGTCTCCGTCGTGCGAGTTGCAGCTCCGCTCATCGTCTACTTTCTGATCATCTTCTTTGCCACTCTGCTTGTCACTTACAAATTAGGGTTTGGCTATAAGCTCTCAACCGTCCAGAGCTTCACTGCCGCCAGCAATAACTTTGAACTGGCGATTGCGGTGGCAGTGGCGGTCTTTGGGGCCGATAGCAACCAAGCTCTTGCAGCGACTGTCGGGCCCTTGATTGAAGTTCCTGTTTTATTGGGGTTGGTTTATATTGTGAAGTGGATAGCGCGGCGTGTGGGATGGACGGATGGAGAAACGTGCATGGAAACCCGTTAGATGATAGGATAGATACCCATGCACTGGGATTGGAAGGCAGTCAGCATTCACCCAGATTGAAGATGTATAGAGATATAATGGAAGAAAACATCTTTGCATTGATAAGCAGTTTTTTAAAAAAGAAAGGGGGTAGACTGGCAAAGCATCAAGATTCCAATGCCTAGAGAGTAAGAAACAGAAAGGTTCATAGTAAAGGAGTGATGGAAAGAAGAGATCATCAATGAATCATCCTAAATCAAAACGCGACCTGTGTTGGGAGGATGGATCGTCAATCTGCCAGTCAAATATAGGCCCCAGATGAAAACAAGAACACATTCGTTCTTCGATATCGACGAAGAGACTCTCCAGGCAGCAATATAGAGAACGCACCACTGCCTGGACACCGTTTGCCTTGTCAAGAGGGTGGTTGGATTCCAGATTTTCACTCAGTCGGTAGTATGTGGCCTGCACGGACAGTTCAGTTGTCACATAATGATCAGACCTTATGCTCCGGGTATATAGACAAGAAAAGGAAAGTGTCTTCATCAGACCGTCTCAGAAAACCCCTCAGAGGGATTCAATCTCTTGAAGACGTGGGCCCGGTGACTTCGTTATAAAGAATGCTTTCGCTCGTGCCACTATACAAAACAATATCGATCGATCGTATCGTTCATGGGATCAGGGTATCGACCACGACTCTCGTGACTCCAGTCACAGTCTCATCTTTGATGTCAATTGCCCGATGTCGGGAAGATTGCCGATGCTCGAGAAGCAGTAGCCGATCTCACTGTCTAGCAGCCGGGTCCGTCTTGCTGCTCACGGATGGTACATCGGCACCGATCCCAAATTCAGCCATATCCTCCTCTTTGATAACAACCGGGTTGATCAGCTCCGACATTGCCAGGGCATGGTTAGAAGCAGGTGAACTCATGTTAGTGTTGCTGGCAGGGAGTAGAGGACTTTGGATGGTAGGAGCGGAACTGGCCATTACCACAGGCGCAGGCTCGATGGCTTCTTCTTTGATGACAGGTGTATTGAGCAACTCGGGGGAGATTACCGGGGCTCGATTGGAAGCAGGTGGGCTCATCTTGTCGTTGCTTGTTGACAATAGGGCTGCACGGGTGGCTCGGTCGGCTCTGGCTGTTGCAGGAGTGCTGGATCCGCGTGCGGTGGCGGCATACTGTGCGGCGTTCATGGTGCGCTCGGGTGGAATGAAGACGTTCTTGTCGTCTGAGGAGCGATCGCTGCCGGAGGGACGACGCTTTGGAGGCATGGTTCTGCAGGTGCAATTGTCTGAAGACAGATTGATTTGATGGAGGGAGATTGGTATGGTGATGGTATTGGAGAGAGAGAGGGAGAAAGAGAAAAAGGAGGAAGAAGAAACAAGAACGAGCAGGAGCGCAGTTTGGAAGGAACGAGGAGATCTCAAACTGAGTCTCGACGAAGAGACATTCATCCGCAGAGGTAGAAGCTGTTTCCAATCCAAATGCAAGCTATACCCTCAACCATTCCAACCATGAGAGAATCGTCAGACGGTGTCTCTGGGCGTCAATATGTAGCATTGCAGAGAAGCTCTCTTTGCTGTACAGACAGCGGAGAACGAGTCTGCGATTCTCATTGTCATAAATGAATATCAATTCAGTCACGAAGTCCAGCCTCATACATATCCCTTCATCTGCGAAAGCCCGAGGAGCCCTGGGAAACAGTATCTAGACAATGTTAGAGGCATCAGTAAACCTGTCAATGTAGGACATTACAGCCTCCAGGGCTATACGAAAAGAAAACACGAGAAAGAATGCAAAGACTCAGAATTCCAATCAAATTAGCCAATATAACACCACAGCTATGACGTTGTTGAAAGACAACACACAAGAGCAAAGATGGCCACCACAATGCAAAAAAAAGATAAACCATCTATGTCCATATATTCCAGACTATTCCAGATTTTTAGCTCCGACCCAAGGGAGTAATGCATCCTGAAGATGCTCTTTGTTTTTGTTTGTGTTTTTTCATGGAACCTAGATTATTGTGGTCGCCCAGAACCACACTGAATTTTTCGCCGATTCGATCGGGTTCAGCCTCTCGGAGAAGATTGTTGAATTTCTCGAGTGCCAGAAGATTGCAATTGGAAGTAAAGGGTGAAGGATGTGGGTGCGCAGTCCAGAGCCATGGGCGACCCTGGCGCGTGTTCCGGAGAGGGTTTAGAGCGCATCGCCCTGACGGAGAGGAGGGTCGTCAGGGCTTACCAAGGCATGAATTACGCCTCTTGCGCCCAGCGTGACTCGCGCAGCGGCAACTCCTCGCCTGCTTGCTTGCGGCTTCCGTCGACCTCACGCTTCCAGGCATAGTACTCGCCAAGACGGGTCTCGGCATAACTAGCGTAGTCGAAGTCAATCTGTGAGATCTGAGCTTGAATCAGTGCCCAGACACCCCTCGAGTTAAATGTTAGCATAATGTAGCCAGATGCAACCTATGCTGGCTCAACTCACCAGTACAATCCAGGCATGCCGCGGAATCGGTCGACATCCTCGTATAATCGATCAACGATCTCGGCTTGAGCCGAGGCGTCCAGACCGCTCTTCTCGCAGTAGCTCTTGGTATATTCAGTGAGGAATGCACGACGCACAGACTTAGTCGGCATCATGGTATAATCGCAGTCATAGCCACCCCATTCTGCGAGGTGGTTAGAGATATCAAAGGCAGCAGGCGCAGGAACGGCATATTCGTAATCGATAAAGTTGACAGCTGCGATGCCATCTTCAGGGGTCGGGTGACCATCGCTCGGGAGGACGATCACGTTCGCGCAAAGGAGATCACAGTGTGAGAAAACGAGCTAAGAAGATCACGGTTAGCAATGTTATATCCCACTTCTCGTGCTGCCCAAAAAGGAGGCGCGGGAAAAAAGACATACCCCATCTTCTCCAATTCCCGTTCCATCATCCAGAGCCTCTACAACCCACTGCAGCTCTGCCTGCAAGCTTAACCGACGAGCACGCTGCTCGGGGGTGGTGACAGGCAAAGCAAGCACCCACTTCTGCAGCACCGCCCAGATAGACGGGCCAGCGCGACGGGGCTGAATTACAGTAATATCGGCGTCCTGCTCGACGTCGAGGGGGGTCTCTTTGATAGGCGCAGCTCCACTACTAGGCAGCGCGGCGTGCCACTGGGCCAGGCGGCGCGCGACGCCGCGCCAGATTGGCGGGGAGACTAGATCCAGATGGCCGCAGGGCTTGCCGCGGATAAAGCGATACAGCAGGCCGTTTTGAAAGCGGGCGAGGAGCGGCGGGGCCAGACCGCGGCTGGCGAGAAGGGCATGGGACCTCGTTTCTCCTAAGGATATCTACTTCAGCATGTGTCGCAATGGGCAAAAAGAGTCGCGCGGGGCTTTTTGAAAGGGGGACGGGGTCCGTCGGGGGTTTTCTCGTACTTTCGCGGTCTATGAGGATCTCTGTGCCATTTCCGTACGCCCTCATCAGTACAGCCTCATTGTCTATTTGTTCCTCTGTCAGGCCAGGCTTCAGGTTGATGATTTTCAAGAGCTAGGATGCGGGTCAGTTTGGGGAGTCCGGGTGTGCGAGTATGGCGGAATTGCGATCGGGAGACATACTGTGTTGGTGATGCCGTCGGTGAATCGCACAAACTCGATGTTGTTGCCTGGCCCCTCCCAGTGCGGGTTCAGGGTGAGGATGAGCCTCAAGGCAGAAGCCTGGGAGTCGGCATGGCTGTAGGAGAGGGGAATGTAGCGAAAGTCTGGCGCGACGGGTGTCTGGGATTCGACTGAGCCCATGGTGAAATAGCGCGGAGTGGCGAGGGGGGAGAGAGACGAGGACCACGGTGGAAGGTCACAGGAAGGTCACAGTCGTGATGGGATCTGTTCAATTAGTCTAGGTCGCGAAGTAGGCGCCTGTAGGTGGACTCTAATTGCACCAGAGCTTATCGCCAGATAGTATGGAAGAGGAGAGATCAAAAGCCAGATTAAGTATTAAAAGCAAAGTAGAAGAAGATTCAGGGGTCGTGAACAAAAAAGAAGGCGCTATGGCGGGGAGGTTAATGAGACACGAGGGGGAGGTCTCGTGCTTCCGCCCCATGATTGGAAGATGTTCCCTACTGGGGCCCGACCCTGCGAAAATGTACCTTCTGCCGCCACTGTACATTAGTCTTTTGCTTTTTTTTCTCTAGTGGCGCCATCAGATTTGAAAAGGAGCGGTGAATTGAGTTTGATTCATATTTAGTTGAGAATGTTTTATTCAAAACAGGAGAAGATCCAGTAATTGGTATATTGTATATATCGAAATATATCAAGTAGATTCTGGGTAAATGTACATAGATGTACATAGATGTCAATGTAAATGGTACCTGTCTTGTTGTACCAAAGAGGTGGCAAACTGGTCTCGATCGGGTCACAGGTACCCTCCAGGGCTGCAAGCAACTCTGTCACATGCAAAAGAGATCTGATCACCTGATCAGTCACTAACCCTCAGCCCTAACTTCCCCATTCAGCCATCTTACCTAATAGAATGACATAATCTTGCCAAGACTGGAAGAACTCTTCCACCGAGACCCAATGCAGGCTAGCGTATCCAGGCCATTCCCGCATAAATAGCCAGCGCTCACCCGGCCCTTTCCTCTTTTTTCTTTTCTCTCCATCATCAGTAGAGGTTTACTATTCTTTAGTAAATTTCCACGGGGCTCCACACAGTGGCTTGCTGAGGGTTATCCTAGGCTTCGGCCTCCATGGGTTTTCTTCCGTTCCCGGCCTTGGAGAGTAAAGGCGTCTCTCTTTTTCCCAATCACTTTATGGCTATACTAGGGTTTCCTTCGGGAAGCTCCATGGGTTTTAGCTGTGGAGAGGACGTTACATTCCTTTTTTTCAATCACTTCCATGTGATTTGACGGCATTTGGCTCGTAGTATCAAAACTTGCAAAAAAGTTGTAATTGAGGTTGAAATAAGCATACTTCTGTTCCAGGAGTGTGCTTGTGGTGCCTAAGTGTCGTGTCACACCTGCATAGGTCCCTGAGATGCTCACATCTGCCTGGACAAATGGCGTTAAGCTCAAGCTGCTTCCACGCGATTACCTATAATGTTTGGGTCAATTGCTGCGAAGTGCGTATTGTCTGGTCTACTGGTTAAGGCATGATCACCGTGCATGGCGCCGCAAGACATGTCTACTTGGAATGAGCGTCTTGTTGCCAATACGGAGTAGTCCATTTGGCTTCTCATATTGCAATCGCTCTATTGCGCTTTGCGTACTTTGTATTCTCCACAGCAACAAAAGCTGCAAGCGCCTGCTCAAACAAACCCCAATTGTCATCATCATAACCGTATAAATTTTCTATCGAATTTTTATATGCCGTAAATCATGCATGTCCAGCATTTCCAATCTGGATGCGTTGCCCATCCCACTTATCATCGCTGCGCAGCACAGGCCAGCTGGTGCCATCGCCCTTGACGAGCTTCAGATCCAGCTTGGTGCCCAAGACGCGGAACGTGGATTGCTCAGGGTCAATGGGCGCAAACAGTGTATATGTATCCTGGTACCGCTTGTTGTCCGTGGTGGGGAGGTCGAAGACGATCGAGTTCGCGCTGAACTCAACCTTGGCGCGTTCCTTGTCAATTTTCTTGAGGTAGAGGGAGACGTTGACGGCGGTGGGAGTCTGGTAGAAATCATTCCTGGAGTTGAACGGTATTGTCAGTATGTGCTCAATGCTCAGCAGGAGGAGCTGGTCTCGTGTACACACCTGACAGAATCCACCTTCTCTTCACCGGCACCCTTGGCCTTGCCTACGAACATGTGCCTCGTCTTCTCGGTGCACCCGGGAATCTTCAAGAACTCGTCGAACTCTAGCACTCGGCGCTTGCAGCATGACCATCCCTTGCTGCCCTCGTGGAAGACGGGGTGGCCCGGGTGGTGCACGCACTTCTCCTCGTCGCGAGCGGTCGACCCGCTGTAAGAGGCACCGCAGCCTCTGCGACGGCACGTAGCGTTCGCGGGAACCTCCACGTCAGGGTCGTCAGACTCGGGTTCTTCGATCACCGGCTTGGCGGGAGGCGCGGCAGTCGCAGTAGCAGGAGGGGTAGCGATTGGTGGGCGCTCATTTTTCTTCTCGACTGGAGGAGGAGGGGCCTCCTCGACCTTCTTGGGCTCGGGGGCTGGGGTATCATCGACAGTGGAATGCTTGCCAGTTGTGCATGGCGGGATGGCGAGGAATTCCTCGAAGGTCAACACGCGGGGCTTGCAGCATTTCCAGCCTAGATAGTTAGCAATGTTGGCACCAAGAAGGGAATATCCAATCCAATCTAATGGGTGACCTCAGGAAGCCCAAGTGAATGCGACACACAGAAATGGAATAGCTTTGAACCACAAGGTACTTACCTTTCTGCCCCTCGTGGAACACCGGAGGGCCTGGATGATACACGCACTTCTCCTCGGGATCGCTAAAAGATTTCCCACACGCCTTGTGAACGCACTTCTCAGTCATGATGTAGATTTAAAACCCCCAAAGAACCAGGATGGAGTCAAGAAAGAAGAGGAAGCGGTGGTTGCCCAACACGGCTTAGCGGGGGAAAGCTCGAATGTTCCATTGCGGCGAGCTGACCGCCGTCGCGACCTTCCCTTCTCAACACGTCAACACTTAACGCTTGCCCTTGTCCAGAGTAACGCTTCAACACCTCAATTCCCTCATGTTTCCCACTCGTGCTTTATTTGCCTCGGCGCGGCTGACCTTATTTACACGCGCCGGCTGTGGTCTCTGTGATAACGCCAAAAACACCGTGCTGCAATTCCAGAAACGCCGGTCCTTTGAATACGTGGAGCAAGATATCATGGCGCCCGGGAATGAACCGTGGAAGGAGGTGTATGACTTTGACGTGCCTGTTCTTCATGTTCAGTCGGTGAAGGATGGGTTGCCCAGGCAGGCAGAGCTCTCCGATGCGCGCAAGTTGTTTCATCGGATGACGGAGGCGGAAGTCGAGCAGTCGGTAGACGAGGCTGAGAAGGAATAATTTGGGGGTTCTATTTCCAAATCTGGCCTGGTGTGGCCTGGCGTGGCCTGGGCGTGAAGTGCCAGGGCATTGCAGTGTATGATATATTCCGAATGTATGGTTGACACTACGGTCCTCGATGATATACGCATACGGATGTGTAGATATAGTGTACAATTTCTACAAGTATTGAACCTCCAGAACTTGAGAACCTTGAAACTTTGCTATTGTTCGTGTTGTTTTTTTCAGTGTTTTTCTATCATACTGTACAAGGTGATATTATCAGATCTCGGCTTAGATTGGGGGTGGCATACTGTTGAACCTTGGAACCTATCGAATTGAAAGGTCTGAAGTCGAAATACCTCCAGGGCTGGGGTTAAATGCCTTGGAAACTTCACTGTAGCCCTGGACCTCGGGAGGTACTTCATGCCACACATGGATGTATATATCTCACCACGCAGGGCCTGCCAAGCTTTGGACTGAAAGCAAGTCAATTGCATGCAGTTGAATGCATATTGTCTATATATCCACAGAGGTCACTGCGCAGGGTCCGAACCCTCAATCGTCCGGCATATTCCGTGAACGCTTACAGAAAACTGGCAAGCCATCTTGAATAGCATACATCCGAAGCCAGATTCCCAAACTGCTCAGGCCAGATAACAATCCAACCTCTCCAGGGCTATCACCCCTTCCAACATCCTATCTCAAGTGAACCTCCCAAGGTTATCTGCAGCTTCTAGAAAATAATTCCAATTTCCGCCCAATGTACAATCGGGCAGAAATCACGAACAAGCTACAGGACCCCATTCTCTTTTTGGCGATGCCAACACGTCCGCCAAGAGTCGAACCTCCACCAATCCAGAGCTTCAAAATCCCAAGGCGAGCTACATCCGAGGTGACTCCGCAGCATAAGCTGCATGAATCAAGTCAGGTGCCACATTTTCGAGTCAATTGCTTGACGTGGTTCATGCATCCCTGTAACCGCGAGAGAACATGTAAAACCCCGGGATAACCTTACTTTGAGCTAAATTCTCTCTTCATTCTAGACCCAGTATGTTCTGTCGGTTTCTTCTCGGGCAATGGCACCTGCTGCATCCAATGTTCTGCCCACTATCACAGCGAGGTCCATTCCTGACGTGACCACTGGGCCCACTAAAACCACGGCACCCGCGACTACGGTCCTGGTCCAGCGCGACACCTGGCCAACAAATACCTTCGTGACCCTGACATGGCCCGACAGTCCCCCCGCGACCGTGGTCGACGCGGCAGCGGCGACTCCCACCTGGAGCTATTCCGCTGAGACGAATAGCGGGTTATCCAACGGGGCGAAGGGTGCGATCGCAGGTTCCATCATAGGGGCTGCAGTTCTATTACTACTATTATACTGCTGGTGCCAACGACCCCCGCGATCCCGATCAGCATCTCGACGCCGAAGCCAGTTCATCAGAGTCTCACCACCCTCAGACCCCGCTGCGGCCCCGGAGGGATCTACGAAGAAGGAAAAGAAGAAGTTTGTGACTATTGTGCCCGGAGACCCTAAAGACCCGGACAAAACCTACCGACTTCAGTTTCCCCCTTTGGTGAAATTTACTACGGATATGAATGCGACGACTACGATTGATATTCGGGAAAGCAAAAGGGGGAGTCCGTTACCTTATTTTATTCGGCCGCTGGAGCGAGGGAAGTGAAGTGATTGCGGGCACACTCAGGATCATTTTGTATGAAGTCGGACTACGAATAGCCATGAATTATGAATGGAAACTATCAAGACGTTCTAGAATAAGTCGAACAATCTTAAAAACCTTGAAACCTTGAAATGTACCTCGGCACAATAAACTCGACCAGTGAGAGACTCGGGAAATCAGCCAATTTCGGGATAAAACTTACTTTTCGGATTGACCCGAGACACTTCGTGTTCCTTTTTTTTTTCTTGTTTTGACTTGTTTTAGTTTCCATTTTTCTACTTTTTCTTGTTTTAGTTTCTTTTTTTTTTTTCAAGTCGCAACCTCCCAACAAAAATTAACACCTCGGCATATACTCCATTAGGCTAGAAACAAAAGATCTGATCCGTCATCTTCGACACAACCCCTGGCTTCTCAAAGCCCATCGCCACCAAATTCTTCTTAGTGGCATTCACCATCCCCGGCGGCCCACACAACATAATCTTCGTATCCAATGAAGGACCCGGCAAATGCGCCGTGAGAACCGCCTGATCCACATATCCCGTTCCATAAGCCCAGTCCTCCTCCGCCGAGTCCACCATATACCACAACTTGAAATTCTTCGGGTACCGGCGCGCGAATCGCTCCAGTTCCTCGCGCAGTAGGATATCAGCCTCGCTGCGGTTCGCGTACACAAGACTCACTTCCGTGGTATCGGTATCGTTCTCGCAGATCGCGCGGATCAGCTGGTACATGGGCGTGATACCTGTGCCGCCGGCGACCATACCGATCTTGCGACAGAGACCCTTGCTGTAGCGCATGGAGCCCTTGGGTCCGCGGAACTCGACTTCGTCGCCGACGGTGAGGTGGGCGAGGTACTTGCCGCTGAGCAGACCGTCCGGGTAACATTTGATGACGAGTTCGATGCGGCCGCGGTCGACGTTGTTGGAGGTGGGGGTGTAGGAGCGGGAAACGGAGGTGCCGTCGATCTCGGCTCGGATGGCGACGTGCTGGCCGATGGGAAGACCGAGGACGGCTTGGGTGGTGGGGAGGGCGAAGACGAATTTGAAGACGTTCGTTGCTAGCTCGGTCTTCTCGACTAGAGGGAGTCGTTGGTATTGTTGGGGCTCGAGGAAGCCTCGTGTTAGATGGGGGTCTGCGCGAATGACCTTCTTGGCTTTCATGTGTGGGGGGTAGCGCATGAAGCCGGAGTCGATTTTGGTGAATTTGTCGGCTTGACGAGCGACCAGGACACCGATGACGGCGGAGATGGCGGAGGCGGCTAGGAAGCCGTTGATGAAGCCGCCGTGTGGCAGTCTTAGTTCCTTCAATTTATGAGGAATCAGGTGGGAGACGGCGTTTATGCGATTTGTGAGGTTGACACGGTTGAGGATGTAGTAGGCAGGGACCAAACCACCCAGGGCACAGGCGATGGCTTTGAGAGGTGATGAAGAGGATGAAGCAACCTCTGTAGATGTCTTTTGAGAGACAACGCGCACTGCCTTGGGCCGCACATACTGCTGAGCATCTTTCAAGGTGCCCACGAGGAAGGGCTGCATAATTTCGCGCGCATCCTCTGAGTGACCGACATCCTCATAGTCCGTTGTGGCATCAGTGCCAGCCACATCGACTAGGATATCTGCACCTCCTGGGTGATCCTGGAGGTATTCTGTGAGGTCGAAGACTGCCAGAACATTAGGGTTGATCCTGCATATGGAGTATAGAGACTCGTACCTTGTCCGTGAATCACCATCCAGGTGTCACCCTTTGTATTATGTGCTGCCACATCTTTCAATGTGTATTCAGGCAAGACAGTTTCAGTCTTCCATTCAGCTTTAAGCTCTTTTGTTTCGGGGACAGACATGGTGAAGGGCAATTTGGTGTGAGAAAAATGTCAACACACCACCTATAGGCATGCAGGTAATTATATAAATCAATCATTTTGATGTATGCATAAATCATATCCACTCCGACCTACTAGAAACCAAGGATTCATAATTGATAAGAGAATACCTCGGCATCGAAGGTCGAAAGAAGAAGCTAAACCTCAAACGCACCGCGACACCGACGAAGCCGTGGGGCCGATGTCACAATCGGCATCTTCGAGCCGGACCAACGTAGACGGCAGAGACGGGACAATTGCGTTTTCGTGTCGGATTGACCGTGGTTTGAGAAATTATGCATTGCGCTGCCGATCACCTCCTGATCGAGAAATTTTCGGAGTGGAGCCCAAGTCAGAAACATCGAAAGTACCGAGGCTGTTCGACGTACTTGTAGATAGAATTCTTGTCTAATGAATAAGTGGAGAGAGATATGCAATTTCAAATGGCTCATACCATGTAGAGACATTGTATAAATAAAATAGCGGACCCTTCAGAGAACCACAATCGCCGCAAAAAAAATACAATGGTTGCGAAACAGTTCTACTTGCTGGGCGAGGCTATCACCTCTGCCCAAGGCGTTGATATCGAGTCCACAATTGACTTTGAAGGACTTCGACTGCTGATTGCAGGCCAATTTGCCATTGTCGAGCCCAATGGTAAGTGTCTATCCTCCACAAAGTAGGGTCAGCATCCACTAACTCCCAATCAGGCATTGGATTTCAATCAGAAGATGCCACACTGTCCACCCCCGCAGAGATTCTCGCCCAAGAAGAGCCCATCGCAATCTCAATAGATGGAAAGGCGGTTCGGGAGATCCCCGGCCCCAAGGGTCTGCCCTTTGTGGGCAACTTCTTCGAGGTGTACCCCGACCATCTGGGCAACCACCAGCGTCTCTTCGAGCAGTACGGCCCTATCATTCAAACCACCAACATGGGCCGGACGGTCTACCACACCAATGACCCCGAGCTGTCAGCCATCGTCTTTGCCGAGTCTGATTTCTTCACAAAACGTATCATCGAGGGACACCCTCTACACCCCATCAAGAACCAGGAAGCCGGTGTGTTCCTCGGTGATACCGATACCCCCGAGTGGCGCGCCGCACATAAATTCCTGCCTCCGGCCTTTGGTCCCAAGGCTGTGCGCCATTATGCGCCGACGATGCAGGAGACCGTCGAGGATTCATTCAGTGTTTTTGACGAGTTAGATGAGCGAGGCGAGGCATGGAATGTATACCAGTACATGCTGAAGCTCGGATCGCAGGCTGTGGGTAAGCTGGTGCTGGGTATGGACTTCAAGCATTTCACTGCCGTTGATGCGCCGCCGCACGAGCTCGTCTACCGCATCGCCGAGTCCCTAGAGTTGAACAAGAAGGTGACGGCTCGTGGTGACTGGTATGCCAAGCTTCCCTTTGGCGACCCCAAGCGTCTGCGAGATGCTCGCTATCGTATTATTGAGATGGTCAACGAGTCCATTGACAATGCCTCTCGGGGTGGTATCGAAGATCTCCCTCTGCAAGATGCCGCTTTGCAGGCCTCTAACATGATCGGTTAGTTCTCATCACCCTCACCCTTCTCATCTGCCCAAGCTAATTGTTAGATTACATTATCCGCGCCACCGATAACAAGGGCGAGAAGCTACCCAAGACCAGTCTCATGCAAGCACTGGTAGTAGCCACCGGTGCCGGGTTCACCACCACCAGCTCCTTGCTCTCGTGGCTGCTATATTCCATAGTCAACTACCCCGGCATGCAAGAGCGACTCCTCCAGGAGCTCGTCGACAATGGCATCACTGCCGATACTCCTCTGACAGCCGACCTCACCGACCGCCTCACCTTCCTCGACAAATTCATCAAAGAGACTCAACGCCGACACAACCCCTCCTACCAACCCGCCCGCACCGCCAAGGTCTCCATGATCCTCCCTGGCGGCTACAAACTCCCGGAGGATTCCATCGTCATCCCGGCCCTTCACCACGTCCACAACAACCCTGCCGTCTGGAGTAATCCTGCACGCTTCGATCCGGATCGCTGGGATACCCAAGAAGTCAAGGACCGTCATAAAAATGCATACATGCCCTTTGCCGCGGGGCCCCGAATGTGCATTGGCTTCAACTTCGCGTTGCAGGAAGTCAAGGTTTTCTTGCCGAAATTGCTCTTCCGGTATAAATTCACCAAGGAGAATGATGGACCAGTTGACTATGATCCCATGTTCCAGTTGATCCGGCCAACCAACTTTTACGTGCGGGCCGAGAGACGCGTGAAGTGGCCACCCAGGAGCGAACAGTCATAGAATTAGAACCCCCTGTATAATGAGAAGAGAAGAGCAAGAACAAGACAAATCAAATAATATTCCTCAGTCTCCACACTCATATCCGTATGCAAATGAGAAGTTGAGTGTCCAAAGGTAGAAGATGTTCAGCCCTACCGAAAGAACTCCACAGCGGCAGAAGTCTGGGCACCGACTTCCCAAGAAAGCTTAGCCCCGGATGGTTTTGACTGTCGCCTTCACTCGCGACTTTCTCCTTCGACCACATCATGTCTGAATCACGTCCAGTTCGGTACATTGCCCATGCTCTCGCTGAGCTGGGGTTGACCACTATGTGGCACTCCTCTCTGGATGTCAAGCTTCTCTGCGCCCAGCGCTTCGTGCGTCTATTCGCCTACGGCGGCTCGACCCTGATTCTAGCGTCTTACCTCTCTGCCATTGGAATTTCCGATGATCGCATCGGTTTATTTATGACACTTACCCTGGTCGGGGATGTGGTGATTAGCTTCTTCCTGACCCTGTTTGCCGACCGCATGGGTCGCAAGGCGGTGTTGTCTCTGGGATCGATTCTGATGGCGGGGAGTGGAGTGGTGTTTGCGCTCTTTGGGAATTATTGGGCTTTGCTGGCCGCGGCGGTGTTTGGTGTTATCAGTCCGAGGTATGTGTGAATGTTGACGTTGACGTTGACGTTGACGTCGACGTCTGATGCTGGTGATCTTATCTGATCTTTTCTTAGTGGAAACGAGATTGGTCCGTTCCGCGCCGTGGAAGAATCCACTCTGGCACATCTCACCACGCATGAATTGCTGAGTGATGTATTCGCTTGGTATTCACTGGTTGGAACGGCGGGTTCGGCTTTGGGTTTCTTGGTTTGCGGGTGGATTATGAATACCCTGGAGTCAGTGCACGGGTGGGCATTTATTCCTGCCTGTCGCGTCATTTTCCTTGTCTACGCCGGGGTCGGCGTCGTAAAATTGATCTTCACGCTGGGTCTGAGTAGCAAGGTCGAAGTCGAGGAGCGCGAACAGAGCTCGGAGACTCGTCCTCTGTTGGCTGAGCCAACTGGTCAGGAGGCTGCGCCCGCCCCAAAGAAGAGCATTTTCCCTTCGATTGAGAAGGATCTGTGGTCGCTGGTCATTCGCCTGTTTATCTTGTTTGGTCTGGACTCTTTTGCCTCTGGGCTGGCCTCTTTGTGAGTCGTCCCTCATTCTTTTCAAGAGTCAACACCGCTAACACCTAGCACAGATCGTGGATGACCTACTTCTTCAAGGGCAAGTTCAACCTTCCGGAGGGCCACCTCGGCACCATTTTCTTCACCACAAACCTCATCGCGGCGGCATCCATGCTGGTTGCTTCCTCGCTAGCCAAACGCATTGGAAATGTCAAGGTAGATCACGCTCCATTCTGAATCACACTGGAAATTTACTAACTTTGCAGACCATGGTGTTCACACACCTCCCCTCTGCCATTTGCCTTGCCATGATCTCCGTCCCATCGAGTCTCCCACTGGCCCTCACATTCTTGATTCTGCGAGCCTGCTCTCAGAACATGGATGTGGCGCCTCGGTCCGCATTCCTCGCTGCCGCTCTGCCATCCGACAAGCGCACTGCCATCATGGGAGCGGTGAATGTTGTCAAGACTACTTCGCAGAGTACGGGTCCATTGCTGACAGGAATTTTGTCACGCAATGGCCACTTTGGTGTCTCCTTCATCGTCGCTGGTTGCTTAAAGGTGGTCTACGATTTGGGCATGCTGTTCAGCTTTGCTGGCAAGGAAGCCGCTCGCCGAACGCAGGTTGCCCAGGAGCAGGCTGAAGAAGAAAGCCAGGGCTGAACGTAACCCTTGAACTCACGTGAGACCTCGACGGCTGTCGAAATTGAGGGGAATCTTCTCAATTGTAGCTAGTGTATCCTTGTGGTATACCCTTCCATATATCGTATGTGAGATAATCCAAATGCAATACCCTTATGCAGACTACTCAGAGTGATCAATGGGCCATAATATCACGAATATAAATCAACATAGCGCTGGGTCTGTCTAATTGCAGAAGTTGAAGGCATACGTGAAAATATTCAGACTTGCGAGGCCTCCCGGAGCGAATTCGCTTGTGCCCGACCCCTCGCATGATGCAGATCAGCCGAATACGAGGTCCTAAGTGTAGCCTTGATGCAGCCATCCAAAGCCACCCCCTCATTCACTGCAGGAGGATCAGTCTTACTCTTGAAGAAATCTGAATATTCCCAACAATTGAGTTCCCATAATATTTTCGCAGGTAATTGGGAATATAATTTTTTTGACGGAACAAGAAAGCCTGGACACAGTCTCATAGATCAAGCTTACTAGGATACGATGACATTCTTTCTATCACTCTCCAGACATTGATGACCTCTGCACTTTCTTTCAAAGTGCACTGCGTACAGCATCCATTTCCCAAGAACTTCAATTGTATCCGCGATGACTGTATTGGCCCCCACAGCTCGTGCAGGCTGATGTAGATCCCTCCCCACAGCCCATTGGCGCCAAGTCAAAGATGAAACTCCCTCCAGCAAATAAATCCATGAAGAAGGATTCTAGTCTCACGTGGAGTGAGCTATTAGCAAAGAATTCATAGACTGGTGGCCTGATATTACGCAGCTGGGGTTTCGGTGCAATGTAACATCACCTATACAACCAATCAATAGACAACCATGTACGCTCGGCGTCGAAAGTCATCCAGCGCACCGTATTACCTATTCGGGAGAGAGGAATGGTCTGTTGTCTATAAAAGGTTATGAATCGCCGCCATCTTACCTTCGAATTTCGCAATTCACAGCCAATACATCTCTAGCAATTCTCAATCTTCAACCCAATTCAAAGCCTACTATATCAACCATGAAGCTCTACGCCATTGTCCTCGCCCTTGCTGCGCTCGCTGCCGCTGATGCAGGCTCCACCTTTGAGCCTCGAGCTGGATGCTCCCAGAAAGGCCAATACTGCAATGGTGGCACTTTCTTGTGCTGCCCGGGCCAGGGTAGCTGCTCGGGAAATGTGGTATGTTTGCTATAATCCGTCACTCGTGGGCTTCTGCAGGAAATCGAGCTCGATTCTAACAATTTCTAGTGCAAGTAAACGGCTCTATATAGAGCAGAGGTAGAGAGGTGGTCCTGTTGATTCGAATTGATTCAATGCGAAGCAATGATGATTGTATCGTTTCTACTCTCTTAGTCCTGTCAACGGGGCAAATGCAAAAACCTTCGAATGAAATTTTTCAAATTGAAAGGAAATGTCACCTCCAAACCTTGGAAGCCTCTGGACCGCGGATCCAGTCCTTGAAACTATGGCGTGAATAGTAGGCAACGAGCTCTACATATGATGGACAGAGAACCTAAATTTATGTGTCTCAAGTGTTCTTCGTATATCTCACATTGAGAAACAGAAAACCCATCATGATAATCATCCAGAGGGAGAGTTTCTTGCCGCCTTCCTTATATTCACCGACCTATTCTTTTGGCTCTCCAATACTTCCATCAATGTCTCCATGTTAGCAATTGGATTTCGTGCGGCTGCTTGTTCTAGATTGGCTGTGATCGGGGTTGGGTGATGCATCAAAAACAACGCAATACTTTCCTCGCCGCATCTTTCCATCAAAATCTCCACCAATTGGTCAGTGACATCTATTCCAGGAAGGCTGTAACTGGAAAAAAACATGTTGATGAGAAAACCAAGCCCGTAGTTTGTTTTTTTATCCCGATCGTAGGGATAGTCTTCGAGCATGGCATCGGTAAGCTTCATATTCGTCCTCTTGAGAAATGCACCCAACAGGTTTGGTCTGACTTCAGGAGCCAAATTGGCGTCATGCCATGTCTTCTTCCAGAACTCTATAACAAATGGTTCCGACTTCTGCTGGAACAGCCAGCTCAAAAGAGCCTCCTCTGAGTTGTTCGCCACGGCCGCTTGGAGAACTCTTTCTGTAATAGAGATCGATCCCTGGCGATACTTGATAGCTTCAAATACTTGAAGGACAACATAGGATCTATTTGTGATAGAGCTGTAGTGCGGGTCAGCACTGATGATTTGGTTTGCTGCAGCTATCAACACCTCTTCCGTCACAGGCGGGGGTTCCTCTGGGGATCCATCGCCATGCGCATTGATTCAGGGCTCCCTGTAGCCATTGAGAGGATATTTTCTGTGATTAGAGTGTCTGCCTTCCACGATAGCGCGACATGCAGAGCATGGAAATTAACTGCCAGGGTTTCAAGCAGGGTTTCATCAACCTCCACAATATGTCGTTCAAGCAGGATTCGAAGCACATCGGTTGGCCAACGTTCCTGGGCAGCAATTCGCCCAATCATCTTCTCTATCGGTAAATCCTCCCGCTGGTGGTTCAAAAGGATCGCCAAGGCCCCGTGATTTCGACATGCCGCCTCAAAGACTTCATCGGGAAAGGAAGTACGGGAAGTATCTTTCAAAAGGATACTTAGCACTTCACCTCTGTTCACCAAATTGTTTGAGGCTGCGACGAGAGCGTCCTCGGTAAACGGAAGTGGAACCTGGTGATGTTGCTCCAGATATTTTATCACAGAAGGTCCTTGATTCTCGTTCGCAGATGCGGAACGGACTAATTCCTCTGTGACAGTGATGTGAAAACATCCCTCATCAACCAGAAACTCCAACATATTCAAAGCGTCCGCATGCCTGCAGATAGTGCGAAGAAGGTCATCGGACAATGCAAAGCCAGGCTGGGTGCTCAGAAACACCTTGAGAACTGCAAATCCATCGCTAGATCCCGCCACAAGCTGATCCAAAGCGTATCCATCCAGCGCAAAAGAGCCTGGTTCTAGATGTTCCGAAATCAATTCCAGCAATTCCAAGCCAGCACATGGCCTTCGGAAATGTGAATTAATGAGCTCTTCATTCAGGATAGCAGATGATCCAGGTTGCTTCAGCAAAAACCCCATAGTCTGCGAAATAGATTCGCTCCACATTGGCCACTCGAACATTGATTTACTCACATCGACACCGGGCTCCCTGTAAGGCCAGAGAAATTGCACCATGTTTCCGTCTTGCTTAGACATGGCTGCTCGCTCCATTACCTTTTGTGTCACGCGAAATTCTTCGTGAGACTGCAAAAGGAGTCCCACGAGCTCAGTCCCTACACGATCAATGTTTTCAAGTATGCAGGGGATCACTGGTATAGCTCTTGCGAGATACAGCTTTTCCAGGTCGTCTGATCGCCATGGTTTTTGAAGAGCCAACGTCATAACGCGTTGCGTGATTGGCACAGAAATTTCCGGCTGCCAGTCCAAGAATAGCCTCATAATCTGCGCGTTGAAATAGTTCAGTGTTGCGACTTCAAGATTTCCCACGTCGATGGTGTCATGAAGATGGGGTGAATTATCTTGAAGTACTCCCTGGTCCCACAATGTTCGCAGAATGGTTGCTAACTTTGAGTTGGCTTCCTCAGTTTGAGGACAGCTGATGCACCTCAATATTGTAGTGACCATCGATCTTGCGTAAGATGAATCTTTTTTCAGTGGGTACTTGCGCAGAAATATTTGCACAATGTCCAGGTGTCCGCCGATACACGCCGTGGTCACCGCGTCAGTGACAGCTGATTCTTGAAGACCCACTGTAGAATCCAGGCCTGGGACACACAATGTTTCTACTGTGTGGGCCAAGCCCAAGCAAGCGGCGGCTCTGATCGGGGGCGGGCACTCTTCAAACATCCTTCTCCATTGAATGTCATCGCTTGAGCTTCCATTACCAGCCGCACGTATCCAGTTGTGATAGACATTACGTTCAGTGAAAAGACGATCAACCTTAGCTTGTAGGCTTGGATTCGATCGACTAATATCTCCCAAGGCAGTGACGTAGCTTTCCCACCGAGAGGCGGCGTACAAGAAGGCAGGCAATTTTCTCGCATCCGCTCTCGTCAGTGGTTCAGTCTGTCCCAGAAGAGTTTCAACCGTCCTTGTTGCAAGGAATTCATTCCCGCTGAGGATAGAAAATTGACAACTGTGATGCTGACCACCTTCCTGTGGTATGATCAGGAACTCCTGTACGGAGAAGTGGGCTACTTGTACCTTATCATCAAATGTACTAACGAGAGAAGTGGTGCAGATTTCAACGACAGACTCGGAGAAGTCCAATCCGACAATAGCAGCGACTGTGTTCAAATCGAGAAGTTCAGGGGCAAGGCAAATGGTCATCAGGATTTCGCGTGCCAAGAGTATGTCCCTTGCCTGAATGCCATTGAGCACTTTTAGATATGTTTCCTCAAGCATTTGTGGAATGGATCCAAGAGCCTCATAGATCTGCTCTTCGTTGTGGCATGTCTCAAGCTCGAAAATCTGCGATTCAGCCCAACGAAAGCGCCTGAGAAATTAATTAGAATATTCACAAATCGCACGGCGTCTTTTAAATGTATGGGCCGAAGACATACCGTTCTTTAGAACTCAAGAGCTTGTTCTCAATCGTTTCGTTTGTCTTCTTATCCTGTTTTTTCAAATGGCCCTCTGTGATCGATGCGGTGACAAACTTTTTCACATCTCCAGCCAGACGGCTCTCCAGATCAACCGTAGGGAATTTCTCAAGCATGGCTTTGATATCTCCCTAGAAACGACTTGTGGCAAGTATGTTGACCTTCTTTTCGTGCCGTGTGAGAAGCTTTATAAGAAAAGAGAGAAGTAATTCTCTCTCGTTTAAGGAATCCACTGCACATTCATCCAAGGCATCCAGAACGATGTAAACCTTACCAGAAATGCTGTCAAGCAATTCCTCCAGCACATGAGAGATGGATTCTGAGCTTGGTTGGCTTCCTTTGAGGTGATGGGTTTCCCAGAGCTTTACCACTGATGGATGCAGTGGTGACCATTACGGGTAGTGTGATCGACTCGTGGACGTTTCGGGAAAGGCTGAGATCTGCTCCCACTATATGGTGTTCTCTTTAGATATATAAGAGAAGAACACCGGAATCCGGACCTCGAGCTCTTGTTTTGACCCCCCCAATGCAGGCTCCTTGACAAACTGCGTGATCAGAGACTCACTCCGTTCCCCTAATTCAAGCGCACGGTGCCTTGAATGGACGAGAGACAAGATCGTGGACCTCTTAGCATAGACAGCCTCGCCATGATCCAATCCAATAGCCAGCTAAAGGAATACTTTAGGAAGTGCATCGATCACCTGCTCTTCTGGAATGCTCTGCCAACCAATGACCCCTCCAGGAGCTAAATCGGTCGATATACCGCACCAAGCTCAACACATACAACATTCAAAAGCTCGAGAATAAGCGCAACAGCAACATGGATATCTCCACACTGTAGGCAAATTTCGAGGCTCCAGCCCGTACCGACTGTCCACACTGTCAATAAAAAAATATAAAAAACAAAAACATACAACAGTGAGGATTCGCTGGTGGTCACCCACCCAACTACTAACTCACCGGCGTGTGGCTTAAGTACGGCTGAGCGGACGGGAAGCCCTGTTTTCCACACCCTGTGGTCGTATGTACCAGAAACTTCCGTGGAGGGAACTATATAGAGATAAACATTTGATGATTACCGTTCCAAATTTGGCATGGCTCCTATGGAAAGTCCAGACAGAGCCTCTGGCTTTCCTCCTGACTCCCAGCTCCTCCCCCAACGGCTTTCTCCTTGTTCCTTCTTTATTTTTCACTTTCACTATATATCCATCGGGTTGAAAATTTTAAATATTGGAAAAAAAAAATGTTATTACATGAATAAAATTCTTAAAGAATTAGGGCTTAGATTTGGTCAGTTTTGGCGGGGAAATGGCCAGTGGATAAGGACTAGAAAATAAAGAGTGCACTTATAATGTTTTCATGAGAGCGATTTGTGAATATCATGGGGTCAGTTATTTAGAGTCATATAGCATGTCATTGGGAAAGCATATGGCATTAATGGCCCAAAGATCAAACGTTGTCAGCCCGATTGCAACAACTTTTTGTTTGTCCAGGGGGCCTGGGTTTTTACATCATTAATTATCCGAGTGATTTCTTTGAATGAAACGGGTTTCGTGACAAACATATCAACGCCTGAAGCATAAGCCTTGGTCACATGTTCATCTGAGCCCAGACCTGTGAGGGCTACGATCCTGGCGGATGGTATTGATGGTCGTTCTGTTTCAAGCGCCCGAATTGCCTCTGTGGCCTCAAATCCGTCCATGACAGGCATTGATAGGTCTGAGTGAGATGGTCAGCCAGGGCAAAATCAAAAGACTGGCGCATGTGCGCAATGCTTGATGGACTTACCCATGAATATGATGTGGTATCCCTCAGGAAATTTATTCACTGCATCGACAGCTTTCTGACCGTCTACAGCGGTGTGGCAGATACTTGAACACTTTTTGACAAGTTTTTGAAGGAGACCCATGTTGATAGGGTTATCTTCAACGATAAGGATTCGAAGTCCTTCAAACCCGACATTGTCTTCAACTGTCTTGTTATCCAAAGAAAGCTTCTTTCCAGACTCTGGTTGAGTTGTTGGTTGTGTAATCTGTGTCGACTGGGGGGTTGGAAAAGAGGAAGATGGGGTCGGGTTCGAGGACAGATGTGATGGGGATTGGAGTGACGGCTTTGCAGTTCCGATAGGCGCAGTTGGGACATTTGTTTGATTGCTAATCCTTGTGGAATTGCTTGCAGTCTTTTCACTTATTTGCTGTAATTTTGGTTGGGCTCCCCCTTGCAGACAACGGTGGATTGCCCTCGCAAGTTTGTGGGGGCCACAAGGAAGGCAAAGCCATTCAACACTCTCGCAAAGTGGCTCCAAGTGCTGGATGGTTGCTTGCAATGGTTTTACCCGTCGACAAAGAATCAGAACTTTGGATAAGGGTGCTGAATGCATGCGCGACAATTGTGTTTCATCCATAAGAATGAGATCTGGATGGGATTCCAAGGTCCAAGGCTCAATTTGTATGCCGTACCAGTCTGTCAGGTATTTTTTGATTGTGGAAGCCGAGGAAACAGCTGAATCATCCTCAAAAGGAATGAAGGAGACTGTCTTTTCTTTGAAATCACGCTTCAGAGACTGGACAATATCTAGCGTAGCCTGCACTGAAGGCTCTTGGGTGATCATGTGGCTCTTGTCACGTTCACCTATAGAACTGTTGAGTGGGATTGAGATTTCGGCGATAGTTCCCGTGCCGAGTTGGCTCTTGACTTTGATGTTGCCGCCTAGATAGCGAAGAATATTTTGAACAATGGACATCCCGAGGCCGGTACCTGGCGCTAGAGGATCCTCTTGAGAAAATGCCGTGAAGAGATGTGAGCCCAGATATTCCTTTGAAATCCCTATCCCAGTATCGGAAACCGTCAGGACAAGAGTGTTGAAATTTTCAACTTTGCCGGTGCCTGAACCCTTTGTACCTGTTTGGACCTCGATGTGGACCGACACAGAGCCGTTCTTGGTGTACTTGAGGGCATTGCTGAAGACATTCATGATTATGCGCCGCAAGGCCCCACGCTCCAATGTGTATACCCAATCACCTGGAGCTACGTCAATGGAAACATCGACGTGCTCAATAGAAACGGAAGTCGGGTCTTCGAACAGTCCACTCTTGTAATGGGTTGCACCGAAGACAATGCTTTCAATGACATCTTCAATGACCGCCACAATGTTAGTGACCTTGAGGATTTGTAGCGACTCGGGCAGTGCATGCGACTTCGCTATGTCGCCATCTCCATACAGGCGAGTGGTGTGGTCGCGTCGCTTCTTTTGAAAGGAGTTTATCTTTGTGAAGTCCAGGATCTGCTCAAACGTATCCAGGAGTGTCTGGCTGCAGGCGCAGATGGTGTCGAGAAGGGATCTTGGGGACTCAGAGGATATCTGTTCAGCAAGAAATTCGCTCGCGGCGAGGATTCCGTGTAGTGGACTCCTTAGCTCGTGTCTACCAGAATGTACGGTCAGTAATCTGTGGCAGATATCACCTTATCGCCGAGAAACTTCTATAAAAGGAGGGCCAACCCAAACATCTTCAAAGTACTCACGAGATATTGCTGATAAAGTCCGCCTTCTTTTTGTCTGACTCCTGACTTTTGATCCGACTATGTTCCATCATTAATGAAGAACCGAATCCAAGAACACCACCCAGCTCAACATGAGCGCTGAAAATGCGGGTTTCCGCCGAGCTCCAGCAAAAGCAGCCACCAAACCACTGTGACTTGAATGAATCCCACAGAGGTGTGAATATGATGCGGGTAGCATCGGGGAAGCATTTCCTGAGGGCCCGGAGATCCTTTTCCCGCAATACACCTTGAAGCCGAGGCTGGGACATGCTGGGGCTCTGAGAAGGCGTGGGTGTGTCGTCTTCGCTTTCCGATTTACTTGAATCGTCGTCTGACGAGAAGACAGTCCCGTCTTGATGAAAGTACCAAATGGCACCTTTATTGAACCTGCGCAGTATGCGTTTCAAAAATCTTCGTTCCATTTGCGCAATTGGAGAAGAATCCGGCTTGTCTTCGGGGCCGACCGTGTTAGTGTGTTTTGTTGAAATCGCACAGACTTTAGCCAGTAGCTGCAAGCCATCTGGTGGGTCCTTGAGATCTCTGTCTAGATCTGAGCCGGCAGTGGCATTGGTGTCGAATATTACGACACCGCCGTCTTCCCCGAGGTCAAGGCTTTCCCGCATTATTTGGGCGGCACGTTCAAACTCTGACACATTATTGCGCTTGAGTCTTCTGATGGAACTATTGAATTGCTCTGTGGATGGATTCTGGTCGTGGGTGGGGGTCAATGGAGGACGTAAAGTAAGCTTAGACTGATCTTCGGAGGTTGCTTTATTTTTGACCGTCCTAGTGATCTGGTGGCCATTATCGCTCTCTGGCCTTTCGGTTTGTACTGCCCGAGGACTGGAAGTACGTGACCGGTTCATCACCGATAGTCTCGGGGTCCTGGAAGGAGATTTGTCGATTGGTTCAATGTTGTCCTCCCCTTGGACAAAGGAGTTTAGACCAGTAAGCAGATCTTCGAGACGACCACTCTCCAGCGATTGACGGTATGTCTCTAAATAATCCATGACCGCATCGCCAATATCACTGAGCGTCTCCTTGTCGAGTTCGCTGAGGCTTAAGTTTGGTCGTGGATCGATCACATAAAGGCTACCAATGTTAATTCCACTAGCAGTCGTGAGGGGAGTTCCGGCGTAGTATCGAAAGTACGGGGCACCGGCGACGCAGGGGATTTTGCAATAGGTTGGATGCTCTTTCAAATCTTCAACAATAAAGAACCGATGCCTTTCTTCCGCAGTTGGGTGCAGTGTAATTGTTTCCTATTCATTTATGTAGTTAGCCACAACCATGGTTTTCAATAGTTTCGCATGATCCTTGAAGATTATACCTCACACAAAGTACCTGCAAGAGGTCCATTGGAACAACCCATCCATAAGCGATCAGCATCATTGTCGCAAACGCTGTTGTCGCCCAGTTTCAAAGACCGTGTTGCTTCCGCGACCACATAAAGTGTTTCACGGCCGATCAAGCTAGACTGAATCAGTCGCAGATCATGCTTTCCGGGAAAGGTACCAATACCTGATAATTGCCCGTTGAACTCCCAACTTCAGCGCCGCAAGTTGGGTTAGAGAGGTAAGAACAAGGTTGGGGCTCGCTTTTATTTGCGGTTGTCCAAATTTCGGAATACATGTTGGAAGGAGAGCTGGATTGCCAGGCTGGAAATAGTTGAACAATTCCCGAGCGCGACGATCATCTTTATGGCTTTCCTGCGGCTGGTTATCCGGCAAATGCATGGCCTGGTCTTTTACAGACCCGCTCCCTGTCCCCATAGGGATGTGCTGGGTCTCTTCAAGCAACCGAAATCAGGTTGAGATATTGCAGGCAAGGGTAATGAAGTGATACATCAATGGAGAAGGGAAAAAAAACAAGAAAAGAAGGAAATGTTCCTTGAATTTGCCTCTATCGCTTAGTTTACCGATTTTCTCCCGCCGTTATTTTTCGACGTCATAATCCCCACAGTTCGCGGGCCCAGACTAGAAACGCCCCTTGGTGGTGTGTCTGGGCCTTTGGGGTCTCCGATGGCGCGAAATAGCTAAACCATGATATTTCCATGCAAGCTGGTTTGAGACTATTTTTTTCCTTCTTGGGTTTTGTCGTGTTCAAGGCGGAATTTGCACTGGACTTTCAGTAAATGCATAGTACAATCTGTGTTGTATGCAAGACGAAGTTTTTGAAAGCTCACTAGGGGGAAGGACGATAGATGTGATGAGTATCGGATCAACTGAGATCATGTTTCGAAGCAAAAAAGAAACGCAAAAACATACAACAGTGAGGATTCGCTGGTGGTCACCCACCCAACTACTAACTCACCGGCGTGTGGCTTAAGTACGGCTGAGCGGACGGGAAGCCCTGTTCTCCACACCCTGTGGTCGTATGTGCCGGAATTAGGAGTTGATAGAATTATATCATATCTAAATCGACCCAGATTTAGGCTTTAGCTTGGCAAGAACTCACCAGGATGCTTCCACTCCGCAGCGGATCTACCAATTAACCTTGGAAATGAACTGAGCTGAGTAGCCATAGTCTGAGTATCCAACGAGGGAGATAAAATAATCACAAGGACTGCAGGACCTTGAGACAGCGTATGTCTATCAAATACTGGCCAGGTGGAGGACCCCCGACTTCAGGAGCCAGCAGCGCTAGAACCTCGTGTTGAGTGGATCACTCAGATTCATGGTTCAAGTCCCGTGACCAAACACAGCAAATTAGCGCGCTAAGTGGGTCTGATATTCTACTAGTACTAGTATTTGACTTGAGCTCCGTTCCTCTTCTTCCAACGCAATGCTTGACAACTCAAGCTTTCAGTGATAACTCGGCAACAACATCCAGACACGGAACCATCACGCTTTTTTCAGTTCTGATCCAGCACATGACCTTTTCTTGACTGGGAAAAAGGCACAGACATTCCAGATCTTAACCTTGAAGTGAAGTAAGTGAACTCATGCTCAGCTGCTTCGACTGATCCAAAGTTCTTTCTCCCATCTGAAGCGAGCTGACTTGAGAGAAAAGAAAAAGATTTTCCTACAACCAACCAACACAATGGCCGACGGCCCTCGCCGCCCCCACGATGAGTTCACCTTTGAAGATGGCCGTTTCACGGTACATGGAATGGAACGAATCGAAGGCTCCACGCTTCGGGAAATGTTTCTTCCGAAGCTGACATCTCAAGGACGATGGGCTTTGAAAGGGAACCCTCGTTTTGTACGTTCCCAGCTGAAGCACTATGGTGTCGACGTCGACGAAGAGAAATATTCCGGCAATGGTACAAACGTACTGAAGAGCGCCCTCCAAGCCGGAAAGTGTGATCAAGTCCCCGACTACATTGTTCAACTGGAAAAAGAATTACACTCAAAGTGGCTGAGCCAGGCATCCCCCAAACAACTTCTCGACAACCCAGACTGGTTCATGCAGAAATATTTCTTGTCTGATGGAAAGTCCGACTGCAGTAAAACGACTTCAGTGATTCGAATAAATCTCGATCTATACGGCCCAGGTCATTCGGACTGGTTCATCAAAGCTGCCAATCAAGTCACCGGGTTGCACCACCAGCGCGTCATTACTGGGCTTTTTGATACATCCATTTTTGTGGGCTGGTCCAAAGAGGATGTGGAACATGCAGCCAAAAAACACTACAGGGAAGAGATGACCGCACAGAAGGCCGAAGAGGCCGAAGAAGAAGCTCAAATGTCCAAGCGAACTAACAGACATGTTGACTATGTCAGTTCTCTTTCCAAGAACAAGTCCAACATCACCCCTATCGGCTCTTACACTGTCGATAGCCCAGAGATTGAGGAGTCGTGGCCAGGCATGATGGATGATACTATGGGCATTGAAATACACGCCACTGATACACCTGGTGTATTTCAAGGAGACTTCAACTTCCGGGTCGCCGAAGGGGTTATGTTTCTTTGCGCCGACAAATACACACTCGAGGAATATTGCTCTCGCCCTGAACACAACCGTGTGGACAAGTACAACTTCTCGGACGATGAGGAAACCGACGATGAGGAGCTTCAGAGGAAGCCTAACCAGGGAATCAAGAGAAGCTTGAAGACGTCAAAGTCTCCGCAGAAGACAAAGCAACCGAAAGCAGAGAAAGGCCAGGCTATCCATTACTTTCTCCAGCATAAATCGCGCGAAACAGGAGAAGGTGTGGTTGATTTCCAGCCTCACGACGGCAAACTCAAATTCGACGACGAGAGATTGGTTAGCTTTAGTGGTGATACATCTCTGAGTATCCTGGGCAAATGTTCGTTCTCCGCTCGCAAAGTTTCTGATGTGCCTCATCCATCAGGGGAAAATTGGTCGAACTTTTCAGAAAAAACCTACGATCGACAGTGTATTGCAAGGTGGCATTAGACGTTCTGTGGCCCTTTCTCGAAGGTGAGTTTGGGGATAAGGTCGGAAACCCGTGGAAGCATTTTAATGTCGGCAGAGCCACCTGTGTGCATAGGATGGTACTCTCGAGCCTTCAATTTCACATTGCTGCGTTCCTTCCACAATTGGAATCTTCCAGGATCCTCATCTCCCTCGCATCACCGCTATGAGATTAAGTTGAAGTACCTGGGTGATTGCAGTCTCTTCCATAGTGAAAATTAAGATGGGAAGTCCACCCCATGAAACCGAGAATGCTAGGTGAATTGCCAATGATAACTTCTGTATTTCAAGTCTTTGACTAAAACTTGTGAATTTGCACTTAATCAAACAAGAATAAAGAAATGAGAGAAACCAAATGAAACGGCCAGTCGTTGAGACTAGCATGGTGATCATATAATAGAGATTTAAAGATTGATGCGCGACAGCCTCAATTCCCCAAAATGATATCTCCCCGAGACACCTGGAAGTTTCGCCTATGCAATAGATAGAGATACCATTTTGCAATACTGGGAACGCCAGTCACTTAATTGCCTGGGAATACGAAAGGGAATCACATCGAATTTCACAGCAATGTGCTTGACCTCATGTTCTAAAGCGATTTTAATCAAGTTGGTCGTCGGATCCTGCTGTGGGTCATCTATCCAACTAGTGGTTTCGCCATTGAAGACTGGACGTAATGCACAAATTCCACGATCATCGGCGACTACTTTGAATCCCCGCAGACTTCGATTGCAAAGGTCAGCCGTCACTTGACTTCCAGGTAGCCGATAACCAAGGGTCATGGTCCCCCCATCTGCACTGATCAGATCAAATCTGATGATGTGAGTCGCTATGCCTGCCGAAATTCCTTCGGTCAAAATTAACGCACTCAGTGCTATATGACTTGGCAGTAATTGTGATATAGATGTTTGCGAAGCCTCGGAACGAGTCCTCCAGCTACCTACCATGTCAGGCAATTCCACCTACAAGCCAAGAGGCTTCCTTTTCATCAGTCGCACTCTAACATGTAGCTTAGGTACGGCTGAGCGGACGGAAAGCCCTGTTCTCCACACCCTGTGGTCTTATGTACCAGAATTGATTATAGTCTGAATCATATTAGAAGGAACAAATGTTCACTACAGTAGTTTTCGAATTCGAATCTAGTCAGTCTTTTCGAAGCCTAGGAACAGAGAAGTCGGAGCTCATGAAAAGGTTGACTGATTTTAGGCTGGGTATATTCCTTTGTCTAAAGCTTGAAATACTTTGAGCCAGTTCCTCTGCTTCCGCGATGTTTCTATAGACGAATCTGTTCGTTCCCAAACCGTTCCTAGAACACTTGCCGCGCCGTTATTTGTTTGCCATGGGATTACCCTTGAAATCTCATGAAAGTGTGCTAACACTTCAGATCTTTGAGAACCGTTTGTGCTTTCAGCCCCAGCAATATACATAGGCCAGATAGTGGATTTGAAAAGCTGACTGCGGCAAGATATTTGTGAGACGTGATGTAAGACGACTGACGGGATGTCCTGTCCCTGTAACGAGGTATGACTGGAATATTGCTCATCAGGAAGGATTTGGGCAACAAAGAGTAATGCGGCAGCCTTATATGCCGAGCCAATATGATAGTATGATGTGAAGTCATGTATCGGCCTTAAGACCTGAAGGCCTGAAGCCCAATCCGCAGGGTCAAGGTCTTCAGAGAATGCAAGATATCTTGAGCGATTGAAGAATTGAGTCTGCTTGCGTCGCCTAATTGAGAGACGGCCATTATAATTTCTGCAATTTGCGATGGACAGCATGAGTAATGACCCATTTCGGCATCTTTGAAGGAATTTGCAATCTGAGGATTATGATTGAACCACGAATAAATATCCCAGCTCGCCTTAGCAGAGGAAAGAGAGGATCTGAACATGTCTTGGCTAGGCCAAATTAGTTTTCTTGACCAAATCATGCAGCACTAGTATCTTACATGATAACTCGAGACACGGTCCATGCACATAGAAAGGTTTCGTCGCCGGTCATTCTGAGGGTTATTTCTGAGAAAGACGCCTTCATGAGGCCGGCTAAGCGAGTGGCTGCTTCGAGGTGCACATGCTAAACTCCATCCTCGGATTCAAGAAGCTCCAGGTATGAAAGAAACATAGTGGAAGCCAAGAGCGACGTACAATTGGAAAGATCTATTGGAGAGATCTCTTTCCTTAAGATTTCCAAAGCTTGTCCCTTATGAGAGAAAGAATCGATGCGAAACCTTTCAGCTTGCACCGACCTCGCCGACAAGTTGCAGAGATGGTGAGCAGATATAGCGATGATAGCATGATAGAGAGCAGAGCCGATGCCCGAACTTTCAAGCAGAGAATGAATAGGGGTTTGAAACTGGGAAGCAGAAGAGTGGATCACAAGGTCATGGATCGCATACGTAAGAGAATGAGAAATGTAGTATCGGCTGTCCGCATCAAGGCCCTGAAAACAAGGGTCAAACAGGGCCCTACAGAGCACAGTAGTAGGTTTCCGAGTCACGGAGATATTAGAGTGCCGCTGGCGAGCATTGATCTCGAAGGGCCTGGAGGAAAAACTGGAGGGTATCTCATAGAAGCTTTTCCCTGTCATTTTTCCACGACTGGCAACTCCTGGCACCCAAAGTATGCAGCGACCGTACCCCAGACATTCAACGTCTGATTGAGAACATTTTCTACAGGTGGGTGTGCTAAAATCGCATTTGACTCGACGGCGCCGACATGTGTGACACTTCTTCTCCGGCTCTGGGAAACAGCGACAGGAACGCTGCAGAAGACTTTTGATGTCACTCTGCCAGTCACATATCTCAGATTCGATCAGGATAGGTCGTATTTTATGACTAATCTCGGTTCCCTTCCTATCAATTCTGCGTGTGAGGATCATGCCTCCAGTCCGAACAACAGATCTCCAAAAATATTCCTTGAAGAACAGTGGATAACGCTTAATGGCGAAAGATCATTGTGGCTACTTCCGTGGTCTCGAGCTAGCTGTGCTACAGCCAGTAGCAATTTCCTTGCCTTAGGTTACCCATCGGGACGTGTATCCTTTCTGGGGTTTTGTGTTTAGTTGATGGGAGATTGCTTTCAGTTTTCTTCCTTCTCGTGTTTCTTAATTTGTCTTTCAAAAAAGGGTCTAGGAGGAGAAGAGACTTTATGTCACTCTAAAGCAGGGTTTAAGGTTGTAAAATGTGCTAACGTAACCAATGAGGTTCTTTGGTGCTTCGAATTTGCTATTATCGTAGGGTCTCACACTCGTTTTTGGTGTGTAATTAGCGCTTGTGGTTTATAAGTAGCAGAAAACATCATCTTCCTTTTAAAAGCTATCCTGATACTCTTTAATAAAGCTCCATGACTACATACATCAAGTACCTCGTTCCGGCTGGGTAATCCCGGGAAGTATGTTAGCCATTGACTGAACATGTATTTGGGTTGGATCTAAGGCAAAAGGTGCACCGCACATTGATACACCGCAATCAGCGTTGTACGGGTTTACCAAAAGAGGGTTGCTTTTCCCTAGGCACGCGTCACCATCTCAGCGTGATCGCCGGCCCCGGGGCTGGGGCTTTTGCTTTCCCCGGGCTTATCCGACCCTGGAAGACCCAAAATATTTAGCGGCGATTCGCTTCTTCTCAAAGACAACGACCGGATCGGTACCATGAACGACAAGGTGAGCATTGCGGCTGCTGAAACCCGGAACATGAAATAAGCATTGCCAGGTCTTTCTTCTCACTGGATCCTCTGGAGGTATCGGTATTGAAACCGGTCGTGCACTCGCGGCAACTGAGGGCAAAGTGTATCTTGGCGTTCGCGACTTGGTGAAGGGAGAGCAAGCTCTGAAAGAGATCCTCGAGCCCGGTCACGTGGAGCTGCTGGAGCTAGATGTTGGTTCATTGGAAAGCGTTCGCACCGCAGTCAAGACCTTCCTGTCCAAGTCAACAATGCGGGAATCATGGCATGCCCGGAGGTGAAGACAGCCAATGGTTTCGAATCGCAATTTGCAATCAATTATCTCGGCCACTTCTTGCTCTACAACTTACTCGAGCAGACACTCTTGTCGAGTTACACAACCGAGTTTCAATCCCGCGTCGTCAACGTCTCTTCTGCTGGCCATCGCATGAGCTCCGTTGTCCTCGATAACATCAACCTTGATGGTGAGTACGAGGCATGGAAGGCATATGGAAATGCCAAGACAGCTTGTATCTGGATGACGAACGAGATCGAGCGCCGACACGGTTCAAAGGGTCTACACGGTCTCTCGTTGATGCCGGGTGGCATTTTCACAGGTCTACAGCGTCACGTCGACCCGGAGACGTTGAAGCAGTGGGGTTCGAGTGAGCCTGTGTTGGGTGGTCAGGTGACCCGGTTGTCAGGGCATAGATAGCTCGCTCTCTCTCTCTTCTCTTCTTCCTTTTCCCCGTCCTCTTTTTGCCTAGCCAGAATCAATCTACTGCTACGTATACGCTTTATCGTAGATCGATTGCTTGCTATCAGCCTGCGCAGAAGTATGGTAAGAGTCCGGCTCAGGGCGCTGCCACCACCATGACTGCTGCATTTGGCAAGGAATGGAAAGGGAAGGGTGGTGTCTACCTGGAAGATTGCCAGGAAGCTAGGCCGCGGAACAGAGCAGCTAAGCTATGGCACAACGCAGGCCAAACGTGCGTTTACTTTTTGACTTGCATTGGCGATTGTTTGCTAACTCGATCGAGGCAGCATGGAGCAATTCTTACTTGACCGACGGTCATGATGTACATAGGACCAGCTATGCTATTGTGGCTATTTGTACAGCGCCGTTTCTACACTTGCACATTCTGGTATAAATACACGCATCACTTCCTTATATCAGACTACATCCTTTTTTTTTTCTTAACAGAAAGCCGCTGTTCCTTTTTAATTTGCTGTATGATGAAGCCCCAACTGACTTTTCATCGAGCTCAGAAGCAGACACGGGAGTTTCAACGTGTCTTGGAGGAAGATCCTCCCAGCCTTATCACAACCAATACCCGAATCAAGTTCACTTCTGACATCCTTGAGCCTGCATTTGAATGGGACCGCGTTCGGCGATCAGCAGCTCCATCGCCAGAGCCGTTACCTGGAAACGGGTCCCATGAGTTGGGTGGTTCCATGCTTGGTATGCAACTTAATACCAAAGACTACTTTATATATCCATGCTAACGCGAGGAAATCAGTGTCCCCGCTGTTGCAGGCTCTCCTTCAGGTTTGGGGCGAACCCCACACACAATAGCTTGTATTCTGTATTCAAGAAGCTAGAGATAACAGTAGCTGAAGAAGGCAACTATGAATGCGAATAAAACTGCGTAGGAAACCGATGTCAGATCCAGATTATTCCACGGGGTTGGATCCGTTTGTTGCTGGAGTGCTAGATGAGACGTTGAATCATCCAGTGACCCAACCTTGAGCTTTTCGGCAGTCGGTGCAGAGAACTCTTGTACAAGGTTACTCAAAAATTCCCTCAGTTGCTCTGGCTCTGATTTGTCGTGAGAGGGCTCGGAGTTTGAAACTTCAATCATCTCGTGCTTTTGAGTTGGATGAAGTCGACTGTGATTAGGGTACTTTTGGGCACAACCCTGGCAAAGTTGCATGTGGGCACAGACTCTGCACACATAAATAGGAAATGGAGACCTGCACATACCACAGACGTCCCTGTAGCCATCAGTGCAATGGCCAAGCATCGTACAGGACCTGCGAAGATTGAATAGGTCCCGAGCTTTATCCAAGTCATTGAGAGACAAGAGATAGTGACCTAGTTGTTGCAGAAGAGGCCCTGGGGTTTTCAGATTGGAGAAGAGAAGGGTCTCTGAGACTTGGAGGATTGATTGAAAAGTAGCCAATCTTTGATCATCGGGAGGGGTAATGGCTATCCCAGGGCAGTGGGTTTGGACTTGATGCACCAGCTCATCATTTCCTACAGCCCAGTCCAGGACATTTTTACCATATCCGTCTGAAAGAGCAGGATCAGCTCCAGCACGAAGCAGCCTCATAGCAAATTGAATGTGACCGAGACAAACGGCCAGATGAAGTGGAGTTTGTGCGAGTTTATCTCGGCGGTTCATGACAGACACATGTGCCGGTACGCGATTCAAAAACTTGAGCATGTCTTTCGAAGCCGCAATATGTAGAGGAGTTTGATCAAGTTGATTTACAAGCGACACGTCCGCGCCAGCTTGAACAAGCTTTTCAACGTAATCAATACGCCTCCGGTCAACAGCTGCCAAAAGGGAGGATCCATATAGCCCGCCCTCGATGTTGACGTTGGCACCAGCATCTAGGAGCATTTGAAGAATCTTTATGTCGTCTTTGCACGCGGCTGCCTGTAACGCGTAGCCATAATAGCCCCCCCTGGACGTTAGTGTCGGCACCGGCGTCAAGAAGCAACTGCATAATCTCGGTGTTTTCTCGAAATATGGCAGCATTGAGGGCATTTCCATATTCGCCCCCCTTGAGCATTTACATCAGCGCCAAAGCTGAGGAACCCTTGTACCACCTCAGGGGTATCTCCACATGCAGCAGCTTGCAATGCATATCCATAACGGCCACCCTGCGCATTGACGTCGGCGCCAGCACTAAGAAGAATCTGCACTCTCTCGCTGCCTCGTGTGTCTTGAGCAGCAGCAGCAGCGTGCAGGGCATAGCCATGCTCACCTCCCTGTAGATTGACATTAGCGCCAGCACCAAGGAGCATCAGCATTATCTCAGTGCTATGTGCGCGCAGATCGGCGGCCCATGAGACCATTTCCATCATGCCATCATCCAGTGATATGTCGACCGTAGGGGCGAATTCAAGCAGCGACTGGGCCATAAAGCTGAAACCTCCTCTCGCAGCGGCCTGCAAAGGATAGCCATGTGATCCACCCTGGGTGTTGACGTTGGCGCCCACGTCAAGAAGCATCCGCACGATCTCAGGACTTTCTCCGCTCCCAGCGGCAATTAGAAGTGCATCTTCACCTTCATCGTCCTTTGCATGAACGTCGGCACCATTCGCAAGGATAATATGCACAACCTTAGGGCTTCTACTTGATGCAGCACCATGCAACGCAAGGCTGGCTTTCCCATCCGGGGCAATAACGTCGGCGCCAGCGTCAATAAGTATCTGCACTAACTTAGCACTTCCTGCTTTAGCGGCGGCTGTCACCGCATCTTGATATTCGCCACCCTGTGCATTAACGTTGGCGCCAGCATCAATGAGCATCCGCACTATCTTGATCCTTTCACTCCTTATAGTGGCGACATAAAACGGAGTGTGGCCATCTCCGCCGGCAGCAGCGGCTTGCAGCGCGTAGCCATATTTGCCGCCCTCCGCGTTGACGTCCGCACCAGCATCGAGAAGCATCTGCACCATCTCGGGGCTCTGTCCAGATACGGCGGCGGCCTGCAGCGCATTGCCGTATTTACCGCCCTGCGCATTGACGTCCGCACCAGCGTCAATGAGAACCTGTACTATCTCGCTGTCCTTGTTGGCTGCGGCGGCGACTTGTAATGCAACCCCAAATTCACCACTCTCTGCGTTGATATCGGCCCCGGCTTCAAGTAATATTCCCACCACGTCTATTTGTCCTTTTTGCGCGGCCTCATGCAATGGATTTGTGTCAGCACGCGCTGTATCAATGCTTGCTCCATGGGCCAGGATCAATTCGACAAGCTTCAAATTCCCACAAGCAGCCGCGTCAGTCAATGGCGTGCGTCGAGAATTACTTTGTGCATCGGGCTCTGCTCCATTCTCTAGGAGTAATTTGGCCGCTGCAATGTGCCCTTGTTGTGCTGCTGAGTGTAATGCCGTGCATCCCGCCTCGTCTGTCATTTCAGTATTTTGGCCGTCCTGCAACACCAACTGTATCACGACAGTGAGGTTGGCAGCTGCGGCCACATGCAAAAGTGTGGTATCATAACATGGATAATCCACTGCTCTTGGCAATGAGAGTAGACGGGTGTATATTCGCACCCACCGCACAAAAAACTGCTTGAGTATATTGTAATCTTCTTTAAGCGCATCCGCCCCCGATGAAGTTCTTGTTTCAACACATTTTCGAGCATGCGTGAAGAGGTTGATGATAGCATATTCAATAAGAGGAAAGTCATTCTTGAATCGGTCACGGGTATCAGGGTCCATTTTTCGCACAGCATCGAGATGCGGCGGAATATTTGGACCCTCTGCAAGACATTGTGCCCATTTTCGAGATAGATGCATTGTGGCAAGATAGCCCAGACAAGATCGGTAAAGAGTCACTTGGCATTGATGAAGAACTGTTTCATCATTCAAAAGCAATTGGTCCCCGTTAACATTGTGGCACAAAAGTTCCAACCCTCTGCTGCGGAGGAAATCTTGGGCTGACTGATGTACTGCCTGTACAATAGCATCATCGTTGCCTGTGACCACTTCGGCCAATCCACCGGAGAGAGCTTTGATCTTTTGCTTCATGCGTTCGTCGTTTTCGATAAATCCGTTGAATTGCTTCCATGACTTTACGGGAGCCTTCATTCCAGCATCTTTTGCCACTATTGCATAACGCATTTCCGTCACAGTCAAAGGTCGCTGGGCAAGGCATAGCCATTGGAAGAATAGGTAAGACTGTGCTCGGTTCCTGTCCTCTATTACATGCTCCAACACGTACTTGTAGAGATTTTCCAAGCCCTTGGGGACTTGTCGCAACCAACGACGAATGTTTTCAAGCGATTCACCTTCATAAGCCTGCCGTCTAACAAGAGGAATCACCAAACGGGCCCATTGGAACAAATTGTTGGCTTGATGAATCATTTGCTCGACTAGCGTCTCCAATATATGATCATTGGTAGAATTTCCAATGTCAATCCCAGTGAGAAGATCTCTGATATATCTAAAGATGTCATCATGATTATGATCTTCTACATATATCTCTTCAGTCCCGGTGATCTCCATGATCGGATAGTGTCGGCATGAAATGCAGACTCGAACAGAAACGTCGAGTTTTTCTGCATTATTGACAAGCTGATGGAAATATGCTGCCATCTTTTGAGCGGACTCAGCTCCAGATTCGTCCAGAGCGTCCACAAAAACAGTGACCTGTTTCCGACTAGCGGACGACAAGATCACCTCCGCAAGCAACTCTTCCAGTACTCGCTGTGGCCATTCCCATTTGTGCTCGTCACTTCCAAATCGCTTCGATCGGGCTTCATAGATCTCGCACACTTTGGGGCGTACAGTGGAGTCGAACTCAAAGATCTGATTGAGTAACGATCTAAGCATCCCGAGCGGTGTACGCTGCAACTCTTCGCCCCGCGCTGTGAAGAAAAAGTCAAGCCAAATGATTTCGGATTGGTCTTGTAATCTCTCACGTCTCTCATGCAAAGATCGCATCAAGGTGGACTTGCCAGTTCCCGGCTTGCCTTTGATCCACAAAAGACCGCGTGACTGGCTCATCCAGGACTGATACTCTTCTAGCTCCAAGATCCATTGGCAGGTATTGGGATGGCAAGGCTCGATATTGTCTCTGCGATCTAGCATCCGTGGGAAGGCCAAGGATCTAAGCACCGCTATGAATTGTTAGCAATGAAACAACTCGTGAACATGAATTGAGACACACCATTTTCAATAGTTTTTGGATGATCCACTTGATCTGAGGCGGAACCGACGGTTGTTAATTAACGGACCAGGCTACAAAAGGCGCGATGATACGTACTAGGTGAAATATGGATCACACCGTGGTTGACTGCTATCTGGCTTCCATGGTTGGAACCAGGAAAAGATATCTCGGTTTGGTCCATTGTTCAAATTTGGTGCGAAAAATGGTGGTGTGTAGGAACTGGAGTTTCAGCCTCAGCAATGAATGGATGAACTCAGCCCCAAGATCAGGTGACCGTAGTTGCCTACCTAAACGCCAGAGTACTTCACGAGGTGGTTTGAGCTAAATGTAATGAAAAGCATTTCCCTTTCTATTCTCACATTTGACTACTCTACTGCGTGAAGAAGATATGTGGTTTTGTTCGAGCTCAGCAGTATAGGAATGAGACGAACTGTGTCCACGTATTTATTGCCCTTGTGTATAGAGCCCAAGAAGGCCCACCGACATGATATTGATATTCCGCTTACAAGGCGACAGCCAGATACATATGCTATTGGAGCGATAACTGAAAGTTCCACATAGGATCCATGGATATTCTTTAATTTCTTAATACAAAGAGGCGTAGCGTGCAAGGGGTCAAAACTGTTATTGATGCCTGGACAGCAATTCGCAGATCCTAGCTCTATATTTCATAATGAATGCACAGTAAATTTGGAATTTTCAAATTTTCCATGCAGCAACCAAGAAAGTAGGTGTTCAAAAGAACTAATCTCCCTGTTCCAAGATTTTTGGTTTATGGGATTCTCCATTCACATGGTGAAGCAAACCGCATCTTCTGGAGTCGCCTAAGCACTTGATTTCCTCTGCAACTTCTTGGCCTTCCCTTTCCGCTTTAGTGCTCAGGCCTTGCCGCTTTATGCTCACCGAAGATTACATAATCATCTCGCTCACTAAGGATCACCTGATCATTATATAAGCTGGATGACTTTTTAGGAAAGTCTTTCGGCCGGGATTGTTGCCACAAACAGCTAGACCCCGAATTGTGACCCATATCAATGTGCATCCCAAGCAAGTTAGGTCATACTTCACTCTTTAACCTGAACCTGAAGACTGGAGAAGCTTACTAGTCCTGCATAACTCACGTGGATGACCACTTTCACAATCAAATTCGCTGCATTCTGACCAAAGTACCTCGACTTCCCGCAGCGGGCTGGTGCGTCATGCCTTCTGGCAATGAGCCATGCGGCTCAATGGAAAATGTCCTTGATGATAATGCACCTCCTACATCGAATACATCAACCTTTCTACGTCTTCAATGGGACCGCCCGAAGTTGGCGCGGAACCGCGACGTGCAGGCCTGTGAGCAATGCCGGTCTAGGAAGATCAAATGCGATCGAGCGAAGCCCCATTGTCGATGCTGCAGCACGTATGACCGACCCTGCACATACCGACCAAAGGCTTTGGACCGCAGGCAACAAAAGAGAGCCGTGGGGAATCTGGCGACGGAAGGAAGGCGTGTCTCAACTCGTACTCAGAACCAACAGTCGAGCGGAGGGCCAGAGGAGAAGCAAACGATCCAGTTCAACCAAGTCGGCCATCTCAAAGCATTAAAGGATGTCCGACTACGGTATTTCTCGAGCTCATCATGGGTGGCCGGGGCTGAGGAGTCAAACGTCTCTCACGACATTCCTTTTCCTGCGCCAAACGGGAAAGAAAAACCACCAGGGCCATCAACTCAGGCATCCAACGACTTCATCTATCTTGCCGAGGTGGACCAGCTCATTGCATGGTATGCGAAATATTGCCACTTCTGGTTTCCACTGGTAGACTGCAACGAAGTTATTGCTGCAGTGCACGAGCAGCGAAACCACGGAGGCTCGAAGCCCGGTGCTCTCGCACTAATTGCATCTATGTGCTACACTGCTACCCGATCCATCAAGGCGTCAGGGAGCACCAATTCATGGTGCTCGCTTCCCTCCTCATTCTGGGAAGAAGTCACGATTCAAATCCTCGCCGAATCCGGGTTTCCAAGTCGACCCGATCTAAATACGGTTCGAGCAGGTTTCTTTCTTGCTATACCCAGCATGACGGAAGGGAGCTCTCACCCAGATCCCAGCTCAGTCTCTATCCTTGTAAGGGCCGCTCAGTCTCTCGGCCTTCACCGGGACCCGCTGTCCTTTCAGCTATCTGCTCCTGATGCTGAGCTCAGTCGTGTTATATGGTGGTCGGTTCGCGGTTTGGACATCACATATGCGATATCGCATGGCCTTCCACCACTGATTCACCCTACAACTACGGATGTTCAATTCGTCGACTGTGGGCATGGTTCGGAGCGCAAGCTTCTTAGTGCGGTAGCACAGACAAGCGCATTGATCTCAAAGACTCTGCACCGTATCTACGGCGTGAGCCAGCCAACCCTTCGCGATATTAAGGAGTTGGATAACGAGGCAGAAAATATCTACGCTGAAGAAGTATCTGAAGATCAGAATTTCCACATGGACCCCATGCAAAGATTCATTGCTATGAGTCGAATGATGTGCTGCTGCAAGATGATGATTATTTTACATCAACCTTATCTGCGAACATCGCAGTGGCCTCAAGACTCTAGATCAAAGGCTTTAAAGTATTGTCAAGATTATACTAATGGCTTTGTAACTGGACTCACAGACGAATCATTAGCGCCTTACAAATGGGTGTTGGGGCATTTCGACGTGATCCACGCCTGCGCTATTATACTCCAGGACCTGATCCAAAATTGTTGCTCGCCAGAATCAAACAGCCTTCGTGATGCGGTCGATGTCTGCTTTTCGGCCTGTTCAAAATGGCACCATCCTGTTTGGACGCAGCTGGAGTCGCTCCGGTCAAAGGCTTGGGCGGCAAATGGATGGCCTCTGAATAGTCTGGGCCCTGAGATATTGGACTCAGACGTCAGCTTGGCAGATCATGACCCGCTTTTTGCGTGTTTCCTCTGGGAAGAGCTGTTGGTATGATAAGGAGAATAAAAGTACTGGCTCTTGGGCTGCAATCCCTCCTCAATGAGAAGGTTGTCAAGATTGCCATGATCCACTTGAAAATTTGAAGCGGCTGAAAGAGTGCCATGTGGTTTATAAATCAAGGGGAGTCACACGACAGTCCTCGGATGAAGACTGGGCATCAAAGAGAAGCCGTTGGTGGAATCACCTTCTATTTTTTGAAACACCATTCTATGTTTAAGAATTCAAGGCAAATTCATGACCAATACCTAGCTGCTTTTCCATCAAGCTTCCAGCAGAGAAAGATCCATCGACCTGATGCATTGATCACGCCATGGTTGCTAGAGCCGAAAGGAATCCAAGGCGACTTCGGCATCAGGTCGCTGCCCCATTGACTTTCACAATTTGTCCCGAAATCCACGAACTCTCTGGGCGCCACAGCAAGCTCACTGCGGCCGCCACCTCGTCCGGCCTCCCAAGCCGCTTGAACGGACAGAGCTCCGCAAATATCTGGGTGCTGTCATCGGTGTTGGACTTGATAAAAGAATCGGTTGCGGTAGGGCCCGGCGACACAGCGTTGACTCGGATTCCACGTTTTGCCAGTGTCTGCGCCATTGAGCGCACCATCAGGTTCAGTGCTCCCTTGGTCGAGACGTACAGGAACATATGTGGCGGCTGGGTACTGAAGTCGGTCAAGTCAGAGGAGATGAAGATAACCGCACTTCCGCTGCTCATGTAGGGGAGAGATCTCTGTGATTCTAGCATTAGCACCAGCAGATACTGGATTACGAAAGACGCAGCAAGGCCGAGTCATACCTGCACGAGCAACCATGGTCCTTTGACATTCACGCCGAACGCCATATCAAACTGGTCTTCCGTGGCCACCTCCACGTCAGCTAACGGCACGTAGGCCGCGTTTGGGATGACCACGTCAATCTTGCCGAATCGTGCGACGGATGCCTTGATCAGTCGGTCAATATCTGCGGATTTCGAGACGTCCGCCTGGACGGCCAGCGCGCGACTAGCCCCAATCTCCGAAACGACCTGGTCGGCGCCCTGCGAATCGGAGTTGTAGTTGACAATAACACATGAACCTTCTTTACCGGCCTGAAGGGCGATCGCCTTGCCGATGCCCTTAGAGGCGCCGGCCACAAGAACCACACGGTCGATGATGGACATTTTTTGTTCTGAAAGGTACTTTCTGCAATCACGCAGTAAAGAAAGTCGGGGCAGTTCACACGTAATTTATAGGTTTGATTGGCATGGAATTTTCTTCTGTCATGACTACTGCAAGACTCCACTTATAACCTCTTTCACCTTTTACCAAGGTGAAAGCTGGTGGAGAAGAAGTCGATATCCGTATATCGGCGCGAGGGTCATACCTTCAACCAAAACATGGCTGCAGCACCTATCCATGGTGGGCTACGTCTTCTCCTTCTGTGAACCTTAGGATTTCTGCAGTGAAGAAAATGAAATCTTATTCCTGATTCAGCAAAAGGCGCGCATCGGAGCAACACATGTAGAGGTGAGCATCAAGAGCATCCAGCAGCACGGGGAACTCGGCACGGCGAAAACGCTCTACATACTCCAGGTATTCCCGCCTCGGGGTCAGTTCTGGATCTGGGAATGGGATCAACAATCCCCGGCCGAGTAAACTTCCAAATCGGGTAATAGGGCAAGGAGTCATCATCGGCGATACCGGACAGGGTCGATCCAACCTGTTCTCATAACCTGATGCTTACTAAAACTGCTGTTCTGGACCCTGTCAACCCCCTTCCAAATACAGAGTACTGGCTCTGGGTTAGAATTAACGGCGATGTCGGCCATTTATTACCAATCTACATCGCCACAACGGCGAGACGGACGGCCTGCTTCATTACAAAGTATGCTGTCTTTTGACCCACCTTTCTATTGTAAGTAGGTCTTAACACCGAACGAGGAGCAACTTGGCCCTTGAACATCCGATAGGAGGAATCAAGCAGATGAGCATTGAGGACCCCGGGTGGCCAGGTGTTATCACTCCAAGAATTATAAAGGGCTACCGAACACCTCGTAGCTATAGGATAACTGGCAATCACTCACCACGACTATACCTAGTCATAAAACCCACCATTTCTGAGATTCATTGATCCCACCGAAGAATACGGTCGATATGGGTTTGGAAGTGCAAACCCAGTTTCTTGTCGTGGGTGCCGGACCTGCGGGACTCGGCCTAGCCAGCTTTCTTGGACAACATGGTAGGTATTCCACGAACGTCATGGAAGTCGCAGTGATATTTACCAGGGTGGGTAGGGCTCGAGGGACTCGTTATTTCTAAGGCGTCCGGTACCGCGGACACTCCTAGGGCTCATTCGTTTAACCCCTTCGCTTTCGGCATGTCGATTAAAAGACCCCCCACCGACCTCGCCTACCTACTAACTGTATTGCAGAATGTCTGCGCGACCTGGGGATTGAGAAGCAAGCTCTTGAGCAATCAGTCCGCGGTCGTGCCTTTCAGTCAATGCGCTGGTCCCAGAGCATGGTCGGCGAAGAATATGGCAAAGTCCTAGGATGGGCCGAGCATCCGTCCTGTGTTGTAAGTCTACCACCAATGTCCCAATTTTATTCTTCTAGTGGGTCTTAACTGAACTTTTGTCAGGGCAACGCGTTCGGCATCACTCCGTGTGAGTATGCTGAGTTCTCCCAGTCGGAATTGGAGCCTCTTCTAGTGCGGTATGCTTCTCATCACAAGTTCCAAGTCCGGTTCTCTACCGAGTTGGTGAGCTTGCAGGAGCTAGACTGTGATGGTGTGCAGGCAGGGTACATATGCACTATCCGGGACAATCTCACCCATGGGACCTTCCACGTCCGCACCCAGTACCTGTTCGGTGCAGATGGGGCACGAAGCCAGGTAGCCCGGCTGCTGGATTTCAAGTATCTCAGCAAGCCCAGTGGTGGCAAGGCCTGCAATATTCTTATTCGCGCGGACCTGGCAAGTCATATGCACGAGGACCGCCACGCTGCTCTTCACTGGATCTTGAAGCCCGATCGGACTTCATTCTTCGGCCTCGTGGCACATCTGCGCATGGTCCGTCCCTGGGATCAATGGGTGCTGGTAGGCTTTGGTCCAAATGGTAGCGACCCATTCGAGGGGCTGACGCCTGAAAGCCCCGAGTTGATCCATTGTATACGGGAACTAATTGGAGATGAATCTGTTGATATCGAGATTCTGCGTATGGATCACTGGACTGTGCGTGAAAGTATCGCCGAGATTTACTCCATTGACGATGCTAATGTTTTCCTCCTTGGTGATGCCGCACATCGCCACCCTCCTGCATTTGGGTTGGGGAGTAATACTTGTGTTCAGGATGCGTATAATCTTGCGTGGAAGGTTGCATATGTGTCTAAGGGACTTGCAGGCCATCAGTTGTTAGCGTCATACAGCAAGGAGCGCCAGCCCGTTGGTGCTATGCTTGTTCGGGAGGCTAATAACGGCCTTCACGCGCAAAAGGATGTCTGGCAATCAGTGGGAATGTTTGCTGCAACCCCGGAAGAAGGTTCAAAACAACTGTCTGTGCTGTTTCAACCAACTGATGAAGGGGCGGCGTATCGCGAGAAAGTCCATCATGCCATGAAGCACATAGAGACCGAGCTTCATAGTTGGGGTGCCGCTTACAATCAGTGGTACGAATCAACTGCGGTCTATCTTGCGGACGAGGAGAACGGCAGGCCAGAATTAGAGGGCAGTCCAATCCTGCAAGTTCAAGTCACAACATATCCTGGCAGCCGACTCCCTCACGCTTGGCTGGATATCCCTACCCGTGGCAAGAAAGTTTCGACACACGACCTAGCTGGCAAAGGTGCCTTTTGTCTCTTCACGGGGATCGGTGGTGACGGTTGGAAAGAAGCAGCCAAAAACATCGCCAGCTCAACCGGAATCCCTATCAATGTGTGTGGTATCGGCTTCGGGCTCGACTACAGTGATGTGCATCGGGACTGGCATGAAAACCGAGGGGTGGAAGAAAGTGGCTGCGTTCTTGTCAGGCCGGACAGATTTGTTGCTTGGAGATCTAAGAAATTAGTCCCCGACTGCCAGGGCGCGCTAACGCATGTTTTGAACTCGATTCTCTCTAGAGATCAGGTATGAGCAGTATACAGATATGCTTTTCGACTTTTGAAGTGACAGATATGCCTTTGTTAAATGTACAGATTCACATCGTTATTTCGTCCGTCATCAATACCCACCATTCTCTATCGGAAGAAAGAAACAGAAATTACGGTATGGTAGATTTGTATTGCCAGAGACGAAGAGAAGAAAGAGAGAAAGAGAGAGAGAGCCCTCTTGAAATACTCTGTCTAGCAGCAGGAAGCCTGGCCAATCAGGCACCCAACAAGGCTCCGGACACACCTGCGGACTGCTTGCCTTCTTTTAGACGTAATTCATTCGACCGGCTATTACGCCTAAAAGCGAAGGCGTCCCTCACCTCTACTGTGTCGCCAGTAATTTGTCGCTTCCAGAATTTCGCTGCAACCTTGCAAAAGCCACCCCCATCTTTTAAGGAAAGGTACTGTTGCTTCCCAGTTACGAGGATCTGATGGTTCGCCCCAAACAATTAAGCCAGCACCCTCCGTACCGTTACCTCCCCATTCCACAAGGTCGGCCCACAGTTGTTCTTCGTCGTCTTCGGTCAAGATTTGAAATACATGTGTTACCACCAGTAGATTATCTCGCATCCTAGCCAGGGGGAACAGATCGATCCAAGGGTGATGTGGGGTTCTCAGCTGGAGGTCTGTCGGAACCAACGACGGGGGGCCGGAGGGAGTTACAAGATCTGTGGATCTTGTCGGCCCTGTGAACCCAAATGGCGAGATAGAATGGCAGATGAGCCAATCGACTGGTAGTTTAAGGGCTGTGGCGTTCGATGTCATAGCATTAATTGTATTCAATTGGATCACTCTCATGAGCTGATCCGTATTGGGCTGGTTTGTCACATAACTGTGCAGGGCATCCAAAGCAAAATCTTTCAGAAGAGCGCGTCTTTGACGCACAGTAGTCGTAGTGAGTTGCTCATTCATTGCTCTTTCTCCCACATCGGTGGCCCCTTCAGTGGACCGTTCCTTGGCACCCTGCTTCAAGTTCCTTTTGCGCCCTTTTTTCCGCAGAGGTTAGTCTGTAAATCTACAAGTACCATTCAAATCACTCACAGGCCCTCTGGTTCAATCTGTTCTGTAATCTTCTCCTCTCCTTTGAATCTGTGACACCAGCCCAATCCTCTTTCTGGCGCGTGATGTAACTCTGATGGGACATTTGCCGTAGGGCGATTGGCTGGTCCAGCTTGTCGGAAGAGGCCATGATGAGATCTGCGGTCGGATTCGAGATCGAAGGAATGTCCGAAGAAAGAAATCGCAAAGGCCTCGGGACCTTCGGGGATATGCAGGCGGCTTACATGATATTAAGGTTGGTGGAAGCTAACGTGCCGATTAAGAGGTTATCTCGCGTGAGTCTCGTGCCATTGGACGATCCTGTGGGTTTAATTTGGGCGCTAATGCAGGCTGCTTATGCGCCAAGCACCAATGATAGGAGGTTATGTTGGTGCCCGGACCCACTATCCTCAGTTTTCTTTATCTTTGTCTCCTCGTTGGCTCACACCCGTGGTCTAGGCACACGCTAACGAACCTCATCTCTAAAAAGAGAATAAGACCGGCGAGACATGGTCCTAATCGTGGGGAAGTGGCAATCCTGAGGTCCTGTTGAAAGCCAAGACCAGAGACTTTCCGAACGGTAAGCCCATGGCACCTGCGGCCGAGAAACTTTCCTATTCAGGAAGTGACTGACGACCATCATGCGATGATCCTTTCCTGGGCCGGAATCGTATAAGCCCGTTGCAGCTGTTGAGCCATGGTACATACTCCGGACAATGGAGTAAACAACGCTTCTGCAGGGTGCAAGTCGCGTGGGGCCAGTGCTAATCTCGCTGATCCTCACCTCCATGCTAGCACCGGTTCGAGCCATGAATACCGCCTCACGTTGATTAGGGGGATAAACTCTACCTAATTGGATTCATCGACTGCGCATCACCAATCACGGCACGACGGTATTGTCTCGGTGAAGAGTATTGGCGCCACGCGGCCCTGGTATGGTGGGTACATTGGCAAAAGCTGGAAGCATCTACAGAAGTAGCAGAACGTTAGCAGTGGGACAGGCATCAGTATTGGAACTAGTGGCTATAAAGCTCACGACACGCTGGGTGATGTACAGGCTCTTCAGTCTTCATTCTTTCTTTTCCAACCACCCTTCTTCCCTGGCTTTTTACCCTCAACAGCAGGCATCATGAGATTGCTCGGAAACACTGTCACCGTGCTGAGCATGATGCTTCCCCTTCAAGGAATGTCGGCTTTGGCACAGAATATGTCGTACGGAGCCGATAACTTCTACCGCAGCGATGTTGTGAAGGTCACACCCATCACCTTCCAGGATCAATACCGCACCACAATCCAGGGAAACCTTTTCACCCGCAACAATCTGACCCACGGCATTAGCTCCCCTGCTATTGTTGTTGGCCATCCAATGAGTGCGGTGAAGGAGCAGAGCGCAAACCTCTACGCCACCAAATTGGCTGAGCAAGGCTTTGTCACCGTCTCGTTGGATCTTCCTTTCTGGGGCGCCAGCGGCGGTGAGCCACGCAACGGGGTATCCCCAGATATCTATGCCGAAGCATACAGTGCCGCCGTCGACTATCTCGGCACCCAGGACTTTGTGGATCGCGAGCGGATTGGTGCCCTCGGTGTCTGTGGAAGCGGCGGTTTCGTGGTCAGTGCAGCAAAGATTGACCCACGGCTGAAGGCTATCGCAACAGCAAGCATGTACGATATGGGCGCCGTAAACCGCGATGGGCTACGGAAGTCACAGAGCCTCGAGGAGCGCCAGGCTATCATCGCCGCAGCCGCGGAGCAGCGCTGGGTCGAGGCGAATGGGGGTGAAATCCAGTACTCCGGCGGCGTCCCAAGTCAAATCACAGCCAACACGAGTGTCGTCGACCGCGAGTTCTATGACTACTACTTTACTCCACGTGGCGAGTTCATTCCCGAAGGCACCAGGCGGGAGCTGGAAACACAACGGACAACTACCAGTAACCCGAAGTTTATGAATTTCTACCCGCTCAATGATATTGATTCGATTTCGCCCCGCCCTCTTCTATTCATTGCAGGTGACCAGGCACACTCGCGTGAGTTCAGCGAGTACGCTTATGCAAATGCAAAGGAGCCTAAGGAGCTGGTCTGGGTGGCAGGTGCCGGTCACGTCGACCTCTATGATCGTGTGGGCCTCATTCCTTTCGACAAGCTCACCCAATTCTTCCGGGTGAACCTTCGTTAGGCTTGGGAAAAGACACCATCTTATTGTGAATGGAATGGAGACTCCTGTCTCTAATTCCTACTTCTAATTGGGCCGCGGGCCGCTGTCTGGCTTGTTGTTGTGCAAGCTACGAGGTCGACTGTGTTGCCCTCTGAGTACTTGATCAATGTATTTTGTCTTTGATCCCTGCCCATTACCCTGCCAATCTAAGAAAAAGATTGTATCATCATGCTTTCCATTTAGTTCAAGGAAGCTACTACATCAATTGAATCCAATATTGGACATTCCTATTTCTTTTACAACGCGGCGACTATACCAGCGAAGAAATTCTTTGATGAGTGTATGATCTGGAGTCGCACAGCCTGGTCCGATATGGTATCTCTTGATCCTATTTCGTTGAATGAATCTAAGAGTCAGTCGGAAAATTATCTGATGGTCCCTCGTGTACTAGTGTATCGCAACTCACTTCATCCACTGATCGACGGCTTAGCGGTACATCTTCTTGGTCTTGGGTATTTTTTTATCTTCGTCTCGGATGCGATCTTCAGCTGCATGAGCGCCGAAATTATAGCTGCTCTTTTCCGCTGGCTTATGACGCGTCTCTTTGGCGAGATCATCTTGCTGGGCAAAGAACAGCATTCGACCGATGACCAAGATAAGAATGAAGGATCAAAGTGTCCCAATGACCCAGGGAGGTAACATAGCTTCAATTTATACCTCCGAGTCTCAGCAAAGGTACCCATAAATAGAGGGATCTTCCTCTTGCGTCATTGAAGCACAGTTTAAATCTGTGCCTTGAATTTTGGCATCATTTCCGCTCCATCGCCCTTTTTGGGCGGGTCGGGGCTGAGGGTGGAGTAGTATGGAAGACCTCTAGAAATTGAAGCTGACCAGGCCATCAGAATGTGATTCAGAAATAAACAGTACTGTGAGGCAGGGGCCCTTTTGGGTATGGACGGAGCGTGACTGAGTGCACAATAGATGCCTTCGACAAATCCCGAGGTCTCCGAGTAATCAAACACGCTCACTGAGCAGCCAATTACACTCACTGGGATTTACTCAGTGAGCCTGACCCTGAGCGCCCTGATAAAAGCGAGCAGAGGAAATATGGTACGCATACCTAGTGATTTAAGTACGGCTGAGTCGAGAGCTATATTAACTCCATTACCAGTCTTCAAAATATTTATTCTATACACAGAAGCTATAAAAAGTTTGAAAGATAGGATCTCGGTAGCATCGAACACCATGTATATGCTAGATTGGAATTATTTCCCCAGAATAGCCCTGGAGTCGATCAATGGTATTATATAGATCACACTTGACTTACAGCACAACTTGGGTAACTAGCCACACAACCTCGGCATTGAATTTCCGATTCAGACCAACAATGTCTCAAAGCAGACTTTTAGCGCATGTAGATGAGTTAATAAACCGTGGACAGCTGGGCCCAGGCAAGAACGAGGTATACTTGAGCCAAGAATGAGGGCCTGATTTAAGTACAAAGTTCATAGACTGCTGTGATCCTACCGATGTAGTAGACCTGAGCTTACAGCTATATATGCCGGGGCGTTATGTACTTCAGATGAAGAGGTGGCTCTCTACTGTTTACTTTCTCCTCAATTTTGTCCCCGGTCAACACCACCCTCTCTACCTTCTCTGCGTTTCTTCTCTTCACTCTTAGCTCCTCACTTTCGTCCCGCACCACTACTACCATCCATTTTCTCTGCAAGTCTCTTGTCTTCACTCTTACCTGTCAACCTTCGTCCCTCGTCAGTACTGTCATCGTGCTTCTACAAGATGGCTGTACCACAACCGACCAATGTGCAGCAGATATTAGCACCACAAGATGATACCCAGTGAGTATCCTTCCAAGGCTCGAGAACATCTGAGTCAACTACGGGTCCAGACTCCATGGGTCTGGTACCTAACCATACTGTCTGATAACTAACATCATATAAGCTCACCTGCTGAAGAACCTGGCCATCACGATGTTGGCGTCCCATTCACCATCCCCCAGGCAATAGCCGGCGCAGGACACACAGATCCCGGCGAATGGGCCGAACTCGTGAAAACACTGCCATGGAAAGTTGCTCAAACCGCAAACCGTGTCAAAACCTCCGCAATCGCAGTAATGGTCCAATGCCCATCCCGCCGAGAGCCAAGCCAGCGATCGACAACTCGATATACAGGAAAGCGTCTCCACGAACGGGTTTCTGCCAGCGCTGCCAACGTCGAATCGATCTTGATACAGACAGTCGGCGAAATTTCCCAACAGGAGTGCCAAAGCTGTTTGAAAGGACACGGCCCATGGGCACAATGCATCCGATTCAACGACATCGATCGAACAGTCACGGCGTGCGGAAATTGTCAGTGGAATGGAAATAAAGGGCGCTGTGACTTTTACCAACCTCCTATCGGTGGGGCGAAGCCCAAGGGCCGTAAACGCGCCCGCTCATCGGCATTCTCGCTGGGTGACCAGCCGATTCGCCGCGGTAGGGATGTGGAGCGGGCCGCAGCGTTGGAGGATCTCGAGAAACGCATACGCCAACTTCAAACCCGCCTGTACCTGGATTCCTCCCGATTAGCTTTTGTGCGGGTGATGATGGCACAAGCGAACGCCTCTGAGTCGATCCCGGACATCAGGGCCAATCTTCCGACCACGACCGCCGACGAGATAAAGGCTGAGTTTGATCACGTTCTCGACTTGGTGGAACAGATGAGACTGGCGGACAGAGCACTGTGAATCTCTGAAGCCTAGGTTGGTCCGAGGTTACAGCAGCTTCGTGGTGGTCTTTCCTTTTCTTCTTCTTCGAATACAGCCTTTGCAGCGTCACGCACCGGAATTTAACAATTGCTGTCCTCTATCATTGAGCTTTAGGACCCGTCGATTGATATCATTTTCCAGGCCGTTTAGTCCAACTCGAAATTATGGATCTTCAAACTCTTGCTTCTCTCCACGTAAGGTGCCGAACTTGGACTCGAAGTATTTAGATTCAGGTGGAAATGCACGCGTCGCATTGAATGGTTTTGCACTGGCGTGTTTGCACTTCTACGTCTGATCGGCACAAGCTGCAAGCTTGTAGCCATCAATAGTCATACCTGGGGCCTTCCGGCGGCTGTACTTGTCTGTGGATCCCTTGGCATGATATGGATCATGTTCCTCAAATTGGTGAAAAGAATGCATAAGAGATCTTCCACCGAAGGCGGATTTACAATGTCATTGAGCAAGATAAGTATAAGGTAAATGTGATTATTAGAGTCCATATAAAGGCTAAACCCGAGCCCTATTGTCTACAAGTATCTAAGATGCGCCGAACAAAACACAAGATCATCACACATATCAGCGGACATGAAAATGGAAAACCAAAAAGGCCACCATGGCTAGAACCACATGATTCCCGCCACGAGGCCAATGACAACCGCCATACAACTACCCTGAAGCTCCTGCGAGTGCCGACCGGCGGCAGCATCGGAGGAGTCTTCCGCTCCGACTTTCTGGAGTTGCTCTGGTTGCTCTGGGGTATCTAACCCCGAGTCTGACCCCGAGTCCAACTCCACATCCGTCGGATGGGGTATTGACGTTGACGGCGTTTCTGCCGTGGAGAATATTGATCGAGCGTACTCGGATCCGCGAGCCGAGGCTAATTTTCCAAAATCAATGGCATAGCGACTGGCCTGCTGGTAAATTTCGCGAATGGTCAAGGGATGCTCGAGCTCATCGATCTGAGGTGCGATCGTATGCTGGTCGGTTGGGAGGGAATGATTGAGGGGATGTGAATGCGGTTCGGCCAAAGTGCGGTTGGAGAAAGATGAGAGGAATGGGTAGTCGTCGAGGTGCTGGATGAAATATGATCTGAATGCGCGAGCTCTGCGGCTGAATGAGAATGACGATTCACGGGGGGAGACGATTCGGCTTTTGTTCACGGTTTCGCTAGCTGAGATGGCGGCAGGATTGGCTGCTCGCGCGGTTCGCGGTGAAAGATTCACGCGGGACCGATGAGGAGCTGCGAGAGGTCGCGGCTCGCGAGTTTCGAAAGGGTGTGCTTGTGGTAGTTCGGTCACGCCATCTTGGAGGAGGGGGAGGTCTGCAGGGGCTTGTTAGGTGGAGGTTCAGGGATTGTTGTAGAAAGGGGGTGGGAGACACGCACGGCGAGCAGCACCGGAGTAGAAGCTAAAATCCGCGAGCTTCAAGTTATAAATGCTTGACAGCGAAGGGACCAATGTGAGCAGCGAGAACACAACCAAGGCGAGCAGCGGAAGTGCGCCGGGTTTATGCAAGCCTGATCGCATCCTCCCTGAGGCGCCCGGGGCTGGATGAGTGATTCAAGCTTCGCGAGAGTTGAGGGGTAACGAGGAGAAGGCCATGGAGGAATTCACAGGATCAATGCAAGTTGAAAGATACATACGCGCCGACGCGCAGGGAGGGGTGGACGGATGCAGAAGAGAAAACGGAAAGGGTCCCTCTTTTTTTTGGTGTATGACGTCGACCAAAGAAGCTTACGGGTCTATACCCCGGAGCTCTTGATGCGACTGTAGCAACCGATGCAAAATAGAACAAGCAAATCAAAAGGAAGCCCAAGAATGTGTCGCCCACGTCTGAGTTTTTTTTTGGCTTCTGACAGGATTCCAGGAATGGCGGCCTCAGGCAGAACTGTCGATCGCCCAAAACAGGATTTCGCCTATTTACTCTCCTTCGCCCTACAGAGTCAAGCTCTCAGGGACTTGATTATGCGAGTACTTATTTACTCCAGATGATGTGCGCCAAGGGCAGAGGCAACACACAGTTACAAGAATAGCCGCCGATCGGCACCCCGTGCGAGAGTTCAGTATAGCGTCTCGGGGCACGATGATCCTGCTCATACACTCATGCTCAACTCCCAGCTTCTGATTGGGTCCTCTTCCCGTCTTCCCTTTCTGCCGCTTCGACCTTTCTGCGAGATGTCGCAAGTGGTCTCGATCAACACTGTGGGGTGCTTCTGGCCAGTTGATGGATGGGCGTTGCTATGGGAATTCTCATCTGGGGAAGAAACAAGAGTGAAGTGAGAAAAAAGTGAGAAAAAAGTAAAATGATCCACTTCATGAGCTTATCTCTGCTCTCTCCCACCTCTGGTCAGCTCAACCTCGACTTGCTACAGAAAGCTCTGAAGATCGCTTGTTTTGGTCTTCCAAACGAGTTGAGACAATCTCCAGATCCGTCTCAGACAGTCACAACTGATAAAAAGGATGAAGAGATGGCCGACGTGGAGGACAAGGGTATGATTACATGCCATGGCACCTACCAAACATGCCTTTTCACTTCAGTGCACATCCTCTATTTCGGCGCATTGCAGGAATGAGTCCTGTTTCCTATTTCGACCAAGGCAACTCTCACTACTCGCTCACTTCGGACAAACGGCGTGCTGTCGTTTGAAAGCTGCCTTGTCGGTGGAGACTTTTTCTTTTCAAAAGGACCGGAGCCAGTCCGAACGCCACACGGGCCGATATTGCAACCGGCGAACCTGACCATCGCCATCACCAGGGTTTGGCTATGACCTTTTCGCCCAAGTGCCTATGTGACTAGGGTACTGATGTGGCTCATTGCCCTTGTCACAATAATTCATTCACTGATCACGGCTTAGCCAAGACTTCTTTTTCTCGACCAATCATGATGATTTGACAATTACTTGGAACCTTGGATGGACAGCCAAAAAGAGAGTTGAAAAGACAATTAGAAAGACAGTTAAAAAGAGGTCCCGACTGAGGCTTGTGTAATACTCCACGGCAGTGGCTGGTTAGTTGTTACCCTCTCGGGAATACACGCGGTTCCATGGTTAACCTCCGTTGTCTACTAGGCGGACTTGGGAGTTTCCTTGTACGCGCACCACACCCATCCTTCCACTTGCATTGATCAAAAAACACCAAACTGAACGATCTCATCAGACGCCCTGGTTGACCTTCCCGCACTAGAGAATCGCAAGCGTCATCTCGATGATAGCCTGAAGCGAGCTCGCAAACGACTCAAGCCACGAGGTTCCTTTGACCAGGAATACTGGACGTGGGCTACTGAAACCGGTGCAATACACGCAGATCACACGAGATCTTCCATTGAAATATAAGGATCTTGACAATCGACGTCTGATCTTCAAAACAGACTTTCGTCCAGCGGCAAGATATCTTTATTTTCACTATGTGATCCAGCTCCTGCGATACGCATGGCAATCAGACTCACAGGGAGGAGAGCAGGCCATCCGTGTTATGAAAGGGGAGCACGGCAAACCATACTGGGGCACTCCGGGCCGATACCTCCCCAAGAACATGTTACTGGCACTCGCTGAGGAGCTCGGCCATGAGTACAAGCCCATTCTAGATGGCGCATCTCCCGGCTGCTGAAACGACCCCCAACTACTTTTAAAGGCTGGGATGAGGCAGATTAATCACCCAAGACACTCGCTTGAGAATGCCGGTCTTGCAGGCAGATCTTCAGTGCTTGACGAGCAAGAGGAAGAGGACGCTAGTGATGACCAGTATGATAGCGAAGAGGAGGACGGTGAACTTTAGTATCGAAAATTCATGTGACTGGAGGCAGTTTACGGTTGCTTGTGTGTTATTGTTAGCGAGGGCGTGCATGTTATGTCCAAGGTTGCCCTGGTGGTTGGTCTAGCTGCAACATCGGGCCTCATACAGAGTATTTAGTATTTGTTACCAATGACTGGAATAAAAAATTGCTGTGCCAGTTTATCAACAGATCACAGCCCCCATATTTGCGGGTTGTTTATTTAGTGGCCTCTTTGATAATCTAAGCTATAAAAATAGAGAGACCAAGGCACACAGCCAGACTAACAGAAGAAACCAACTGACAAAACACCGAAACAAAAACCGACATTGATATAAGGAATGTTCAACATGCACAGAACACACGCACAGAACACACACAGAAAGGACACGCAGGAAAGACACACACAAAAGACACACACAGGAACCAACAGACCAGCGACATCACGGAGCAGAATGCTCGACTGACGAGTCTATCCTTTTTCCAGTAGATCGCCAAGTCGGACGGGTGGAAATTTAACAGCGGGCGGCTCCGGGAATTGCAACTGGCTGTTTGGAGTCACAGTCCTCACTGAGAACGGACCTTCCCAGACGGCTTCCTTCAGGATATCGGTCTGCTCAGCCGAGGCATTGTGCCGTATATGTAGTTGGAGCCCCCCCCGGCCATGACCAGCCCGCTGGTAGTTCCTTCGTTATGAACTCCCCAGCGTGTGGCAGGCACGCAGCCAACTTTCGCGACTCGATAGTAGACTTGCTTTGGATCTCGAATTACTCCGTACTTGACGCCTACTACTTAAATATTGCACGAAAGCTTTTCTTCCCGAGTTGAGGGATTTTTTTAAGGTTTTTGTCCGTTTTTGGACGGCCGTCAGCATGTCACACTTAAAGCGCTCCGATCCCGAACGAAGCGAAAAGCACAAGTATTTTTTGCGATCTCAAGATCGATCCCACTCCAAAACCCCCTCCCTCACAACCGACTCAACGTTATCGTCGTCGTCAAATTCGGCACTAATCAGCCCAGTAGACTCTGAGTCTCTAAATCAGCTGTTGTGTTCGAAGCCAAAGCAAGGTGCTATTGCAAGTATCGCAAGCATGCAAGAAACCGAGGAGCTAGAGCGCATCCCAGCCAATTTACAAAAAGCAGGATATAGTCCCGCTTGGACTTCTGCACTTGGATATCCGGGAGAAATTCCGGAGGGCATAAAGGAATTTATCTGCCCTGGAATAGAGCAAGGAGATTATCTTGTGGGCCAACTCTCGAGCATTTTCTGGCTAAAGTCAGTCGAATTTCTGAACGAACTCATCCAAGACCCCGGCCACAAGTTAGAGGACGATTTATATTTGATAAAACTGGGAGATGGACGCCGGTGGTTCTTCATAGTTGAGGCCTTGTTTGATCAAGGCATGATCCCTTGGAGATATATGAATCGAATCTCCTGGGAGATCGAAAGCTTGGATGAAGCGCTTCCTCAATTTCCGATCGGCCACAATTTCGCCGCGAAAGCACAAATTCCCCCTCAAATCACAACCTCTGCGCAAAGCCACCGGACAGAGTCAATTTTTCCGTTTTTTCGCGCCCCCCCTTCCTCTCCAACTCAACGCCGCAAAGCTCAAGTTCAACCGCAACAAAGACAAGTTTACCAAAGAGATCGAAAGTGTTTTGGCAGACAGGGTAAAGGGCCGAAAACTATATCGAGGCGTCACAAGGAATGCACTAGTGAGCCTCATGGCTCTCTTTTGTCCTGTGCACTCATCGGCATACGCCGACAATGAGTTTGGCCCAGGGATTTATACTTCACCATCACTGGAGGCGGCAATAACTTATTGTACTCCCAGCTCCGCGCTATTGATATTTGAAGACCCGGAGAACCTCTTGAGATACACTCTAAGAGGGGATGAATGGGACACGGTAGTGCGCTTTTGGACAGGTCTCCAAGTCGGAAATCTTGCTGACAGAGTCCCGCCAAATTGGCGAAGCGTGGACATCTTGGAGGGATCTATCTCGCGGGAGGCAACAGGGCCTAGGATCGGAAGAGTGGAGGGGGAGGACATCCAAGTAGTAGGGGTATCGTTTCGTTCATTTGGTTCATTGGCATCTGCTTTGCGGATGGTGATTTGGTTTACATAAAGCTTCTTGCTTTTGCTGCTGGTGGGTCTGTTATCACCGCTGCCGTTTTTATTTTTTATTCTTGATATCCTTAGTGCCTAGGTACTCCGTGTGTCCATTCTAATTACACGAAATCTGAAGTGGACGTTCTAATAGTCAAGTAGATTGCCAATTGCCAAATATATGGGTGGAATGCTCTTGATCTGGAGTGTACTGGTCATCCCTCATATCGGCGCAACAAACTATGGGGGAATCTAGGTGCTGAGATTTCTGCTGGGTATGGCAGAAGCTGACATGACGACGTGGGTTGAAAGGGGTTCGATATGATCCTGCGAAATGTCAGTGCTTGGTTGTGAGTCTACAAATTTGACAGGCTTCCTATGCCCCCGTAAAATATTCTGTATCACAATATGTGGTAAATTTACAAAACGGCCATTATGTTTGAAGAGCTGCCCTTTGCCTTCTCCCTTCTCCCAGGCAGTAATTACAAACCTATTCGAGATGTTGAGCCAACGATATGGCCTCTTTTATGGCATTTGCAATTGTTTGCACCACAACATCATGAATCATGAATGCCACACGTGAAGTACATATTGTAATGTGATCCTGGCCACGCTAGTCTATATTGATCAATGTTATATGTTCGAACAGCCGACTCTTCATTGTCTATTGAATTAACCACTCTACTCGCCGCCAAAGCTTGATGTACCCAGAAGATCAAGTATCAAAGAGCTGAACGGTTTGTTTCGATTTTATGTCCGTATTGTTTGAACCATGGATGAATGAGTTTCACTCCGAATACCTCAGACCAATTGCCATCACGATCATACATAGTAATATCATCAATGGCGAACATGAAAAAGAGGGGACTGAGGTAGCAACAATAGCTTGTGCGCATCAAATGTAGAAGTCACAAGACGCCGGTGGACACCCATCCAACTCGACGCGTGTATTCCCTCCTTCGCTTTCTTCCCTTTTCCTCCTTTCCTCTCTCTCTCTCTCTTTTCCTCTCTCTCTCTCTCACCTCTCACCTCCCCTTCAAGTTACGTTGCAATATGACGCAGCCGTAAGACTATTAATCCGAGTTAATATGACAAGAGCCAGACTGACAATGAAATATCTCTACAGACGAATTCCCGCTTCTCTCCCCCACCTCAACGAGGACAACACCGCCCCCGCGGCTGGTGAATGGTCTAACCACGCGCATCGCCTTCCCTGGATTGCCGCTAAGGAAGGTGACCTGATTAAGTCTGCTTTCCTGAAGTTTCTGCTGGCACAGCCAGCCAAGCGGGAGCCGGTGGTGCGAACCACCATGGCCCCTGGGTCCGAAAGATGGAACGAAGAAATCGGCACCAGTATCAGAAACGCGGAGGCCGTGTTGGTCCAAATCGTTGGCCGCATCGCGGACGTCCGCTGTGACCGTTGCCTCGCGGGGGGGGGCATTTTCCCCCTCTGCGTGGTGATCGATGAGCCAGGCTTTCCAAAGTGCTGCGGCAACTGCTTGTACGGCGGCAAGGGTGGCAGCTGCACCATCCTTCGCCACGGAGAACCGCAATCAGAAGACCACGCGGCGATCTCCCGTGGTGGTCCCCAACCCAACTCCGGCGCGCGCCTTCAGGCTGAAATACTTTCAATCTTCGACCGTCTCGGCGCCCAACACGAGCGGCTCTCCGTCCTCCAGAGCCGCCAGAGCACTGCTGTCGCTGAACACCAGTCGGCAGCACAGAGTGCCTCTGTGGCGCTGGAGGACGTGATGTCCCGGGTGAACCAGAGTCTCCCCGTCCGCCGGACCGACGTGGTTCGCTGCCGCGATACCATTACCGCGGCGATCCGCACCGCTGCGCGTGTGGAGTCAACTAGCGAGGCCGTCGCCTCCCAGTGTTCATTTCGCAGCGCTGGGCGCGACCGTACCAATGGCAATTGGAGCAGTGGCTCCTACCAGGTACCTTGACGCAGGAGATGAACTTTCCGTCCCGTTTCTGGCAGTTGAGACATGCCCCCTCCGCGGGGAGCTTTTCCCCCACGGAGTGTGCCAATAGAGCTTCCGCGGCGTGCAAAGACTGTCCGAGTTGCTGATTGTACTTTTCGCCATCAACAATCTTCCTCTTGTTATTTTTGGAATTTCTCTGCAGCATTGGCTCCCGCAGGAGCGGCATCGCCATCATCTCATAGAGGAGGCTGTTCCTGGTGTTGGCCGCGTTTTGACAGCGGCTCCACGGCACATTGCGCGCCCGATTTGCCCAGTACCCCGGGTCGGCCTCCTCCTCCCCGAAGGCACCGTATCGAGGGCTGGCGTACTTGATATTTGCCGCCGGCTCGTGCTGCTTGGCCGCAAGCGCAGCCGGAGCCTCAACGACTTCTTCTCCTGGCATTCTGCTCCCAAACCGTTAACGCCATATGCCTTTTGAGTCACTGAGTTGTGCAATTCTTTGGAACTCACTTTTTTGGCCTCTGGGCGCTCAAATATAGGTGTATAGGTGGCTCTCAGTTATGACTTTGGATCTTCTGGGATGCCTGTTGTTCAGGATGTCAGAACTGAATGCTTCTGGGGCCGTTGGCTTCTGGCAACTTCATGAGGTCTGGAAGAACGTACCGCCAGCTTCTGAAAGTGATTATAACGTGTTGTGATCAGTATTGGACACTCGAGGTCATGAGATTTGCATGATGGAAGCAGTGAACTAGAGGTCGAAGTGAACTTAAAGTCTGAATCTCAAGACTGCGGGTTGGAACTTGCTTCTAGGGGTATTCTGCTTCACAAAGAGCGAATTATGAAACCTCACTTTGAAAGTGAATTAACATAGACAACTAGGGTGCTTGCATGTTGCTGATCCGTTGCCATGAAATGTTGGCAGACAGCGGCATCTAGAGGCGTTTCCCACACACAATTTCAAGTCGAGCTAAAAATATCATGACTCTAGAAGTAAAGGGATACTCGGATTGACAATACAAAGCCCTGACGGGAGCCCTTCAGTAGTTCGGCAGATATTCTTGGATAAACTGCACATAAACCTTGGACGTATTCCACTCTTCCAAGGTTCTGGTGTTCTCGTGCCTGCCTGCCCGCCCTTCTCGAGCCCTTTCGCCCTTCAACTTTCATCCCACTTCCTTTCTCCCACAATCAGCAGCGTTCTGTTTTCCGATTTTTAAAACACCGTTCTGCAGCCTTTATTCGCCATGTCTACCGACAAAGGTCTTCGAAATTTGTTTCACCGTTTGGTCGAACATAAGATTACCATCGAAGACTTGGCGAGTATCCTGAATGGTTTAAAGCCCTCATCGATCGCAGTCACCGCGTTGAGTCTTCAAGACATCCAGAAGATGTTTAGTCTCACGCGGACTGTAGATGATGAGTTTGACTCTGTTGTACCTGTCACTCTCCCCGAAGAACTCAGTATGTGAGCCCGATGAACCCCTCAAAGAAGTGGCTAACCATAGCTAGAGCTCTGGCTAGAAAAGTCAGACCGCGCACTCGGCGCTAGCTCTGCAAACGAAGCCATCATCCGCTGCAAGCTCAACATCCTCCTTGTCTGTGCTCATGATCTAGTATCGTCATCTCTCGATAAATCTGCACGACCCGTCAACATCCAGATGGAACGCCAATGGGCTTTTAGCCCCGTGAAATGGAAGGGGAAGCAACATACACTATCGGGACGTCCCGACTATGGAATCTGGTACGGAGACGAGGAAGACATCGAGCTGAACGTGGTGATCGTGGAAGCCAAGAGATCAATGGGCGGTACTCAAGGGATTCCTCAGGCGCTGGCCTACATGGGTAACTATATCTCGATATCCTTGTTGGAACCACTTTTGGGCTAACATGTTAAAAGCGTGCGTGCACCGCCAGCGTAAAGTTCTCGGCAAGGAAGACACTACCGTTTACGGTATCTCTACCGATACCATACACTTCATATTTATGAAGCTGGACAATGAGTCTCGGGTAAGTATATCTAAATTGTACTAATGACCCTGATTCTAATGTTTACCAGTGGTCGATGAAACCTGTCTGTGTCTTTGAGAACGAGTTCCAACAGGTACTTGGTCTCCTTGTATACCTAATGAAGAAGACGGCATCAATGTCGCCTACCACCTCCAAACGTTCGTCTCGCCGCACACACCAAGGGTCGGGGGATTCCGACCTCATCTTTGACCACAACCCTGACATGGATGAGGACATGGATGATGAGTTGGGTGTGGAGTGATTTTGTTGTTGCGTTTGTCCTCTGGCTTTTATTTTTCTTTGGGCGTCTATCACTCCTTGCTTGTCTCGATTCTTCTTTCTGCCTATGCGCCTTTGCTAGTATTACCCGGTCATAATAAAAGTCTGTCTTCGCCCATTCAGCGGCATATTTAGTATCTTTTTTGACACAAAGTACCAACTTTCTAGATGATTGATTACTGGAATTTAGTTCTTACATTGTGAGTAGGGTTTGAGCAAAGAGGTGGTCAAAGCTAATAAATCTTTCATATAAGCGATCGACTCTCATCTACCCACTCTAATTCATATTGTGACACAATAAGGTTGATAAGTAAAGTAGCAATTTGGGAAAGCAATGTCTCTTGAAGATATAGCGTAATAGCTGTTTGGGTAATCTGCATCGTCCTTCTCAGAAACCTAGGAAATGAAAGAGCAAAAAACAAGATCACATCATTGTCGGCTGTTTCTGTGTCCATGCGGCATGCCTTTCTGCAAGTTTAACCTCTCTCGATTGATGCAGCAATCGATAAAAAGCTTCGGCAGATTTGAAAGTCGTCCGTCCTTCTCACGGAGTATCTGCTCAGCCTTGTCAAGATACACCCTTGTGAACAGTTCCCACAGCTCTTTTTCAGGATTCGTGTCCATAAGGGGCAAGGGATAGTATGGATCATTCTCAAAGAATGCTTCCACTAGTTGATTGATAAGCGCCTCTGGATACTTGATTGCGGTGTCCTCTTGCCATATATGACAGAGGTTGAAATCAAGGAGCCAAATTCGTGTTGTTCGACGACTAAACTTGACTTTGACAATGGACTCGATATCAGTGTGGGGTGGTAACGCCGCTACTTGATCAGATGTCATATGTAGGGCAGCCAGGACTTCAGGGGAGTACCTGGCGTCTGCTTCGCTACCCAGGACGAATTCAACATCATACGCATCCACATATGCGGACCAATGAAGGACTGCCAGCGCCTCCCCGATGGAAGTTGCTATTCTGTTGATAGGGAAGTTGAGCTCAATCATCTGGTCTAAATAGATGTTGTAATTTCTCAAGGTGAAGTTGGGTGGCGGAACTTTGGTAGTGCGTCGTTGGCCCAGATATAGGCGGACCAAGCAGTCGCGATTTGTGGGATTGTTGGCAACTGCAGCCCGGGATGGAGCAGCGCAGTAGTGTTGTATCAGCACCTCCCGAGCAATCTTTGGGATTGGGAGAATCCTCTCCGAAACTAAAGCCATGGCGGGTAACGTGATAGATTCGTGTACGTTCTGGAAGAGGCTGGAGTTTTCCTTCCACCACAGAGTGTTCTCTTGAGAAATGTATGAGAGAATTCGTGGCACCCTAACTTCAGAGTTCTTGTTTTCGATTCTATCAAAAGCTTCTTGCACCCGTAGGTGCGCCAGGAAATCGTTCCACAGAGCGTCTTGATATGATCTCTTCGCGACCTTCAATACGAAGCCACGCCCTGGTCTTTCAAAGACTAGCCCACATTGGCCGAATCCAATCACACGAAACTCCACACTCTGTGATGATTGCTGTGATTGTTGAAATACCGCGAACGACGACGACGTGCTTGTCACCGATTGCGGCGTCAGGACGCGTGCAAGTATCGTGAGTGGAGGGGATCCGTGATCCAGTTGTAAATTTTGCATCACGGCGTCATTATGCTGTTTGTCGAGCAGGGCAGAAAGTTGGTTGGTGAGATCAAGGGCCTCATGGGGTGACGAGGTCATGGATATCGGCGAGTCCTCGCTGGATCGCTGGTTAAGGCGCCGTAAAGAAGCCATCGTACTCTGCTGTGATTGGAATAGGCAGAAGGAACAGAGAACTTGTGGATGATTGGATACCAGATACGAAAAGAGATACAATTCGATTGACGGCGCTGCACCAGACATGGCGGCAGACTAGCCGGATTAGGAAACTACCAAAGTCCAAGGGTACAATCCAACCTTGGAACATATTCTCCATCTCGATCTATCCGAGGGCAGCACAAGCTGCAGAAGCCTCTGGGATTGAAGGTCCAGCTATCTTAACTGGGAGAAAAATAAAATCTACCTCTAGTGCTCTCCTTTCCACACGTTTTGCAAAACAGCGGTTATCATCCGGGGCTGGTGATTTGCACGACATTGTAGTGCTCCTACCCAAGAAGATTGAGTCATCGGCATAAATCTTCTTCGAATGGCGTCATTCATTCTTGACAGCAGATACCTAGTTATACTTGTGTATGGAGCCACTCGGAACCGCCAACCTTGGAAACGCGTAGGCCAAACCACAGGAGCCAAAGATAATAAACATGCTCGGAGTTGCAAATCATCAAAGTTATCTACGGTCGGTTTCCAAGGCTCGGGGAGCCGGTGAGTCATAAAGCAAATATGCCCAGGTGAGTTCATGCATCTGAATCTTCGCACTTTCTTCCAAGTCTATCCACTCAGATTCAAACGCAACTATGGGATTTTTCAAACGCGAACGTATGTTGGGAGAATGTTCTTGGAACAGCAACCTGATTACAAACGATGTTGACTGCATCGGATCTGAGCGTGCTATCGAGTTGATTGTCGCCGATTATGCAATGCGTGAGCATGTGCAGCGCGAAGAAACAAAGAACCATAGGGCTATAGCCTCTCGAAAGGCGGCAACTATTGACTGCGATCAGTCTTGGCTTCGAGAAGAGGACGAAACGCTTGAGCAGGAGAAAAAGCAATTTCGTGAAACAGAGCGAGCTCTATATCGAGCTCTTTGCCTACTAGGACGAGGCAACCAGCAAAAGTATCACGACTTGAGAAGCAATCCTACCTGGTACATGAACGAAGGCTTGGTTCAGGACTGCTCGGAGCAAGGGGGGTGCTGTAGCCGGCAATGTGGTTGTTGTGCCAAAAGGCATCTTACTGGACTCAAGAAGGGTGTGGGACACTGCACTCCCGAGTGCTGGTGTTGTACTAGCTTTCGCGGCTCTGATCTTTCAGAGAATGAGAAAAAGGAGATCAGAGATGATATGGAGGCCAAACTTCGCTGGCGGACCGAGAATTATCGGAGTCTTTCGCCGTATCTTCTGACCATGGCGACTTGGTTTTTGTTCCCTCCAAAGGCCAAGAAAAAGGCCAAGAGGATCTGTTAGGTCGTCCCAAGAATGATCTCAGTGGTGCTCTTCTGTTATGGTCATTTTGCAAGCTCGTTGCTTGATGACAATGGACACTATTCGCTCTAGGAATCGCGGAATCAAATGATTTGTTGCTTAGATCCGAAAGTCCACACGAGCCCTAGAGCCTTTGTGATAGGATCTGCTGCTCTTATACTGCCGTAATATTGCCCCACACGAGTGGTAGCGGCTCTGCATTGACTTCTAGAAAAGGAGGCACGTACGATAATGGATCCAGTGTATTGTGGGACACAACTTAGAAGACGAAGAGTGAGAGACCTCTCTCGATCTATGCTATCTACATTGTGTTTTGATAAGTGTTGAACTTTCAGTACCACTGTATCTGCTCAAAACCTGACAAACCAGGCAGCCACTCCGACCTTCAACCATCAACCCTCACTAGTCTCGATACTGAGTACCAATGTCATCTATGAAGGAAAAGCCCGAGAGGCACTCCGACCCTAGATGCAGTAATGCCTGCCAAACTCTATCCCTTTGCGCCACAGAGTCCTCGTATGACAGCCCACAGCCGACAGAATCAAAAACCTAAAACGCTCGATTCGATATAAACTAATGCAGTCAACCTCTCCAATAATTCCAAAATCATAACTCATATCACAAGTATCAGATACATCGTCACGAAAAGCTCAAGTATATACAGAGCACACGACATTCGTCGCTCAAAACAATAAAAAAAACCCTCCCCGGTTTCTAACTCATATACATCAAATCGGATTCAACATCGACGCATCCGGAACCGCAGGTTCAATTTTCTGCCGACTCGAATTCGCAGATCTCGACCGTGATCCCAGATGCGCAGGCGGCGAAACAGTTGTCGGAACACTCGCGTCACGATGACTGGGACTGCGACTGCTTCGACTCCGTGAGCGGGAAATACTACTAGCCGTCCCCGTCCCCGTCCCCGTCCCGGTACTACTAGCCAATTTCCCGCGCTTGACCATTTTACCTAGAACGCCGACGATCTCAGCTGCATCGGCGAAGCTCTCGTCGTCCATTCCTTCTTGGGCGTTGTAGACGTCTGCGATGGCTTGTTTGGCGAGACGGCGGCAGGCGAGTGGATCTTGGAGGCAGTCGTGGAGGTAAGCTGCGTATTCGAGTTTGACGGAGAGACGGAGGGGGTGGGAGCCTGGAAGGAGTTTATCGGATAAGGCTGAGGCGTGGTTGAAGCAGGCTGTTGCTGTTGAGGTGTAGTCGAGTGCTGGGAGGAGGAAAGAGGATGGTTGGGGTTGGGGTTGGACGGGTTGTACTGCTAGACCTAGACCTAGACCGGGGGTCTGGAGGTTGGGATTTTGAAGAGGGAGTCTGCGCCGTACATTGACTCATGGGTGCATAGGGGTGGTGGCTCGTGCGTGAAAATTGGTCGATTGTGAAACAGGACGAAGATGTGGTAGAAGGAGGCGCGCAGTTTGTAGGCGAGGACTTTCAGCTCGACGTATAGGTCGACCATTGGGAGGATGAAGCCTTCTAGCATTAGGAGACCTTCTCGGGAGAGCCAGATGATGTGGTGGTATAGTTGGAGGGATCTTGTTTCACGGGTGGTGTCGAGACGGCGCAGCTTGCGCGCTCGAATGAGCTTCTTGGAGAGCATGACGGAGACGCCGAGAACTTTATATAGCATGGTGGACAGAAAGGGGTTTTCGAGGCCCATGACGGCGGCGAAATTGCCCAGGGCCTTTTGGTCGACCTCGGAGGAGGCCATCCATAAAGCGCGAGTCCCCGAGGGTGGGGAGGCTGGAGGGGAATCAGTCATGTTTTTTGTTTTCTTCTTTTGGGCCCTGCGCTTTCAAGACAACCCGATATCGTCCAGAACTATGAAATATCCGGACAAAAAATCGCAATTGGCCGAGGGCACAGTGAAGCAGGAGAGCACTCACCGATATGCGCAAACTGATCTTCAGTCCCAACACAGCGGCAGTCTCATGCTACGCGCTTATCCGAGACGCCGATGCGCGCAAGGATAGATCGGCGCGATAGACCAGATCGCACTTGCGACAGACCGGAACCGTGGAATTGACGTGTTCGGTTGCGGAGTATACCGTCCCCACCAATGGCAGTTACCCACCTGCAATTGACTATTTGTATGGGTCAAATAGTACCAGGGGCCCTCTGTTGGCCCTGCACAATGGGATTCTGGCGATGAGTCGACCTTTTGTAGCTTGCAGGTAGCTATCTGCAAGGAGTCCTAGGCGAGCTCCAGTGCGGTCGGTGCGGGGAAGGGTGAGAATTGGAGTGTCGCACTTTGAGCTGAGAGGATATTTGTACTCCGGACTCTGCAAATTGGCGACTTGACACTGTAGACTGTATACTAATACACTGTCCACTGTCCACTGTCCACTGTCGAGATGTGCAAGAGAGAAGAGAGGAATTGGTCCCACAAAAGATAATCAAAGCGGTGGATTCCATGCCCAACCCCAACTGCGTCTAGTTCGCTACGTGGCAGACATGACTTCATAATTATAGTACTCAAATATTGAAACTATCGTAATTATCATAGTCATAGTCCGTATAACAGGGGAAAATAGAAAAATAGAAAAATAGCAGAACTTAAACCGCCTCGCCAGGGCCGAGGACTTCAGGGCTGCTGCCCAAGTGAAACTTCAGCACGGACTGCCACGCTGGCAAGTGGCGGTGTTGATTCTCGCCATGAACAGCCTCATTTCACTTTGGTATTCTGTGCGTTTTTCGTCATTGTCCAGTGTCAGTCTTGAGCCCCACGCCGTCGGTGGATCGCATCGGAAATCTCGACTAGTCGTACAATTTAGAGAATATCATGCCATTCGATATTTCTCAACCACTCCAAAAAAACAAAAACAAAAATTAGAGATGAGAAACTAGTTGAGTTTCTTATTTCCAACCGTGACAGGGCGACCTCGCCGACCTTGGTACTTGGAATAGCCGTAGATCCCCCCAGCCACAAGGGCGATAAGAACAATGTTGCCTATTCCGTTAATACGATGATAGACACAGCCGATGAAGAACAACTCACTCGCAATCAAGTTGCCTAGTCCCCCCACGGCCTTCAAGGTCTCTGCCGCGGTGTGCAGCACCATCTGCACGCTCCCGACGAGGAATTCCACAACTCCGGTCAGGAGACCGGAGACTGTATTGAAGGCGCTGTGGAAGACGGAGAAGATGAGTTCGACAAGTGAGGTGAAGAGGTCATGGAGAGATGCGAGGATGGAAGACATGGTGGAGTGGTGTGATTGGACGATTCGAAGGTGGAGAAGGTGCTAAAATTATTGGAGTTGCATAGAGTATACTTGAGAGTACAGTTAAGTAGTGCAGACCCCCAAGGCCAGACTTATATACTCTGAGCGATGACGAGGTGAGGTTTACGAGAGGCAAAAACTGGGATTCCCTGAGATGCCCTGGCCATGACGTAGTGACGTAGGTATAAACTTTGTATACTTGGAAGACTCGAAAGGGAGACACTTCAGGCTTGCTTCTTAGCTTCCTAAGGTATTTGACAAACAGTAGTGACTTGAGCTTAGCACATTCTTATAGAAGACTGATTATAAGTGATCTTTTATATATAATTGTAGTTCGGATATCAACCGGTCACAGTGCGAACCAGCCCTGGAGGTAATCCATGCTCATTTACTCTCTTTCTTCCCTTCCTCAGCGAGCTTCTCAACTTGATCCTTGCGCTTCTCCAACACCTCCCGCACTTCCTCAAGCGTCTCCTTGAGCACAGTCTCCGCCTCACCACCCTTCTTCTGCGCAATCTTCCGCAGCGACTGTAACTGAGGAATCACCTTGGAGCCACCGGGCACCAACTCCAACCACTGATCCAAACTAGCCAAGTCGGTATTCTTAGCTTGATCAACCTTCTCGCGAACCCACTTCTCAACCTCCTCCGTCTTCCCCTCCTTAGCCAACCCCCACAAATCCTTGAAATTGCCCTTCTTCAACGCATCCGCATTCTCCTCAATCAACTCCTTCACCTTGGGATTCTTCTCAAGATACCCCTGAGACTCCTTCATCCCCTTCTCCCAAGCCTCCTCCCCAAACTTCTGCACAGTCTTCTTCTTCTCCTCAATCAACCTCTTAATCTCCTCCACCCCCTCAACACTAAAACCCTTCTGCACAATCTCCGAAATCTGCCCCCAAGTCCGATTAACCTCCTCCTTCGCCTTAGGCCCATACGCCTCCCCCATCTCCTTCAACTGCTCATACCCCCCACCAACCTTCTCCTTAATCTTCGGATGATTCTCAAGAACATTCCCCGCCGCATCCCCAGCAAGATCAAACAACTTCTTCGAATACTTCTGCAAAATCTCCAACGCAGCCCCCGCAGAGGCGGCACTCAGTCCTTCCCGTCTAGTAAGATCCCGTAACTCAGTGTACGCCTCACTAATCACAGAATCAAACTCCTGTCCATGATCTTTCCGGATCTTTTCCAGGTCATCGAAGGCTGTATCCACATAGCCACTGGCACCAGGGATGAATCGCGCATAGCTTTGAACGGTTTCTTTGAGCCAGTTGTATGCTTCGTTGGGTTCAGGTGCCTTTTCGGCGATCGTGCGCTTGGCTTGCTCGATGTATTCTTGTGTTTGTTTCGTTGATGATACTAGTTTCTTTGTACCGGAGAAATGGTACCATGCGTATCCTGTAGCGAAGGCTGCGGCTCCGCCTGCGAGACCGCCGACTAGTGCGGGATTGCCGGGTGGTGCGGAGGTGGTGGATTGGAAGCGGGCGTTGAGGCGGGTTCGTTGGAATTGTTTGGTTGAGCGGGCGGCTCGGGCTGAGGTGCGTCCGAGCATTTTGAGGTGAGATTGGGTGATATTAGGTGTGGTTTTGGATTGTGCAGGGTTTGTATGGGGATTGAGGATAAGAGCAAACCTGCGGTTTATAAGGTAGATTCCTGGAAGCTGGATTCTGATTCCTTGGAATTGACTGGAGTGAAAGTTACATTTCTCGATGTGACGTCAAATGACGGGCAGTTCCAAGAGTTGAGGGAGTCGAAGTGGTTCATCGCGAAAGCAGCCAGGCCTGGGTGATACCGCTGACGTCATGGATATCAAGCTTGGTTTTCTCGACTTCCGACAGGATCATTTTGAGCTAACTACGCGTGTAGATGCATCGGCAATTGTCTAGAATTCAGGTTTGTTATTTTAGTCTTAATTCAGTATGTTAATCATGAGATAGACCCCAAAGATGCACAATAAGCCAGGTACATCAGGTGCATCAAGGGGTGACAGGTATGTGTTAATGCAAGTATACAAACAAAATGTTCGGTTTTCGGTCTTCGGTCTTAATCCAAGTCGTCAATATCCTCATATCCAACAAAGGCTCGTCGCAAAAATGCCCGCCAGACCTTGTTCGCCTTCTTGGACTTCTTTTTCTTGGCCGACGAATCGGCGTCCAGACTGGTCTCGGCTTGGGCATCCTCGTCGGCTATTCTGCCTGCGAGCTGGAAGAAGCTGCGCACCGTGAGATCTTTCATCTGGTACACATCATCATTTGTGGTGTACTCGATCTCGAAATCGAGGCGAGGGTCGTCGGATGGGTTTGCGTCGATCTCCTCTTGGATTCGGGTGATGTTGGCGTAGTATTGGGTGTAGCCGAGTAAAGTGAATGGCTGATTCGAGTAGGCAGGGCCGGGGGGTGTGGTCGGGGAAGGGCCTTCTGGCACCTTGAAGTTGGGCTTCTTGCCCTTCTTCTTTTTGTTCTTCTTCTTCTTCTTCTGGGTTTCGGGGATGGAGTCATCACTGGACTCGGGGGTATCGAGCTCGGTATAGTCGTCAAAGTCGGAGACGTTTTCCTCGGCGTGATCTGAGGAAACGGGCCAAACTGCAGCGCCTTCCAACCCGGAGATGTTGTAGTCGATCACACGAAGACTAGGGAAATAGTTCGGAACCAAGCTAGGCGAGACGAGCGAGACGCTGTAGCGCTCGGCCCACGGACCCCCAATCTTCTTTAAAAACTTGCGCATCTTCTTCTCCTTCTTCCCCTTCTTGAATGTAGTATCGGAGACAGCACCGGCCTCCATCTCCGCATCCAGCTCATCGAAGACTCCCGATGGAGGCGATGGTAACGAGGACCACTGGCCGCGGAGTGACTCGAGGTAATCCGACTTGGAGCTAGTAGACACCCTCCCATCCACCTGGACATCGATATTAACCTTGTTGCTATCCTGCATGATAAAGTGATCAATATTCATATGACCGTAGAACGAGCCAACGATCACATCCCGATACTGATGCACCCAGAGTGTATATTTCTGCCAACACGTCTCGTCCCAGTTCTGTTTTTCACTCGAGTGGGCAGGAGGCACATGTCCCATGAGAATAGCCTTCATATTGCGACTCCGCAATATCTTCAGCTGGATCCGTAACCACTCCATATGTTCATACCCAGGCTCGGACTTGGCCTCGCACCCGTCCACTGCGCTGTTCGAGTCGAAAAAGTACATCGTGTTGAGACTGATCACTGCCAGCTGACCGGGCACTACCTCCGTCGTGAACCAGCCCCCTAGAACGAAAGTATGACGCTGGTCCTCCGGGATAAAGGCGTTCCAGATCTCCGCGAACCGCTTCGTCCACTTATTCGGGCCCTCGTCGAAGATGTTATGCGGCATGATGTCGTTATTGCCGAACGTCGGGATCACGGGGACAGGTAGTCTGGAGACGGAACTCGCGTGGTTCGTCTGTTTCTGGTTCTGGTTGAACATGGCGATCCATTTCTGCGAGAGGTAGGTGTTGAGATCGAGGATCTCGTCGGCGGTGCGAGGAAGCTTTTCATCGTTATCGTGTCGGGCGGAATCACCAGTCCAAATGACAAAATCAATCTCATCCTTCAAGTTCTCTTCGATCCAGCGAAAGGTCTCGTCGATGAGTGAGAGGGGTGCGTCACAGTCTGTGCCTTCGGCGCCAAAATATCCCGACCCCCCTTTGCCATGGTGGCACGAGCGATCGATCGAGGTCCCTGGTTTGTACAGACGGTCGGGATGAAAATCTGTTGGTCAGCGCGTTACACGTTCCACGCGGGTGTGTTTCGTACCTGTTATGTGCAAGAAGCGACCGTTCAGTCGTGCCGGCAAGTCGGCCAATGGCTGCTGCAAGGGACCGGCAATGACCGTGGCGAAGAAGCCTAGCAGTAGTATTGACTGCATGACTGCGTCTTCTCAGCCCAGTTACACACCATATGTATGTCTGAGGGTTGTGAAGTGCAGCAGAGAATTTCCGGGCGATCTTATCGGTCACGTCACCGATTTTCAGGAACCACTTTTTCTTTTGGCGTCCACTATACTGCACACTTGGAGGTATGAAATGTATAAGAAATAATGAGAAGGCAATTTATATAACAATTATCGCTCTTACTCCGTAGAGTTACCCCAGATCGACGAACCGACACTCGGTCAGAAGACCCTAACCAATGATCTCCCCACGTGTCCCGAGGACCTTGAGGATCTATAAAATTGAGATTAGTGACCATTTCTATAACTTCAACTCTCAGCTTGAACTACTGTCAAATCTCAGCTTATGCTCCCATGTCAGCTGAACTCTCACCAAAGTACTTTTGCTCACATCAGAAGGTTCGTTTTATTCTCCGTCTCCATCAGCCGCGGTCGCCTGATCGGCTTCCTGAAAGGGATACCGCAGCTTGCGTGAGACAGGTCGGACTCTGTGTGCTAAACTCATACCCCGTGAGCAGTGGACAGCTCATTGTTTGAAGCTTGCATATGAGAGCTGTGCAGGTTGGTTACATGTATGAAACATATCCAATATACACCGAGGAACTTCCAAGGTTTAGGTTCCATAGCTTGCAAGTATATATTCAGTTGAATCAAAGGTTATTATACAAGCAGGGAGCTGCCCAGGTGGTTATTGAGAATTGTCACTTCAATGTATCTCTCATCATTACTTAACAGCAGTGTGCGTCACCAGGCCACTCGTATTAATTGCGAATCATCATCTGCTCACATCTCGCTCTCAACGTAATTACCACCCGCAGCAAGAGTGGCATAGTAAAGATCCGTCTCAGCGCAGATCACCATCCGACCCTGTCCAGCAAAGTTGAAGTTTGCCGAAGTAGCTCCCACATAGATCTTACCGATGAGTTTGCCGGATGGGTTCCAGACCTGGACACCATCTCCACAACCCGCATACACGTTGCCCCAAGAGTCACAGTGAACACCTGTCCACGATGAAAGTCAGTTGTGATCTCACAAAACAATAATCGCTTGTAACGCACCATCGGGGGCACCGGAGTTAACAAAGGCAAATAATTTGCGGTTTTCAAAAGTCCCATCCTCTTTGACATCGTATCGGTAACTTGAGATTGGAAGAAAAGGTCAGCATGACTTTTTCAAGAACCAAGTGGATCGAGATACTTACACAGAGGCTGGGCGAGTGAAGTTGAGACCGAAGAAGCCGTCGGCGATACCCGTGTCGGTGATATATGCGTAATCGCCCTCGGGCGAGAAGGTCAGACCTGAGTTTTGATTGTATTAGACTTTATCCCGATTTCCCCCAAGAGAAAGATTTGACTCACCGTTCGGATGAACAAATTCATCCGCCACTACCGTGACGGCACCGGTGTCTGGGTTGAAGCGGTATACTTGGTCTTGCAGACCAGGAGCCGGGCGGAAATCCTGCACGTAGCCGTAGATCGTATCGGTGAAGTAAATTTCCTTGTTCTTGGGATGGATCGCCACATCGTTCAAAGAGTTGAATTGACGACCGAAGTAGTTGTTCAGAATGACTGAAGGTGTCAATATTTTGTTAGTTTTAGTCCATATTGAAGGTTGTATTCAGCACATTCGTACCTGTAGAGTTATAAGGGCTGTTCGGGTTCACCACCGATAGACCAGGGGGCTTGTCATCGCCCTGGCCCTCGCTAGTGAAGATCAATTGGCCACGATAGTTTGTGGCGCCTGTATCGCTTAATGTTAGCTCAAAGGTATCACATTACAGAGTATATCATGACTCCGACGACTTACCGTTTGGATTCAGTACCGTAGGCGACGAGGGTACAGTGGTAATATTCACAAGACCCACAGCATCGGTCTTGTCAGAAACAGCAGCGGCCTGCGCAAGAGAGATCTTCTCAATGATGGCCGACTTCTTCAGGCCTGTGCCGGCATCTTTGGCACCTGCATTCTGAACGAAGAAGACTTCATCGTTTTCTCTGGACCTATTTTCCAGAAGGATGTAAGTTTTCATTCTCTTCTGGACGTGGTCTTCAACCATACCATACGACAGCCTCGTGGAATAGAGGGTCTTTTGGGGAATGCCCAATGCGCGTCAGAGTAGGAGCTTCTCCGATAATTTTTAAGAACTCCTCATCGTATACATGGAAAGGTCGGTTAAGCAGGCTATCTTCAGTCGAGCCTGGTGGAACGAAGAGCTAGTGTTCGGGAAAAGAGTTAGTATAATTTCCAAAAGTGGATTTTAATCACATACACTTGTAGAGTTAAACTCCGCAGGGGGCCGGGTTGTATCCAAGACATTGAACGCTGTCTGGTCAATCACTTGAGCTTGTTCGGGGATATCGGTAGAGATGACCGGAGTCAGAAGCGATTGGCAAAGAACCAAGAGCGTTGGTAGTGAGCTCGATTTGGAGATCATCTTGTGAGGAATTATCCTGCTGGCCTAGAGATGACAGAGAAGCAGAAGGCGAGTGCAAATCCATCGACTCCAACCAGGGGGCATACCACATTTATCTACCGTGGTAAATGGTTCAACCGGTGATTGTTCCAGTCCGGCTGGGAGCGGGGTGCAGGGTGGAGTAAAGCAAGCTGCTCCCCAGAGAGTGTGCAGTAGAGCCCCTCGATCTGCCAATCAAGTTACACTACCCCCGCGCTCTCTACACTTGGGGGGTTGTACTCCGTAGTTTGCGCGGGATATGGCACAGTACCTTGGCGTTGCGCCCAATAAGGATCTTCTCCCGGAGTTACCCCGAGCATCGGCCCCGCAATTTCAGGCCGATCTGCGTCATTTTTGAAATGAGTTTTAGACTCCCGAGGTCATGATGAGAATGAAAATGAGCATGAGGGGATTTAAGAGACGGATGGCCGAGTGGTAATAGTAAGCAAAAGAGGGGAGAAAACGAAACGAAGCCCAAGAGTCAAGAGTCAAGATCTGGGAGAGGACATACCCCGTGGAACCCCAATACGTGCCCGCGAAGCAGTGTGCAGAATTCAGGACTCAATGGCCTTGGCAATTTCTATAGCTCGGGATATGGGCCGCAATTCGGAATGGTCTCTCTTTTCCACACCGGGCACTTTGCTGCCTTCCAGCAATATCGGGAAGTGGTTCTGCAGCCGGCAGCGAGGGGCTTGGCTCGTGGGTATGAAGTTTTTCCGTTACTGAGGTATTTTGTCGGGCTGCTTGGCTGCAGGGGGAAGGAAATTGGCTGACTTGGAGTCCCACGCTGAGAGCACTTGAATACTGGTGTTCCAGTATGTCCAAGGCGATGCCCACGCTACTAAGCTTCTGTAGTGTCGGTGCGAATGACTGCCTAGGGTAGGAGAGTTGCAGGCTTCCAGAGCCAAGCAAACGCGACACGGCTGGCCGATGTAGGTCCGGCATGCTTGCATTCCGAGCTGGAAGTTCCGGGCATTCCGTGGGTCCCAGCCTCCACGCCAAGCGTCGGACAAATCTCACGGATAATTTGTTGATTAATCAGTGCTAGCTCATTAGCAACCGTTGAGTTGTCTGAGCATGTCAAATAAAACCAGGGCTCGAAAATGCATCGGGTCGCTCCGTGTTATATCTAACAATGAGTGAGGCCTCTGCCTCCCACTCAAAGAAATGCCATGGGGATCAGAATCGTGGGGGTTCGTTAGAGGAGGGGGACTCGAAAACAAATTAATTCGCGGCAGACAGAAACTCTTCCAAAAGGCACCAACATTTTGGCATCTTCAACGGAACCTCATGAGTTCACAAGCCATGAGGTCTGGTTTTCGCGAGAAACAGCGCCATGGCCAAAGAGGCTCAGTGTGACAGCTTTGAGTCAGAGGCTTTGGAAAAACCCGAGCTGGGTGAAGAAATCAACCACGTGAGCCCTTCATCGCCACCACTTTCAGTTCGTCTCTGTCTACAGCTAAATTCGAAATTTTAATTATTTGACAATCCAAATGAGTATAATTCTACGGAGTATCGGTCACCTGCAGTCGATGTCATGACGTTATCAAAACCGTTGCTCACGCGATAGGGCGTCTTTTCTTTACTTCTCTTGACAGATAAATCCAATCTTGTCATATCATGTATCGATACAAGAGCATCCCAAAATCTGGACACTCATAGGAGAAAAGCTTTTCTCTTATCACCCAACGATGGACCGTGATCAAGATACTTTTCAACTATCTACGGACAGTCAGTTAGCTCAAGTGAATTTCCTTAGCACTTTGAGCCAAACCCTATCTTTCCAGGAAGCGGCAGATATATCTGAACGATTTCAATCGAATGAATGGATTCCGAATGGTCAAGTCCTCTGGAGTGGCGTACCTTATGAAATAGCCCAAGATTGGGCTGCTAGTCATCACCTCCAAACGTTAACTATTGCGATGGGGCCGCTTATGAACAAAAAACATCCGGATTGTCTCAAATCAAAAAAGACGCCTCATGAGTGGAGTCGCTATGTCCACGGTGCTTCTGCAGTCTTTGCTTGGCACATAGCTCAGGGAGAAAAGGTCACGCTACTTTCACCTCCCCCCCCAGAGCGGTTTAATCCGTCGGGTCTATCCTACTACCAAGTCATTGAAGAGCCTATTATTAAGGGCTTGTTTGGCCCCTCTGCTGTCGATAAGATGATTATAGCACATCCCACTGTTAAGGAAAGTGAGGAAAATTTATATGAGCTGTGGCCGAATGACGAAGGTGACAAATGGTTGCAAACATTTGGATCAAGGCGCCTTCAGACACACTGGAGGCACACTGGACTCAAAATGGAGAAACTAAAATCTCGGATGTTGAAGTCTGTTCCGGAAGCTGCGGCAAAGGCCCAGCAGGAGGCTGCGAAGAAGCTTAAGGACAAGAAGGAAGCTGAGGCAAAGGTCAAGGAGAAAACTGAAGCAAAAGCCCAACAGGAAGCTGCAAAAAAGCTTAAGGGCAAGAACAAAGCGGAGGCAAAGGCTCAACAGGAGGCTGCGAAGAAGGTTAAGGACAAGAAGAAAGCGGAGGCAAAGGCTCAGCAGGAAGCTGCAAAAAAGCTTAAGGACAAGAACAAAGCGGAGGCAAAGGCTCAGCAGGAGGCTGCGAAGAAGCTTAAGGAAAAGAAGAAAGCGGAGGCAAAGGCTCAGCAGGAGGCTGCGAAGAAGGTCAAGGACAAGAAGAAAGCTGAGGCAAAGGTCAAGAAGAAAGCTAAGGCAAAGGCCCAGCAGGAGGCTACGAATTCTTTTTAACAAGTTCTTTCCAACTATGGGTGTTTTTTGGTGATAATTATGTTGGTGAAAAGTGCGCGGTAATACCCCAAATTTATACATTCTGAGCGTAGAAGTTGTTGGCGTTCCTAGTCTCTGGTACATGTATGACTATATTTACTCCATGTTATAGAAATTTATCTTCTGTTGAATTCTGATCGCTTATTTTGTGATCTGAAATTTTTGTTCTATGATTCACTAAATAGGAGTCAGTCTATTTTCCAATCAAGCATTTGAACATCCTATACGCGTAAAATCAACTTGGCGTATTGATTTTTTGGAAGAACCGTGCGCCCTAAGTTTGGTGTGACGGCCCCTGTATCCATGTTCTCCATATCGGGCCTAGTTTGTGACGAATCAGGGTTCCAGAAATAGCTTTCCCGAATCGAGCATGAAAGCAAATCTCGGATTTAGCTATACAACTTGTGAGTATGGCGAGGCGAGAAGGGAAGAATGGCGGGATGTCATTTCCTAAACATAACCAGACGATGCGAGGTTGAAGCCTGGACCATGAATCTAGTTTCTAGGAAATGAGAAGACTGCCAAGATCCATCATGTACGCACTGCCCAAAACGTTCTTAGTGTCCTTGACAGTCCAACCCGACGCCCAAGCGTGGGATCAACCGCAGCCACGCGATGGTCCGGCAGGAAAGTCCCGAGGCTCGTTTGAGACTCCCGTGACAGACTGAGCCAGCCATCTGAGAGTTTGCCTCCATTGAGATTCGTATTCATTTAACGTGGGATGTAGTCGGTACGCTTCATGGTAGGTTCGTAGAGCACATGCCTTCTGGTACTACGGATGTCTGATTTCTTTTTCCTGGAAGCTCCATTTGTGATAACCAGAAATTCCAGAGACATCATCCATGGCTACATTTCACGGTTTTGTTTTGACATTCTTCCTCGCATTCTTCCCTTTTATTTCCCTCGCCCCACAACGTAAATCAAAATGTAATTCTGAGCTTGATGGTAGTTTTCCTAGATGTTCCACGTTACCCTGTTCCCATCTAAAGCAGAGCAATCGCCAAGATATCATAATAGCTGTACGGAGGCCAAGCTATTCTTAGACCCTGGTTGGGCGTTTCTTGGGACGCGATTCATGAGAACGGTTCGTGCCCTACTCCGTATACCAGGTCTACATTGCAAAAGCCAGTTCCAAGTTCGGCCCGGAGCGGTGATATCAGGACATCTCGTTTTCGGGCCAACCTCCGGATGGTTCCCAGGAAGCCTGTGGAAGTTTAACCAAAGAATTGATCTTGATGCAAACTCAGTAGTGCGCACGACCACCCCAATGGCTAGTTGAGTGGCAAGTAGGGGTTTCAATATGACAGATTGGAGGTACGGGCCGAAGTCAATAGTAAATTGAGGCCAGAGACACGCTGGGAACCGAAGCACAACAAGCTCATAGCCCGAGTTCGCCCGAAAGGGTTTAGTTTATTGTGGGGAAAGGACCGTGAGCGATGCAACACGGAGAATCCTCCGCACTCACAATGGCCTAATTCTCTTTAACCTCATTCCGCCATGCCAAGGATGTCGGGTGTTTCTAGAGAGCATATGGAAATGACATGTTTCGCTTACCTCTAAGACAGCAGTCGGTAAAATTTGGCACGGGGAATTCGCAGAGGCAAAAAAAAGCAATGTGACAGACAGCTCGCCACGACTGTAGAATAACCTAGGAGGTATGCAAGAATGGGTGCGTGATTCATGCTAATTTCAGATAAAAATTTAGCTGCTGGAACATGCTGTGCAATATTGATCCTTTAATATCGGTGAAAATCTAGACTCGCGAAACTGCCTGTGTTGTGCGATCACCTGCAGGCTAGCCAATAATTAAATCCGAACAGGGGCCATTTGGCCAGAGCTATTCGACAAATTTTCGCCTTTGCCTCTCAACGGGAGACAGGGCCGACAGTCCAGGCATCAGACTTTGACTGCTCTGCGGCAACAAATTTCAGAGTGAAACAGGGTCCCGAATTTGTGGTGAGTGGTATGATTGGGGAATGTGCCGATTCCAATAAGGATGCGGAGGTATCTAGAAAAGCCACCAACTAGAGGCGTCTACTGCTGGCGAGCGCAGGGGTCCGGGGTCACAAGGCGATGGAGTCTGGGGAACCGGACACTCGACCTGTCTTTCCGAAAAAGGAGTATAGTCGACCCTCGTGCTGATTTGCTGGCTTTCTTTTCAATTTGATATCCGACGTTATAAGAACTTCACTCTGCCCCGCTAAACTCCAGATTCACGGTTCGTCGCGCCAACTCCAGTTTATCATCGACCGGATCCCTACCGAGATCGTCAGTTCGCATTCCTGCGGCTCAGCCTTTAGCCATGTCAGATATGAAGGCGCAAGAAGAGGTGCATGGCATCTCATCTGCCATTGAGCATGAGCCTCGTGTACTCGCTGGTTATGGTGAAACTACCAAACGTGAGGGTGCAAAGACTAAAGAAGTTCACAATGTCAGTTTGCCCCTTGATCGAATCCTTGCTGTTTGGTGAAACATACTGATGCGGAAAATTCAGGCCGATCTGTTTGCTGCAATTGAGGAAACAAAGATTGAAAGATGGAGCAAAGAGTCTATTCATCTGTATTGTGAGTTTTGCCGGTCCCCGAGGCCATGATGAGGTGGAAGATCTTCTACTCGGTACTAACTTACGATATCCAGTCTGCATTTTCATTGCTTTCTGCTGTGCCTGTGCAAACGGTTATGATGGTTGGTCTTTTCTAAATTCTTTCAAGCGCAATACCTGACCATGCCCTAGGATCACTCATGGGATCTATCCTAGCCATGGACCATTATCAAGATGTTTTCAATACCGGAATGGATGGTCCTAAAGTCTCCGTCGTCACTTCCCTCTATACGGTGTATGATCTTTTCAAACATCTCGAAACATTCAACAACTGACCGAGACATTTTATCCACAGCGGTTCCATCGTCGCGACACCATTCAGTGCTGTCATCTCCGACAGGCTCGGCCGTCGCAAGTGCATGTTCGTTGGCGCATGGATTATTATCATCGGCTCCGTCATCATCGCCAGCGGAATGACATTGCCACAATTCGTCGTCGGTCGATTCGTCCTCGGTCTCGGAATTCAGGTCATGATTGTCTCGGCTCCAGCCTACGCCGTCGAAATTGCCCCGCCTCACTGGCGTGGTCGTGCAGTTGGTACGCATCTCGAAATACCCGTCTGACCCAAGATACACCATCAGATACCAGAGCTAATGTTGTGTTAGGATTCTACAACTGCGGTTGGTTTGGAGGCTCGATCCCCGCGGCCGCTATCACATATGGTTGCAACGAAATTAGAAACAACTACCAGTGGCGAATTCCTTTCATCTGCCAGTGCTTCGCTTGTGTTATTGTCATCTGCTCGGTTTGGTTCATTCCCGAGTCGCCCCGTTGGCTCATGACTCAGGGACGCCATGAAGAGGCTCATGCCTTTTTGACCAAGTATCATGGAAATGGTGACCCCAACGCTCGCTTGGTCAGACTTGAGATTGAGGAGATGAAGGAGGGTATCCGAGTTGATGGCATCGACAAAAGATGGTGGGACTGTAAGTCTTCGCAGATTCGTGGAGCTCTAAAATGGAATGAGCTAATTTCACATATCAGACCGCCCCTTCATTACCACACACAGCGGTCGCTGGCGTTTTGCCCAGGTTATCATGATCTCCATCTTTGGACAGTGGTCCGGTAATGGACTTGGCTACTTCAACGCCACTATCTTCAAGGTTATCGGGTACGAGGAAAGTTCCACTCAGCTTTTGCTCAACCTCGTCAACTCTATCGTCTCTGCCATCGGCGCTCTCACTGCTGTCCGTCTGACGGACAAAATGCCCCGTCGTCCCGTGCTTATCTATGGTACCTTTGGTAAGTTTCTTGCTGCATCTCCTGCCCTGGCAGTAACCCTATCATGCTAACAAAACAACAAGCTTGCGCTGTCTTTTTGGCCATCAATGCCGGTATCCTACAAGAGGTTGCCAACACAGGCCACATTGGCAAAACCAAGGGTCAGGCCGCTCTTGCATTCTACTACCTCTTCAACGTCGTTTTCTCGTTCACCTACACCCCCCTCCAGGGTGTCATCCCAGCGGAGGCTTTGGAGACTACAACTCGTGCCAAGGGTTTGGCACTTTCTGGCTTCATGGTCAGTAGTATCAGTTTCATCAGTCAGTTTGCGACGCCTATTGGTATGGCAAATATCTCCACCAACTACTTCTGGATCTTCGTCGGATGGGACGTCATCGAATCCGTTTTCTGGTACTTCTTTTGGTAAGTTTGGATGCAGAGATTTTGCGCGCCCAAATCGCTTTTTTTTTTTCTTTTCTAACGTCTTCTAGTGTCGAATCTCAGGGCCGTACTTTGGAAGAGTTGGAGTGGGTGTACCAGCAGCCGAACCCTGTCAAAGCATCCCAGAATTTGGACAAGATTGTTGTCCAGAGCGATGGAACTGTGACGGAAAAGATCGAAGATGATGTGTGAGGATCGTGCTTTTGAGGATTCATGTGCAGGAGGTGGTTTGCGAAATGTTGTTTAAGTAGTAATGACCACATGCATGGATATATTGAAGCAATATATCTGTTTCCGTGGCCATCGTCTTCCACTGCCTTGTTGTATATTGACAGTTTATCTAATTCATTCAACTTTGGAAGTGCCTTTTTGTTGGCAGTTTGTCTCAATTGACTTCAGATGTTTATATATTGAAGCCCTGGAGTGAGATGGAAAAAGAAATGTCAATCTCTGACCTCGGGAGGTTTGAAGGTTTGCAGGTGTCGGTATTTCTGCATAACACCTGCTCGCCCAGTATGCTATTGATTCAATATACACCTTTTTGCTTGAAGAGACAATTGTTGATGAGATTAATTCTCATCTGATTGCACACTAATACACCCGAGTCTGATTTGGCCCCCGGTTACTTGCACTGGTGGATCTGGGGCCACTCAGCCTCGCGCTAACATGGATGAGGGGAACCTTGCAACCTCAAACGTCTTTTTATCAACGAAATTTCTGCCTGCGTGAATCTACATTCTCATTCCAAATATCCGTGCTTGCAAAATGAACGAAGATAGCGCCCAAACCCCCGAGACTGGAAGCGCCACGCTCAGCAATGCCGCCCGTGTCGCCGAGGGGCAACGACCACCGAATTGGGTGCCAATCAAGGAAGAGTGCGGCTACACCCCGCGCAAGATTCGAATGATCTGCATCGGAGCCGGCATCTCTGGACTCACGATTGCGCATAAGATCAAACATGATCTAAAAAACAATGAGTTCCTGGATTACACGATTTACGACAAGAATTCAGAGGTGGGCGGAGTTTGGTTTGAGAATCGATACCCTGGTGTTGCCTGGTGAGATGAATTCTTCATGATTTCATGACCTTCTAAGGATCTATATTGGAGCTGCTGATGTTATTATCACAGTGATATCGCCGCCCGTAAGTGCCCTTACTAATTGATATTATTGTATGGGGTTTTCGTACAAATTTCTTACCACGCCAGGAAGACACATATGTGTTCCGCTTCGAGCCTAACCCTGACTGGTCCCACTTCTATGTTTCTGGTTCTGAGATCTATGAGTATATCCAGAAAACCGTGAAAAAGTGGGGACTCGACGAGAAGGTTGAATTGAACTCGAAAGTGATCGAGTCAGTGTGGGATGAGGAATCCGGAAAATGGAAGGTGAAGATCGACCAAAACGGAGTCATCAAAGAAGACGAGGCAGATATTTTGGTCAATGGCATCGGACTGGTGAAGTGGGTGACTTCACTTCCAGTGGCATTGTACCTGCGCTGATAATTTCTAGTGACTGGAAACTGCCCAACATAAACGGACTGCACGACTTTAAAGGAAAGCTGGTTCACACAGCCACCTGGTATTCCAACAAGCTTGGCTCCCGGCACATTGCAGACTACTGAATTTGATTTAGGGACGAAAGTTACGACTGGAAGGGCAAACGAGTGGCGGTTATAGGGAATGGATCGGCTGGTATCCAGATTGTCGCTGCAATGTATCCGGAGACGTCAAAACTTGTCAACTATGTTCGCAGTCCCACGTGGTTGACCCCTAACATCAACGCGGAGATGACTCGGGATGGATCGAATTTTGCCTATTCACCTGAGGAACGGGAGAAATTTAGAAATGACCCCAAAGCGTTCTTTGAAATGCGCAAGGAGCTGGAAGACCAGTAAGAGAAGTCCGACTGACTGATTCTATATCTCTAACTGACCCCTCTAGTGTGAATGGTGCTGCATATGCAACTCTCAAAGAGCACCCTCTGCAAGACTTTATGAAAGGAGCAGCAAAGGACATCATGGAAGAGAAGTTGAAACATCTCGACCCAGCCATCGCGGCACGAATCATACCCGATTTCCCTGCCGGTTGCCGTCGCCTCACACCCGAGAATGGCTATCTCGACGCCTTCCGCGATGAAACAACGGAAATGTGTTGGGATCCCATAGAGCGAATTACCGAGACCGGAATTCAGACCAAAGATGGCAATGTGGAAGAATTCGACCTGATTGTATGTGCGACTGGCTACAACTCATCGGGTCGACCTTCCTGGAAGCACGTGGGAAGGAATGGGCGCACATTGAGTGGGGATCTGGAAGCATTCTTCTCACTTCAGATCCCCGATATGCCCAATTTCTTCATGGTTGGCGGTCCCAATTTCTTGATCTCACACAGCACGTTGTTCGCTGCCATTACTTTTGCGTGTGAATATGTGGTGAAATGGACTCAGAAGATTGCAACGGAAGATATTAAGTTCGTTCACTTTTCCAAAGTATTATTCAAACTTTCAATTCGAGCTGACCTTTTATTGCAGATCACTCGATGTTAAGAAGGAATCGGTGGATGATTACAATGTTTGGTCGCAAGAGTTCTTGAAACGTACGGCTTTCTCTGGTGAGTGTACAAGTTGGTACAAGAATGGTAAGTCGAGAGGATTTGTGAATGCGTACGCGGGCACATCGAGTCATTTCCGAAAGTCATTGGAAAGAATCGGTGGTGAGCATTTTAACATACGGTACAACTCGGCGAATCGCTTCTCGTACTTGGGCAATGGACAGATGGAAGAGGAGAAGAATGGATTCGGAGACCTGTCCGACTACTTCGTGCAGGGTGTTTGGGGCCCATAATCCATGAACTACCGCCTCGAACAGTTATCGAAGCCATGCAAATTGTACATTCCAAGAAGTCGACGATGTGAATGAAATGTCTATTACTGAAGCTATTTCAAGGTTACTTGTAATCTCTTCAAACATCGAACCCCGGTCATCTGAGGTCGGCTATAATGAAACCAGTCACAATGCTCTATGCATGAATTTGAAGTACCTAGACATAGATATGAGTCGCTTTGGTTGACGCTGCTTGCTGTTGTAAATGCTCCATATCGTTTGTGCTCCACCGCAGAATTTCCTCTATGCTCTCATTTCCATCTGATGTCCGCGCTACTGTTTTCCCGGGGATATATGGTGTCATTCGCCTCGAATTAGGCGCTGAAGTACCAGCGTACGGCGAGTGAAGTTCGTATACACTCCGTCCAGAAGCGGGATATCTGTCCTCGAAAGAACGCAACAACGATCGAATGCATGGGATTGATGCCGTGATGATGACAAGATAGGCTTCGATGAATAGCCAACGATCATAGCTGACAGTTGCAACAGTGGGGTCATCATCTGGGTGTGCGAAGACTCTGGTCTGCGCTACCTTTATTATGGAAGCTATCATTGCACTGGATCGCGGTGCGTTAGGATTGAGATTCCATCATTATACATGGCATGCTTACAAGATGCCCAATCCAAGCAATGTAACCAGGCCAAGCTTTGCCCGAAATTTCAAGTTGAGGTTCCAAAATATGAACGTTGAGAAAGTCGCCAAGTAAAGATCGGTTGCTGAATTGAAAGCTAGTCGGAGAAGGCTGTTAGCATGATCCGATCGACATCACAACGACAGTGGATCGCTTTACCTCCTTGATAATATCCATAATATGCCTGAACACGAACGTCCCAACAGTTATCTTTGCCGCTTGGTGCCCATATAGCTGAAGCATGACCCGGGCATTGAACGAAGAGTATTATGATGAGCACAAAGTTCGTCACGAGCTGAAGACCGACTAACATCCACAAGATTACTCGATAAAGTCTCCTTGTCCCAAGTAGTCTGACGACGAAGACGATAAACGCGATGCGACCCAGTGTGCCCCCAGCGATGCCGAATGTTTGCGCCAAGTAGTCATACATTATGACCTTGGGGACTTGAGGCTTTATGTCCCACACATGTTGACCAAAGCCATGCTGAATGCCGACAGTAATGAAGCTCGATCCGACCACGGCGCATAACTGGTGGTTGAGCGAGTCAGCTAATTGCCATACCCGAATGCAATCTGGTAACGGACTCTGCCCCCAAATTCAAGAGAGAAGAATATTGACTTACAAGCGCTAGTATCATGAGAATGTCATCAAAGGCGAATTTGCCAATCTTGATCTTCGCAATCACCCTCAAGGTGACAGTAAGTATACCGAGAGCTGTGAGAGCCCAAACCTCGCGCAGAAGTCGCGCACCCGAGTCCTCCACTGTTGCCCGAGATGAAACGAGCATGTTCAGTGAAAGTCGAATCAAAGTGGATCACTCAATACGAGGACCAGCAGCGATGCGAAAGACGAACATATCCACACTTCAAGGCAAACACCACAGAGACTATATCGCATTCGCCGTATCAAATGGTTATCAAGCTGCAGTTGACAAGAACATTTTATCGGAGACTCCCAGCCTCGCTATGAGCTTCTCTCGCCAAAAGAGTATGATTATGTCAAGGCAAAGCTTAAATGGTGGCCAGTTTGCCCATCGGAGGTCTCCGGTGGAGTGTTGGAAATGATAAGAGACCGATCTCTGGCTACTCAGAGCTGGGGATCTTTGAAACCTAAATCACTTAGACCGAAAGATTTTCGATGTGCTTCCGATAATGCACTTTGTTCGCGTGAAGCATTCGCGCGGGTATGTTTGGTAGCTCAGCCGCTTCTGTTTCTGGCAGATAGACAGTTCCCAACTCCGAGTCTCGTCGATGACTGAGAAGAGAGTGATCAAATACATGGAGACGGCGTGATATGGCATGATGGCAGTCGTCTGGGCCGCTGAAAAAGTTAGATCGATGCTATTAGATCCAGACTTTGAAGTTGTGAATGTCTAGAGCCATTGAAGTCCCGAAAAGGTAACTCCATCCGAACGAAGGAGGCGACGGCGATGCTGGCAGGATGCCAAGCCTCACCCCCTTTTACGCGACATTACCAACTCATCCCCCAAGTTTCTTTCTCCCTTGAGGCAAAAATTTAGAATGATATTGCAAAGATCAAATAATCTCGAATGATACCTCTATCGTCTATCGGCATTTGATTCACAAAAAAGACAACATGTTTCAATAGACGTATCGGAAATGAGGATTCTCCCGGTCGGTGATATCCTCAAAGGCATGGGTGAAGTTGACATCGGGAACAACTTCGCCAGATGCAATTTTTGCATCTCTCTTGCGATTCTGAATACTATACCAAAGCCTCAGACAGAGCAGGGTGATCACCACAAGACCAAAGCATCCAATGAGGATTGAAAATGCCAGGTAGTACCGTGGTGCATCCTTGTCTCGGAATACCTGGGGACCGACGGCGTTACCAGCAGCCCAGAAGACAAAGTTGCACGAAATAATGATTGACTTTTTGGTCTGTCCGGCAACGTTCCGCGACAACAGGGCCAAGGAGAGCGAAGAAACGGCGAAGAACGAATAAAAGATCCAGTATGCGATGAGCATCCCAACACGCTTGCTGGGGGAGAAGGGAATGCCGATAAGAATTGAGCAGCCCAGGATAGATGGAATGACAGAGCTGATCATGATCCAAATTGTCTGGTGGAATTTGCGGTCGAGGTAGGCTGACACCAACATGGTGATTGTTGTCACTGCACCGATGACCATGGATAGAAGTTGAGCTTCCCAGGTGCTGAAGTCGAACGACTTCAAGATAATATTCGCGTAGGCACCAATGCCACCGGAGGGAATGGTCGTGAGGATTTGAATCAGTGCAAAGGCATACACTGTGGCAAAGTCAGTACGAGATCAAAATCCAGAAAAATCGAGTCATACATTGCGGATCAGTTAGTGCATCCCACACTTGTTCCTTTCTGAAACTCCGATTCTGCAGGCCTGTTTGGTTCTGGCGAACACGCTCCACCATCAGTTGCTTGTCTTCTTCCGTCCAGCACTTCGCTCTCATCGGTGAATCCGGCATCCAGAAGTATACGAAAGTTCCCCAGATTACAGTCAAGAGACCGTAGGTCATGAACATAGCTTCCCATGACTTGAGAGGGGAGTAAGAGGGCACGAAGGAGAATCCGAACGCCAGGAGACCACCAACGACATTTTGAAGACCGTTCATCATGTACCTGTGTGCATGTCAGCGAGGTTGAATGCCACGTACGAGAGGAATTTCACCGACCATAAGTTAATGACACTTCCCTGCTCTTCTCGTCGATACCATGTTGCTGAGAGAATGACAAACGTCGGCTGGCACGCAGCCTCAAATGCACCCATGAAGGCACGCAGAATCACAAGACCTGTAAAGTTCTTCATTGCCGAGATGAGAGTGATGCAGATGCCCCACAAGACAATATTCGCTGAAAGCCATTTTCCAATCGGCACGCGTTGAATGATCCAATTTTCCTATCTTCTTGTCAGCACAAATGCCTCCCCCGAATGATCAAGGGACAAAATACCGGGTATTCCACAACGAGAACCGTGAGGTAGACGACCGTTGTCAACCATTGGTACTGTGCTAGTCAGTCAATGTGTAATCGGATCAGGGGTCCGCATGACTGACTTGGTTCTCTGCCAAATTCGCATCTTCCACGATTCCCATAATAGAAGCGAAAGACATTGCTCCTTTGTCCAATGTCTGAATCAGGTATGTCACCATCATCACCACTAGGATTCGCTTATGGATCATCCGCCTAAGTCGCTTGTTTGTTGATTCGTCAATGTGAATGGCTGTATCGGTGGCATATTTAGCAACTTCTCGATCAACCAATTTGTAGTCGGTGTGGTTCTTCTGTGGTCCTTCGTCATGAAAGCTGTGAGCTTCCTCAACTTGTTGCCCGTCGTCTTTGTGCGTATTGGTCATTTCGTCGACTTGGTTGAGTTTTGCAACACTTAGATCCAGTCCTAATTTGACAGATATATCACATTATAACGCGATAATAAGTGACCCGCGTTGATACATCCGGGGATGCGGGGGTGGAGGCCCGGGACTCGCGGGCTTCGGTACAATATCCTCCCCCATGGGGAGAGCAGTGGAGAATATGCCCCCACGGCCGGACGCTTGCCGAGCGCTCCAGATGAAAGCCACCAAAAACCGGCAAGAGTGTGCCGATCTTGGCTCCGGCATCCAGTGAGCAGTCGTGTCGGCAACGGATGTGGCCGTATTGACCCTAGTCGCGCTCCACAGCCGAGTGTGGCTGCTCGGTAGAACAACAACCCGAACACCCAGTCCCGCTTCGGGTGGGGAAGACGAGGTCGCTTAGGACTGTTGCATGATCAGATGTGACCGAAATGCGATGACGTCTGATCAGGTTGACATCCCGTTTGCAACTGCTTGGTCTTGGTTTTCAAGAGAGCGTCAGGCAATATGGATGAGCCCTTGGTTACATTCTCTGGCTCCGCGGACCTTCTCAGCCTTGTTGGAGCTACCGTGCTGGTGGATGAAGATGACTTTGTCGGAGTTCATCACGCTGGTCGAGCGCTCGCTGAAGACTTCGGTCGTGTAACAGGAAGAAGCCCAAGCCCGTTTGAGGCTGTTGGACAGACCATCACTACCGCGCCAAGATCTGCCATCATCATTGGATCCATTGATTCTTGTCTCATACGGCGATTGGCGACCGCGGGCAAGATTCAAACATCGCATCTTCAAGGAAAATGGGAAACATTTCTCACCGTGGTGGTCGATCACCCGCTCGAAGGATGCGATAAGGCATTGGTGATTGCGGGCAGCGACAAGAGAGGGGCGATTTTTGGTGCCTATACCCTCTCCAGTCAAATTGGTGTCTCTCCGTATGTTTCACTCCTCTCATCGCTGCGCTTGCTAATGTTTCAGTTGGTATTGGTGGGCCGACGTCCCTGCGAAACATCATCCCGATATATTTGCCGTGCCTAAACAGACCGTCCACGGCGAGCCGAGCGTTCAATACCGAGGTATCTTCATCAATGACGAAGCACCAGCCCTCACAGGTTGGGTGTTGGAAAAGTTTGGAGGGTACAACACGAAGTTCTACATCAAGGTGTACGAGCTGCTCTTGAGACTCAAAGCAAATTTCATGTGGCCAGCCATGTGGCCTGGATATCCAAATCCTGGCGCGGTATTCTTCCTTGACGATCCAGAAAATCAACGGATCGCAGATGAGTATGGCATCTGCATCTCTACATCGCACCATGAGCCTATGCAACGGGCGACGACGGAGTGGTTCGAGGAAGGCCACACGGACGGGACATGGGACTGGACCACACACCGCGAGGAGATAATCGATTTCTTCCTAAAGGGCGTGGAGCGGGCGAAAGGCTTAGAGTCCTACTTCACACTCGGCATTCGCGGCGAATACGACAAGCAGATGGCGACCGACGATCCAGGGAAGGTTGTGCGTGATGTACTTCAACAGCAGCGAGCCCTTTTCAAAGCTGTCTATGGGCGTGAGGATGCGGTTCCTCAAGTGATGGCTCTATATAAAGAGATTCAGGATCTCTACCAAGCTGGCGAGTTCACCGTCCCTGACGATGTCACGCTTCTATTTGCCGATGACAACTTCGGGACATTACGTCGACTGCCGTCTGGCTCTGAGAAATTACGAAAAGGTGGAGCCGGGGTAAATTAACCTATCTAGAGCCCTGAATATGACATGCTAATCTCAGGACAGATCTATTATCATTTCGAATACGTCGGCGCCCCTCGAAGTTATAAGTGGATCAATTCGAACTCACTGGTGGGTTAAATGAACCATTCATTTTGCTCAGGCTGACAATCCATGGCGTGGTTAACAGGGTAAAATATATCACCAGCTAGACCGGGCCTATCGTTCTCACGCTCGCAAGATCTGGGTATTTAACATTGGAGACATCAAGCCCATCGAGGTGCCTCTGACGTTCGCCATGGACATGGCGTGGAACGTCAATTCTGTCGAACCTACAAGCATTCCTCGCTACCTGGGAAACCTCGCTTCTCATTATTTTGATAATGAAGTGAAATCGGAGACAGTCGCCATTTGGCACGAATATGACCGTCTTGTTCGCATGCGCAAACATGAGCACATCGACCCAGAGAGCTTCTCGCTACTCCATTATAACGAAGCAGATGACATTGTCGCGCGTTGGAAGAAGTTGGAAGTCGAGGTTGACACTCTATATAACCGTGTTCCAGATCTTCAGAAACCTTCGTTCTGGCAGCTCGTTGTACATCCTGTCAAGGCGAGCACCATTTTCATCTGCCTCCGCGTTACTCAAGCCCGGAATCAACTCTACGCACGTCAAAGGCGCAACACTGCGAACAACCTGCTGCGCAAGGCGCTCGATCTATTTGATGCAGACTTCAAGCTTTCTCAGGAGTTTCATACACTGCTGGACGGCAAATGGAATCATATGTTATGCCAGCCCCATATGGGGTACGGTGATACATGGCATGCACCTTCGCGTGATGCGATCTTTGGTCTGGCCTATGTTCAACGGTCTCAAAATAGCAATATTATCGTTGGACAGATGGGCGTTGCTGTGGAGGGTCATGAGGGGATCCGTGCTGGTCGCATTAATGAAGAGAGCGAGCGAACACATCCGAGTCGCCGTGATTTGGTACCTGGTCTCACTCTTGGTTCTATGAATCGATACGGCCCAGTGAAACGGTGGTTTGATGTATTCACACGAGGAGCTCAAATTATTCACTGGAAGGCATCTGCGCCTCACTCCTGGGTTCAACTTTCTACCACTGTCGGGACACTGCATCCAGATGGCGAAGATGCTCGTGTGCTCATCACGATTGACTGGGACCAAGTGCCAGTCGACTTTGACGAGGAACTCCTGATCAGCGTCATATCAGAAGAAGGCGACTTTGAACATGTTCATCTCCCGGTGAAGGGGCAAAAAGCTCCCCTCTCATTTTCTGGGTTCATTGAAGCCGATGGCTGCGTATCCACTCCGGCATCAGGATCGAATTTGAGTCCATTTTATCAGCACCATCCCGACCTCGGTCGCAGAAGTGAAGGTGCCGTATCGTTGGTCGATGATATCGGACATGAAAGCAGTGATGTGCCTTTCCTCGAGTATTCTGTCTTCTTGTTCTCATCTTCTCCGTCTCCCTCGATCATACTATACTTTAACATGACTCTTGATGTCGACCCAGCTCGTCCCATGTACTACGAGCTCGGTATTGACACTTGGCCTACTGGATCACACCGCTTGCTTTCGGCAGACGGAGACAAAAAGACGAAGCTTCCAGCAGAAGGTTGGACGGACGCTGTGATGGATTGTGTGTGGAAAAAGACTCACTCTGTCTCGAACATGGAGGCAGGAGTCCACACCATCCGTATCCGCTTGTGTCACCCAAATCTGCTGTTGGAGAGGGTTGTGGTGGACCTTGGGGGTGTCAACGAGAGTTATCTTGGACCGCCTTCCAGCTACCGCGCACTGGATTGACCTCATCCCAATGATGACTGATGATACCTGGCAGATATGAAGTGGGGAGAATTGTATACAAGATTTTAATATACAATAAAAGATAAACTCAGATCTCAATCTACCCAAGTGTGCTGTTTACCTTACCCAAGCAGGACCGTTGAAATACAGTTTCTTTGCGATGATTTGTCTTTTTCCCAATGCGCAGTCACAGCCCCCCGGGCTCCCTCAACGACCTTCATATGATGTCGATCCAAAAACTGCGAGAAAATATGTAAAACCACGGTTCGGTCTCCACTGGAAGTGGCTAGTCGGCCGACAACATACAGAGGCCAAGTGAGCGTAGCCATTGGGGTCGACAACACGCAAACTCGAAGCAAGCTGTTAAAAGCCGTTTGATATATTCCATAATCTGACGAGGCCGTGGATGAAACGTCGAGTTGATCGGAGAAAATCGAGGGTATCGCCACACGCAGTGCCAACAGCCCGCAGGACTTGTAAGCTTGCGCGATTTGCACCGTGGCTTCATAGTATGCCTCGGTGAGGCCTGTGGATTCAATTGACCATGAACGGAGGCGGAAATCTAAGATTCGGGCTTTCTCATCAACGTCCTGTCCAGAATTCACCCGTCCGATCACGTCGGCCAGTTCGTGCATGAGAGGCCATAAACTGCTGCTGCAACCGAAAATAGGGTCGATCTGTTCGACTTGCTGGGGGTGGTCAGGTTGAATCTTGGTATACAACTCCAGGGGTTGTATGCCGAGGGATAGTGCGAGCATCACATTGAAGTATTGGAATATCTTGATGAAGAACTTGAAGTGAGGGGTGTGGAAGATACTTCGGTCGCTCTCGAGAAGGCTCTTGGCTCCTTGCAAGTGGCACCAGGCATTTGTTGCAGAGTTGCCTAGCACTATCTATTGCATGACTAGTATCAGTTTGTGGCTGTGATCTGGCTCTTTTTTATCACCTACCTCGTAGTAAATAAGCAGTAGGCTCCCTGCTAAGCTGTTGCGCCGCGAGGCTTCGTCGAGGTGCGGATGACATACTTCGCTGGCCAAGAGGTTCAGCGACTGCATATGCAGCCTTGCAGGAACATTCGAGGATTCTGTCCCGAGTAGATATAGATGCGCAGCAGCCACAGCTTCAATAGCACGTTGGACTTGAGTTGACGATGACGCCAATGGTAGAACGTGAAGGAGAAACGGATTTTTGTCCTCTTTCCGATAAGAAAACGAGATCAGACTCGACACGATCGTCTGAAAATGGTAGAGAAGTCGATTTGGGTGACTGCTCGGTTGTGCAGCAAGTAGCAAGGGTCTTGGTCCAGTGTGAGAGCTGGGTCGTTGACTCTCCAGCATCCTTTGACGCGTGCGAGCATACTTCACCATGCTCCAATCTGGGTAGACGCACTCGACACCTCTCTCCTCGCAGATGCCACACCTTGGTCGTGTTTCATCACATTTCTTCCGTCTTTTACGACTGCTTTTGTTAGTTGAGTTTCACCCTGGGGAGTTGATGATGTTACCAGTCCATACAACCCCATCTCGATCGCATTTCTTTTGAGTCTCTTGGCATCTTCAGCAAGATAAAGTAGAGATGCAAGTTTTAGTCCCTGAAAAGGTCAGTGTAACCCTTCCCCGCCAAAGAGCGGCAACAGCGGAGACTGCGGAGTATCCGGGGTTACGATCGACGTCCTCGACTGCCGTTTGAGGGGTTGATGTCTCAACACAATAGTATATTTAATATAACAGAGAATTTATAGCAGAAAGCGACCCAAGGTATCACCATATAGAACAGACGCACGAAACCAAACACCAAAAGCATGTCGAACAAGCCGGACAAACCATCACGATCCCACATATAGCTTCTTCCCCCTTCATTTGGAACTTCGCTAGAACCGACCCCCAGGCGTACTCCCGGGAGCCTCCCAAATGATGGGATGGCCCTCCAGTTCCGTCGGGGCACCATATGCGCGACTCGGTACAGGCGGTTCATTCCAACTCCAATGACCCTGCTGTGCAGCCGGAGAGCCACCGTGCGCGGAAACATTTTCCATTCCCGGTGAGAACGTTCGGACGGTGGGATCCGGGCTAGACACCGCACTAATATCGATATGACCTGGCTTCGCGGCAGTGCTCCCGATTTCACTTTTTCGGTTGCTGGCACTGTATTGATCATCATGATTGAACAGTGCCCATCGACGAGTCCGTTCTGTCCGACCGTCTTGTGAGGACACCCACTGAGAGTATACGCGGTTTCGGCCGAGGACGAAGAACAATGCGACCAGAATTCCGAGGAACACTGCGCCCGCGACGGAGATACCCGCAATAGCGCCCGTGCTGAGATGTTTGCCGCCGGAACTATTGTCATTGGAACCTGAGTCGGTGTCACTACCACCGCCCTCTGCTGGCATTGACTGGCCGGGTACCAGCATATAGGGGTATTCGAGGGCTTTTTTGTATTGAGATTCCCATGTCTGCGTTGAGTTCTGACTTCAGATCAGCGTCTGTCATCATGCGGAGAAGAGTCAGGATGCATACCGGATTGATCACGCCAACCATGCCGTTCTTGAGACAAGAATCTATCGCGGTACAGTAGAAGAATGTTGGCTGTGAGAGTGCAATGTGAGTACAAAATACCATGATAGGGTGGAAGCCCGATCGCAGTACTTACCTCAGTGTTATTGACCACTATTGACCATGTCGGAGCCTACATCTCATGTGTCAGCGGTTTGCATTTTCCATCAAACCTCGAAATGCAGGTTGATTCACTTACAGGTCCGACAAGTTGACCGTGTTGCTCATTGAAATCATCAAAAGCGCCAGAATAGAAGATGTTCCCACTAGCTGGCACACAAGGAGCAAGATAGTCTGCCTTCACCACCGAATGGTTTGTTGGGTAGAATTCGAAAACGACGATATCGCCCACATTTGCCGTTATGTTGGTCGGCACATACTGATGTGGATCGGATTTCGGTCCAACTTGAAAAGTATGAGTTGCGATACCTGTGGCCGATGTCGTCGAAGCCTCGTTAGATGTCGGAGTAGCCGCAAGAGAGGCTGAGTCTGCTGCTGTTGCTACAGTCACCAGGACTGAAGCTAGCAGTAGTTGAAACAGCTGGTGCATCAGCATACTGAGAGACTCTGCTCAACAAAATATGCAGTGTACTGCACTCTGTGTGTTTAGGACTACCTGTGATGTGAGAAAAGGAGGTGGGGATACGTGAGAGGAAAGTGTATGGTCTCATAAGACAAAGAAAGTCAAATCCAGGTTTCGGAAACGGCTGAGCATTATTGGGATTTGCTTCGATTGGGCTGACCACCGTTGACAATGATTGAGTCAAAGACCCTTTCGATAGGCAGAGTCTCGCCGAAGTTGGGTACCCCCAGCCTACGCCCCCACTATACATCTTTTGACAGATTACTATCGTCAGCCGACTGTGATTCGCTGGTACAATGCTTTTTAAGCACCTAGGAGGCTCTGCATACACTAACAATTAGTGTCGATCAGACCCCTGCTGGGTGGTTATGAGACATCTTGTAACTCGGCGGTTCCCACTCCGTACTAACTTCGATGCTCAAATCACGCTGAGCATAAAAAAGGAAGATCCAGTCAAAGCATTAATTATACATTCAACTCGACAATAACTCTTGGTTTCTGGAAATTCTCACCAATGCCAAGCCCCCGGGTTTGTTGTCAGTGCTGCATTTTCTGTGGTCAGCAAGCCACGCAGGCTAGGCCACCCTCCTTGCCGCTTTGTTCCAATTAAAGATCGTATCCGATAAACGTGCAAGCCCTCGTGGCCGCCGGGATCAAAGAATTGTTTAATCTGTACTGAAGATTTATTTTAGCTCAACAAAGCCCCTTGATCAAAGAATCCGAAACGCCGACCGTTGGTCAGGGGATAATGACATACATCAACTTTAAAGCTTGGGTAAATCCAATTATGTAGACAGAGTTCGCCACTCAGCTTTGAGCAAGCCCGCTCTCCTCAATTTCGGCCGTTCCGTTCACTTGACTCAAGGCGGAGTCATGATTTGCTAGTCCAGCCCTGTCAGCATCTGACCAGTGCCTACTCTATAGTATGAGGTACATAGGAACCCCTCCTGTGGACTTCCGAGGCTTGGGGGACGCTTGGTAGACTATTTTCCCACGAGTTGCCATGAGGTGATTCCACAGGGTTCTTGGCATGGAGATATTGCTTGCTTATTCCAAGATTGTGTCGAGCGCTGACTTCCAATTTCGTCTATCCATTTTCCATCATGCTTGTAGACTGTGTTATTGTTTATAAGGATCTTCAAGTTATCGCGAAATTCTGGAACGCGACCAGGAGTTGTAAAAGCAAGCATTGAAGATAGACTCCCTTTGTTGTCCTTCCTTTCGAGCACACTTTTGTTGATGAGATAACAAATATTCCCGGAGACACAAAAGCCCGACATGAAATTCATCATGACCCCAGAAAGCTTGACAGACAACAATGTTCATCAACGGAGTCAATTTAAATGGGACGCAGCGTAGAGAGAGAGAGAGAGAGAGAGAGAGAGAGAGAGAGAGAGAGAGAGAGAGAGAGAGAGAGAGACAGGGGAGGGAGGCAGGAAGTTAAACCGCAGGCTTCGGCCTCAGCCTTCGCGCAGTACTTTCTCCGCCGAATGCGAGTAGAAAAGCTCTCCCCAGTATGTGGTTGATACTGCGGATTCCTTTCTTGGGCTCCGTGCTGAAAGGGCAACATTCAGCAGGCTAGACTGGCCAAAACAGGACTGATCGTGATGAAAGGAGAGAGCTTGCACCTGGTGGTGGGAACCTAGGTGACCTAACGTGTGCCTCCGACACTCCTCTTGTTTTGAGGAGAGCTCGGGGGTACTCTGTAAATTCTTCCAACGTTATGAAAACACTGATGCAGGAAATCAATGCTCTGCTTCCACCGAGGCGAGTACAACCTCATCAACGAATGGCTTCCTTGCCCATACTCGTTTTCTGGGTTCAAGTTAGCATGATGCGGGTTCACGTAAATGAATACAGTGACTAACACTTTATGGCAGGTGTGATAGTTGGTGTTCCTCAGTGCATTTCTGATCTGAGCCAACCAAACCTGAACCTCTTCCTTAGACCAAGGTTTTGGGACACCAAATTTGGTCAAAAGATACATGCCGTATCCCTCAAGGCCTGCCAGCCAATGCTCGAGATTCACCGTTCCTATCTCTTTCAGTTGCTTGTCTCGAGGCCACGGTCCGATCGGCCATTTTCTGATCTCTTCGTGGATGTCGACGAATCCGGTATCTCTAACAAGATCCATGCACCGATCATACAGATCAAGTGGTCGGCCGCTTTTTTCCGCCGCTGATCGCATTAACGGATACCATTCCTTCAATTGGCAGTCTTGGGGCCAGTTATTATCCTCGCTTTGAAGGTCGAGGGTCAATTCGAGCAATTCAATCCAACCACCCGGGCGCAGGCTCCTAGAAAAAATCAGTAAGTTCTTCTTCTCGGCCTTTGAATTTTGGTCAACGCACTCATAACACTGTTTGTATAGTCTGTTGCTTTCTTCGTGTGTAAATGCGCCTTCCAATATGCGCATGTGAATCAGATCGAACGGCTGCTGCCATGTCCATTCTTGGAGGACATCGTCCACTTCGAGGACACAGTTAGGCGGCATCCACGAGACTGGTGGTGGGAAGAGGTCGACCCCGCGGACGATAGCTAGGGACATTAGCTTTCTCTGATACCACGCCTTCAATTGAAACCGCCCTCTTACCATTCGGGAACATGTCGGCTACGTCACTTTGTTTCAAGTCAGTAACCAAACAACTTCAGTTTGTATTGTACTCACATTGCCCAAGATCCTTTGCCGGTTCCTATATCCAACACATGCTAACACATATTAGCCTCTTATCAATCTGTTCAGTGTCAATGGCATACTTTGAGCCCTGCCCCGACTGGCGACCGAAAGAAGGGATTTAATTGATGCCTTTCCATAAGGAAAGCCGTTATGTGTCTGGTCCAACTTAGTACTTGCTTTGCAGAACGCAGGTCCGATGTCGTACCCAGATTCATAAGCATCGAATTGTTGCTCATCAGATGGCAAGAAACTGAAAGACCCATCAATCAGCGCTGATAAATTTGTCGACTGTTGTCTATCATGCGACCTACAACGAATCGGTTTTCAGTGTCTGATATCTGTCCTGCTGTCAATTTCCCCATCAAAGCAGCTCCAGGTTACGGATAAAGATGACAAACCTCCTCCCATTCTCAAAATATCCTCGGTGCATCGAAGACTCGATGGTTCTCGTCTCACTATGCAACCGATTAGCAAGTTACCAGTGTCTTCAAACCGAGAGCTAGCTCACGAATGCCAATCCTCCGGCAAATTTACTTCGGTCGCAGAGTATAGATCTTTATCCTAGAATCAAATCAATTTAATTGCTGACAAACCGCACTGAATATTAGCAACACGAACCGCTTTTATCTTAATATTTTCCATCCTGAACTTCCCCGCGGTCGGACTGCCAATGAGTAGGTGTTTCCGCTCGGGATTGGAGTGGAGCGTTGTTTGAGAAAGATCTGAGAACAGCCGACACCCCCAAAAAAAGCCGATAGATCGAAGGGACCGCGGGAGCCTCCTCAGAGCAGATTTCAGAACGGGCCGAGTCTGCTCTGTTGACACGCCAATGAAATTTCGCCGCAATCCTCGCTAGTTTGTGTACTTGACCGTTAAGCCTTGAAATCTCAAATCCAGTCCATTGTGTGGAGGTCCTTTCATCCGATTTGTGGGTATTTGGTATGATTGCCACTTTGTTGACTTCTCACTGGATGGTGCGGAAATGTCGAACAAAGAAGTTGCCGCTAAATCTCCTGCGTGACCGGGGGCGCGTCGGTATCGGCCCCACTGCCACCAATCGCAATGCAAAATGGCCCCTATCCTTGATTTCTACCCTGTACGGAGTACGGAGAGCATCCGGGGCAGTCATGACATGGGTGGTATAATCGAGGCCGTCGGTGCAGCTGCTAAATATCCCTGAAAAGACGCCTTGATCCCACCTCTACAATGATACATTGAATTCTGAATACATGCGCGGACGAGCATTGTGCATTAGGCTTCAATCCCGTCCGCTAAAAACAAACAAAAAGCGCCTCGACAAATGCAGCAAGGATACTCGGGGGCTAAACATGTGCCATGTGGAATTTCTAATCATCGCTCCAATAGCCTATTTTCCTGACTCTCCTCGTCTCCGGGTTTTCGTGCGGGCTGCTTCCCGTCTGCGGATAGCAATGGGACCTTGTCAAAGATAATCCAAGTACAGATTGCGATGATCAACGCCTCGGGCAACATTGTCATGACCAAATAAGCGGTCGCATTGCCCTTGATAGCATTAAACTTCATGTCGGAGGTAATGATGAAAATTAAGGAGTATGCAAGGCGCACTGCCAGCAGCGGAATGCACACGGCCACCCCTGTTATGCCCCACCGCTCTGTCTCGGGGTAGTCCTTTCGGCGAAGCCAAAAAGCCACGAAGACTCCTACCAAGTACAGGTATATCACCGCAAGGAGAGCTGTGCTTGCTTGGCTCCAGGGTGTTGGAAGGTAAGCATTTTGGACGTGCATAACGGCGACCCATCCACCAATGGAGATCCCGATGTCGATCCAGGTGATGATTGATGGAATTAGGACAATGCGTTTTCGGATGATTGCCATATACTTGTTTCTGTATTCAAATGATCCAAATTTAGTTTCTATCATTCAGTTTCGATGGAGTGGACTCTCATACGTTCTTTCCAACAGTTCAAGTAAAAGGAACATGATCAAGATCATGCCGAGGGATTCACAGACAAATATAGCCGCCGAAAGGCCCCGGGCATGGCTGTTGATGGCTGCAAGCTTGCAGCTTGCGCCTATCAGGCGGAGAAGTGAAAAGATGCCGATGCAAAACCATCCAATTCGACCTGTGCATTTGAAATACACTGCTAGTAGCAAAGGGGTAGAGAATATGACAATTTGGGCAACGGAGATGCCATCGCGATACGTAAATATTCCGTCACCACTCATGCTTTCGCAGTTTGGTCTTCCAGAATTCGTGTGTAGGTGTGGTGGGTTCGGGTTTGATATCGAATATATAATTGCTCACTTGGTCCGTAAACTCCTTGGTGCTTGGGGTGTTTGATGCAGTAGCAGCGTTGGCAAGATGCCTGGATGAGATAAGTGAGAGTTACACATCTTTTTCAGTGAGTTTGACACGCTTTTATAAGCCTCTGTCCCAGATCAGCGCAAGACTTGAAGCTCTCAAGGCTCACCACACGTATACAAGGTTGTCTTGGCACAGGGCTGAGCGTCCGATTTAGGTCAAGCGCGCGAGCACACGTGACCCAGCGCCCAAACATCGTGCCGACTGGTCACGTGCATCTCAACCATGCCCCGTTTGGGCCTAGCTCGTTTCGGCCAAGCCACCATCCAGCAAAGCAGCCAATCAACACCGGCAGACTGGCAGATTAGCAAATCAGCAGTGAGGCTCGGCTTTGCTCGACTTGATTGATAATTGAGTTTCCGTGGTTCAGGTTCTACTAGGGCTGATGCTCTCTCTAAGCGGCTTATCCGGGAGATCATACGAAGTAGAAACTTGCACACAGTGACTCTGTGGTTATCCGCCTGATTCACATCATCTCCTATACTTAAATACTTGCATACCAAGCGAGGATTACATCACCGGGTTATATCCAATCTCCAACCTGCTTGATTGGCCGATTAGTGCTGAGCCTAGCAGAAAAGGTAATCTCGGAGGGCTCAAATTCTGATTGCAATTAATCAACATTGATATAAAGTGGATCTCCATATCCGATTGAATCCATGGATACACCGAGGCAACGAACACAATTGCCTAGAAACTCCCCAAGATCTCGATTAACTTTTCCAAGGTTTTAAATCGATTCCACGTGGTATAAGCACCTGCCTGGATGAGATCTAGTGTCTTTCCAAACAATGGCTTTCAAAACGCCATTACCCTAATTTGAGATCTTCTTGAAAGACCACATGGTCTGGGCCACGTGCTCCTCTTGGCGATGAGAAAATCTCAATTCTTGTGGGGTTTTGTCTGGGACTTTCAGCTGTGGGAACAGAATCTTGCGGTAAATAGTCACCCCCGGGACCGGCAAGCTGAATGCAGGCTGAGCTGTAGCTGTGCGGCGGACATTTCCGATCGAATATTTACAACATGGTGGGGCATTCTCGCGCATTTCTCGATCAAAATGGCCTATCTTGGAATAGGCCGGATAACTTACCCGCTTGGGCTTACACCGAGACCGCCCATATTAGGGCACGTTTCAGTCGACCCGACTTTCATGGAGAAGGGGCAACGGTCGAGCCCAATGATGGCTTGCATTTCGGCACTAAATAGCGATCCATCAACGCTATTGCATAAATTTGTGCGAAATAGATAACCTTAATGTGTTCTAGTTGCCAAGCTCTTTTACAGGGGTAATAATAGCGATGCCGAAACAAAAACCGATGTTGCCCCCGGGGAAAATGTCCACTTCTTCAAAGATCTCTGCGCAGTCTGTTGAACGAGTCTTGGACCATCATGAGGTATCAACTATGGCTGTTTGCTGCTCTAGCCTTGCTAGTAGGAGGGCTGCATGCGGCAGCTTCAGATGAATCCTTTCCATCATGCACAGTAAGTTCTCATCCCAAGGCATGCGAGTCGGCTGCTCATTATCTGAAAGACTGCATGCGACAAACAATTATTCTCGGACTGCTCCTTGAGCACAAACACAACATGCTTCTGTGAGAGCACCGCACGTTACAACACACTATTGAATTGTGTTACAAGCAAATGCACAACAATGGAACTTTTTAGTAAGTTTCACTACTGTTTGATCAACAAAATTACAATCTAATCTTCCACACAGCCACCAAAAGGCTCTACGAACAGACATGTGATGTAACCCCACTTAAGGGCCCTCCAATGATCAATGGCTCAACTCTTGTCCCCATGATCCTTTCCACATTCTTCTTCTTTGCAAGAATCATTGCCAAGAGCAGTGGGCTTGCGGGAGGATGGGGGTGGGATGATTATACTATCATCGTTTCCTATGTGAGCGCTCCCCAATCCTGTGCTAAGTATGCCTCAAGAAGCCCGGGCTAACGTTCGACAAGATCCTGGGATTGGCAATCTACATTCTCAATATCTACAGTAAGTTTATATCGCCAAACACATCAAAGCTATTCAAAACTGAGAACTAATCAACCAGTGATCCGTTGTGGATTTGGCCGAAACATTTGGGATGTTGTGCCCTTCGACACCATCACCAAGTTCTACAAGCTATTCCAAGCCCTTGCCGTGATGTACAAGATCCAGATCTCTCTCGCCAAAATCTCCGTCTGTCTCTTCCTGCTGCGCATCTTCCAGTCTCGCACCTTCCGCTACATCGCCTACGCACTAATCGGTATGAATGCGGCTATCGGTATCACCTGGGCTCTGGTAGACTCGTTCCGTTGCTTGCCGACTCGTCTCACATGGCTGGGATGGAAGAACGAGGAGTCGGGCCAGTGCATCAACTTCATCAACTCCATTCTTGTCAACTGTCTGGCGAACATCTTCGTCGATTCCGTCTTGATCATCATGCCGGTTTTTGAAGTTGCGAAGTTGCAGCTGCCTCTGCGGAAGAAGCTGACTGTGGCACTGATGTTTGCTGTGGGATCTGTGTAAGTACTCGTGTTGTCGGGATGTTTAGTCGGTACTAACCATTCGCAGTCTCACTATCATCGCCATTATCCGAGTCGTCGTCTTCTGGAACAATCGTTGGGGCTACAACCAAACCCTCGGCCTATACCCTCTCATTTACTGGAGTGTCATCGAGTGCCAAATCTCGGTCATGTGCGCTTGTTTACCAGCATTCAGAGCTCTTGTCGGTCGCTGGCTTCCGGGAGTCTTGGGAGGCACCGGGCGCCGAACATATGCCACAGGAGGAGCGGAATACTATCACAGATCAGGCGGCCAAAGCAACATCAACAAGTCAGTCACCTACGAGGTCAACTATACCGCACGATCGGAGACAAACAGTGACGTGGAGCTGGTGGATATGGATGGAAAGCATCGTCGGTGATTCCTCTCCCTCTATCTTCAAGATATAATGATAATTCATAGAAGGGTCTCATGGGCTATTTTGTATAGACTCCATCGATGCCCGGTTTTCCTGTACATTACTTACTTACTTATACCCAAAAAATACATTCAAGGAAATTCAAAAGCCTGGATTGGTTGTTTGAAGGCGACCAATACTCAAGTACGAAAACATTGATAGTATAAAGTCCGATGAAAGGATCACCATGTTGTCGTTCATGTGTTCATCGTTTCTCCAACATGCAGCGAAGTTGAACAAATATCTTTTGATAATTCTTGTCAGTCTTTGCGTCGGGCGCTCAACCTCCTTTTCAAAGTCAGTTGTGGTTTTGTGACCTCACGAACTGCACGAAGATTGTGGAGCTGAAAGGCATTGGGGCTTTCTTTGTGTGGAGAGAGGAGTATCCACTTCGCCGTGCAGGCCCAACTCTTTAAGCGTTGGCATTCGGTGGCTTGATTATTCAGTGGAGCTCTCTATTGCCGATTGACCACGACTGAGATTCGGAAAGCGAATCAAGGATCGAGATCGTCCTATTATTCCCCACAACGGTTGAACTGTCCGCAGCGTTGATACATCGAGCTGAAAACAAACGGGGCCCGAGAGGAAAAACGGGAAAAGCAAAATGGACACGTCGGCTTCGAGAGAGAGAAGAGAGCCTCGCACGTCCAGCCGACGTTGGAAACATTTTTGCACCATTCCAACAATGCACTGGCCTCGAAGAAAAAAACCAAAGGCGCCTGAGCCACAAGCTGGACAGACTTTGCCGAATCCAACAGCAAATGTGAAGTCTCCGCAAACAGACAACGAGTCAACCCCGCCGCCGCCTGCGCCGGCAACCGATTCTCAGTCGACTCCTTCTCAGTCGACTCCTTCTCAAGCAGCAAAGCCAGACCTACCTGAGGTGGGAAGGGAATCGACGGCACCTACCAATGGACCAGTCTTAGAGTCTCCATTTGGCAGTCCCCCTCCCTTGGGATTTGATGCGAGCGAAAATGACGAAATCACTGCAATCTGGGCGGAAGTGCAAGCGAGAGCAGCGCTTTTGGCTAGAAGGGAGAACAAGGAGATCAACAACGGGTTGGATATTGATGATGTGATCGCAAATCTTGACGCTTCTCAGGAGAAGGAAGAGGAATCACCAGCTGCGCAGGCGGTGAAAGTCGCTTTTGGGCGTACAATGGGCTTGATCAAGACGGTCGGAGGTATTTTCGCTGACGGGGCATCTTCGGTGAGTAGAAATCAGACCCGTGGACACTCAAGTAATCGCGTTTTGGTCTAATGCAAGATGGATACTCAGGTCTTCGCACCGGCTGGACAATGCTACAATGTGATCAGTTTCCTCATCAATGCATGCGATGGTTACCAGGGTGCCTTTGACGGCCTCGCTGAACTGCTCGAAAAATGCTCGGATCACCTAGGCCGTCTCGACTACTACGTCAAAGGAGGCATGGACAAGAGACTGAGCAGACTAGCTGCGCAACGGCTTTTGCTGTTTGTTCAGATCTGCGACGAAGCACTAAAACTACGATATTCGGCCACCGAGAAGATCAAAACTGGACTGAAAATCGCCTTCCTTGCAGAAAACTCCATCCAGGGTCTGTTAGGTGAGATGGAAAAGTTGAGCGAAAAAGAGCGTGGATTGGTTGTTGCGCAGACCTTCGCACTCACTTCCGCGACAGCTACCACTTCTGCTGAAGGGGCTGCCTCCAGTAAGCAAGTCTACGATCATCTGGTTCAGAATGGAGAGCAGTCGAAGGCAAGGAATAAAAATGTGAACAAGAAGCGCGCTCTGATAGACGTTCTAGCGTTTGACGAGGACTCTGAGCAATGGAACAGTTCCAAGAAAGCGCCCGTGGAGAGTTGGCAGACAACATACAATGAAATCCGCAAAGATGTTGTATCCGGCACAGGCAAATGGCTCTTCTCTCATCCCGCTTTCCAGACATGGATATCCGACTATTCTTCCTCCCCGATCCTAGCAGTTGAGGGAACAGACATCACGGGCAAGAGTTATTTGACGTCATCGATTGTTTAATACTTGCGAACGGACATGATCGCCGAATGCACCAACTTGAGACATCTGGTATCTTGCTTCTTTCTCGATGAAGAAAAGGCCGGCCATGGGTTTGACGACGCGGCTAAATCCCTCATCTGGCAACTCGCAAATAAAGATGAGCCGTATATGAAATCTGCCGCTCGTATCGGTCAGAAAGTCGGGGCACTGGACCCAGAAGACGTTATTCCTCGTCTCCTTTTAGAGAATACAAAAGTCGAGCAGATGGACGCTGTCATGTATCTTGTTATTGATGGCGTGGGCGAAAATTCAGACGTCTCGCTACTCAAATTCCTGTTGCAGCTGGTTCAAACCAAGAACAAAAGGATTCGAGTCTTCCTGACTGGTACGCCAAGGGACTTGGAGCAGATGAAGAAGAATGGCGTCAACTGTCCTAGCATCCCAATCAGTCTTCATAACCAGGGTGATGTCGAAAAGTTTATTCAGGCCAGAATGGACAAAATGGATGGCTTAGCAGACACAGATCGGCTAGGTATACCGGAGCAAAGAGAACACATTTGCAATGGACTTTTACAGGCGGCCTCGGGAGATTACCACAAAATCGATCTGGCCCTGCATCATATCAACACGTTGGACTACATGGAGGACATCAATCGAGTCATCCAAGGTGCTCGCGATGGCCGCGCACAGCAACTTCACAACGAGATTGAAATGTTGAATCGTGAACGTTCTCCAAGGCAGATTCAAGAGATGAACGACATCATTCGCTGGATCACATTTGCTGCTGATACTGTCTCGGCGAAGCTGGTCTCTTCCCTGCTGTATTCGATCAATGGCGAGGTTCCATTGAAATCACTCGCCGACCAGATTCGGACCAAATACCTGTTGTTCGATTTGAATGCCAAGGATCACGTTGAATTCAGGTCACCGAAAGCGCTGGAAGTCATCCCACACCGAAGTGAGCTGGCAAAGTCTAATGGAAAGGCCGGCCAAGAAATCCACCCAGGGGAGATCGACACAGTCTTACATTTTCTCGACAATATCTGCCCGCCTCAGCTGTACCAAAAGCTTGGATTGCGTGAATATCTCCAGACAAAGTCAACGCAAAGACAAGAGCAAATCCAACAGGAGGATGAGAGCATGGGACATCTAAAAATGGCGCTGGATTGCATTCGTTCTTTCTCCTATGGGCTCGTCGAGATTGTTCGACCACTTCAAATTTACGCCAGGACTCGTCTTACTTGGCATTTGTCTAAAGTGGATTTGGCCATGGTAGATCGAGACCAGAAGAGTCAGGTTGGGGAGTCATTGGTCAGGCTATTCACGACAAATGAGAGCATTGACCCTTTTCTGCTGCCAGAGGGTGTCTCTTCCAACTGGCTGCTAGGGAGTACCTTTAACAAGCATCGCAACGAGGCACAATCTTGGCTCATTAGGCCGGAAAGAATCGACGAAGTGTTGAGATGGCTTCGAGATACGGCAGTCGTGTCAAGAGTCAGTGATAAGTCGGGTCGATCTTGGATTGAGAGCATCGCTTCGGGAAATGCGACCGAGGCAATTTTTAAGCCGGGCGCTATCAGACTGGTCGGTCGTTGTTCCAGAGAACCGATGTCAGCAGATGATATCACAGACATATATGATTATGTGGAACTATTTCTCCGTCAGGTGAGCATTCAAAGATCGGTGATTGATTTCCCAACGAGTTGCTAATCTTGAGAAATAGACCTCGAATACAACTGAAAAGGAGGCTTGAACAGACGAGAGTTTGTTAATTGGCAGATTCGAGCAGTGGGCTTACGAGGTCCTCCAGCTTACCCAAAAAGACACGCTATGGCAGACACAGATGGGCATACTTTACGCAAGGAAGAAGATCACCATTGAAGCTATCGAGCGCTCTGAGCTGGCTTTGGAGATGGATCCTAACAACTGGAGAGCCTCCGTTTGCCGTGCAAGACTTGCTCCACCAAAAGAAGCCATCGAAATACTGCGGGCAGTAATCAGTCGCCGAGAAAAGGACATGGACAGGATGCACGATCCAGTCCACATGCAACATCTTGCCGACTTGAACTTCGAGCTGGCAGAGGAGTATTGGAGAGATGAGCAGTTCGATCTTGCGGTTTCAACTTACACTGCGTCCCTGAAGCAATCCCCTCGCCACGCTGACAGGTTCATGAGAATCTTCTGGAATTATCATAGAAAAGATCGATCAGCCGAAATTGTCTCCCTGGTCGTTGAGATCTCCAAGATTGAGAGCGGAAAGTACCTCGGTGAATTGATGATGAGTCTAAAAGACAAGGATCACCTCGGATATCTCAATGAGTTCATCAGCGATTCTGCCGTTCATACCAAAGATTTCAGTGTTCTGGAGACATTATACGAGCCTGCAATCCAAAAAAGAGAGAGAATAGGCGATCTGGAAAGGCTGGGTCACATGCGCTATCTATATGGAAGAAGTCTATCCTTTGACCCCAACAGGCGCGAAGACAAAATCATTGAACTGTGGGAGAGCTCTCTGTCGAACTAACTCAAGTACTCCGACACCGATTCTTACTATCTCCATTTGAGGGACCTTATTAGCGGTTTGTCCCCTCTGTATTTACAGAGAGCCCTCGCCGCCAAGGCAAATTTAGAGTTGAACACTGTGGCGAACTATCTTTCAAAGCTTTCAGAAATGCTACCTGAAGGAGTGACTCCGTCGGAAGTGCATGCCCCTCCACATCTTTGGCTGGCTAGATATCATCACCTGGATGGTGATGATGCAAAAGCTTGTCAGACGGTGCGAAATTTCCTCCAGGTAATCATCGAGCTTCTATCTGATGAAGATGAGTCAAACGACGAGATTGCTTTTGCACAGGCGCGCTTCGCTTTTACAGCTCTCGGTGATGAGAAAAATGCATTGACCAGCCTGGCCATATAATGATCTCGGGATTTCCTTGCTGACTTCATTTTACAGCTTCACATAATCGACAGACTGAGGAACCGAAACGTCATTATCATAAGCAGCCATACATGATGAAGGATAGATACTTGTGTAGCAAAGAAGCGTGGTAACATCAAGTAGCAAAGAAGCGTAGGTAATTGATGTTACCACGCTTGACACCCATCAAATCTTTGCCCTAAGCGGTTGATCTTCAACTGCCCAGTCTTCCTTGATCAAATCAGCCGCTTTCTCCGCCACCGCATACACGCTAGCCTGTATATTGCCGCTAACATTATTGGGGAATATTGATGCGTCTGCAACCCGAAGTCCCCGAGCACCTCTCACACGGAGGCGCGCATCAGTAGCTGCACCCAAAGCAACAGTCCCGCACAAGTGATACATTGTGGTAACAACGTCATGTGCGGCCTCCTTGGCTTGATGAAGATCTTGCAAGTTCACATTCGGACGAGGAAACAGTCTGCTAGAGATTGATTCGCGAAGATGTTTGGATTGGCCAATTTGATTTGCCATGCGCAGAGCAGCTCCAAGGAGTATGGCGTCGGCTTCTTGGGTAAGCCAGTTTGGCTGAATGGTTGGTGGTTGGGAGGGATCTATTGAAACATTAATTAGTTATGGCTTTGTGCTGAAATGGCGAATGGTCGCTTACCAGATGACTTCACGTGGATGTACCCACGTGAAATTGGGTTCTGTACGCCCACAACGGCTGTGATTCCGATTTTCTCGGGGTTGGGAATGGTCGTGAATAGATTGCTGAGGTTCTTTGGATCAGCTTCTGGATTCATCATCGACGGCACGAGAACAATTTGAATATTGGAGGCATTTTTATCGTTCAGGTTGTCAATGACTTGCTGAAGCTGCTTTGCGTGGAACTCAGTGGTGGGGCTGATAGCTCTGATGCTTTGCAACACATTCTGCAGCTCCTCCTCGGATAAGAGGCTCTTCGCTGAATAAAAGCCCATGATGTTGGGAGCAGCCGCCAGAGGCCCGTCTTTGGTGTCGGCGTACTGCTTGATTGCAGCTTGCATAGCCTCGGGTACCTGTCGTAGAAAATCACCAGTCGTGACATTGGAATTAACCTCCCAGTTTACGAACGAAACAGGATGATCTTGAAGATTTGCTCCTATGGCAGCATTTTCGACCTTGCATGGGATCTCTGCTGACTTGAGAATGGCAGGATCACCGATCCCAGACAGTTCCAAAATATGAGGCGAATGCACTGATCCGGCAGACAACACCACCTCTCGGGCTACTCTGACCTGGTAGCTTTGTCCCCTGCGCGTGATGCGCACTCCTGCCGCCTTGTTTTCGCCACTCAAAAGGACGTTGTCAACTCGGGCTTCACACAGGACTTTCAGATTGGGACGAGTATGATTCGGTGCGTAGTATGCTTCTGCAGCATAGCTTCGTTTCCCCTTCTTTGGGCCTTTCCTCGTGATGGTTGCAAGAACGTGGTGCATGCCAAGGTGATTACCAGACCAAGGGTCGATGGCCTTCTCATGTATACCGGTGACCTCTTCAAATGCCTTCACAAAATCAAACTCAATCGGCAGAGAAGCTTCATTGAAGCTTGTGTGGATGGGCCCGTCCGTGCCGTGAAACTTCGCTTCGAATCTGATATCTCGCCCTAAATCCGCTTCAACGGGCTCAAAAGTCTAGGCTGTGTGTAAGCTTAGTGGATCATGCTCGTATATCACATGTCTCACTTGATGCTTCCGCATATACCACTGCATGGATTCTGCAGACCAACCATCGTCACCGACTAGTGAGGCCCAGTTATCATAATCCTCTGTCGAGCCCCTCACATAACCCATCGCATTCATGCCGCTGGTGCCTCCCAGATACTTGCCGCGAGGAACATGGTGAACCCTCCCGCGATTTCCAGCCTTTGATAATCGTCAGCGTTTTGCCAAATTAGCTGTAATTGGGTTCTCGCCATACCTGAGGCTCACTATACATGCCCCAATCATAATCTGAGTTCGCAAGTTGCGCGGGCCACATGCCGGGGATATCGACAACTGGGTCTCCGAGTCGATTCTTCCCGGCTTCGATCAAACCGACTGTGACATTGGGGTTCTCGGACAAGCGGGCCGCTATGGTACATCCTGCAGTGCCGCCTCCGCAGATAATGTAGTCAAAAGAAGTCGCTAAGAATTCTTCGACCGAGCAAGTCGGAATCTCACCACTCTTATCGGACATGGTGTTTGGTAAGAGTTTGGGCTGGGAGTGAATTTCTTTGTGAGATGGTCAGCAGTTGGACATGACAAGGCTTAAATGGAACCCCGCGCGGCATCCATGCGAATACGTGAGCATGGATGTGACCCAGGAGGTGGACTTGGCCGACGCGATATCGGCGTATGAGGATCGCAGATTTCCTGCTGTAGGTTTCACTGCAGATGACATCAAAGCGCAGGTAGATGGTGAGGGGAAAGACGGTGTCGGGGAGCTTCTCCGCAATCCCATGTACGATGGCGATCAGCACTTCTGAAGATCGATTTCGAATAAAAGCTTGCGTAGAGGAGCTCTGCTGCATAATTTGAACAATAAGTTTCCTGAATTAAGTGTTTTGTTGAAATCGTTCACAGAATCAACAGTTCGTGGAGTGTGGTTGGCGATGCAAACAAAGCCCTGATTCGCCGAGCTTCGTAGATAAGGAGGAGCTTGACTGTGATTCGAAGATGCCGAATTAAATCTAGGGGCCCTCCGCATCGCAGAATTGCCGTGCGAGTGTGTATAATATCGTCCTCGTGGCCCCCATCTTTGCTTGCTCATGATTCATGCGCAGGACCTGTTCAATCAAATGCCTTCAGAGCTGTCACCGCCATCACGCAAGGGAGTGACCCGGTTGAGCGCCTTTACACTTTAAAAATAGAATCAATTTCACTCTAGGGCTCGAAGCGCGGAGACAGAAAAATCCAGCAAATTAAATGACAAGGAAGATCCATGGGAATATGGGAAGCCAGTGTATCTCCGAGTACAAACCTTGGGGAAAAAATTTGTGATCAACTGCCATATCTATGCAGCACAATACACTGCCTTCTCACAAAGAGAAAGCACAAAATGTCCCATCTGATCTTATTTCCTTGCTATGTGATAGATTTAAACAGTTCGAATCAACCCTTCCAAATAGCGTTCCACACGGTTGACATCAGCCAAACACGCAATAACACCAATATATCCATCGGGTCGCACAATAGCCACAGCTCCCTTCTCCGGATCGACGCCATAAGTTCCGTAAACATCGTCGAGCTCGTAACCATTGTAGAAGGACATCTCAGAGTGCTCCTTCACTGCCCGAGGGATGTCGCCCCACATGAAATCCCTAGACAGACGCGGGTGAACAACAACTTGCTCTACAACGGATTTGGGGAATCGTGAGATGGCTTTGGATAAAGCGCTGAGTGCTTGAGCTGAGATACCGGTCGAGTCTAACAGATCTGTGGATGTGAGGCAAAGAACACGGAAGCGACCGGTTGATGGGAAGTCTAAGCATTGTGAGAAAAGCGAAAGTGATTCGAATTTGGTAAGAATCTTACCATCCTGTATATCACGCTTGTTGCCATCAGCATGGCGGACGAGACGGACGTTCAGGAGACGTCTGCCTGGATAAAGGATACCAGAGAGGAAGTCTGTACCCTCGATTGGATTGATTCCTTCGTCAAGGCCGCGGGTGACGGTCAGGTTTTCCGGGTATTCGACACCACAGCCACTAGTAAACCCGTTGCCACGACGGAACACTTCCATGAACTCATCGTGGGTGAGGGTACTAATGCCGTCCTCGGATACGCCGATCTTTCCTGAGAACATGGACGAGAATGCCTTGTCAAACTCGATCAACTGCTGGGCTATCGTATGACGCTCCTGGTGATATGTGTCGAGAATATCCCCGGTGGGACTTGCGGGTGTGAGTCCATTGATGGAATAAGCGAGCTTCCATGCTAAGTTGTAAGAGTCCATCATGGAAACATTCATCCCTTGGCCGGCCTGAATTTAGAACACATTAGAATCGATGCAAATCACACCTGTTCGTTCACTCTTACCTTAGGACTATGAGTATGACAGGCTGTGTTGCTTGTTAGTTCATAATCGTTTCGAAGAGGTCTGAGGACAAGTGACGCACCATCTCCAGCAATGAAAACCCGGTTGATACCCTTAGAGTCCTTTACAGAGAAGTCGTCCGTGACGCGTTGGCCAATTTGGTAAGCTGCCCACCAGTCCACAGCTCCGTCTGCCTTGGGACGAATATAGTAAGGCGCAAACGCGGCCGCTGCATTGTCGAAAATCGTCTTCTCGGTGACTTGGCTTCGTCGTGCCCTCGCATCCGCGACAGGGGGTGTTCCAGTCCCGTTTTCTGGCCTTTGGTCTTCACTTGGTATCACGTCGCCAGGGACCTGGACATATAGACGAGTCAAATAATCCCCGGTCGCAATTCTTTCCCGGGGAATGACCATCACAGATCCGGCCGGGGAATGAATAGCACATCTGCGCCTGATATCAGGGAAATCAGTGTCGACAACTAGGTCCACAACACCCCAGATGTGATCGCTTGATTCGCCTTCGAGCTTCAGTCCCATGCAGCGTCGGACTACCGAGTGGGCCCCATCAGCGCCCACCAGGTGTTTTGCCCGCACGGTGCGTTTCCGTCCTTCGGTCTCAATCTCGGCGAGAACGGGAAACTCTGCATCGCCATCTTCGTCGATTTTGACATCGAGTAATTTGGTGTTACGCTGCACACCTCGCTTTGAGTATCGCAGCAAATCTGTCTCTAAGATTCGCTCGATACGACCCTGATGAATGGTGACTTCATGCGGGTATCGTGCTGGTACACTAACATCAGGAATGATTGAGGTGCGCTCGATGATCTTTTCTTTATCCTCTGATGGATTCCAGAATGCGACCTGTTCTCATTAGTCTGCTTGGAATTCAACCGGGGGCCATTGGCCGGAAGGACATACCTGCCACATCTGGCACCCCTCGCTCAGAATTTCGTCTGCCAAACCCAATGACTTCAATGTCTCCAATGTTCGTGGCTGAAGTCCATCCGCTTGTCCAGACTTCAAGGTCGTTGATTTCCCGTCAATGCAAAGCAACGAATCATCACTGAGCCCATATCTTGCTAAAAGAAGCTCCAGCATCAGACCTGCAGGGCCTGCTCCAACAACCACCACTTCATATCTCTCCGTTGTGGAGGGTGGGATGGCAGAGGCCAAACGAGGCAATGGAGGGGCGAATGAGGGAAGCACGCGCAGCTCTCGCGAGGCGGCGGCATGTTCTGTGAACACGGGCATGATATATGAGTTCGCTAATATCCTCCAGGATTAAGACTGTGTTTAGGGCTTGCTGTCCTTTTTCAGATTGTAGCCATGGAATGTCGCTATTTAAACGAGTTGGTCTTAACCAGCGGAGCAATTGAGGTTGTGGGGACCCCAACATGGCGGAGACCAAGGGGTGACCAGTGGCAGAGCCTACATTTCGTTAAGCGTTCAAATGGTGAGCTCCACTCGGGCATTGGGCCAGTCAAATCATACGCTGGACATTATTCAACCCCTCAGGTGTGGATTTGTGAGCTTCGAGTAATCAAAAATAATCGGCGGTTGGATATGAGTGTGAGGGAGGGCGATCACCACGTATATCCGACTTCTATATCCGCGAGGATATTATATCCGATCTAGCCGCGGGGCAATGCAAATCTGAGCTTTGAACTGTCTGGGAACCAATCATCTCTTCGAGCACACGAGGTGTCGGCCCAGACCTTGGAACTTGGAGATATATCCGTCTTCTCAATGTTATTACCCCACACTGGAAACCATAAGTATACCGCGAAAAAACGAAAGCCACCCTCACGTTGTCCATAATATGAAGCGACATCAAAAGAAACAAGGGGTATCTCATGATTGAGCTGGTTTCCAAGGAAGGAGACTTTGAATAGTCCAGAGGCGGAGTTTCACGCTACTCGTATGGCCAACTGGCCAACAAAAGTAGCTCGTATCACTCAGGGCATGATACCTGGCATGCTTTTACCCCGACATGTCCACTTGAACGTTAGACCGGACTTAAGTTGGCCAATAAGCGTCAATTTCGGTAGTACATACAATACGACAAAGGTAATATGGTCGTGTTTGGACGTATACTCCCGAGGTTGTTAATCGAGTGTTTGCCAACTGTAGCGTCCCGCTCGGGATTCCCCCCTTAATGGGGCTCTGACACGCCAAAGGGGGAATTTCCGGTCGACCGTGTGTCCACATCAAACTGGATTTTGAGGCCGGGTGGACCAGATGTCAATTAGTCGTCCTATAGGCGTGGCTCAAGCTGCAAGAACCCGGTGCCGAGGGCTGTGAAACGTTGATAACCGAGTTGTCACCTTGCTAGACCTGCCTTAATAGGGCCTATCGGAGAGGGGGTGGGGGAAGATCAATGTTTGCTTCATGTCTGGTGCTCTAAAGAGTACGGAGTACGTTCTCTGCCATTGGTGTTTGCCATGACGGCGCCTGCCTGGTGTGTTGGAAGTGCGAATGCCGTCTTTTCCGCAAAGATGTGCGCACATATAAATTCCCTCCTTCGCTAGGTTCAGACAGGGTGTGGTTTCCAACAAAGATTACATTGAAAGTCTCCAATAAGCCCAGGTCATAGTATTTCGGCCGTCTTTTTGTGTGTTTTCTTGGCAATCTCATAACCTTGGATAAACATGAAGCGCCTTTCACAGATATTCGGCTCCAAATCCAACATTGACAGATCTGAGGGAGTATCAAAGACACAGAGCGCGTATCAATCATGCAAAGTCGAAGACAGAGCCATTGACGAGCACCGCCCATTGCGAGTGATCGTGATTGGTGCTGGGATCTCGGGAATTCTTTGTTGCATTCGCATGAACCAACGTATTCCAAATTTGGACCTATGCGTATATGAGAAAAATGCAGATATCGGAGGAACATGGTTTGAGAATCGGTATCCTGGATGCGCCTGTGGTATGTCATGTCCAGTCTTCTATCCAGGTAAGGAAAAGGTGTCGTCTAACGTCAACAAACTGCAGATATCCCGGCTCATGCCTACCAGGCCAGCTTCGAGCCGAACAAGGCTTGGTCTAGCTTCTATGCCAAAGCACCGGAGATTCATCGGTATTGGAAAGGCATTGCCGAGAAGTATGGTTGTATGAGCTCCATCAAGTTCAAACGTCAAGTGTCTGAAGCAGTCTGGGACGAGGAAACCTCCAAGTGGCATGTCAAGGTACTCATCTTGCATTGAACATTGGCCGAACCTGTGCTGACCCTTGATGTTCAGATTCAAGACTTGGAAACTTCATCGACAATCACCGACGACTGTGATGTTGTGATCCAAGCAACAGGAACACTCAACAATTGGAAATGGCCGGCAATTCCTGGCCTCAAAAGCTTCAAGGGAAAGCTCATGCACAGTGCTTCATGGGATGAGAGCTATGACTACAAAGTAAGTCAACTTGTCATTTTCTGGTCGCTCGCATGTTAATCAATCCATAGGGGAAGACCGTTGCAGTCGTTGGCAATGGCTCAAGTGGAATTCAAATTGTTCCCGCGATGCTGCCAGATGTGCCTCATATTGATCATTATGTCCGCGGTCGTACCTGGATTGCGCCCTCATTTGCGCGTGAGGAACTTGAGAAGCGTGGACCTGGTATGGACAATTTCCAATTCACAGACGAGGAAATCCAAAAGTTCAAAGCGGATCACCAGTCCTATCAGGTGTTCCGTAAGAGTAAGTGTTGAGGCTGGCTTTTCATCCGCGCCGACATTCTAATCAAGGAAATAGACATCGAATTAGACCTTCAGTCTGTGCATGGCATTACCCTGACAGGTCATCCGGCACAAGTTACTGCCCACGAAGTATTTCTCGAGAATATGAAACGTCGCTTGGCGAATAAACCCGAGTTGGTCGATGACCTTGTGCCAGCTTTCCCGCCCGCTTGTCGTCGGCTCACTCCAGGGCCTGGGTATTTGGAAGCTTTGATGGACGAGAAGATCGATATGATTACTTCTGAAATCGCCAAGGTGGATGAAACTGGTATCCTCACCGCCGACGGCCAACACCGACCAGTCGATGTGCTTGTTTGTGCTACCGGGTTTGATACTACATTCTCGCCCAGGTTTGTTGTCAAGGGACGCGGTGGTGTGACCCTTTCCGAGAGATGGAAGGAGACGCCCGAGACGTATTTGTCGATTGCGACCGACGGGTTTCCGAACTACTTCATTTCACTCGGTCCAAATGCCGGACTAGGTGAAGGGAGCCTGCTCTTGTTGGTAGAGAAATCAGTGGATTACTTCACAGCTTGCATCCAAAAGATGCAACGAGACAATATTCGTGCTATCAATGTTCGACGCGAGGCAGTCAAGCAATTCACATCTTACTGTGATAATTACTTTACAAACACGGTTTTCAGCAGCAATTGTCGCAGTTGGTACAAAAGCGGTACTGAAGATGGTCGAGTGACGGCTCTCTGGCCAGGTATGTGAAAACATCTGCGAACGAGTTGGACTTTGGCTGATCTTTTGTCTTTCTAGGGTCTTCCCTGCATGCCATGAAGGCCTTTGCACACCCTCGATGGGAGGACTTTGAGTATGAATATGTCAACGACAACGCGTTTGGCTGGCTTGGGGACGGTTGGACACAGAATGAGAAGCGGAACACGATCAATGTCGATTATTTGGATGACGATCAGATCGACTTCCCTCCGATAGCCTCGTCATAGTTATTGCGATGTAGTGAGACAATCCACCGGTGCATTCATTGACCCGCTCATCAACAGACGAGCCCAGTATTTGAGGACAATGTGAGACCAAATTTGAAGGAAAGAGGAACGAATCGTTGACGTCGATGACCATAAGGTTTGATATCGCAATTACCGTACGATACGCGACCGGTAATATTCGTAAGTATGAGACACGGGAACTTGCGACTGACCGGGTACTGCTCAGACCAAAATCAAGGCGTAATGCCAATACAACCCCCTTCTCCTCTTCGCACAATCCGCACAACTACCTCCTCGATGGCCCAACATGAAGCCGACAGACAAGCACTTCCGCTGCAGCATCTGCCAGCGGGGGTTTACGCGGGTTGATCACCTGAAGCGTCACCATTTGCGCCGTATGCGCCCCACCCTGCAGCTACCCTCAAGTACTGAACCCGAATAGACTCTGGGCAGAGGCCCTACTCCTGTGTCTTCTGTGAGGACTCCTTCGCGCGATGGTAAGCCGGTCAAAATCAATGCTCGGTATGGAATCTGACCGGCTTCAGTGATAATCTGCGCGACCACTATACGGATTGCCCGAAACGCGGGGATCGCGAAATCCCAGAAACCGGTCAGAGGGGGAGGCGGCGACATGCGTGTCAATCGGTGGGTTCCAATATTGAGTTGTGTGCAATCGTCACGGAGTGCTAATCTAGCACCCGGCTATCAGTGTACCTCGATGAAATTACGATGCGACGGACAAAGCCCCTGCGGATCATGCCAGAAGAGAAATCTGGAATGTAACAACCAGAGGACGGGCGGGGGCCACCTTGCCCCCGATGAAGGTACCTGATGTCCCGCGTGAGCTCAGCTGCAATTGAAAATTAACGAATTGGCTAGGGACTACCATAAAACACGAACCCTACGCGCCATCGCCGTCAGACCGAGGATCGATCAAGTTCCTATTGAACGGTGGAACCGACAGCTTCACAGAAGACTTCCGACTTCCGCCTCGCAGCGACAGAGCGCGTGGCTTGGACTATTACAACCGGCTTGGCTTGGAGGAGGCCCGAAAGAAGACGGTTGAGCACAACGGGCCTGGATTCGACTCTGGCTTTGCCAACTCCGACCCGGCCACGCCGCATTTCTTCCAGGAAACATTCATAGACTTTTTCTATGGGCCTTTTGGGGATGGACAAAAACCGCTGGGGAATCCGTACACTTCTGGTGAACTTGCCTATCAGGCAGTCATGCCAGAACCGACATCAAATTTTGGATTGCCTTCGGATCAATTTATCTTCGAATCTGAGCGCCCGTTCGCACTGGCGCTGGTTCAGTCAATATTGACTAGAGCGTGGCAGGTCCCGCTCGATGCTGCGGCACAGCAAGAACTCTCTGCCAATCTTAATTTTGTGTTGACGACCGCTCGCATACGAAAGTTCATCTCGCTTTACTTTGAGCACTGGCATCCCAGCTCTTCGATACTTCATGTCTCTTTTGATCCCGAAGCTGTTCCTTCGACACTTTTGGCGGCAGTGGCGTTCATGGGAGCAATGTATAGCAACGACCAAAGGGAAGTATACATCGCCAAGAAAGTGCTGGATTTTGCGGAACTATTCATCTTTTCAAGTGATGTTTACTCTACGGAAAGTGATATTGCGACCATATTTTCCGGTGGGCAGTGTTGCACAAACGATACAGCAGATTGGCCTCGATTCCAAAACTATCAGGCCGGTCTCATTATGCTTTTGGCTCAATACTGGGCAGGAAACCGTGTCTCTCGGAATCGTGCAATGGAACAAAGATTCAGCGAGGTCTTAAAGGTCGCACGACAAATGGGGCTCATCAAGTCTCGCCATCTGCCCGAAGACCAAGCCCTCGAGCACTTGTGGATTCAAAAAGAGTGTCGAATCAGGTACGTACTTTCTCATGTCTTTCTTTCTCAACTAACAATTTGCAGAACCGCGTCCGTCATTGTGTTGATTGATTCCGCCTTCAACTTCTTCCAAAATTATCCGTGTCGACTGACTCAATTGGAGCTGGGATGCGATCTACCCTGTGATGAAACCTTGTTCTCCTCTCAACATCCATTCTCCGAACCAAACTTCCGCTTCGCGCGTGCGCTCACGATGACCAAGGCTTTTGAAAACTTCTTGGACGAATCTTACGTGCAGCCCATGGACCTCAATATCATGGACATGTTTATATTAATTCACCGTAAGCAGCACCCAAACCCTTTTGATCCCAATCCGCAAAACTGACTCCCCGTTTAGTCATTTACTCTTATATCAACAACCACATGGCAGTCCTCGGTCCTCTGATACTCATGGGCCAGATCAAACAGCCCACGCAATCTGCCGGTGATGACCCACAAGAAGAATGCTCAATTCCCAATGACTCGATTCTGCTTGCGGTCAAGACCGCTCTATCACGCTGGCGTGAATACTGGGTCATACTCCGCAGTCGAATCTCGAATGAGCAATGGGCCTCGATGGGATTCTACAAAAATGCTTATAACTTTTGGCTGGTGTCGCAACTTCTCATCACCAACAAGAACGCAGTCGACGTCATCATGCGGACGGAAGTCCACTGCGAAGACAAGCTGGAGAAGTTGAAGGTCTTGCTGCGTGACGACCAAGAAGATGTGTAAAGGGACTGCGCGACAAACGTATATATATGACTGATAGACTTGGCTATAGAGGAGTTTGTTTCGTATTTCCTGATTAGGGAAATTGGAGTTCCACAATATATCCTGGGCAGGCTCCACTGACTTTTTGACTTCACATTTTTACCTTTCACTTTTGCAACCTCGGAATATTCGAAACAAACACATGGACTGCTACCAATGTTTCAATTTCCAACATTGGAAGGTTGCTGTCATCTCTATTCGCAATTCCCGCGATTGTCCACCCGATTTGCAAGGCTGTGTTCCCGAGGTCTCTTTCGGTGCTTCCGTGGTTCGAGCGCTGTTTTTATGAGTAATGATATGCACAGAAGGGGCTGCTTTTCCTGAGTAGTAAACATTCGGTTCTTCTTTGCCGGGAACGTTGTCAAATCGTACCCGAGCTCGTGCCAGAATCTAAGGTTCAATTGATCTCCAGGGTTGAACCTTGAAGTAGGAACCTCCAGGGTTTGAGACCCATATTTCGCGATAGTTTCACGGTTTCAAAGGCGGCAACACTCAAACAATCATGAGCTCCGCACGGCGTAGACGCGGTGCGAATCCACGCAGTTTCCGATGCGAGCCGAGTCCACTAGTTTTTACTGCCCAGGTTTCTAACATATCACAGGAATGATTCAAGGTTTCATATGCTTGCTGCAAGTTACGCATGACATACGGAGTACACCGTCTGTGTGATGTCTTTGTTTCGCACAGAATTCACACTTATTGGTCATTGTCGCGGCGTGCATTACACACATGTAATGTATTCCGTCCTTAGCTACTCCGGACGGTACAGTATGTCTTATGCTGACTTGGACTGAGGCTGCAAGGCCCGAGGACAGAGGACAAACCTTGAAAGTGCATATGCACGAGTGCTCTCCAAGTTCTCCAGACTCCATACCGAGATCGACCCTCAAAGTCCGACCAGCGCCACGGGTGGGGAAAATGTAGATCGTTGCCCAAATGAATGCTCATCGCGAGCAATCACCCACAATGAATACAGGGACCGCCATCAAACCCCGTGGAATTCACAAAGTAGCATTCGAATCGGAGAATTGTGGGATTAACATGACTTCCCCATAGAAATCATCTGCAATGCAACACGAGTCGAATGTGATATTGGGCTGATCTGCATTAAGTTGACTGATTGGGTTCAGGGGCTTGAACATCCCATAGATCTCGGCGGAGGAAAGGGAAGAATAAACAAGGAAAAACCAGAAAAATATGGGCGTTCATGCAAGTTGTGCCGATCAGAGTGTTGGATCTCCTGCATGCGAGAATTAGCTCCCAGGGGATTTTTCAAAAGCCCTATGAAGTGCTAAACACACAATTTTGAGGTCGACCTTGGCCTCAATGACAACTCATGAGATCTACGGAATACAGTAATGTCCAATGTTCCTTCCGTCTGCATCGAACTAGTGAAGAAATTCAATAGTCGCAAATTCCACGGAAATGGGTCGGCCCGATGTTGTCGATCTGATTAAATTCAGCTTCAGCTCCACACGCAAGGGATCTCCTCGCCGATCTTCAGCTCGAGTTGCACAATTTTTGCTAGCTTCCCCACAGCTGTGCAAGGATGGAGTTCCACGGCAGGCCGTCATGTCTTTAATTCGCTCGTATAAAGAGTCTGCAGTGCCCGTCTGAGGGAATCCAGGCTCCATCTCCCCACCATGGTTTTCAGCAAAGTTTCCTTCACGTCTGCTTTCGTTTCACTGCTGGCTTGTGTGGCCGCAGTCGAGGTCCCCAAGACTGACTACGATGTCATCGTTGTCGGTGGTGGTCCTGCTGGCTTGAGCGCTCTCAGTGGTGTCTCTCGCGTTCGGAGAACGGCTCTCTTGATTGATAGCCAGGAATACCGCAATGCTCCAACCCGTGAGATGCACGATGTGATCGGTAACGATGGTAAGGAATGATTCTCACTCTCAGAAAAGTCCTTGTGGAACTCATTACTCACCAACCCGATAGGTACTCCTCCCGCTGCCTTCAGAACGCTGGCGCGTGAGCAGATCTCGAAGTACCCTACCGCCCACTTCACCAACGAGACTGTGGACTCCATTGTTCCCTGGGGCAATGCTGACTTCTCCGCCTTCACTGTCACTGACAGCCAAGGCAAGAACTACACTTCCCGCAAGATCGTGCTGGGAACTGGTGTTCGGGATGTGCTTCCCGACACCCCGGGCCTGCAGGAGGGCTGGGGCAAGGGTATCTTCTGGTGCCCTTGGTGCGATGGCTACGAGCACCGCGACCAGCCATTCGGCATGATTGGCGATATCACCGACATGCTCTCCAACGTCTTGGAAACTCACACTCTGTACGATGATATCATCGCCTTTGTCAACGGATCCCAGACCGCAGATGGTGAGGCCCGCGCCACTGCCAAGGTCGAGGACTGGAAGGAGCAGCTTGCTGCATGGAACACCACCATTGACAACCGCACTATTGCTTCCATCGAGCGCCTCCAGGACGGCGGCAAGAACCGCGAGGAGAACGCCGACAAGCAGTTCGACAAGTTCCGTCTCCACTTCACCACTGGCGAGCCTGTCGAGCGCAATGCTCTGATTGTGAACTTCCCCACCGTTCAGACTTCCTCTCTGCCCGCTAATATGGGTCTCGAGCTCGTCAACAACAAGATTAACGTTACCACCGGCATGCGCACCAATGAGGCTGGTGTCTTTGCTATCGGTGATGCCAACAGTGATGGTAGCACCAACGTTCCTCACGCCATGTACACTGGCAAGAAGGCCGGTGTCTATGTTCACGGTAAGCTCTACTGGAACGTCTTTATGTCTGAGTTACTAACAAATTCCCTTAGTTGAAATGTCCCGTGAAGAATCCGCCTCCAAGATCTCCAAGCGCACTGGTCTCTCTCACCGTGAATTGGAAGAGGAAGCCAAGCGCGCTATTGGCGACGACCTCGACGCACTGTGGAAGCGTGCTCAGGGTTTGGAATAAATGTGTTCAACGCTGTATATGCATTACGCTTGCTTTGTGGCCAATAAATAATGTTTAACGATTGTGTTGCGCCTTTCACCGAGGACACAATGCCTTCTGGAGACATCTAGTCTCTATTTAATAAAAAATTATTTCTCAAACCTCTTTTCTTCCACTAGTTCCTATAATCATATCGTTATATGAAATTGTCTGGGACATTCGGCCAGGAAGCCAGGGCGGGCAACAGTGACCACATTTTGATTAACCAATACCTCCTCTCCTCAAGATACGAGGAAACTTAACAAGTTGAAAATAATGACACCGATCTGTGTGCTGAGTTCCAAGGTAATTTCGGCCTGCCCGCTGAGTGCTCGGCATCCTGTCACTTCGCCGTCTTCCCAGATTGGCAGGCATCCCCGCAAACCTGGAAGCTCAACTCGTTATTTAACACCATTAGAAACTGCCTTGGCCCAGAAGACGCCCTCCATCTGGAACTCTTCAGTCTCATCCGTATTACTACATCTTTTGTCTCCATAATGGCCCACATCTCAACATGCCCCCCTCTTGTCCGGGGATCTGTCATACAAGCTCATACCCTAATCAGACCTTACATCCACCGTACCCCAGTCTTGACAAGCCGTACTTTAGACCAGCTCGCATCAATTCCGCAAGAGCGCCCTTTGCTCACGAATCCGCGACCAGCAAGCCCCATCATACGATTGTTTTTCAAATGCGAAAACCAACAAGTCATCGGCGCATTCAAAGCCCGTGGTGCTTTCCATGCCATCGAACGACTCAAACAAGAGCCAGGTTGGCAAGAAAATGGTGGTAAAGAAAACGGTGTTGTTGCTTTCAGTGCAGGTATGTTACTCGATGACCTCCAGCCACGGAATAATATATCTCACCCATGGACGACGTCCTTGCTCATACCTCGTATCAGGCAATCGTGCTCAAGCTATCGCCATTGCTGGTCGTGACAACGGAATGCCGGTTCACATTGTGATGCCCAATACTTCGCGCGCAAGCAAAATAGCATCCACAAAGAGCTATGGGGCTAACATCGTTCTCAGCAGTCCCATAGACCGCGAAGTTATCGCAAACCAGATAGCGGCAGAGACTGGTGGCCGGGTGATTCCACCATACGATCACCCAGACGTGATTCTTGGGCAAGGTACGGTGGGACTTGAACTACAGGAGCAAGTCGAAGATCTCGATGCCATCATTTCCCCTTGCAGTGGCGGTGGTTTACTATCTGGGGTCGCCATCAGCTGTGAGGGGACGGGGGTGAAGGTTTTCGGCGCTGAGCCTGAACTGGACGGTGCGGATGATGGTCGACGCGGGTTTCTGTCTGGCAAACGTGTTACGCATATCAAAACAAGTACAATAGCAGACGGTCTCATTGGTGTGGTGGGTGACTATCCTTGGAGCGTGATCTATGAGCGTGAACTAGTCAGTGGGATGTTTGCCGTGTCGGAGGACAACATTCGGGATGCGATGAGGTTGTTGGTGGAGAGAATGAAGATATGGGTAGAGCCTACTGCTGCTGTTCCTTTGGCAGTTGCCTTGTACAATGAGGAGTTCAGAAAGAGGGTCCAGGAAGAGGCAGGCTCTAAGGGTTGGAACATCGGTATTGTGCTCAGCGGAGGAAATATCGACATCGGCAGTTTCAGCAAAGTTTTCCACTAGACGATCGCTTTGCTCAATCCATGGATGCTCTGCGAGAATAAAGAAATCTAGTCAGACACCATGAAATGATTCTTTTGCTCTCATCGAAGATTTTTTTCTCTCTTTCAAATCCCTAAAGGTCATTCTCTGAATCGCTCAGAAAGGGGTTGTATGAAGTGAGCTCGGGAGGTATTGGAAAGTATCCATGGATATTACGGTGTACTCTGTACTGACTTTCGAACTGTGTCTCCACCTGGAAGCTGGGAATATAATCTGTCAGAGCGCATGTCAAGCAGATAGGATACTAAGAACTTCGCGGGGAGAGTTTCCGTTTCGGAAACGCCATAGTTCGGTAAGATTCACTTTCACCCATCCATCGGCAACAACAATCTTGATCTTTATCCCGAGGTCTCGACCAAATGTGATCATTGTAGGCTGTCAAATATCTGAGCAAGCGCTGATCGACCATGTCCATGTGAAGATAGAGAGTTTCCAAACTCACATTAACCGCAGTCTTGTCTAGAATACGAGAGCCGGAAGGTTTCCTAATACATGGATGTCATCTATTTTGGGAAGCCTGAGCAGAGAAGGAGAGGAAGAAAAAAAGTTTTCGACTTATGACTATCTAACTGCGAGACCAGTTGAAGGCGCTGCTCGCGGCACGTCAAGTCCGAAGAAATACCCAGCATCTTTTGGTCACAGACCAAAAGATAGCCGAAGGTGGACAGTGGTTCTTATGAATTGGAATGTACGAGATTACAGAATTGGGTTAGTTTTGCATTCACCATACAGCTAACTTCAAATTTTCCCGAAATTTACCACCATGAGTAATCTTCGCCATTATAGACACGATGCTTGTATGTCCAGCAGGGACACGGACATGAATCGTACCCTGTCAGCGTCTCTGTACGAGGAACCTCGATGACAGAGAAATCGATGCCAATCGCCTGAAATCCCTCGGCGTAAGTGACTCCATCTGGGGAAGCATCGGACATCACCTCATCTGGCGAACGGAAGACCTTGACGCCTTGTGGATCAAGCGTGTCAAGGTCCCCTTCGTCATAACAAGGTGAACCATCTTCTTGTGCATTTGAAGCTATTTGACACGTCAAAGAACGAAGTTTAATGTAGCCCTCACGGACAGCCTCGTACATCTGTATTAGAGGAAAGACCGCACAGTCATGGCGGAATGTGAGGTGCTGTAAGCTTGACGGGAGAAGCTTCGCCCAGTCCGAAGTTGAAGCATCTTTGAGCCAGAACTCTTGATTGTCTCCAATCAGCATTCTGGGTGAAATTGTCAGAGATAGAAGGGCTGAAAATTTGCTAAGATCGATTGGCTCCCCGGTATGACCATATTGGAGATCGATATCGAGAGTCTCCAGAGATGAAGCATGGGGCCGGGGAGCGTCGATATACAACCGGCGATCGAAATCGCGAAAAGGCCCATAAATGTATCGTTCCTCCTGGCCCTTCATTGTGAAATGCTTCAGTTGAAGGGGGTAAAGAAGCATTTCCTTCAGATGTCTGGCATTGAGAGCACAATTCAATAATGTCAGTGCTTGAAGAGAGGTTGATCGAAAAGGTACCCCGAGCTGATCGAGAGTTCCCATTTGAAAAGCCACCCCGGCGATGGTTAATTTCTCTAGACCAGGGTGATGAAGCAAATACCCATATGATCCAACTGAGAATCCCCACTCGTGATCATAGTCGAGGCTGAGAATAACTACACTCATCAGTATTGTCCTCGGCTTCTGTACCGAAGAAATATTCCGCACAACTCACCGGAGCGCAGGGCAGAGAGGGTCTCTTGTGGACGGCAAAGCAGTTGCATCTTTTTGGCCTTGTCTGTGTCAAACCAGCTTGACCTGATTACCAATGATTCTAAGTTCACGAGTTTTGGAAGAACAGGCTCAATATCTTCCGGAGAACCATCAGTGTCTTCATCGAGAACATGATAATGAATCTGTACTTCTCGAATGAAAGACGCTATGTGGTGGGAGCTCGCGACTCTCTCGATAAAGCGGTTCATTGACTCCGGACTCCGTATTACAACCGAACTGAGGACATGAGGCGCTGCAATGGTGTACAGGCGACGACAGGTCTGAGACACGGCTTTCAGAGTGTGGAATGAGGAACGGACTTCTGAGAAAACAGCCTCGAGAATTTCGGTGGGTAGCTTGAGAATGGAGGCTTTTTCATTCATTGTGTGGCGAAAGACAGACTGTTCTCTCCAGAGAGGGAGATTTGGAGTGGAAGCAGATCAGAAAAAGGCAGTATCTGTGTATGATGAAGTCTACGCAAGCGAAAAGCGAAGAACGAGGGCAGAAGTGTCGGCTTGTTTGCCTTGTTTGCCAGGCTCGCCGGTAGATAGCCAGAGAGAGCCCCTCTCTTCCTCTTTCTTCTCTCCTCGTCTCTCACAATACACTGAATCTGATACTATCTGCTGTCTGTTTCTCGATAAGAAGCAACACTTCATGGTTTCACTTAGCACCCGGGATGGAGATCGATGAGAATATGATCTAGCTTCTCTCAGACTTCTTGTTTCATTCCAAGTGTAAAATTAATGGTTGGAGATCTCGCCCCTTACCAATATCATCTCGTCTAAGCGCCGGCCCCCAAGAACTCTGCTGGGGCCCCACTCCATGCCGTTACGCTTCGGCGCTTAGTAGGCGCTCACTTGAGGCATTTACTTGGGCTTGAAGGTATTCGAATTTCAGTCAACTAAAATCAATCAAGTACCCACTCAACCTTGTTCAAACAGTGGCTCGATCTGCCTTCCGTACGAATGTGTCTCCAGCAAGCACTTGGATACTTCGAGGCCCAAACCTCAGCGGTTAGAATATCCCGACAATGGGGTAATTACAAGGACCTCAGAGGCGAATACCCTGGAAATATCCATTTAGGTTCAGCCTTTCTTCGACATGGCTATTCAAATATCGATCGATCGCAGCCCTGGGACGCGCCTCGGTCCCAAATAATCTCACGTTGCCCGCCATACCGATCTTTATTGCAAGTTTTCAGAGGAGGGCTGTCAATATATTTATTTTGATTGCTTTCCTATCTTGCTTGGTTGGAGGTGCTCATATACCTGCTGAAAAGAGAAGTATCCGAATCTCTAGCCATGTTCCTACTCAAAGTGTGGCCCACTCTTCTTGTTTCTCCCCTGGGCGTTCATCTCTTCTCAACTCAATTGATGCCCCCGGCACATCAACGTCTGTCAGTCTACTGTATGATAGAGCAAATCCTACCACCATGATGACAGGTACCCGGACACCTACCAGTGCATCACATACATCGATGTCAAGTGCAAGAGTAGTCGTCTCAAGTAGTATCTCAACCAACGACATAGAATCATCGACAGCATCTGGAATCTCCAGCCTTACAGTAAATGTCTCGAATGAGCCAACACAAACTCTTGCCACATCTTCTGCGATGGGGATTTGTTGGAAGGTCAGGTGACTCCCTTGGCTGAGATAGCTCTCTCTCTTTCCACCCTGCTTTTCCCCGGTCGGTCTTTTTGCTTCACAGCCACGATCTACTGTTTTGAAGCGATTCATGCTTCCCCTCCGTAGATCAGCCTGTTCTCAAGATATGGTGGGTGCAAACGCCATGGTGGTCCGTGGTGGGTTGGGGGAATTAAATGAGCGACTAAAGGATGTGTGGACAATTGAATTATCTTGATCTTTAATGTTCTAGTATTATCGGAAAGCCTGCCCAGGTCCTGAAGCATCAAAATTTGCACTACTCCGTAGATCATGCTCAGTCTCGCCCAATTCCAAGGTTCCTGTGCACCAAGTCTAGGGGCTAAGTTGACCTTTTCTTGCATTTTGCTGCGATCCCAGTATGTCCAATCATCATTGCTCATTCTCTTGGTTTGTTATTATTTCAATCTCAACTGCATCGTAGGCAAGCCTGGAATGCGAAACATGTGGCTGAAATTAGACAAGATATACATATTTCCACCACTCAGTGCGCTTCCAAGGTTTGACGGGACTGAATCTAGACCGCCGTTCTAGGGCTGAAAGAAGACTGTACTGCTTAGCGTTGGGAATAAAGTTAAAGGGGTTGAGTTTCCTTACGGAGTACTCCGTACTATGTCATCACCTGCGTGAAACCTTGGAACAGGGGAACGATGGCGGAGATTCCGAGATTGGGCCTTTCGAGATTGGGCCACTGGGTACGGAGTATGCAGGTGTGATACGCGCGTGGCAGTATCGTTCCCGGGGCCCCAATCAAGATTGCGGGCCCACTCCAGGGCTGTGATCCCGAGGGTCTGGTTTGTTTGCCCGGGTGAAGGTGTAACCTTATTCGGCAGCGTGCAGCGAAGTATGTAAACTAGGTGAAAACAATGAAATTAACCACATGGACGTCATAGTTGAGCCCCAGGCGTATCTGCAATGTAACCCCGAAGGTGAAATCCATCGTGCTTATTGGCTCACCGATGGATGGGTGTAGATCCATCCCCTGGCAATCAAACAAAAGTGAGGCTGAGATTGAGACATTAAGTAGTACGTTCACCGCGGAGGCATCTTTCTTCGAATCGTTGAATGATCCTCGCTTTTCATACGGAGTACTCCGTACCCCAGAGACGAGACACATCCAATCTTGGGCGGAGGTGCGAGACAGGCCCGCTTCCCGCTCTCGTTCTGTCTACTCGGACAAGTTCGAAAGAGTAAAAGGCCAAAATGTGTTCTACATAAGTATCTCTTGACTCCTAGCCCTGTATCCTTCAATGAAAGGTCATCAAAGAAAGATGTGTGCTTACCAGTTGAGCAAGTCCATCTATATAGCACGCCACGGACTCCGCTAGTTCGGGATTTGGAATACCTTTTTCACGCCGCCAAGAAGGAAGTAATGTTGACGTGTCATATGTATTTAAAAAGAGTAGCAAAAGCCTCAGCATGCTGGTCCGTACTCCGTACTAGGAGAAGATCGCCATCCTCTGTCCATTCTCAGATAGGGCGGACCTCGTACCTGACTCTGGAACTGGTCCATACGTGGGACTCTGCACTCTCAAAGGGCCCCTTTTGCAGTCAGGTTGGATTGACGAATATGGAAATTCGGCTCACCACCCCCTTCTTCTAGCCGCAGATCCATAAAGTGGCGTAATTACCATCATTTGATTGCTTGGCTTTTGGAATTCCACAATTTCTCGCATAAGTATCTCTTGTTTTCCCCATCATAGTATTGCCAGATTATACACCTCCGTTTTTGCTGTAAGTTCGGTCATCTCATCCTCGCCTCATGACTTATTCCAGATCCCTGACGAAGAATCTTTAACCAGTACAATCAATCAATCAACCGACTGGCTTTGAGAATTTCTACAACGTGAAAGGAATTTCGTCATTTGTGGTTGGCACGTTTCTTCCAACTTGAATCCATCTGCCGCCCACACCCCAATCGATCGAAATGGAACAGCCCAGAGAGCTTCCACGTCGTCAGGACTTCCGTGTTGGTTGGATCGCAGCACTCTACAAAGAGTATCTCGCTGCAAGACAAGTTCTCGATGAACAGTACGACGACCTTGAAGTAAGTCGTCATAAAGGCGATTCGAACCACTACACCTTTGGACGAGTCGGCAAGCACTATGTCGTCATTGCGTCTCTGCCCACCGGTGTGCCAGGAACGCATTCTGCTTCTTCTGTTGCCAACGGCATGATGAATTCATTTCCACTAGTTCGATTTGTACTCATGGTCGGAATCGCGGGAGGTGCTCCGACGAACGATAATGATGTGAGACTGGGTGATGTTATTATCGGAACAAGAACGATTCCTTACTCCTTCATCAGGCAACATCAAAACAGAAGAGAGAACATTGGGGATAACGTTGTCTCTTCTCGTGATCTGTTGTCAACTGTCAGCAATGTTCAGGCAAAGATCACTGAAGGGACTGTGAATTTGGATGACACCATATCTTCCAGGTTCAACAAAACGGAAGAGATAATAGATATCTTCCAGCGGCCCGAACCAGAGTCCGATCGTCTTTGCCAGTCTGATTATCTCCATGCCCCCTTGTGCGACTGCCTGAGTGTTTCTCCGGGCAACTCAAACGCACTGATTCAAAGGCAACAGCGTAAATCTTATGCGAAGGTCAAAGTCCACTTTGGCTCCATCGGCTCAGCGGATATAGTCCTCAGAGACGCCAATGAACGGGACAGACTATCCAATCAGTTCGAAATTCTCTGCTTTGAAATGGAGTCGGCGGGGATTTGCTTAGAAAACCTGCCCATCCTGCCCATCCGAGGCATTTGTGACTATGCCGACTCGCATAAGAACAAAAAATGGCAAGGTTACGCCGCTGCCGTGGCCGCCGTTTACGCCCGGTGTCTGCTCCAAACTGTTTCTTCGGGAGATTTGTTCAAAGGAACAAAGCCTGTGGATGCAGATGACTTGCGCAAAGAAATAGAGATTCTCGTTACTGCGGTCAACAAAATGACATCCATTGATATTGAAGAACAGTTGCGCGGACATGAGTCTAAGCTGGAGAAACATGAGAAGATATTTCGTGATGCACACCAAGCCATGGATCAAATTCATGCAATGATCGAAATGACGAGGGGCGTTTCTGCAAATAGGGCTAAAGCCAACTCCGAGGCCATCAATAAACTGGAGATCCAAACGACGGATAACGCCCTGGCCATTGAATCAGCACATCGCAAAATTGAAGAAGGGCAACAGCAGCTTCAAAAGATCCTCGATGCCATGCAAGAGCATATCAAAAGACAGCAAGAGGCAAGTTCACCGGAACAACGACCCAAATGGGATGACCTCCAAGCAGAGGCTCAGAAAGAAAGTACATCTTTAAAAGATGCAACAGAAAAGACCGAGAAAGCTCTGAAGAACGCAACTCATGTTCTTAATGACCTGAACCATCTTACCGGAAATTCAGAACTTGGCAAAGTCACAAAAGCCACAGACAAAACGAGTCGTATTTTTGCTTTGTCCAATAGGTTCCAAAAAGCCTTTTCCCCGAGCCAGACCAGCAGCCGAACAGTTACCAAAAGACATGAGCATCGTTCATTGACTTCTGGAAGTGGGCCAGCCTCAAAGACCCACAGGAGCTCCAAGCCTACTACCCACAAAGTTGCTCCTTTGCTGATTGAACCTCAGGGGGAAACAGGGAGAACCTGCAGATAAATACAAGCCCAGGGTCCTCCTCGTTCCCAGAAGCATCATCCTCACCTCCACCGAACAGGATAAGTGATCATGACTTGCACTTAACAGCATCCGAATCGACATCCCCACAGAGGCCTGTTCGCCCACCCTTGCCACCGCGAAACCAGACGATTCCTTTGTCGGGAGCACGCAGTAATCTTCCTCAGGGAGATTCAACTGTAATGACTGGCCTGAAGAAAATAGACTCGTTATCCCCACGTGTTCCGAAGTTACCACCACGACCGATCAAAGAGGCACAGCGTGAAGTGTCAGCGGCTCCTTTGAATCAAAGACCGGGAATTCACGACCAGCTTGGGAAGGAGCTGGCCAAAAAGCTTGCTGGACAGAAAGGCCCCTCTCTTCCACCACGGCCACAGTCGACAGGAAAGATTCAATCCTGCAGTCCATGTCAGGTGAGCCTCATTCACATCTCTTATACCCTTCGGCTTCAAAGAAGTAGAGGAAGACTGATACTAACGTCATGACTAATAAAAGTCTGCTGACGGCTCACCTGGTCTCTTGAGTGACGTGGTATCGGCACGAAATCATTCAACTACCAACCCTGTCGGAGACCCTCAACCAAAGACACCACCCGTCCCGCATGCAAAGCCAAAGCACTTAGCATCTTTCAACCCCAATATGAGGCAAACTGCTGTGTGATTTCCCAAAGATATGGATATTTAATTGAGAATATAGCTCGCTAGGATGGTATTAATCGGGGTTGTTTTGGGAAATGAGGAGCACTTGGATGGAATTATTTGATGGGCGCTCATTTGTGGACAATTAGGATATTTTTATGATTTTCGACGGCGTATGTCATGCTCTGCAAGCATTACATGTTCGTTTGTTTGCTTGCCTGCTGCCCCGCGCCCTGTTTGCTTCGTTTGCTTGCTTTGCTTCCTTTGCTTCCTTTGCTATTTATGCTTCCTGTTTCCATAGCTTCTTCCCTCTTCTTCCTTCTTCCTTCCTTAGCTTTATTATCTTCGTGTTCATGGAATTACCATCATCCATCATCCTCACAGCGTACAAGGCCGCTTTTCCTCCAATAAACACAATTTCAGCAGTCCTTGAGTAGGAACTTGAGAAACGCATAAAAGGAGAGACAGAGAGAGTTGAATCTATCCGTAAATCTTCAAACCAGGAATTTTTTGAATCGACGACCCAACAAATATTGGAGGCAATCTAGCTGCCGGTAAACTCTCGGGAGGTGTTGTCAACTGGTACGTACGATAGGTGCTTGATACTCAGAGCTACTCCGTATTTGCGTAGCTTGGATAAGAAAGCTGCAGGGTTTGAGTTTATCGGGTGAATCGTGGGCAGAAATTAGAGACCCCCTTTTTAGGGCACGGGCCGCCCGTGGTAGGGCGGCGCAGGGCGTGGCACTATCATGGCCCAATCAAAACTGGGTATGATTCGTTTGCCCGGGTGAGGGGGCGATCCCGATTCCGTACGGAGTAGCATGAGGCTCAATCTGAGAGATAAACCAGATGGGTATGATGGCTGAGCCTCTAGAAATTCTTGGAAATGTACCCTCGAGTTTGTAGGCTATATCGTTAATATATGTGCATTATAGATCAATCCTACGCGGATCACTGCGATTGAGGCTGAAACAAGTATTAGGACATACCGGGATTCCGTACAATGAAGACCAACACAAAAAGAGAGAATGGTGGAGTACGGAGTATGTGATTGAATTACTTCCAGGGCTCACTCTGCTCTCTGGCCGGTCTGCGATCCCCAAAACAGTTCCATTCAGTGCAGGGGCACGTCTAAGCCGGAGCACCCGTGGACCCTGAAAGCTGGGGGCTGGTTCTTGGGCGAAGTCCTCTATAATCCATGCAAAACCTTTGCGGAGTCTGTACTCTGTCTTAGCCTCCCGTATATTTTTGTCATGTCACAAATCACACAACGGACTTCACGTTTCAACCCCCCTTTCCGCCCTGAAAAACCAACCTGGAAGTCAAAGGGAAAAAGCTACTAACTAGTATCGGCGATGGTAGCGGACATATTGAAATTGCCTCCTTATAACTAAATGGGAACGGGTATCAACTAGCCCAGTAACTCTATATCAGGCAGCCTGACATCAGTATCCGCCACGCCAGGCTCCACTATCAACTCATACCTAGTCGTGACTTACCCAAACTCAAGCGCCAATGGAGACATTTGGGACCGGCAAGATTATTGAAAGCTCCACTCTGTATATAGCTATTCCGACTGTACGGAGTAAATAGCTTGTATGATTATGAGCCGGTACCGAACTATACTCCCCTGCCGTCCGGTTTCGAAGTTACCACACTACCACCTGCGACATGGGTCAGCAGCAAATGCTTCGTGGGCGAAGGGGACTGGGTGAAGACACCTGGAGCCTGTTTTTGTTATATGTGGCGCCAAACTGATATAGTGGAGGGGAGTTCGGACAATGTTGAACGGGTAACAGCATTTAGTGGCGATTATCGCCCGATCGCGAGTTGCTCAACTACGATCACGTTTTGAAGGAGTCTTGCGATTTATTAGCACTCAGATCTTGAACTCATGGGATTGCAATTTTGATGGGCTGAGATCTAGTTCGAGCCTGGAGAACTAGACATGATATAACCATACGGTGATAGAACTAATAGAATGTCACAAAGCCCAAGATTAGGTAGGCCTGAGGCCTGTCATCGAAATGCATCTATGCACATGCGATAAACTGCCCCAGTACATCAAATGAGATACCCTGACATAGTTACCTCGTAGGGTATTTTTAAACACAATTAACATCCAAGAGAGTATCATCGACCTAAAGGTACAATGTGTCAGCATCATATCATGAAATTTTGGTAGAAAGCGTTTACTGACATTGGTGCAAGTAAATTGGTCGTCGCCGTCAGGACTCGTGATGTCAATGTCACTGGCGTTAATATTGGAGCAAACCTATTCAAAGTTAGCTTGTAGGATTTGATTTGGACTTTGAAATACTTACGTCTGGGCTAGAGCAGACAATTGTCCCGACTTTAGGGTCATATTTGCCGGAGGTCACGCCCTTGAAGTTCTTGAAATAGACGTCCTCGATGGCGAGGTTGCTCTGTAAATTGGAACCTCGTTAGCTTTCTGCGAGCTTCGAATCCCATAGAATAACCAAAACCCAAGGGGAGCTCACAGGGTACTCGTTACAAAGGGTCAAGTTCTTCTGGCCGTAGCACTGAGTGACCTCAATGGCATAGTCAACGTTGTCAATGGTCATTCCATCGTAAGTGATATTTTTCACCAGGCCGGATCCACCGCCACCTTGGAGATCAGTGGACAGTGCGGAGGAGATACCCGGCCAGACCTTGATACGGGCGCCATCCTTCATGGTGGTGTTAGAAATACATTCGCATTTATAAGAGGAATGGAAAGAAAGCGTGCTGTGGATGAGACTTACCGATGCGTTGAACATCGAGACGTTGTACACCAGAACATTCTGCACGAGATCAACCTCACCAGGATATTGACCCAAAGAGCCCACTGAAATACCGTGGGAGCCATTGCAGTGCAGGTTCTGGACCAGGATGTCAGTCACGTTAGGCTTGAATGAAACACAATCTGCCAACAGTTAGCAAGGTAAAACTATAATTTTGCGTGCGGACGAAGCCAATTTACCATCGCCGTTGTTGATCACAGAGTTCTGGATGACAATGTTGGACGATCGATAGACATCCCTATCAAATGGTTAGTCTAGACGGCTCGGTCAATATTTCTTCCTGTTGTGTCTGTAACTTACCATCCATCGGTGTTCTTGGCCACATTAGAACTGCTGCTGAATCCAGTGATATCAATGCCATCGAAAAGAACATCAGACGAGTTGGCCACGAATTGATACCACTGAGGCGAGTACCGGAGGTTAAGAGGTCCGATAGTACCGCCGTTGAGTCCAATGATACCAACCAAGATGGGTCGCAAGATCAGAGCATCTTTCGCATATAGATCATACCAGACCTGTCCATTGCCATCAAGAGAGCCCTCGCCGTACACGTTGACATCTTCACCGCCAATCTGGAAGAACGTCGTTGCGTTCTGGTAAATCTGCTTGAATGCATTTGCCTGCCAATAATCCGTATCGTTTGAGAATTGGACATGGCCTTGGATTTCTGTTTAGGTACTGGTCAGTTCTGTATCCTTCGTTCTCGTGTGTTACCACTTACCCAAGTCCACATGCTTGAGGAAAGTCATGTCGAGTGCCTTTCCAATCGTGTATGTCTTGTCAGCATCGAAAATGACCTTTCCGCCATTGTTGCACTTCTTCAGTGCTGAAAGGACATTGGCTGAGTCGTCTTTGCCATGTCCGTGGTTGGCAACATGACAGGTGCGAGTTCTGGGATGGCTGGCAGGAAGAGGCTTGAATGGGTGGTTTGGATGGCATGCATCGGTCCGGGAGTAAGTATTTTTGGCTTCAACGGATGCACCGAGGGAGACCAGCAAGCCCAATGCTTGTGTGAGACTAGTCGTTATCTTCATAGTTGGATAATGTAAGCCCTAAAGTGGTCCACGGGTGTTGATCTCCAGGTTGGCAACTTTCTCAATCCAGGATCTTCTCTGGGGAGCTCCCCAAGACAGCTAATAAATAATTTCAGCGATGACAAACGAATTGTCTAGTGTTATTCCCCAGTTTGGCCGGGGTCGACGCTAAGCAGCGCCCCTGGCGGTCGTGCGGTGGGGTTAGTCCCATCTCATCCATCTTTGTCCGGGGAAACAGGCCAGCAACATGACGCCTGGTGGAGAACCCCGGACACAAGGATGGCTTGCGCTGTATTCTATCGCGTGGGTAACGGGGTGGTCGGGGATAGATTGACTCCATGTTGCGTAGGCATTCTCACCAGCCAAATCTCATAGGAGGAATATTCGGTAGCAATTCGCCGATTGGAAGGAAAATTCCGGGTAAATGCTGGGAGCAAATTTCCTTCCATCTCTGAGTAATCTTCGCAAATGAAACTGGCGATACGTGCATGGAGCTTCTATACCACAATGATTGAAAACCGGACATGCGCGAAGTATTGCGGGGGAAAAAAGCTACGTGCTTGGATCTCGAACGTTCCTAAACGAGAAACATGTCTCACGGGAGTAAAACCAATCGTCTTCAAATGCTTTATATGTACAACAACTGCCCAATCGGGACCGAAAATTGTGGCTGAACATGAACGACATTGGTGTCGTGCCAAGCATGCGCGCTTGGAGGCATACAACCTCCAAGCTTCGCAACAAGCTTTGGGTCGGCATCAACCAACAGCCTCTATAGACACCGGTATAAGTGTAACCGAGCGCACTTTTCTTCCACACCGTCACCGTGCGACAGGCCTCAGATTTAGGTGGACTTCTCGACCTTATCGGCAACCTTCTTGACGGCGCCCTCGGCCTCGCCGGCAACGGCCTTGACGGTGCCAACGGCCTCCTGCTCAACAGCCTGGGCGGTCTCGGTAGCAGAGCCATCTTGGCTGCGCTGCCACATGATAATACGGGTGACCTGGACAGCTCCGACGCATCCAAGGAAGAAGTTGACGGCGGCAAGCCTGTGAGAATGATTTGTTAGCGTGGTCCCAATTGTTTGCGCTTTGAGTCCACGTACAGAACGTTGCGGGGCTTGATGATCATGCACCAGCGAGTCCAGATGGCACCGGTACCCATGAGGGCGGCGTTCTGGGTGAGGGAGAGCTTCTCAGCGGGACGGGCGAAATCGGAGATACCGGCGATGACGAGGCACCACTGTAGATTTGTCAGTCAACATGACCCCAAATTGTATGCGATGAAGCTGGGAATTGGAAGGGTAATCGGGAAAGAAGAGGAGGGTCGTAAATGTCGTGGCTTGGACAGGAATATCAGATAGGAAATCAAATCATCGTACCTTCATGACGGGGGCCCTACAACCGGTAAGTTAGCATTGTTTCGAGTGCTGCAAGGAAAAGCAAGAACTGCAAAGCGTATGTTCTTACCAGAAGTGCACAGTCTTCACGCCGACAGGGCTGTTCCACATGCGCTGGAAGGTGCTCTGCTGCTCCGCAGCACCGGCTTCGGAGCTCGAGAAGCGGAAGCCCTGGGCACCCGGCCGGCGGAATGGCGCAGAGGCATTGCGGAACGCAAAGCGAGTGTTGTTCACAAAGCGGAATCCCACGCGAGAAGACATGGTTGTAGTTGAGATGGAGGTTCTGGGGGAGAGAGAGGAAGGATGGTCGTCCGGTGATCGGTGGAAGGGGCAGTTTTCCGTCGGAGAGCAGCGATAAGACGGATTGACCACCACCACCACAAGGAATATTAATATTCTAAGATATCTTGCGATAGTTTACAGCTACTGCTTACGATTGATATGACTTTTGCTCCGCAATATCAGCATCTTGGTCCATTGCGATGACGGCGATTGAAGTTGATGGCTGACCTAATCACAGGCTAAGCCGGATTCAGCCTAGCGGGCTCTGGCTCTGCGCAGCGAATCACCGCCGTTGTGAATAATGCACCGCATCGCAAGACCTCTCTCTATCCCACTGCTCCCGCGTCTCCCCTTGGCTCCCTCGAGACCTCTCTTATTCTTCACATCTGTCAGAACACACCATGTCTGGCAAGTACGTCTTCACTCAGGGCCTGAAGGAGCTCCGCTTCCTCTTCTGCCAATCCTCCGAGGCCAGCGCTGCCACAAGGTCTGTACCCTCAATTCCGGACAGCTCGTGCATTGTTTAATATCTCTCTCTTGCAGGTCTTTCCTCAACCGCGCCTACCCCACTATGAAGAAGCACAACCCCCAGACTCCCATCATGATGCGCGAGGCCGCGGGCACCCAGCCGCGGGTGTTCGCCCGATATGGTAGGATACGCAGCACCCATTCAATGGGCACCGGACACACAAGGCAAAAGGCTAACTCGATGTGCCATTATAGCATTTGGAAAGGAGAAGCAGGAGGCTCTGGCTGGTAAGCCTCCCGCGTCACCCCCCGCGCCACGGCTTTGTGGAACCAGAATACTAACATCAGTCTCCAGGTCTTACCGACACTCAGATCGAAGAGCGCATCACCCAATTGGTCAAGCAGTCATAAATTCATTCATATCCTACCGCACTATTTTATGTCCTCGCCCTCTCACCGTTTTACCCCCCATCTTCTGTACCTATAGATGAAATCCAACCTTACTCAAAACATTCCACATCTCAACCTTGGAACCCGATATATTGACTGATATTTCACACAACCTGATGCGTTTATAACGAGCTAGCATTACCCAGTTCACCGAATCGATACTGCGCCCAACTCATACTTCCCTCGGGATATGTCCAAGTCCTCTTCCCCAGATCTTCCCCAGCAGCTCCAGCTCCAATGTGAATAGGCAGCAAATGCTCGAAAGACGGATGTGCCTGGCGTGCATCTGGCCGCTTCAGCAAATCCGCCAATGCCTTTTGCCGCTCAGCCGGAGCCGTCGTCGCAGCCTCTTTAAGCGCTTCGTCGAAACTAACTGCGTACGGAAGTGCCGTCTTACTACCAAAGGTGAATCGCAAATCACGGAGATTATGCACCGCCATTCCGGAAACAATGATCAAGATATTTTCCTCTCGAAGACGAGCAACCGCTTGGCCCAGTCGGTAGTGCTGGTCTGGGTCTTCGGTGTTGAACAGTGAGACTTGCACGATCGGCACATTCAATGGGTTTGTCTCGGGCTCAAATGCTGTTTCGCGTCAGTATTCAATATCGCCCACGCATACGCTGAACATACCGCACTTGAAACTAGCCCAAACGCCATGGTCAAGTCCACGCTTCACGCCCTCTGCTGCGATCCCCGCGTCCTTGAGCGAGTCGAGCACTTTGTTTGCAACTTCCTTGCTGCCCACATTCGGGTACTTCTCTTTATAGTAGTGGCTTGGGAAGCCATAGAAACTAGAATTTGTCAGTCCACCGTCATCTTCAAGGAGCTACCGGGGTCAACATACTCATAGATCAAATCGGTCATCTCAGCAGTATTGACCTGGATCGTATCGCGACCAGCTTGCCAATGAGCCGAGAAAACAACCACAGCCCGAGGCTTGACCTTGGTCGTGATTTCACGGCCGATCTGGGCGAGTTTGCGGTAGGCCGGGTGCTCGACGTCGTACATGACGTTCGGCTGACAATGTTAGTGGATAGATGCTTTTTAATCAATTCCGATCCTAGACTTACGCCGCCGTGGCTGAGGAAATAGATTGGTGTCTTCATCTTGGATTGCAATTGACTTCGACTTGTGTTGTCAATTGCGGCAACGGAGGGCGCTGCGGCGACTGAGGCCCCAGGTCGCGTAGAGAAGAAACGTCGTAGTCCGAACAGATTGGCGGACTCACCCCAGAATAGAGCGATGGTAATAGCAACAATGAGAGCTAGGATGGAAAATGCGGCTGTTCGTTTGTTGGATGTATTGGTTTTGTCCGGTGCTTCGGGAGACATATACGGCGCGAAACAAGTAGGCAGAAATATCCAAGAAGGATAGAAGAATACGCTTGATGTGAGATAAATGCAAAATCAACCAGTGAAAAGACCGAAGACCGCTAGAAATAAGTCGAAATGATGCTGTACAAGCCGATCGCATAAGCCGGTCCGAACTTTGTAAGCGCGGAATGGCGCCGCTGTATATCCGCGCACGGATTTACGGATATCGGATGGCATCATATACATCAGTCTTGATTGTTCTATTAATGCTGCAAGCCTTGGCCCATGGTATCCGTTTCGGTCATGCAAAGTTCATAAAATCAGAAAACTCGAACACAAGTGTTCACAAAGATCCTTGAAAAAGGAAAAAGGAAAAAGGAAGAAGAAGAAGAAGAAGAAGAAGAAGAAAGAAAAAAAGACATAACAATCATGCAGCATGAGTAACAGAAGGCCCACATGTCAAGAAATGAGAGCGCATACAACGCCAGAAAGAGACCTGCAAGGTCTGCGGGAAGAATAATAGCGAGATAGGCCATCTACATGAGAACACAGTCTCCATCACTCTGCTTATTAACAGCAGAGCGAGAAAGACGAGTCTTCTCCATCCGGCTACCACCCTTTTTAAGCTCCTCAAGGCGCTCACGGGCCTTAGGGAATCCTTGCGCTGAACCAAACATTAGTCAAAGTCAAATACAATAAAAAGCAAAAGAAACCACTTACCAGCCGCACGCCAATACCAGCGCTTCGCATCCTCCAAATTAGCAGCAGAGCCAATTCCAACCTCGGTAAAGTACCCCATGGCATATTCAGCCTTTGCAAGACCAGAAGTCGCAGCCTTGCGAGCCCACAGATAAGCCTCTGTATCATTTTGCTGTAGAATACCCTCTGAACCAGTCAGATACCAACCGCTGAGCGCAAGCTCACTCTGGTGTTCGCCCTGCGCTGCAGCACGCGTGTACCAGATAATACTGGTGCGGTTGTCAATTGGACATCCCATAAGCCCGTATTCATAGGCATTACCCAGACGGAACTGAGAGAACTTGTAGTTTAGTTCGGCGGCCTGGTGGAAGAGCTGCGAGGCGTATTGTTCGTCTCGGACGATGATGTCGTTCCCGCTGGCGTTCTGGTACATCAGTGCCAGTTCGTGGAGGGCGTGAGGGTTCTCTTCGTCTGCGCGCTCGGCTGCGCGCTTCAGCCAGGAAACGCCTTCGCGTGGGTTGCGGGCTTGTCCGAGGAGTCCCTTGAGGTTGATCATGCCCATTTTGTACATTGCGGGTGTGTCACCCAGGGATGCAGCGCGCTTGTACCATTGGACGGCCTTGAAGGGGTCGCGTTTCGTGCCGCCGCCTTCTTCTTGTCCGATTTCGCAGCAGACTGCGACTCGGTAGGCGGATTGGGCGTGGCCTTGCTTGGCGGCGGAGTGGTAGAGTGAGAAGGCTTCTTTGGGGTCTACTTCGAGTCCCAACAGACCTTCTCCGTAGCAATCGGCTAGGTAGAATTGCGCTTCGGAGTACCCGCCCGTAACGAGTTTCTTCACAATCTTGAATGCATCCATTATGTACTTCTCTTTGGCCTTGGCTTTTGTCTTGGGGTCGAGACGACTGTTGTCACCCACCAGGACAGTGGAGGCCTCGGCCAGCTTTTTGGCGAGGATGAGGTGGGCCTGCTTGTCGGAGGGGTTGCCTCGCGCCTGTTGTTGCAGGCGCTGGAGCTCTTCGATTGTGACAGGCGCCTGCGCCGGTCCTCTGGGTACCATCATGGGCTGCGATGCCGGGGCCGGCGCAGGAGCAGGAGCAGTCTCTGGGGCACTGTATTGCCGTACAGGCGCCGGTTTCGCACCTTGGTCGAGACCCAGCCGGAAAGGAGCTGGGTGGTGTGGCAGAGCATCGGGATTTTGCTGAGCTTCGGGAACCTCGGGGTGCTCGTGATAACCTGGCTGGATGCCTCGGACAGGAGCAGGAGGACCTTGTGAGTAACCTGCATAGTCCTCATACCCATGTTGTCCGTATCCGTGATCAGCAGCATGGCCGGGAGCCTCTCCAGGAATATCAAATTGGAATCCTGCATTCTCGAACTGGTTCGGCGCTTCGGCTTGTCGGAGGTTTGGTTGAGACTGGGAGCGCATGAAGTCGTCACCTGTGGGTGAGTACGTATTATAATTGCCGGGGGAGGAATTCGGATGCGGAGCCGGCGTCTTTGCCTTGGGCGTCTCGAGTCCCATTTCATCAATGGCCGTGTGCTGGCCAGCATCAGGCATGGCGTCAAAATTAGGCATATCGGGTTCGTCGGGACCAGACTCGTAATAGCTGTCCAAAAAGTCCTTGGGGGCGTATGAGACGCGGTTGGCAGGTTCCGGGGGAATCATCAACGAGGCGGAGGGAATGATCAGGCCAGGGTCTATGTCGTTGGGGGCGCGTGAGTGCGGTGGTCGCATACTCCCGGCGGTATTTGGGCGCATTGGAGGATCCATCGGGCTCCCTGGATAATCTGATTCTTGATATGTCGATTGACCAGGATACGATGGACCTCCCATAGGCGCGCCGAGCGGCATGGTTGTACTTCGTGGGGGCGGACCCATAGGTCCACCCATGGGATCTCCGTAGTCGCGATCAGGGCGATCCGGACGACCTGAGCTTCCACCTCGCATCGGGCCCATGGGATAGCCTCCCCGGCCCCGTCCAGGTGGGGGACCGCGTAGAGGGGGCTGTCGCATCTCCGGTCGTCTTCCGTTGGAGGTATGAGGTCTCGGGGGACCCCGTCCGTTCATATCCACTGCCCTTCCATTCAAATCCATGGCCGACATGCTGCTCTCTAATCCTCGCGGTGGTGGTGGGCGACGATCCCTGGGATCTCTCGGTCCCCTACGGTCTCGTGGATCTCGTGGATCTCTGGGGTCCCGTGGAGGTCTCGGGCCTCTCGGGTCTCTCATGTCTCTCGGGTCCCGTCGAGCTCTGGGGTCTCTTGGATCTTGATTCGGGAAGGAAGGGAAGGGGTTGTCGAAGGTGCCCGGGCCCGGGGCGGGTCGTCCACCAGCTATACTTGTCAGACGAGACTTCCGAGTCGTAGTGATTTACTTACGGGTTCGTGGTCGCGACTGCGGCGGCATCCCTCCGGGAGGATAGCCATTCGGAGGGCGTCCATATCCCGGCCCTGGGCCTGGCGGTCCCGGTGGGCGCATTGCGCGCGGTTGTGACTGCGGGGCACCATAAGGCTGCGAACCTGAAGAGTTGGAGTGAACGCTGTACGCAGCGTCGTCGTAGGCTGGACCGGCAGGGTAGTCGTGACTACTCCTCCCTCCATCACTATGTCCGTAGGAACCATCTTGCGAATATCCCCCCGGTGAGACCACGGATGGCGAAGGAGCCGTATTGTATTGTCGCAGCGGTGGCGGTCTCTGCGCGGCAGACTGAGGGTATGACATGGCGCGAGGGAAAATGGGCGCACTCTTCCAAGTGCCACGATTTGGGTGGTTGCGATTGTTTAAACCTTTGGTCGCATGCAAGGAGGGGCTGATGAGTTAGCGCATTGCCCCCCTAATCTCGTCCTGGTCACTCACCCTCAAAGACCACGTGAAGTCAAGAATGCCAAAGGACAGTACTCCGTACTCGTCCAATCTGTACAAAGCGAGAAGAGCGAGAGAGAAGCAGGTGACCTTTAAATTAAAAACCCGTCGACTCCACTGAGTTATTTCGTTCGGACGCTAACTCCTTTGGGTAACTCTTTACTTTGGAGTCTCTGGATCTCTTTGAGGTCATAGATCTTCTATTCTGATATTTCCATGGATCTGGGATCTATCGCTAATATTTGACAGTTATTAACTATGTACTCCGTATGACTTTATTTTGTTTACTCGGTGGTCTCAGCACACAACGTATGTGTATAACCCGGTGCCTGACGATCAGGGGTGTACAAGTAGCCGCCGAAGGACCCCTGCCATCTTGGGACCACAACCGTTGACGAGGGAGTTGTGCCTTGGCACAGCAGAGCGAACCAGTAGACAGCTGCCTAGGGGCAAATGGGGCATCTGAAACCAAATGACACCCTACCGGAGACAGCCCTAATCTTCGAAGGACCCGAAAGACTGTGAGGAAATATGCGGGAACTAGAAATTATCGCCAGGGTCAATCGGCATTGTCCGGGCATTGCACATTGCACAAATTGCGGACTCCACGTATGTCTCGGGATCAGGGACGGACTAAAAAAGAAAGAAACGTCACCGTTCGTGTGGGCTCAAGGCTAAAGAGACTTAAAAAAAGAAAGAAAAAAGAAAAGTGTGGGGAGAAACACAAAGGTGAGACATGCCCGATTCGGTCAAGTGTTACTGCGCCACACCTGAGCCACTGAGCCTGAGCCACTCTTCGGCAACAAATGAGAGCCGCGATGATGTTGATGATCTCTCACTCCGAACCATTTTCACTACATCATGTCTCGCGTCGGATTATGGGCCAAGGTCGTGGCCGGGTAAGTGATGCCCCTCGATCCGAGTATTCCGTGTGTTCCGTGTGCTCATTCTCGATTCTCGATACCAGTGGCCTGCTCATGGTCGTCGGAGGTCCCGCCTTCGTTGAATGGATCCGCCCTACCGATGAAGAACTCCGCAAGCGATACAACCCGGACTTAAGGCAGCGTGCCGAGGCGCAAGGTGATCGTCGCGCACAGGAATTCGACGATTATGTCAACAAGTTGAAGGAGTGGTCCAAGTCGGATAAGTCCAGTATGTCGAGGTCTCCTATTACGCCGGCATAGTGCTCGAAGCGCGACCCGGGTGGCGAGCGGTGATAGTGACAGTGACTAACGCGAAGATCTTTTTTTCAGTCTGGTACGCCGCGCAGGAAGAGCGAGACAGGAAGCAAGCTGCGATTGATGCGCAGCGCGCCCAGAGCAAGGAACAGACGAAGACACAACGGGAGGAAATGCGCAAGGAAATGCTGGGTGAAAAATGATTGCCAGTCAGCGATGTGTGATTCTATCATTGTCAGGCAGTCAGCTGGTGTCGAGAAAGACAGACGATGGTCTACTACCCACCTCGAATATCCTTTGCGTCCCCCGCCGTTGAACACTGCTTCCACAACTTGACCATGTTCAGACTGGAGCCCCTCCCGTGTGCAACACTGAACAATCCCCTCCGTGTCATGATTTCTACTATGTGTACGATACGCTTGCGACTCTTCTCTCTCACATCTACCTCGAACCCGAGGTACCAATGTACAATAACGGACCCTTGGGTCTTTGATATAATTAAAAGCGAATATCAATTTACATCGGCGCTCAAAATACAACAAGATCAACCTGCTTTGATTACTCTAGGACGCAAAGCTGGACAGCTTCTAATCCGCGCATCAAAAGATTGATGTTTGCACTTGATGCCCCATTCACAAGCACCCGAGGCTGAACATTCAACAATCACTCCAAGTTCCTCTCATCACCAGCCGCCTTCAAAGCCATCTGCACCATCTCCTCCGGAAGAGAGATCCAAATACTATGGTGAGTATCAAACTCCACAATATCCAGCACCACACCTTCCGCCTTGACCCTTTCAAGCAGGAGAGTCTGATACGGCGGCACAAGAGCGCAATCCCGACTCGTCCGCACATAGGTAGCAGGCACAGTCTTCCAGACATCCCCCCTCGTCACAGCAGTCAAAGGACCCGGAGGGCTGCACACCATGGACTCACATGCCTTTCGAACAACACTCTCTTCTTCCAGACCACTGAAGAGCGCCATGCTCGGATCTCGCAGAACAGAGGTTCCATCTTCTGCAATATCCACCATCTGCTTCCAACCATCCTGCATACCTGTTTCCTCGACGATGGTCCAGGGTGACTCGCCCGGTATCAAGATATAGGCGCAGATATAGAGTAGGTGGATGATACCACCGGGTAAGTTTGCTTTTCGACGTGTTGCTAGGTCGAGACCTTGCGCGGCCTCTGTGCCTACTATTCCGCCGTAGGAGTGCATGATCAGCAGGACGCGCTCGTCTCGCTCGACGCAGGATGTTATCACGCAGCGGACGTGGGCGGCGTCTTCTGGTAGGGAGGCATTGGGTGGTCGGTGGCCATTGGAGGTTGGGAGTAAGGGACAGTGCACGGTGAATCCCTTTGCTTGGAGGTCGTTGACGTAGGTCTGGTAGTTTGCGGGTGTGTGCCAGGCTCCATGGACTAGGACGATGGTTGGAAGGGTGGATGTCATGATGGTTTCTTTGGGGTTGGGGTGTGAATTTAGAGTCCAGGAGATATATATCTTGGTTCCTGCCCAGGTAGGATCTTGAAGGCTCTCAATGGCTTGTTGGATATTTTGAGTGCAATTCTCAGCGATATATATCTATGGGATAGGTATGGGTCAATATTTAAGTATCTACCGAAACTAACCTTGGAAGCTGTCTACTAGCCCGGCGTATATATGAGGGGCCAATATTCCGCGAAGTTGCGCGCTAAAGTCCTAGGGCCAATATAATTGGAGAAAGGACCCTGGGAGGATCACGATCGGCACTTTCAGATCTAAAGGCGTCCAGCGCTAAAGGTGTATGATTGAAATCTGACGTAAGTAGTCAACAATATATCTTAGCTGAACTGAGATCCATGGATAAACCTTGGAAGTATCCGAATATTCCAAGGGTACAATCATGAAAACACAACCATAAACGCAGCAGCACCAACGGGCATCAAGACAGCCAACGCAGCAACAATACCTGCGCCAGCCTTATCCCCCGCTGTGATCGCCCGAGTTCGAATATCCCCGTCTACCGCTTCTTTCTGTCCGCCATCGTCAGACTTTGAATTCCCTTGACTCGTACCACCCGTTTTCCCCGTCACGGGCGCCTTGACAGTATATACCAAATTCGCTTTGAATATCTCCATCGCAGCCATCTGTTCCCCGATCCCAGTACTGCTCTTGTAGTCGGTGCCGTCAGTCCAGACCAGCCCGCAGGCATTATCGGGTCCATTGCACTGCTCCGCGGCGGCGATTGAGGAAATCTGGATCTTGGGCTCTAATGCCTCTTGCGTGAAAGGGGCGAGAGGGATCGTCGCGGCCATGAAACGCGCTAGATAGGCTTTGAAGGATCGAGAGTTGAGGTCACATTTGCTGGATTCGCATGACTGGATCATGATGTTTTGATTGTTTGGGAAGAATGTGTCGAGCCCGCTGATTAGGCCTTCTATTCGCTCTTTCCATACCTCAGATCCTTTGGTCTGTTTTGATAAGTTTTGGAGTCGCGGTGCTGGATGCAGAGTGGATACTTACTATGTTGTACATGTTCGCTGCACCGTGGAGATACACCGCAGGGAGATATGCGTGCTGTGAATGATTGATAACAGTGCAATTGTCCCCGCTGTCAGCTCCATCAAGGACATGCCACTTGTCGTTGATGAAGCCCGTGGAATTCGTCCAGTCCCAGACCTTTTCCGCCCAATCTGTAAACGTGTCGTTCCCTGTATACCTTGCCAACCGCGACGCAACGTTGAAAAACCCTCCATTGGAGATGGTATTCTTATAAGAATATCCACCATTATACTCGAAAACCTGCCAGTGCAGACCACCACCACAGGTCGACGTATCCCAGCGGGTAGCCTGTGAATTGAACACATTCTCCGCTAGAGCTAGCCACTGGGGTTGGTCATCCGGTGGATCAGGATACCCTAGCTCGGCGGCCGCCATTGCTGCAAAGCCCCAGAAGATCTGATCGTCGTTACCGAGAGACAAGGTCTGATTCTGTGGCATGAAGTTGTTATCGTCGCCTACTTGGTGGAGCAATGCTTGCGTGGTCATTTTGTTCCAATGATCGTCTCCGGTATAGTACCAGTATTCGATCATTGCGCCGAACATGGCACCAGCTTCCCACCAGTAGTATGGGTCTGGGATATTTCCTGGTACGTCGCCGGGCTGGTCGCCTGTGTAGTATTTCATCATACCGGCAGCGGCGACCTTGGCCGCGGCCTTGATGGAATCTGGGGTTAATTTAGTGAATACGTCCATGTGTCACGCGACTCGATTCGACACACCGTCATTTTCTAAGTCGAGGTCGATAGACGCCTGTGTGACTTTTGGCCCCAACGTGGAGAGGAGGAAGACTAGAACACCATATGATTGTCCTAGATATCTCATAGTGGAAACCGGACGAAGGAAGAACACATCTAAGGAAGGAATAAAATCATATATGAATTCTCAAAACGCTATGTGGCTTTAGAACTTGTTTTTATTTGCCATGGGCTGAGCTGTACAGATCAACAGCCAAGCATGGGGCCGCGGGGGGGATCGCGAGTCGCGAATGGTGCTTTTACGCAGGGGGCCGTTACCGGGATATAAAATATGGGGTGCCCAAGAGGATATAAACCCGTGGAGATGGAGCGAGAATCAGCCTCACACCTGGGGCCGGTCGGTCCGGGGCAAGGGCCGCGGAGGACTAGCATGTCCATAGGATATACAGCTGGGTGCAGTTTCATCGACGGCAATACATAAACGACCAATACGCTCCGGCAAATATTTCTCAGGCCGTAGACTAGAGTGGAATGGAGGAAGAAGATTCGGCAGCTATTGCAAAGGCCACTGAAAAGCCCGAAAGATACATTCAGGAAAAAGGTGTGCACTGTTTTGAGCGGTGACTGACTCGCATAAAGATCGTCGAAGGATGAACCGTAGGATCCATAGCTGGGTTTAAGAGCTTGGCGAGCATCACTCTTGGGTACTTCTCAGCTTGATTGAAAGATTAGTAGCTTTGACAGCTTGTTTTGTATCTGATCATCCTTGATTTACTGAAACAATATATTATGTGGGCTGGTGCGTATATCAAGCAAAGATATCAAGCAGAGATGCGTATAAAGAGACGAGCGATTCCATTGGAAGTGGGATGTCATTTTATACATACGGTCGTATGCAGATGGGTTGATTTTGTCGCTGGGGCCGCCAAGATCAGCTTCCGGGTCATCCTGCTGGGCATGAGCCCTGCTATGCAACGCATAGGGGCTGAGTCCCCTAGAGTTAAATTAGTGTGCGATTCCAGGACAGTCGAGGAGTTGAGTGAATATCAAGGAAGTTGGGTGATTCATTCCAAGGTTGGTGATATGGAGTCGAGACTTGATGCTCTTGTCGAAGGCTGCTCGTGCATGAACACCGGACTCCATTGTGGAGGTCTCATGCCGACTCCCGAGGGTGGCTCTGAATGAGCTCATAGAGCTGTCGGAGGCCCAATGACAGAACGATCCATCTTGCACTCCGTACTCCGTACTCCGTATAAAGTGCAGTAACTACGGAGTCAACAAGCCGAAAGAGCAAAAAGGGCAAAGGGAATGACATAATCGGAGGATATTACCTCATCGGCTAAAAATAGCACCCGTTTCTGAAGCAACACGCTTCTGCCGGGCACTTCACAGGCAGCCAAATATCACTTGTGCCCATGCCGAAATACGAAGTACCACTTTCTACTTCTACACTTTCTGGGAACTTTGAGGAAGTGTGTGCCAATTGAAGTCTTTCCGGTGGCTTGTTTTCAGTAGAGTAAATTAATGTCCATCTCCGCTGCTCGGCTCGAGAGCAGCACTCTGCAAGACCAGCCTCTAGATGATATTGCACTGAACAAGACTTGACTTTATATTTACAATCAAACAGCCCAATCTATCATTAGCTATTAACCAAAGAGGGCCCAATAGTTCCAAAGCCGGTAGCCTACGCTTTGTGAGACAACGCCACAACACGTGACTCTCTCCCAAGCCGCCTCAGCGGCAACTCAACTTGTCAGCGTCAAGACAACAACCGTTAATCTCGTACTCTCCATCTGACCCTCGCCGTCGCGCTACATTTCCACACCATCAACTCGTGGTCTCCCTTGCTCTACCAACTTCTTTTGCGTCGAGTTTCATCCTCCAGATCCCCGTCTTTCCCGCGCCCCGAGTTCAAAACAGAGCAACCCCTACGGCTCCGCAAAGGTCAACTCGACAACCCCGACATCCCGCAAACCCGCATCTGAGAATTCCTCAGATCACCCTACCTCTTTCATAATGGTTCAGAACGAAGCACCCTACGACCCCTATATCCCTTCCGGTTCCAACGGAGCCCAGGGCAATGGACAGAATGGCAACCAGCGCACCGCCGCATTGCAAGCAGTGAGTTGCACCCCCGATCCCTTGATCCCTAGCGATATCCTCTCCATCAAACAATCGCATTCACCTGGCCTGGTCCCTGCCTGGTGACTGCAGTTCTTGGTGGAAAATGCGATGGCTGGGCCTCAGGTTCCGAATCCGGTCTAACCCCGTTTCTCCCAGCAAATCGATGACACCGTCGGTGTGATGCGCGAAAACATCAACAAGGTCTCGCAACGTGGTGAGAACCTCGATTCCTTGCAGGACAAGACCGACAACCTGGCCGTCTCGGCCCAGGGCTTCCGCCGCGGCGCCAATCGCGTGCGCAAAGATATGTGGTGGAAGGACATGAAGATGCGCGTGTGTCTGGTCATTTGCGTCATTGTTCTTCTGGTGGTCATTATTGTGCCCTCTGGTAAGCTTGCCCTCGCTGACTTCGTTCTGACTGTCTACTTTCTCCCCGGGCATTCAATGCTGACTCCATCCCCAGTGATTGCCACCAAGCACTAGTGGCTCTCTGGCTGACCTGCGACTTGCGACTTACGACTTCTCTTTCGACATGGAATCTTGAATTTTACTGGGTTTACTGTAGGGCCGTGGGGCCTCCTTTCCGTTCCCAGCCGTTAATACCTCCTGCTGTTTTTTTTTCTGGGCGTGTTTTCAATGACCAAATCTTGACTTTTTCTTCCCACGAAACGAGATCCGAATTTGGGTGTATGCGACTCACAAGTGAAGATGTAAATGATACTTGATGCCGTGTTTCAGTATTCTTAGTTTTCTGCGATTCGGGTTTGTTCAATGAATCTCAGCGTGTTTGCATGGAATGAGTACGGAGTACCCCGTAGATCTACACTGTACCCTGCAAAATCGACATATCATATGCATAAGTTCTGGGGGAGTCTGGAGTAATCCAGTACGGAGTAAGGAGTAGATAGAGAGTCCTGAGTACTCCGTAGAGATTTGACCAGTCGCGGCCAAATAAGCTACTAAGCGCTACTCGCGACGTCTCCGATATTTCCCACGTGGCTCCCGAGGTCATGGCCGATGGCCTAATCCTCAGATGCTCCAATTCGCCAATGACAATCTCCTGCAAGGCACCCGCTATGTCCGAGCCGACTATGTCTACCTGTCTCCTCCATTCCCTCTCGTAACAGTGGACCCTGTCGATTTCAGGAAAAAAGGTCCGGACCCGGGAATCCATCCACCGAGACCGGCCGAGGGGAACGAAAAAAATCAGATAATGTTGCAAGCTCTTGGCGAGAGACCCGTGTGTCCACCAGGTTTCTCCCACAGGCCATTGAGAAGAATTCTGGTGAGTGTCCCGTCGGAAAGAAGCGCGGACAGGGCGAGACTAGATCCAGACAGGGTGGAGGGAAGTGGATAGCGGTGTCCGGAGGCAACGAGTGAGAGGCAGGGACAGGATCAGATAACCCGGACTAGACCAGAGTGGGATGACGTTTCATGATTGCAGAAGTGGGCTCGGAGGTAAAAAAGAGGTAAAAGCAGGAGAGAGCAGAAATACGAGTTCTTTGGGTCCGCCGAAAAAGGGAGCAGATTCTGTGAGTGACTTTTCTTTACGTGCCGGCTACAGCGTTAACTCAGGTATCTTATAAATATCAACAAAAAAGCAAAAAACAGATGATTGGAAATAGAAAAAGGCTCATAAGGTATGTAAAAAGAAAAGAACAAAGTACAATCGATCATAGGAAGAGAGGTAGTCATAAGAAACAAAAGTCGCACGTAAAAAAAGAAGCCGATAAATCGCTCGCTAGAAAGAGTCTCCACCGCCTTCTCCCCGTCATTGGGTCTCCGAGGCCCCGACGATCGTAGAAATTCTCTCTTGACTCACCACTTCCACCTTCTTATATCTTTTGCTCTTTCAATCCTTAGGGATTCCACTTGTGTGACCGTGGAGGTTGCCGCATGCGCGTTGCCACAATGATGTCCCTTCGCTCCGCTGTGCGGAGAGCTTCGTGCAAGCCCCTCCGTACCCTCTCCGCACCGACTGCTTCTCCTCTGCGAGTCTCGGCTGGCAAGGCCACCTCCCTCCGCCAGACTCGCAGCTACTCTCGCGCCACCGATCCTCACCTCACCTCCACTCGCAGCACCGTCGTGCAGCTGCTGAGCAACATTGGGTCGAAGCGCGAGGTTCAGCAGTACCTCTCCCACTTTACCTCCGTCTCCTCCCAGCAATTCGCCGTGATCAAGGTCGGTGGTGCCATTATCACCGAGCACCTGGAGACCCTCTCCTCCGCGCTCGCTTTCCTCAACCATGTCGGTCTTTACCCCATCGTCGTTCACGGTGCGGGCCCCCAGCTCAACCGTATGCTGGAGGCGGCTGGCGTCGAGCCCCAATTCGAGGATGGAATCCGTGTGACTGATGGCAAGACCTTGGCTCTCGCCCGTAAGTTGTTCCTGGAGGAGAACATGAAGTTGGTGGAGGAGCTCGAGCGCATCGGTATTCGTGCGCGCCCCATCACCGCGGGTGTCTTCTCGGCAGACTACTTGGACAAGCCCAAGTACAACCTGGTTGGTAAGATTAACGGTGTGGACAAGGCCCCCATTGAGTCTGCCATCGCCGCTGGCTGTCTCCCCATTCTGACTTCCATGGCCGAGACCTGCGATGGTCAGGTCCTCAACGTCAATGCGGACGTGGCGGCCGGTGAGCTTGCGCGCTCCCTGCAGCCCCTCAAGATCGTCTACCTCGCTGAGAAGGGTGGTCTCTTCAACGGTGATACCGGTGAGAAGATCTCCGCTATCAACCTTGATGAGGAGTACGACCACCTCATGAACCAGTGGTGGGTGCGCCACGGTACTCGTTTGAAGATCAAGGAGATGAAGGACCTCCTGAGCGACCTGCCTCGCTCCTCCAGCGTGGCCATCATCCACCCTGCTGATCTTCAGAAGGAGTTGTTCACTGACTCCGGTGCTGGTACCCTGATCCGCCGTGGCAACAAGATCCACGTCAAGACCTCTCTCTCCGAGTTCGAGGATATGGACGCCCTGAAGGAGGTCCTCATCCGTGACCGTGAGGGTCTTGATGCTCGTGCCGTCGTCGACCGTTACGTCGAGGGCATGAAGGAGAAGGACTTCAAGATCTTCTACGATGAGCCCATGGAGGCTCTCGGAGTTGTCCTTCCCCCCAGCCCGGCTCCCAGATGGCTCACCTGGCCACTTTCACCATCACTAAGTCTGGATGGTTGACCAACGTTGCCGATAACGTCTTCGCCAGCATCAAGAAGGACTTCCCCAAGCTCGCATGGACCGTCAAGGAGGACGACGAGAACCTGACCTGGTTCTTCGACAAGGCCGACGGCAGTCTGAGCCGTGACGGCCAGGTCCTCTTCTGGTACGGCGCTGAGAACGGCGAGGAGGTGAAGCAGCTGGTCCAGGAATTCAACCAGCACGGTCGCCAGATGTTCGGCGACATCAACCTCGAGGCCCGTCTCCACCGTGCTGCCGAGGCCGCTGCCAACATTGGCAAGGGCTTCGGTGCCAGCGGCGCCTCTGCTGAGCAGAAGCGCGGCTTCTCCACCGTCACCAACGCCCTGCGCATGAACCGCACCACCCGCCCCGCTGTTGCGGTCAACGCGTTCCGTTCTTACTCCACCACCAACCCTAACCCTCCTCTCGGAGAGAAGAACAACTCCAACACCCAGCCCGCCAAGGTTGCCCTCATCGGTGCCCGTGGCTACACTGGCCAGGCTCTGATCAACCTGCTCAACGCCCACCCCAACATGGATCTCCGCCACGTCTCCTCCCGCGAGTTGGCCGGCAAGAAGCTCCAGGGCTACGAGAAGCGCGAGATCATCTACGAGAACCTCAGCCCGGAAGATGTCCGGAAGATGTCCGCCAACGGCGACATTGACTGCTGGGTGATGGCCCTGCCCAACGGCATCTGCAAGCCCTTCGTCGATGCCGTCGACGAGGGTGCCAAGGAGGGCAACGTCATTGTTGACCTCAGCGCCGACTACCGCTTCGACCCCAAGTGGACCTACGGTCTCCCCGAGCTGGTTGAGCGCTCCAAGATCGCCCGTGCCACCCGTATCGCCAACCCTGGATGCTACGCCACCGCTGCCCAGCTTGGAATTGCTCCCCTCGTTCCCTTCCTCGGCGGCCAGCCCACCTCTTTCGGTGTCTCTGGATACTCTGGTGCTGGCACCAAGCCTAGCCCCAAGAACGACGTGCAGTTCCTGACCAACAACCTCATCCCCTACAGTCTGACTGATCACATTCACGAGCGCGAGATCAGCGCTCAGTTGGGTACTCCTATTGCCTTTATCCCCCACGTCGCTGTTTGGTTCCAGGGTATCTCCGTAAGTGTTTGAAACAAGACCTGCTCTTCTCTGTCCCCCTACTAACACTTTGCAGCACTCCATCAGCATTCCCCTGAAGCAGAAGATGACTTCTCGCGACATCCGTAACCTCTACCAGGATCGTTACGCTGGCGAGAAGCTTGTCAAGATCGTCGGCGAGGCCCCTCTCGTCAAGGACATTGCCGGCCGCCACGGTGTCGAGATCGGTGGCTTCGCTGTCCACTCTAGCGGCGAGCGCGTTGTTGTTTGCGCCACCATCGACAACCTGCTCAAGGGTGCCGCCACCCAATGCCTGCGTAAGTATTCCACTACTACATCTCGATTCGTTCATGAACCAGACTAACCTTCATATAGAAAACATGAACTTGGCTCTGGGCTACTCCGAATACGAGGGTATTCCCCTCGACTAAATGTTCACGTCAGCTTGTTTGTGTCTGCTGCATGTATTTTGTCCCATACCCCGCGTGCACAGTATACATCGCTTGGGTTAGAGATTTCTGGTGATTATGCTGTCCGGGTCTTCCATAGTCGATTTCGTTTATATGTTTCAAAAGAGTTCGATTTTCTTTGGTTCTTGATTCAAATTCCCTTAGACTTGGTGGCGATCACAGTGGTCCAGGTCCAAAAGTAGGTATGCGATGAATTGTTCGCAATTCTACATGAAGATGATGAATTAAGATGTTCAAGATCATGGTGCTTGCTACAGTTCCCAAGTCAAACTTGGAACATGGCGCTGAAGTGTGTAGTTCCATCACTTCCTATTGCCTTGAGAGTGTCCCCGTTGTCGACATCCAACCCTCCACACTTCTCCATCCTTTTCATTTTCCATCTCTTCTCTTCTTCCCACACATCTCCCTCGAAGCTCAAATAATAGTCTCCAGTCACTGAACAAGTCTCGGGCGACCAGCAGGTCACTCGACTCACACTCGCAATGTTCTACAGTCATGAAAGTATGTATTGACTGACACCTCCCAAGAAGTATACTTATGCCAGTCTTCTAGTCCTCACTTCCCCAGAGCATGGCGTCGCAACCATATGGTAAGATACGATTGATCACAACTTTTACAATATAGTACCAACATCTACACAGGCTCGTCGCAACCCTAGGCTCCCGCTCAGTTTCCAGACGACTGAACCGCAAAGCCATCCTGGATGTGGACGTCCCCAACGCATGCAGGGTGATCATCAATCCCGAAGCACCAATGGCCCTACGACTCCAAGGCAGCCTCTTGTACGTCGGGCATCCATCAACCACCCACCATGCTAACAGCGAACAGATACGGTGTCTCCCGAGTCTACAACCAGCAATGCGGATACACCTTGCTCGACACCCAAGCCATGCACGACAAAATGATCACGCAGCTGAAGATCATCCCGGGTAGTGGACTCGATCCAACCGCCGGACAAGCCAGGTGAGTCGACCTCCAACGCATCGCTGGCACTCGCTGATTATCACAGACCGAGTACTTTGGTCCTACCTTACGATCCCTCCTTCCTCCCCGAGACAGGTCTTCCGGGTCTTGACATTGACTTATCCTACCTTGCTCCTGTGGATGACGGTTCCAAACTAGGTACCATATGGGCCAATTCACCGATCAACAGTCTGTCTGGTGTGTCGCAGCTTTCGAGCTTGCAGATTGAACTTCCGTCAGATGGAGGAGTCGGTGGGGATTATATGCTCGGGTTTGAAGATGTGCCACCCGTGAAAGACAATGTCATTGTTCAGGTTTCCGGGCTTGCGTTGGAAGAAGGTGTTCTTCTCCAACCGGACTTTGAGTTTGACGAGGATGGAAATCTAATCGAGCTTGAGAGCAGGGTGAGATCGCCGCGGAGGTCAGCTGAGCCGCGGAGTGAGCACTTGTCTGAAAGGGAACAAGCCCAACAGCAACCTTGGGATGATCATGTAAGTTACATTGGAAGTCACGAAGAAAATGGTAAGCTCAACCGGCCGCAGATGCAAATCGACACCGAAGTTGTCAACTTGGGAAATGGCGCTATGGAAATCGACACGCTCGAAGGCCCAGGTATTCTGAACGAAGTCGCCGAAGCCATTGAAACCATTGAAGTCCAGCCCGTCAGAGCGCGACGCGCGAGAAAGCCAAAGGAACTCTCCACGGACGGTGCGACTGCATTGCGCAATCTTGATTTAGCCCAATGGAACAATGAATATGTATCCAACATGGCCGACGCCCGCAAGCAGAAGCAGCAGAACAAGATCCCAACAATCTCCAAGAAGAACGCTGCCTTCTGGGTATTCGGGTGCGGCATCGGCGGTGTCGGAAGTGGCTTGGGACAACGTCGTGAGCCACACCCATTGAACCAATTCTCCGGAGAAGAGTTGCTCAACGCAGTCTGTGGTCACAAGCGACAGTCAAAGCGCAGCCACTCACCCGACGACAGCGAGCGCCGAGTGCGCACCAGATCAGAAGAGCTGAGCCGTGAGAACATCGACCGTCTAAACATGGATGTTGAAATCGGCCGAGACGCCCCATCTAGCCTCCTCGACGACCGCTCTTCCCAAATGCCGTGGAATATCACTGCGTCCATCAAAAGCTCCCTCCGACCACATCGATTCGGCAGCGTGAGCGAGTCTTCTCGCAAAGGGCGCAGTCGTCTCGCGAGCGCCAGTCCCCTTGCGGGTCGTGGATATCGAGATATCGAGGACATTGATTTCGGCGAAGATCTCGATCTTACTCGATATCTGGAGGATGAGCTCGCGACGGACCGTGAGCACATTAGTTCTATTTCTCCTGGGAAACGGTCTATGATTGAACGTGCCAAGGCGAATCTGGACCGGGAGAGTTTGAACTTTTATGAATTTATGAAATCGAAGATGGGAATCGCGAGTGATGAATCTCCGCATGGTGATGTGATGAATCCGACTTCTCGGCTTGATTCCATTACGTTCGAGTCGCTGATGCCGACAGTGAGTACGACGCGTGCTGTGGCGACTCAGGCGTTGGTCAATGTTCTTACGCTGGCTACGAGGGGTGTGGTCCGGATCCATCAGGATCGGAGTGGAACTGGGGCGTTGGGAGCTAATTGCTCTTATGGAGATATTAAATTACGGTTGGCTGGAGTTTGAGGAGGGATGGGTGCGAGAGATGGTGAGAGGAGACGTCGGACGTGGTTCCTACAGTGGATCTTCCAAGGATATGGATATTCTTATGATGCGACGAAAACAACGGAGAAGAGCATATTACGACTCATCTATCATATTACTATCAAATCTTGAATCAACTTGAAAAGTTGCATCTTTAGGCACCGAAGATAGGAAATGAGATTCTCGGTTATTTTTCGGGCTCTGCGGTGCTTCAATAGAGAAACTCTTCAACCGACTGCCCTCCTTTTCACTTTGATCACGGTCCCTGGAGGAGGAATAGGGTGCTCACCCCATATGTGGTTGAGAGGGCGTTCCGGCATGCCCTGGATGTCATAATGTAGAAAGATGTACGCCAACACAAGCTTGATGTGGTGCGATGCAAACCATCGACCTGGGCTATGAAGAGTCAGATAACCGGGTTCCAGCTGCTATTCGCATGCAGTATTTGCAATTTCAAAGGGGTTGAAGAAGGCGAAAGACATACCAAGAGTGGCGCGCGTGTCCAAATGGGAGAAAAGTTTCACTGGTCATTGTCAACATGACCGGCTTGCAAGTTTCGGCATCGGCAATCTTTTCATTCGCAGTTTCTACATCCAAAAAACCGCCCGGAAGGAATCAAAAGGCACCATAGGCTTCTGAATCTGGGTAAAATCGCTCATCGTGGTGAATACCCGGAACTGGAACACTGAGCCAAGCACCCTGCTGGAGATGCTGCCCGTCTGGAAGCGTGATGCCATTTTTGGGAACTACCTCCCTCCAGAGACCTCGCACAAGGATAGGGTTCCTTCTCAGGCTTTCTCGAATTGCACTGTCCATACGATGAAGTTTGAGAGAGGCACTTGGCCGCTTTTGGTCTCCCGTCGCTGGGAAGACAGATTCAGCCTCCTCACGGAGAGTTTGATAGTAATGGAGTTTTGGATCAGAGCTCAGGATGTCAAGCAACGTGTTTGTTACCGTCACCGATGAGGATGATATTGCGCCGGATGTCTATAATCAATTTTATCGTGGTCAGCTAACTGGTGCGGGAAGGAATAGGGCAGCGAAGGAAATACCACAAGCGTAAATCGCTTTACCAGCGGTCCAGGGTCTTCAATGGATGCGGCTTTAGTGTCGAGGGCGGCCCGCAGCATCCAAGTAATAAGATCTTTAGGCGCTTCATAACTGAAGGCATTGTCATGTTTGTCACGATTCATGCTTTTCAATCGATCGGCAAACACAGGCCAAAGGTATCTCGTGCACGCAGCCAGATAGTAAGATAATGGCACAAGAAATAACGAACCAACCATTCTGCGAAAGATTCGAGGTGTGAGTTGGCCAACAGATAGTATCCCTGCACCAAAGATGTCTCCGAATCTCTGCATACATTGCATAAATCTCGCGTTGGAGCTGAGAGACCGTCCAAAAAATACTATCCCACTTGATTGGGATACGATGGAACTCATCGATGTGAAGAGATTGACTTCTGTCCAAGACTGGTCATCGAGTCCAAGAATAGTATCAGTTACAGACTGAATTTCATCCATTAAGTCATCCTGGATTGTGGCAAGATTGCGGGTTAAATGAAGACGAATGGCGGTTGCAATCGCCATATCGGTGGTATAATCAAACCCTGGAAACAGATAACGAAGCCCTAGCTTCTCGCCATGGACTTTTCCATGAGACAGAATGTCTTCTGGTTGGTCGGTTAACCATTTGATGTATCCTCTGGGCAGCATGATATGCGTTTCAAAGCTTGGCGTGGGCATTATGAACGGCTCTCCTTTTTCCGAGAACTGCAAAAGGAAGAAAATTAAGTCATCTGTTCATATGGCTGAGAACTACACAGGGTACCAAACCTTCTTGTAACCAGAGGCCATCGTCTGTAGACCACTTGTGAATTCACGGATGCAGGCCCTTACAGTTCCGAATGCCTCATTCCGGAGTCCCACATGTCCAATGGATGAAGGGACTCGCTGGGTCTTGATGCGTGACTGTGCAAGCAAATACAGCGATAAGACGACGACAAATGTTGTGGTGCAAACAATTGCAAATGCCATAAAAGAGGCCATATCGTTGGCTGCAACATCTCGAATAGGTTTGTAATTACTGCCTGGGAGAAAGGAGAAGGCAAAGGGCAGCTCTTCAAACATAATGGCCGTTTTGTAAATTTCCCACATATTGTGATACAGAATATTTTACGGGGGCATAGGAAGCCTGTCAAATTTGTAGAATCACAACCAAGCACTGACATTTCGCAGGATCATATCGAGCCCCTTTCAACCCACGTCGTCATGTCAAACGGGATGATTCATTACAATTTCGTGACCTGGAAGCAAACAAGATACAGGCACATATCTAGAAACCATGATTGATGCTATCTTGATCTAAAAAGTGTGTTTTTTCCTTGGTTGAACCTTGGAATGCACCCGAGTGGAACTGGCACGCGAACCGTTGTCGATGACGACATCTTCGGATTCCTTTTGCAAGCCAATCATGAGCCCGCATGCGATTTAATGTCAGCTCAGGGGCGAGTCAAAACAAGAAAGAGACACAGTCAAAGTCAGAGTGATGATCAAATCACCATTGGCTCGGGTAGTTGCGAAGTGCTTAATTTTTAGCGCCGGATCGGGCCTCGATTTTAGCTTTCCGCTTCCCGGTTGTCGACCCTAAGTGAACTCCACCTCGGAGCATCGAATAAGTCTAGAACCCCAACAGAGACTGAAGTTGGTACTTTTACACTTCATTTGATCTGATTCCCTGGTCGCTGAAGTCCCGTGATATGGTTGAGCCCCTGAGCGGCTGTCACAGCCGGCTCTCTTGAGTCATATCCTATCCATGGATTCATGTTAGGGTACCGAGCGGGCGATTGATTCGTCTTATCAGACCGTTGCAAAGATAACCGTCGATTTTGTCGTTTAGATAATGCTATCACGAATCCCCTAAGTATAATTCTCTGTTCACGGCTTAGCTCCCTTGACTAATCATATTTCACGGCTTGGCTTGAATCGAAGATTCGACCAATTGAATGTTAACTGTATGTACAATTAGTTGGAACTTTAAATAGACAGCTAAAAAGAGAGTTTAAAAGATAGTTTGAAAGATAGTTTAACAGATAGTTTAAAAGATATAAAATAGGGAGTAGTTAGAAAGATAGTTAGAATGATAGTTAAAAAAAGATCTCAAAGTTGATGATACCTAGGTAGTTCTGTTTCTTTACCAATAGAAATATGAAATTGAGCTAATACATAACTACACCTATTTACAAGTAACTATCGTTGTCTGTTTGGCCGCGCGTGAGCGCGGCACTGAGGCTTGTTAGACATCAGCGGCTGTGACTAAAGTGCTCTTGAGGCAGCAGATATCGCTGTGCTTGGAAATTCCCGATGGGAAATGCCTCATAGATGACTGCATTGTATTCACTGAGATCAGAGGAAAAACAGAAATGAAGCAAGGAGAAAAAAGAGAGAGAAAGACACCAGGGCAGAATTTACCCAGGCTCTAGACAGTACTGCTGACTAGTAAAGTGAAAAGTGAGACCGATGCTTCGGAACTGATCCTTGTCCGACATCCCTGAGACCTTTCACTTGCTAACTTCTGGCATCTGATCGCGTATACATACAGCAACTGGGATACAAGCTCATCCTCAAATTCATTCAATGGGGGCAAGTAGATCTCATCAATCAGCGAGCCAGCGAATTGGAAGGAAGTATGAACCTATACCTTTCCCTCTCCAACACACTCTCGTTTGATTCTTCCCTCTTCTCAATACAATCTCTTTTACAAAACCATTCCTCCGGTACATCTACTCTCTCCTCTCTTTACCACCATTTCTCTCAACTCACGTATCTTTTTTCACATTTCGCACTTGAAGTGGGCGATGCCTCAAGTGAAGTTCTGGATGAGAACATGGCTTTGATCGCAATGAGTGCTGGAAAAAGCGGGATGAAAAACTACAAAGACAAAGAACGTCGCCAGAGACCCGCAGCGTGTCTTTGAAAATACGGTGAGCGGATTCCTGTTGGCTGGATGCGATGGTTTACTGAAATGTACAGATACCCGTCCCGCTGCCGTTATCTTCACGTCTGCCGAACATGCCGATCAAACCGATCAGACTGAACAAGCCGAGGAAGCCGAAAAGGCCGATGGATCCGAAACTCAAACCAACTTCGGATTCGACAGCTTTTCTCGATATCACTCAAATTGTCCTTTCAAGCATACACATCAAGTGCTTTGCAACGAGAGGCAATGAAATGTTCGAAATCCCAAGAAGGACGAAATTGAGAAATTGTGGCATATGAAGAGCCCAAAGCTAGAGCGAAACTCGCCGCTTCATGGAATGCGTGCGATGACTGCAGATATGTGTGCATTCATTCTAGATCGCATCGGCGCATGAGTGTGAGCTAAATATGCTCCTCATTCTTTTCACTGCTTTGCTTTTTCTTTCCCCAAAAAAACAAAACAAAGAGAAACACAAAAAAAGCCCCTCGAAATGCGGCCTCAAGGGGGTTCCGACTGTTCCCACTTCGATGGGCTGCTCATTGCTAGAACTGGTATACAGTCGTCGCGAACAAGCGATGTCAAAGTATCTTCGGATTCTTTCGACAAGCCAGTCAGTCGGTTGATAACTAACATTTGTCTTTTTCGGAATCTTTGAAGACTGCCAGGTAAGGCGAGTGGAGCCGCCCACATACAAACATACGCGGCTACATCAAAGCCAGACTACTTTCAAAGCGCTGCTTGAACGAAGAAGACGAGAATGATCCTACTGGTGGTATTCCTGAAGGCAATGCAACAATGCATGAGCAACGCTCTTCATGTTCATGACGCCCATGGTGTAGCACGACGCTTACTGGTCTGCTTGGAACCGCTTTCTCATTTTCCGTTGGTGTGGGAAAAATGGTCACATTCCCGTACTGTGACGTCCTCATGGAAATCCTCATGGTGTGGCGGGGAATTATGCCCCTGACCCTTCTTACAAAAGGCCCAGATCCAGACTGTGAAATCCCATTCAACTGTGTTGGCTTTTCTTCCACATTCTATTAAGAAACAGTCAGAAAACCCTCCATGCGGCCATTCGGGTCAACTTGTCTTGTCACCATCGGCTTGAGGTGGTGACGGAGCGCCTCTACATAAAGACAAGCTCGTGGGGGTTCCTACACCAAAGATTCTTTCATCGATCGTTTCGTCTGGTACTTGATTCCACACTGTTATTTTGTCACAGATCAAATATTGCTCAAGTCACTAAGGAGACGATATTGAAGCGGCGACAGACGCCAATCAGTTGACGCGTCCGCCCCCGCGGAAACTTCCAGGGAAGGAGTGAAATGTCCAGTTACTGTTTTGAACAGCGTCCCATCCACAAACTGACGGCCAGTCGGAGCGGACAAACCAAATCGCGGAGCTAGCTATCCGCCGTTGCGTTGCTGCCACCGGAAAGAAGAGTGGCCTACGGCGCTACCAAAGCCGCCAAAAGCTATTCCCCACACTTCCTACTGGACGGCCTGGAGCCCCGCCACCCGTGGGACATGTTGCAAAACGCGGACCCACCTGGTGACAAGCTAGCTGCCCGTGCAGACGCCGAACTGTCTATTGCGTATGCAGCGATGAGCATGAAGGCTCAATACGACGATAAACACCAGCCGACCCACTTCATAGTCGGGGATTGAGTGTACATCAAGCTCGGCGACGGCTACAATATTGTTTCGAACTCCCGGCTACCGAGAAAACTCCGCCAGCGCTATGTCGGGCGCTTCCTGTGAAGCAAAGTTTTTCGGAACCAATTTCGGGGCACACAGGCCAGCAAGGCCAGAAATGCCGTGAAAAGTATGCGATAAGACTGTCTATTCCGAGATTATGCAGCAAGCTAATGGCAATTTAGCCTAGGGGAAGGCCAAATCCATTGTTCGTGGCTCTCAACTCCGACGCAGAACGAAGGGCAAAACTTCGACATGTTGTCAGCCAGACAAGTCCCAAATAGTATGACGAAGTGCGCTTTCTGTGGGCGTGGAATGCATTTGGAACAAAAAATCGGCCAATGCAGAATGTCTCAATCCTATTCTCAGTTGACCACGGTTAGTGTCCAAAAAAGGGGTTTCCAAAGCAGTACTTTGCCTTGGACAGACATGAGACAAGACATGGAGCGGCGTGGGCCACAGCGCGTGGATTCCTTCCATATTGCACCTAGAATGCCATTGCTCGGGCTGTTCAACGATCCCAATCGGCAAGAATACCAGTACAAGTGCCCTTACGCCTCAATCATCAAAGTCACGATTGAATCCTCACAATTACCCGCGTCCACTTCTTCGCACACAGAAGCTTTGCTCGAAGAGTGTCAATGCGATTCAGCCCAAATCCAAACTACGGACACGCCCCAAGGACATCTCTACGGTCGTGGACGTTTCAACCTTCCACTTCCTCGACTGGAACGCAATCCAAGGAGCCACTAACAAGAAGAGGAACCATGTGAAAATCGCTTCGAGCGACGAAGCCGAAGCGGACCGAAAGAAGGCCCCGGGCGCGCTTCGCCCACACAAGGCTGACCAAAACACTCCGAGCATGCAGCCTCCAGGGACCCAACACTGTCGGTCTCCAATGCAGAAAAAAACTATGCAGTCTTTGTATTGTGACCAGAACCACACAATCCACGCACAGAGTCGCAGCTGCCGCCATATTGGCTGTTACCCCCTTCAAGTTCATTAAGTGGATAACGACTGATTGAACCAGACACCAAGGTAGTTACTGACAGGCCACAACGACAAAACAGTGAGGCATTCTGCCGGCTCAGAAGATGCCTACCATCCCCTAGAGCGATCAGAAAAGACATGAAACAGGGTTTCAGTTTCATTGTTTTCTCTCTGAGATTTTCGTTTGTTGTCTTCTGATTTACGGCCCCCGGACTTTCTCCCTTCTTCGCGCCCCTATGCCCCACATCGGTACCACGTTGAGTGTACCTATCACCGTTGGACTCTGTCAATGGTGGCGGCTGTTGGCTATCGACTGGCCCGGCCACTGAACGCTGGCCTTGAGATTCGACTCAAACGGGAATGTCCGTTCGTCCCGGCAACGTCCCTCGAAGGATCTGGCTCCGCTTGTTTATGCTCATGGGCTATCCTGGATTGTCAGCAACAGGGACACGGTAGTCCTCTAAATTCGTCAGCTAGCTCACCACCTCGCAGCTCTCCGAAAGAACTCAGACAAAGCAGTGGCTCGCACGGGCGGGGCATGGTCAATCGGGTTGATACTGGCTCCTCCCGAGTTTGTTAAGAGGAACACCGCGTGGGCACGCCGGTCAGAAGTCCACGGAGGCGAGACTATCATAGAAGGCAAAGAGCAAATTGTCAATCCGATATACCCGAGAATTTCGAACCCTTTTGCTGATTACGATTCAAACAGACTCTTGATGATGGCTGAACTCTCCGCAACACCCTCCGAAAAACACACAGCAAGTGAAAAAGTCCAATCTTTCAGCCAGTTGCGCACCATGGAGCTCTTTCAGCAACGAGAGAACTAACTGGTGTCCAACGAACGACTTTGGGTCCTTGTCATTGGCTCTTGGCTTAATGCCGGCCGAAATAGACCGGCGTTTTCAACAAGGTCAAGACCTATTGAGATCAGACTGGAAGACTTTTCAGAGCTTGCAATATGGAGCGATTTGATGAAGGACGTTGTTCAGGCTGCGCATTTCTACGTCTGACTGCTTGATCTTCATCCTCTCGAGATAACACGGCCTTAAAAAGCCCTCTACATCTAGACAACTGTCACATGAGGAGCCTTCGACCTCAAGGGGAGGCTGAGTTTGAGACGAAAGACAGATTCTCATTTACCACGTCTCATAATCAAGTGAGAAGTGTGAATGACGTATTTTTCTTCATGCCACTTTCCCATCTTGATATTGTTTCCATCTCCTTCCCTTCCTTACTTTCCTTAATCGGACCCCGTCCCACCGAAATTGAATTATCCTGGCCATCACAAATTCTGACATTTCACACTGCTCAACCATCCTCGACGAGACTCGTTTGAAACAAATGGCAACATTCATGGTCGACTGCCCGGAACTACAAGGTTCACATCGTCCAAATCCTTGATTGAACTGTACATGTCAGACCGAGGCAAGATAAGCCAAATCCAAGGCCCTCTTAGGATATGAATAGCCCAGAACAATGCTGGTGGCTTCTACATTCCGCATTCAATCAGAAAAGCTCACATTAATTGGGCTGAAATGGCCACCGAGCAAGCCAGACGATTAAGTAAGCCACCTCTGAAAGCCACTTCACACTGCAAGAAATGAAAAAACATTGATGTGAAGGTTCATACCAAGTGAGTTATTGTTTTGACGACCCATCATAACGAAAATTAATAACTTGAACGAGAATGAGAATCCAGTTATCGAAACCCCCACGGCTTCTGCTTGTCATTGCTGAGTATCTCATGCTTTATGGAAGGCATCACGTCATTTCATATGGCAACTGACCGGCTTGAAACAGACGGCCAGCGTTTATCTAAGGCGGCATATACCGATATGGTTTTAGTCCTCGACGAAGGTCCGCGGTGCAATCATTCCTTTGATACAGCAAGTCCTCTATCAAGGATTATCAACGGCATCTGGAACTCCCAGGTGTCTGATGCACCTCTTGCGAGCTTTATCTTTACAAGTTCAGGAGCTCAGCCTAGAAAGGCACCGACTCCAGCCAACCAGAGCCCGCAGCCATGATATACGTTCGCTTCCTAGATCAAGGATGTTTGTGCACAAATGAACCACAAATGTATTTTCACACTGACATTTGAATCTCTCAGTGATTCGTTTCTTTGTCCAAGACGACGTGACTCTAGCTAGCACCCCGCAAAAAGCCTGCAACCGTCATGTCTCATGGTTCCGCCTCCCTGGATCAAAATCAACCCAGGTGGATGGTGATTATCGCACCACTTAACAAGGCCTCGAGATCCGAATACCTCCGCCAGATTACATTCACCACATCTATCATGTCAACCTGTGCGCCAGACAGATGGACTTGATCGATCCGATATGGTCAATCGGAGCTCGCCTATAAGGATTGACATCTACTCATTAAGCAACACTCGAAGCATACGAAAATTTTCCTGCTGAGGCGTGCAGGTTTTAGTGGAAAACTTGGACAAAGGAAGACCTGATGAGAAACTCATGCCTATGATATGATATCTTACAGACGTTCTCAACACGTTGAAGACCCGGTATTGCCACAAGAACTCATCGTGAGGACTTGCCCAGTTGAAGCCACCATCGGCAAAGATATTGTTTAAAATTATTCTGTGGCCAAAGAAGCCCGAGATCAGGCTGAAATGAGGCTGAAAAGATCGTCAGCGGCCGTATCCTGCCTTCCATTTTCTTCGGCCTCCTGGATCTTCCAAATCGCTCAACATCACGGACCTATTACATCGCTGTGAGAATGGCCGTTTTGAAATTACCAACATTTGAGAACGCATGATGTCGGCCACCATCCGTGGTGCGCAATCGCATTCAACGACAAGATTTGGGTTGCTATTCGGAGGTTCGGGTTCCGCGAATCTTCTCTTCTATGTCTGGAGAGAACGTCGAAAGGCTTCAATTAAATGATCGATTTGGGTAAAATCACACCATCAAGATGGCCACAAGATGGTAACCCCGCGACAAAACCAAGACCCTGCCGGTCCGGCAAGCGGGCTCAATGGCAGATAGGTCCTTTTTGCCAATTTGCCACCCAACATGAATCCAGCCTCTGCCTTCTGTTAACTCAAGGCCGCTATGAAGAAGTTGCATATGAAGAAAGACGAAGAATGTTGAGAGAAAAGCAGAGGAAGTAGAGTCGCGATAGGACAAACGCCGACCCAGGTGGAAAGGGTTGCATCGGTAAGCAAACGACGGGCCCAGGCTGCGTCTATGAAGGTCATACTAACATGTGATAAGAATCCAGCGGCCCCTTCATCGCCCACAGTGAGAAGTGAAACAGTCTCCATTTCAGCAGAAGCCCTAAGGAGCGGTGGCTATAACGGGTTGAACATACACCATACGGAGTACGGAATGCATCTGCCTTTCGCTGTCCAAGAGAGTCAACTCATCAAACCCAAAGATGAGCACGCCGTGCAGTTCATTCAAAGCAGGTCAATATTGCCGAGATGCCTCGAAGACGCCGAGCCGTGTCGCAAAATGGCCCACCGTCCTCGTCACACAGAAATACGTTCCCTTATTCCCAGTGTGGATGGAGCCAGTCGCAAAAAACGATCTCGAACCCATGGATTTTGGGTTGGATCTTGCAGCTGAGGTACCCAAAACGCGGCTCTTTCGAGACGGACTCCCGCTCGACAGGGAGAGATGCGTATTCCGGAGCTTTGCTAGAGCCTACAAGCCTGAAATAAAAGTTTCATCATTTTCTAGTCACCAGTTGGCCATAGAAAGCACTTCGTCTCCATAAACCTTGGAAGCCAAATGTAGGTTGTAGAAATACACTCAAAGAGCGGCAACTTTGGTGAAAGAGGTACGGAGTAGGTGATCCAAAACGTGCACTTGTATCACGAAGTAGATATTTTACTCTACTGATTTGGCAACGATTCTTTTATGCCCAGGTGCAGCATAGCGCCATGTGTGAAATTTTGTAAGGAACACCAGAGCAAATTTTATTTAGGCCTTGTATGGGGTATCTATAGATGCGACAGTGGCGCTAAGCGTAAAGAAAGGCACGACAGCAATCATGTAAAGGTCGAATCAAAGCAAAATGTCAACACAAGAAGCAATGCTGTTGAGGTCGAGCTTAGAGAGATCCAAAGGTCCATCGGGGAGGACCCTCTCTTTGACATCCACGGGAAGCTTGTCAACTATGGCCGACACGATGCTGAACACCGAGTTCTTAGCAACTTCGAAAGTCTCGGCCTCATTCAAGGTAATGGGAGCAACTGTAAAAGACGGGGCCGCGATGGAGGGGGTCATGGCAGCCAGGCTGGGATGAACGGGCAAGGCATCAACGACACACGATAGGACTTTTTGTAGATCGAGATTGGGAGCCATCTTAATCTCGGCGTTCACGGGGAGACTATCGACCAGAGCGGAGCACAGACTCAGAATGGGGACATGGCTCAGGTCCAAGTTGCGCGCGGCATGCGCTCTAGAGTGGGTAGGCGTCGCAGTGGTGGCAGCGAGAAGTGTTGTAGCAGCATAAATTATAGAGAGACGCATTTTGAGGTGTGCGGTGGAGATATTTGGAGAGCCCTGGAGGAGAGGGGGAGGTTTTCAACGGTCACGAACTTGGATATTTTCAACCAGTGAGCCGTAGACAGATCCCGGGAACTACCACAAGGAGGGAAATGATCTAACGGGACGATCTCAATCCAAGATAGTCGAAGCCTTGATGAATGTCTGATTTGAGTGGGTGAGCCGGTGGATGATTACGAACTATATCCACTTGAACCATGACTGTACTCCGCGCACCTTGTAAATACACATGTGCCAGCGGATACATGAACGATGACCCGAATATTACTGGTATGGAGAAAGTAAGCGGTATGCTAGTATGCAGATCAGAGAGGCAAAACATGGTCGAGGTTGACGTAGAAGTGGATACGAATTTTGAAGGGCAACGGCAGCTCAACATCACACGTCGGGACACGCTATTGTACAAACCTTGGAAGGAACTTGTGGAGCGCCTATGCAGGTGAACAGAGCGCGTCAGATCTTGATCACTCGTACGTACCCACATACACAATCTGTGTAGGTGCTACTCCGCAAGAGTAGACGAAGGACAAGTAAATTGTAGCAACACATTGGAGAATACTGAGTACGGAGTACGGAGTATGCTTCAGAGAATCCAGCAGTACTCGTAGGCACTGAAAGTACATAACTACAGGGGGAAGCACCCCAATCATCTCATACTCTTTGTCACCAAAACCCCTGAAAAGTCCTTGGAAGTGATCGACGTCCACGAACCTGTCGAGGAGTCGACAATGGACCCTACTTAAACCACGTCAGGCTAGCGCTATTATGTAGATGGGGCCACTTGGTGATCCTGAGCGCTTAGTGGTCCCAAGGAGAAATAAAGTCCCACCGACACCTTTTTAGGTCCCACCAACAGCATTAGCGTTTCCAATGAGCTGACTGTCGGTGGGACCTACTGCTGGATTCGTGGTCACGTGAGCGCTATTGTATTTTTCAATTGTACAATACCTGTTTTGTCTTTAGGACGTTCTTTAAATACACCAACTTCCCTGTGCGAGAATGTATTTTATCTGACAGTGTGAGACCTTCCCCACAGCTCCAGGGCTCCTATCGACAGTGGAGACTATGACTTCCTAATTGGGATTGACCCACTGTCGATAGGACCTGACCCCTCGATCATCTTATGTACAAGTACGAAGTACGGAGTACGGAGTATGACATTTTCAATTTGCCATCACCCGGACTCCTCACTTAATTCAAGAGGTAGACGACAAGGTTACCGAGTGTAACACATCCGGATTCAGAATTCACTTGAATGGATTGTCCTTCGAAATTACTTTTGTCATGAACCGTACCCTGCGTGAATCAAATATGTTAGACACCGAACCATCTCCTTCTTTGCGAGATGCGAAGTAACGTACGACAGGATCCTCAGCGGCCATGGCAGCTGCAAATGCAAAGATGATGAAATGAGAAAATTGCATGGTCTCGGTCCGAAGTGTGAGGCTTTTGACTGCCTTGCGTGTAGGTTGATCAATATCGATTGCGAGTAGGACGTAACCTGAAATTACGCCCGGGACCTCCGGTTTCCAGCTCAAAGGTTGCGATATATTCTGGGGACCAGCAATGCCGATACTGTCATTTGCTCCCCCAAGACACACGCCAGCTGCGTTGAGGTCGCTGAGAACCCCATAGTCTCGAAGCAAGACGCATTCACGGATGACGGAGGGCATGATAGCTGGGGTCAGCCACTAGTCACTGCCAACAACATCGCGTATGTGGCCTTCACCTCGGGGTCGACCGGCACGCCAAAGAGTGTGGTGATTGAGCATGGCATGAACCACTCGATGCTCAAAGGTTGGGAGTCCTTGTGGTCGATTTGCTCCACAACCAGATGCCTGTGGTTCTCGTCTCCTGCTTTCGATGCGACCATTCTCGAAGTGCCTCTGATGCTAGCTGCTGGCGGTCGTATCTGTATCTCTTCTGATGAGGAGCGGATGAACAATCTGGAGGGAGCCATGTCAGATATGAAGGTCAATTGGAGCTTCTTCGTCCCATCCGTGGCTCGAACTCTTTCGCCATCGGAGATCCCAGGCCTTCGCCTGCTCGTTCTTGGAGGGGAAACACTCGCTCCGTCAGACTTGGAAATGTGGCTTCCACATGTCGAGCTGCACATCGCATACGGCCCCACTGAGTGCACTGCCATGACCACCAGTCGTCAAGTGACGGCCCTGGATATGAACCGGATCAATATCGGTCACGCTCCGGCGGCAACTTGTTGGATTGTCGAGACCCCGATAATCACAATCAGCTTCGACCAGTGGGAGCCACTGGAGAGTTGGTGGTCGGGGGACCCACGGCGGGGAGAGGATATCTGAATCGACCGAAAGAAATGGCCGCTGCATTTGTGGAAAACCCAACATGGGCATCTGACTTTCCTGGTCTTTCTGTCAGCCAGCTGTACAAGTCTGGGGATCTGGCGCGCTTCGACCCAGATGGCATTTTGATTTACCTCGGACGAAAAGACCCACAAGTCAAGATCAACAGACAGCGCATCGAGCTGCAAGAGATCGAGCAATGTGCGAAGCAGCATCTTCCCAACATGGAGGCGGTCGCTGAGGTTGTGTCTTTCCAACACAATAAAGGCTCCAAGCTTGCATTGTTCACCTGCTTGGCTGCCGGTGAAATCAAAATGTCACTCAGCGAGAAAGAAGGTGGAATCTTTCTTCCTCCTGCCGACTCCGACAACTTCCAACGTGAGAACTTGCGCAAGCACCTCAAGCAATCCTTAGCGCCCTACATGGTCCCTTGGCTTGTCATCCCTTTGAGCTATCTTATTGACCGAGTTTGAATGGTTGTCTCGCCACTTTTTGTTGTCCACCCCATATGGTCTGATTTGAGAACCAATCCAGAAGTAGTTAGACTAACATAAACAGCAATTATGTCAGCCTGCATTCGAACCAAGGCGACCGTTTATCATTTTCTACCACACCATGGCGCCCTTTGAGGCAAAGTAAGTACTACCTGATTGAAGACGCGATGAATGTCCTTGTTATTAGCATTTCAGAGGACGATGCTAGCAGTCTCAGCTGTCAAGCTAACAACGACTGTTGCCAGCCTCCCCGCGATCCGCGCCTGCATTTTTGACATGGACGGACTTCTCATCAACACAGAAGACTTAATCACGCTGTCCGTGAATGAGGTCCTTGACAAGTACGGAAGACCTCCGCTCACTCGGTCAATTCGAGCGCAGCTCATGGGTGTTCCAAACTCGACAAATGGTGACATCTTTCACGACTGGGCCAAATTGCCCATATCCCGCGAACAATTCGCACGTGAATCGAGCGCAAATATGGGACTGCATTTTCCAAATTGCAAGCCGTTGCCTGGCGCGAGAGAGCTTTTGTCAAGTCTGAGTCGTGCGTGTGGTACATCCTCTAAGAAAAGAATCGATATGGCACTGGCATCAAGCACCAAGTCCCATACTTATGAGTTGAAAACTTCAAGGGCGGAAATTAAGGATCTGATTGGGTTCTTTCGGCCCGAAAGAAGGATCCTGGGTGACGACCCACGCGTGCCACGGGGACGAGGAAAACCGGCGCCTGATATATTTTTAGTCGCGTTGCGGGCGATCAATTTGACAAAAGACCCGTCTGAAAAAGATATCCTACCGAGCGAATGCTTGGTCTTTGAGGATAGTGTGGCTGGAGTTGAAGCTGGAAGGCGCGCTGGAATGAGAGTTGTCTGGGTTCCGCATCCCGATATGGCACTGGAATACGAATCGAGGCAAGAGGCCGTCTTCGCTGGGAGAACAGCGACCACCCAGGTTGGAGATGACTGTCAGTTGGGAGAGGTCAATGACGGCTGGATTGAAACGATCCCAACTCTGGAAGACTTTGATTATACTAAGTACGGCATCACATAGCCAATGGATCTCCCCTGATACAAATAACAAATCTCTCGAGCAATGGAAGCGGAAGTGGACCTATGGTAGAAGCCCTAAGTGATCTATCGTACAATATACTTCTGCTGGAGATTCAAAGATCACACGCCGTTTTCCGCAATTTGTAGTTCAATTCTTCGGAAAGTAATAAGGAAAATATGAGTCTGCGTTGGCGAGGAAGAGACCTTTATCCCATGGATGATGTTAATTGTGCGGTGGCCAGGTATAGACCTTTGTACTCCGTAGGTGATTCTAAAGTTGGATGTATCCGCGGACACGCAGTGCTGAGCGGATCGGCCCGCCAATCAGCCAGGGGTCAACAAGGCACGAACCACCACGTTAAAGTCGCTGCCATCAGGTTGATGTCAAGAGAGCGAGATGGACAGTAGACTTTTGGACCACCCTGGCCACTCGATATCGAAGTTATCAGCTCTCTCTCGGAAACAGCGAGCGAGCCCAATCTCCCCCTCCTCGTTAGCAGTGTTGAGATCTGTCGCGATCATCACATCGGAAAAACTTTCCCCCATGGTTCGTTCCCCCTTGTTTCAAATTCCGCCTGAGTTCCTCATGAGAATGTGGAACGAAGTGAGACCATGGCGCTGCAAAGTCTTCCAGTTGAGGTCATCTACCTTGTTTTCCAGTTTGTTGGCAGTGACGCCCTTCGAAAACAGGAAGCTTGCTGTCTACTAGTTTCGAAATGGTGGTACAATCTTGCAGAGCCGGTCTTGCTCAAAGACTTGGTTCTCAATGCGAATCTTCTCGACAAAATGCCGGAAGACGCATTTGAAAGGTTGAGCTTACATGCACAGCGACTTACAGTCCAGGTGACCCATGCATCAGATTTTCTCGGTGATGAGATATTCAACGATGCGATCTGTCAATTGTTATCCCGATGCGCATATCTGAAAGCCTTTAGCTTCCGTGCCCAAAGTGATTTTGACCCTGAGCACCCCATGATGCCAGCCACAAATTATCTCGCATCGTGGTCACCAATGAGGCTTTTCGACACTCTCGATCTTTCCGGTATCTCGGACCTCGTCATTGACACCTGCGGCTCCATGTTCAAAAGCCGGGTGCATATCTGTCCTCAGGTACTCAAGATTCCTTCTCTGAGATCTCTTCGCCTGAGGATGCATCATATCTGCCCGCGTGTACTTGAGCTCGAATCAGATTCCAGGATAGAGAGTATTATCATCAACATGAGCCTTATGGAGCCTGGCTGTTTCCATGCAGGTTTCAGTCGCCATTGTACGGAGCCGAAGTCCGCATACGATCTTTATCAAGACATGGTAACGACCGCCACAAATGTCGCAACCAGTCACTCTGGTATCAAGATGCTGAGAATACTCTCTCATAAACATCCGTATTCTGAAATAGTAACTACTGATTGTATCAAGGGGATGACGATGATTTTGGCGGATATCACTAAGGATTGGGAGGAAGATGGACTCCCAGATATCGAACATGCCGAGCTATCAGATCGAGATCTTTTCGCGGAAGACAGTGAGGACGAACCCTTCGTGACACTAGGCTAGCCGCTTTCTTAGTTTCATGCTTGAGACCGAGCTTCATTCCGAGATTCCGACCTTGCCCTGGGGACGAGATAAAGTGGATTTTGAGGTCGACTCCGGCCAATCGGATGAATCGGTTTGTCGGAACTTTGGTGAAATCCGATCAAGGGTCCACTCCTCGGCTTCCCGAGGCCTCTCCACGCGGCGGCAACTCTCCCAAAATCCGATGTTATTGAGAATTTGTTGGTGTACCCGTTATTACGAATCCAGCCTATCATGCAGATCATTATTGCTCGGAATACGAGTAGCGACCCGAGTCCCGATTAGAAGCTTGGGCTTCTTGGGTTCTATACTTTTAAAATCAGCCGGATCAAGTGAGATGTGATCCGTGAAGACATCGGCTCTCCTCCTTATATTACAGGCATGTCTGGACTGGATTCGTTTGTTCTCAGCTACTGAAAGACCTCCTGCATATCGATCATCAGGCTCACATCAGGGTAGTCCAAGCAGCCAGGTACTCATTCCTCCTCGCTTGCCATGGTCTCTGACTCGGTAAGTGATGCCATTATCCAAATGAGAATTGAACTTGTCAAATAAGATGGTCGTGCTTACCGTGGAAAGCGCTCCCTATCGAGGGAGACATCAGGTTGCGAAGATCTTCCCATATACCGATCCAACGGTCGCAGTCTCGGCATCCTCTTTTCCAATGTCACGGCGTTCGGCGTGGCTGGCGGCTCGCAAACGGTAGCCGACCTTCAGAGGATTCTCACTGATATTCTGATGTGGCCCGTGAAAAGTGCTTTCAACTTCTCAAACCGAAAGCAAGAGCCCTGTACCATTGTGGAAAATGTCGACGGCGTCCTGTTCCCTGGCGAAATGATGCTGGTCCTTGGTCGTCCAGGAGCCGGTTGCTCGACTATTCTTCGTTTGCTCGCCAATCAGCACCAAGCCTTCCAGTCGGTAGAGGGTTCAATTCAGTACGCTGGATTTTCGGCAAAGGAAATGAAACAGCACTATCGCTCTGAGGTCGTTTATTGCTCGGAGGATGACATACATTTCCCAAATCTCAGCGTTCGCGACACCATGGATTTTGCAATGCGGGTTCGAAAGCCAAACAGGGATAATGAGCCGGCGGCGAAGTTTTCGCAGCAAATGTCTGACAGGGTGCTGGCGTCACTGGGTCTTTCCCACACAAAGGATACCGTTGTGGGTGATGCATTTCTTCGTGGCGTTTCCGGGGGTGAAAGGAAGCGCATCTCATTAGCAGAGGTACTTGCTATCAATGCTTCTGTCATGTCCTGGGATAATCCAATCAGGGGGTTGGATAGCCATTCTGCTCTCAACTTGCTGGAGCTTCTCAGGGCTATGGCGCAGAAGACAGGAATGTCGAATGCAGTGACCCTGTACCAGGCATCGGAGGCAATGTATGACTTCTTTGATCGAGTGATGGTCATGTACGAAGGAAAAATGATATTTTGCGGACCCGCAAATCGAGCCAGGGAATATTTCATCGAGCTCGGGTTTCACTGTCGCCCACGCCAGACTACTGCTGACTTCCTCACTGCAATCACATCCCCCGGAGAACGCTCATTCCAAGACACCTACAAGGGGCAACGCTTCGAGACAGCTGAGGCACTGGCTCGGGTGTTTCGCAGCAGCTCGGATTATCATCATCTCAATCGCGAAATGACGGTATACAAAGAGCAAATTGTCACAAACAAAACCATCGCCGAAACTTTTCAGGAGGAAGTTTACAGAACGCGATCTCGATTTTCTCCCAGGTCCGCCACTGAAGTCTCATCCATCTGGACCCAGACTTTGGCCACCTTGCGTCGTCAATACCAGCTCATCGTGAGAGACTGGCACACCGTTTTGACAACAATTATTCTTACGGTTATCAACTCTCTCATTGTCTCCTCCGCCTATTACATGGCACCAAAAACAGCGACTGGGTCGTTTGAGCGCAGTGGCGCTCTTTTCTTTGCGTTGGTCTACTTCACCCTCAACGCCATCACCGAAGTTCCCAAGACAATTCAAAGCCGAGCCATTTTGTCGAAGCAGCGCCAGATGGGATACGCCCATCCCTTCTCCTTCGCGATCTCACTCTTTTTCGCCGAGCTTCCCGTCATGATCGTACAATCACTTGTTTTCTCGTGCTGCTACTATTTCACCATTGGGCTGGAGAACACGGCAGGAAGTTTTTGGATCTTTGCGCTGGTTACTTTCACTCACTTCGCGAGCGTGTCTAACCTATTCCGCATGCTTGGGGCCTGGGCCCCAAACCTCAACATTGGTCTGCTGATGGCCGGGAGTGCGCTTCCAATCGTCTGTCTATACTCCGGTTACGCACCACCGGTGCCGACAATGCACCGCTGGGGCTCATGGATAAGGCGAATCTCCCCGAGCCCGTTTGCCATGGAAGCCTTGATGGGAAATGAGTACGCCGATATCACTCTACACTGCTCCTCCGACCAACTGATTCCACATGGGGATCAGTACAACGAGACACAGTACCAGGGATGTCCTATGGCCGGAGCCGAGAAAGGCTCCCATTATGTCCCCGGGAGAATATATCTTACAAATCAATATGGGTTTGATGCTACCAACATCTGGCGTGATTTCGGTATCGTGGTCGCCATGTGGATCATTTACTTCATTCTCACGGCGATTGGACTAACTTGTATGACTCGCGACACTGCTTCATCGAATTCTCGAGTCTTCCGACGTGGAGCCAAGACTATCCTCGGCCCACAACACGCAGAGATGGATGTTGAAAATCAATCCCCAAAGCATGCAACATCACAGTCTCCTTCCTCGGCCACTTCAATTTCTGAGAAGACTTTGGAAGTCGACTTCAATTCTGCGACCCGCTCCTTTGTGTTTCAGAACATCAATTATTTTGTGAACGTTGCCGGCAAAGAGCGTCAGTTGTTAAACAATATCACTGCATATGTCAGGCCCGGACAACTGACTGCTCTGATGGGTGCCTCTGGTGCCGGAAAGTCCACACTCCTGGAGACTATCTCCGGTCGCAAGACTGAGGGACGCACGGAAGGCCGCTTGCAATTTGATGGACGTGATCTTGACAATGGCTTTTCGCGATCATGCGGCTTCTGCATGCAACAGGATGTACATGAGCCTTTAGCCACTGTATATGAGGCACTTGCGTTCTCAGCCTTCATGCGACAGTCTGCAGATACTCCGTCTGAGGACAAGATTCAAGAGGTTGATGACATCATTGAGCTGCTGGAGCTTGGTCCTATCGCGCACGCCATGGTTGGCTCGCTTGGAATAGAAGAGAAGAAGCGTGTGACCATCGGGGTTGAACTGTGCGCTCGTCCATCAGCCCTTCTTTTCCTAGACGAGGTAAGTTTATTTTATGGAAAGTTTCATTGAAAAGGATGACACAGCTAACCATTCTCTACAGCCGACCTCTGGTCTTGACAGCCAGGCTGCTCATTCAATTGTCACGTTTCTTCGCAAGATTGCAGCCCAGGGAATCCCCATCGTCTGTACAATTCATCAGCCCTCGAGTGTCATCTTTGAGATGTTTACTCATGCTCTGATTTTGGCTCCAGGCGGGAGAACCGTCTATTTCGGCGAGACAGGCGAGCCGCTCAATGGCTACTTCGCACGAAACAACGCTGCTATGAGCCCATCCGCAAACCCTGCTGAATTTGTCATTACAACCGTTGCTGCCTCTAACGCTGACACTTCAGCACCGAGCTGGCCACAGGTGTGGCAGGGCTCATCTGAGTGCCATGATCTCCACGAGCGTGTCTCGCAGATGATGTCTGACCAGTCACCCTCCATTGATGAGAAACAGCAGAATCATCCAAAAAGTGCCCAACAATTTGCATTGCCTCTGTTCGGGCAGGTTCGTCATTTGACCAAGCGTCATTGGATCTCAATCTGGCGCAATGGCTCTTACAACTTCAGCAAACTTTTCAAAAGTATATTTTTCCAGATGATCGTCGCTTTTACATTTTTCAAAGCTGGTGGCGATGTCAACGGCTTGCAAAATCATGCTCTTGCTCTCCTGATTGGCTGTTGGGTTATCCCGGCCATTGCCGCAGATGTGCAAGATATTTGGTTTCAAAAATGGGCTCTTTTTGAAGCGCGGGAGAAGAACGGGATTTACGACTTCAAGGCGCTACTTATTGCTCTCATCGCTGTTGAAACACCATGGCAGATCGTCAGCTTTACCTTGGTGTTCTTTTGCAGTTACTGGACTGTCGGATATACGAACACTCCCTCCGTTGCTGGCTTTGTTTACCTCATGTATCTGGTCATGTCGTTGTTCGGAACCGGATTCTGCTTCATCATGGCCTCCCTGTTTCCCAATGCCACCATGGCCGGGTATGCGAACTCGCTTTTCTGGGTTATCTTCATGATGTTCAATGGTATCGTTGCTCCCAAATCACAGCTGAATGATTTTTATCGGTATTGGATGACTTGGGCGGATCCGATGCGCTACTACTTTGGGGCCACTGTGTCCTCTGTCCTGCATAACGTCAAAGCTGTTTGCAAACCTGAAGATCTTGCGGTCTTCGACCCCCCTCCTGGTCAGACTTGTGGTGAATATGTGCAGGCATACATGGGTTCCAACCCAGGATACCTGCAAAGCACCACCGAGACCTCTTCCTGCAAATATTGTCCCTACTCTGTGGGAGACGACTATTCGCGTACTCTGGACTTTTATTTCACAGATCGTTGGAGAGACTTTGGCGTCTTTTTGGCCTTTTGCTTGTCTAATTTCCTGATAGTCTTCCTCGCAACCTGGGTTGGCCGCGTGGTGATACGTCGCTGGCGAAAATAGAAGGCATAACCCTTGAATATACTGAGTGGCCCATGGATGTTGTCGGGCGCGAAAATGCGGATTCAGAGGGTATTTGTGGACTGATACTCGGCAAGATTGATTCATCCCGATGTCGACCTCGGGGTTGACTCATAATCCATAGATGATGGATGCTTATTTCTAGATTGAATCGATAGAAAATAGAGCGGATGGAATGAGAAAAGACAACATCTACATTACCTGGGAATATCTAGTTTCATTGGCAAATCCCTTGGAGCTCCTAATGTAGAATTGATTCGGTTCTAAGGTTGGGGTGAGACCATACCCTCTGTTCTCTTTGCTCTCTCCAAATGTAAGTATACAAGCGTGGAAATTCCCAGGTTGTTGAAGGCTACATAGAGTAAATTTCTGCATATATTGGTCAACATGCTTTTATTAATAAAGACACTCGGGTACATCCTGTTGTTCAAAACCTGCTTCCAGCCAATGAGGTACGTAATTCACCTCTGGGGCTGCAATCAATGAATCCAGCAAATCGCTCCTGGTATCACCACTTTGGCGAGCCGTGGCGGTTGAGGAATTCTCTGCAAATGGTTGGGGCTCCATCCCCGTGATGTCACCATGCTCGCCCCGCAGACCCGTCCTATCGATCGTTAGATACTGATATGAAGAGAGATGTACCCAGTCGGTTGATAGCTTACTCGTGAAGCCAAGGGAAATAGCCGATTAAATCGTCGTCCAGAATACTTTGATTTTGAGTAGACAAGAAGGCATCCTTGGCAAATTTCATGACATCCAGGCTAAGAGCTTTTCCGGTTGTCTGTCCAACGTGTTGGATCTGGTCCAAGCATTCAATACCACGATCAACCACGGTGAATGTGTCCCGTGCATACTCGTGGGTCGTTTCTGGATCTAAGACGTCATACAACAGGGTCACACAAGCTGAAACCAAAAACGCCGCTAGAGAGCCATCAAACTTGACATTCGGATACCGATGGAAGAAGGTGGTGTAAGTCAGGTCAACCGTGCGCTTTGCTGATGAGACCGATAAATCAATAGACTCTTGGACTTTCATCGCGCCAGCTGCCTGGTCCTCTGCTTCTGCCTTGGATTTGTAAAAGGTGGCATAAACCAGAGCAGGCCGATGCATTAGCATGCGTACCAGGTAATAATGGCATCCGAGAAGAGCGCGTTGGACTTCTTGCCAGCCTTGACCTATTGGCAGATGATCATCAAAGAAGTGGAGATAGGGTGGAAGCGTCCGTGTCACAGACGCTAGCTCGGCGTCACATTCAAGGGCAGTTTGATGGACTCGTAAGAGATCTGTCGTGTTGAGAATATTTCTGGAGTATATCTCCACCAATACACGATCGGATATTTTTGCTATGGAGGCCATCGCCCGGGCCATGCCACATCTTATCGTGGGCTGCATGTATTTGCAGGTTCTCTCCGTTTGGGACAGGTCACAGAACGTAGGATCTTCAGGCAGAGAAGTATCTATCAACTCATCTCGGAACGTGGAGGGGCGGCCAGCGTATAAGGAACAAACCCTTTCCTGGGAGTACACTGTCCAGAATGTAAGCCGGAGTCGGTGCATCGCCATTGTGGCCCCTTCGGTGACTTGAGCTCGATTGATACCAAGCGCATGGGCGATGCGCGCCGCATGACCGAGAAGAATATACGCTTCGTTGGGCCGCATGACTTGATAGTTGTATACTGCCTGTTTCCAACTATATCAGTCTCCAGGATGACCAAAAAGGCAGTTCCAAATGTGTTTGGACTCTCAGAGCTGACCTTTAGAAGATAGAAATGGACAAGCCGCAGACTTGCATCCTCGGACTTTACTGAGTCGTTAGCTTTGTGGAAGAAATAATCTGCCCATGCTTCCGATGATGAGGCGTCCTGTTTGCCTTCGAAGCTGGATACCCGGGATCCAATGGCGAATACCATGAACAAAATGGCTTCTCTATCGTTGGGCTTTCTCTTGCTAGGCGGCTGTTGCAGAGTATTCCAGACATCCAATATTTCTGCGTGGGCGAGGATGGGGAGTTGTGGGTGGATGACATCAAAGTATGCATCAAGAAAAAGAGCCCCCGTCTCGTAGGAAAAGAAAGCATCTGGCAGGCATTTGCCCTCATCGTGGTCCGCGCCCACTGAGAACATGAACCTTTCCAGCCCCCACTTCTGCACACCACCTGGTAGGGGATCGCTTGTTGGGGTTAAAAATGGCTCATGCGTTTTTCGACTGATCCGCTGGTAGATGCGTTGGACGAAACAAAAGTGCGATGACGGGCCTTTTAGACTACATTAGCAACTCAGTATTACTTGTGGTGCCATTTTCCCCAAGCAGAATGTGTCGATATACCGTAGAATTGAAAGGCACCGGTGTCGCTGTTTGAAATTCCGATTCCAGCACGAAGCTCTTGCAGTCTCTTGAACTGTACAAGGTCATGGCACACATTGGGAGTCTCAGGACCCACATTTGTAAGGCCTGGAGATGACGTGCCATGGATTGGAGTGGGCTTATCTCGACTTTGACGTTGATCATTGCGAGAGTTGCCAGCAACTCGCCTGCGTCGTGGCCCCGAGCTGTATAGACAAGCGGCCCCGCCGCCCCGGCAGCCGGAACAGGGTCTCTGCCCATCACATCGAACTTTTCGCCCTCGACACTGCTCGCACGCCCGAGAGATTCGAGGCCCTCGCCTGCGCAGCGGCGTCGAGTTATCACCTACGTCAATTTGACTTGACATTCTTGGAAATTCTTGGGAATGTGAAAACGCTGCTGGTTGAAATTCCGAGAAATCCGACTTCCGCGGCATGTCAATTCCGAGTCCACGTGACCGTGTGATACATAGTTCATCTCGCAGTCTCTAACTCGTACAACTGCTTCAGTTGGCATGAAATGATCGGGCTATGGCTCGGAAAGTCGTGAATACTTGAGATTATATCTTGAATTGTGAGAAACTCGAGTCGTTTGGGTCACTTCCGAGGTTGTCTCTCTGATCTCGTTATATATAATCATCTCCCGAGGTCAGCAGTTCATCCGCCCAGAAAGCTATCGTATTCGTCGTCGGACTGTAGCAATGCTGCTATTCTCTTTCCACGAGAAATGGCCTGAAGATCCAGCCTATCCGACTCATTTCCTAGACGCTCCCCACCCATGAAACCATCATACTCATCGATCTCCGGTGGTGCGATCACTTTGACAAAGCGCATTGGGTTATTCCTCACTTTATCCGATTTTGAGTCTCCTTGCGGAGGTGAAGTATACAAGAAACTTTGCAGAGCCTCCTCGTCAACCACTATGCAAGTGGGATACATGGTGATGTTATCTCGCTTTTCCCGTTTCTCAACCCATGACAGGCAATGAGCTCGGATGGAGTCCATCGACGCTCCATCAAACATCGTTCGATCGTCCATGAGGACCGGTGGATACTGGGGAGAGCACTCGTGATATGAAGTAGCTTCAGCACCGAAGACCTTGTTTTTCTCCGACGGACCATACTCGGCGATCGATCCGTCATTCATATAGAAGTTGAGTATATCGACAAGCTGAGGAAATGCAACGTCTGACTGGGGAGTGTAGGTGGTGCGATATATGAGACATCCCCATGTAGCCTTTTCCTCCTTGGAACCAACATGGCGCTGGGTCAGGCAAGGTAGCCAACTGAAATTCATTGTTCGTAGTGTTGGAATTCCAGAGGGGAGCGAAAAGGTCCAATGTGAGGGGGCTGCAGGTGGAGTTGAAAACAAACGTTTAGTGTTCGCCTGTGAACGAAATGATGCTAATGGAAGTCCGCTCTATTGTACGGAGTACGGAGTACTTTCCAACTTTCAGCGCTAAGAAGCCCCGTTGATCGCAACAGATGTGATTGACCTTGAGAGAAATTGACTAACATTAAGTGGCCCCACCACGGGACGCCTTGGTCTCACTGAGGTTCGGCTAAAAACCAACAAATGTCAGATAGTGGTCCATGTCGCGCATCCTTGGCTCCATTGAAACATGAAAGCTTCAGACTACATCTACACCCTTTTTGGCTCATCGGAAGCTGATAGTATCGACCAGAAAAAAAAAAAAAAAAAAAAAAAAAAAAAAAAGAGAATACCAATATGAAAACATGCAAGACAGTTGGGCCTGGTTATTTTTCCAACTTCAACTGCGCCAAGAATGTCGATCCCGGCCCCCGGTTTTTAAAAGTACCAGGATGATCTCGATACGCTCCACGGGACAAGGATGTCCAAGCGAAGCGGACATGGCCGCCCGCGTTGTGATAGCCAGCTACTTGAGTCGCCGCGGCCCGAGTTAAATAGCGAATTTCTGTACGGAGTACATAGTAGTTCGGTAGGGTTGGAATGACTCGGCACTCGGCATGGAGTACGGAGTATTTTGACTGTACACGCGACCTGCCGGACAAGATCTTGATCTGCCAAGGCTCTTGAGCTGGTGCGAAGATTGTGGTCTAGAGAAATGAGCCTGGGGCCGAATTATTTTAGTTCTTGATCTAAACCTCCTGGACCATGCGCTAATGCGGCTATAGAGGGGACGCGCCCTCTGGCATTTCATTGACGTGCGTTTGACACCGAAAGTGACCTCAAGCTGCTGCAGCCCAAGACTAGAGCTCGTGGTGAGAATGGTGAGGTTAGTTTCACTCCGGTTTTCTCAAACCTCTCCACTGCAGTTCCATTCTCATTCCATCCTCAAGCCACCCCCCGGCCCCAGATCTGTGGGACTCCACTGGGGAGTCCATTGGCCCCACTAGTACGGAGTAACAAACTCGATTTGATTTCCTGTGCTTTTGTACTAACATATGAAAGGTGCTAAAGGGGCGACGCTAAAGAGCCGACGAGCCCCAGGGGCTCTTCTGCCCAACAGGATTACGAAAACATAACAAAACATTGGAGACTAATTTGTCGACGTCCAACTCACAGCTTGATACCCTGTACTCCCTACTCCCGACTGGTGTCGGTCTGATGGGTTGTGTGAACATCAAACCTTCGATTACTCAATATGACAACGACAATTACTACAGGAACAACTCCTGCATCCAACATCCCGCTGACTACCTTGTTCATACCACCCACCTCATGCGACAATCTTTCTTGGGTCTCATCAGATTGCGCGGGAACTACTTGCGAAGGCATCTATAACATAGTGCGCGCGACCGAGACAGAATGCTACCCGTCTGGCTGGGAAACCTCGGCTACGACATTCTCACCAGGCGTACTATGCCCAAGTGGATATTCTATTGCCGCCACGACTTTGGCCTTATTTGGTGCTGCTAGTATAGAAACTCGGGCGACATGCTGTCCCAGGTATGGAACCAACAGTCCTATTCTCGTCGCTAAACTTTCAAACTGACGCCAATTTCTTCGCTTCTATTTTAGTGGATACACTGTTGCGACTAGAAACGCACAAGAATGGTACGAGCGTGAGCCCTGCATCGCGACAAGCACAGGCGCTACAACAATAACTTACACCGTTGTTGGAACTACACCAATCACCACGACCGCTATCACTTACTCCGACCCTCTGATACACGCGATGCCTGTTGGTATTGCCTGGCAGTCAACGGATATCAAGTCTACAATGACAGGGACTTCAACACCAACGACGACTCCTGACTCAGAAGACAACACATCAGGCCTGTCCACCGGGGCGAAAGCGGGCATCGGGGTAGGCGTCTCCGCTGGCGTGATTGCTCTTATTGTCGCCGTGATTGCGTTGGTTTGGCTTCGACGGAGAAGGAACAAAGTAACCCAAGATAGCGCACCGCCAACTCACACCGATGATTGCTCAACGCCACAGAAGACCACAACACAGGATCATGCTGAGCTGGATGGGCAACTGATGTCTGCAGCCGAATTACCAGGGGATCAACCGGGCTCGGTAAAACTCAACAAATGATCTATCGGGGGATAATCATGCAAGAAAAGGACGATATGTATGGCATAAGCATAATTCAATGTTATTGAGCAACAATGACAACCATTCTAATTACCCAACGCAAATGATTTTTTAGGGTTTCAAACGAAAATCTTTCCAAGTTCTGATGCCGCGACCTGGATGGCTGTGCTGGATTGTTTACACGGCGTTCATCTGGAAAAGTTTCATCTTGACACCCTAGGCGCACATCTCGTTCAGAATTCGGTCACTTTGTGACGTGACTGTGACCAAAACGCAAAGAAGGTATCCACTCTTGGCGTTTTATCTTTGCAGAAGGACTCCATTGCTTCTTGCCTCCGATCGAAATCGATGCATCAAGCCGTCGAAATATATTGAAGAGTGTAATTAGGCTTGTTGGAATGAGTCCATTGTGCTGGATGTATCGTTGTCTCATCAGGGCTTGTATTCTCCGTCATCATCGGGCATCTGTGAGGCATCCTGTGGCGCGATGAAAGAGTGTGTCACTCGCCGGATCCACAGTGATGAGAGTTCCAAATCATTCGCTCTCTCACAGTTCATTGCCGCCTTTCGGATGGAATTGGGGGTTGGTATTGGTGTTGGTGTGGTGTTGGCGTTGGCGTTGGGGGTTGACTCAACGTCCAAGACAATCATGGTCCAATAGGTTACAACAGCGGCCACATCAAGAACATAATCAAGGAAAGGCGTGAGCGTTTCGAAAGAGAAGGGCTTCAACGACCGATCATTCTAAGGTTTTCAGCGCCTTGCCAGATTCACACGTCTTCCGTCCATGGCATCCTGTATATGTTTTAGCTAACTCTATTCGCAGCTCTGCTTTCCCGCATCTAGCTCACAGCAACTGTCTCGATCCCTGATAACCCCACCAATCCTTTCTAGGATAACTGGTAGGTTACGTGTCTTTCTTCGGTGGAGGGACATTGAACGTGGAGCGTAGCCGCCTCCCCCTATAGCAACCTGATGACACTTGGCACACGTGTTGACAGGGATTGCACCGAGTATAAAGAAAGATTATCTCACCTCATTGATTGATATCTTCTGATCTGTCTCTTCAAGGAACTTGACTTTCGCGAGGTTATCTCTCGACTGATAAATTTCAACATGGAACGAGACACACCACACTGGCTGAAACCTCTCCAGTCGCCAGATGTGTCCGGTGGGTCTGCCCTACAGTAAGTCTTCAAGCTGCCATGTCAGACGGTCGTGCCCATCTGGCATGAAATACTCTGACACAACTTTCTTCCTTCTGCTGTGCTAACACTGCGCGCCAGTATCATTAATGTCAGCGGTCTTGCTTTCCACAAGGATGAGTGGAGAGAGGAAACTGCATGGATCAAACGTCGTCTCTTACACCGCTTCCCACAAGCCCGCGTCCTGGATTTTCGGTGTCCCCAAGAAAACTGTTTTTCTTCGGAGACTGAGCCATTCAGCTCCCCACACAATGAGATCACTCGGATTGCGTCGACCTTGGCGAATGCAATTGATAACGTGTCATCAAGGGACAAGGCATGCACTTTGGGCGATTATAGTCTTCACCCTTGCAAAGAGACATGGGCCCAGCTCACCCTGTGTCTTACTGACTGATCTACGGATAGAACAATCTCTCGCTGATTTTCATCGTGCATGGTCTGGGTGGGGTATTGGTGAAGCAGGTGTGTCTCCGTCAGGACTGACCCCATGGCAGATATGCTAAGTGTGACATGCAGGCAATCCTACTGGCATTAGAGGTCGAAGAGTATTCTTACATCGCAAGGAGCATGAAGTTAATGGTTTGTTTCATGTACTCAAGCAATTTCCTAGCACTTTCAAAAACTCTAACCAAGCACCCTAGATATGCTTTGATGCCCCCCATCGGTCTATTACCACAACAATGCATCCGAACTGCAAGATTGATCTCATTACCAAAATGCCAACCCATTCCTTGATTGAACATCTTCCGTGGCAGAGCTACTGGCCGGTCATAGAGGAAATCAACCTCAGATTTAGTCAACTTGGAAGACACTGCCACTTGCTGAACTTCTATCTCTGCGAGAAAGGCGTAACCACTGGTATCGATCGCGTATGTCTATGGCAGTCTCATGTTTTCTTCTCTAACAATAGTCATTTATCTAGAATGCGAAGTACATGTTTACAACAGACTCCGTGGATGACACGAACATCCAACTGGACAAGAACCTTGGAAAGCTGGGGCGATGAGATGAGAATGAACAACCAATCACAGACCTGATTGTAAAGTTCACATAATCTGGTATGTTGTCTTCCCGCTGAAAAAGCCTTATGGGGTCCAACACATTGTTGTGAGATGCTGATCCGGGCCACAGAGATCGAATTTCGCTACCAAGAATGCCTTGCAGAACTAGCGATGCACGCACCGGCCTTTGCGCCGCCTCATGGATTTGATGTTGGGGGGAAGAGAATGGTAGAGGAGATGAAAATTCTGGGTACAAGATCCCCGTCACCACCCATAACCTCAATCCAAGTCACCTTGCTGTCTGACTTCACTGTTGTTGCTGGCGCTGCTTACTGGGAATTACGAGAAACCCAATGCTTTGCTGTCTACTTTGCTTGCGACAATCAAATCCCAAGGAAGGGAGGGACATCTTTCATGCTCGCTATGATCCATCAACTGCTCAACCAGCGGCCGGCAGAGCTGCGAGAAGTGCGAGAGCTTCTGGATGTTGTATGTAGCAGAGGCGTTTAGTCACACAAGACAGTCTACTCTATGCTTCGGATGTTGCTGCGTGTCTGGGGCCAAGAACCAATACATCTCATACTAGCAGAATCCAGCAGATGCAATGAGTCAATCAGAGATGTTTTGACCGCTCTCTGGGAGGAGCAGGCTTCGGGGGATGTTCCAAATATACAGGTCGTCAACTTCAGTGCCGATGACCTGGGAATGTCGATCGAGGGCCAGTCGACAATTCGCATCGATGCCACTGATGTGGTACGTCTTGAGATTGGATGCCTTCGGAACCAACTGCTCGCGCAGCTGAAGCTAGAGTCACAACTGCAACAAAAGATAGGAGTGATTGAAAAAGCCCTTGATAGGTGTCAGAGCCACTCCGAACTTGCCTTGACGCTGGAAGCAGCCACAAAGCCTCTTTCCAATGTATCGAACACTATTGGGTCGTATGCCTCAGCTCTCGAGGCTTTGACGTCAAGTATGGAAGACATGATTGCTTTGAAATATCGTGAACTACCTGAGTGGGCTCGTTGTGCACTTGGTTGGATTATGCACGCAATAACGCCTCTGACACTGAGCGAATTGGCCACTGCCATCAGCATCACATCGAATACTAGCACCCCCGACGAGCAACGGCTGCTCCTCAATTTAGCCCTTCAGCTCAAGGATGTCTTTGGGTCCCTTGTTGTTGTGGAAAGTGGGATAGTGCTCATCCGCGACAAACAGGTGCGAGACTGCGTCCGGTGCCTGATCAATTCCGACCAGAGGGAGGAAACGTCTTCACCTGTCCCCAAACACAAGGATATTGCGGAGGGTCTGCTTCGATATCTTTCTTCCGATCTCATTCTTAATATGGCGCAGTCTCAATCGTACAGCGGTTCCAGTTCACTTCAACAAAAGGGTGGTTTTGCTGATCTGGTTGGGTACGCAACCAAATGGTGGCCCAATCATTTCACAGAAGCAAATATAGACCATGAAACTGCGACCGAAATTCTTCGGGGCACCATTTGCTGCACTGAGTTTGGAGTATGGGAGCATAAAATTCGCACTCTCGCGAGACTTGAAACAGCAAAAATTGAGCCGTTGGTTCTGGCTGCCCAGTACGGCTGGAAAGATATTGTTCGAAATGCTGTACATACTGCAAGTCAAGAAATGCGGCAGTCTGCATTGATTTTGGCAACACGGGGTGGGCATATCGAAGTCGTTCAGGCACTTTTGTGAGTCGGCATCCCCGAGGTTAACGCGGATTCCAAGGAAGCATTGCAGCAAGCCGCTTTGCATGACCATCGCGAGATAATAGACCTCCTTTTGCCCGACCAGACTGGGAGTGTCACTACCAAATGGCATGACGAGATGATTACTTGTGCGGCACTCGCAGGTCATCTTGGTTTAGTGGCATATCTCATACAGCAGGGTGAAAGCGCCAGCATGAGAGATGGAGATTCAACCCTCTTACAGATCGCAGCGCGCATAGGTCATGACTCGATCGTGCACCTTTTGCTTTCATCTGGGACCGATCCTGACTTAGCTACAGCGAAGGATCGTACCAAGCCTCTCCTGTATGCCGTTAAAAATGGCCATCTCTCCATTGTGAAACAGCTGTTAGAACACAATCCACCTGCACAAATAATGGTCACGGATGAGAAGGCGCAAAACTCATTCCATCTCGCCTCTGAGTATAACCACCCCAGTATCGTCTCATACTTGCTCGACATTCGTTCCAGACATGAGGCGCATGCTTCTACAGTCCTAAATGCCATCGATTCGGATCACCGAACACCCCTCTCCTTGGCCGTCTTGAACGGTTGTAAGACTATCGTCGAACTGCTTCTCAAAGAGCGGCCGTACGTTAACCTCGGAGATTGTGCAGGCCAAACAGTTCTTTACGATGCGGTCGCCGGGCGGCATGAGAGCATTGCAAGGACTATCATCAACTACTTTGGCCCCGGAGGCTTTCCCGCTGAATTCCACAATATTTGTCGCAAAGCGACCCAAGTCGGATTTGTCGATGTGCTTGAGTCTTGCCTTGTCATGTGGACAGGTGAAAATGTCAAAGGACCCGCACAGTATACTGACTTTAACGGCTGGATGCTTCTTCACCACGCCGCCAAAGAAGGACATCTAGGAGTGGCAGAGTTGCTTATCCGATTCGATGTGCCCATTGACGTCTCTTTACCGGGTGATGATAACTGCACCCCGCTGACGCTCGCGTCCTTGGCCGGTCACGATTCCCTCGTTCAATTGCTGATCAAAAATTCAGCAAATGTGCACGTAAAAAATAAAGACGGAGAGACGATTGTCACGCAAATCTCGCGGCATGAGCAAATTGAACCCAGTCACGTTCGCATAGTCGAATCTCTGCTTGGTGTGGGGTTGGATCCGAATACACGCGATTCATCGGAGTGGCGCCTTTTTCACGGTCTTTACGCCCTTCACTGGGCAGCGGGTAGGCGTCACAGTACAATAGTTCAGGCTCTGATTGATGGAAACGCAGATATGGATGTAGAAGACATTAAAGGCCGACGGCCTCTTCACTACGCTGCAAGGCATGGAGCTGTGGAGACCTCGCGACTTCTGCTCAATGCAAACGCCAATCCCCAAGCCGTTGACAAGAGAGGAAAGACTGCTGTACACGAGGCTCTGAAGAGTGGTGCAATCGGGGTCATGGATGTTTTGTGGGAATTGAACGAAGACACATTTTTCCTGGTCGATATCGATCAAAGCACGGCTCTTCATGGTGCTAGGACAGTGGCAGCTGCGCTCTGGCTTATTAATCACGGGCTCCAGGTGAACAGCAAGAACAAGAATGGCGAAACGCCGCTAATGATGCAGTGCAAGGAGGGCAGGGATGAAGTGGTTGCTTTGCTTCTTTCACACAATGCCGATCCCAGAATTGCAGATGATAGGAGTCAAATCGTTTTGCACTGTGCCATGGCAAAAGGTCACCTGGCTGTTGCGACAGAACTTATCGCAAAGGATCCTTCTCTCCTAGAGATTCATGACAATGAAGGACAAACTCCATTACATTACGGCGTCCACAAATCGAGATTCACACTCGCGTGGCTTTTATCATCTTCTGAGATACCGTCGATCATTGCGGATGTCCCCGATAAAGACGGAAACACCGCACTCATGCTCGCCATAAAGGACGACCAACCAGGACTCGCCCAATTGCTCTTGCACCATGGCGCCAGCACGATAACTCGGAACCACAAGGGAGAAAGTCCCTTGGTCACTGCCATCAGCCTGAATCAGAGGGAATTGTTTCCCCTGATCTTGGAACATCTGAAAGGGGAACTGCAAGACGGAAATGAAAACTTTCTGAATGAAGGTCAACCCACGCCGCTTTACAAGGCATGTGAAGAAGGGTGTTTTGATCTGGTGAAGGAGTTGGTCCAAGTGAATGCGCCCGGGGGCGGGGAAGCGGGCACCGCCCTGGGCGTGTCGGCGAGGATCTGCCACCGCGGACAGGTGGAGTACCTCCTAGCGCACAACGCCGACGCGAGTCAAGCGGCGGGCATATATCCGCACGCTCTTAGTGCCGCACTGCGATCTGGGTGGGCTTCTTATGTCGTTGATCTACTCGTGGGGCGACACGAGGTGCCTATCGAAAGAGCCGATCAGCAAGGCCGACGGGCTGTGCACATGGCCGCACGCAAGCGACTGTGGCCTTTGATAAAGTCCATAGAATCCCGCGGAGGGCTGATGACGGCCCCCGATACCCAGGGACGGACTTTTCTGCACCATGCTGCCGCCGCCGCCGGCGAGATCATTGTGCAAGAGGCCTTGGACATGCCGCTGGACATCTTATCGCAATTGAATGTGGACGATGCGAATGGCTGGAGTCCCCTTCACTGGGCCTGCCGCGCGAAATCTAATGAAGATGTTGTTCGCTTGCTCCTGTCTGCTGGCGCTGACCCAAATAAGGCCACATCAGATGGCTGGACTCCTTTGGACATCGCCATATTCCATGATGCCGCCTATGTCGAGTCTGTGCTGTTAGAGTTTGCCTCTGGGCCCTTGCATTGCTCCATCAAAAACAAAGGGCAGGTCCATAGGAGTCGTTTATGTGACGGTTGCGGCTTTGTGAGTTTTCCTTTCCCCTCCCCATCTCCTCGGTTCGCCTTTCTTGGTGACACTTTGCTGATAATATCGTGTTATCTTTCCCCAAAGAGAATTTTCGGTGTTCTATATCACTGCACGGTATGTGAGCGTTTCAACTTCTGCTTCAAGTGTTACTGGAGTGCTGCTCAGACACACCCGGGTCACACATTCGAGGCAGTTGGGGAGGGACCGGAGCGTGGTCCAGAGTGAGGGGACCACGCAGGCGACTTGGATGTGAGAAAAGAGATCAGGCCGGTTGGGGCTAGCAGGCGCAGTAGCACTGGGTATGGGCTTGGGTAATCCTTGAGCCACTCGTGCTCAGTTGATGACCTTCTCCATTAATAATTTCAGTCACCTGGAAAGCACGTCAATAGATCATTGGAATGGACAGAGACTGGATGATATCACAGCTGCACTGATGTAGGATACTAAGTGAGTAAACCGAGGAAAGTGGGGAGGGTGGGGAAGGTGGGGAAGGTGGAGAATTGTCGAGAGGTGTGTATTGTCACTCCGTACACGACCGGAACCCCACGAGACGTGTAATTTACACGTCATTTCAGCCCCACAAAACAAGCTGTCGGCCCCACCCGCTGCTCTCAAGCAATGTTCGGTCGCACCAAGAAACTTGCAAGCCACAGCTGCCATCGGGATCACGGTGCCAAATGCGTATCGGGCCAATTTCGCGCTCAGGGAGGCGGAGCAATCGCCGGCCTAGCAGATCAAGAAGGCAGAGCGCTTGGCAAAACAACAGCCTCACCTCAATGAATCCGCTTTTTCCGTGATGTTTCAACTCATAAATATCAAGGGGTACTTCAAAGTTCAAAGGAAAAGGAGCGACACATTCGGAGAGCTCGATCCCAATGTGCACGCGAATTTCCTGGCCGCGACAGCCCTGCTGACGAATGTCGCCAGCGCTTCGCCTTTACACGGCAACAGTAAACCTGCCGAAGAAGCCACTGAGCTCTGTTTGATTGTGGGATTAATGCTTCCTTTGCTTTGTGTCGGTTTGTGCTTGACACTGACAAATGACTATCGATTTTTGTTGCTCTCCTTGGCTCAATCCGCTGGCGACATAACGTCCACTGCGAATCCGATCAACGAGTATTATCGCTCGAGGGTATTTGCGAGCCCGGAGGACCGCAGCATTGTTCCTTAAAATGTGGACAGATTGAATTTTTCTGCCGCCATTGATCTTTCTCACACCCATATCGTCATTCACATTCCTCCCATTGACAACGAGCGATACTAGATCTGCCCATTCTACGATCGGTCAGTATTCAAGGCGGATCTACTTATCAATAAAACAGCAGCAATTCAGAGTGTTCCCTCGGGTACCGAACCAACATTGCGCACATTAGCTCAGCCACCAATGACACAGTCGGAACATATCTCGTTCGCTATAATCCAAGCGACAGCAAGAACATCGGTGTCCGTTTTTGCAGCCATATCGGCAAAAGAAATGCCGGCCAGGCATGGGATGACTATGACGGGTGCATCATCAATGTGCCGATGCCGTACGGACGGTTGGTAGCCCGATGCAAAGCTTCTAGCAACACCACCGACTCCGACACAGTTAACAACCTACAGAGCCAATCCACCATGCATCGGACGTCCCCATCAGTGTTAAAGCACATGGTCCATCTTTCATCGTATCCTAGTTCGTACATCGTTATATGTATGTATAAACCACGTGGTAAAAGGGCGGCTTAACGAGATGAAAATTCTTTTGCTGTTGTATGAAATTCTTGTGTCCAACGCGATTCGCTAATTTCCTAATAGAATTCCTAGAATTATCTCCGAAATGTGGTGCCGAGACTACCGCTTGCGCCGCTTTATGGGACGGGAGCGGGCTAGTGCAGTTGCTTACCCAGATCTGGTTAGCCAGTTGATTAGCGCCCCAGGGTCTGCCTAGAAGTCAGCATCTAATTGCCACCTACTTGATTTTTTCTCCATTTTCATTTTAGAATCTCCCCATTGGCCTCATGTCGCAACTCACTGAGGACACCCCGCTGTTGTCCAGCTCCAGAGCAGATGGACCAGAGTCATCGAGCGATGAATCCTACCCTCCCACTGTGGAAATACATCAAAAACAATGCGCTCGAGCGATTTTTGTCCTGACGTGGCTTTCGGCACTTTTGACGGTCTCTCTGCTTGTATCTCATATGATCGCGATCGCGATCAACTATGGCCAAGCGGGTAACACCCCCTCCTGGGAACAAGAGCTGGGTGAAGCTGCCATTCTCTGTACGGTATGTGTTGATCAAACAGCCCATGGCGTCTTTTTCCAAGACGAGAGATGCTAACGGTATCGATATTAGCTCATAACAACTGGTTTAATCTCTTTCCTTAATCTGGCTCGGCTCTACCTGTGGAACCAGCCTATGTGGCTTTGGCTGAATCTCATCCTGGACATTCTCATTGTTATTTACGCAATCGGCATTGGTTTGCAAACAATCGCCGACTACGGTTGGGGGTCCAAGGAACCATTATGGTTCAACAATCTCATTTGCGTTTTATCAGGGTTGGCTGTTATACTAGGGTAAGTCATTCTGGCAACCCCCCCCTGGGATATCCTACTCGACACATATTGACACCCGTTCGGTACTCAGACTGATCCACCTTGCGCTATTCCTGGTGAGATGTTTCCTCTCATTTAGCTATCGGCCCTGGCGAGGATACCGCAACTGGAGTTTCCCTTCAGGGTGCCTCAGTGTTGAATTCAAAGTTAAATTTGTTCGACAAGCGGAGAACACCGAGGCTTCTCTAGGTGAAACCGCTGATGAACAAGCTATCCAAAGGCAAGCGGGGTTGGACCGGGTTTAAGGATATACCTGAACATCCTGGGAAAGAAACTATAATCCATGAGCTTGAACAACTAGGACGGTATATTCACACTCGACAGGCTTGTGAATCTAAAGCCCTCGACCTTTCCTATTTACAATCTGTGATACTCTCAATGAAACCCACACGGATATACTGTATTTCATCATCAACTCACTGCTACATCGTTTTGATAACAAACGAAAAAAATCATCAGCATGTGATATACGCAATTGGTTCCTGCAAAATCGTTGTTGTGAAAATACAGAACATCGGGATTCAACCCGGATTGTGACTTCTCTACGTATTAACTTCCAAGGTTCCAAGGTTCGTTCGTTGAGGACGAGCACCAGACAAGGGGTGCATAATGCACACACGCTCAGCTTTTTCCTACTACACTAATTATTAGTTCATCCCCGAACTGATCATCTACCAAGTCCTGGAGGTGCGATATATATGTCTGATTTGAGATGATTGCTTTGAAGCTTCTGTCATGTTCTAAACACCATCCCTATCCTCGCTTGTTTCATGCCTCATTTGACTAATCGTTGTTCTTCTCATCAAAACATATACACAAGCCAGCAATTAGAGCCATATCAACACCGGGCGCTACAGTAACCCTGTAAGTATCCTGGCCAAAAATGATGTGACGAGGGTTGAAACGTTTTCTGGAGATACGAGCCACGGACTGTCCAGTCTCTTCATTGATGATAGTCGCAGTGTGGTCGCTCCAGTTTCCTTCCATTATCAGGGTTGTTTCCTTATTATAATGATCATAAAAGACGGCAGTGGCTTTTGACCCGATGACTAGAAGAGTCAGTAATTTGGAGTCTGATGAGTTGACCAACTGCCTATCGGCCTTGGCTCGTATTTCAAAGCACTCACATTTGTGGCTGCTTCTGACCTCACAGATCTTGTTTCCAGCAGGGTCTTCCATAAGATAGGTAGTATGCAAGTGCATATGTTCCTTTCGAATGTCAAATAGATGTTTTCCATTCATGTCCTCGACTTTCTTTCGACCAGTGAACGAAAATCGGTTACCATTCACATTTAGCAGCGGTGTTCCATCTGCAACCTTGATGTCAAAACTATCTCCGGAGAGCGAGAAGATCTTCTCCTTGAGAATGATCTGCTGTGGGTCTCTTGCGATGAAATCATCGAACAATGCAACGGGCTGAGACACTGGCGATAGATAGGTTTGGGACACGGTTTGGGACATGGCGAATTTTGGCTCGATTCGAATGAGTGGAAAGACACACAGGGGCTGCATTGCTTTTAAAGTCCAATGTCTTCAATTCACTGTCACCCCTGCGTGTCTCTCTGTCGTTTTGAATTTGGTTATACCCAGCCGAGGCTGAGCCTCCTCATAGTTCACTAACCGCATTTGGTTGCAAGTTGCGCTTGGCCTGTCGCTAGCTTCAAAATTTTTATCCCGTGCCTACAAGCCTTCTGTCTGGTGGAACAAGCGGTCTGTCCTCGGTGCTTACTCGTTGGTCTGGGTCTTTCTCTTGGCAGGAAAAAAAAAAAAAAAAGCTTATCTATTGGCGTAAACCCGATATCCATAGATGGATGCACACTCCCGGAACCTATTTACTTGAGATCTACAGTGAGCTGGGCCACACTGGTACTGGCTTTTTCAAGGTCAGTGTATACAAGATGGTAATGCCGAAGTGTGTATCTATCCTGTCTTGATTTTTTCTCATCTCTTCTAAGGTTTTGTGAACCAAAAAATTCCAAGGTTGCCCAGGTGCTGGAGAGAATAACATACTCCGTACAGAACTCTGAGATGTTTTTACTCATTGAGAAGGGAGTTGGAACAGGCCGAACGTGTCGCAAAACGGGATCATGGATTTAAAATTCTCATTTTGTAGATTGGATTGCACAATATATTTTTGAAAATTGCCCAAATGGCTTCGTGCCGAGTAATCTTGAAACTTTTTTAAAGTTTTAGTTATTGAGTGATGCCGTGCACGACCCTGTAGATCACCTACTCTCTGCTTGCAATCGGGCCTGGTGTGTTGTCGCTCTCCGGCCCCTTCATTATTCCACCGGTCTTGGTTTGCCCGAATTTCCGCTGTGTGCTCCATAACTGGAAGAGGGGCTAACCGTAAGGGGCTATTGAGATGCACTAGCGCAAATTGGTGCCCTTTTTGGTATAGCTCCCGTTTGGGGCCATCTCACAAACACAACTCCACCATTTGCTTCGACAAGGCCGAAAAAAAGTATAAATAGAAACATAGTCAATGTAGATCAGTGCGACTGACCACGAACAGAGGCTTGTAGCCTTTGCAATGGGCAATCCAGAGCTCACAGATGGGGCTGAACTTCCAAGAATATCGCTTCTTCGATCTATTCGCAATATGGCCCCCAATCGAGTATCGTGTATCTGACCCGCTCGGGTTGGTATTTTCTATAAGCTCAAATCTCAGCTGGCATGGGTGATTTTCTACTCCAGCGGCTTCGCGCAAGGCTGAGTGACAGATTCAGCTGTAGCCTTGTATCAGCGCCGCTAAGTCAACATCGATCCGAAAGTGTGGGTAAGATGTACATACAGCCTTGCCCGAGTATAAATCTGAGCTTAGATTCCACGGGGCAGATTTTAGGCTTTCAGAGAGCTTCTAGGATTCAAATTTTTGAAAGGAAAATAGCAACATGGTCGCACAGCAAAATTATCAAAGCTATCAGCTGGCGGAGGTCGATGGTCCGCCTCCATTACCTTTGGATCTTCATGAGCATAAATTGAAGATTTCCATACAATGGGGCATCCTACTACTGACGTCTTGTATCGCGCCGTTGGTGCTTTATCCAAGTCTTCATTGGGGAGCAGGTTTATCCTTGAAAATTTGTGAGCACCTTTTTATCATCATTTTTGCCCGAGATTATGCTAACCTCACCAAATCAGCGCTCTCCGTGTCTAGTGCCATACTAGGGGCCTCAACCTTATATGCGCTAAGCATTCGAACATGGCGACTAGTTAAACTAGAATCAAACTGCCGACCCCTTACTTCAGAGAGCCGTTGGAGTGTACGTTGATACCTCTTACTGTCCTTCTCACCAAGCTACCCTCCCCTGCGACTGCGAGGGAGATGATACTTGAGCATCCGCTGACTTAGAAATTTGTTTATCCACCATACAGTTCGATTTTTTCCACTGGAACTATCTCCTGGGCTTTGTCCTGGTTACAATTATTCTGGTGATTGGCTTGATAGAAGACCCTCCAAGTGTACGGATGACATCCTTGCCGCCATCTATTTTGCTCGTACAAGTTGGTTTCACCTTGGTCATCGTCGGAGTTCTCGCCAAGCTTCACATACGGCAGCCATTCGCAGTCTCATCTACACCCAAGGATGTAATTTTTCGACCCGGTATACTCGTGATTATCGAGGACATTGTTGCTGTGGATGGCGGTAGAGGGAGGCAATATCGTTCAGCATTGATGGAGCGGTATACAGCCAGCTTGCGGTTTCGACGCCTGATCGAGTCCCTAAATTGGTTCTGGGGACTTGGCGGATTCGTGATGGGCATTCTTTTGATATCGATATTGTCTACGGTTCACGATCAAACTTTTGCTTTTGGACTTGGTGAGTCTCTGCGATGTCTCCGATTATGCCGACATTGTAACCCGAAGGGGTTTGAAGCTGACACACTACTTCTTTAACAGGGTGGACAATCCCATGGATTTGGGCAGGTGTTTGGGCGATCATCACTACCTATTGGGTAAAGGCTGCACTGAGAGAAGAAAAGCGCACCTGGGCTGAGGATCGGAAGGCGGATTCAGTGTAAATCGCCTGTTTCCCATCACATTCCAGTTTTTGCGTCTGCCAAGATAAACATGAGAAGGAAAACGACCCCCCAAGAATTCAACGGATATTATGTTTAAGCTTTGGCAAATGAGAATATTGAGCCAGATCGAATTATTCGTACTTTCAAAGTGATTCTGTGTAATTGTGAGTGGTTTGGTAATTTAAGTCTCACGGAATATAAACACATTCCGCCTGTAAGAGCGGTATGAGAAATCCTTAAACTTTTGTAGGGGTTGGTTGCTTCGCATGAGTGGTTGTGTAGAGCAAGAATTGGTTGATTGACCTCGTCGACCTTGTTGACCGTAGGACCGTTGGATTTACTCTACAGCAGGAATCCGGCATTCCGTTGGTTTTTGTTGCGAAAGTTTTCATAAGTTCCCGACAAACTCGATCAGTACTGTGACCACAATGAGAGTGTCATCAATTGCTCCAAGTGTCGGACTGCGATTGTTCGGATCTTAAATATCGTAGAGGGTAACGACAGACTGATCTAACAGGGAGAGCAAGGAATCACCAAGGGAGCTGCAGATTCAGACCGTCGATGTAGAGTCCGAAGGCGAGAAAGGAAGAAAGAAGAAAGAAGAAAAACGAGAGACCAGGGAGGGGGAGAGATCTACTCTGGGCGGTAATCTGGCCTTTGGACACCCGTAGACAGGTGCTCAGGACAGGTGAGCCTCTTTACATACTTTACGCCTCACAAGGCAGACCGCTCAAGACCTTAGAGCCTTTCCAAGGTTTAACCTTGGAAACATGTATTGCTTAGAGCGAGAAAGAATTTGAAACTTGCCACCAAAATATAGATTTTCATCCGACCCGTTTGTCATATTTCCTATCCTTTCCTATCCTAGTAAGTCATATATCTGAGATCCCCGGGTCAACAAAATCATCATATGTTCAATTCCACGATCGTTCGTGCATTCCAAGCGGAATGTAGAAACCAAAGCATCAAATCAACCACCACTAAAATCCACTAGAAGTATGAGAGAAGGAGATCTCGTGCTGATGGTCTTGTCTCAAAAGATTCGAGTCGATCGTCTTTTGACCATTTGGCAACAATGCATAGGTTGATGCCGAATTGGCATGGCGATCATCTGGCACATGGACCCACAACTCAGAGTCCCCGAGTCGATCAGCAGTTAGTCCAGCTCGGCCAGGGGCCTTGAATCCTGCCTCAAGCTGCTTTCGGTAGGAAATCTTTCGCAGACGCTCGAACTCAGCCGGAGTCAGGTGTAGCTATTAAGTTAATATCAACGTCAGGTTGCCTTTCTCGAAAATGTTATGTAAGATTCCAGTAAGGAAAAAATTGCTCACATATATTTCGACCCCAATGGCGTGCAACGCGAGAGCCAGCCATACGGACATGCCAAAGCTCAAGTCCAGCGCAGCTGCAGCATTACCTGCATTGCCAGCATTTATATTTGCTTTCACTGCAACATAGCTTGTAGAAGCATTGCAGGAAGGGTATACCGCTAGGAGAGCCTCGTTGGATTTGTAGAAGGAGGCCAATTTGTCGCATCTCTCGGCCTTGTAGAATTGACCCCATAGCGAGACGATCGAGGCGGCGGAGATCATGATAATTCGACATGTGATTATTGAGCCGGCCTAGTTATTGCATTGAGTCAGCTGCCAAGAAAGTTTGAAGAAGAGCAAGCATACATAAATCCAGGCTCTCAGCATCCAGGCTCGATGCTGCTCCAGCTGGAGCTTCTTGATGTTGTAGTATGCGATTGACAGAGACCCAAGGAATAGAATGGCCAGAAGTCCCACCACGGTTTGGGTCTCGATGCCACCTCCAAATGAAACCCTCGCAATCATCAATGCACCAGCCGTACCCACCAAGCTGAGAAGTAAGATGGCGTAGCCATTGATTCTGTGGAAGAGAATCACTTTGTATCTGATGATGGGGATAAATTGGAACACCGCAAGAAGACCGGCCGGTAGTATCGTGTATAGGTGGAGTTTGATTCCAACTTTCAGGTACGTCTTGGAGTTATATGACCAGCATTCCCCGGGTGCAGCTCCTTTCACACCTCCAGCGGGATGTTTTGCACAGAAAATCCCACCGTAGTTCAGGAACATCAGTCTGGCAAGAACGAAGCCCAGCAGACCACCTGCGAATATGAACCAGAGAACAAAGTTGTAGCCTTTGCTGAATCCGATTGGGTTGTACACGCGGCGGAGAGTTGCGACGAAGGCATTTGACGGGGGACGCGATGGAGCAACCATTGTGATGTTAAAAAAAAGTTAGTATTAAATGAGAGAACCTGTCGTTGGTTCGAAATATAGAACACGATTTTGGACAGAGGTGGAACTATTTATGAAGTTCTTGGGCCTGGAGAAATGGATTTCGGCTGTTCCAAGTGATCGGGGCGGATGTCTGTTACATCTCACTCGTTTGGCCGTTGTTATAAATATAGCAGAGGATTGACCAATACACAGCAAGATTCTGAAAATATCTTGGGTGGATGGTAAGGCTGATCCAAAAGCTCTTTCTGGGGTACCAATGCGCGCCTCGTTCGCAAAGAACTTTGTAGATCACAGTGCCTGCTCGAGTGCGCCATACAGTCAGTACTGGAGCCGCAGGCGGGAGCTAAACCGTTTTAGGAATCAAGATGCGCGAGGTCGCGGCTTGGCGGCTGAACCCCAACCTTGATCCGAGGAGGATCCAATGACACTGCCTCGTAGCGAAGTTGACTGGTGTAATGCGAAAACTTAGGGTGTAAGCCTTGCGATTGAAGATACTCCTATTCGATAGCATATTAGTCAACCACCATACAATCCATCTAGACCCTGTGGATGTGGATGTGATAGGACAATTAGGCAGATCTCACCTAGATGCTATTTCTGGCAAGCGGTAGAGCAGGGGCCTGAGAGTCGCGTCGTAACGATTAGTGTTCTCCTATTAGAATAGGTAAAGGAAACGCAACCTTGGAGGCTTTCTTTCTGATAAACTTCATGGAAAAGGGCATGGGCGGAAGTGAAAGAAAGAAACAGGGGAAACCCGCGGACACAGGAAGCATGATCACCAGACCAGCAGAGAATAAAAAATGTCTCCTGGGAGATGGAGAGGACGGAGAGAGAAACCTTGGGAGCAAAGCTGTCGAAATCCCAGGACCAAGGGGTCTGGGAATTTAGACATCCATGGGTTCCGACATGCGCTCTAGCTGTGTATATTCTACTCACGGAACAGGCACAGAATTTCTTTCACCAAGTTACGCTATCGGTTTCTCTGTTTATGTTTTAACTAGGCTATCTTGGACCTCAGAGCCAAACCACCATCGCTTCATCCTCAATTCTACCCCTTGCAACCCGGGTATGTCCTTCAGAGACTCCGCCGGAGTGTCTTCTTTGTGCAGATGGCCAAGAAAACGCGCTATATATGCTTTCATAAAAGGACGGGCAATGGTCTCATGGAAGAATTCCTTCTGCACGCTCTCAGTGCCGCCTTCGTGTGGGAAGATATGGGCCACCGCAAGATAACGGAGCGCCATACCCATCGGGAAGGCAGCAGACAAAGCTCCAAAGCCACCTGCTTGTGTTCCATGCGAAAGTGGTAAAGTGTAGATAATTCTGCGGGCGTGTAAAGTCGGGTTCCTTTCGTTGCAGTAATTGGAGCATCCAGGTGAAGAAAAGGGAATCGCAGTAGAGGAGCCGGGGAACAGACTTAGATCTGCTTGAAGACCGGCTATGTAAATTGTCGTATATATGAGAATAGAGCAGCTCCAGTATAGATGGCTCATGTGCAGCACAGCGAAGTCCCTGTCGACTTTCGGTATGGGCAGGGCATCTGCCGAATGATTGTAATCGTAGGTCCGCAATTCTTTCCTCATGGCGAATCTCCAGTCATCCAGACTCTTCTCGATGTGAATGCATTTGTTCAAAAACTTGTTCCAGTCTAGCAACATACGTTCCACGACAGGACTTGCTCGTAGACTGTCCAGTTCACCCAGTAGTCCCGGAACCTGGACCAAAATGTCACTGAGTTGGTCGAGTGGTGACTTCTGAGAATCCTTCCAGGGAGCTGTCATCCAACGTTCGTCACTGAAGGGCGATCTTTCTCGTCGACCCACACCTAGAATAAACTGGATACATCACAATCAGCAACAACGATTAGTCGATGTGATTGGCGCAGAGAACATACCGAAACAATGCGACCGCTGACCAGTAAGGACATTCCTGGCTTGCTCCACTTCTTTTCACAGCCCCTATTCATGAACAAAGCCATCTCACCATAGGTGTGTGCAAAGTAACCCTTGATTTGGGAGGCCGAATCTTTCCCGTCCCTGGAATGCGACTCAGCGCCATATAGAATCTGAAGATCGTAAGCTGTCGGTCTTTTCCCACATTATTCCTAGCACTGGAGTCAGCTTACCTCATAAAATCGAAACAGTCGGATAGCAGCCAGTAGGCCATCCCCAGTGGATCTTTGCGGGTCTTGCACCGCTGTGCGCATTTCATGAAGCGCCATGCGGTATGCCTCGAACCCTTTGAGCTTCAATTGACTGTCATCATCTCTGGTCGCCATCATTGAGAGACCATGGGCAAGTGTAATAAAGCGAAGGGTTTTCTCGGACCGACATAATTCGTCATGGTATCTCAGCCATCCCGCAGAAGATATCTGTGAGGCATGCTGGGAGAATAGACGGCCATTTGGTAGAAATGCTGCCAGATACAGACCGACATATCTATCTTCCCTGGCAGTCACTGCAAGAGAGTCATGGAGCGTAATGACTGGAGTGCCATCTCTACTCCCTGGTAGCGCACTAGAGGCCTTACCATATCTGCGATTTTCACCACCCGTTGAATTGATCCAAACCGATCGGTTCCACGTGTACCCCTCGCAGACCAGACCAGACTCCACGCATTGACCGCAGAAAGGGGCCTTCTTGTCGCACTGTGTCCCAGTCGGGAGTATTAGTACCAAATAACACCAGCTGTGGGGTTTGACGTACGCTTTTTTCCTTCTTCGGCATGTCACGCATCCGCCGTATCTGGCAGGAACACCGACCATGTTGATTACGACAGATGGCCCAACACCAAGTATGGGAATAATGGGAAGTTTTCACGCTTGCGCAGAAAACAACTTCTTTTGGACGTAACAGTGGACTGGGGCCAGTCTCAATCTCACCCCTTGACCCCGCAGTGGGGGTGTGGAGTTTTCTGCGCTTCGGGGGTGGTTTCAGCTTCAGCTCCGGGAAAATGCCACCCTATTGGCCCAAGAACTCGGGGGTACATTACGAACCAGGTCACGTCGATCAGTGCCAAATGCTTCTAGGGCGACGGCGAAGCTTAGCGAAGATTGTCGAGATGTATTGCCTAGTTGGGTAACTCCGATGCTGCCCCCGCGCCCTATGGGATGAGCTGCATTAGACTGCGACTGAAGCCGCGCCAAGACGGGATTGTTTGGAGAAACAGGCCAACGAGCATGTGTGATATGCTTGATTCTCTGGTATTGAGGCTTCATTCTGGGCCAAGAGGAAGTGAAGAAGGCACCACGAAGTTAAACCAGTAGCTTTGTGTCGGTGCCGGTGTTTGCCTAGTTTATCAGGCCCCCGCGGGCCCCGGGTGGATGAGAGAGCTTCCCTCTCCTCCCTTTTTTTCTCTCCTCGTCTCAGATGATACATACATTACCATATCACACTTCTCTCGCGCCTCACTCGACGTTTTATTTCAGGTCTGCGGGCGCACATGGGAAAAGGAAAGTCATCAAACATGAGAGGTTTTCAAGAAAATCCAGATTAGAACCTTTATTCCGAGATCCGAGGTGATGAAAACTAGCGTGAAGGTAGTTGGGCTATGAGTAGGTGCGGTCAAAATCTGATAATTTGTGCCGTTAATGATTCGGTACTGAGTAAGTCAATCTACATTGAGGCCAGCCAATCAAAACTTCCAAAGTCGCGGCCTGGAAGACGCGAGGAAGACGGAGATTAAGAGAATATTGAAAATCATAATCACAGGACTCCAACTGGAATAAAATAGCTCTTGACGCGTATGATTCAGCTGTGAACATGTTGCACGAACTCCACTGTGATCAAAGGCACGTGGAGTGATGGACGATTTCGCCTCCATGCCCTTATCGGTTGATTGTATTATGTGCTGGAAAGGCCAACGATGGCCCATATAAAGTCTACCTGAACTAAATTGATAATATGGGGACTTGTTTACGAGCATACAAATTAGTTATATAAACTTGACATTTGGATAAGTCTCATATAGTCTTTGGTTGGCCGGCTCGTGGAGGCTTCAAAGGGCGATTCCGCAAGTTGAAGCAAAGCTATATAAGCCAGGAATCTTCTGAATACATTTCAATGCTCATATTGACATCCGGATTCACGAAGGGCCAAGTAGACTGCTTAGTTCGCGTAGCACTTGACAGAGCCCATGCTCGGAGGGGAGGTTGAGTCCTGACCAGGGGCCTGGATATCACCAGTACTACCGCCATTGCAGGAATAAGAACTGAAAATTACACAGCATATGTCAGCCAGTGCAGTGGCCCATGGAGTGGGGAGTACGTACGTCCAGAAGCGGCATCGATAGCCGTCAGGGATGTGAACAGAGCGGACATCTCCTTGAATGACGCCGTTGGCCTTGTCCTTTAGGCTGTCTGTAGACGGAAGATTCATTAGCTTCCGCGAATGTCTTAAAAGGTTTGTTGCATTGGATTTAAGCAAGTTGAAGCTCGGTCCGCCAAGCGTCGAGGCAGGAGTAGACAAAGGATGGAATTGCTCAAGGTGGGATAATGTGGTCACTCACAGCAATCATGTTGAATTCCAATGCTGGGAGTAATGCAGGTTCCTTCAAGATAGGCGCCATTGCAAATCTTGATGACAATGCTCTCCGCGGTGACGCCGCTGATGGCAGCTGCAAAGGCAAGGCAGGCAGCAGCAGTGAGACGCATGGTGAATAGATAACTTGGGTAATGATTTGGAGAGTTGGAGATCTAAGAGAAATGGAATGTCTTTGAAAGATGAATATTCCATATTTCTCGAGATTCATCTTGCTCTTTATACCCTTTCTTGGTCGGCATTGGGGCGGGTGTGCGGCCAGGTATGGGGGCCACGGGGGCCGAATAGCACCTAGGGATCACTACCATAATAGGTAAGTCAGATGCAGTTCAGCTGGTCCCTTAGGTGCATAAGTGGACAACACTATTACTTCATTGGAATGTGCGCAAGGCTGTGTTATTTACTCTGTCGGGAAGTGTCGCTTTTCTGTCAATTGAAAACTTCGTGTCTGATTGTTCAATCCAACACCACGTCATTCGGGTGATGGACGGAGACCATGGAGCAAGATTTAGAGTAAAATGCAAGCGACTGAAATGTACCCTACACCTAGTTAAACTATTTCAATTTCGCATTGGAATAGACTCATAAAAGGTAGCCACATACATTGGAGTCGCCGGGGGTGCCATAATAAAGGCAAACATGGGCCACATAGGATTAGGCCCCCAGACACCCGCCGCAACCCGCGTCCTAGTGTAATACGCCCTGCTGCATGAGCTCTAGAAAGATCTCCAGTACATACTTTCACATGCACGGAGTTCGTTTCACTGTGACACTATGCGGCAGTTGATTTAAATTGTTCTAACCTTAATTTGATCTAGAGCCCGAGAGTAGGATTGTATGATGATGCCAGATGGTTATTATAGAAGGCTTGAGGGAGGGGAGAGAGTGGTATGTAGACCTTCGGGGGGCCTGCCCAATCCGGCGGTGACAAGGGCCGCTAAAGGATTTCTTGAGATGCTGAAGTCACATTGTGCAAATGTGACTTGGTCCTGATCACATTGGCGATGATCTTTTACTATATCGTCGACGCCATAAATGATCGTTTGTGTGGAAACAGAGCTGACTTTCCACCCGTCACTGACGTCTCCACCACCAGTTGATGGAAAATTTGGAGCATAGCCTGACTCCGTCGGCCAATAGCGAGATTGACGCCTGCTCTTCTTCTACTCGTGCAACATACTGTGACATGGCCAGCCTCCGACTTTGCACCCAATCAAGATACCTTTACTTACTAGACGATAATCGAGTTCAAGTTGTCTCAAGCTAGTGCGGGCGTATTTGTAGTGATTGCCATCCAATAGCGAGCACGGAGATCATACCCGCATGTGCGAGTGGCCAGTACAGCAAGCTTGACGAGAGCGCGGGTCTCCTGGGCAATGGCCTCGACATCAAGTGTTTGGTGTTTGCCTGGTTTGGCAGGCTCCCCGCAGTGTAGATAGTGAGAGCTTTTCTCTCTCTTCTTCTTCTTCCCCTCGTCTCTCACAATTCTACAAGATCGTACATGCCTACGGTGCTCTCTTCATCGATATTAAGTTCCTGTTATTCCCGTTCCCATCAGGGTACAGGGTGTGCCAACTGAGCTTTTGGCAGCATTGAATGCGGTACTTGACCACACATGTGAAGTTTTGATCATGGAAAGGTTACAAAAGTTCACCCTTGTAAATCTGAATCCCTGGACTACACATCTACTGATTGAAGCACGTTAAGTCATAAGGTTTACAGGAGATTTAGATTGAGAATTCTGGGATATATCTCAGCCGCTTTACCGTCACATGTTGCACCAATGTTTATTAGCAAAATTCAACAACCATTCGCTTTCCTCCTAAGCAACATGTTTACCGAATGAGGTTCTCCACTGCATCCCTGAGACCACTGAACACCACCTCCAATAGTTCAGTCGTGATCTCATCTCGCACTACAACTCTCATGACATCAATATTTTGCCCCTGGGCTCCCCAGCCACCCAGTGTGTAGCCTATTAGAATGCTCAACTTTGATTTGACGACAGGCGGGATGGGAGAGCTTACTTGGAATGGATAGTTTCAAGCCATGCATGGCATCACTCACAGCCGGCAGGCGCACCTGCGGGTAGAGCTCGCGAAACCGATTAGAAAAGGTAAAAACCACGATTGGGATTGCGAGAGCATCAGTGCATCCCTTGTCGTGACATAAAGGAGATCTGTCCTTTGGTCCCAGTGATGCGATTAGTAGGCTGTGATCGCTGAGGCACGCGAAGTATCCGGTGTCATGAAGCCGGGTACTCAGCCACTGGGCTCTTTCTCTCGTTCTTTGAGCCGCCTCTCGATATCCTCTCATTCCCAGGCTATGGAAGTTATAGTATTGACCGGCCACAGGGCCGCCGGAACGTGAGAAGCTGAGAGAGAAGTTGGTGTGCGAGCCGCGTAGATAGGAAGATTCCAACAGAAGATCTTGGGGGATTCTCTCCTTCTCACGCCAGATCATCCAACCCACGGCCATTGGAGCTTGGCCATATTTGTGTCCGGAGCTGTTGATAGATTGCACACGTGGAAGACGGAAATCCCTTGGAGGACGATTTCAGTATCAGCAGACCTTGGAAACCCTGGTGACTTTGGATTGGACAATATATCTCTTACCAGATGAAGGAGTTGTTGTTCGATGAGAACGGTGCAACAAACCCACCGCTCGCAGCATCCACGTGAATCGGGATGCTATTTCCAGTTTGCCGCTCATAGTCGTCCAACATGTCTGAGACAGATTGAATGGGATCGTAGTGGCCAGTATAAGTTGTACCTAATGTCAAAAATACACCAACTAAACCATTTCACTGTCATTCCAACGATCGATGACGGAAGTTAAGACAAAGGACAAGTCATACCTGTATTGTCGTCTAATTTCTGCCGAACGGCCTTGGCATCAACTGTGAAGCCGGTGCCCTCGCTGACCGGTACTATCCGCGCCTCCACATCAAAGTAATCTGCGAATTTGTTGACACAAATATGTGCGTTTGCACCAATGATCACATTTGGCCGAGGATTGGGGTTGTTTGGGCTTTTCATCTGCCATTGGCGCTTCATCGTCAGACCTCCAAGTAAAACAGCCTCTGATGAACCCGTTGTTGCGATCCCGAAATATCCCGTTTGGGGTGCATTCCAGAGGCTTGCAAGGATAGAAACGCATTTCTGCTGAAAGCTATAGAAGGTTGTCAATTACAGTTTGGATCGCTGGCCTGGTGATCCCGACGCAGTGAATAGGACTCACCGTGCGATGGATGGATACTCCTCAACACAAGCCTGGTTCCGGATATTGGCTTTACTGACGAGCTCTGTAGTAGCATCATCGAATTTGGTTGTTGTAAATCTGCAGACTATGTTAAAATCAATATAGGAACTTGGTTTCAATCATAATACCTTCCCAAATCCCGCAAAGGAGTGGTGTCGGCTTCCATCTCTTTCTCAATCATTGCGCTGACGGTGTCCGTCAATGCACCTTCAAGTGGGATTTTGAAAAGCTGAGAAGAGGGGGCTAGAGATTCGTTGGATGGCATTTTGCTTGAGTGCGCTGCTATGGTTGATGTGAAATCAATCCTTGCCAAGCTGAAGATTTGCAGGATATTTATATCCTCAGAGCTACACACATCATCCCTCTTCCCGATGAGCAATCGATTCAAATCCATACATGCAAATTTCTACCGAAATCGGCAAATGCGTATTCGTTGCAAGTCGTACCTCCTTGCCACCAGTCCATCAATGTACATTGGGCCAGGCTTCCTCAATTGCCGTTTCTAGCTGTACACATGATAGTGTGTAACATGATGCACACAAACCGATTGTGCAATTGTCATTGACTCCCGCTAATGGCCACGTAACACCACCAGGGCAAGATATTCCGGCGGCAAAATCATTTGTCAAATAGGGTTATTGATGCCACGATTATTGCGCCTAGGGGTTTCCAACTTTGAACTCATCCATGAGAAGGTAGTGTTATGCACACCTTAATATGCTTGTGTTGAAGAAAGCTATTTTTTTTTCAAGTTTAGTGCCACTTCAAATTCAGTCAACTTCGGCTCCCACCTTACATAAACATTCCAAGCTTTGGAAAAGTTGTATCGTTGGATCGATTGCCGACAGAACCCTGATTGATCTCATGATTTCCGATTTCTCCGAGATCGACCAATGGGACCTCGGGAAGGATGAGCCTCCAAGGGTTAAATAACATGTGTTATGGTGAGCAGAGCCTGACATGTTCATCTCCTAGCTGAATTACATAGACCAAACAAAAAGAGAAAAACAACGCTGGCGAAGTTTCCGGCGCATTCACCTGTCTCGGATTGACATTGAAATACGATTGATTGTTATCTTGGAGCTCTGAAGCCCGGGAAATGATTCGGAATTCTCCAGTGATTTGGGCTACATCGGCACATACACCTTCCTCACCGTAGAGAAAAGCATTTGTCAGATTGAAATCGATCGATCAAATGTCCTCGATTCAGCATGAATTTATGAATTTTGCAAGAGAGAAAGATGAGAGTTTGGGAAGTGGAGACATCGCCATCGAGGGGGAGGGGGACGAGGTTCGTGAGCTCGGGAGCAAGCCATTGGACAGGCACTAGCACCTGAATGCTGTGTAACATGTAGATCATAGTTCGGCTCTTACTGGCGGGAAGATTTTTACTCCGATCTACAATTTGCATATGGGCACCCCAGCGTAAAGGACGGTGACACGAGTTGAATAAGAAAAGTACATCGTTACGTACATACAGCCCAACCCCAGTGACATTCAAGAGGATTTACTCAAGTTGACATACCACATCCATGGATGCGCAAGGGGTGTGAATCAAAGTGGAAGATGATCATCGTTAATCTTGGAATACAATGCAGAGGATGGTGTCACTCGGCCATAACCAGGAGCGACAAGCCCTGGAGAGATCGTTGGAAAACTTCGCCTGGCCAGTGATACGTGCGAATGTTTCTTGGAAGGGATATATATAGCACAGTGCCTTTCTCGAAACCACAACTCAAGACGAACACCATTCTCCGCTAGGAAGTTAATTACCTTGTCCTTATTCAGTCAAAACCTCCAACATGACCAAAGACGCTCATCCACGTATGAATTATGATACAAATGCATCTGTTGTCTCGGAGTGGAACACGGTTGTGCTCAAAGGAATCTCACCCGACCACGATGCACAGAAAGCTGTTGTTCTTGCGGCTTGGGCTGTGTTGCTGCGGGACTATCGAGCACCGCATACTCCCACATTTGCCCATATCACGGAGCGGGAAAGGCACCAATTGACAGGAGATCCGAGACCCTGTCTTGATGATCTTCGTTGTCAACGGGTATCCATCATATTCGGAACCGACGCCACCACTGAGCAATTGAAGGAAACAACTTTACAAACCATTCAAGGCAATGCCTGGACACACTTGGACACGTGCAAAGACATCACAGCTGCTGTGATCTTTCCCAAAAGGCAGACAGAGATCTCTTCCCAGCTTCTCGCGCTTTTGGAGGTATGAGATTGTATTCACGAATGTACCCAAAACAAACATCGCTAATATGGTATGCTTAGGTCGAATTGCTTTTGGTAGCATCGGAAAACAATGAATATTCGATATTCAACGACAGGGCGAAGAAACCCGAGTTCCAATTGAATGGTTTATTGCAAAGTTTCAGCGAAATATACAATACCTTCTTGGAGGAGCCGACACTCAGTATGCTTGAGATCAGCGCAGTCACTTCCTTTGATGTTGGAAAATTCCAAGAGATCAATGGTGACAGAAAGACATTAGCCAATGGAAGCCCTAAATGCCTCCATGTCCTCATCAACGAAAATTACCATCAAAGAGGCGAGAGCATCGCACTAGCTTCGACCTCAGAAGAAGTTACCTATGCACAGCTCGGCAAGGGATCAGCAGCCACAGCTCGCCACTTGAAGAAAATGGGAATCAATGCTGGGGAGACAGTGGGACTATGCATGGACAGGTCGATCTTTACCATCGTCACGATAGTTGGAATCCTGCGTGCTGGGGCAGCGTACGCACCAATAGACCCAACCTCTCCTATCGGAAGGATTTCTCAGGTCGTGGAAAGAGCCGATATCAAGTTCATGGTGACAGAAGACCAGTTATGCGGAAAATTTCAAGATCTTGAGGCGACGTTGGTGACCAGCAGCCAACTCAAAAATGCCGAGACTCCGGAAAATTGGCGCGAGGAAGCTAACATCGACGCCGCCAAGCCAGTTTACTTCATGTTTACTTCGGGCAGTACCGGAATTCCCAAGGGTGTTATTCATGGTCACGGAGCAGTGTCCATCAGTCTTATTGAATGCATCAAACATCTCGGCATCGATACTTCGACAAGATATATGCAGTCAGCAAGCTTGGCATTTGACGCCAGCATACTGGAAGTGTTCGCTCCACTCGTTGCTGGCGGATGTCTCTGTATGATATCCAAAGAAGAGCGAGATAACGATCTTGAATCAGTGATGGAAAAGTTGAAAGTGTCGCACGCATGGCTCACACCATCGATGGTAGCGCAAATCGAACCTGACAATTTACCCAGTCTGCGCAGCCTGAGTGTTGGGGGCGAGCCTCCATCCGCGGAGCTTATATCGATCTGGGGAGAGAGAGTCGAGCTAAATAACCTATACGGCACCACGGAAGCGGGGGTATGGGATACAGCAAAGAGAGGCATAAAGGCCGGAGACATCCCAAAGAACATTGGTCGAGGCATTGGAAACACCGCATGTTGGATCACAGATCCATCCGACGTGCAGAGATTGATGCCATTTGGCGCCGAGGGCGAGCTGCTAATTCAGAGTCCGTACCTCGCGATCGGATATCTCAAAGATTTGGAACGCGAACAACAAGCATTGTTGCACCCGTCGAGATTGAGATGGGCTCCATTCATGCCTCCCGTGGAAGGATCTCGGGTGTACTGCACAGGAGACCTGGCGAAGTTCGATGAAAATGGCGATGTGATCTTCTTGGGTCGTCAAACCGGATACGTCAAAATCAGAGGATTGCGAGTGGACCTAGGAGAGGTTGAAACTGCAATCAACTCATGTCTCAAGTCGGGTCGCTCCGCGGTCATTTTATCTGAGCACGAGGGCCAGGATACTGAGATTGTCGCGTTCGTCGAAACAGCCGATTACGCAGATGATCAACTGGCGGGACAAATGGACGATAAATTGTCGCTTTTCTTGCCGAAGTACATGGTTCCGGCGGCATTTGTGCCTACTGATTCGATGCCACTCACACTGTCGAAGAAAATCAACCGTCAAGAGCTCCGCGGCATATTGTCAAAAATGAGCAAGAATGATCTTCAAGCTTACCGCAAAGGAGGGTCTTCGATACTTGATTGTTCTGAAATCCCCGAAGGCAGAAAACTGGCGATAGAAATCAGCAAGCTCATTGCAGACATGTTTGAGAACACCGACAGTGAATTTGCATCGTCTCTGCGAGGGAAAAACTTTCCACTTTCCAAAATTGGTCTCACGTCCATGCAACTGGTGTCAATTGTGAATTTGATTCGGAAACGATACAACAAGAAAATCAGCATCGAGGATCTGCAGCAAAACGATCTCAATGTTTACAACATCGAAGATTTCCTGGCCGGAAGAAAAGGGATCCAGAGACAGATCAGCTATGCCCGAGACCTGATAGATGACCTTGCAAAGCTGAAACCAAAACTCGAGTTTGTCAAGCACCGTGAGGCCACTGTCTTTTTGACGTCAGTTACCGGGTTCCTCGGCAGTCAGATTCTGAGAACACTTTTAGAAAATCCAAACATCAAGTGTGTGATTGGACTTGTTCGTGCCCGGGATGAAAAGCACGCGCAAGAAAAGGTGCAGAATCATGGCAGACTAGGTCGCTGGTGGAATCCTGCATTCCTGGATCGGATCGAACTTTGGACAGGTGATTTAAGCAAGCCGAAGCTGGGCTTGGAAGACGCCAAATGGGACCGATTGTTCTCCACAGACCCAACGCAGAGTGTGGATGGGATCATTCACAACGGAGCACGAGTCAACTGGATGGAGACATACGAAGACCTCAAGCTTGTGAATATCCACAGCACAGTCGACATTCTCTCCGGGATTTCGAAGATGGATTCCCCGTGTCCTTTGATTTATGTCTCTGGTGGATACATGCCGATGAAACCAGAAAGCGACTATCAAATTGCCAAACGACTCTCTGAGGCATCGGGATACGATCAAACAAAATTCATGTCTCAACTCCTGTTGACCGAGTACAACAGGCACTTGGATCGATCGGAGTCCACGGGCGAGAGGGCGCGCACGGTTATTCCGGGATTCATTGTGGGAACCCAAAAGGAGGGCATTGCCCACACCGAAGACTTCTTCTGGCGATTCGCATTCAGCATAGCTCGGCTGAGGTCTGTTAGCGACAACCTGCAGTACCTGACTGTGGCAGGTGTGGATCAAGTGTCCAATCTCATCACGGATGCTTTCCTGGAACCGGAGAAATACACATCGGAAACAATGTGTTGTGTGGATGGCGTGAGGGTTGCAACACTCTGTGAGGTTCTGAGCAAACATATGGACATATCGATCAACAAGATGGACCACCAAGAGTGGATGGAGCTGTTGAGGAAAGATGTTGAAGAGGCAGACTTCGATCATCCATTCATGCCCGTGCTCAGTTGGTTCAAAGAGAACATCTGGCAATTTGAATGTGACCAAAACAGTATACCAGAGAACCGATATTTCCCCGCGGAAGAGACGATTTCTGCGTTGGGCCGCAGTGTGAAGTATATGATGAATATTGGGTACCTGTCGAAAGAGTTTAACCAGAATGAGGTGAATAGCTCTACCATATTCAGCCGATCTAGTTCATGATTGGTAGTGTGGATACATGACAGAGTCAGTGAGAATGACATCTTAGCCAATGAAGTACTTAACCATGCGAGACATCTAAGAATTTAGGCTCAGTATAGAGTAATGGAAAAAAAAGCTCTCGTGGGTCGCCGGGGTCTTGTCACCCATGCGGTTTCGGTGGAGAGAACTGAAAAGATTCCGTATGCGACAAGTGGATGGTATACTAGAGGAAGCAAGGAGGCTCTGAGAAACAGTGCCTTCAGACTGTAAGATCAAAAACCGGTGAGGAAAGGGAAAGAAGAGAGCGAGAGCGAGAGCGAGATGAGGCTGCCGTAAACGTCACCTGACCATGTGAGTTAGTGACGTCATCAACATGCTCGGCTGCGCTGGAGCCTGAAGTCTCAGGCGGCGACGGATACGGACACGGAGTTTGCATCTTCTGCTCACTTCAACTTCATTTGGTCTCTGTTCCGGTCAGCCTAGTCGTGTCTGTTTCCTCCCGCAATCGCTTCTGCATCAGTCCACCGGCTCATGCGGAAATCTTTCAAAAATACATTTCGATGGATGGACGTGAAGACTATGCTGGACATCACAATCATTCAATTGCAGCTATAGTCAACGACAACGGTCGTATGAACGAGCGACACATCAAGGTCCGACTAACAGAACTCCAACAGATCGTCAAAATGGGAAACCAATCCAGTCCGAATTGACATCAAAAAGGTGTCGGTGGGACCCGTACGCTCCGCGGGATTTGACGTTCATCGCCAAAACTTGTTTCAGGGGTCATCCAATCAATATGATATCGTAGCCTCCGCAAGTGACTCCCTTGTTGATCATTGCATACCAGAGGGTTGCTGTTCGCTGCACTTCACGTTTTGTGCACGACAGGTCCGATAGCTGGTGAATGGCTTGTTGTGTTTGTGAGGTCGATCAGCCGGTATGGAAGCGTGCGTAGGTATCTAATGGAGAATTCACAAGCAGGAAGGGAAAGGGAGATTAGGTGGTCCACAGACGGCTCCAGGGCTGACAGGAGCATTCAACTTTGGGAGTCGGAGTACTGGCACTGATATTTGTCTGCAGAGAGATTTGCGAAAGGGACGGGACCTCGGCAGATATTCATGCAGGTAGAGCGGGACCAGACTTGAAACTGGGAAACTCTTCAATGCGGGGTGATCGTAAACTTTTGGGGTGTGGTTGGCTCAGTCATACTGTTCTTATCTTACGAGTATAGCGATCTCTCTTATAAGTACCACGTCATGATAGGCTAATCTACTTACGGAGTAAAAAAGCAAGAAACGCCGGGAAATGGTAGATTCAGACCGCTAAGGCAAAACCCACGGTGGAAGCAGAGAGAGGGTGCTATCTCATGAAAGTAGCTGTATGCCCTCCGGCACCGGGAGTTCATGTGCACTTGGTCAACACAGCGAGGGTATGTTCAAGATAGAAAGTTCCCTTCTTCAGTACCCATCCATTGTTGAAAGATTCTTCGGCGTGGCCTTTGCATCTGGGCTGTATCCATGGGTAGACTGTAATAACTTTATCTGCAGCCCTTCAAATCCAGATGTGCCTACGACATTGGCTGAATCGCTCTCTTCGTATTCATCTTCGAGAAAACCCTCCGTCAAGAACATGATGCGATCCGAAATGTCCTTGTAGAGTGGATGCTCTGCGGTCAACCGTTTTTCTGCAGATTCCAAGGCGATTTGATATGCATCGATTGCTTTGATTTTCTCACGCTTCTTCTCCCATAACACACCTAAGCTCCACATTCCAGTAGCATAATCAGGGTGGTCGGCCCCTCGAGAAATCTTCACCTTACCTACGGTTTGCAGGGTCAATTCCACAGCTTCTTCAAGACGACCTTGACGAGAATAAGATCGAGCAAGCTCTCCGCAACCCATCAAGACCCCTAGGTGATCCTCACCTAGGCTCCGCTTGCCAGCGGCGATTCCGTCAATCAAAATAGGTTCGGCTATATGTGGATTCCCCTCTTCGATATGAATCTTCGCCAGATAGCAAAGCGCCCACAGCGTATAAGGATGTTCTTTGCCAATCTGCTCCTTGCGGCCATTATAGACCTCTTCCATCAACGTTCTTGCCTCAGCAAATTGTTTAAGATCAAGAAGGGTCATTGCGAGATTATTCTTTGCTTCAAGAATCAACAAGTCACTGTTGGGTAGAGATCTCGTTCTGATTTCTAACACTTTCCGATGGATGTCTCCGCTCTCTGCATATCGTCGCCAAGCGCATAAGGTCACACCTAAGTGGTCGAGTGCCATAAGAGTGTCGTTATCCTCTTCGCCAAGATACGTTCGCATGCTTTCTGCAGTCTGTAGCTGGAGTTGAAGAGCTTCGCAATATTGTCCGTTGAGCCAGAAGGACTGACCAAGCGAGTCCATAGCCAGCAAAGTCTCGCGATGGTGTGGACCGAAAACTTCACTTCGCGACTGTACGACTTTCCCTTGCAAAGCTATGGCCTCTTTTAAGCGCCCTAGGCCCCAGAGAACACTTGCCAATCCCAACATGGCTGCCATTGTTTTTGCGTCGTGATATCCTAAGAGACGGACTAGCGATTCTTTCGCCAGGAAAAGGTAGTGTGCCGATTTCGAAAATTCGCCTGCCTCGGCATACAAAATACCACATTTCGCAGCATTTTGGATCATTTCACGAAGCGAGAACACAAGTGTCGGCTGAAACAGTAGGAAGAGGCGGCGATAGCTTCCAAATTTTAGGGACGCGAACTCCTTGAATTCCGTTGGACAGGCTTCTAGACACCCATTGAGGTGGGGAATCAAACTCCGGCGAAAGCTGGAATCAATATCCCCGGTCTCCATGGGAGGCAGAGGAATGGATGACATCAAGGTGTGAAAAGATATCATTGCCCAAAGACTCCTCTCTTTGGGGGGAATACGGTCTCGAGCCCAAGCGTGCACCAAAGGGTGTAAAGAAAAGCTTCGTTCATCGGTCCCGTATGTGATCAATGAAGATGCATATAACTCACGGAGAGCCTCTCTGATGCACAATGGATGCATATCATCCGGATCTTGTGTAAGAATTCTGGGAAGCGCCCGAGGTGGCCTCAAGCGACCGAGAACAGCATTTAAAAGCTTTACTCGAAGTGGAGCAACTGAAGATTGTTGAAGATAGCCTCGCTCGAGTGTCATGCCTTTTTCAAAGATGTCCACTCGTATATGATCAAAGTGATAGAAGCTCACAATGTTGAGGATTTCCACTGCATCCTGGCTGGGAGTCGTGTTACTGGTCACAATGTTTTGGAAGGACGTGTCAAATGCCGAGTAGATATCATCATTTTCGGCATCGCGCTCACAAATTTCATCGGCAATTGACCCGGAATTCTTTCTCTTTCGGTTACTCAGGAAGTGTCGATAGAACCCGAGGTACTCCTTCAGGCTGCATATTTTGTTGTAAATTGAGTTCCCCGCTTGGGTGACGGCGAGAGCTAGGTAGCCTAAAGTCTTGGTAATCTCGTTTGCTGTGGTCTCTGTGGTCAGGTCCCACGGGGGGTGTGATATCTGCCACTCTCATGAGAAGCTGGAAGGCTTCTTCTTCTCGAAGCCCTGTGACTTCAAAACTACCGACGTTGCCTTGCCTTCGGAGACTCGGGTTTCTTGTGGTTACGATAACATGGCCTCTCTCCCCAGGTACTATAAGATTTCCAAACCTCATGTCGGACCTGTCTGCATTGTCGATGATGAGTAGCCATGGCTTTGAGCTTTGTGAAAGGAAGTGTTTTCCGGATTCTTCGGTGGCCTGGAGGCCGCCCATTTGCCCGATCCTGCAAAATGATTGTTTTGCATTTTGAGTTGAAGATGCATCGACGGTGAAAATTGCCCAATACCTGAACAGTGATATGTCAGTAAACAGAGATGGCTACTGTGGAGTCCACTTCCTCACCTTTGCCGATTGACTTGGGCATACTTGGCAGATATTTGGGTCTTCCCTGAGCCACCTATTCCATAGATGACGAACCGCTTTTGCTGTTTGGCTGAAAGTGACTGCTTCTCTGAAGTGAAGGCCTCTTCAATTGCTTTTATCGCTTCCTCTTGGCCTGTAAAGTCAATAGAAACAGTGCACGGAGGGTTGAAATGTTCGTTTTCTAAAGATTGGTCGATCGTGGCTCTTTTGTTTTCTGTGGCAAATGGTATTTTGTCTGGGATATCAGCCGACAGAACAGTAAGCTCTGTAGCCTCATTTTGTCGCATGCGAATCAAAGATTTTTTTGCTTCTTGCCACCTGTATTCAACAATCTTTGGTGCAGAGAGACAATACTTTGAGAGAGCAGATATGACTGTTCGATACGCAGAGTCAGACGGGTGAAGCTTTGTCATTTCTGCGTGGTTCGAATTTGAAATCGCACATCGCTCTGTATCATATATATGAGGAGCGGCAGAAGACGGTTCCACCATGAATTCTGTGCCGTGTAACAAATCTGTCCTACGGCCTTCCCAAAAAAGATACATATGAACTTTCTTCATAAGTGGAGCAAATTGGTTAGTGAGAACCTCCAAAGTATGGATAGTAGAACCAAAACCACTGTCAAGTGCTGGGTTCTTCGTATTTGCAATAGGCTGAGACGTAATAGTTGACGGACCCGAATGAAACCATTTTCCGACGTCGATGTGATCGCTGGGTGTGCTGAAGAAGAGGATCGCGAATGTCGAAATATATATAGCATTGAGGTGGGAGGTCAAGTGAGATGTCCGACTTGCCGAATGCACGAGCGCACTTTTCACAATGATGCCTCCGAGTCCGTGACAGACGAAGATCAAAGGTCGCCTGGTTGCATTTCCTAGGCTCCTCTCCCCCTCCAAGTCTGCCACCAGTGTGGTTGCATGACTTTGGATCTTGTCCATGAAGCCCGGTCCGGTGAAAGAAATGGGGCTTGATTCATAATCAAATGTCAGAACCCGTGCGTTATGTATGCTCAGTGGTAGAAGATCTCTGAGCCACAGAGTCCCTGTTTCATTGTGTGTCCAAGCGTCTGGTGAGTTTTCGCCCAAGCCATGGACTGCGATGATACTGTTTGAGAACTCATCAGTGATCCATTATGCGTCAATGATATGATAGGACTTACTCCACACAGACATTATTCTGGCCCACATATGCCCCACGGAGACTGAGATCGTGCGAAGAAAGTAAATGGAGGCCCAACGGCATCATGAAAAGCTCCTTTCCTTGTCATCCAAAAACCATTCGGGGTTGCTCAGATGGTCTCACTTGAAATGGGATCAAGAAAGACTATGAGGCATGGCGAAAGGAAATGAAAGCTCGTCCACGGATGTGGAAGTCTTGGCGCAGCGCGACATAGTTATGGCAGTCGGCGACTGGAGCGGAACGGGACGGGAACTTTACCGCTGGACCCACTTGTTTCGGGCGTAGCGTGTGACGCCGAAGGCATTAGTGCCTGTGTTATTGCAGGGATTTGCGCGTCCACCAATGAATCAGCAAGATGCGAGCGGCTATAAAGGAACACTTGTCCTAGCTCCTGGAAACCTCTTAAAGTCATTCAAATCATAATTATAACCCATTGTTCCCTTTGCGACACAATGACACTGGGTAGTCTGGCTTTGACCGCTTTTATCCTCATTTTCGGGCGGCTGTGTTATTTTTTGCTTGCAAAATATAAAGACCATCGTGTAAGAAACCCTTTGTCCCGAGATCCTGAGACCTTGCTCTCAGCCACTTGCTCATAATACATCAGTACGATTCTGCTTTGGGAGTTCAACATGGCTGCGAATTACCGCCCGAGCTTCCCAAAAAATGGCCACTAGGAATTGATCGAATCAAGGACCTCTGGGAGACAAACGCAGAAGGCCGCCTCCTTCAATACCTCTGTAAAGTCGCGGAAGACTACGAGCCTCAAAATAATCTGAGTCAATATCTGTTATTTGGACCAAGAGCCTTTCATGTGCTGCATCCTGCGAATGTGGAGACTGTTTTATCCACTAACTTCAAAGGTAATCATCTGTACTTTTGTTGGGAAACCAGCAGCTGGGGTTATTTGCTGAATCTTCCACCAGATTACGGCTTTGGCGCTCGTCCGAAAATCTTTGCACCTTTACTGGGAAACGGGATTTTTACTCAGGAGGGCGCCGCATGGAAGCATTCACGAGACCTTCTGCGAAAGCAGTTCATTCGTGTCCAGTCTCAAAACTTTGACCATTTTCATGAGCATGTCGACAACCTAATTCATCAATTACCTTCAGCCGGAGTGGTTGATCTCCAACCACTTTTCATGGATTTGACCTTAGACACCGCCACGGCTCTCCTTTTTGGTAGATCAGTCTACGCTTTGAGGGCCGGCATTGACCAAGACAAAGAGAACAAGATGTTCGCAGAAAGTTTCAACATTGCGCAAGAAGGCATCGCCAAACGCTTTCGCATAGCACCCTGGCAATTTCTCTATAGCCCTCCATCGTTCCGAAGAGCCTGTCGTGATGTGCACCGCTTTGTCGAGAAATACATCAAAGAATTGAATTTAGAAAATGCGGAAACAGATCAAAGGAAACAGTACGGTTTCATCAAACAAGTCGCCAAGGAGTCCGCAGACACGAAAGAGCTCCGTGATCAACTTCTGAATGTCTTGCTCGCTGGCCGAGATACGACGGCATGCTGTTTATCTTGGACATTGTATGTATTTCAGTCCATGATTTTGGTTTCTCTCAAGCGCTGACATTTCTATGTCGATCTTTAGTCGACTACTTGTCCGTCACTCGAACGTAATGGAGCGTCTGCGAAGGGAGATTGCTTCTATAATGGAGGCTAACCCCACACCAAGTAGAGAGCAAATCAGAAAAATGCCATATCTTGCTCGTGTCATCAAAGAAAGTACGTCATACATTAATAAACAATTTGTCATCATGGTTGGTGAAGTGAAACATTAACCCTTGTCTAGGTCTTCGTCTCTACCCTCCTGTTCCGCTAAACAACCGGGAGGCAATACGTACTACAATCCTGCCAACCGGGGGCGGCCCAGAAGGAGACAAACCCATGTTGGTAAGAAAGGGTGAATTGGTTGTCTTTTCACAGTATGTAAATTCGAGAAAAAGGAACATATATGGTCATGATGCGTACGAATTTCGTCCTGAGCGATGGGAGAGCGGCGAGCTTGCCAACATTGGGTGGGGCTTATTTCCTTTCAGTGGTGGGCCTCGCCAATGCTTAGGGGAAGACTTCGCTCAAATGGAAATTTCCTATACGATCGTGAGGATGTTGCAGGAATTTCCGCGGATCTCGCTTCCCAAGGGGGAGCCAAATGAACCAGTTGGAAGCGAGAGGCAGCGACTAACACTGGTTTTATCGAGCGCTGAGGGCTGCAAGGTGGAGATTCGAAGGGTGTAAGAAAGGTGTTTGCGGGCGAGAAAGCTCAGAAGCGCTGAAATGAGTCTTCATCCATGTTTGTTTTAATGTGGCAAATTTGAAAGCTCCAATAATCAGGTACCGCAGCTCTGATTTCATCGTTATCTGGTTATATTCTTTTGTAGGGGAGATCCGTAGGTCCAGTTCGCATTCTTCGTCCTATTTGGGCACGCCCCGCCTCTCTAGCTTGCAGCTCATTGTAGATCTCTGCCTTTTCCTGCTGCCCGCATCCTTGGGCCTCCTGAGATGCGCATGTCCATCTCCCTCCATTTACTCCGCACCCGTGACAGGTTACGAGCCATGTACTTGGCATGCTTCGGACATGACCCTTTGCTGATTATAAGAGCTAGCTTACACAATACTCGAGCATTGAAACGCCTGTGAAGTAAAAAGGTCCAGCCAAATGTGCTTACTCAAAGAGACCCTCATACGTCTCACCAGAGATTATATTTTGAGACTTTGACGTACGGTTATTGTCGCATTTGACGAACTGGTCAGCGGCCAGGGGGATTACAAAACCACAAAAACCTCCTTATTGTCACTATACAGGCTCTCTAGCCCCATGTGATAGTTATAATATTCTACTCATTTTAGAACCCTATATCATCTTACCTTGTTATCTCAACTTTCAGCAAGACTATAGTATCGCCATCATTGGAGTTAGAGTCTTCTGTTTGCGTCTAAAATGAGCCTTATAAATCAAATTGTACTTTTGCAGTAAATCAATTTGAAACTGAGCTACGCTATGGCCACCAATTCAGCCTTCTATCTATCAACCGTTCCACCTTTCACAGGCGCCTACACGAACGCAGGGGTTTTCCCTTCCCGCGTGCACATTAAAGCGGCTAAATCGCAGTGTCTGCATCCAATGACACAGGATAGATCGAATCACTGGTGAAACAAGTTATCTCTAAAATAGGCATTAAACAATAACCTTGGAAGACATAAAGACATGCAAATCTCGGGCTCTTTAAGGTGCACAACCATACATTGTTTCCCGATATTGGAACGCAAACTACATTTCAAGTCCACATCTGCTGCTATAATATGACCGCCACTCCGCAAGCTTACGGGATTCGAGAGCTATACCGTCCTGCTGATGCTTTGATTGAAGTTGAGTGGGTGCCTCTTGGATAATTTACATCTTTGAAATGTTACTCACACCTAAACAGCATAGTTGCTGTTCATGGACTCAACGGCCACGCGACGGACACATGGACTTCCAAGCCGCAGGGTATATGCTGGTTGAGTAACTCGGCATTCCTGCCACAATACGTTCCACGCGCCCGGATTTTGGCGTGGGGATACAATGCGAGCATTTCATCGTGGAATGGAGGTACACCCAGCTCCGACAGAGTTCTACAGCACGCACAGACAATGGTTTCTCAACTTGAAGCTGATAGGGATGTAAGTAAATTGCGTTTCTATCATATTCAAGCCAGCTGACGACCGTAGCTTGAGGATGCCCTAGAAAGACCAATCATCTTTCTATGCCACTCTCTCGGTGGTATAATTGTAAAAAGGGTGAGCACCAATGGATCAACCCTTCTCACTCTTTTAAATTTGAGAACGTTTTATCCACTGACCATGAGCAGGCCTTGGCTTATGCAGAAAGTCGCCGCCAACTCGCACATATCCACTCAATTTACACCTGTACATTTTCTATCATATTCTTCGGTACGCCACATAATGGATCTAGCAAGGCCAATCTTCTTGGCAGTCTACAAAAGCTCGCATCTATTTCAGTTCCGAAGTCTGCCATAGAGTTCGAATCAGGACTGGTGAACGCACTCGAAAAAGAATCCGAGACCCTGCAGAATATCACTGATCAATTTGCGCCACTTATGCCCCGTTTCCGTTTGTTCTTTTTCTGGGAACAGGACAAGACCAATCTCAAATACAAGAAGGATTACATCGTGGAAGAAACAAGTGCAGCGCCAATACTCGACAATACCGAAAGATGTGGCATTGCCGCAGACCATCAAAGAATGTGCAAGTTCCACAGTCCAGCCGATCAAGGATTCAGAACAGTGGTGGCAGCACTCCGGCGCTATGCTCGTGAGGCACCCAATGTGATTCAGAGGAGGTATCAGACATCCGCGGACGTTCAACGAGGAGAGAAGATGCTTCGAGCTACCGAGCTACTGGAAACAATTCAACCTCAGGTTCCGACTCTTTGCCATAATTCCATCCATCCCTTCGAAGTCACGAACGGCATTATGTTTGAGAGATCAAATGGTCCTACATCCAGTACCTAGAACGACCAAGCCTCCACTGCAATTGGGCTGGAAGAGCTGATAGATTCCCTTGATACACAGATAGTGAAAATGATGTTAACCTGCTCTGGATTTCACATTTTAATGACAAATCACACGCGTGGAGGCGGCTACACACTAAGGTTATTCCCCTAGAGAAGATTCATCTCCGGTATCAGTACTGGCCCCGTCAGGGAAGAGGTCTCTGTATGCCAAGACCTGATCCATTTCGGTAGATTGGGTTGGCAAAATGGGACCTGGATCGTCTGGAGGTCAACCAAGAGAGACAGTTCTCCGAGTTGAGGCTTCTTGCCAAGTTGAAGCATTCGACATGGTGATGCGAGCCGAGGGCCGGTCTGATACGGTGCTTCAGATAGTAAGGTCAGGTAAATGAAGGTGAAGTGAGGTGAGAGCAACGTACCTTTCAATCGGGGAATCAAATGAAAGCAAAGGGTTTGTAAATGTCAGATCGACAGCTCCAGTCACACCTGAGATGCTGACGATCCCGATAAAGGATGGAGTGAGATAAAGAGGCCAGACTGTCTGGCCAACGAAGGTAACTCGTTGCTTTTGGCGAAAATATGACCGTGATGCCCAGGCGGAGATCTGGGAAAGAGACGATGAGTGAGGCTTTGTTGGTGGAGGTGATCACAAAGGACAAATTAGGAGGAACCGGAGGGAGATGGTGACCACGACGGGAATGGTCGGTAATGAGAGATGGGATGAGTGGATACACTCGGGATTAATGCAGTGATGTTGGCGCAAAGTGCCGCCTAAGCTGTTTGAATCAGAGAAAAGGGAAATCAGAATGAATGAAATTATGGTCAGACTGAGGACGTCTGAATGAGAGAGAAGAGGAGGAGGGGATGTGAGGCTACAAAATGTATATATACAGGGCGAATGAAGCCGAGCATGTGACTAGGAAGCGTATCTATCCAACGGGCATTGCCATCAAAACAAATTCCAGCCATGAATGGATGGCCTGTTTCGATTTTCTTTCCCATCTCTCAACCCTTGCAAAGAGTATGTCAAAATCAGCTAGCTCCCTGCAGCTGGCTCTTGACCCGAGGGCCACCTGGACGGGACGCATGGGAATTTCAATTCGTTGTGAAGGTGAACTACAAATGAAACCTTTTGATTGTCTCTGTTCGCGGCTTGATCAAATGTACTAATGATACGTCTGCAGTGACCCTCGATACATTTGGAAATGCTCACTGAGTCCAAGACTTCGAAGGCTGGAACCTTTTCCCTTTGTTGGGTATTGTCCAAGTGTCGTACACTGAGTGGAGCGGACTTGGAGGCTATGATGATTTGTTTCCAGGGCTACTTTGCATCATGAGCTTCGCAGCCATCGAAGAGCAAATTATAAAGCCAGCATGGCGCCAATCACAGCGGCTCCTCCAAGCGCAACACTTCCACCGGTCATCGCGGGCATAGCAGCATTGGTGGAAGACTCTGTCGACGAGCCGGTTTCCGAAGAGGTAGACGTCGTACCGCAGCTTGCAGTAGAGGTGGCAAAGCTAGTGGTCGTCTGACCAGCCGAGTTGGTCGTAGGTCCCTGTTTTGCCAGTGAGGATGATGCAGCGGAGACCAAGCTGGAGTAATCGCTCGCGGTAAAGGGGACTTTAGTGGCACACGAAGGTAGGCCAGTGGGCAGGTTGAGAGCTGTAACGTGGGGGAATCTGTCACTAGTATCTGAACAGAAAGGATAGCAGTCGGTCGACTCGTCGCGTACACGAAGGTTGTTGGAGAAATCGGCGGCGACATCGCGCACACAACAGTAGGTATCGTTGTCCTCGGTCCAGAGAGAGCCGTAGCAGCACCTCTCATCATTATCGCTCTGAACGTCGACCCAGTTGTTGGGGCACTTGCTGTTATCGTTTGAAATCCCGCCGGTGATCTAAGGTTGTCAGCGAAGCTCTCTCGCAGCCTGCGAAGGGGCACGGAAAGCACACAGTAGAGGCGCTGGCAGCCGCGGCGAGTGCCAAAGCGACAGATAAAAGTTTTTTCATGGAAGGCATGGTAGAAATGGATTGGTTGAGAGATGATATCGATCTGCTTGAATATACAACGTAAATGCGGGTGACAGCCTGGGATTTATAGACTTGGGTAACCTCACCAAAGTTGGACCCTTGTCTTCCGCTTCACCTTGAGATCAGATCGTTTTTCGAGCTATTCTCGTATAGCTTTGCAGCTCTTCAGATCTTTCCCATAAAAAGGCAATGTTCATGGACATCGCCAAAAAGCAAGATGTGCTGATTGACGAATCGCATGTCGTTCGTACCGCGCAGCTGATCTCTATGACTTTTCCGGGAACGTATTTCGTTGAGATCATCCGGAGAGCATGCGAGATTGACAGTGAGTAAGTATACCAATTTCCATAATTGGCAAATTCGATCGGACGTGGGGGCGTCGAAAGTTTGCAGTGTTGAAATGGCGCTAGAGCGGTTTAGGCAATCGACTGCGAGCTTGAGGCTGACCGTGCCTTGGCCCATGCAATATTGAGTCCTAATACCAATTCGAGCGATAGGTGGTATGAACTATTCAATTGCAAGATTCATATGCCCAAGTGGCGAGAATTGTAGTGATTGAATTCAGGCAGGCAAACTCACTGAACCGCTCAGTGTCACCACTGATCCCTCTGCTGATCCCCATGAGCCTTCAATCCACGCCAAATCCGTAAGCGAACCCGCGCCCAGCTCTCTCAGCTCTTCTTGTACATTGAATTCCTTCATCCTTACCTCGTTTTCTGCCGTGCCTCTAATTTCTCTTCAATTTCTCCATCCTTCGATGTCGCTGACCGATATCATTATCAGGCCCAGGTTGCGTGCGATTCTCAACAGAAAATTTGTAGACCATAGCAAAAGCAGAGATTTTCGATCATATGGTGTAGTTTGATTCAAGAAGAGGAAAAGGGAGATAGAGGAGAGGGGGAATAGGGGAGGAGTTCTCTCGATCTACGCGCCTTATCTGCGAGGGGCCTGAAAGACCAGGCACCCACAGGATCCGACCAAACTTGACCTGAGACCAAATACTACAGCTCATTTGATGCTTTTATCATCGCTCCTCAATAATCATATTTCCATTAATTTTGGCTAGACTCTCCTCTCATCGCTGACCTATTCAATCTGTTTGATAATCCATTTGTATCGCTGATCCAGGTAGCGACACTTCATTTGGAGCATTGGCAAAGACGACGAGGGCTCCTTCAACGGCTGTCCTTCACGTTCATCAAGTGGCTTCTTCGTCGGGGTGATGGTCGAGTAGACTGAATGGATATCTCCAATTATAGGAGCAATCACGTTATCAGTAAAGCCTTGTGTCATTCCGTGAGCGGCCTTTTGAGATGCATCTTTCATTTCCTTTGAAGCAGCTGAAATGATATTCCGGAACAGTGTTCCATTGTCGATCCGGCTTTGAACTGTTTCACGGAGAGTTCTCACTTTTCCGGAGTCTATCTTGACTTATCATCCAATATCCGTGAAATGCAAAGGCGGTTTAACGATACTTGCCTTCAATTGAAGCCGCCGCGCGATAAGCAGGGATCATCTCTTGCGCTATGAAAGACGACTCATAAGACTCTGGAGTCTTGGCGCGTAGGCTCCTATTGAAAAATTAGACAAGAGAGACGGGGTTAAAGATCAATGCATGATATTGATACCTCATTTCACTTTCAAAATGCTTCAACGATGCCTCCATTAATCGTCTGGTGTCTTGTTTGCGGTGCTCAAGGCTCTCGATCAGTAATGATGGGAAACGGGCGACTTGCAGGCCCGAGAGATTAGTTTGATTAATTATTTGATTACTTTTGCCACGAACGTACCTAAGAGGCCATATTTTAATTCCCAGAAGACGTGGTCAACGAGTTCATGAATTTCGACCAATACCTTGGATTGGCCGCTCCCCAGGTCGTTCCACCGTTTGCTTAACCCGAGTCGCATTTCTTCAATCAACTCGGTGATCCTACGTCGTTGGCTTTGTCGTTTTTGGGTGGGTTTTGATTAGAAACTTGGTCCTTAATATCAGTCAAGTTGTGGTGGATAGGTTTACCGAAGATGCTGAATTTAACGGGCATGATGACTTCGATTTCCTCTTCTGGCTGGGGCAGCCTTTTATTGTGAGCATTCGAATCCATTTCAGATATACGCGACAGGAAGCTTTGAAAAGAATCGACAATTCGACTTGATTGATAGTGGGTATGCGCGAGACCCTATCCTTTGAACAGGTCAATTCTGAAAGGGGAGAGAAAAAAACAGTCTCAGGAATTTTAGCCCCGGGGAGGACGGCGTAATGGCCTGTGACTTATTCCGTGCCACGCATGCAGTGTGTGCCCGCTTGCATTAGTACTGGCTCTTGTGCATTTATTAATGCCCTAGCAAGGATTGAAGCATGGTATTTACAAGACTACTCCGAATGAGAGATAAATCGGTCTCCGAACTGAGACATTGGGGCCATTGAACAACGTCCTTTTTCAAGCGCGTTTCTCGCGGCGGTATGACCATGAACATACAGACTGAGAGAATCCCGAATTGACATGGGCGCGGTTTCATGCGTCCATGGATGCTGCAAATAAAGGGGCATTTTAAAAGATACCATTGGCTTTTTGGTCTTTCGCCTGCCCCGATGGTCGTGTGTTGCATTATGCCCTACCGACCGACCTGAGAGTGGGAGGGTTGCCTAGTATAGAAAAGCTATTTGTTTTACCGTCATGGGAGGAGCGTAGGAATCTTGCGTGAAGCTCCAGGGTAAAACAGCTGGCTATTTCCGAGGTTTACAAGGCTCTCCTGGCACGGAGCACGGAGTATGGAGTAGATGGCTGGGAGTCCACGGGTGGGTCGGCGGCCGTTGCTATGGCGCACTCGGCCACCTGAGCAAGTGGTCATGGTGGGCCCAGGTATTAGGCACAGCCAACGCAGAGCATGGGTGGCAGTAAAGAGAGTCGGGAGCGTGGACATTAATCCACGTGATGCCAAGCCTAGGCTAATCCCATGGAAGTTGTATGGTTGCTACGGAGTACGTTTCCCTATTCCCTAGATTCTATATAGGTTGATGTTTGGTGTTTTTTAAATGAGTACCTTTTGATAGCAAGGCTGAAGACGGATGAACTCAGCTAAAAAATCCTAGCTAAATGTGAGACTTCCGAAATAGCAAGATTCCTCTGTCCCAATATATACATTTGCAGATGTTGGGGAAATCTGTTGAAAATGAATCAAGAACCCTAGATACCTGACATATTAGGCCTTTTAGTCTAGTTGGAAAGCTCAACAAAATCGAGCCTCTTGGACCTCGGGAGTGGTTTGGCCCCCAAAATAAGTGAAACTTAGCTTTGCTATAGCGGCTAAGAACCCATGTCTAGGGAGTGATGAAATGCGCACCCTCCACTATCACATCTTCTAATCTAACAAGGCTAACCTGATAAGCTCCTGATCTCCGAACGAAAGACTACTCCCTACCGGGGTACGCGATCTCGCGATCTCGGCTTTTCTCGTCCATCACGTTGGATAGCGATCTGGCCTTTGGCTCGATATTCCCTGTCCCCAAATTTCCGAATTCGCCCACTTGCCCATTTCAGACCAAGCCTGTCTCAATCAACTGCGCCTCGAGCTACATAGCCTCCAAGACGCTGCTGCCTGCTCGTTTCGTAGCCCTCACACCCCGGCTGGATTAATTTAATCAGAGATCTTGTGGCAGGGAGCTGAACAGATCTCCTATAAATTAACCACACGATAGACTCCTGTCCACTCCGTAGCTCTCGTTCACCTCGACCGTTTTCTTTCAGAAACCAAATCACTTATTGTCTGCACCAAAACTTGACTCTGATGCCTTCCCTGCCCACATTTTGCTCTTTGGCAGAGCTGGCTGGCTGGACCCATGCCGACACCCCTCCTCAATGCGCTTACATTGTGACGACTGGAGGTCAATAGCACCAGATGAGCCACAAAACTCCCGATGAGGCCAGATCAATCGTCGCGCAAAATCTCGAGATCTTCACTGCACCTTCTGTTAAACACAGCGACGCCGCTCGGCTGTTCGAACTTTTACTAAATCTCGCCAACATCCACCTGTGCGGCCTTCACAAAAAGTGCAACTCCGATGCTATAGCACAGTGGCTGAAAGACTTCGCTGAGCAGAAAGCTTCTATCACTGCGAAGGTGAAGGAGTGTTACAATCTCAGAACTGACCACGCGCATACTGGGGAAAGTGGAGATGACAACGGAAGGGGGTCAGATGATAGGGCATCCGGAGCAGAAGCGGCTGCATCAAAGCCGTCCAGCCAATTATCATCGCCCACTGGACTTCTGCGTCGTACACTCACCATACCCAAATCCCAAGTGGCCCAAGATGTTACAAATCTCTTAGAAAAACCCGTTGAGAAGACTTCTAGCCCGCCCGGCTGGATATATGCTGTATGTCCCGTTGACCTACCAGGGAAAATAAAGGTTGGCTTTACCGGCAAACATCCTGAACTGGAACGTTTTGTGTATCACAGACGGTGTTATCGCGAAATTGAAGTCCTGACAATGGAGTTGGTGCCTTATGCGAATCGCGTCGAGCAGTTACTGTTGACGGAGTTCTCTAACAAGCACCACATGTTGGAAAATGCTTGTCAGGAATGCGATACTTGTCACATGGAGCTGCTTGATATCGACAAGGAAACTCTACTGGGTTGTTTGGAGAAATGGATTAGCTTTGTCAAGACTTGTCCCTACAACAGTCAAGGCAGACTCACGAAAGAGGCCAAAGAAAGGCTACCCCTTCCTGCTTCAAAAAAGCTACCTTGGGTGCAAGCCAACTCGACGAAAAATGATCACAAGTCCAACTCCAAAAAAGAAAAGAGGGAGTAAGGAATCTTCGATCTCCTCTCTGCCGGGTTCGAATTTTACAAGTTCCCCATCGACCACAAAGCACTCGAGAGTCCATGAGGTTGAGTTGGATCAGCATGACTTATGCGTGGCAGTCATAAATCTTAATCTCACACCTTCGAGGCACAGGTGATGGGTTCTGGAATAGGATTAAGAAGACTGACTTCCCGCGTGACTTGAGAAGTTTACTCCTAGCAGTTGACTTTCAAGTAGGTAGGATGAAATTGCCAAGGGCAATATTGTCTGTACATATACTTATCTTCTCGCTGTCAATTGCGCATCGTTACTTCTAATTACTAGTATTCCACGCTCCAAGAATCAGATTGACGCCGGGCATACTAGAGGGTGGCCAACTGAGCAAACTTGAGTTTTCACTATGACGCAGTAAGAGCCCCAAATGTTTCAATTGAGCATTATCTAGTGTAGCGGGGGAGCATAGTCTTCCTATGCACTATTGATGCCTGAGTGGCTTCTGTTTGATGCAGTGACTATAACATGAGCTGCCGTTTGTCTATGGTCAATGCCGAAAATTGAACGAGATACTACTTTTATGGTGTTGATTATCCGTACTACAATTGACATAGTGAGCGGAACGGAAATTAGTGGGTACAGTCAGGTATTGTAAATTTCATACAAAAAGTCTTGGCGCGCCAGGACCGATTATGTATTTATGCCCGTTTCATAAGGCCACAAGCACAAGGGGTGTTTTCAACCATCCATCCCCTTTTTCCACTCCACATGTGGTGATCGAACACTGGCAAATGAATAGAGAAATACAAAGTCCTCGGTATCCTCCATGAATTTATGGAGTACTCAATGTCCATATGGTGGCTTTTTTTATCTGATGCTTTCAGGAATGAAAATCTGGCCTGTGAGAAGGAGCCATTCCACGCGGGGGTTTGCATCGCGCTTTGCCTACTCCGTACTTGGTACCCAACCACGTCAGTTGCCTTTTTTTTTTGCCTCAGCCTCAGCCTCAGCCTCAGCCTCATGTGATCTTCCCCTCCCCTCTGGGGGTTTGGACTGCGAGAAGTTTGACCCTTCTTCGATCATCTCGACCTTCCACTGTCCCACACTCCGACTGAAGCTATACTTTCGATGGAAACGTCACCTCACTCAAACGATGAATATACTATTGGGTGGATATCTGCCTTGAGTGATGAGCTCAAGGTAGCCATGGCCATGCTGGATGAGGAGCATGGGATGCCGCAGTCATTACCTCGAGAGGACTCCAACGTGTATAATTTAGGAAAGATTGGCGGGCACAAAATTGCAATGGCTTGCTTGCCGGGAGGGCAAACAGGAACTGGTCCAGCTGCTGTCGTTGCAGAGAACATGCGTCGCACCTTCAAGAACATAAGATTTGCATTTCTTGTGGGCATCGGAGGGGGTGTGCCAGGTAAGGGGAAAGACATCCGTCTGGGAGATGTTGTGGTGAGCCATCCTCGTGGAATCTATACCGGAGTCGTACAGTACGATTACGGTAAGCTCAACGGCAATGGTGATATCCAAAGGAAGGACTGGTTCTCTGCGCCACCTATGAAGGTTTTGTCTGCGGTCACCAAGCTCGAGACACTTCACACCAGACCGAAGAACCCGAAAAACAATATGGCTGGGATTGTCGATGAGTTAGGCGAAGACTACGCATACCCCGAAGCCAGTGAGGCTCTTGATCACTTGTATCGAGCTGACCACGCTCACATCCCCGAGGCCGAGACATGCGATTCTTGCGACACCCACGCGATAGTTTCACGAAAGCCCCGCAAGTCACCAAGCAAGCCACGTGTGCACTACGGTATCATTGCTTCGGGAAACATGGTGTTGAAGAACGGAGTCGAAAGGGAAAAGATCGACCAGCGTTATGAGAACTTGATAATGTGCTTCGAAATGGAAGCAGCCGGGATGATGAACAATTTCCCATGTCTTGTGATTCGAGGAATCAGCGACTACTCAGATTCTCACAAAAACGATGAATGGAGAAATCGCGCGATCGCGGTGGCCTCGGCATATGCGAAAGAGCTTCTTTGTCTGATCGAGCCATCTGATATGGACGTTCTACCTCCTATAGCTGCTCGTGCGCTGGAAACCGGTAAGAGCTCATATGATTGACCAAGCATTTTACACCGAAGGGAAAGCATCTGATGTTTTCAGATAGTCTCCAAGAAGCTCAAAAGCATCGATGAAAACACCTCGGCAAACACTGAACTGCTGGAACAGTCCAACAAAGGTATACCCCAAATGCCCGGCTTGCCGTTCTAAACTGTCGGTGCTGATCAATGCCCAGAGAGCCGCCAAAAACGGGAGCAGGATCTACAAATGCAATTCGAAGCGTGGCTGAAACCACCGAATGTCCGAGAAATCCAACAGGATGAAGCCCGAAGGAGGCTGCCAGGGACATGTGACTGGATCTGGACAAATCCGACGTTCCTCTGTTGGAATGATTCATCTCTTTTATCGGCTCCAGACAGAGTCTTTTGCATATACGGCCCTCCTGGCAGCGGGAAAAGCATTCTAGCTTCTGCCATTGTGGATCGGTTGTGGAATGAGAAAGTGGCTACGTTGTTTTACACATTCTCCGGCATGAATGCTAGTCATCAACAGTCGAACGGACTCATTCGTTCACTTCTATGGCAGCTGGTGAAAATTGTCATACAGAAACAAAGCACATCTCTTCTTTCCACTTTGATGTTGATGGGTCAACCAACGATATCTGATTTGTGGACGGGGATCAATGAAATTGCCACATTGGTCTCAGAACCGATTTACTGCATCGTCGATGGTGTGGATGAAAGTATGGATCCAATTTCCGAATTGCTTGAAAGAGTCCTCGCTCTTCTTGAGGCCCGGTCAAACTTTCGCTTCATCCTGCTTGGAAGGCAGCATTCATTTCACCAAGCTGACTCTATCCGCCACAAAATTGAGGTACACCCTGCGTTAACAAAGGATGATGTGGATCGAGTCATTGAAATGGGAATCAACCGATCTGCAATCCTTAACAAACAAGACGTGCGTGAAAAGGTCCTCAGGTCTCTTCAAGAGCAATCCGATGGAAATTTCCTATGGGTCAGGCTCATGTTTGTTCACCTGGAAAAGTCGCTTCCATTGGCCCATGGCATCAAAAGACTCAACAAATTGCCTCGCGACCTGGAATCAATCTACGAAGAATTCTTTCTTAGACTCTCTAGAACACTGGAGCCAGACGAATTGATACTTTCTCAAAGGCTATTCGCCTTCATTGTTGTCTCGCAGAGACCATTGAGCATAGCTGAAGTTCAGCATTTGCTGGCTGCCGATGCCTCGTCCACTTCCAAAGCTGACACGCAATCCCTTCAAGATTGTCTCATCCCGGGGCTAGATCAGAGGATACTAGATCTATGTGGTGACCTTATCAATATCGTGAATGGTTGCTTGCAATTGGTCCATTTTTCTGTGAAGGAGTTCCTGGTGAGGCCCAAGAAACAATGGCCAAACTATGGGAAACGTCGTAAGACGATGAAGTTTCGCGTGGCTCCGGAGGGCTCACACAGTTCGCTTGCATCGGCCTGCATGTTGTACCTTGACGAGTGTCTCGATGATTCTCCTGTGCATGACCAGGATAACACTTCTGAGCTCGAACGATGTCATCCATTTCTTCGTTACTCATTTACCTACCTGCATACTCATTTGCATCAGTCGGGCTTGCCAACAGATTCTACGTTGAACGACCTTCGGAACTTTCTCAAGTCAAATCGATGGATAGCTTGGTGGGAGATCTTGCTGATTGGCAATATCGAAGATGATTCTCTTCTCTCCCACTCTGACGAAGGCGAGAAATTCCTTTCCTGGCTGGGCGACAAGCACGAGGAAATGTTGGTCGTGGCATCTGCTAGTCTGAAAATCACCTTTGAGAAACGAGCACAAGAATTCGGGGTTGATGACCCACGGACTGAGCGAATTGGCTTTTCTCTTCATTACTTAGGGGGATTGTCCGTGTCACCCCCGGCTGAAGCTCCGGGTTCTTGCGCCGCTCCCAATTCAAGCTTATCAATGAATCCCCGTCAGATCATGCGATTGGTTCGAGGAGATGAGCCATTGTCTTCGCAATTGAAAGCGAATTTAGTGCTGGGGATGCTTGCGTATCTTCAGAAAGCCAAACATCTTACGGATCCTATGCAGCTCCTTTTCGATAAGATTCTACAGTATGGATCAAGCATGCCCGTTTACGTTCTCCTTAACGTGGGCTACTTCTGTTCAAGAGTAGGCAGACTTGAACAAGCTGTTGAATTCTACCTTGTTGGTTTGAGGACGGTTGAGCAAAGGGAGGACCGAATAAAGTACCAGATTTTGTTTGAACTTGGCTACACGTACTGGCAGCTCGGTCAATACAAGAAATCCCTTCAGCCCCTCAAAGATTGCCTGGCAGGTTGGGCGCAAATCCTTGGACCGGAGCACGAAGATACTTTGATGGCCTGTGGTTTTATTGGGAGAGCCCATTATCGTTTAGGCGAACATGCTGAGAGTCTAGAGTTCTTTGAAAGAGCTCTTATTGGTCAGGAGAAGGTCCTTGGGCCGGGGCACAAGAACACTCTCTTCACCCTTCATCACATTGGAGTAGCCTATTTTTATTTGAGCAAGTATGCTGAGAGTCTAGTGTTCCTTAAAAGGGCTCTCAACGGCTTGGAGAGGGTTCTTGAACCGGAGCATGAGGAGACCATGAACATCCTCTCTTTCATAGGGGAGATCTATTTTCGTCAACATCATTATACTGAGAGCCTGGATATCTACAACAAGCTTCTTGCCGGTCGGGAGAAATTTTTTGGACCGGAGCATGATACGACCTTACAGGCCCTTAATCGGATAGGGGCCCTCTATTCTCACCAAGGTCAATATATTGAGAGCCTGAAAGTCTTCAAAAGGGTTCTGGCCGTCCAGGAGAAGCTTCTTGGGCCGGACCATGATACAACCTTGCAGGCTCTTGAGCAAATAGGAGGCTTATATTCTTGTCAAAATCAATACACCGAGAGTCTCGAGGTTCATAAGAAGGTTCTGGCCAGTCGGGAGAAAGTTCTTGGATCGGACCATGATAAGACCTTCCAGACCCTTGGTCAAATAGGGAGGCTCTATTGTCATCAACATCGATATACCGAGAGTCTGGAGGTCTTTAGAAAGGTTCTCATTGGTCGAGAGAAGATTTCTGGGCTCGAGGATGAAACTACTTTGCGAACCTTTGAGTGGGTTGGATACGTCTATTCTCATCAACGTCAGTATACTGAGGCCTTAAAGTTCTATCGGAAGGCTCTTGCCGGCAGAGAGAAGGCTATGTTGCCTAAGAATGAAGAGTTTTTGCGGACCCTTCAATCTGTTGGCAACTCTCATATCGGTCTACATCAATTTGCTGATAGCCTTGAGTTCCTTAAAAGGGCACTTCGTGGCCAGGAGCAGATTCTTGGGCCTGAACACAAAGATACATTGCTAACATATCAGTTGATTTGGAATGCTCACAAAAGTCTCGGCTACGATACGTCTGCCTTGTTGGGATTTACGGTAATTGATCCAGCATTGAGGAGCCCAGAGCGAGTCTATCTTGGGGCTACATGACTTGAATTCTTACTCTTTTCATGATTTTTCATCTCGGACTTGGAATCATTTCCTGTGACATATATAAATGGTACCATGGTGACTCGTTCAGAAATTTCGCCCCTGTAGGCATGCATGGGCAGTCATGCAATCACAGATCCTTGAGCGCAGGCCAGTGCTTCACAACCGATGCAGGTCCGAATACAAGCTTTTCCTGGATTTTGCCTGGCTCAACCGTAAGACGAACGTACTTGTCTCCAAGGAAGAAGTACGCATCACTCGGGAATCCCGGGGCGGGGATCACCGCATCAAGACGGTGAATGCCTGAGCTAGCAAGAGCTGGCCAGTGAACGGCGATAGGAGCAGGACCACTGACGATGGAGCTTTCGGCCTTTCCAGGAGTCAAGGTGATGCGCGCAAAGCGGTCCTTGTAGAACACGTAGGCATGCTTGGGCTCCCCTGGGGTGGGCAAAATCGCATCGATGGTAGGGAACCCTGCCTTAACAAGCGAGGGGAAGTTTTCGGCGATAGAAGCTGGACCGAAGACAACCTTGTCCTCTTTGAAATTGATTCGAGCGTATTGAAGGCCACTGAAGACCCAGATTGCACCTGTGCCATCAGGAATTGGGATAACCGCGTCAACCATGGTGAATCCGGCTTGGACTAAAGACTTCCAGGCCTCGAAATACTTCTTTGGGCCCCAGACAATCTGGTCGATGGTCGTGTTGGGAATGACCTTGATGCAGGCATAACGGTCTCCCTGGAAGACATATCCATTGCCATTCGAGGGCTCAATATACCCAGCGTCAATGGAGGCTCCAGAAATAGTGAATAGGCTTTGGAGTTGTTTGATATGGGAATGGAGGAAATGATTGTTTACCTACGTAATAGTGAACTTGATGACTAGAACATCTCGTGGACAAAGGGGTATATATAGCTTTTGGTCTGATTTCGATTGATAATGGCTATGTCACCTGCTACGCTCTCCCGAGAGGACGTAGGTAGAAGAGAATATGACATCAATCATTTGGCACTTAAGATATAGTACAACAACTCAACAAGCCAGGCTACGTGTACTTACTTCCCGATCATATGCATGATGAAATATTTGCACATGGATCCTCTGCTCTCTCTCTCTCTCGTGTACATATTCTACTCGCATACGATGTGTACAAAAGACAGTCTAAGTGATGCAAGATATGACAAGATCATTACACCGCCAGATAAAATTGTCAGACTCATTATACCCTACAACCTTGAAGTCATATGCGAAGGTTACCTAAGTCGCTAAAGCTTTGCTCCGTAGTTCCATGACTGAAACATATATTGAAACCTTGGAAGCGAATGTCCCATGTCATAAAATCGATACAGCAGTTCTCGAGGTCTTTTACGTAACAATAGGTAGAAACAGTACGGAGTACAGAGCAGTAGGCCTGCATTGCTTCTTGTTTACTCCGTACCTCTCGTTGCGGCGTGGCCCCTCGAACTCCGCTTATGATGCATCCCGAGGTCTCCCACACGCTGTGTAACATGCTAAACTCAATCCAATCAAATTACTCTCTGAGCCCCACTTTTTCTTCAGTCCACGGGTCGATTACGGAGTACCCGTCCCGCTGTCCGTCTGTGACGAGACAGGTACGGAGTATATGTAGGCAAGTCAATTTTGAAGCTCGAGACCAGAGGTCTGACAAAGTGGAACGGGTGCATATTCCGTTGCCTGACTAAAATGAGATACCTGTTGTTGCCGTTCGGATCTGCGGGCAAGTCGGAATGATGGCGGTCAAGCATCGCCTTCGCGGCCATCTCCACGAGAAGAGCCTAAACTCATCCTCATCCCACGGGACATTCGACGAGGCATGCTATTGTTGAACGGATCATTTGGACTGACTGCATTGACCATTTTTTGGTTTTGTGAACGATTCCTTTTCAGCGTTATCCATGCGTCCAACACTCAGGAAGCCCTGGCTGCCGTTGGAAGTGGCCCGTGCGTCGTCAGGACTGATGAGATGCAAAAGAAAGGCAACTCGATCTCGGCACCACTCGTGGGCCCGTGGAATTTGTAGCGCAAGTATCGAACGAGGCACAGGAGCAGTAGGTAACATCAATTGCATGTTGCTGTCGGAGACGAGAAGAAAAGGAGGAAGGGCGGGAAGCTCCCTATCTCCATCTATCTAGCAGGCGCGGGGACCCTGCAAACCAGACAAACACCGCTGCCGACAGCAAGCGAGGCTGTCTAGCCTCTCCCTCCACATACGCCATGCTTCCATTCTCCTTGTTGTTGCCCCTGTCGTCTTCGCTGGTTGATATTAGGTCCATACGTTTTCTCCTATCGTGTGGCTCTGTATTGACGTCTGTAACCCGCGTCGAGAAACGGCACGGGGAAGAAGACCCGTGACCGTCTGGCTGTCAACGAAATTGACACCATGCAACAGACCAAGCCTGGGTGCCAAGCCTCGAATCGAGGAGAAGGGAGAATTCTCCCAGGATCGTGGATCATGCACGCCTAGCGGAACTGGGTTCAGGGAATGTAGCGCAACCTGATCCCACATCGCACCTCCGATAATCAAAGCTCTTTCAACAAACGAATCCCAGTGAAATCTTCAGACCTGTCAATTTAGATAGGCAATCATGCATGGTGACATCGATTCCCAAGGCCTGCCCCAATTCGTGCTTGGATTATTCGCTCGAAAACAACCGCAAAGATCGGTAAATCCGGCATCACTAAGAGCACAGCGAGGCCTGGCTACCGACAGATTCATTCCTGCAGATCGACGATCTGATCGACAGATATGTTTACTCTTGGTGTACAGCAAACTTTGGTTTTCCGCTCCTTTGGCCTTTCATATCCTACTACTAATAAGTATTCACTGAGCAGAGCATCCAAAAACAAGGGCATGGGCCGTATCCGAATCTGCGTGTCGCAAAATAAAAACTAAGCTTGCTGTATTGAATGACCTCGAAAAGTTGCTATTAAATCGTAAGAAAGCTCCGGGTGACTTTTAACAAGAATATGGTATATTGATGATATTCCTAGAATTTTCCAAGGTTTTATTCACGTTGAAACTGCATATATGGGAGTTCCTAGTACTCGCCGTCGTTGACAGAGTCAATGTGCTGTTGGGCCTCATACTTGGCCCGCTCGCGGTCAATGAGATCCAGTCCCTTGGTCTCGACCTCGCGGTCAATGAAAGCACCAGCGAATCCAGCCATGATCTCCTTGGCCTGTGCATGGCTGTCAGGGGGACCTAGTTGTTTCACATCAGGTGTCAGTACCACATTATTCACCACAGCGAATCGATCAAAAGGATGTGGATAATTACCGTTCTCGGCAACGTGGTTCTCGTAGGCCTTAGCGGCCTCGTAGCTGGCAGCACCAGCAATCAGCTCATGGATGAGGCTGGGGTCGTGCTCTTCAACTGGAGCGCTGTTGTACTCATTGTAGCTATTCGCCTGGTCGGAGTCGTCTATTTAAAGTAAGCTGGGATTCAGTTGACAGTTCGGGCGATTATCAGAAATACGATTTTAGGTAAGAACTTACCACTGAACCAACCCATGATGAGAAATTATAGTTGATGGTTTAAATATGCGAGGATGGAAAATGCCTTGGCGAAAGAGAGAATAAAAGGAGTAGAGAAGAGGGTGATGAGGGGTTTATTTAGGACCTCGGGAGGGGCTCTCGGAGTAGCGTACAAACAACTCATCGTCATGTCCACAGCTCTTGATTGGTGATGTGTCTCCATTTTGGTTGTTCTCCAAATCACATTAAGCTACCTTGTTGACACCCGAAACTTGTGAGATCGATCTCATCTACAGTATCCCATAAATCCACATAGCAGCTTCACACTGGCTTCACCGCGTCTGCTCATGGTATCAAGAGTCCATACAGTGTGCACGGAGTATATTATACCTGAATCCCATGGCTTTGGTGGCGACCAATGACGGCGATCCGTGGGGTTGTTCCCTCTGAGTGGGGCGAGGGAGCTACTAGCTAGAGGTGAGAATTGAGGGGCACGGAGGGGCGTGGTAAACACTGCCACATTCAATTTAACACTTGGTTGGAATGGATAGGAGAGTCATGAATGAGTTGTGTCTTTGTGTTGACTGGATTACTCCGTACAGCGAAATCATTTGTCGATCCTACAGAATGAGGCTATCGTGATCCAACTGCGCCTCAAGTTACAAGCAGGCTGCACAACGTTGCGCATTATGCGAAAAGAGTGAATTCCGAAACTTGATACGCAGGTAGATTTTCATCTTTGATCTTCATTCTCAATTTGTACCATAAAGAAGTTGTTCATTTCGCCCATGGATTCGGCTCAATGGCTCCAGAATAAGACCGCAATTCGAATCGCCAGCTGCCGATCGGCTTCCGAAACCATTTGCCAAGATAGACAAGCTTTGGCGACACTTTTCTTGGGGGAGCCCAAATGTGGCGTGTGCAAATAGCTGATTGGAGGTCACTCCATACGAGTGGGGTTCAATGCCAACGGTGAGTTTCCCGATGTGTTGTTCATCTAGCTTGATCGAGTTGAGACGACGGCTAATCACCCCATGCTTTGCATGGTATTAGATTTTACGCAACATGGAACAATTCTTAGATGGAGGACCTTGTGATTCTCGGTGCGCCTCCATTGGATGCTCAATTCATCGGTTCCCTACCCATGGGACCCCATAGAGAGGATTGACCGAGGACTAAATAGAACCACGCACTTGGAGGCGCACACACGGACAACGGGCGCTAAACCTCTCCGGGACTGTTTTGCCTCAATGTTCCATCCAACATCCGATATGGTGGTAACTCGTGACACGAACGAGCCCAGCTCGAGACTAGTTCTCAGACGGAGATATGTGCAAGTCCTCAGATAAAAAATGACGTGGGAAAAAAAGAAAAAGGCATTAGCCCAACCCCTTAGGGGTTTGAGTCCTGCCCAACACGAGGAACACGAAGCCCTTGAAGCTAATTCTCATAGGCTAAAGCTTATGCTCAGAAGTTTTCACTCAATCATGCAGGTTGTAAACCGTCAGGTCTTGACTCATCCCAGGAAGCACATAGACAGCACTTTCCTTGCCTTCAAAGACCTTCAGCTTCTTCTCGCCTCGAAACTCGAGCCCTATCTTTTCCAACACTCGCGCGCTGTGACGGTCGTCCTGGGCACAGAATCCGAATGCTGAATCCACTCCGAGTTCCTTGCGTGCATACTCCAGCAACGCAACAGCCGCTTCAGTGGCGTATCCCTTTCCCATCTCCTCGGGCAAAATCGCATACCCGATGTCAGGTGCCAGGTATGAATCCGGGCTGTTGCCCTTCATAAGTGAGACGGTACCGATGGGAGTACATTCTGATAGGGTTGCGTTTTCATCCGGCTTGAGCGAGACTAGGAAGATGCTGTAATTGTTTCGGGCGTAGTCAGAGTGGACGCGATTGCGAATGAAATTCGAGGCTTTCTCCGGGGTGTCAATTCCAGTACGACCAGAAGTTTTGATGAACTCTTCAGTGTTCCATAGCTTGACGAGGAAGGCACAATGTTCGGGGTCGTTAGGTAAAAAGTAAGAGATGTAGAGGTGTTCACTGGGAATTGAGAAAGTGGGCGATGCCGTGAATGGAGCTGATGAAGAAGACATGTTCGCTGAGTTCTTGAAGCACTGTAGTGCTGTGAGAAAAGCGGTCTAGTAAAAAATAGGTGGGAGGAAATTCGTAGAGGAAAAGCTGATTGTAGAACCGCGTATTTGATCTTGAGATGTAACAAACTGAGTTCACACAAGAAAGTCACGCTGTAAGAACAGTAGTCTGGTGAGAAATATATTGAGCGAAGAAGTTCGTGAATGAGGGAAGAAGATGACCAGAAAGACGTATTTGGAATCTGCAGGTGCAACGAATAAGCTGTGAGGAAATTTGTAGAGAAACGAACAATGCAGTCAAAAGAGAAATAGATTGAACTTGAAAATTGTAATTCTTTGTTTGAGTCAATCCACAATAAGCCCTAGTTCAAATTTGAATCTACGATAATATAACAATAATAGAAATTGCGACTCGGAACTACCGATTTCGCTGTTATCCGGACAAGAGTCGGGCTTCCGGTGGATTGCAGGGATGTCGATAAATGGTGAAAGTTTGCTATCGGCTCGCATGTAGTCCGTACGAAGTCGAATGAACTCCACAAAATCGCGTTTTTAGAGCAAGAAACTAAGCAGTTTGGGTCTATTTTAAAATCAAAGGTGGTAAAACCTTTAACTCACCTTGAAATATTAGTGCCGCGTAATTTAACATGGCTACAGGACCGAGAAAAGCACAGAAAAGCGATTCATTCAGCCGCATGCAATAAGACTTCCGTGCTGGGGAAGGTGTGTAAGAGGGTGTGCATCTCTCTTGGCACCCCGATTATTTTGATGATACTTTTACAAGGCACAGATCATTTTGGAGGGAGACACAAGATTGCGGGGTAAGATGCCTCTGTTGTTTCTAAACAGAGAATGATTGAGACTATGTGGCGTCCGTCAAAGCGTCCTGAAAATCAGTCAAGACACGTCCTGCGACTACGGAGTACACCTGACAAAAAGAGCAATTTTGAATGAGGTCTCAAGTACACACATCACTTTAAGCTTTAAAGAGGTCAAAGGTTGGGAACCGACCTCGAGCTATATTTTGTTTAGTATCCATATCAATGGCCACCTTTTGTCTTGAAATCTCTGCTATAAAATCAAAGAATGGCTTGGTCACAGAAAGAAGGTAGTTGATCTGACGCCATTCCCCATTATTCTTGAAAAGTCAGACATATGATTCCTCTGATCTTACTCTACCTAACAATGTTTTGAATGCGGGGTAGCTGTTTAAGGTTCGGGTTTTAGTACTATTTTGCTATATAGACATCATCACTGGAGTTTTAGACCTCAGTTCGCTAGGAACTGTACCTATTTGGACCCGGGAGATAAACGGAACAGTAGGAGCACTTGAGTAGTATTGTAGCTGAACTAATCGTTGAGGTGTGCAAATCTTAGCTCTTCCCTGTCTAAATACAGGAAGTGGGTCATGTGTCTCCCTAAGCGAGGTTGGGTTTTAACACGCAGATCGCATTCCCTATGATGTATGCGTGCCTGTCCGCGCAAGTCCCACAGACTTGCCGGAGTACATGATTCCAGGCCTTCTCAACATGACAGTCCCCACCTGGAGTCCCGATCCATGCATACGATCTTATGCTTTTGTGAAGCTTAGTGTCGTCAGTGCTTCGCATCGTCGTCTAGCGCCTTGTTCAACTCTTTCTGGTAGTCCTCTTGCGCCTTCCTCAGATCCTTCTGCAAGTCTTCCATGTCTTTCCGCAGATCCTTCATCTTGTGGTGAGAGGGACCCTGCTGCATGTGCTGGGAAACACGATTCATTTTGTCCTGAAGCTCTTCTACCTCCTCCTGCCTTTTCATGACAGACTTTCTATTGTGATGCAACTGATTCAGTGGATAGAATTGACTTGGCGGATAAGGACCTTGCGGAGGATATTGTTGATATGAATGTCCTTGCGGATATGGTTGCTGGGGGTATTGCTGCGGGTAGGGGCCGCCATTGGGAGGGAAGCTCTGTCCACTTTGATGCTGGTGCTTCTTATAGGCGTCTTGAGCAATAGAACCAGCAATCGCACCACCGATGGCTCCAAGGAAGCCGTGATTGGCCTTGTGTCCAGCAAAACCACCGACAGCACCACCAGCGAGGGCACCAGCAAAGCCACGTTCGTCGTCCTGGCCCTCGCCAGGGGCGAGTGGTTGCTGTTGCTCATTATAAGGTTGAGGATACTGATTCTGAGGCTCTAGGTTGTGTTGCGAATATGATTGCTGATATTCTTGGGGAGCGCCCTGGGTGGGCGGAGGCCCAGAGTAGCCATACCCCTTTTGGGGGGAGTTCCGTAGTACTCTGCATTCATTGTTGCTGGTGGGGATCAAGAAAATTTAAGGTAGAATATAAAGTGTTGAAAAGTAACGGATGCTTAATATACCATTACACTCCGGCAGGGGAGCAACCTTTAAATATTTGAATTCAAGAACCTCATCTAGCTCCAGCAACTCAATTTCCTTTTAAGGAAGACAGTGCGAGCCTATTCTGTACTAAGTTCTTGTTCCTCATTGGGCCACTTTTTAGCCCCCATTATTCATTCCCCACTCATTCTGGCCCCCGGGTCAGGCTTGTGCCGTCTATGGCTGTGTAAACTACTCCGTGACTCTCCAGGATATCTACTTCATGATAAAAACCCCAGTTACGAACATCCGCGTATATTTACCAACTGATAGGCTGCAATATGGCCTGCATGCAAATTGACCATAGCTCGCGGCACTTCCAGGTATACCTTGGCAAAAACATTTCGAGGGCCGGTACGGAGACTCCGTACACCTTGCCCCAGTGGTAATATTCGGTGGTAAAAATACCTTGTTATATGATCGGCGGCAAGAAAGAGACGAGGGGTGTATTGGAAAAAGGTAGGGGGTGGGAGGTACTATAGTTGTAAAATAAAGAACATCGAATATACCTGGGCGGCATGAGGGGCTCGATAGAACCACGCACGGGAACGCATACGACAAAGAATGCCAAGCCCTTCTGGAACAAGTTAATCTGAAAATCTTCATTCAACATCCGATATGGTGTAGTGGCTAACATCGTCGTCTCTCACACGACAGCCGGGGGTTCGATTCCCCCTATCGGAGTTCTCTTTTTGTGTTTTTGTCATTCACCTGAGGTGCCCAGGTGGACGCCCAGTCAAATCAATATGCCCGGGTGGTCATTCAATTCCATAGAGGTATAGTACACTGATGTGATCGCTAATGGGCGAGGTGCAGTGAAGCATTTCGGGAACGTCGGAAAATGGTCCATGTGGACCTTAGCGTCGCTTTGGTCCAATCAGCTTACAATCTCAAGCCTGTCGCTGGCCAAGCTCAATACAAACCATGCCATCACTTTGGAGGTTGCCTTGTGTTGTTGTGTATTCAATCTAATTCATCAGTACTCCGTACCAAGGTTGCTATAGGCTCGTCAGGGCAACAATTTGAGATGACATAACCGATCACGTGAAAACTATCAACATCAGAGCCGCGCCGCAAACATCTCTCCCTTCAACAATGCTACCCAAGCCCTCCTCACATACTTACCGTCGGAACTCCAATGCCTGGGAGAAGGATTTCTTCGATATACCCGACGAACCATGCCTTTCAGTGGTGAAGCGCCAGCTTCGGCGTCTCCGAACGTGGGTAGTACTCGCCGTACTATTCCTATTTCTCATGTGGCACCGACGTGAAAGTCCACCGCCGTTGCCCCTACCACACATACACTACGACGAGGTCGATTGGTCACGATTCGCCTACACTCAATATGCCACCAACGAAGTGTACCTCTGCAATTCACTCATGGTTTTCGAGGCTCTGGAGACCCTAGGGAGCAAAGCCGAGCGCGTGCTCTTCTATCCCGAAGAATGGGATTTGATCGTGGAGGATGAATATGATCGCGTCAGTGAGCTGCTCCTCATGGCGCGCAGTCGATTCCGTGTCATGGTGATCCCGATCAAGATCGAGGGCATAGATCCAACAGGTGAGCATGGTCCGATTGGCCTATTGGCATTGACTAACAATCACAGGCCAACAATCCGAGGCCTCTTGGGAATCTAGCCTCACTAAACTGATGGCCTTTGGCGAAGCCAACTACGATCGCGTTATTCACCTCGACTCGGACGTCTTGCTTCTCCAAACGATGGACGAGCTATTCTTCCTCCCACCCACAACCGTCGCCATGCCGCGCGCCTACTGGCTTCTACCGGACAAATCACTCTCGTCTCTGCTTGTCGTCATCGAACCCTCCTTCCGCGAATACACCCGTATCACAAATGACGCTATCCCGGCTAAAAACGGCCAAGTCGACGTCAACACCACAGATCATCGCTACGATATGGAACTGTTGAATGCCCGGTACGGGGACTCGGCGATGGTCTTGCCGCATCGTCAGTATGGATTGCTCTCTGGCGAATTCCGGACAAAAGATCATCGTCGGTTCCTGGGAAATGACGACGAGGTCTGGGATCCCGATCACGCTCTTGCGCAGGCGAAGTTCGTCCATTTCTCGGATTGGCCTCTGCCGAAGCCTTGGATCATGTGGCCGCAGGAGCTCTTGGCTCAAGAACAGCCTAAGTGTGATCACAACCCTGGAACACCGCGGGAGAGTGGGTGTCGGGATCGGGAGATCTGGAAGATGCTTTATGATAAGTATCGCAGAAAGCGCAAGGTATGACTATGAGTTGAGTCCATGTGAGATGAGAACTTTACTAACTTTGGTAGGATGTGTGCAAACTGCTTAGCTATCCGGCGCCCGTTTGATCTTTCAAGTTTTGTAGCATAACATATATTGGCGTCGGATGAGCTTGGTAATAATTTTGTACAATGACATTAGACATGAATGACCTGTAATGATCGATAGACAAGTCTGGAGCCGGGCCAGCATGTGGGTATGGCTCAGAAATACCCAGTAACCTTGGAAGCTGAAAGATATATCTCGTAAATCCAGACATACCTGGAGGTGCGCATCACCATACGGGCAAAACCTTTGGAGCGATAAATAGATTCAGCAAGAGATGCAATCCCATGTGGAAAGTCAAGGCCTATACACGACTGCATGTTGGTGAATCTAGCACCTGGGCATTCGCATCCCTGCTTGGGATCCAATTTGGGGTCACTCAGTACAAACCATTAGGCCGCTCAAGTGGTTCCAAGGTTGTGGATGGTCCTGCATGTCAAGTGGTTAGAACCAATGCCTTGATTAACCCGTATAGGTAGCCATGGACATAATCAAATCGAAAGGTGGCACCAAAGCGATCTCAGTGTCAGAATAAACATCAAATGGATATCTTCGAACAGTGGTATATACAGCAAATTTATCCTCTCAAGCCGCCTCACGCGTATCCCATTCCGCGTCGCCACCAATTCCACACCTCCCTTTTCGCCATGATTGCTCCAAATTCTTTCACACTGTCAACCTCATCTAGTCCAAGCGCCAAACCGGTAATCTCCTTCTTCGTCTTGGTTTTCTCCCTCCCTTTCAATTCCGTTTCACCCTCCATCTCGACAGGCCCTGGACGAGTAACCAATTGAAAGTCCTTATATCGCAACTTCCGCACGACATCGACCCACATCTCAACGCGTTCCTTGCCCTGGCCTTCGACGTACATGATCCCCGGACAGCCGCCAGACCGGAGCAGGACCGAGCATTGATGAGAGTCCGCGGCTCGTTTGAGGGCCGCGACCTTCTTGCGAGAGGTGATGTGGTGTGTGCGGATCAGCGCATTGTAAAGACCTTGCATGTTGAGGGAGTGACGTTCGTTGGATTTGGAAGTTGATGCCGTCACAACCGCGCTAAGCCACATTGGGAAAGAGTCTACTGCCTGAGGAATCTGGCGTCCACAGATCGAAAGGTCTCGCCATGTGCAAAAATCCCCGAACCCCTGGAGCTGCAGGACAATGCATTGCAGTGCGGGGGGTTGACAGCAACGCACGGCCTGGAGAATTGGCGGTCAACCTGTCATTTTGATGTCTACTGCATGTTTGAGATGTGCACATGCATTGCTGCATTGCTGGGCTACGGTTCACATTGGAAGATGCAGCCCAACTCAGTGCGAGACAGGTTGGAGGATGACCAGGTACTAACATGGAACATTCTCGTCAGGATCTTAACATGAACCTCGGAGACATCTGGAGGCGAACAGTCTGACTCAGAACCAACGGCAGGAAGATGAAGCCGGAGTCTGGGACCAGTGGATCACTTCTCGCCTTGGCTTCCCGTTTCTGCTAAACAATCGCGCGGTCGCCGCGGGCTCCGCAGAATATTCGATCTTTCTTTCTTCCGACCGGAAATCTTCCCGAATTATCAGACTGAAAAAATTCGAGGTGGCCTGTTCGCTCCAGCCAGCTGCCAAAATCGGCCAATGTATCGCAGTCAATCGTCCTCGGCCCCTCATGACCGGATCCCCCGATCGATGATTGGCGTGGATGTGCATCATAAACATGTCGGACCCATATTTATTCAGGCGCCATGATGATTTTGCTTTTTAATCGACGGCGGGATTGGTTGTGCCTTGGCTTCCCGATTAGTTTAATTCGGACCACGAGTGGCTTCTATATAATTATATTGTTCCCATCTACATCTTCCCTCTGGCTATCTCGAAGAATGATCTCTGACTTGACCTGATCGCGCATTATTCAACCTTGGGTCACTATGCCCGCTCCACTACCCCACCCGAAGCATACACAGTCGTTTGCTTCGGAGTCGCATTCTGATGGACCACCACGAGTCCAAGTCTCCCATGAAGATGAAGATGCTATTGCCGATATCCATCGGACTTTGACCGAGAAGACTGCCGAGGATAAGTATCCGGAGCCGCATTCGTCGTTCGACAAATTCCTTGAAGAACAGGCCCAGGGCAGGAAAAGATCTAATCTGGGTGTTTGTTTCCAGTCGCTCTCAACATGGGGCGAAGGCGGCAGCCATGTCGATGTCAAAACACTTGGCACTGCGCTGTGGCGCACTTTGACCATGCAGGATATCTATGAATGGACTATCCAGCCTTGGATCTCCAAAAAGAAGCCCGAAGATGGCCGCCAGCTCATCCGGGACTTTTCCGGTGTAGTACAAAGCGGCGAAATTATGCTGTGAGTGATATCGATCCAGAAAGTCTGTAGACACACAGTTCTAACAGAATGTAGTGTCCTCGGACGCCCCGGCGCGGGCTGTTCCACCTTCCTCCGCACAGTCGCAGGCCATCACAACTCATTCCTGGGCGTGACTGGCAACATCGACTATTCAGGCCTGAGCCAGGAAGAAGTCCAGACACACTACCGCGGCGCGGTGGCATACGTCCCGGAGGACGACGTGCACTTCCCAACCCTGAACGTCCGCCAAACGCTCGAGTTTGCTCTTCAGAGCAAGACGCCCAAGCGGTACCGCGAAAGAATTCCTCGGTACCTCGAAATCTATGGTCGTGTGTTTGGTATGTCGCATACCATGAACACCCTGGTCGGAAACGAGTACATTCGCGGTGTATCTGGCGGAGAACGCAAGCGTATCTCTATCATCGAATCACTCGCCACTGATTCATCAGTCACCTGTTGGGATAACTCAACAAGAGGACTGGACGCCTCCTCCGCCCTGGACTATGCGCGCAGTCTACGGATCATGACCGACACATGCGGCAAAGCGACACTTCTAACCTTGTACCAAGCTTCGGATGCAATTTACGATCTGGTTGATAAGGTCTTGCTCATCGATGAAGGACGCATGTTATATCAAGGCCCCGCAAACGAAGCCAAGGCCTATTTTGAGGACCTCGGGTACGAATGTGCGGATATGCAAACCACCTCCGACTTCCTGACCAGTATCACACTTCCCGATCGTCGTCGATTCCGTGCGGGCATGGAGGCTCGCGCACCCAAGGGCCCTATTGAGCTCGAAGAGACCTTCCGGAAGAGCGCCGCGTTTGCCAAGATCGAAGCTGCCGTTGATACCTACGAAGATCAAAAGGTCGGCAGATCTTCGGGTGTGTACCCGACTGACTCGGAATGTGGCAGCGTGGAAGAATTCAAAAAGAACATTCAAAGTGATAAGTCTCGTTTCGTCTCCCCGAAGTCGCCTTACACGATTTCGCTGTTCAGACAGGTCGTGCTCTGTGCTAAGCGCCAGATGTGGCAGCTTAAGGGCCACATGAGCCCACTTTACATCAAGTTGATCTCATCCGTGATTTACGGGTTACTGATTGGCTCGATGTTCTACAACCAGCCTCAAACCACCGAGGGAATGTATTCACGAGGTGGTGTGCTCTTCTACTCCTCTATCCTACTCGCCTGGTTGCAGATGTCCGAGTTGGAAGAAGCGATGCAGGGCCGCGATATCCTGAGTCGGCAGAAGAAATTTGCCTTCGTTCGGCCCAGTGCCGTTTGTATGGCCAGGTTTCTATCTGATTTGGTCACTACCGCATTGTTGACCTTCTTATACTTGATCGTTATGTATTTCCTCTCCGGTTTACGGGCTGATGTAAGTCACCTCCACCAAGGCATTGAGCACGAGCTAACAGATATAACCAGGCCGGCCCCTTCTTCATCGATTTCCTCTTCATTTACACTTGTACTGTCTGCCTGACTGCACAGTTCCGTGTTTTTGCCGCCTTATCCAACAACTTTGAAGTTGCCTTGCGCTACTGTGGAGTCTCTGTTCTCTTCTGTATTGTTTTCGGTGGCTACGTCCTGTCTGTTGACAAGATGATTCAAGATGTGCCTTGGGTTGGATGGCTGGCGTATGTAACTCCAGCTTTATACACCTACGAGGCCGTCATGGCCGCCGAGTTCCACAACGTCAACTTCGCATGCGCGACTGGATCCATCGTCCCCGCCGGCACGGAGTACACCGACCTTGCCTACCAGACTTGCGCCTACGCTGGGAGTAAGATTGGCAGTACGGTAGTCAATGGCGATGATTACTTGGCTGTCAAGTATGGATTTTACTACAGCCATGTGTGGCGGAACTTTGGTATCCTATGCCTTTTCACCGTGGCTTTCATTGTCATGACTTGCTGGTTGAGCGAGGTCATGGAGTGGGAGCTGGACAGTGCGGGTCCGATTCAGTACAAAGGGTCTTCGAACTTGTTCAGCCGAAAGAAGAATGCACCGGCTGATGAAGAGAAAGCGCCTGTTTCGGTGGATGCTAGTGCACCCCCTGCCGCTCAAGGCGGCAAAGGAAACCAAGTTTTGGCAGCTACGGAATCCACATTTTCGTGGTCTGACTTGGAATTGAACGTCCAAATCGGCAAAGAAACCCGCAAGCTTCTCGATGGTGTGTGTGGATACTGCAAACCAGGATCCTTGACTGCTTTGGTTGGCGCATCGGGAGCTGGCAAGTCTACATGTGAGTTATTTCTACCTCCATGAACATATTTTACTGGTGCTAACAAGACATAGTGTTGACTGCACTCACACAAAGAGAAAGCCCCGGAGTTCTCTCGGGGTCACTCTTCGTGGATAGCCGATCCATCGATCAGTCATACAACCGCCAGATTGGATACTGCCAGCAGATGGATATCCACGACGAGAGTAGCACGATCCGTGAAGCCCTTGAGTTCTCTGCTCTTCTTCGCCAGAGCAACGAAGTCCCTAGAGAGGAGAAGCTGGCATACGTCGACACTGTTATCCAAACTCTTGATCTGGTGGAGCTTCAGGATGCACTCATTGGCTCCTTGGACATCGAAAAGAAAAAGCGCGTCACTATTGGTGTCGAGCTCTGTGCTCGTCCCAAATTACTGATGTTCCTGGATGAACCAACCAGTGGCCTGGACAGCCAAGGAGCTAGCAACATCGTTGCCCTCCTCAGACGACTTGCCAACCAGGGATTAGCGGTGCTGTGCACCATTCACCAGGCTAACCAAGAACAGTTCGAAGAGGTACGAGTTTCTCCCCCAATGTTCAAGGCCCCAAGTCTAACGAATCCAGTTTGATCGCGTGCTCGCTCTCAGTCCCGGTGGACTCACCTACTACTTCGGCCCTGTCGGCGAATCCGGTAGCGCGATCTTTGATTACTTCTCTCGTCACGGCAATATTCCCGAGAAAGTGACCAACGCGGCAGACTTCTTGATCGAAGTTGTAGTCGGCGGCATGAAGGAGAAAGAAGCAGATCAAACTAATTGGCCTTCTATTTGGCGTAACTCAAAGGAGTACGCCGACGTCAAGAAAGAGATCGCCTCCATCCGCGCTGACCAAAGAAACCCACCATCTCTCCCTCCTGCTCAACCGCCTCTCACCACCCAGACGTTCCTCCTGACCCAGCGCACCTGTCGCCAGTTCTGGCGCACGGCCGAGTACCCATACTCGCGACTCTACTCATCTTTCCTCCACGCGCTTATCAACGGCCTTACCTACCTGCAGATTGGAAACAGCACCACAGACATGCAGTCGAAGGCTTTCTCCTGTTTCCTTGTTCTTATGCTGGTCCCTGAGTTTATCAACGCCATCTCTATGCGCTTCATTCTCAACCGTGACATCTGGCTGGCGCGAGAAGGGCCAAGTGGTGTGTATGGCTGGATCTCTTTCTGCACTGCACAGATTGTCTCGGAGATTCCATACACGGTGGTCGGAAGTGTGATCTTCTTCGTTCTATACTACTTCCTTGTTGGCCTCCCCCTGGGATTCGCCGCTGGATACAGTTTCTTGATGTTCTTCCTCTTCTTCCTTTTCGCCACATCCTGGGGACAGTGGATTGCTGCCATGAGGTAAGTTCCCCTCTCTCATCACACAATGTTCATTACTAATAATCACAGTGCCGATTCCATGATCGCTGCCACCCTGATGCCATTCTTCATCATCATGTGTGAGCTTTTCAATGGTATCCTCCAGCCTCACAGCCAGATGCCCGCTTTCTGGAAATACACCATGTACTACATCACCCCATTCACATACTGGATTGGCGGTGTTCTTACATCCATTCTCCGTGGCACGGAAGTCGTCTGCACCCAGAGTGAATTGACTATCTTCGGGAGCCCGCCCAATGTCACCTGTGGCGAATATGCGGGCGCCTGGTTGGAGTCGAAGGGTGTAGGATACCTGTCCAACCCAGAGGGTACGGGAGAGTGTGGCTACTGTGAATATAGTGTTGGTGACGATGTGAGTTTCCCGCAGACCCTTGCAAGGGATGGTCGCTAATTTTCCCAGTATCTTTCCGGCATCGGTCTCGACTCTTCTAAGATTTGGCCCTACTTCGGTATCTTCTTGGCGTTCACTGTGACCAACTATCTCATGGTTTACCTGCTAGTCTATTTGCGGTCTGTCATGAAGATGAAGAAGTAGGTGCCCATGTGGACTTTTGTGCATATATAGCGTTAGCATAGCGAGTGGTTTACAATACAGGGCCTTTTCATTATCAAAGTACCCAAATAGGACACATCGACACCTAAGGCCCCCAATGAACAGTAATGCAGTTAGAAGAAACTCCCCTTTCAGCAGCAAAGTTGTGTAGGTCCGAGTGTCTTGACGTTGCACATTCCTCTGAGTCACTCCAAAAAGCTTGGCTCATGGGGCTCCGCGCAGGGCTGTTATCAATCAGTGGCCCTTTCGGAGATGCCGTGCTAAATTACCCAAATCGGTAACTCCGAGCCCGGACTTACCACATCCAACTTTGCCATCCCACCTCCGAGTCATATATCCAGCACCCTGTCCCTTTTGGAGATATCTGATCTTTTCTCATTCTTGTGCCTCTAATTGAGTCCCACTGAAGCTCTTACCTTCACTCCATGCTTCCCCGGAAAGGCGTTGTGTGACCAGCAACCCCGCCCCCTGTTGCACACACTAGCGCCAGGCCACAGCAATTCCGACAAACCACAAGAAAGATGTCAGCTCCTCAAGCGACAGAATTGGGAGGAACCCCTCCAGATGAAGTGATAGAGCCACAGCCATTGCGTCGCCGGCGCCCACCACTCTCGTGCGTGACCTGCCGGCGCCGCAAATTGAAGTGCGATCGCGCAAATCCATGCGGGCAATGCGTCCGCTCCAAAACAACAGATGAATGTGTCTTCACCGGCGCAGAGCCAAATACGAATCGGCGAATGTCACCACCTGCGTCGAGCTCAATGCGCAGCCCGGCAAACGAGCCGCGACCCGGGATGTATGTCTTCGACTCCAAAATGCCGCCCAAGACGGGATCGAAGACCTCATCTCGTGTTTCGAAACGACGACCGGATGAGCTTTCAGAGATGAGGCAGAGATTGAGGGCATTAGAAAATTCCCTCAAGTCGAATGTTCAGACGCCAGCGACGTCGGTTGATATGTATTCGGAGATCGACACGGCTAGCACGACGGAAAATGTGGGTGTTGACGATCGGGTGCGATTTTTGCCCGACGCCAGTTTTCGCGGGAAGAAGAACAAAACTCGGTACTTTGGTCGCAGTCATTACACTACGACGATCTCTTTTGTGAGTGTGGTTTGAATTTTACAATCGCCATGCGGTCGGTCGAATATGTATTTGTTGCTAATCGTATGGTAGTTTCAAGATGTCGGGGCTTTTTTGCGTCGGGGTCAGCACCGCGGACAAGGGAAAGACGTGGAGTACACCGACATGAAGCAGTTCAAGACGGAGCTTTGGTCGCGTGAAACCCAGGATCATCAGCGTGAGTTCCGTGAACAGGCGTTCAAGCTCAATGAGATGGTTCCGCCGCGAAAGGTGGTGGACCTTCTTCTCCGTCTGTATCTCGATACGTTTGAGACGACATATCGCATTCTGCACACACCTACCTTTTTGAAGCAATATGAAGAATACTGGAACAATCCCCAAAATGTTGACTTGGGATTCGTCGCTCAGTTACTTGCCGTGATGGCTGCTGGTAGCTGCTTTTACGTCCCACCTCAAGGGCTGGACGACCGCGACATCTTCCAAAAGCCTGCCATCCGATGGATCATGGCTGTTCAGTCCTACATCTCTTGCACCTTTGTAAGTCCTGACATTGACTTCCACATGCTCCAGACTCAGTGCCTCCTGCTGGTGGCGCGTCTCGGAATCGCTAGTGATGGGGACGTAGCCTGGGCATCGGCCGGCTCACTTATTCGATCCGCGATGACAATGGGCCTTCATCGCGATCCTACCCGATTTCCCAAATCCAAGCCTTTCCATTCCGAGACACGTCGCAGGTTGTGGGCGACGATTGTGGAGTTAGATCTGATGATCGCTCTCGACCGTGGAGTTCCCCCGACCGTTGATCTCGATGAATGTGATTGCGATGCGCCGTCAAATTGGGATGACTCCGACCTGGTTCTCGAAATGGAGTACAATCCTGCACCTGGAACTACTACGTTCTGTACTCAAAACTTCTACCAAACTCTCCTTACAAAAACACTCCCTCTGCGATACAGCATTGCGAAACGAATAAACAGTCTTAGGTTCACCCTCTCCTACGACGACGCTCTTCGAATGGGCGAGGAAATCTCCAATGCAATGCAACACGCATCCAAAATCTTCGAAGATGACGCCTCAGCCATTCTCCCCGAAGACGCGCACCGCCACCGCTTCGCTCAATCGCTGCATCTCTTCATGATGCGCAAATTCCTCCTTGCTCTCCACCGTCCCTTCTCTCTCAGCGTTGTCAGATTACCCAAATGCTCATATTCCCGAAAGATCTGCCTCGAGGAGTCCCTCGGCATTCTCTCCCAGATGGAGATCCCTCTCTCCCCAGAAAACATCCAGTACCCACACATCACCCAACTGGGCAGTGGAATGTTCCGCAACGAAACCTTCCACGCCGCCATCACCGTCTGTGTCGAACTATCGCTCCAAGCAAACGAACAGCGGTCTTCCGTCTCAGGCATGGAAGGCGTGAACTTCAGCGTCCTTCTGAGCATGATTCAATCCCAGCAGCTCGTCATGATGCAGGCTGTTGAGCGTGCAGCCGAGAGCTTCGGCAAAAGAGTCGCATGCGGTGGAAAAGGGAGCAAGCCATTCTTCTTCTTGAATATCATCTTAGCATCAGTCAAATCGCGCGTGAAGGGCGAAGATCCGATGTGCAAGGTTGAGGCTGCCTCGAAACGGGCCGTACGTATCTGCAGAGAGATTTTGAATGGTCATTCTTACCAAGATGCCCAGATTGCTGTTGATAGCAGGCCATCACTGGTGAGCCATCTTTCCTTGTTGCTGTCTGTCCGTTCTGAAAAGAAATACTAACTTTGATTCTGTCAGACTCCGATAGCTTCGGGACTCACCCCGTCGGCCACCACGCCAAGCGACTTCGATCCCGTTTCCTTTATGTATGGGGACTTCAGCGACTTTACTGTAAGCCTTTTTGCTCTCATTATTTATTGCCTCACTGACGTGTTCTAGCCCATGGAAATCGGCGGATGGGGTGATGGAATGGATCTCAATGGTTCGGAGCTATGGGATCCTGAGTTGTTTGCAAATCTGCCCACGTTCCCATGAATTACGTGCAACGTTCAATAATCATGTCTAATACAAGCCCCCATTGAGCTTTTGAAGTTTAGCTTTGGCTCTCTATCTTCAATGAGAAGAATGTCACATCTTGAGATTCCAAGGCTGAGGATAAACAGAGGATCAGTAGATCGATTCTCAGCGATGATGAGTAGGCAAGACGGACAGCCAGAGTGACAGCTCAAAGGAGATCGCGAAGTCAATGATCGCTCTCTTCCATTACTAACCTTGGAATCGAAATGAAAGATAAAGCTAATATATCACTACTCCTATTTATAAGCAACTATTATTGTCTTTTTACTCGCGCGATACTAAGCTTTGATTTTATTTATCTAACCAGCTACCGCTATTCATTATGTTGACTACATTGAGACCTAATCATGTATAGAATTGTATTGTTACTTTCTCCTTTTATTGAGTAGAGCTGAGAGCCTTGGATTGGATTAGTGTTTGTTGATGACAGAAGAAAGCCATCATCGAGCATTTATGATTGGTCTACAAAAGGCTTGGCTAAGTCATAGAAAACGAAATAAAGATTGTAGACTGATTGTAGACTGGTACAAACCTGGAAATCCAAACAAGACAATCAAGCAGAGAAACCTAAGGCTCCAGCAAACCTATAAATACTTCCCAACCGCCCTTCTTCCTTCTCTTCTCTTCTTTCTCCCAACTCTTCTTCTTGTTCCTCCCAAGTCATTAACTTCGTGCTTGACTTGATTTTCATTTCTCCATCCGCCCCATGCTCAAGTTGATTCTGATTTGACTCTTATCTCACTCACGCTGATGACCTCGTCTTGTACAACTCGACTTTGATCTCATCCGTATCCGACGCAGACCCCGCCCTTCGACTTCTCAATACTCAATATCACTCATCCACCACCTATTTCATCTCGCTTTCAGAGCAACCATGGCTCAGAAGTGGTTTCCCCAAACCAGGTACCGCCCTGGCTCGTTGTACAGCTTTCAAGCGCCAACCCAAAGTCACTGGCAAATTGAAGAGAGGCTCTCGCAGCATGACGAACAGCTAGACGAAGCCGATTACCAAGGCCCCATCCCAGAACCATCATCAGCCACAGCGACATTCCGTGTCCGAGACCTTGATCACCACGGTAGAATGGCTTACATGGGAGTGTTCATTCAAATTCCACATCTCGGCACTGATTTCGAGTCCGTCACCGTTCGGCGCCAACAAGCTGGCCAATGTGACTTTGGTGAAGTTGAAGCCTACAAGATATTCCACGCGAACAACGCCCAAATGACACCCACCCTCCTCGCGATCAAGGAACAAGTTCAAGGTGACGACGGTTTTGTTCCTGGGGGCTTTCTGGTCTTCATGGTGTACGAGAGGGTACCCGGAATCCGCCTTGCGGAGGATACCACAATTTATCCTGGATTCCCGCTACACACGTTCTTCACGAAGTTTGACCGCGCAGAACGGGACAAAATACGCAAGAAATTCGACAAAGTGTACCCTGCCTTCGCGGAAATGGATTGTTTTCCGGGTCACTGCTGGGCTGACCATCTTGTGTGGCATTCTTCCTCCGAAAGATTGTAAGTCGCTTCAGCACTGAAACAGAGCTTATTGCTAACTTGATCAGGTATTTCATCGACTTCAAAGGGGCACACCCAACCTATCGAGCAGTTTGGGCAAATCCCGTTTACCGAGACGGGAAGCTGATCACAGACGCAGCTCAGGAGCCAAGGTCCGAACACTGGCGGGATTGGGGTCTTGCCATCCCCCCCTGAGAATTCGAAGGAGCGAGGTAGACTCTCCGCATGGACACTGTGAATCTGCCTTGATATCCTATCGGCTGAGCTTGAGAACGGGTTTCGATATGGGGAACAAATCCCGTCTGCTTAATGCCGATTTCTAGCTGATAGACAATCAAAGAAAAATTGCCCGAGCACAAAAAGCGTGTAGAGAAGCTCGATGCGGAAGTTGTTGACTTTTGTCTATCCTCAGCTCAGGCAAAACTTTCGGTCCTCAAGAGTATCCTGTTGAACCTTGGAATCAAGCTAAGTCGCGAAACATGATTGGTCGAGGGAGCTAAGCCGTGAACAGAGAATTATATTTAGGGGATTGAATTGAGACACTGTCATTCATAAAATAGTATTGTTACTTTCTCCATTCATTTAGAAAAGCTCATAATAGATTGGTGTTTTGGTGACAGAAGCAAGCCACCATAGACAATGTAGACAAACGCAAAATTCAAACAATACAATACAATCAAACAGACAAACCTAAGGCTCCAGTAAACCTATAATTACTTTCCCACAGCTCTTCTTCCTTCTCCTCTTTTCCTTCCCCTCTCTTCCTTCTCCCAAGACTTTTACTTCGTGCTTGACTTCATCTTCGTTTCATTCATCCATCCAGCCTTTGACTTCGTCAGATATCTATCACTCATCCGCCTCGTGCTTCATCTCGTTTCTTCACCAATCATGGCGCAAAGGTGGTTCCCGTTCAGCAAATTTCATCCAGGCTCGGTGTATGAATTTCAAGTGCCAACAGCGACTCAATGGAAGATCGATGACAAGCTCTCTCAAGGTCAAAACCAGCGAGAAAAAGCTGATTCCCGCCATCCCGCCTTAAACCCCTCATCCGCAGCAACAACGTTCCGTGTCCAAGGCCTTAGTCGAAACGGTAGAGTCGCGTACATGCGAGTGATTCTTCAAATCCCACATCTTGAGACTGAATATGAGTCTCCCGACATCCGCCGCCAACAAGCTACCCTCTGCTATTCCGGTGAACTTGAGGCGTACAAGAAGTTTCACGCCCAAAATGCCGAAATGACACCCTCACTCCTCGCAATCAAAGAAGAAGCTCAAAAGGATGACGGCTTTGTTCCAGGGGGCTTCGTGGTTTTCGTGGTCTATGAGAAAGTACCCGGAATACGCCTGGCTGAGGATGACACATGTTATCCTGGATTACCGCTACACACGGTTTTCACAAAGTTTAACCGCGCTGAACGGGACAAAATACGCGAAAAGTTCAATGAAGTGTACCCTGCCTTTGCGGAAATGGATCACTACCCGTTTACAACCTGGGCGCACCATCTGGTATGGGACTCTTCCTCGGCAAGACTGTAAGTCCCTTCAAATCTGAATGGAGCTTTTCGCTGACTTAACCGCAGGTATTTTATCGACTTCAGAGGGGCACACTCTCTTTACGAAGCACTTGATGAACGTCCTATTCACCACAAGGGAGAGTTGATCACACACGTAGAGAAGGGGGCAAAATCTGACCACTGGGAAGCGTGGGGGCTTGCCATCCCCCCCGAGAACTTGAAGGAGCGAGGTAGACTTTCCGCGTGGACACTGTGAATCTGCTGAGCTTGAGAGAACGGGTTTCAATACGGGGAACAAATTCCGTCTGCTAAATGCCTATTTCTAGCTGATAGACAATCAAAGAAAACTTGCCCGAGCTGTTGGGAGGTCAGATGACTTCTTTTGTTTAGATAGCTCTCTCTCTCTCTTCCTTCTTTTCCCCGGTCGATCTTTTTTGCTTCACAGCCACAGTCTACTGCTTTGGAGCGAATCGTACTTCTCCTCCGTAGATCAGCCTGTTCTCACTAGTACCCGTAGTGCACTTTGGATTTTGTTTATTGCTACATACTCCGCAGCACCTTCAAAACTTTGCTGTCTTGTTTGCTATCTTGTTTACTATCTTGTTTACTATGTTATTTATTATATTATTTACTACATTATTTACTATATTGTTTACTATATTATTTGCTATGTTATTTGCTATGTTGTTTACTACATTATTTACTATATTATTTGCTATCTTCACTAACTTACCTTCTTGAAATTTCATACCATATAAGATAGCTGATATCATGACATATCTAAAAGAGGGTCACTTACGTTGAATTACTCCATATAAAATATATCGAAGAACTTGAAAGATTTCTTGTCAGAGTCAAAAATTATATTTAAGAGCGAAGTAACTAAAGATAACCACCTTTGAAACTCAACCATAGTATGGGAACTAGAGTATGTACGACAAAGATGTATATTGGGTATGTTTTTCCGAAAGCTTCCTGAAGCTGGCTGCGCGTACTAGTCACGAGACAACCTCGCGACCCCTCTCTAAGGAAGTTTAGGGAACATCAGTTTTTCTCTAACTAGGCGGACCTGAAGATTGCGCCTTTGAGCATTCTACTATCGTGAGAGGAAAAAGAAGAAGCTCCACCCGTCACCTTGTCGGTTGTTTTGCCTCTTCGTTTTAGATAAACCTTGGAAAGGATCTGGCACCGAGGCGGCCACGAACTTTGGCTACCGTTCGACCTCGATACAACAGGCGTCACCGATGTCTGTATGCGATCATTCAGTCATTTCCCTGACATCATCCGACGTCAGATCTGGGGCCAAATAAGCTTGGGATGAAGCGCGTCCAATCGTCGAGCCTCTATGGAAGCCGAGGCGCTCAAACATTGCACGGTTTTTCCCAACAGATGCATGTGAAGCTCCGATAAATGCTGCAATCTCGGAGCATTTGAAGGTGTGAGCTTTGAGCAGTCATAAGATATCGTTTGGGAAACCTCTTTAACGTTGGTCCATTTCGCTCCAGGCAAACACCGCCGCAACAAGAAACCGATCGCATTACAAAACGGGCGGGTTCGTCTTCTTCCCGGGAGAATCGGTCGTCGGAGAAAGCGTCACAATTATGATACCCCTGGAAATATGTGGTGACGTGCGGATTGAAGGACAGGTCGTGGATATAAATGTCCATTATCACATTTTGAGGACATCCCGGATTCAGGTACCCGAGGGCGCCAAGCTCGTCGTGCTACTGGTAGATTCTGAGTGAGTTCAATTCTTCGGCCTGGGTGAGAGGGTTGTTGTTTATCTATCAAACCGCGGCAATGCTGCGCAATGACAGCATCCATGAATATTATTTCGAGCGACTTGGATAACTGGTGCACTTTGAAAATGGTCGGTGATCTATCGGCCAGTTTTCTATTTTTCCATTTAGTAGTGAACAACCTTGGAATATATTCTGAAAGTTAGCAGGTCTTTGAGGAAACTACCTAGTGTAGTGGGAAGAGCGCGCTGGCGGTCAGACATCGCAGACAAGACGACGGGGGTGCTCAGTGCTCGGCGGGAACAGGAAGGCAAGTGAGGCCCCATGCGCTACCGGAATATGAAATAGATGCTGTTCATCGGAGAGGTGTATAATGCTTGGATTTCTAAACTATGGCATTGCAAACAAATGCTGCCAAAACTAGCCACAGTGGCGCACCTGGGAGGTGGCGCGGTTTCCCCATTACACTAGCTAGGTACAGGCCAAGTGTGGGCAGAACATGAATACCTAGGTACCGACGGGGCTCCTAACTCGAAGAAGTCTTGGGCTAGAATGCACAGAAGCAGTGGAGTATCACCATAACAGTTAAATTCAGTTCGCGTTGGCAGGCTTCGCAGGAGTTAGGCCACTTGAATCCCCACTTACAATATTTGACAGGATTTTCGAGGCTGGCTCAAAGAAGTGGCAGTCAAACGGACGTGCAATTTTACTGCGAGTAGGTGAAGTTTCCTGGAAAGGGCTTGAAAATGATTCCAAGTCCTGCGATGTCGAGTGCCAACAAGATGGCTCAGAAATGTTAAACTCAAATGGGCGAGCAACATTATCGTCTATAGATATCTTCGTTGCAAACTCGCAATGCTTCATCATGAATTTGTTACTGATTTTGATAATTGATGACGGTGCACCGATGAACCTCATTTGCAAATCTCGGGCTGAGATCGCCATCACATAAGACCAGGATCCCACGCCATCAATGTCGGAAAAATACTTCAGGCTCGATGTCTACATGCTCCTATCGAAGGTCAAAATTGATTCAGCTATAAGTATTATGTATTACTCGTTCCTATGAAGAATCTATCTAATCCAAGAGGTACAGCAAATAGTAGTTGCCAAAATGCTACATTGTCGGCATGGAAGAATACTCCCGCTGACCGCCACCCTCACCTGACGCCTATTTCCGTAGAAGGCAGGCCAATTTATCTTCTTCCATTCCGTATAATTTGCCAAACAGCCATACAAATGACTTGACCTCTCAAACGCGTGGGTGCTGTTTCAAGGACCCCTTGCACTACGTTAATTGTCCAAAATGCCTACTGACTACGAAAAAAGGGGTCGATTCAGAGATGCCCTCAGAGGGCCAAAAGCTGTCGATTTGGAAGGGGCCGCAGCCCAGAACATCAAAAAACGAAAAAGAAGAAAAGAAAACTCGCGCCGGAGGGGGCGACGAACAGCGGCCGCAGGCTACCAACAAACTAATTAGCTACCAGGATGTTAGCACAAGGTTCGAACAAAAGAGGACATGACTCAATGTGTAGGCATTTGAAAAGAAGAGGTCGGGGAGCCAAAGGGCATGCAAACTCACAGGTAGCCTTGGGGGAGGCAGGAGCGGACACCATTTCGGTGTCGGTAGCCGGGGCGTCCTCTTTAAACATCAGTCAGTATCAATCATCCTTTCTCTCTCTCTCTCTCTCTCAGGGACCCGATGGGCTCGTCCGAGGGCACACTCACGACCTCCACTAGAGGCCGAAGCCTCCTCCTCCCGAGGGAGGGCGTTGGTGGGGTTGGGCGCAGGCCCGGCTGCGCCATTCGGCTGAAGAGGGGCGGGGGGCGAACCTTGAAACATCAGTTTTTCTCTTCAAGAGAACAATCGCCTGGGGCTGACTTACATTCTGCTCCCCCGGGAGCCGAAGCATCCCCACCCTTCAGCCGAATGGGCAGGTCCTCGCCAGAGGAGTTGGTTGTGGCTGCGAAAACATGGTTAAGAATTGGGTTGTATGCGACTGTGCTTCACTGGTGATATCGTACCCTGGCAGGCCGCCTTGGCTTTCGCCTCAGCCTTTTCTAATACATTGTCAGCTTGCTGCACTCAACCGCGATAGAGAGAAAAAGAGCCTTCTGGCTTACCCTTCTGGCCCTTGCCTCCCCGCTTGCCCCTGAAGGGCTTGGGGGGCCGGGCGCGCAGCGCCGCAGCCACTGCTGTGCCAACGGCCTGAACTAGCTCGCAGGTTTCGGCCCTGTGGCCGTTTCTGCCACACCACCGGCAACGAGGCTGAATGTTCCAAACCATGTCAGTATATTTCTCAATCTACCGTAGGCAATGACCGATGTTCGAATATCGCCGCATTACCCAGGCTAAACCTGAATGGGGTATGGGATGCACACCTGGATCTTGCGGTTCTTCTCGACCTTGCTTGTCATTTTGGATATTGAAAAACAAGAAGTGGACTTGAGTAAGGTGGCGATACTCGCGTGAAATTTGCTTGACTCTAACACGGGGGAGCGAGGGTTCCTTTTATAGCTAGGTGTCAGGAGCTTCTACCTATTCTATTACGGAACCACCCATTATGTTTCATTGACCCCATGGACAATCTATGTCGAAATGGAAGTATGTATGCTAATTGTGCTGCAAGTTGTATTGACGATTGGCCATTGGTGCAACCCATATCGGTGGACTTCACTATATCTGATGAATGTCACGACTTCTATTCAGTACAATGGCCATTCTCCCCAAGAGACAGCGTGGGCATAGATTGGTAAGTATTGATGAATGCTACGTTCCAAGGTGAATCAATAGTGACATGGGAATGAATGGTCGGAGAAACGATTTTTGTCGCAGCGCATTCACCCGCTTCACTCTTCTTGGTTTCCCTCTTACTCGTACGTGACTCCAAAAATCTTCTCTACGCCCGCATCACACTATCTCAATGCATTCATATCGAGCCCTCTGCCCTTTCACGGTCAAAAAGCCTGACTTGTAAATTTCTAGTTGATTGTTTTCGTGTATCACATTGATATTTTTTAACTTAATATTGTGCTTCCATGACTTGGATAGTTCGAATATCATTATTCATTCCATCAATGTCACTTCGATTCAATCTCCGAGTACGGAAACTTTGATCACAATGAATTTTATTGATCTTAATTTAGGTTCAAATTTTACTTGAGCACTTAAAAGTCTTACCGAAAGTAAATGGAGCGAATATGATCCGTTTCATTCTGATAAATGAATAAAATGGCGACGTCGAAGGAAATTGAACAGGCTATTGATCCTGGTGCAAGGTAGGCTTGGTGACAATCTTTTCCAGCGTGGTAGCCATCTTCTCCCCCTCAGCTTTTTATTTCACTTTGCAAGAACTTCGTTACTCTCTCTCTTTTTTTTTTTTCAGACAGTACGTACGAAACAAGATATCATCTCATCACGGAATTTGCGAACAACATGGTTGGAAAAGTCCAGCGAGCCAAGGAGACAGTGGAGGAGAGAATACCCGATTTGCTGGTCCGCAACCACAGCGTCTCGTCAGCTTTGCATCCGTTGACCTACGTGGGCCCGTTGCAAAAGTGGACCACGTTTGAGCACGATGTCAAAGTCGCTGTTCAACAACAAAGTTGGGGAATCCATACTAGCACCATCACGATCCGACCAGTAGGAGCACTGGGACCACACAACACGGCCAACGAGCAGCTGCTTGTGGGCGATGAAAACGGGGTACAAGGCCGATTCCAACAGAACGTTGGTCACGTCATGAGCGCAGTGTTTGGGTCTCAGGGCCTTGACCTTCGATTTGGTGACTTTAAAGCCGCCGGTAGCACCTACAGGCGAACGCCGGACGTGGTTATTATCAATAGCCAGAACCACATCAAGGTTGTGGGTGAACTCAAGTGCCCGTGGATCGATGAGCACATATTGATCGAGGAGCCAACGACAACGTCAACAACTGAACATCAGTTCAGGTCACAGATTGGCCAATTGGCGAGATACATGCACGATCTCCAAGTCGGATACGGAGTTTATTCGACATACAGACAGCATGTATTTTTCAAACAAGAGTGCATCGCTGGTCGTTGGGTGCTTCGATACTCGCCGGTTATTTCAGACACGACGAACTCTGAATCAGAACTCACAGTGAGACAATGTTTCTTCTTTCTCGGACATGAGGCTGGCCGAACACTGCGGGTTGTTAACTCTACCCCGCCTGGTCAATGGGTCGTGAAACATAAAAGAGCTTCGTAGGCCTTTCATGGCCGAGTACGGACAATGGCGCTTGTAATGAGCTGCCCCAAACACGGCGCTTGTAATGAGCTGCCCCAAACACGGCGCTTGTAATGAGCTGCCCCAACAGCAATAAGCTTGGGCCTCTTCGTGGCGCTGTTGACTAGTAGCTCCAAAATGGGGTGAAGCTAACTCAAGCTTGAGGTTCAGTATTTATGTGAATGACTCTTTGTTCGTGAATCAAACCCGACCCTTCAGAGACTGACGACTTTTAGGAAGAAATCGTTCTCCACGTCATCCTTACTCATCGACGAAAGCGGCATTCACCTTACTCTTTTGACGTTTCAAGGTTGTCGCAACCTGCAGCCATGCTATAGCCTATTGGAACCACTATGAACAAGACCTAGGGAGTCGACTGTGTGATTATTCCGAGGTAAAATTCATTGGCTCAGCTTTCGGTGCCCGTGATACAGCTCGCAGAAGCTTTGAAAGAGATTTTTGGATCTTCAGGCCTCATGGCGTATGTGGTGGTCCCACAAAATCATAAACATCCAAGGAAGATCACTGTCAACCTTTTATAGCTTCTTGCTGGCTTGGATCAGGCCATAAATACAGCTGATGTTGCCAGACCACCAAGCCACCGAGCGCAGGAAGCTGGCAGGCTTCGTGGTGATCTTTGTGTAGAGCACACTGTACGCCACACGTGAAATCGTATACCACAAGCCAATGGTGTTGATGGTCTCGTTGGGAACACCAGCGAAAAGCGAGATCAAAACTGCATTACATAATCAGTATATTTTGCCGAGGTTCAGCCACACAAGCTGCGGAAGCTCCGAGTGTGAAAGGGGGAATAGCACATACTCGCCGCCACGAACAAAGGATATCCCTCCTGGGCATTCGCATGGGCAGCCTCCCGACGCTTCAGCTTGTTGAGTGTGCTGCGACTGATTTTGCCAGCCTGGACAGCTGCCTCGCCAAAGGTGGTCAAGTCCTCCCGCGGGCACACATTGTTATCGATACCAAGACGGACCTTGGCACCGCGGTTGCTCATGAGGCAGAAAGCCCACACCCAGTTGGCAATCAAGAAGCCGGAGGCGTGGTTGGCGGCTGTTTGGCCGGGGGCGGCACGGAGGCCGATGGTGGTGAGGAGAGCACTGCGGTGCCGTTAGCTTCAATTGCCCACCAGGTGCAGGTCGACTCACGACATTGGTGATTTTGGAATTGTGTTGCGAGGTGAGGTCGAAAGGGGAGGTCTTTTAAAACAGCATGTGGGAGAGCGAGACCGAGAGACCGAGGGATGAGATCATGTCCGCCGATCGGACCCACTCAACATTTTCTTGTTGTTCACATCGCTGCTTGCTTCATGGGCGCCAGATTCGCGGTTCAAGAGCTAAATCTGCCTTTAGGTGACTGTCAAAAATCACCGATAGCACGCATAGACGTGTCCCTCATGCGGTGATCATGATCTGTTGGCGGTGTTTGTCCTGTTTGTCAGGCTCCTTCCAGGTCTAGACAGCGCAGATGGAGAGAACTTCTCTCCAGGGCTCTCTCCTTCTTCGTTTCTCCTCGTGTCCTACGATAGAAAACTATCGTATATGTCTGTTTGCGGTGCTCTCGTTGATATGATCTGGCCACACGAGGTCAGAGTTGTTGGGAAGGGGATTGAAGACCCAGTGGGTCAGCCAGCGCGCGACCTGGATGCTGAACCATTGCAAAAGAAATGAACTGACAAATTGCTTAGTTGGCCAGAATTATGCACTTAGAGGTCGGATACGGGCTTTACCCGACCAAAAAAACAGTGTCTGCCATCACTCAGGGAAGAGCTTGGTGCCAGTCACCGACCATCATAGTTCAGCAGAAAGCCTCTTCGATGGAAACCCGAGGTGGGATATATTGGAATCATTTGTATTCCATTTCGGTCGAGTCGCGAATCCGCCCATAGGAGTCCACAGGCATATTGGAATAGAGAATTGTGGACTGTTTGATCTGAGGGAGTCAATCTAATTCCCCAGGACGCAAGAATTACGGTGAAATAACCATGTCAAGAAAAGCCCCCTGATTGGTGGAACAACCTCTCACGCAGCGCACAAATCAGCCCAAGACGGCGGAACTCAAGCCGGCTACCACAACATTCCACAACGCATCGATAAACTATGCTGCCAAGTGATTTTGACAAAATTACCTCCGCCTCCCCGCTCGTAAACGTGGGGAACTGGGGAGTGACTTCATCTACTCGGTTCTTACACAATACCAATGCGGTAGCTCATCCCGCATACTCTGGCGATCACCCCAGCTCGGCAAATGAGTTATTTGCTTTTTACAGGCGGAGAAATGTCTCCGTTGTGCCCGCGGTGCCATTCCCCGGATATCCCCAGTCCGGGGTATGAGCATTCTTTTGTTGGGGTTGGGACTATGGGGTGATGATATAAAATGGCTGGATCCAGATACATCTGGCTGGGAGAAATCAGCAATTGATTGCAACGAGCCCGCGAAAATGAAGTTCCTCGCTATCGGTGCGCTTCTGCTCAGCACAGTCGGTGCTATCGCCACTGAGCACATCATCAAGGGTGCCAGCATCATTCCAGCGAAGGACAAGGCGGCATTGAAGAAAATTGGTGCTCATGGCCAGAAGTATGCGGATCGTCGAACTGTCACAATTCGTTCGTCCAAGAGTGACACTGACGATATTGCCGATGACTTCCTCTGGGGTATCAAGGCTGCCAACCATGGTGGCAGACTTGTGTTACAAAAGGGGAAGAAGTATGTTATCGGTAAGAAGCTTGATCTCAGCTTCTTGGATAATATCGAGGTCCAACTCGAGGGTGAATTGAAGGTAAACAAACTATCACTATCAATTGCCGAATTAAACTAATCAAAACAGTTCACCGATGACATTGACTACTGGCAAAAGAACAACTTCTACTACGCTTTCCAAAAGTCCATCACTTTCTGGGTTTGGGGTGGCCAGGACATCAAGATCTTCGGCAAGGGAACTCTGAACGGCAATGGTCAGGCTTGGTACAACGGCTTTGCCGGATTGGAAATTCTTGTGAGTGTGAACTACTTGTTTTGAAGATTGACTATTGACCTAACTCCAGGACTCGACCAATACCTACTACCGCCCAATCCTCTTCCTGACCGACAATGCCACTCGTATCAGTGTCGAGGGTATTACCCAACTCAACTCCCCCTGCTGGACCAACTTCTTCGTTCGCACCAAAGATGTCTCTTTTGATGATGTCTTCATCAACGCGTACTCTACCAACGCATCTGTGAGTGATGACTGTTTGTTCTGATGTAATTACCTCATTTATTAACATCCTGCAGGCTCTCCCCAAGAACACTGACGGATTCGACTCATTGAACGTGGACGGTCTCAGCGTGACCAACACGCGCATCGACATTGGCGACGACTGCTTCTCGCCCAAGCCCAACACCACCAACATTTTCGTGCAGAACCTGTGGTGTAACAACACCCACGGTGTCAGCATGGGCAGCATTGGGCAGTACTCTGGTGTCGAGGATATCATCGAGCATGCCTGGATTGAGAACGTGACTCTACTGAACGGACAGGTAAGATAATTTTACCCGAGTAACCCACTCCTATTCGAGAGATCTAATGATGTATCTGCAGAACGGAGCTCGCCTCAAGGCCTGGGCTGGCCCCGACGTCGGCTTTGGTCGCATCAACAACATCACCTACAAGAACATCCACATTGAAAACACCGATGCGCCGATTGTGCTTGACCAGTGCTACTTCAACATCAACAGCACCACCTGCGCCGAATACCCATCTGCTGTCAACTTCACCAACATCAAGTTCGAGAACATCTATGGTACCTCATCCGGCAAGAAGGGAAGTGTCGTCGCCGACCTCACTTGTTCACCTAACGCGGTCTGCTCCGGTATCAGCCTTTCTGAGATTGATATCGCCAGTCCATCTGGCTCTCCTTCTACGATTACCTGTGACGGTATCGATGGTGACATTGGAGTGGAATGTCAATCGAGCTCTTCCTAGAGTAGCTGATATGAGATTTTCTATATATAGATATAGCAAAACTATTTTCATACCGAGGTCTATCTTCAGATATATGATTCAAGACCCATAGATAACAAAGTCCGACTACTCCACCTTTGTAGGGGGTTATGTTGCTGCATATTTTCCTATTCATTGTGAGTTCAACCACATACGACCACAGGGTGTGGAGAACAGGGCTTCCCGTCCGCTCAGCCGTACTTAAGCCACACGCCGGTGAGTTAGTAGTTGGGTGGGTGACCACCAGCGAATCCTCACTGTTGTATGTTTTTGTCTTTTTTAAACATCGAAGAATTTGTATGCTGTTACTGTGCGACTTTTCATTGAACGAACTCAGGAAAGAAGGGCCCAGTATTTCCAGAGACAAGTTTCAAGAACTCTTGGGAGTCTTAGTTCTCGTTTCACATTCAAGGAGATACCCAGATTTCTCTTTTTTTTTTTGGCCCATCCCTTTTCTCGCGCTCGAGCATGTCTGGAGGAGTCAAACCATTTTATTGATGGAGTCGAGATGTAGGTGCAGGTTTTGTGAATATTACTTTCTGATTTCATTCATATTTTGAGGTTCTTTTTTTGTTTTTTTGTATGAAATTCTGGGGAATTACTTCCTTCTGAGTTGTTCTTTCTTTACACTTCGACGTTGCCGTGGTTGAGCCTCCGCTTCTCATTGCGCTGATGGCGGAAAGTTATTACCAGGGTCGGTCTGTCCTTCTCGTCTCTATTCCCTATATTCACCACCAGAAGGCATCATGGAATCTCTCGAGCAGCCTGTGTCTTCCGGCGACCTACTACTTCTTTATGGAGGGAAAAGTGTGAATGAAGCAGGGGATTTTACCGATATCCGCCCCTACGTACTTCTTGTTGCGTCTTTTCTTGGCCCTTCCCCCGACTCCATGATCCCACCAAGCAGCCCTGTCGATACAGCCGAGTCGGTCACTGTCTGTGAATCACCTAGGTCTATTGACTCTCCGGAGAACGTCGACCCTAAACTCGATATGTCAGCCATCCTAGTTCGAAAAGTCCCTTATTCGTTGACTTCTATGAATGGTTGTTGGACGCTTAGTGGTCCGCGAGTCTACTACACCCGTCAAGACGGTGAGACAAAGTTCTCCTTTTTCTCCGATCTACTTGGGAAGGACTTGGAGGAGGCTGTTGCGGAGATCCGCGAGGACGATCTGTATTTCGATAAATGGGCGTCTATCGTCGATTCCAGCCACTCTCTCGGGAACTTCATGCCGCCTAGTGCAGGTGTAAAGCTGATCGTCGATATACACGGCCGGTGAGTAGACCTAGCCCATCGCCAGTCACTCCACTAACATTGTTCTGAGCAGCGATATCCTAAACCACTACTTCGAGGGCTGTCCATGGTGTGGGTATGATACTGATATGTGTCCAGGGTGTGGGGGTGTCAGTCTGAATTGGCCAGAAATATTTGCAACCTGTGGTCGACAACAAGCATGCCCCGTTTGCATGGGTCTTAGTTTTGCCGAAGAGGATAAAGAGTTTTTGGATAGGTTTGATTCGATGGAAAAGAACGATAAATTGCCCCGTCATCTTGTGGGTGACGCATTGGATCTAATGTCCGACCGATTTCATCTTATCGAAGCCAGACATGAGGAAATGGGACACTGGGGCCATGCGAGCGCTGAAGAGAGGCTTGAACGTTGGAAGGCCGTGTACTTGAGTGACGACAATATTGTGGACTGACGAGGAAGTTCTCTCGCAGACCTCGGCAGTTGTTAAGTTTAGGCCAACTCTGTTTGCTCGTGGATATTCATTGCTATGGTTCGTTGTTTATGTGTCTTATAGATAGCTTTTATCAGCAGTGGTTTCAGAATATCATTCACGGATACTACATGGTTCCAAGTTGAGCTAAATTTCCGAGATTCACTGAATACCTTTCAGATTGATACTTGTGAACCCCGACGTCAAACCTTGACCACAACTCTTCTTACGATACGACTGAACAAGATGACCTCGGGGGATGATCGCCAGAGGTATATTTGGTAGATATAAGGAGGCAATATCGGATTCACTCGATTTCCTCGAACGCGCGTACAATGTACGACTTCCCACCAATCGAAACTTTTTCACCAGGAACTTTCCATGCGCCCTTGGCCTCTCCCTCGAATCCAGACTTGATTGAGGGGACGGCACCCGCCTCAGGACCTACCACATACTTCTCCTCCCAGCCAGTGCCCCACTCCTCCCTTCGTGCACTAACTTCACCTCCAGCCCTCTTCACAGACCATTCGCCAGACTCATTCTTTTGATTGGTGTGTGTTTGAGTCTGCTGGAAGGCCAAATATGTCCCCCAGATACGACCCAAGAATGTCTTGGTCACAGTGACCTCTTTTTCCTGCTCGCCCAGAGCCAAAGGAGCATCGTCAGACTCCAAGATCCACGAAATTCCCTTCTTGGCACCCTCGGGACCTTCTCTGAAAGCCAGCTCTCGCCAGACCTCTTCAAAGGCCGTCATGGGGGCACCGGGAAGATCAGCTCGGGGCATCTCGCCACTCTCGAGGTCATCGCCATTGGGGAGCGGGCTGAAGTTGCCGACATCCACAATGCCAATCTCGTTCAAAGAGTCCAATTCACGTGTGAAAAGCACCTTGACTGCATATACAGTTAGTTTATTTTGTATCGCACCGTCAACGATTTTGCATTTCTGCCAGGGCACGAACGTGGAATCTCTTTGGGGTTCTCTTCGATCCTAGTACCGGCCATTGCCCAATCGATGTTTCCAGATGCTTTGTCCATTCGCAAGTCCAAGAACCACTCGCCCACGGAAAGAACGATTGTGTCAGTCGTTTCCTCTGGCACTTCTGGCACCCATCGGAGTGAGAGGCGGGTTGAGAAACCGCAGGTTGAGCCTAGTTGAGCACCGGTGGCAGACATTGTGAATTGAGTGACTTGAAGAGGTCAGAGAAGAAACGCGAGAGTCAATTTAAGCAACACATCCCACCTTCGTGAGGATTAATCCGACACGTGGTCCCGCCCCCGATCGGGTGTGGGGACGATCATGCTCCGCTAGTCCCAAAGGGGCAGGATGAGGATATCGTTCTTAATGTATACCTTACACTCTTAGACATTACGTGAGAGCATCCGGGGCTAGTAGATAACTAGTCCGAGATCTAGAGAGCTTCTCTCTCTCGATCCTCTCTCTATTCATGGATATCATGGATGTTGAAAGATATGTGAAAAAGATAAATCATAAATCATATTCTTCAAGAGAACCAACTCAAACCTTGGAACTCTTCACCATCCCTCAATCCTCCGAATGGCAAGATGCATCCCTTCCACAGGCTTGATAGTAACCGACCCAGAAGCATGAATCTCCTGATTAGGATCCTGCATCTCAAAAGCGAACCTCCCCACGACACCCGCAACAGCACACCTAAACTCCGCCCTCGCAAAATCTTTCCCAATACACGATCGTTGACCATGCAAGAAGGTAATCTGCGCGTAATTCGTCGATGCACCTCCATTGTTATTAGGTATCTGATTGCCATTCTTATCGGTGTCGATCCATCGCTCGGGATAGAATTCTTCGGAGTTGTCGCCCCAGAATAGTGGACTGCGATTGATGGCCCACGGACAGAGGACCACGCGTGTACCTGTGGGGATGAATTTCCCGGCTACGGTGGTGTTCCGCACTGCTTCGCGGATGGTGGTTGGGACCGGCGGCCATAGGCGGAGGACTTCTTGGCAGACTCCGTTGAGGAGAGGGAGGGATTCTAGGTCCTGGTGTGTGATTGGGGAGTCGCCGCTGGGAATCTTGGCTCGGATCTCTTCGCGCAATCGTTGTTGGTAGTCCGGGTGTTGGTGGAGAAGGTAGGAGGCCCAAGTCAAAGCGCTGGCGGTGGTCTCATGCTAGGTCTGTAAGTATTCATGTTGATGTGAGTTGCAGATCTGGAGATACTTACGCCTGCCGCGAGGAATGTTAACATCTGATCTACCAGCTCGGTATCTGTGAAGTCGCCGCCCAGCATCATTGTACCGAGAATGTCGGCTTCGAGGTCTTGTGCCGAAGCCTTGGACTCGGCGAGTTGAATGCGCTTCTCTTGCACGATCTCGTTGCAAGTTTTGCGTAGATAGGCGGTTTCCGTCTCCAGGATCTTGTTCATGCGCCACGGAACGCGCTTGGCCATCCACTGTGGGAGGGTGAAGTTCATCACGAGGAAGGCCATTTTCTCCTTTGTTGGTTCCAGAATACTAGCGAAACTCTCAGCGACCTTGTTGGTCTTGTTCTGAATAGAATTGAAGTCGCGTCCCATCGATGCGGGACCTATAATGTCGAGTGTGAGACGGCTGGAAAGGTGAATTAGAGATAGTCACACAATTTGTAGAAAAAGCGATTATCATACCTGGCCCATTCTCCCATCTCAATCTTACCAACACCATCCTCGGGTTTAGTTCCTTCCATGGGATTCGCCTTTGCTTCCTTTTCCAACTCATCAAGCAATAGGCCTGTCTTGTGCCACATCAAGGAGTACATGGAACGGATGTTCTTGATGTTAAACCCGGGGGTTAGCGCCTTGCGCTGTTTCTTGTGGTGTGCGCCTTCCGACGTAATCATGCCGAAACCGATGATCCGCGCGAGGAAGTTGCGCATGCGCCAGGGCTTCTCGAAATCATAGGTATTTGTACTCATGACATCGAGTAGGGCCTGATGATTGGTTGGCAAGATATAGCTGGTGTTGAGATTGTCGCGCATGTGGATGAGCCCCTCGTTGGGGATGGTCTTCATCCATATCAGCGGTGTGCTGCCTCGCGGGCTGTCGAAGATGAGCTGCGAGTGACTTGCAGAGCCCTGTGATTGTTAGATGCGTGCTGCGCCATGCTTTAGGGAAATATGTTCAATCCATACCGGTACTTTCGGGAGATGCCGCACAGGGTTCAACAGTAGTGGATATATAATGATGCTATAGAAACCTTGTGCTGAAAGCGTGACGATAAAGGTATACAATAGAAGCGTACGGAATGCGGTCTCTGCAAAGACCATCCGTTGTAGTAGATATGCTTCAACGAGCGAGAAGGCAGCCACAGTGGGCAGGTTGTCACCCAGCGCCATCCTAGTATACTGTATACCGACCGTGATGGATTGCAAAAGCAGTGGTCAGAATGTGAAATCGCCAAATGCGAAAATCTTCTACCCCCGGGGTGAGCCAAGTGGGCTTGACATATATCCCCCAGCCAGCAGAAACCAGGAAAGCTCAAATTGGCGGCTGTTTCATCATGTGGACCCACGGGGATCGACATGGGTCTGCTCGTTGGGGGAACCAATGCGACCTCGGCTGAGGGGCCTCGAATTTGAGAGGTCCGTTTTTTGCTCATCTTTGGCGTTTGAGGGGTTTCATATTTGTGTCGGCCATGTTCTGGGTTATTGTTAGGTCAGGACTCAGGAATATGGCTGAATTTGGCTGAATTTGGCTGAGTCTGGCTGCAGAGGGGACTGGTCTGAGTAAAGTTCTCACGGTGGATCCAATTTCCCCGAGGCGTGAATGTGCGTAAATCGCCGACACAAGCCCGGACAGACTGTCATGAGCATGAAGATGGTATGACGTTGAGTATACCAGAGTGACGAGAGTGACGTTGAATGTAGTTGGAGGAGTGAAGTTCCCCGGAAATTCGAGAACGTGGGGAGCATGTGAAGACGAGCAGCATGCCCAATGCGGTAATATCGACTGTTCATCCCTTTCCTCGCGGTGGATCGTCTCCAGTCGCATTCCTTTCCCCGTTGGTTGCACAACTTCACGATGTGCACGCTAAAGAAAATGTGATGCCGAGGTTTGCTTTAAGCTTTGCTCAAAGTCCCGAGTTGCTTCATAAACCCTCCGACTTCACTTCTGCACACCTCACCAATTGCAATGTCTCTCCTTCAGTATACACAAGCAGCACTCGCTTCTCTGCCAGAGCCCGCGCAGGCTCTGCTGCTCAACCCGACGGCGCAAAAGACCGCCGCGGGTCTCGGCGCGTTCATCTTGGCTCGCGCAACGAATCGCTTCATTTCACGATGCGCGCTTCAAAACTGGACGACGAATTCGAAGTGGAATGCTGCTGAGGAATTGATCTTGTTGACCGGAGGAACCTCCGGAATCGGGAAGCAGGTCATGTTGGATCTCTCCCAGGCCGGGGTGCGCGTCGTGATTCTCGATATCAATGAGCCGAACTTTACACTCCCGGCCAATGTGTCCTTCTACAAAGCGAATATCACCAACTCTGCGGACATCGCCGCAGTGGCAGCTACTATCCGTGAAAACCACGGTGATCCCACCGTGCTGGTGAATAATGCCGGTGTCGGTCACGATGGAACCATCCTCGAAGAGCCAGAGTCGAAGATCCGCCAGACCTTCGAGGTCAACACCCTGTCTCACTTCTTAATGGTCAAAGAATTCTTGCCCGCCATGGTGAAGGCCAATCACGGCCATGTGATCACCATTGCCAGTATGGCCAGTTTCGTGGCGCTGGGCGAGATGGTTGATTATTGTTGTTCCAAGGCATCGGCCCTTGCCTTCCACGAAGGGTTACGCCAGGAGTTGAAATACTGGTATAACGCGCCCAACGTGCGCACCAGGTATGGACACTGTCTACATCTTGGAGAGCTCTCTTGCTAATGAATTCAGTGTCATTCACCCCATGTGGGTTCGCACGCCCATGATCAAGATGTTGACCGATCACGGGTCACACTTCAGACAGCCTATTATGACACCCCAAGTGGTCTCCAATGCTATCTGCAAGCAGATCCTCAAACAGCGCAGTGGGCAGATCATCCTGCCGAAGACCCAGTCTATCGCTAGTGTGGTGCGTGCGATGCCTATGTGGTTGCAGGAGGGTGTGCGCGCCTTTGCTTCTGGGGCGCTGAGGAAGATGCGTGTCGCCCAGGCTGCCGAGGAAGCTGCCGCTGCAAAGAAATGAATGCATGCATGTATTGATAGGTTATGAATTTTTCTGTATATACTGGATACCACTGGCTGGTTTGATTAATGTTATTGCCTACTTTGGAAATACTGCCCAGGTGTCTGAATGTCGTAATTCTCAAGGATGGGTCATAGCTGTTGATTGTAGGGATATGCGATGCGAGCCATCCATCTTTAGGCACGCCTGTGGAATGTGGAACTCGGTACTCGGACGATGCAAATCTTCCAATGTTGCTCCCGAGGTCTTAAGCTCAAATATTTGCCCAGGACCTTGGAAGGGCGCGTGTTCATTGTTTTGAAAGAACAAAAAAGATTAGTCAGACTCGGTACTTTTTCTTCTTTGAGAATATCATTCGATTTCGTGATGACTATGTACTTCCAATTCAAATATGAACAAATATAAAAAAACTATATACAACGAACCAAGGGTGTAAATCCCCATCAAGCCATCAATTCTCCGAGGAACCTTTCAATCCTCCTCCCCTGCTCGGTCTTCACCGCATCGCCAAGCTCAAGATGATAGACCGGCGCCACATGACACTCCCTCACCCCGACAAAGAACTCAACCCGCTCAAAGCCCTCCTTGAACTTCGTCGCCAGATCCTGGATCAACGGCAAGAGAATCTCATTCTCACCCCCAGTGATCAACACCGAGTCCACCGGGAAGGAACTGAACCACTCGGGCGGCGCATGCGAAAGGTCGGTATAATAGTCCCGCTCAGCTGAACCGATGTACGCACTCGCCCACGGGCCCGCGACCGCAGTCGTGATGATGTCCCCGCCGTGATAGACGTCCATTCCGGGGAACTCGGTGTCGAGCAGCGTCCAGGGCGCGATCATGACCGCGCCACCGAGATTTCCCTTTAATTCCACGGCATCGATTTCCGGGTGTGGGTGCGCGAGGTGCGACAGGACGCCGCAGACGAGGTTCCCGCCGGCGCTGTCGCCTCCGAGGAAGATTTGTGAGGGCGATCGGGTGGGGAGCACGTGGGCGAGACAGGAGACTGCCTGGCGTAGCTGGGTCGGGTATGTGGCGGCCGGAGCGAGGGTGTAGGAGAGACTGAAGACGGCGACACTCTTGCCGGCGGCGCGCAGGTCGCGGATGAGTTGCGTGTAGTACTTGAAGTAGCCCAAGTTCGCGGGGAGGCTGAAGCCACCGCCTGGAGGGATCGTTAGCTTTGCATCGGCAGGGCTGCAAGGGAGTTGGACTTACCGTGGAACCAGACGATTACATTGTCTGCATTGCGATCGCCGATCCAGTGGCCGTGGGCGCCGGCGCCCAGGTCGACTGATTCGGGGTATATGCCAGTCTTTTTAGCGTGGAGTTCGTAGATGGCGTTGGTGGGTGGCAGAATGTACTGCATTTGGGAGGGCGACAGGCGCGCGGTGGCCTTGCGGAACATCGCATAGCCCAAATGCAGGAACAGGGTCTTGGCTTGGCGCTCGGTGCGCCAGAGTCCGGTAAGCAAGGCATAGAACGCTGCGAGGGCCACAGAGGCCACGGCGGGGAGGAAGTCCAGCTTCTCGCGAAGGGTCAGGGTCACCTTGGAGAGAGACATGATGTGCGAATCACCGCCATTGCGATTGGGGCCATGATATGTTCAAAGAGAAGCACACTGGCACACTGGCACACTGAGCCGAGGGAAAAAAGGGTTCGCAAAGGTGTCTCGTTGTGGAAATGATTGGCGTTCCTGATATTGCGACGGCCGAAGGTGGGGAAGTGCATATGTTCGCGACGATTGCTGTTTTAGTCGTGAACAGAGTAGTCCTAAAGAAGTAATCTAGATGTAGTATACTATACTCTCTTGTCAGCACTAGTATATGCTATAGAACAAATAGAAGATACCCTCGGGATCTCGATCTGTGTGACTATTCGATCTGTCACAAGTGAAACTCCCCGACCTCCTTGTTGAATCTTCATCTTCGAGATCCACCGCCGATCACTCCGTTGTGAAACCGAGGCATGTGAACTACTTCTTAAAACTGTCCTGCTTTCTCTCTCTCTGCCTCAGCCTCCATCGCAACCATGAGCAAGACATTCGACGTGATCATCGTCGGCGCAGGCATCTCCGGCATCAACGCCGCCTACCGTCTGCAATCCGAACTCCCCGGCTACAGCTATGCCATCCTCGAAGCCCGTGACGACTTAGGCGGCACCTGGGATCTGTTCAAGTACCCCGGAATCCGCTCCGATTCCGACCTCTTCACCTTCGGCTTCCAATTCAACCCCTGGAGCCGCGACAACCCCATCGCCGAGGGCTCCGCGATCAAGGAGTATGTCCGCGACACAGCGAACAAATTCGGCATCCATGAGAACATCCACTTCCAGCACCGGATGACCTCGGCCAATTGGTCGACAGAGACGAACAGCTGGTCACTCGCCGTCGACGCGCAGGGCGAACAAACCTTCACCGCCCGTTACGTCATCTTCGGCACGGGCTACTACAACTACAAGGAGCCTCTCAAGGCCGACATCCCCGGGCTGGACGACTTCCAGGGCCAGATCATTCACCCGCAGTTCTGGCCCGAGGATCTCCAATACAAGCAGAAGAAGATCGTCATCATCGGCTCCGGTGCAACCGCCGTCACCCTCTTGCCTAATCTGGCCGACCAGGCCGAGCGCGTCACCATGCTCCAGCGCAGCCCGACCTACATCCTCTCCTTGCCCAATCGCACGCGCAGCCGCTGGCTCAGCTATATCATGCCTCATGCCTGGTACACCCGCGTCCAGCGTATCGTCTGGATCTACACTTCCCGCATCTTCTTCTTGTTCTGCCAGCGATTCCCGGGCTTCTCGCGCTGGTTGCTGAAGTTGAACGTGCGCCAGCAACTTCCGAACCACATCCCTTATGACCCGCACTTCAAGCCTAGATATAACCCTTGGGATCAGCGTCTGTGTGTTTGTCCCGATGGGGATCTGTTCAAGTCCCTGCGTCAGGGCAAGGCAGATGTGAAGACCGATACTATCAAGCAGGTTACGAAAAACGGCATTATCTTGAACTCGGATGAGAAGCTGGATGCGGATATCATCATCACTGCCACGGGCTTGCGTCTGCAAATTGCAGGTGGGGCCGCGTTGAGTGTGGACGGGCAGAAGATCGATATCGGTGACAAGTATCTCTGGAACGGTGTCATGTTACAGGATCTTCCCAATGCCGCCTTCGTCATTGGATATACCAATGCCTCGTGGACACTCGGTGCCGATGCCACGGCGCAATTTGTCTGCCGGCTGTTGAAGAACCTGGAGTCGCGCAAGCTCATTGCCGCTACGCCGAGGTTGAAGGCCAAGGATGCTTCGACGCTCCAAGATCGGAGGTTGCTGAACCTGAACTCGACTTATGTTTCTATTGCCGAGCGCGCCCTTCCCAAGGCTGCTGATCGTGGCCCTTGGCAGCCTCGTGATCACTACATGAAGGATATCAAGTTTGCCAAGGGTGGTGATATCGACACAGGGTTGGAGTTTGTGCAGGGCCCGAGTCTGCGTTTGCGCCCGAAGATCGCTTGATTCGATGATTTGATGACTTTCTTATTGTGTAAATATATATATGGCGTCTCGTGGTTATTTTTACAATTATTTAAACCTTTTCCGATGTCTCTATGGCTCAATCCCTACCCAGGTATACTTAACTTCCATCGGGTATCACTCCAGGTCACACGGTGTGCCATCCAGCTTCCAACTTGTCTATTTATTCCTTTTCCCAGGTGGAGTTGGAAAATTATGTCATCAGTTGGTAGATCCTCCTTTGAAGTCCTTCGCTTGCCCACATATAGTATTCTGTTTAAATTAGAGTGTGCAAATGATGATCTATGACTTGACAACCTCAGAAGCCTTTACAGCCGTTTATACAGTTGATTGTGATGCGTTGCGCCATCCCCGAGATCAGAACACGAGTGATCGGCGGGATCTTCGGGTAGGATTTAAGGTTAATTACTAGCCGGCGAGAGAATATGCCCGCGCAACCAAGGAACTCCAACATTCCATAATGATGTCACACGCAAGAGACATGTCATTGTCATAATCCTGGAACCTGATTAAATCAATGTCTTGAAAAAGACCCAAGTCTTCGTCAATTCCACCACTCATCCCTTCAAACCTCTTCAAATATATATCATGGCCCCTAAAGACAAATATACCGACCCCGAGCTACGGGATGAAGTCAAGGAGGAAATTCACCAAGGTGACAAAGGTGGAAAGCCTGGCCAATGGTCTGCTCGAAAGGTGAGCTGCCGATCCCACGACAGTATCAATCTCCAGTATTTAATCCATCTCTTCAGGCCCAGATGATGGCATCTGAATACAAGAAACGAGGCGGTGACTACAACACATCGAAGGAGGAAGGACAGTCGGAGTCTCAAAAGCACCTGGACAATTGGACCAAGGAGGACTGGCAGACCAAGGAGGGCGAGGGAACAGCCCGGCAGGATGATGACTCTCGGAAGCGATACCTACCCAAGAAGGCTTGGGAGGAGTTGAGTGAAGATGAGAAGAATAAAACCGACGAGAAGAAGGTTGAGGAATCCAAGGAGGGAAAACAGTTCGTTGGAAACACGGGGGAAGCGAAGCAGGCTCGCAGAAAGGCCAGCGTGAAATCGGACGACGAAGAGGACGAGAAGGGAGAAGACCCGAAGAAGAATGACACCGACGGAAAGAAAGGGGATGGCGACGATGGCGACAAAGATGACGAAGCTGCAGATGAAAAGGAAGACGAAGAGGGTGAGGATGAAGAGCAGGAGGGTCAAGGAAAGAAATCGACCGAGGCAAAGAAGGATTCGTCCAAGGGAGAGACCAATGGTGAAAGCGCAAAGGGCTCAAAGAATTCTGGAGGCGAGGGCGAAGGCGCAGGAACCAAGCGTAGCGCCAAGCAGGACACAAGCCCGAACAAAAAGCAAAAGGATAGCTCGAGGATGCAGAGTCTACGGAAGAGAGATTGAGATAGCATTAATCATTTGATTTCATTCAGCCTCTGTAGCTAAGAATATACGCCTTGGTATCAGTTCGTCACCAACCAGCGACATTAGAAGCAACCACTTTATTATTATCACAAGCAATATCATTTGCTGTCAATCCATTATTTCCGCTCCTCATCAACGACTTCGCGGTTGTTCATCTGACTATCAGGAAGCATGTTCATAGCATCTTCCTCGCGATCGAGCTTGTAGTTCGTTGCCCAGAAGCCAGCACCTCCAATGAACGCCAACAGTGCAACCAAGGTGTAGTTCCAGGTGAGCAAGGGGTCCACGGAAAGACCAACGAAGGCCTGTCCGATTGCGGAGGAGATGGCGTTCATGAAGAGGGCGACAGCTTGCACGAGCGATCGCATGTTCTTGGGCGCCTTGGTGTAGGCGTACTCAAGGGATGTGACGGACGCGAGAATCTCAGAGATACCACCCAGGATGTAGGTCAGGGCCTGGATCCACACGGAGATGTTGGTGTATTCACCCTTGACCTCGAGACAGTAGTTTGCCTGGTCACCGCAAGGACCAAGCTTGTAGATGTAGTGCTGGGTCACGGCAGCGACGATCATACCAGCTCCAGCCATGCAGAAACCGGCGGTGATACGCTTGAGGGGGGTGAAGTTGATACCCATCTTGCGAAGACCGGGGTAGACAATCTGGTCGAAGATGGGAATGAAGATGATGAGGGCGAACGGGTTCAGGTTGTTGATGATATCGTTAGGGACACCGCCAAGCTTCATTGTGGCGGCCTGGGAGGTCAGGTTGTTCAACATCTGGTTGTAGGCCAACCCTGTGTAGGATTAGTACTTGATATTGCAGAAGGTAATAGCTGTTGCTTACAGTAAAGAGGGTACCACAAGAAGACACGGCAGGCGAGCAGTCCGCGACGGACCTCGTCAACCCAAGCGTCGTCGAAGTCCATCCAGGCGGGCTTGCTGGCACCGAGCACACTTGGCTTGACATTATCCCAGATGTTAGTCTCAGACTTGCGGAACCTGATTGGAAATGTCAGTTCGGATATCAAACACTGAACCAGGCCGGGTGGCTTACCATCTAACAGGGTTCAGAGTCCAGTGGCCCTTCATAGCAAGGCTCCAGAGCTTGAAAGCCTTGGGGTAAATGGAACCACTAGGGGGAGTCAAGTAGTACTTTCCACGGCAGACGAAGAGAACGGTGGGGCAGAGGCAGAACATGGCAGTGGGCAGCAGGTATGACAGCCAGAACCCGACATAGCGTTCTGCGTAGACCATCGCAATCTGACCGGTGAGCGAGCCAACGTTGATCATCAGGTAGAAATATAGGTAGATACGCGCAACAGTGGCAGCGGGATCAACGATGACGCGCTCACCACTGGGAAGAGTGGAAACGTATGGCTTCGTCTCGCGATATTGTTCCGCAATGAGGGGGGAAATGTTGGACTTGAAACCACCTGTTCCCACACCCATAATCACCAGTCCAATCGTGAAAGCAGCAATTGAACCGTTGGGGCTGGCAATGACCTTGGGAATAGCGGAAACAATCAAGATACTGTGGCCGACGAGCGCGCAGGCAATCGAGGAGAAAATGGTGCGGAAACGGCCCCAGTATTGATCGGCCACCCAAGCACCAGCCAAGGGCATAATGTAAGACCAGAAAGAGTTGACTAGTGAATATTAGCAAGCATGCTGGTAGTACGGCACGTGCATACTAACACAATGTCAAACCGGTGGAGGCCTGCTGGCCCATGCCCAGCGCACCGGGTGTTCCATTACTCCAGTCTGAGCTACCGGCAACCAGGGCACCGGTGGTAGATCCCTTGGGGAGGGGTCGCTGGATGAAATTCACGACTATCACAATTAGCTCCCATTGGGTGGCAATTGAGGGGGAAACCTTACACACTGCAGTGGTACCGTAGTACGAGAATCGCTCACACAGCTCGACGAAGGCGATTGTGTAGGCGGCCCAGGGAATCTTGCCGGACACGCGACGGAGGTTGGCCAGCTCATCCGTGGTGGGGGCAGCTTTGTTGATCGAGTCATCACCATCATCGTAAGTGATCTCCCCGCGAGGAGCACTGTCGATGGTCAATTCATCGACGGTGGGGACCTTCTCGTTAATGGACACATCGTGCGAGGCGGCTTTTGATTTGGCAATCTCAGCCACATCGACAGTATCGGAGGCGTTCATGGTGAAGTGAAGAGGGATGAGAGAGAAGAACGAAAGAAAGCGAAGAGTGGGCAGGAGGCAACGTGACACTTATAATGGGCCGACAAGCTTAAACCGGCAGGTGCCAGGTTTCCCTCTATCAGTCGAAAATTGCCGGCCACTGTACCTTTCGCTTTCATCCGCTCTTCTAGAACCCGCGGAGTAATGTCTGCATTGGGACATTGCTCGTCCCCAACTGGCTCACCACGAATAAACCCGTTAATATCCGCCGGACCCTGCATTCCTTTCCACGCCACCGTGAGATCTGACCAGAGGATCTGACCACCTGCACTCCGTGAGTCGAGGTCGAACCTGGTCTGGAGGAGATTTATCTTCGGCCTGGGCCGAGGGGGCAAAACTTGATAAGCCCCGGCAGTGGTCAACGCATCCTTGAAGGCTAATACATGCCAAGCATCGCGTTATCCAATCAGTCAGCTATGGTGGGCTCAGGCCGTCCGCCTGAAAGGATTAGTCTCTCCTCGTTGGCGGCACTTGGCATCTTGGCACGTGTATCGCCCCGCGTCGTGCATCTTGGCTGGTCACAAACAGTGTAACCCTGTCTTCCTTGGCCCTTTGACGCCAATCAGAGGGTGACGTTGGATTAACCGAGGAAAGATAAGTGATATCGAGCACATGGCCCCGGACCAATCAGAAGGCGGATGTGAGTGGGGTTAAGATTAGGCTCAGGCTAACCGCTTCATTCGCCACTAATTCCGGGGAACTAAGACACTCGAACCATGGAAGTGAATGGTGCTATCTACTATCGTGAAAGGTACATGTGATCTCTCGGCCTTTGTATTTCTCTTGGACCGTCGGTGGCCCGGACATCATCTCGTATACCTTGCAGGTCACTGGTAGGTTGCACCTGAACATCCTGGACATCCTGGATAGATTACCTACAAGCATTGCATTATTGGCCACCCGGTTTCACATCCCGTGATTGGGCTTCCCGATTGCGTCTCGCATTGCCTTCCAATCCATAGAGAACGTCCTCCGACATCCCCGGAATCACCATGTCAAAGGTCTCCTTGACCACGGTGTATTCATAATACCCGCACCGCGCAATGGGCTGAGTCTTGCGAATATCCAACTTGCCATCCGTCAGCACCTCATCTTTGATGTGAACTGCAACCACCCGCCCAATCACCACATCGACGGTGCCCATGGGTGGGTTACCAGGGAGACGGAGCGTGGTGAAGTATTCGCACTCGAATTTCACCGGGGATTGTTCTACCATTGGGACATCCATCAAGGTCGCCGGCTCTTTGGTGAGGTTGGCGCGGGTGAACTCGTCCACCCCGTACGGCACTTGCTCGGCGGAAATGTTCACCGCCTCCCGAAGCTCCCAGGTCGCCAGGTTCCACACGAACTTGCCCGTTTGCTCGGCGTTGACAACCGTGTCCTTGCGTTCACCCTCCACCGTCTGGTTGGATGAGAACATCACGTACGGTGGGTCGAATGTCAGGTTGTTAAACTGCGAGTAGGGAGCCAAGTTGGCTTGGCCGCTCTTATTTTGTGTGGAGATCCATCCGATCGGGCGGGGGACCACGCACGCCTGCATTGGTTAGATTCCGTCGTGCACTTGTGCAGTTTCATGCAAGGGGGTGTACCTTGAAGGGGTCGTGAGGAAGGTTGTGCTCGGTGACACCGGGTTGATAGAACATAGTGTTTGTGTGATGGTGTTTTTGGTTGGCTGGGTGGTTTTCATGCTCCCGCCGACCCCCTCTGCCTTTTATAATGTCCGCGGTTTTGCCGAGCAGTCAGCCGAGATCAGCGTACTTGGGGCCTATCCCCACAGCTGCAAGCAATACCATGTCCAACATGGTTGATCGACCCGGCCGATACGTCGCTGGGGCCAAAGTTTCGTGTTCCGAGATCCGAGACGCGACCGTGGGAAATGAGGCCTGGGGCACCCAACGGAATTCGCCCCAGCTCGGAGGCTCGGAGGCTCGCGAGCTCGGTGTCATACTACAAGAAGCCGTACGGCATACCGAGATGGAGATCACAAACAGGTCTTTATCTGGGAGCCCTGGAGCCGACCTAGCCGGTCGATCATATATAACGGCGATGCTGAGCACGATAGACTCGAATCCATCAGCAATAACTTCATAATTGAAACATCAACTACATTCTCAATATGGTTTCCACCGAACCCCATCTTAATTTCCGCTCCTTCGTCGAAGCCCTCAAGGCTGACAATGACTTGATCGAAATCAACGAACCCATCGATGCCAACCTCGAGGCAGCAGCCATCACCCGCCGAGTCTGCGAGACAGACGACAAGGCCCCCTTGTTCAACAATGTCATCGGCTCGCAGCATGGCCTGTTCCGCATTCTCGGTGCCCCCGCGTCTCTGAGAAAGTCCCCCAAGGACCAATATGGTCGACTGGCCCGCCACCTCGCTCTACCACCGACTGCCTCGATGAAGGACATCCTCGACAAAATGCTCTCGGCTAGCACGATGACACCAATCCCCCCTCAGATCTTGGAAACTGGTCCTTGTAAGGAGAACTTTCTTGAAGGCGACCAGATCGACCTCACCAAGATACCTGCACCTCTGATTCACCAGCACGATGGTGGAAAGTATATTCAGACATACGGTATGCACATCGTGCAATCGCCTGACGGGTCGTGGACCAACTGGTCCATCGCTCGTGCAATGGTCTCTGACGAGAGACACCTCGCTGGTCTTGTCATCGAGCCACAACATATTTGGCAGATCCACCAGATGTGGAAGAAGGAGAAGCGCGACGTTCCCTGGGCGTTGGCATTCGGTGTTCCCCCAGCCGCTATCATGGCTTCCAGCATGCCTATTCCTGACGGTGTCAGCGAAGCCGAATACGTCGGTGCTATGACTGGATCCGCTCTCGAGCTTGTCAAGTGCGATACCAACAACTTAAACGTTCCTGCAACCTCAGAGATCGTGTTCGAAGGTACCCTCTCCATCACCGACACTGCGCCCGAAGGGCCCTTCGGTGAAATGCATGGCTATGTCTTCCCTGGCGATACCCATCTCTGGCCCAAGTACACGGTCAACAAGATCACTTACCGCAACGACCCTATTCTGCCCATGTCTGCCTGCGGTCGTCTGACAGATGAGACGGTATGCCGATTCAATCTTCTTCATACATCCATATACTGACTGCTACAGCACACTATGATCGGCGCCCTCGCCGCCGCCGAGATCCGCAAACTTTGCCAGCAGGATGGCCTACCCGTCACCGACGCCTTCGCTCCCTTCGAGTCCCAGGTTACTTGGGTCGCCCTCCGCATCGACACAGCCCGCCTCCGCGAAATGAAAATCACCTCCGTGGAGCTCCGTAAGCGTGTCGGTGACCTCATCTTCAAGGCCAAGGCGGGATATACCATCCACCGACTCGTGCTCTGCGGTGACGATGTCGATGTCTACGAAGGAAAAGATGTCATGTGGGCCTTCTCGACCAGATGTCGCCCTGGCTCTGATGAGACCTTCTTCGAGGACGTTCGCGGGTTCCCCTTGATCCCGTACATGGGTCATGGAGCGCACTCACCAGTCCAGGGTGGAAAGGTTGTTTCTGATGCTCTCATGCCGGCTGACTATACCACCGGTCGGGATTGGGTGGCAGCAGATTTCCAGTCGTCTTATCCTGAAGAGTTGAAGAAGAAGGTCTTGGATAACTGGACTCAGTGGGGATTCCGCGAGGAATGATTTGATTTTGATCTTGGGAGGCTTCAGATAACCAACACCCATGTGATGAATTTCAAATTTAGACTGCATATACACAGGGAGATATAGATTGCACATAGACGTGATTTTTGAAATTTACATGTTGATTCAAAGTGTCTGTGTAAATTGCAGGTTCCAGATTGCCGAGGTGCTACCCTCCGATACTTGTCAGTTTGCGCAAATGGGCATTCAGCCTTCAGCTCCATCGCCCTCTTCGAATACTGCACTTCCTGGTTGCCACGACTCGAACGCTAGTGTGTGGAGCTGGCACTCATCCGCGAACCGGTTTTGTCAAACGAGCATGTCGCATGGAGGCTAGCAGGTTTCTAGCAGCGATTGAATGGTCATATATTGCTCCATTGAAAGCCTTGCTTGCATCTGTGCCGATGTTACTTGAGATAATCCCCGCTCCACCAGGGTGATGCTCGATGAAACTGTTAACATCATAGATGATGGAGTCGATGAGAAGTAAGCGACGCCCGAGACGAGACTCCCACTTGTACTCGTCCAAAGACATCCAAGGCAAGTTTTCCTCGGGAATTCCCCAATCCAACATCTTCTTCTCGCCATCCAGTACCAGTTGTCGTTCCTGGAGTCTTGATTTCTCGATCTCGTTTTTGGGGAACTGTTTCAGATTTTTAACAACCCCAATCCAGTGTAACAAAGATATCAACCACTTTGTCGGATCGTAGGAATACCACTGAATGCCATTCCGGTAGTCCCGTGGAAAATGGTGGTGGAAGTTATGAAACCCCTCTCCCATGGTAATGAGGGCAACCGCCAAGTTATCCCTCGGAGATCCTTTTGACGAAAAGGGTTTCCCACCCGCCCAATGGGCTAGAGAGTTTACACAGCAGGTCGCTTGTTGGACGAGAAAAACCCGCAAGATACCAGCATAGATCAAACCTCCAAGCCAGTCGCCAGACAGCAAGCCCATTGTCGTGGTGGGAATCACAAAGCCCATCGACACAAAAAGCGGCAAGTAGTGGCGAGCCTGCCACTTGACTACTGGGTCCTTCGAGAGATCGTCAAAATCAACTCGGCCAACTAATCTGGTGTCTCGCTTTAAGACAGTCCAGCCAATATGTGCGTACAGCAGTCCATAGTTTACACCGTATGGATCTTTGTCGGAATCGGAATATCGATGGTGAGCTCTGTGGTTCTTGGACCAGGCCTGAATAGTACCTTGCCCAGAGCTTGTCCCGAGAACAGCCAGCACTAACTTCACTCCAGTGCTTGCTTCATATGACCTGTGCGCCCACAGACGATGGTAGCCTAAAGGTGCGATGAGCATCTAAATTTGTTTAACTTCGTCTTTCAGATTTAGTATCGCACCTGCAGTTATACTCAAAATGCCAAGGGAGTAGTAAACCAGTGAGAAGATTGCCGTTTTACCCTGAAGCGGGACAAAACATGCAGCGACGGATCCAAAAGCGGGGAGCAGGATGAGAAGACTAAAGCGGTACCATTCGATCCGTTGAAATAGTCGATACAAGTCTTTGAAAATCGTAATCTGATCTTCATGAAAGGTATCATCTTCTGAGGCGAGGTGGACTATTGCCATAACTCGAAGTAGTGTACTTTCAAGGTTGAACTTCAAGGACCTCGAACTGTGGGTAAGATAGGAAATTGTCCAAATGTTGAAATGAACACTGTATGCTGTGGGCAAAAGGCTGCGGGCTTATATTTATGTGAAGATATGTTTAATACCTTTAATATTAAAGAGTTTCGATTTTGATGATGAAGAACGAGATGAAGCAAATACCGAAACCACCTAGAGCGAAACTGTGTCACCCGACTACAATATTTAGACGATCTATTGCCACCCAAAGCGAACAATCAAGGCCCAACTAAAAGACGGTGAGAACCTTTGTCACTTCACGAGAAGCTCAGTTCCTCAATATGCCACAGATCCGCGAATGAAGTGTAACACAATGTGGCGTCAGTGGTTTCCAAGGTTGCACCGGGATCCTGCATGAAGATATGATATGGTGGGTTCTGCATACATTACACACTCAACCTCGGAATCATGGAAGAAACATCAAGGACGTGTTTACGAAAGTCGCTGTTGGAGCGTGATACACAATCGAAAATATTGACTCCATATTTTCCACTCCATAGACAGGACTGGAAATCCTGCATAAAGTGGTAAATCAATGATCAAAGTTGATAAAATGGAATTATGACGCGGGAATAGCGGGTATCCATCTCCAATGCAGAGTAAATCAGAATCAGCTGCACTTCAAAGCAATATGGTCCCACAAAACGCCCCTTACATCGAATGATCCCCACCTAATAGATTGTACTCCGTACGACATGATCGATTATCTCCTACTACGTGTACTAGACCCGAGCTCAGCTGTTTAAAGCCAGGACGAGAGGACGACCATTATCATTCATGATTCATTCGTTCAAGCAAGCTTGCAACGAACACAATCATCAAGATGTGGGACTTCTATACCGGGAAGAACTTGTTCATCACTGGAGGATCGGGATTCCTGGGGACAGCTTTGATCTACCGTCTTGTTACCCAAGCCCCTGCCGCCCATCTCTATATCCTCTGTCGAGGTGGTCTCCCGTATGTAGACTTTGTGTCCACTACCTTGGTGCCTCCGTCACAGAGATTGATCATGAGACAACAGGAGGCTAATAAAAACATGGAGCGAGGTCCTCCCACAACATCAAGTGGAGCAAATGACCGATCCAAAGGTCGTTTCAGTGCTGGATGGAGACATGTTACAGCCAGACTTTGGGTTGACCTCCAACAATTTGGACATCATTCGTCGGCAGGTTCATGTGATCATACATTCGGCATCCTCAATCGCACTTTTAAGCTCGCTGGCCAAACTGGTTTCACCTGTGATCGAGGTCTCAGAGCGTCTGGCTCATTTTGCATTGGAGTGTAAAAACCTTGAGTGTTTCGTCTACGTCTCTACAGCTTATGCTAATGGTCACTTGTTCTCTCAAACCGACATGACCTCGGAAATTGAGGTTCAGGAGGCTATATTTCCACTGAGTCATTCAACAGTCTCCAGTGACAAAGATGACAGCCTACAGCAGGAGTGGTATCAAGTACGAAAGACTGGTTCCTCTACTGCCTTCGAATCTCATGATTTTCCTTGGGCATATGCATACGCAAAGCATCTTACGGAGCGGCTAATTACGCGTTTATTCGATTCTTCCGACAAGCGTCTACTGGTCATAAGACCATCTATCATTGATCCAGCCCAATGCTTTCCATACAGAAATTATTGCCGCCCTATGTCAAGCCCCCACGTTATCGCCTCCGGGGCATTCTGCTTGGTACTTTCGCGCACAGTGTGTTTCTCATCGCAATTTCGAAATCCAGATCAAGAGTCAACCTTGGATCAAGTTCCAGTGGATGTGGTAGTTGACCGACTCCTAGTACACCTGGCTAGTGGTACCTCTGGGCCGGTTCACACAGTCGCCGGAGCCGCGCGAATGCCATTTCTGCACAGCTGGAATTCTTCTTTCAAATATCGTCGGATTCCCTGGTCTCTTCGACTGAAATGGGTTTCTGACTCTCGGGAATCAAAGAAAATCCACGAAATTGGTAAATTATACCGTGTGATCGGTATGAGTTTCAACTTTGTCGAAGATAAGTCTACAGCTATTTGGAATCAACTTCCAAGATCAGAACGCTCAAAGTTACACTTGTTTGCCGATAAAGACATGTTATTCTATGGTCACAAGCATATTCGAAGAGAGCATGTTTGGACCTGCATAGTCCATTTGACGAAACGGCGGAAAGTGACTCGATGGTTAGCAAAATTGCTATATCAATCCCTGCAATCCGCGGAGTCACCTGAAGGGAGCGAGTCAATTTGTCCTTGTGTGTCCCAAGGCTCAAAGGGGCAATGTTGAGCAATGACATCGTATGCGGTCTTGGAATGTATGAAATACTCATGTGCTCTCGTGCTTGTTAGCTCCGGGTCGTGATACCAAATATCCCAAGCTTACCATGCCCGATCCCCGAATAGGAAACCTTTTTGATCCCAGGCAGTTGAATGATAGGTTATTTTTCCCATAAAGCACGTAAGACGGAGCTTAGCCTTTCCATCAAGTCACAGTATCCCACAGCCGGGCAATATTTTTCATCACGATACATTCTTTCTATCGTGCTCTCAATGAGCTCTGGGCTCTTTAGGGCTCTTTTCGCTTGCTTCTGATTAGAAACCCCGCTCTTCATCAAATTCGACGCTATTCGGAGCCCAAGACCTGATCCATAAAACCACACCCTAGACGTGCGAGCTGACGGAGCCCCGGCGGAGTCATCCCGAGATCGTGTCCAAGTGGCCCAGTCAGGTCATACAGTGTCATCGCGGTGAGCCCTATCTTAGCTGACAATCCTGTCATCGACAATTTATACCTTCAGGTCCCTTTTTTTAAATATCCATGGCTGAACCACAGGATCATAAATGGTCCAGTCTGAACTGTCTCACAGCATAGGTAGCAAGCCCACCTCCAGTTTCAAGAATAATACTGACGTTGAGACCCTTTTTTGGTCAACAGCGGGACATAAAATAAGGGTTTGCACATAGCCATGACGCCCAAAGCTCAGCCGGGACTCCCGACGTTGAAGTATAACATCTCCGCCATCTTCCGGGAGTGGGTATTCCTGCTGCCCAAATGCAAGTGAACCTTTGGCCAATGGAGGTCTCGATGCACAAAGACCAGAGCTCCAGGTTTGGTTACGCTCTGCACCTTGAAACAAGCCACCTCACTAGGTATTAGATTTCTCGAGTACTAATACACCTCTGAGCGAGCATTTTATTTCCATTCAGAAGCCGGCGTGAGTAAAGAGTAACCGGCACTGATGTATAGGTATTGGAACCTACCATCACTCCAGACCATTAAATGGTCTGTGAAAAAGGCAGAGTTTTCAATAAGATAAAGGGTGCTCCGTCAACAGCGCCGGTCTAGACTTTTTGTGACAAGTAAACTCCCACCCTGGATGCCCCTGGGAGCTACCATGGATTCACCACATCGGGGCCGCATAGTGCCGTCCCTACCACATTTCAATTCCAAATATCACGGACAGGTGCGGGTTTGCTGTCATCATGCACTAATAATTTGGATCTATCATTCTGACCAAATGGATCCTGTTGTCGGATTACATGTCCGCTGGCCATGTATATAGCTTTCCTCCTTCCCAGGCCTTAGATGATCCCGGTCTACCATTCAACAGTCCGCGAGTGCAAGATTGACTCTGGGTCCACCGTTTTAAACGAAAGTCTTTTGATATATACAATATCCCCTGGGTCTCAAAAATTCCAGTAAGTAACGCCTCCGTCTGCAATGAATTCCACGCCCACATGTATTCATCTGCAGGATCATACTGACAGAAAATCGCTCCCAGCTATCCACCATGCATTTCCAACTTCCAATTCTTCTGGCTTTGGTGACGCTTGCTGTAGCCTTCCCAAAGTGGGACAAGGACAACAAGAAAGGTGGTTCATCGGATGGCAAGGACGGTGATGGCGATCACAAGGATGACCCACAGCCATGGGATGGAGATAAACATGACGGCCACAATCGCACCATCTGCATCTCTATTCCCGATGAAAAATCTTGGTTTGCTATCAGCCCTTCTGGCGATAAGCATTCTTTTGATGACCTGAAGTGGGATTCTGGCTCTGGTAGCTCCGATGGCAGCTACTAACCTGGGTCAACAGGCTTTTGGTAAGCAGAACACGATATCTACCGAAAGGTACAGGTTGCTGAGAGTTATCAAACATTTAGGCCCCTATATCGGGAGTGAATTTCACCGAGCCACAGTCAATATCTTCAACCTTTAGATGGAATTTGATACTCCCATACAGTCTTTACGACAGTTCGCTAGATACTCTACCGTTGATCTTTTCTGATGCAAATTCCATAACATTCGTTTCAATTTTGAACTTTTAACCTCCCTCTCAGGGTGGTTACGTTCACATCATTAGTATTATCAAAAGGGGGCTCTGCAGGATTGCTTCTGGACTACAGCAAATTTGATCCCTTTCTTTATCTATGCAAACGTTGGCGATGAAATTTAGTTTCATTGAGACAGTATCAACTACCATCCATTCCAGCTAAATTTTCGGCGTTTTCTTGACTTTGGGAGCTTTGCGCAAAGGGACTAAATCTTTACCATTTCACGATTCCTGAATAGTGACATCCGTTGATGGTCATGAATGTGATAAGTATCACTTGCAGTACGTCGGAGGATGACATCCTACCCCCGAGACCATCCCCAGTTATTTTATTTACTTATAGTATATTCCCAATTAGCCTCAGGTAAGATCATCTTTGAAAAAAGAAACCGAAGTTCCGCGTTGGAGTTGTATACTGTCTTATAGTCATCAGGTCACATGACATCGGCCATTCGGCAATTGCCGTGAGTTGCATCCGGCGGCTCACACCATCACCATCCTCACGAACAGATCAAAAATGTGGACAACTTGCAGTCTTAGTGATCCGGACCATACATCATACACAATTGTTTGAGACATGAGCAAAGCTAGTGCCGCTCAGAGAATCTCACTCTAACTCTCGGTCTCCGGCCCCTCGGCACCTTCGGCATAATATGAACGCGCCAAGCCATGACGAAGTCGATCGGGTATTGCGCCTCAAGCGCAAAGAAAGAGAAGCAAGAGCATGCTACCCCTGCAGGAAAAGAAAGGTCAAATGTGATGGCATTCAACCCTGTCGCACGTGTCAGAAGCGGAATCACCCGCATATATGCACCTACGACCCACCACGCGATCCAAGAAGGGAGGCCTCTCACGCTGCCTCGAATGTTCACTCCGCGTCACCAAGCCCAGCACGCGCGCAACAATCGCGATACCGGACCAATGCCACGGTGACTGCTCCTGCCACCACTTCTTTGCGACCTGACGATACAGGGAAGAATTATGTCTACTCAGGAGACAACTCGGTCGTTTCGATACTGCGCTCGAGGGCTTCCGATGCCAATGATTCTATGACCCGCGATCTTGGATCTGTCTTGGGTCTCCAAAATACCTTCAATAACTACCCATTTATGGACTCCAAGACTCCCCAAGAGAAATGGGTATCGTTGCTCGGTGTTCTACCTCAGCGGAACGAAGTATTGAAGTATGACCCTCTCACTCGAAGGAAGATCGCAAACTGACATTCCAAGATTTTTTCATTACTACCGTGTGACAGCTTATCCGTTCAATCCCATCCTGGCAGATATGGATCGCTTCGAGTCGGACATGTGCACATATCTTAATGCTCATGCGGCAGGGGAACTACGAGGCGAAGACAGGATAGTTGACCGATGGGCAAGTGACAAGTCTGTTGGTCATATCAGTCTCCTGTTGGCTACCCTTGCTGCCGGGGCTCATTACTCGGACATTGACTATCCCCAACGGTTCGAATTGGCAAGTGATTTCGGTGAGCAGTCCATCGATGTGGTTTACAAAACAGTGACTTATCCCCACAGCTCGACGCTCCTTCCACGCGCTCCGCCTAGCCAACTTCCTTTTCAGACCAAGCCTCGATATTGTTCAAACACTTCTGATTCTTGGCAATACATTGCAAAATATGGGCCAATCAGATGCGGCGTGGGCTTTATTAGGAACCACGATCCGGCTCGCCCAAACGATGGGATTGCATACTGAACGGAGTACTTTACAGTGGCCGGAATATGTACGGAATAAAACGCGACGCCTTTGGTGAGTGATGCCTCTCTAGCATATCAACCAAATTCTTGCTAATGGGCACAGGTCCACTATCGTCTGGCAGGACAGCTTGCTATGCATGTGCTACGATCGGCCACCGATCGTGACAGTCACCGGATGGACAACCGACGACACTCTTCTGCAACGGGGTGAGCTATCCTATCAAGAAATCATGCACTCTCTGTGCCGACTCATCCTTGACATCATTCGGCCGGATACGTTCGTAGGTGAGTTTGATCGGGCGATTGAAGCTCTCAATCGGCTAGACTCGCTCTACCAGCACGGGCAGCCTCATCTTCAACTGCGCGACAACTGCACAACCCTTCAACAGCACCTCGAGCACCTTGCCCTCAAAATGCATTCGTCATTCTGTGTATCCGTGGTTTGCCGCCCAGCGATGAAACAATCACAACCGCAGCCGCATCTCCTCCAGACCAACATTCTTCGGAGCCGGGCAAAGGGAAGTCTGATCGATGCCTCGCGAGCATTCCTCGATTTCCAAGCACTGAGTGTGGTCCCATTACGTAGTTGGTCGATGGTGCATACTGTGCTGAGCTCCACCCTCCTTCTCTGTATCTGGGAAGAAACGCGAAATGACCCTCAATGCCGAGACCTCCAACAGTGCGTTATCGACGTGTTCACTGCATCTGAGTCTCGAGCAACGGATGAAGGTAGTGCAGTTAACGACGGCCAGTGGTTATCTGCGAGACATATCCGTGCGCTGGTGACTTTGCGCGGAGCCTTGGATCGAGAACCTGAAAGAAATATGGCCGACAGTGAGCCCTGGTTAGGACAAGGTGTGAACAACACTGGCTTTGGCCCGGGGTAAGTATCTTCACGTTGTGTTTTAAACCCTACTAACTTTACTAGAATGCCTAATGACCTTTTCAACGATGTCAACCCGTTTGACAATTCGCCCGTGTCTTACCTCGATATGATCATGAATGGTATGCACATGAGAATGAATTCAACCGGTGGTTGAACGCATATCCCTGCTAACACTCCTCTTGTAGGTCCGATGTTTGACATGAGCCAGGAAAACGGGTTTCTTTAACACAGCGTGATGTAATGAAGTTTGAGGATATTTATAGTGAAGCCATTCACAAAAGAGATGCAGCTATACCTAGGTAGCAACGGAGTAGTCCTGGAATAGAAGCAGAAAGGTAGCGAAGATGCTAAGTCGCTCCAGGTGAAAATCTCAGTGTCAAGACACAATTGTTATGTTTGACCATCATGATCAATGATTGTTGGTTCAGTGGAGCAACAAAGTTTGTAAGGGTACTGATACTTTCTAAGGTGGATCTCTTTGAGAGAAGAGGCCAAAGTATTATGTGAGGGGAAGCAACAAATGCCGATGCTTCAATTTGCATAAAAAATCAGCAGTGAAGCATAGATGCCTAGCTAACCGTATCATCGTCAGAAACCAATTTCCAAGATGTGGCTGGACCGAGAAGACCAGTTCTGGCTTTCGGCATGCTCGGAGGCTCGGTCTCGGGGCCTCGGAAGGGATCCACCGTTATACTCAAAATCGGGCCGTTGACAAAACGGCTGCACGACATCGGAACTCGGCCCATGATGCCGTGAAGAGTGTGCGGATGAGATGAAATCTTCTCGCCACTGATCTGCTATAAATGATTTGCATTGCAGCATGTTCAACCCCGATCATACTTCGCTATACCTCACATCCACAAACATATATCTCACACCACTCATCTCTCAACAGGGGTGATCAACTACGTCGACTCTACTCGTCAATCAAATGCTGTCTCTTCTTTCAGGCACACACACTCCTTCCTCAGCCCACGCCTCGCCAAGTGGCAGTCCACCCGAATCATCAATGCCAACGGAAACCCACGTCCAACATGCTTCTCAGCCAACCCCTCCGAGAAGACGAATCGTCGTCGCCATGACCGGCGCCACCGGCGCGATTCTCGGCATCAAAGCGCTCATCGCTCTTCGTCGCCTCAACATCGAAACCCATCTCGTCATGAGCAAGTGGGCCGAGGCCACAATCAAATACGAAACCGATTACCACCCTGCCAACGTCAAGGCACTAGCCGACCACGTACACAACATCAATGACATGGCTGCGCCTATCTCAAGTGGCTCATTCAAGGCTGATGGTATGATCGTGGTACCATGCAGTATGAAGACACTTGCTGCGATCCACAGTGGCTTCTGCGATGACTTGATCTCGCGCACTGCGGATGTCATGCTCAAGGAGCGACGAAAGCTCGTTCTTGTTGCAAGGGAAACCCCCCTGAGTGATATTCACTTGCGAAACATGCTTGAAGTTTCACGTGCGGGTGCTATTATCTTCCCACCCGTGCCAGCTTACTACATCCGCGCTGCTTCCGTGGATGATTTGGTCGATCAGAGCGTCGGCCGCATGCTCGACCTGTTTGATCTGGAGACCGGAAACTTCTCCAGATGGGAAGGCTGGGAGAAATGAGATTCCCATGTGAAGAACTTGGATCGGGATTTCTTTGTGCATTTTATGGTGTTTCTGGGCGTCTGGAAGTTGCATTTTCCGTTTATAGAAGGAGACTTGAACAATCTTACAATAGAAGGCAAAAATAGTCGATAATCTCACGTGTACACGTTTTCGTGCAACGCAAATCAAGGTTCAGATGGTGTTATGACGAGTGTAGAATATCTTCCAAGGTTCTTTTGCGGCGCCCAAGGTGGACGGGGATTCAAGTCAATTTCCAAGCAGCCGGTTGCAAAGTTGCCGTGAGGGGGCGCTGAGAGCTGTATGCGATGAGGGAACATTTCATTCTGGTCACTTGATGATCCCTGGTGTTCCAAGATTCTTGGCCGGAGCATTGCGGCTCTAATGCACAGTCATTTGCATGGTCTGCCACGACCATTGATTGGCAAAGCTCGTGTTAGACATGTCCTAATGTGGGAAAAGCTAAGCCAGACTGTAAACCTTCGATTCTAGTACATATGATTGACCGAAATTCCGGGCACACGGCGGTTTTCCATGTGTGAAGAACTCAGTCAATGATTTGTTGATCTTTCTGCACTTCGGGCACGGGAAAAAGATTACCGACGGCCCTAGAACAACCATGAGAAAGGGAAATTGAGCTGAACGGGGGCGTCCATAATTGAAAGGCCGGGATAGCGACCGGGTGATTCTATAACCAGGTCTATGGTGCACGCAGCCTGGAGCACTGATATATATGCTTCAACAACACTTGTATCTCACAATATTGGCAACGTACTGAGTAAAAATGTAATGATGCCTTCCAAGGTTTGATAATTTTGCGTAGAGTCGAGGTATGCGCCCCTTGCGTCAGGGCTGACTGGGACTGTATCCGCGGCATTCCCGGTCCTTCGTGCAGTACTCCCAAACCTTGTCGGCGGGTTGTGGCCAAGGCACATTGACACGATTATTTATCGACACAATTAGGTTTCCTTCACCATATCCTGGGCTATCACATCTTATGCAATACAATGGTTTGTCAAAATTTGGTTGTTCGCATGGCAAGAGTCCTCATGATCACCGCCGGTCCAATTTCCGCTTTTAGCAGCAAACAAGATTCAGTATCATTTGAGGGCAATGCTGAATCTCAACCCCCAAAAAACGAGCAGGGATTTACGATCCTTTCGAGGAAAGATGCATGCTTGTGACTAGAGAATCAAGCCAAGTCTGGGGTCGATTGTGGAGACACCGCATTCTATATCTACCCCTTTGCCTCCTTTTGAAAACGAGGAATTCAAAGCAAACTCTACGTGAGTTCCGATCACGAGCTAGGTTCGATCATTGCTTTCTGATTGAATCGATCTTGAATCCCAGTCAAGCGCTCGCAATGGCTCCCTTTTTGGGTGCTCTATTGCTCGCCATCGCCTTCGCCTTGGCCTTGCCTTTGGCTTCAGCTGTACCAGCACTAAAATCAAACAAATGGATTTTTGGTCCGACTGTCACAATTACCAAGCCAAACGCGATTGTGATCGGCGCGTCGGCCAACAATGTTGATAGCTTTGATGGCATCCCATTTGCACTTCCTCCAACTGGACCACTTCGGTTGAAGCCGCCTCAGCCAATCCAGAAACCCCTGGGTATTATCCAGGCAACATCTCAAGCGAGATCTTGTCCGCAGTTTCTCGCCAGTACAGCGACAAGCCATCTCCCGAACTCTATCTTGGCCAATGTTGGCAATATCCCTATCTTTCAGGAGATTGCCAATACAGGCGAGGATTGTCTGACCGTCAACGTGCGCCGTCCAGCAGGCACAAAGCCCGATGCAAAATTACCGGTCCTCGTATGGATCTTCGGAGGCGGCTTTGAAACAGGCTCGACTTCAATGTACGATGGCGCAAGCGTGGTCACAGATTCTGTTGCACTGGGCATGCCCGTCATCTACGTGGCCATGAACTATCGTCTCGGTGGATTTGGGTTCTTGCCAGGGGCCGAAGTGCTCAAAGACGGTTCGGCCAACCTCGGTCTTTTGGACCAACGCCTAGCTCTTGAATGGGTTGCGGATAATATTGCATCCTTTGGCGGCGATCCGACAAAGGTCACCATTTGGGGCGAGTCTGCCGGAGCCATATCCGTGTTTAACCAGATGGCACTGTATGACGGTGACAACATTTACAATGGGTCGCCACTTTTCCGCGGAGCAATCATGAACTCGGGGAGTATTGCACCTGCAAATCCCGTGGATTGTGTGAAGGGTCAAGCAGTCTACGACACGGTGGTCAGAAATAGTGACTGCAAGGGAGCATCGGATACACTAAGTTGTTTGCGGGGGCTGGACTATACCAAGTTTCTCAATGCTGTCAACTCAGTTCCAGGGGTCCTAGGATACAACTCTGTCGCGGAATCGTATCTTCCGCGACCCGACGGAAAGCTCCTGACCGATTCTCCAGAGAGGTTGGTGATTGATGGGAAATATGCGGCAGTCCCATTCATCAACGGGGACCAAGAAGACGAAGGAACGATCTTTGCTTTATACCAAACCAACTTGACTACTACGAACGACCTTGTCGACTATTTTCAAAACCTTTACTTCTTCGATGCCTCTCGTCAACAGATCACAGATCTCGTGGCGACCTACCAAAACAACACGCTGGATGGTTCACCCTTCCGTTCTGGAGACGCGAACAACTGGTATCCGCAGTTCAAACGTCTGTCTGCCATTCTAGGTGACATTTCATTCACCCTTACTCGCAGGGCTTTTCTTAACTCCTCGCACAAGTCAAAGCCGGGTGTTCCGTCTTGGTCCTATCTTTCTTCTTATGGTCACAACCTGCCTTTCCTCGGAACATTCCATGGATCGGACATATTGCAGTTATTCTTCGGGTTCCTCCCGAATTATGCCTCCAAAGCAATGCAATCATATTACCTATCATTTGTCTATGATCAAGACCCCAATGCAAGGGCTGGGAATTATATGAACTGGCCACAGTGGAGCGGCAACCACTCCCTAATGCAATTTTTCGATGACCATGGTGCACTGTTGTCGGATGATTTCCGCCAGGACACATATGAGGTTTTGACGAAGGATTATACCTCGTTCCGTGTCTGAGATTCCAGAACTTCCGCGCGGAACCTAACAATGTCACGAAGTTATGCTGAGATGTGCATATGACATCATGGACTGGGGATTGTTTCTTATTCGGTTAACCTCTGCACTGAACATAATTGTTGGTTGCACTGACTTTATCTCGTAGCTAGCAGTACTGAATGATATTTTGACTATGTACTGTTCGAATCATACTACCTCCACGAAGCAGTCACTGTGGCTGTTGTTCCTGAGCATCCGCTCGGCACAGTGTAGGAGCGATTAGGATCACTTTCCCAAGTCACAGTGGTGGAACCACTAGTCTTCTGAATGAACTTGTACTGGAATACTGTTCCCACTGGCAATGTTATCGTGGCCTGCCACAGGGGGTTGGAAGATGTATAACTTCTTGCAGATAGCGCAATGGCACTGCTCGCATCCCAACTTCCCAGCTGGCTGATCGACCCTGAGATATACACATTTTGTCCGTATGCGGTGGTCACTAGCTCTTTGAACAGCACTGGAAGTGCAGTCGCTTGCGTGCAGGCTGTGCCTGTGGCAGTCGCTGCGGTCGTGGTAGTTGTAGAAGTCGTTGAGCCGCACAAGCCAGTGGTGGAGAGTGATGAAGCCGGTATGAGAGCGCGAGGGAGACCCGAAGTCATTGGAACGGGGATGTTTCCACTTGAATCGACGGTGATGGATGTACATGTGTATAGCTCCATCAGCTTGGTGCCCGAGGAGTATCCGCTACCGCTCAAGGACAATGTGTAAGATGATCCGGAAGCTCCGTTGTTAGAGAGGACCGTGATCACTGAGCCCTTTTTCATGGCCAAGGTATGACTGTCCTGGTAGAAGGGAGAGTTCTGTAGAATATAAGCGATGGTCCCAACGACGAGTTCAGTGCCATACCTTCGTGGTGATATAACTGGAGTCTGCGGAGACCGCCAGCTTGCGGATCTTGTTAGTGGTGGCAATCCACTGGTAGAGCTCTGCCGTAGTAGAGTAGCCCGAAAGCCAGAGGGCTTCGCGGTTGGCAGGATCACTCGCGCCGCTGTAGTGCTGCTCTTGGCCGGAATAAATGATGGGGATGCCATCTGACAGGAACAAAAATGAGATCACATTCTTGGCTTGTGAATAATCGTTCGTGTAACTGATGTGATGTGCTTAGCTTAGTGTCTGTAATTTGGAGGTTGAATTGACTTTACCTTGGGAACCGTGGATTGTCGTGGTTCTCGATGAAATTCCCCAGCAAAGTCGGGTCAGCACAGTCGGACGCCACCGTGTTGATCATGTTGTACAAATTGCTGATGCTCCCACTGGACGATTGGAATGCATACAGCAGTTGGTAATAACTGAATAGGTTAGCAAATACAAAAATGGATATAAGGGTAAATGTCATACATCGGGTAGTTCAAAACACCATCCAGATAATTTTGATAGTCGCAGGTGTAAGCTGGGTCTCCATCGAAGATCTCTCCCACCGAGTAGACACCTGCAGCGTCGTTGAACCCAGGCCAGAATGACTTCTGCACGTGCTTAACAGTATCAATGCGCAATCCGTCAACTGTAAAAATTAACAAAAGACTCTATTTCAAGGATTCCCAACATACTGGAATAATTCGACACCAAATCGGAGATCCAGTTGTTCCAGATTGTTTGGACTGAAGTCTGTGATGTATCCAAGTCTGGCAGAGATACCGTGGTATCCCCGAGCCAACAATTCTCGACATTGGATTGATCGTCGTAGTTGCTGATCAGACAATAGGAGTGGAAATAGGATGATGAGCTGAAAGGGTTGAAGACACTGTAGTCCACACTGCTTCCAATACCAGCATATCCCTATAGAGAATTGTGAGCATTATGAACTTGGGCTACGTTTGGCAGAGGAGCATACCATGTGATTAGCAACCACGTCGACCATCAAATACATCCCTCGGGCGTGCAAAGCCGCTGAAAGTGCCTTGATATCGGCGGCAGTTCCATGATTTGGGTTTACATCGTAACTAGTTCGGTAGATTAGGGCTGAAATACGGTATAGGGGCTTATACCGTACATGTCCTGTTGCCAGTACCCATGGTACGCCGAGCCATCGCCAGTGTTCCCGGTCAATTGTTCGGTGATAGGGGTGATCCAGATTGCGGTGAATCCCATTCCTTGAATGTAATCCAACTAGACGCCTGGTGCATTAGACGAAAGGTTCAAGCGACTTTCAAACACATCACTCACGTGGTTGATAATTCCCTGCCAGGTGCCGCCACAATAGATCTGGGAATAGTTAGTCGTCCTGCCAAAAAGAAATCTGAAGGTGTGCCTAGTTACCCTGTCACCGGTATTGCAAGTAGCGGTGGTTGAGTTGTCATCACGCCCGAATCGATCAGTTAGCAAGAAGTAGATTGATTGACTTCGCCATTCAGCAGGCGTCAGGGCCAGTGCCATCTGCCCCAATAGGAGCAGCACACTTAGAGAAAAGAGCATGATTGTCGTGACCGTGGCTGAACTTTTGACTTGTTCGGTGACTCCGAAGTCCCACGCAGAGAGAAGGGTGGATCGGCCGGCGTCGTCCGATTTATATATGCCGTGTCTGTACATCCGCCAACCAGGTCATCAGCCCACAACCTTCGCACAAGATGCTGCAAATTGATGAAACCTCCGCTGCCAGCCGTTGAAGCCTAGTGATTCCGTAAATCCAGTCCAATCGGTAAATCCGAGTCTGATCATTGGATCGCATCCCGACAACTTCATCTCGCTAAGAGGCAGGGGGAATCCTCAAAAACCTGGAAGCGATGGAAATCTCTCATGCCGGGCCGACATGGTATAAACTGACCAACAGGACTCGAAGAACTTCATCACGCCAACGCAGGCACCTTGAGGGTGCATCACATTAGCTCCGCGCCAGTCTTCAAGGGGGCGATCCTCCGGGGCTTAGCTGAATCCCCGGCATTCTTCACGGCCCCACTCCTTCAGGGCCAGCCCGTCGGTTGGCGAAACCAGAAAATGCAAAAAATCGATGCTCGATTCACATGCAAGTCATATCCCTGCCAAAGCGCCACTTGTATTTTCCTGCCAAATGGGCCAGGGACGAGGTGGGCGGGAGAAAATTGATTGGTCGCTAACAGCGCGCACCGCACATATTAAGACAGGGGACGGAAATTCTGCGGGGTCAAATGTCGGAGATGACGAGGCGGCATTTTCAAGATCCCACCTTATTGCCAACCTATGCTTGGTTTGGGAGGGTGAATGTACGCGACTGGAAGGCGATTCTTGACCAGCCTGGGAGGTCTTGCATGTGTCTCGGGAGATATTCGATCCGCCTGCCGGAGAGGGTAGTGATGAACTCCCCTGAGAAGAGCCCCCGGAGATATTTGCGGGGCTAGAAACACATTCTCAGTGGAGATGAAAAGTGATGCGCGTTGCAGAAGCGAATTAGCGATCTCCGCTTCGACTATGTTTCTCCGCTCCGACTGCAAGCCCATGCGATAGTGTGTGCGGCCTATGCGATCATTATGCAAATCGCTTGCTTTTCCAGCGATGGAATATAAAAAGCAAGGTGATCCCCACGAGAATTCAGATCAAATCAACTTTCTGACATGGCTCCTCGGTTTTGGACTGCGCTTTGGGCGCTAACTTTCGGTCATGCTGCTCTCTCTGCGCCGCAGATCGCCTTGGCGGACTTTGCCTTGGCACCTCGTGCGACGGGCAGTTTGGATACTTGGCTGGCGTCAGAGACTGCAGTCGCCAGGCAGGGGATCCTGAACAACATCGGCTCGGCTGGCGCGTACTCTGCGAGCGCAAAGCCGGGAATTTTGATCGCAAGTCCGAGTACTTCGAGCCCGGATTGTAAGTGCAGAGCTTTCAGGTCTTGGAAATGTACTGATGATGATCATAGATTACTATACCTGGACTCGGGATTCGGCTCTGGTGTTCAAATCCCTGGTGGACATGTTCAAGAACGGTGACACTGCTCTTCTCACCGTGATTGAAGAATACATTAGCTCGCAGGCATACATTCAAACCGTCTCCAACCCCTCCGGGGGTCTCTCGAGCGGTGGTCTGGGAGAGCCAAAGTTCAACGTTGACGAGACGGCGTTCACTGGCTCCTGGGGTCGGCCCCAGCGAGATGGCCCGGCTCTTCGCGCCACCGCTCTGATCTCATTTGGACAATGGCTTATTGTGAGTTACCCAGACAATGCAGATCATAGCTCGCTAACAGACTTAGGATAACGATTATACTACCTATGCAACCAATATTGTCTGGCCCATTGTACGAAATGATCTCTCATACGTCGCACAGTACTGGAATCAAACCGGTTATGGTCAGTGTCACTACACTTTTGAATCTGGACCCTGCTGATGGCGTAATAGACCTCTGGGAAGAGGTATCCGGCTCCTCCTTCTTCACTATCGCCGCCCAGCACCGTGCCTTGGTTGAAGGCAGTACTTTCGCAAGCCAAGTTGGGGCATCATGCTCTTACTGCGATTCACAGGCGCCCCAAGTGCTCTGTTTCCTGCAGTCATTCTGGACAGGCTCTTATATCCTTGCCAACTTTGGCGGCGGCCGCTCCGGAAAAGACGCCAACACCCTCCTAGGAAGTATCCACACCTTTGACCCCGAGGCAGGCTGTGATGACACAACCTTCCAGCCCTGCTCTGCTCGAGCCCTGGCAAATCACAAGGCAGTGACCGATTCTTTCCGGTCGGTATACACGATCAATTCCGGAATCGCCGCTGGAAAGGCTGTATCGGTGGGCCGCTACTCAGAGGACTCTTACTACAACGGTAATCCCTGGTATCTGTGCACCCTGGCTGCGGCAGAGCAGCTATATGACGCTATTTACACATGGAACCGCATCGGGTCTTTGACCATTACCTCCGTGTCTTTGAGCTTCTTCAAGGACTTGTACGGCTCCGCAGCTACAGGGACATATTCTTCGTCCAGTGCCACATACTCTTCGATTGTCAGCGCAGTGAAGACTTATGCCGATGGATATGTTAGCATTGTGGTATGTTCGGCTCTCAGGGTAATAACAGAGTTGAACTGACAAGATCAACAGGAAAATTATGCTCTGAGCAATGGCTCCATGTCCGAGCAATTCTCCAAGTCAGACGGATCTCAGCTCTCAGCGCGCGACTTGACTTGGTCGTACGCTGCTTTGCTGACCGCCAACGAGCGCCGCAATGCCGTCGTGCCTGCACCCTGGGGCGAAACTGCTGCTAGCAGCGTCCCTGCGCAGTGCAGCTCTACTTCTGCGATTGGCACCTTCAGCACAGCGACCAACACGGCTTGGCCATCGACCCTGACCAGCGGGGGGAGGCAGTGGGACTACCACGACCGGAACCGGGACAACTACCAAGGCCACCACCACAACCTCAACCAAGACGACATCCACAACCACTTCATGTGTGACTCCCACTGCGGTGGCGGTGACTTTCGATGTCATCGCTACGACTGTCTATGGAGAGAACATCAAGCTTGTTGGCTCGATCTCCCAGCTCGCTTCGTGGGATACCAGCAGTGCGATTGCTCTCAGTGCTTCCTCTTATACTTCGAGCAATCATCTCTGGTATGCGACCGTGACACTTCCTGCTGGGTCTACTTTCACCTACAAGTACATTCGTGTCGCGAGTGATGGCTCAATTACGTGGGAAATCGATCCAAACCTGTCATACACCGTGCCCAAAACATGTGGTACTTCCGCAGTCACAATCAGTGATACGTGGAGGTAATAAGACATGAGGACGCCAAGTGGAATGCTGTTCTTGTTCTCAAAGGCCTCGGGTCATAACTGTGTTGATGAAATGCTTCTGAGCTACATGCCCAGCCTTTCACTTCTTGGATATACTTAGTCTGAATGATATCATATAGCACGAGAGCTTCGAGTCCAAAGTTCAGCCTAATCGTAGACTATGAGAAATTCCTGTGAAATGACAATAAAACATGTGTTGCTGGTTCTAGAAACGGTAGATATAAGCAAATGAGTCCACGGGTGTTGCTTCTGATGTAATTTATATTCCATGCCAGCTCAATAAGGCGTGGAAGGGGTAAACCCCTGCGGAGCGGAGTGAGGCTCTGCGCCACCTCACACCAAGTCCTTCCCTACAAGTTCGGTGACCTTCTCAACTTCCAAGCAGACAAACGTCGGTGTTACTTCTTTACTGGATTTCGTTCGTTTCCCTGAGTTGAACGTATACACGGCCTCACGCCTCCAGGTTTGTGATTGTTTGTTGTTTATTGTTTACCTCGGACAGCATCACCTAGAACCCCTACGCGATGATTGACCCACGCCAAGCTGCTAGGCAAATGGGGCTGTGCCGATCTGCGCCTGATGAGGTCATCGATGAGTGGTCAAAGCGAGATCGAGAAAATGGACCGAAAAAGGGGCTGTGAATCGCGCCAAAGTCATGTGGGGTCAGGGTTTGTTCAGGATGTTCAAAAGTGGATCTCGCAGTTCTCCTCCGTCATCATCATCCTCTTCAATGCTCAACCCTGGGAAGCACCGTCAGCTGGACTGAATCGCTGGTCAGGATGTGGGCCAACACAAACCCGAGACACCTCGCCTTCCGAGCCCACGATCGACATGTCGTGACCTGTCTGCAGTTTGATGAGGATAAGATCATAGCAGGGAGCGACAACTGCAAGATCAACGTGTACGACACAAAAACTGGCGCGCTTCGGGCCATATTGGAAGGGCACGATGGTGGCGTCTGGGCGCTTGAATACTACGGAAACACTCTGGTGTCTGCATCGACCGATCGCACCATTCGAATATGGGATATCGAAAAGGCCGAGTGCACACATGTGTTTAATGGTCACACCTCAACAGTGAGGAATTTGCAGATATTGCCTCCGACGCAGATTGGCGAGGAGACGGATGTTCCAGTCGCGGTCCACGACTCGCCGTTAATCATCTCGGGCTCTCGTGATTTCACACTGCGGATTTGGAAGCTTCCTCGACCAAGTGATCGACGGAATGTACCCCAAGATGCAGCACAGTGCGACGGGGAATGTCCATACCTGGTCCACGTGTTGAGTGGTCATCAGCATACTGTCAGAGCAATGGCCGCATACGGGGATATTGTGGTTAGTGGCAGCTACGACTGCACTGTTAGGGTCTGGAGGATCTCAAGCGGAGAGTCTCTGCATCGGCTAGAGGGCCATGAATCCAAAATTTACTCGGTCGCTCTCGATCACAAGAGGAACCGCTGTATAAGTGGATCTATGGACCACACGGTCAAGATCTGGTCAATCGAGACCGGCGCGATGTTGTCCAATCTAGAGGGGCACACGTCGCTCGTAGGTCTGCTCGAGCTGAATGATGACCTGCTCGTCTCCGCAAGTGCAGACTCAACACTCCGGATCTGGGATCCTGCGACCGGCCAGTGTCGGAAAGTACTCGGTACTCATACAGGAGCGATCACATGTTTCCAGCACGATCGTCATAAAATCCTATCGGGATCCGATAGCAACCTCAAGATCTGGGATGTTCAGCAAGACTACTGTGAAAGGAACCTTCTAACTGACCTCAGCGGCGTCTGGCAAGTTCGTTTTCAAGGCCAGTATTGTGTCGCAGCAGTCCAACGTGCGCAGCAAACGTACATCGAGGTAAGTGTCTTTGAATGGCTGCTGCTAATCTGTCGCTGATTCATAATTTCAGATCCTCGACTTTGCCTCGCCATACGAAGGCGTTCCTCCCAGCCAGTGGGGGAGGCGAATTGTAGTTGGTGAGCTGGGCGAAGAACTTGAATATGCAACCAAGGAGTGATCACTATATCTGGCACCGTGGCCAGATTAAATGAATGAGTAGGATCCTATCTATGAACCAAAGCAGAGAAGACCTTTTTTCCAGCAACTAGATTCTATCTATCCATTCCGAAATTTGTCTTCTGCGAGCCCAGATGGGTCTCAGGTAGCAAGTTCGAGTGATTTAAGATAGAGAGCTTGGAATTTGCCCAACCGTGTACTGATCAAATGGCCAACATATCAATTTGTGGTCCGCAACCTTGGAAGTATTGGAATGAAAAACTGCCACCACCGATGCGAGACCGAAATACTTAGGTTTTGCTCCCTTCAAAGAACTTTTGAAGATCGCAAGCAACTAGCTTTCTCGGGGTCTACAGGGCTTTCCGGAAATGATGGCGAAACACCTCCATCTCCAACTTGCCAAGACCACCTCCAACATCTCAAGATCGCCCCACAAATACCATGATTCATATGATTCATAGTATCCGTCCCTTCCGACCGCAGTAGGCAAACGCCAGAAGGGACGGATGTTTCGCTGCAACGGTTCTTGGAGACTGTTTGGAGAAAAGTTTGAAAATCGCCGAAGAGGAATCTTTCCAAGGTTCTTCTTTTAGCTGACAAAAATCGATTAGGAACAATCATGATGCTGGAATTGAACGTATAGTTGTTTGTCTCACTATAAGTATCTGTTCTTCTCCCTGACTTTGTGAAGTTTACTCTTTCATAGCAATCGACCCGTCACATCCTTTGGACATATCTCGTTATACCCACAACGCGGCATAGCTAGGGGAGCCACGCAAAGATGACCAAGCTCTTTGAACCACTGAATATTGGACCGATGTCTTTAAAGCACCGCGTCGTCATAGCCCCCCCACACGTTTCCGTGCAGATGACGATCATGTTCAGCTATCCATGGCAATCGAATACTACTGCCAACGAGCATCTGTTCCTGGTACTCTTCTCATTACCGAATCATCGCTCATATCCCCGGCTCACGGTGGTTTTCCCAACGCACCTGGAATGTGGAACGATGCACAGGTCGATGTATGGAAGAAAATTGTCTATGCAGTTCATGCACGTGGATGCTACATCGTCTGCCAATTGCTTGCCCCAGGCCGCGCTGCAGATGCTCAGACATTGCAAAGGGAAGGCGGCCACGAGGTATTATCATCGAGCCCAGTCCCATTGACGGATGTCGCTCCGGTTCCTAAGGCTATGTCAGAAGATCAAATTCAGAGTGCTATTGCGGACTATGTCATCGCCGCTGAAAACGCTATGCGTGCCGGCTTCGACGGTGTTGAAATCCATGGCGGTAATGGATACCTACTCGATCAATTCCTTCAGGACACCTGCAACACGCGGACGGACCGATGGGGTGGTAGTATTGAAAACCGTGCAAGATTTGCAGTCGAGGTTGCGACAGCTATTGCGAACGTCATTGGTGCGGAAAAGCTTGGATACAGGCTCAGTCCTTGGAGTAGTTTCCAGGGTATGAGAATGGCACATCTGATCCCTCAGTTTTCGTACTTGATCGAGAAACTGAAAGCCCTCGAACTCGGATACCTGCATGTTGTTGAATCCCGTGTGAATAACAATGTTGATATCGAGAAGACGGAAGATATTCAGTTCGTATTGGATATATGGGGTCCAACCAACCCTGTTTTGGTGGCAGGTGGATTTACTCCAGAGTCTGCAAAAATTGCAGTTGACCACGAATATCAAAAAAGTAATGTTGCGGTTGTCTTCGGAAGACATTACCTCGCCAACCCGGATCTACCATTCCGCATCCAGCATGATCTCAATTTGAACAAATACGATCGGTCGACCTTCTACACACCGAAGACGCCCACTGGATACACTGACTATCCTTTCAGCGCTGAATACCTGACCACAAACAATGGCTAGTCAATACACATTTTACACTAGATTTGACAGGGTATCAATCGGGGTGAAAAAAGAGACAAATTCAGACATTTCCAAAGCATAGTTCTTGAACACAACGATGAACAATAGTGTCTGACCCCGTGACCTATAACCATTCTTCAGGTCCGAGATAAGGAAACTTCAAGGTCCCAACACAATCGAAAGGGGAAGAAACCCTACCTGGTCGAATTGTTTGCTGGCGTTGTGTCCAGTTTCGACCAGTTTCGAGGATATATACCGAGGCATTCATTTTTGAAAAGCGCCATATCGCTCCCTGGAAGGGCCAAATAGTCTCACATACCACTGAAGAGTCAACCGGTATACTTGTACTGAGAAGAGTCCTCAAATTAAAATACCGATCAGCAAATTCGAGTGTGATTGTTCTTTTTAGCGAAGTCAGTTGATCACCGTGTGGGGTTGCTCCGCCAGACGGGCAAAACGGCGAAAACGCCGAGGATCCGATGATGCTGACCACCATGTTGCGATTTGGCCTGACTTGGTCACGGTGGCAACAACGCCCCCAATGGCTCGTATCAGGAGGAAGGGGTATTTCAACGTCTTCTCCAGCGTGTTGACGGACACCGTTTCCATAGGTTGGGTGTGTCGCGCGTTGACAACAATCCCGAGGTTACTCTGATCAGCACGTTTATGAAAATTGCCGGAGATGGTTCTAGCGAAAGAAGGTTTCTACATTGGCATTGATGTCGGAACTGGGAGTGCGCGTGCTTGTCTCATCGATCATCATGGTGAGATTGTCGATGTAGCGTCGGAGAACATTGGACTTTGGCAACCGGAGCAAGAATACTATGTGCGTGTGATCCCCGTGCCCTCGAAAACTACAAATTTCCCAATGCAGTTGCTTGAGGAATGGTCTGAGTGTTGAAGCTGATATCAGTGCTTGACATAGGAACAATCGACCTCTGATATCTGGCGATGCATCTGTCTAGTCGTCCGCCGCACGCTCGAAAACAAGCAGATCTCACCGTCTCTCGTGCACGGGATTGGATTTGATGCGACTTGCTCGCTGTCACTCTTCTCGCGCACGACCGATGAACCAGTATCCGTCACCGGCCCCGACTTCGACACCGATCACAATGTGATACTTTGGCTGGACCACCGTGCCACGAAAGAGACCGCGGTCATCAATGCCAGTGGACACAATGTGCTACGCTACGTGGGTGGGAAGATGTCGCTGGAGATGGAGATCCCGAAGATCCTGTGGTTGAAAAACAATATGCCGGCGGATATGTTTGCGGACTGCAAATTCTTTGATCTTGTCGACGCATTGACCCATATCGCGACGGGCGGAGACACACGAAGCTTTTCCAGCATAGTGTGCAAACAGGCATATATCCCAAAGGGAGTCGATGGAAGTGTCAAGGGCTGGCAGGAAGACTTTTTGGAAGAAATTGGCTTAGGCGAATTGGGTGCACGAAATTTCGATCGCATTGGAGGTGTAAATGGAGAGGTATGTTGATTGGTTATCACACCAGGACGCATCGCTTGGTCCTCTGAAGAACTATCGACTGATGTGATATTTGAAGAACGGTCGCCATCTGCACGCCGGTGAGTTTGCTGGGGCACTCTGTGAAAAGGCTGCCAGTGAGCTGGGCCTCAACCCGGGCACCGCCATCGGAAGCGGCGTAATTGATGCCTACGCCGGATGGATTGGCACGGTTGGTGCGAAAGTCGACATGGACAAAAAGGCACACAAGGCACACGCCGATGCGGTTCTTGAAGGATCAGATGAGAGGAGGGAGGTTTTTTCACGGCTTGCTGTCGTGGCTGGAACCTCCTCATGTCACATTGCCATGTCACCAGATCCGGTTTTTGTTCCCGGCGTTTGGGGACCGTATCGTGACACAATTTTCCCAGAGTGCTGGATGGCCGAAGGAGGCCAGTCTGCCACTGGCCAGTTACTCAAGCATATTGTCGAGACCCACCCAGCATATGAGAAAGCTTTATCCGGTGCTCAAAGTCGAGGAATGAACATTTTCGACTTCCTGAACGCGCGACTGAACGAGTTGGTGCTTGAGCGGAAACAATCCTGTGTCGCAGATCTAGCACGATATTTCTTTTTCTATGGAGACCTTTTCGGCAACCGGTCCCCACTGGCTGACTCAAAGATGAGGGGCTCGATTGTTGGTCTGTCGAGTGATGTTTCTGTCGAGTCCTTGGCCATTTATTACTATGGCACGTTGGAGTTCATCGCTCTGCAAACCCAGCAGATTGTGGAGACGATGAATGGATCGGGTCACCACATTCGATCCATCTTCATGTCAGGGTCGCAGTGCCAGAACAGCATTCTGGTCAACTTGATTGCCTCTGCATGCAAGATGCCCGTAATTGTTCCGCGGTACATCCACGCGGCGGTGTGTCACGGGGCTGCCATGCTCGGCGTCAAAGCTGCCAGTGTTGATTCCGAAGGAAAAACCTCGGATCTTTGGGACGTGATCGACCAAATGAGTCAACCCGGACAGGCGTTCTATCCGTCGACAGACGAGCGTGAGAACGCGATCTTAGGCGCGAAGTATGAGGTTTTCTTGGATCAATGCGCGAGGCAGCAAGAGTACCGAGCCATCATGGACAGGGCGACGGTTTAAGTACTTGTGAGTTGTGGAGTTCAGTTTTGAGGTACATAACCTCAGCTCGCGGTAGCCAAAGGAAGAAGGGAAAGCGACGAGACGCAGCCGAGATGACGCCGGGATTTCGGGTGGTAATCATTGTGTAATGTACTGTCACCGTGAGCATGCGAACCAATTAAAAGAGAGAATGACCAGGTTCTCCCATACATGACATACGTGATCAGTGTCTCGGCCTAGCTGGTGATGTGGGCGCCTGTAGGATAGTTTGAAACACCGCGGTAATTTGAGAATTGATCTCATGCCTACTATTTTTGAATCTCTAGACCGAAGAGTGAAGACGAAACCATTCGAGATCAACAAGCAATTTCCCGATCAAATCCATTTTGCCCGCTTTTTGAGAATCTCTCCGCTTTAAACTTGACCGCCTTGATCCTACGCTCTCTGATTCGCCAGACGACCCGACTAGTCTTAAAAGGCATCTCGCGTCTACTTTCCCCAGACATCGCACTCGTACTGTCTGTACTGACATCAAACCCGGCTCAAATGTAACCGATCCTTGCTTCACTTCCACCCCAATATCTCTGGTGGGTGATTCTCAATTGACAGGATGCATCCAGAACTGGATTATCATTCCTCTAGATCAGAAGATCACCAAGAGGAAGAGGAGCCCCGAGCCAACAAGAGGATCAAGACCGGCCCAGTTCCTCGAAAGCCGGCGTGTCAAACCTGCCGTAAGCGCAAGGTTCGCTGTGATAACAGCCGACCGGCTTGCGGATTCTGCTCTACCATTGGAACCGATTGTGTATATACTACCCGCGGGGATAACGAGAACAAGCAGTATGTATAGCCCGGCACGAGTGCACTAGTTGCCATTGACGCTGACGAAGGAAATTCAGAGAGCTTGGCAAAGTCCTAGATCGTTTGGACACTCTTACACAAACCGTGGAGAGTATCCAGCACTTTCTCACTGCCAATCGTATGTTATAGTTGTCCTCTCAAACATAAAGAGACTGACACCTGTATAGAAAACGCTAGGCCCAGTATTCCACAGGAAAAGGAATGCGATTCACGACCACCAAGCTTTCCAGTCAGAGCGGCTGAGTGGCAGAAAGATTACCTGCAGATCCCTGCCTCTCGATGCAGCGCTGATACGGTCCTCACCTGGCCCATCTTTCAAGGCCAATTTCGCGAAAGCGCTTTGATTACTACCCTCTTCCAGTATTCTCACGGAACAGTCGATGACCGTTCATCCGAGGCATGGACTGTACCGGATGGCCTGAGATTCACACCCGACGAGCAAATCCCAGCCCTGGTGGATCGATTTATCCAGAATGTGCACACCAAAAACCCGATTCTGGACCTGGAGTCTCTCATTAGGTCTGGACGGCACGCCGCTGAAGTTGGATTCCAGTGGGATGCGCAATCATGCCTCGTTCTCTTGACTTGTGCTCTAGGGTGTATCTCACAGCCATTCACAGTTTCTACACAGGGATCGAATATGGAAAGCCCATTCCATGAACCGTCAGAACAGTACGGTCGAGATTCCAAAAGTAGCTCTGCCGTTTTGCTGCAGGAAGGCGAGGCCTTTTTCACGCTGGCATGCAGAAGAATCGGTCTCCTGCGATACTCAGTCATTGGCGCACAATGCCACTTCTTCGCCGGAGGTAGGCACCGAGGTCTGCTTTACTTTGATTTTGATTCGCGGCTGACCGTTGTATTCCTCTGACCAGTTTATTTGATGTACACATTCCGACCACTCTCGGCCTGGAACCATTTCTACCAAGCCTCCACATTCTACCGACTACGCCTGAGGCTGATCGATGGGCTTGACAAATCTGTCTATGAGGTTGAACAGCAAGGGGCGTCTGTGGCTCGACGCCTAGAACAAAGTCTCTATTGGTCGTGTTTCAAATCAGAAGTCGAAATCCGGGTGGAGTTACCGCTACCCCAATCTGCAATCGCGGAATATGAATATCCAGCGCTGTTTCCCACTCCTCCAACACTTCCCGACGAATATCCAGAAAATGGACAGACTGGCGCCGACGGGGCCAGCCCTGGCATAGTGCCTTGGTCACTGGATACGGAACGATCGAATCTGCCCCCAAGAGCGATATATAACCACATCACTAATTTGTTCGATGAACAGCAAAGTTGGTACTACTATCTGACGGAAGTGGCTCTGAGGCGCATAGGGAATCGAGTCTTGAACGCCTTCTACCGCGAGGAGCCATCTACATGGTCCAACATCAAACCGTTCATCTCAATAGCCTCTGAATTTGAGTCACAGATTGACGAATGGCTAGCAAACCTCCCCCCGGCAATGCGCTTCTACGAAGCCGACTCAAATTTTGGGAGCGCTAGACATGGACCCACAGCAGATGTCCGAGAATCAATATCACTGGAACTCAGCTGGGCCCTCAGCAATCGCTTTCTGGAGATTCGCCTTTGGCTTTACCAGCCATTCCTGTTCTTTGCCGTTCATCGTCCCATCACGGGGATGGTCCCCGTCCCGCTAACTAATGACGAATCCAGGCTAGTTCAGGGCTTTGTCGAGTCTGGCCTGAATTGCAGTATGAGGATTCTTCAAGCGCGGTGTCTCCGCCACCGTCATCATGGTATCTGGTTTGATCTGCGTGCTCTGGTGACGGCTTCGTTGGTTTTCATCGCGATGGCGCGAAGCGGCAACCTCGGCCGGGAAACGATCCATCCAGAGGGCCTGCGACGTCACTTGGCGCCAACCCTGGAGGCTTTGACATACTGGGAAGAAGAATCCCCTGACATCAAGAAGGCTCGAGGAACTCTGGATGATTTACTTCGCGAATTTGACTAGTTGACGGACCGTTGACCCTACAAAGCCACCCTTCCAGTCAACGAACACGAGGCTTGGGACTAGAAATGTGAGATCATGACACTGACAGTGGATCCCTCCTAAAAGAGCGAGAATTTCGCAAGAGCGGTCACAAAGTTGTGAGCACAAACAAATTACTACCTGACGGGACTCCATCTCTATATTGAGCTGTCTCCTGTGTCTCTGGTGTTTGACACGAGTGTGCTTTGTTATCGTCAGAACAATGTCTGCCGTGCCCTGGGCTACCACCACTGATTCCATCATTTCCGCCCAATATGCTTTGTTCTTTTTGAGGGAGCTATAGCGTGTCTCCGGGGGAAGGAAAACTTTGTTAGCCCACTCAATGGTGCGACCGAGCCTAGTGCAGTTGCAGACATGATCTCACTCTTTCAGCTCGCCGACCACACAAATTGCCGATGCCGCAATGTTGCGATTGTTGTCCTCCAACAGCTGTACAACTTTCCAGCGTCCGGAATACTACGTTTTAGGCTCCTGGTTCTGGCCTGAAGTGCTGGCTCTCTCCGAAGGGCGAGCGAATATACACCATGCAGGTACAATATCAAATTCGATATCCAGCTTTCAACGGCCCATGTCTCTAGGATCACCCACGGAGCCTTGGATACCTCAGCTTCCGAGGCCACGGAACTGTAATTCAGCAACCTGTGGACTACGCAGCCTTGATATGGTTTCCAGTTCTCATTCGAATGGATTGATATGCTCGGTGAGACCATTGAAGTAGCGCGGTTTGAACCTTGCAAGTTATCTTGAATTGAATATTCCTTGCGTTTCCGCCAAGATCTGCCCTTTGTGATTGTCCATATTCTGTCCCACTTCAACTACTCAGACTACCTGACTATCCCGTGATGTCTGTTGAACACATCTCAGGATCCAGTGTGTTCGAGCCTCTAACATCCTCCATTCGGGGCCGCGATGGTGAATGGGTTGCTGTAGGTCTCGGGATCCGGCACCTTGATCTGGAAGTTCCGTCTGCATTATCGAAAGGTCAGCAAGGGTGTCGGTAGCATTCTGCGGAAGCGAAAGTAAAAATAAGTTCAACCTACCCTTGGTTCGCGTTGTTTCTGTAACTTTCGGCCTTTGCGGCAGACACGGGCGGCAAAAGGTATGCGCCTGCCGAGGATTTCACTTGCAATGCAGGTGACTGCCCAATAGGGAACGGATCATTGACGTTCGGGTACAGACTAATGGCGTTCCAAAGGTTGAAGGACAGTTCATCCTTCACGGCGGGGTCTCTAAAGCTTGGTGAGTATTTATCTTTTGTTTGCTTTTATAGTAGCGATAGTACCCTCTGATCTCCCATTTGACAAGGATTGGCTTCGTGATGTCAACACATTTGTTCTGGCCACCAGGCTCGGTGATTGTCAATGCTAGATAATGTCAATAGAGAGATGCGTAGTCTTCTTGTGGATGGGCATACCGGCAACAGATGCGGCAAATGCCACGCCGATGATAGCAAAAGATCGCATGGTGTTGGAAATATAGCGCCTTGGAAGTGTTCAAAATGTTAGATGCAAGCTTGAACATTCGATCAATGGCGACGAACAGCCGTTTTATAGAATCCCGGGCCGCCTGGTACAACACCTAACCTCTAGGACATCCAATGTTTTCTTTTTCCCTCTGAAAGCTGATATGAATCAACTCATCGAGGCCGCTGTGAGCGTCGTATCGAGCTCCTGAGGTCCCTGCTCTTAGGCTATGTCTCAGCCTTGCAACGCAATGACGCGACACAGAAGGTTTCGCTTATTGCGGACGTCACCAGAAGATAAGCAGGCCACCATGTACAACCACCTGGGCATTTGCTGACGATTTGAAGGTTGCTCGTATAATTGAAAGTTTCCAGTATCTGACAAAAATAGTTATCCGTCGGATACGAATTCTTTACTAATTCAGAACCCACAAAGAGACATCGTGGAAAGCTCGAATACGAGAGCACAGATCAGGAGGAGTGTTACGAGACCCGAGGCCATGGATCTTGTGTGCTGCTTCATGTTTCAATTCCACTTGGATTCTCTTGCATGGTTGCCACGGTCTTCGTGGGGAAGTTTTCGCTTTTCCATTACGCAAGCTCAAATTCACACGAAGGAGAGGGTTTGGAACCTCGGAGTACAGGGGAGATCTCACGATTGAATTTGTTCCATCGGTCGATGTGATTCCCGAAGTTACGATGAAAGTGTGGCTCGCGCAGCTCTCGTCTCACATAGTGGCATTTGTGCAAGTTCCAAGGTGTGGTTTCAGAAAATAGTTACTGCCCAGGTGGTGCTTTGCGTGCTCGTCATGTCTCTGTTTCATTGTGATTATTAAGGTCATTTAGCTCTCACACTTTCTAACATATAGTTATCATTCAAACAATCCGTGACAGGTTGGAATAAGGAACAGAAAGCACCAAGACAAAGATGTTTCACGCAGCCCTACTATCTTAGAGTGAACAGGCGTCAAAGCTACTGGCACAAGTCTGCTGTCAGGGTGACTGGCTGGGGGCAGCCATACACCTTCTTGTGGGCTGGGGTACTGTAGCAGGCAGCATCATTGGCCGCACAGTCAAAGACCTCACAGCCGTCTCCAGGGCTGAGGGAGTTGGGGTTCGCAGCGAATGGGTTACCCCACTCTGTGCTCAGTTCATCTAAAATCAGATTGTCGTTAACAAAGCTTCGTTCTCTGAGGGAAGGGTTGAGTCCACTCACAGTATGCGTAGTCTGGGTTGGAGGAGAAAGAGTATCCAAAGAAGAGAGGTGTACTCAGCGTCTTCGTCTTGGCTATCTTGACGGTCTGCTCGATCAATCGATGGTCAGTTTCCCTTGCTATTTATAGTAACACATGGAATATGAATGGACGTACCGAGCCGGATGTTCTGAATTTCTCGGAAAAGGTTCCACCCTTTGGAACGGTTGTGAGAGGGCCGGGGGCGCTGCCGTCGAAGGGGAACGACTGCACATACACGGATGTGGCACAATGGTTTTTCACGACGGCATTCTGGGCTGAGACCAGGCCGAGCAGGGCACTCAATGTAACCAGAGAAATCTTCATGATCGTTGTTCTGTTTGTTTTGCAATGGAAGCTGATACTACTTCCTTCACTCTAGATCATGGTAGGATCTCGTGGTCTTCATATACCTTCGCTGCTCGGACCACATAGTAGCGATGATGTAGTCTCGAGTACCTGGAGGCCTTGAATCTAAGACAATGCACCCATTTCGAGTCTTGGGCTGTCAGGCCACTATTTGGGAGTTCACCGCATGGCCAATGAACACCGCTAGTGGGTGAGACATGCGCATCATTGCCAATGCACTCCACATCAAAGACGTTACATCCACCCCACGACCCCGCAAAGCTCTCAACACGAGCTACGGCATTCGTCCATTGTTCTCGGATTGTAGAGAATGACTTCAGATGGGTGAAAAATGTCTTAGAAAACAGGAAGAAGTCGGCTTCGTATCGATGAGATTCGGTTTCTCGGCTCCCGTCTAATCGCGCCCCGCTTGAACACGATGTAGGGCAATGCACCCCGCACCCGAGGAGCTTTCTGTCTGTCACACGGCATTTTTCTATTTAGACAGGGAAGATATGTTTGGATTAAAAGACTTTGGGCTTCAAGAAGCTATTCCATGCCCTGTTTCTATTTCCGTTCTATACATGTGCCATTTTGCCGGTCAGCCGCCTTTGTCGAAATATCAACCAAGACATGGTTGGCCAACCCTAGTATAAAACAGTTAAATCAAGTTGCATACCTAGCGCCGGTTAGCTCCAGAGGTGGCTTTGTCAATTGAAGAGCTTCAGAAGACAGATTGTTCTCTGAGGCATATGCCAACAAGTGTCCGGCTAAAAATAGCTGCACCAAACTATATCGAGAGCAGACGGGTAGGAAATGTATGATATCATCTATGGATCAGTCTATATATTAAGATATTGTCGGAGACGAGGAGAGAAACCCTGGAGGGAGAGAAAGAGGTGAGACAGAAAGAGAGAGGCAGGGAAGCTCTGGATCTACGACTATCTACCAGCGGGGCCTGACAAATCAGGCAGCCAGGGCAAACCGGCGACAAACTATGACGTAGGAAGCATATGATTCTAAACTAAGAACAACAAGGTATGTTTGGACGAGCAGTCTAGCAAACCTCTCCCAGCCAACTCGGTATCAATTTGAAGACGATATGATTTTATCAACCCCTGATCTGAGCACATACGACCACAGGGTGTGGAGAACAGGGCTTCCCGTCCGCTCAGCCGTACTTAAGCCACACGCCGGTGAGTTAGTAGTTGGGTGGGTGACCACCAGCGAATCCTCACTGTTGTATGTTTTTGTTTTTTGTTCTCGAGAGGATTCATTTATAACTTGGCTGTTATTTCTCCTGAAATAATTAATTATCGAGTAATGGTGGTTGGTCGACTAAAGAAAGTCTTGGCTAAGCCGTGAACAGATAACCTTGGAGTTAGTGATTGGGGATCTTGAAGTCCATCCAACCTTGGAACTTCAAAGTATTCGAACAGAAAAAAGGAGAAATGCTGTTGGATGCATCTACATTCTATATACAACCTTGGAATACAAATAGCAGTTACACCTTGACTTCTAATATTGGTTTTTTTCATGAGCCGAGAGATCGTCTATTCTATATCTGGTGATGGGCAATGAAAAGTCCCGTAAAGGATGCCAGCAGTGAGCAAGCGAGAGATACAACTGCGAAAATGTTAGCAACAAACCATATGAGAAATACATCCAAGACTCACGATATGTGTGCTTAAGACCGGCAACATAGCAACCAACCACGATCTCCCGCACATGGCCAGTGAGACTTGCAATGTAACCCGTATCTGCCATCGCGCGTTGAATGATGGTGTCGGCACCAGGTCCATGAAGCTTGTCCTTCAACTGCTTCTGGAACTCGAGTCCAAGAACGGTATTGGAAGTGGTGACTCCCGCGGTCATGGAGAACCCAACGAGCAGCATGAATCCCGCCGTTGCCATTGCAACCTCCTCGGCTGGCAGCATGGCCGTCATCGCAACAAACGCCGAGGCGGATGCAACACCTGTGCCAAATCCGCCGGGGAAGATGAACAGGGATTCCCAGAATCCCGTATCGCCGTTCCAGCGAAGATACAGCAGACCGTAGGAGACGGCCGCCACCAGACCCGCGAGCACCAGTAGAACCTTGAAGTGACCGGTTCGCCGGATGAAGATTCCAGCCATAAGTCCACCAACCGTATTTCCCACCACCGCGGGAATCATATGTCCACCCGAGGCGGTGTTGGATGCACGCTGAGTCACCTGGAAGTACAGGGGGACAGAAAACAACATGCCTAATTGGGCGGTGATCTGGAGGGCGCCGATGATGTACGCGGCTGAGACATTCGTGCGACGCAAGATCCGAAGGTTGAAGATTGGCTCGCGTGCAACGTACGCCTCCACTAATACGAACGCGATCAGCAGTCCAACTCCGCCTCCGCCAAAGAGTGCAGACCACCGCGAGTTCCAGGCGAAGGATTTGCCGCCTTGGTCTAGAAGGAGGGTCAGGGCCACGATGGAGGATCCGAGCAGGCCCGTTCCGAGGAAGTCGACTTTGGCTAGCTTGTTGTCCTTTTCAACTTGCTCGGCGACGTCCAGCTTGACAATCACCAACACTGCGGCCAGAGCTAGGAATGGAGCTTGCAGAATGAAGAGCCTGGGATGTGGTTAGGGTGTACTTTCCTTGGCCGTGGTCCTGTGAAGGGTACTTACCATCTCCACCCGATGGTGTCGCTCAACCATCCACCGACGGGTCCTCCAAGACTACGACCTAGAGTCATGGCTATGTTGACATAGGCACGCCAACTTGCCACCTCCCGCTTGGGAACAATATCGGTGATGATGATCGAGCTGATCGTCATGGTTCCTGCACCGCCCATTCCGCTGATCGCACGGCCCAAGATCACCAAGTTCATCTGCGATGCGATCCCACTGGGACACAGTCAGAGCCGAGTTCGATCTGTTTCAAGATCTCTCACCTACCTGAGAATGCAACCGACCGCAAAGAGCAAATACGACAACAACAGCAGGGGTTTGCGACCGTAGATGTCGCTCAGCTTACCATACTTGACGGGCATCAGCGATCTTACTCCATGCTTACGAGGCTCAAATAATCACCTACCATCGGTTGCGCTGCACAAAGACCCAGCGTGTATCCCGTGGACAGCCAACTGGCATCGCGCAGGCGATTAAACTCGGACGAGATACGGCCAGCCGCTGCGATGACCAGCGTCCCATCCGCATTGGATATGAACTCACCTATCGTGGATCAGTACTTCGTCTCTTTTGTTGGAATGCATCGGTGGTCTGTCTTACCCAGAAGTAGCACGGCGATGATGGTCGCGACCCCGGTCACCGGCTTGACCTTGGGGGTCTCCGACCGTGCGAGCAAGGGACTTTCCTCATCGTGAACATCTTGCTCACTCCGTTGCTCAATCGGCTCTGTCTCCGTTGAATTGACCATCGTGAATGAGTGGAAGTTCCGAATACTTCGGGAAGGAGAGTTTGCACAAAATTCAAACCACCCCTTGCGTCGACCCGATTTCACTATTCTTTAATTATTCCACCCGTGTGGGATCGGAAGCAGTTGCTTGGCCTCGCTAACAATCCCCGTGAGAATTTCGAGTCTCGAGCCAAATTGGTGATGGCGTTTTGTTCTCATCGCGAGGCTTAAGCACGCAATTGGATCCACTCGGAGACTCCCAAGGGTCGACTATTTGTTTTTGTTTGTTTTTGTGTTTGTTTGTTTTTTGGAAAAAGCAATGAGAAAAGGAGTTGAGATAACCTTGGTACACTGTACTCCGTACTACGTGTCATTGCATCTGCATCTACTCTGCTATTCTGTACTCTGGCCCAAGGATAGACATCTCGGCAACTCGGTACAAAGTCAAGTTAATCAAGTTAAGCATCGAGACCCACATCGCAATCGGGGCCACCGATGGCATCATCGACATCTCCACATTGAATTTCTCCAGATTTGCCGAGCTGCGATATCAATGAGCTTGCGACAGCTCCCCGATAGCTCTCGACAGCTCTCGACACTCCGCGTTTCCTCACAGCCATGAAGCTCCTCACTGCGGTGACCGCGCTCATCGCCAGCGCAGAAGCCTTCTCAGATCTCCAAATCAACCTCCAATCTGCCGTGCAAACAGTGCTCAAACACAGCAAATCACAAAAACCAAATATTCTCTTCGTCATTACCGATGATCAAGATCTGGAGCTGGACTCCGTTAATTACACTCCTCGGATCACCAAACACATTCGCGATCAGGGAACCTTTTTCAAAAACCACTTCGTCACCACGGCACTATGTTGTCCATCGCGCGTGAGCTTGTGGACGGGTCGCCAAGCACACAACACCAACGTCACGGACGTGAAGCCGCCATACGGTGGATACCCCAAGTTCGTGGAGCGCGGCTTCAACGATGATTTCCTACCCATCTGGCTACAGGAGGCCGGCTACGACACCTATTACACGGGGAAAATGTTCAATGCCCACACCGTGGACAATTATCACTCTCCTCACATCAACGGCTTCAACGGATCTGATTTCCTGCTGGACCCGTATACCTATTCCTACTTGAATTCGACCTACCAGCGCAATCGCGACGCGCCCGTGAGTCACGAGGGTGAACACACCATTGACGTGATCGCCGGGAAGGCATTGGGATTTTTGGACGACGCGTTGGAGGGCGATAGGCCCTTCTTCCTCACGGTCGCGCCGATCGCGCCACACTCAAATGTCGATCCCGATGCTATTGCCTCGGGCAAGATATACATGTCATCTCCAGTTCCATTGAAGCGACACGAGCATTTATTCCAGGATGTCCAGGTGCCGCGCCACGCCAACTTCAATCCCGACCAGGTAAGCTGCAGCCGAGATCGAAATCGAATGAGCTCTTCTAACGTGTACAGCCGAGTGGGGCCGGTTGGATTCGCGATCTACCCAAGCAGAACCAATCAGTGATCGAGTATAACGATCATTTCTACCGCTCGCGTTTGCGCGCCCTGCAGGGTGTCGATGAGCTGGTGGAGTCGCTGGTGACGCGTCTGGAGGAGAGTGGTCAGATGGATAATACGTACATCATTTATACTTCTGATAATGGTTTCCATATTGGTCAGCATCGTCTGCCTCCTGGCAAGACCTGTGGGTTCGAAGAGGATATTCGAGTTCCCTTGTTCATTCGTGGTCCTGGTGTTCCTCGGGGTTATGTGCAGGATGCGGTCACTACGCATATTGACCTGGCGCCGACACTGTTCCATTTAGCTGGCATTCCGGCTCGGGACGACTTTGATGGAACGGCAATTCCCATCACACCTGACTTCGAGGCAGAACGACACGAGCATGTCACGGTGGAGTTCTGGGGTGATGCTGTTGTAGAGGGTGCATTCAGCGGCATCGGTAAGCTTTCCGGTGTTTACAATTCTGATGCTTGGAACTAATCATCCTGCAGGTCCCAAAGGTTCAACCACGATCCCTAACAACACCTACAAATCTGTTCGGCTGCTCGGCGAAGGCTACAACCTCTACTACTCAGTATGGTGCAACAACGAACATGAGCTTTACGACCTTCAAACAGACCCCTATCAAATCCACAACCTCTACCCGACTGCGGCGAGTAAAAGCCACAATCAGCCGCAAATCCTCGGACGCAGCCTTCACCACGCCATCAACAGACTAGATGCCCTGCTAATGGTTCTCAAATCTTGTCAGGGAAAGACCTGCATTCAGCCCTGGGACGTACTCCAACCCGCGGACAATGTGAGCTCACTTCAAGACGCTCTGATCGCGGAGTACGACGGGTTCTATGCCGCGCAGCCTCAGGTCGCTTTTGACTGGTGCGATGCGGGATATATTGTTGAGGCAGAAGGGCCGCAGATTCCATTGACGAGTCGCTACGGGGTGTCGTGGGATGTCTGGGTATAGAAGTCCACGGGTGAATCAATAGACTCAAGATATCTTTGTAAATGAAAATTTTAAATTAGCTGAATTGTTCCAAGGTTATAGAAGTCAAATTCTAGCTGGACTCGTGTCGCTCGAACCAGTAGTCTAGAAACTATTTGTCGTGCCCCCAACCGGTCCAAACCACCTCACCTCTTCGCGTAGACAAGAACGTGTATACTCCACGTAAACAACGTGGCAATAGACTTTCGGTTCACCCGAGGAGATTAAAAAAATTAAATGACACAGCCAATCAAAAGTATCGCAAGGAACAAGGATAAACGTCGGCAAAAAAGAGGAATGTAGTCAAAAGTGCCAGTGATTGCGCCATAACTCCCCGCCGTGTCGCGACAACAAAAGATTGGCATCGCCAATCGGCACAAGTCTAGATGAGCTTCGCGTGGACGACGCAAGGCACTGTAATGGGGCCTTGTTTGGGCTTTTTTTAAAAAAATAATTTTCTCATTGCTTTTTTCTTATAAGTATCATGATCGTCTCCCGCAAGGGGATTGAAACTTAGCTCTCCAACACCTTTTTTTTGTTCTATTTCAGTCTACCCGATCACAAGATGTCTGAGGGTATTCTAAATGAGAAGCATATAAGTGACCAGGTCACTTCTGCTACACCTAGTGAGAATGAGGTGATCATCAAGGATTGGGATGAGGAGGAGTCCGCCGTGCGGCGCAAGTAAGTTCGCGTATTCGGTGTTGAACCATGATCATACTGACAAGCCGTTGTTCAGGGTCGACTTCATCCTGCTTCCTATCCTTGCGGTCGCGTTCTTCGCGTTGCAGATGGATCGCGGCAATATCAGTGCCGTGCTCACTTCGTCCATTACCCACGACCTCAATATCACCACCAACCAAATCAATATTGGTTCCCAGCTGCTGTCGGCTGGTATCGTGCTCTCGGAAATCCCTTCAAATATTATCATGCAACGCCTTGGGCCGCGTGTGTGGCTATCTGGTCAGCTGTTTGCGTGGGGACTCGTCGCTACATTTCAGGCATTCGTGCAGTCATATGCCGGATACCTGGTGACACGAATCCTGCTGGGTTTCTGCGAGGGTGGCTTCATTCCTTGCGCCTTATATTATCTTTCCACGTGGTATAAAAAGGAAGAGACAAGCTTGCGCACAAGCTTGTTCTTCTATGGGCAGATGTTTGCTTCTGCCACCTCGAGCTTGATCTCTGCTGGTCTGCTGAGATTGAACGGTACTCATGGCTTGCAGGGATGGAGATGGATCTTCCTTGGTGAGTCTCTTGATATAATTTGATCGCGGCTCCGTCTAATCGAGTTGCATAGTTGAGGGATTGATCACCCTGTTCATCGGAATCATCTTCACCCTTCTTGTGCCCCCTTCTGCGGGTGACGGTCGTCCTTTGATTGCTGGCGGACGCTGGAGTTACTTCACCGAGCGCGAATCGCACATCATTCGCAATCGGGTGCTGCTGGATGATCCCCGCAAAGCTCGGGGCCATATCCAGATCAAGGGTAGTGATATCTGGCAAACCCTGAAGCAGCCGCGCATTCTGCAACACGTTGGCGTCACTCTTATTTCCATGACTGCCTTCCAGGGCATCACACAGTATACCCCGAGCATGATCAAGTCCCTAGGCTTCGGTGCAGTCAAGGCCAACGCATTGACTTCCGTCCCGGTGTACTGCAGCATGGTCTGGTTGCTAATTCTGTCATATGCTTCGTGAGTCCCGTTGATCCGATCTTAAAATAACTGTGCAGTGTTCTGACGGTTTACAGTGACAAAACAAGACACCGTGGACCCTTCGTCCTCCTTGCCATCACCTGGAATGTGATTGCTTACGCTTGTCTCCGAACGAGCAACCCCCACGCCGGGCAATGGCACCGGTATGGAGTCATCGCTGTTGCAAATGTGTCCTATTGCAGTATGCACATTCTCAATGTCGGCTGGTTGTCCTACTACTGCCGCACTCCGCAGGAACGGAGTGTCGCCATGGCGCTAGTCGTGATGGCCGCTAACTGCGCCGGTATTGCCGGCTCTCAAACCTTCCGCACGTCCGACGCGCCCAGGTACTTGCATGGTCTCACCGCCAGTGCAGCTATTGCGGGTGCTGCGTGGGCTCTGTGTTTTGCACTCGGTGTGCAATACTATTGGCGTCGGAAGAAGGCTGGCTCGACTGATGAGGAGGCTGAAGTGAAGAAGTAAAAAAGACCGGACAATTGCTTAGATACCAAATATTATTCCGGACGCTCTAATTGAATTTATGAACACCACAGCTCTGATGTAATCCTCCCATTATGGAACTGTTTTCAATTTGACTTGCGACCGTTCACAGGTGTTGGCGCTATTGGCTCTGAATGGGTCCAGTGGATTCGCGCAGCAACGTCCGGAAAGGGCAATGGTACCTCGGCCCAAACAGTGCAAACATGACAAACAGTGCAAACCGGGCAAAGTTAGGCCGAGTCGGAGACAAACGGCACAAAAAGGTGTTAAGCGCTGGGATTAACTCCGGTCAGCATAATTCCCCAAGCTAGTCAGCTTAGCCTGGGAGATCCTGCATGAACTGCATAAGCTGCATCAAGTCGATATAGACCCTGGATCATCGTCTGCTGCCCTATATGGCAACACTAGCCTGCACCGTCAATGGAAAAAAACTCTGTCAGCATCCAAGTTGCCTCATGACGCAGGACTTTCTTTCTCCGGACTTAAGGTAAAACCGTGATGACAACCCACAACGGGTCAAGTGGACCTTCATCATGGACTTTTCCTGATCTCGACCAACCCGATGGTTGAATGAGATCACAAATCAAAAATCATGCTGGAATTTTCGGCGATCGTCGTGGAGCCCGTGGAAGGGTATAAAGAATGGCGCCAGCTCTGGTAGCCAAGGGTCCATCATTCACTGTTGCGTCTCGTCAAAAGTTATACAATGTCTTCCACCGATTACAAGTTCGAAGGATGGATGGGTCTCAACCCCGAAGCCGGCCAGGGAAAGATGGTCTGGCAGGAGTTTGAGCCCAAGCCCTGGGAGGAGACTGATATCGACATCAAGATCTCTCACTGTGGTATCTGTGGCTCCGACCTGCACACTCTCCGCAGTGGATGGGTAAGCTCTCTCTCTCTCTCTCTTTCGATCACACTTTGTCTTCATGTCAGCATACTGATCCTTGTAGGGACCCTCCAACTACCCCTGCTGCGTCGGCCACGAGCTCGTCGGTACCGCCGTCCGCGTCGGTTCCAAGGCCACGGGCGATATCAAGGTCGGTGACCGTGTCGGTGTTGGTGCCCAGAGCGCCGCCTGCCAGAACGCCGATGGAAACTGTGAGGCCTGCGCCGCCGGTCTCGAGCAGCACTGCACCCGCATGGTCGGTACCTACAACGGCACCTATGCCAACGGCGGCAAGTCGTACGGTGGCTACGCCACCTTCAACCGTGCTCCCTCCCACTTCGTGATCAAGATCCCCGACGCCATCTCCTCTGCCGACGCCGCCCCCATGCTCTGCGGCGGTATCACCACATACTCCCCTCTGCGCCAGAACGGCTGTGGCCCCGGCAAGTCCGTTGGTATCGTCGGTGTTGGTGGTCTCGGCCACTTCGGTATCCTCTTCGCCAAGGCTCTCGGTGCCGACCGCGTCGTCGCCATCTCCCGCAAGTCGGACAAGAAGGAGGACGCCTTGAAGCTCGGTGCTGATGACTTCATTGCCACCGGTGAGGACAAGGACTGGGAAACCAAGCACGCTTCCTCCCTCGACCTGATCATCTCCACCGCTTCTTCCTCCAAGATGCCCATTGTCGGATACTGCAACCTGCTCCGCTTCCGCGGTACCTTCATCCAGCTGGGTGCCCCTGAGGATGGTGCTCTGGAGATCCCCGCCTTCGCCCTGATCGTCAAGGGTCTGAAGCTGGGTGGTTCCTTGATCGGTAGCCCCGATGAGATTCGTGAGATGCTTGCCCTCGCTGCTGAGAAGGGTGTCAAGCCCTGGATCCAGGAGCGTCCCATGAAGGATGCCAACCAGGCTATCCTGGATATGGATAACGGCGATGCTCGTTACCGCTACGTCCTGACCAACTAAATCAGCGATGAACCATAATGAGTGATGAACGAGCTTAGCGGAAGGAATTAGATATAGAATACACATGATTCACAGACGTCACCTTTCATTTCAACATGAAGCTTGAAACCTGTAGGATCCCTGAGGTCGAAGCGCAAAGCGGACAGACATCACGCATGTTTCATCCTTGTTGGAGATACTGTGTTGAGTTTTGTTGATGTCTGAGGACTGAGAGCATGTCGGTATGAATGATTGTAAGAGAAGAAATCGACCAGCTGGGGGTATGTCAGGGTATGTCATTCTCAAGGTCCCCATTGCCAGGGTCCTCAGCGAAGTGGACCTGAACTGGTGCCAAGCCGATGTAAGCATTGAGGTCATCTCGATTGGCACTTGGTTCCATTGCATCTAGCAGTAAGTTTTGTCCTCATTCTCCGTGGATAAGATATTCCCTTTGATCATGATTTGGTTGATCAGATCGAGGTCTCTCAAGAACCCACTCACTACTTGGTTCCAGTCGATTCAACTGAATGACTCGTTTGCTCTTTGGCTTGATCTCAATACTTTCAGCAAGTTTACTTCATTGATTCTGGAAGACTGCTCCTCAAATGCTCTCAAATCTTGGTTATGCAACCTGGCTTTGTTTGCGCAAGAGCCTCAATTCCGACATGCTTTCAGTCAGATCAATGAGAAAAGGAAAGACAATGATAATTTCCTCATGGACCTTGGCCCGTATATTCCATGTCTTGCCTCTGGTCCCATTCCCATTTTACTTCTCACTGCTCTGATCAACATTCAGAGGAAGGCGCTGCAGCAAACCGGAAAGCTCGATGGCCAGCAGTCGCACGCGACGATCGACCAAACCTCATCTCCGACCAACACCACAATCCAACACAACTCGTCCTCCTTCATCTTCAGCTTCGCTCACACAGTTTTGCACTTTCATCGTCATCATCTCCCTTCTCGGACTGACCTTGAACAAACAAACCTGCCTGTCAAACACAGATCTCGCATATCTTTCATTCCTGCTCTCTTCGCTGACCAGAACTCTCTATCCAAAACCCACAACTCCACTCGCGCAAATGAATCAGCTACCATTTGGCATGGATGGAATAAACTTCCTCCTCGATGATCGAGGGCTCCGGATCCATCCCAGCACCATTCTCAGCGTCGGTACTTACGCCGTGGTCATTCGCCAAAATGATGTGGCCGTCAAGATGCCCATCGTCCACTCATTCGACGGAGTCATGTCCATCCACAAAAATCGCGCCAAGATGCAGGCTGAGCAATTGGTCTACAGACAGCTCATGCCGGACCCCACTGCAACTCTTGAAGGCGTTGTCCCCTGTGTGCGCATGTGGAGCTACACCATCGAACTTCAATACATGTCCCAAGGCACTCTGGGTGTAATGCTCCAAACTCGAGGCATCTCCCCCATTCCACTTCAGAGGCGGTGGATTCGCCAGCTCGCGACCGGTCTTCGAAACATACATGCACGTCGAGTCCTTCACAATGACCTTGCCCTGCGCAATATCCTCCTGGATGGATCCCTCAATGTTATGATCACGGACTTCGGTGTCTCGTCTATCGTTCCGCTCGGTTTGGATATGATGCTATACAGGGATCGCCACGGTTGTTCCATGTGGACGGATCTGGTTCAACTGGGCTCGATCATCTATCACATCGTCACTGGGGTGCCTTCCCGCGTCACCATCTATCCTCGACATGACCTTTATGCGGTTCTGCCACCGAGAAATATCTGGCCGGATGTGAGGAGTCTTTGGGCTGGTCAAATCATTGAGGATTGCTGGAATGCTGGAGCTTTGGGTCCGGCTGGTGCACAGGCTATTCTTAACAGACTGGATCATCTGACCTAACTCGATGTGTTGTTGTTCACCTCAAACCTCTGCGTCTTATGGGACGATGGGAAAATAGACTTTTGATCAATTCAATCGGCAATGTACCATGTGCTAATTGGACCCGCCCAACGGAGCCTTGGTAGTCCTTTTGTTAAGCCTGAATACCCGGTACAAGTAGCCAGGGTCAGTCCTCCGCCACTTCTAGGGCTCGGAACGGCCCGCGATCACTCGTGTATACCTAGGTATTGACCCGGAATAAGGGAGCTATGGTGAGAAACTGAGAGAGCCCCTATACCCTGTAGCGTAGGTAGTCCCACGTAGGATTTACGCTCACACTCACCGATGTACATGAACATATTTTCCATACTCAGGTGCTGGATATATAATTCAATGTTCTTGCGTTGATGAACTTATTCAAATGGTGGTTTGGTAGTGACATTGGCAAACTATTGTGCTCTGACCCTCAAAAGGCAGGCCACCATGAGCCATCTAAGTATCAGTTCAGCAGGAGAGACTGGAGGCACCAGTGCGATGCTCCCTTGAGGCTTTCATCAGCCAGACAGCCGGTGGGGCGCCAAGACCTCGGGTATGGGACACAGACGCTAACTCAATTAGGATATCCCTGGCATCACCGCAACATCCCCAAATGACGGGGCACAGCTATAGACAACATGCATGAGCGTGGGATCCGTGGTATTTTCTCATTAATCACACACAATGGGCTCCAAAAATACAGAGGTGTATCTTGTCGACCCGCTCTCGGCTCACCCGGTGCTTTCCGCGCGAAGGAGCCTAGGCACAGCATCCCCCGACGGAGCATCATAACAGCCCCCAATAAGTCGCTTCATGTGATGTCCGAGACCGAGATGAGCCAGGAAGTATCATTCAACCAGAAGGTGTTTGACCTGTCCCTGGCTCTATCCAGAAGTCGCATGAATGACGCCACCGAGCTGCGGTGCATGCTGTTGAACGTGGATGGCTCCGTCAAGTACTCCGACATGAGAGGTACCAAGGCGACGGTAGCTAAGCAATATGGCCTGGACGGGCGGGATCTGAGAAATGTGGATCTTGTTTCTGAAGGTATCCCGCATATCTTGGTTCGCCCGTCCACCATCTTCATCAGCATGTTCAATCTGCGCCTGCTCGTGCGGTCGGACGGGGTACTTTTGTTCAATTTGCCAATTGAAGATACCGACATCAAAATCCAAGATGTCTTTCTGAATGATTTGCAACACAGGCTGCAACATACCTCTGGCACCGGTGTCTTAACACAACTCCCATTCGAGCTTCGGGTAGTTGATGCAGCCCTTGCCTCGGTGATTGCCGTCCTAGAAGCAGAGCATGTGCTGATCCGAGGCGAAGTGGAAGAAAGTCTGCGTGACTCGACGCGAGAAGATATCGTCCACTCGGTTCTGCGCGGGCTGCAGGACCACGGTAAACGGCTGGTTGCCATTGAGCAACGCGCACGACAGGTTCGATCCGCGCTGCAGGAGCTGCTTGGAAATGATCAGGATATGGCCACCATGTATTTGTCCGACTACCAGTCTGGCAGGCCACATACGGTCGAGGATCACCAAGGTGTGGAATACCTTATAGAGGCATACTATAAGAACACAGATGCAATTGCGGAGTCGGCGAGCGCATTGCTGGGGGATGTGAATCGCACCACCGACACCATTCAATCGATCCTGGATGTCCGGCGCAACCAGATTATGATATTCGAAGCGCAGCTCGAGATTTGCATGCTTGGATTCGCGGTCTCAACTTTTGTGGCGGGCCTGTTTGGAATGAATGTGGTCAACGACTTTGAAGAGAGCACGTCAGCATTCGCAGTACTCGTTGGCGCCTGTGTGGTAGGCACTGCCATGATTGCACGATATGGGATGTGGAAGCTCAACAAATTCCGCAAGCTGCAATTTTAGAGCTGTACATATTGCCAGCTAGAATGAGGATGGAAGAAAGGTAGAAAGATGAAAGGAAGAAAGGCAGAGAAGCTCTGGAAATCCACGGTGTTGAGGGTAGCAGCCCTCCTTCCCAACTATAAATACACCCCGCCTTCTTCACCCCGCTCTTCTCTTCTCTCTTCCTCTCTTCATCCTCATCGTACTTCAAACCCATCGTCAAACAACCTCAACCTTATTTTGAACCTTCAACATGGCTCCACAGGACAACTACGGCAACGAGTACACCTACCGGGGCTCAGGCACCAACAGCCAGGTAAGTCTCAATTCACACGACACCCAACAGACTCTAACAGCAAGTCAAAGGGCAACCACTACTGCAACCGTGACTTCGGTTCCGAAGCCCCAAATTCCAACGCTTACCACTACTCCAACCAGTAAGTGAGACCCCAACATCTCTACTCTACAACTTTGATTATTCAAGACACCATCAGATCTCGCCCAGTGAGCTAACATGTTGCTATTTCTCAGGAATGGCTCCTACTACTACTCGAACCCCGATGGCTCGACTTACTACAACTCTGGCAACGGTTCGTCCACCTACACTCCACCAAGCCAGGACTCGCAGGGCTCGCAGGGCTCCGCAAAGTCCAGCAAGTAAGCTCGTCCTCCAGCGATGAGACTTACTCGGCAAGAGTCACGTCTGGGCCACTCGACCTGCGTTGGGTCTGCACTTCTTTCAGCGATTCGATGGAAATTGGGGAACTTATTTATTTTGCCTGGTCTTAAGGACAGCCGACCTTGAGATTGCAGAGCCGAAAACCACAAACACCAAAAATATCCAGCATCGAATACAGCTAATTTTGAAAAATTGGACAGACCAGTAGAGCATCGTAGGTTAGCATCACCTTTGCCCTAATGCAAAAGCGCTGTTGGGCAAACGGTTCAAAAGTACGATGATTCTTTTCACTCGTCATTGGTCACTACTTCCTGCCCAGCACTGTCCGTGGAAGTCTTTTAAGAAAGACCTCTTTGCGCTTTTTTGTCTCTCATATCACTCAAAGTTTCCCTTTTCCCACAATTCGCACACCATCAAACATCTTGCTGACGGTTGATATGACCACGAAATATGACTTTGAGCGTCAAACACGGAAACAAGTACTCTATTGAGAGTCCAGGCACTAACCGGAATGTAGGGCCCTATGCACAAGACAAATATCCAATAGGCTCATTTGGCAATTGAAAGCGCAATCACTTCTGTTCCAGAGATTACGGCGACAAAGTAGCCGACACAAATTGCTACCCATACTCCAATCAGTGAGTCAAATACATGCCTTCGGGCAAGTCTACATTTCGTGTAATAAGCTGAACTGTGTACGCTTCCCAGAAACGGCTCATATGACTAGTTGAACTCCGATGGCTCGAACTATTACAATTCCGGCCCAAGAATGACTGTGTACAACCCGCCTACCCAGTACAACCAAGGCAAGTGGTAGTCTACTTATAATACAACCAAGCGGTCTTCAAAGTTTCCGAAGTTGGCTGTTCTCTCAGGATCAGAGCTCATTAGTTGAAGTCGATTTAACCTGAGTTGGGCTCGCGCAGTATACGGAGGTGTGACTACCAATGAGGAAGGTTTCCAAGGTTGGTTTGCTTTGCTTACATTGCTTCCTTGGTCTCCTACATTCAGTGGAAACCCCGATGGAAATTTCCCCCTGTGCCTGTGACATATTCAGGCAGATGTATCAGTTGTCCGATGTGGTTTGGAAAGCCTGCAGGGCTGATAAAATTTGCTAAATTTCTATAATAGAGAGCCCAGTCTAATTCACAAGAATACCGCTTTGCTGTTGACCCTCTTTCAAAGCAAGCTCCAAGCCATCGATGACCTGCTCTGGGACGCTCAAGAAGGCAGAATGAGATCCATCGACGTGGTAAGTCACTGGGTTCACCAGGTTCTTGGCAATGTTCTCCTGAACCACCAATGGAAGAGCCTGATCTTGATCGCAGAACAAGAACATGCTGGGCATCTCGTGCCACGGCTCGTGCACAGCAGGCTCATTGAATGACTTCTGCGGCTGTGGTCGAAGCTTGGCAATTGCCTCTTGCTGCGCTTCTGGTGACATGTCGTGGTAGAATATCTTCTCGGCGCTGGAGGACCAGCAATATCCGTCATCGGGGTTCTAATGAAAGGCATGTCAGTTGATGCCACCACGTGTGGAGAATAAGGTGAAACGGCACGAACCTTAATTATCATCCATGGGAGCCAGTCTCCACCCAATTGATCCAACACAGTCTGACCTTTAGGAGTCACAAAAGCCGCCATCCAAACTACCATGATAACACCGCCAGGCAGACCGGCCTCGGCACGCTGTTTGAATCCAAGTCCCTCCACAGCGCCCGATCCGACCATTCCACCGTATGAATGGTTCACAACCACGATATGGCGCCCGGCGTCGGCCATCTCTCGGAGAATCTCTTTGGAGTATTCGATGTCTGCATGCAGACCCTTTTCAAGAGGTCCGCCAACGGAAGGCAAAGCGATCGCCTCACTCGCCAGCCCGCGGCTGAGCATCAGTTGTCGGACGACATCGAATGTGTCGGCTGTGTGCCATGCACCAGGCACGAAAACAAAAACTGGCTTGTCGGATGCGGACATTTTGGATTTCGGAGGGAGGTATGTCAGGGGCGTGGGTTGGGTGAAGCTAAAGGGGGAACCTGGTGGCGGAAAGACAACACGAGTCCAAGCAGTGCCGCGCTACAAGTATCGAGTGTTTTACGCGGACTTTGTCCGGAACATCGATCTCAGAATCCACGTGGGATGATCATTTAGTGCATATTGGGTCGATTCCCTGCCGTTTTTTATTTACTATTGCGGTGGCTGTCAGAGGCTTGTTTCGCCACGGAGAAAGTGTGGAGCTCAAGTGACACCCGTCGAGTGGCGAGCCGTTGTGATTTTAGCAATGACCATGAAAGAAGCCAAATTCAACGCTAGAGGCTTGGTGATCCAGTAGCGGTCGACCTAGTGCATCCTGCGCAGCGTTTTGAGGCTAAAGCCTAATCCCGGGATCCACACAGGATGTGTCAAGTCACCAAAATGGCACTGGGGGTGGGGACTGGGTGAATCACGGACAATCCTATTGTCAAATCCTGAAGTACTTTGCACGTTGATTTGCTCGGGGAAGATTAATATGGAGCCCAATCTCAGAAGACCGGACGATCGGCCGGCTGGAGCCGACCAAAGCAGATATTCTTTTGTCGTTCATTTTGGGGGCCATTCCCGGCGGAATTTGAACCTCCTTTACTGGAAGCGAAAATTTGTGAAAACGGATTCAAGAAATGCCGTGAGCCCATTCTTCACTGTGTTACAGAGCATTATGTCTTCGTTGGGGGATCATGAGAGCAATCAACGGACTTTCCGGGCTACAACAATTGCCATGGCGGTCTTGGCGGTTGTTTTCACAGCTCTCAGGTTCCTTGCGCGGTGGAAAAAGGGCCTAAGACCTGGGGTCGACGACTATATCCTTGTGGTAGCGTTGGTACGTGAGAATCCCACGAGGCAAAACGCACAACTGACGATGGGATATAGCTCCTTCTTTTCGTACTCACTGGACTGATGCTTGCATGTAATTGAATCTGGCTCCGAGCTTGTGACGCAACAGTCTGATAGTCAATAGTGATTTATTTTGGTATGGGTATCCACGCTGCCCTGCTCCCAGTACAGAAGGTTATGATGATCGGGAAGGTAAGAAACAGGATCGCAAGACCAGAATAACTGGAAACAGACAGTGCAAAATTTGCTGACAGATGAACAGTTGCTCATAGCCTTTGAATGCATATATGTCACAGCGGTCGCGTGGACGAAGATTTCGATCTTGCTCATGTATGCCCGCATATTTCCGACCAAGGGATTCCGTCTGGCATCCATCATCTTGGGGGTGATATCTATATCCTGGGCCATCTCCATCATTTGTGTTAGCGTGTTTCAATGCACGCCCGTTCCCCGAGCGTGGAACCCCACAGTTCCTGGTACCTGCATTAACCTCAAGGGCTCCTTCATCGGCAATGCAGTACCGAACATCGTCACTGATATCGCGATTTTGTCGTTGCCTGTACGTGCAGTGTGGGGTCTGCATGCGAATCTTGTGCATCGACTGTCGGTCATTGGAATGTTCCTTCTAGGAAGCTTGTGCGATCCGCCGTCCCCCTCACTTGTGAAACAATCAAACTAATGGTGATCTTTGAATAGTGTTATCTTCACCAGTATCTATCGCTTTACCACGCTCTTCCAATTCGACCCCAAGGATGTTCCTTGGACACTGGGTAACGCTTGCACATGGTGTACCGTCGAGACCTCTTCTGGCATCATTTCAGCATGCATGCCGACCCTCCGGCCTATATTCAAGATCGTTTCTTCCAAGTTTGGAAGCAGTGCTGAAACAAGAGATACAAGGGGTGCGGACTCAAAGATTTCCGAGGGATATGGGATCGGCACTTCAGCTTTGAGACCAGGTAATGAGATTCTCTCTAGCACCAAAGTTCAACTTTCGGTCTCTCATGCCGACGATGGATCCGAAGATGAGATACCATTGAACTCGATTCGGGTGCAACGGCATATGACATGGCATGAAAGCAGCCAAGACCCCTCTCATCATTGGTGAGTTAGCCGTATATTCATGTTCATTATAATACAAAAATGTGGTCTAAGTCACCGGGCCATGGGTCAGGTTGACGAACCATACTCTTTTTATTTTCATAGGAAATTCCCCCAAAGTAAGCTTTTTTTTTAGCAAGTTGAGTTGGAAGCTAAGAAGCCTCAGATTGAGACTAGACAACCTGATGTATTGATTGAGCAGGGTTGGCTGAGCATCGTGGACCTGACGCGTTGGCGGTAGGTAATCTCTGCAGAGCGGAACCCCCTGTATGTGACCACCTTGCAATCACCTCGGAGGCTTGTGCATCAAATTCCAAGGTTTTCCTCGAGGCGAGCAGTATGGAAAATACTTGTTGAAGGACATGGAAGTCTTCGATTGGTTGTGAGGCGAACTCTGAATCATCACTGCTTCCAAGTGTCGACGACCCAGCAGTACCGGGTAAAGAATTTCCCGCTACGGCATCACATCGTTTCAGCTCGCCATATTAGAAGCTCTGGAGGTGCCAGGTGGCTGGGGATTCATCTCCCCTCAGTCTCCACAGATCCAGGTTCTGAAACCTCTGTCCCTCCGTTTCTCCTTGTCTCTGTTTTAGTTATTCATTCCAGCAGGGTCAACTCTAGCAACTCTGCACGTAATTTTCGTGATTATTAATGTGAATACAGGGATCCGATGATTTAAATTTCTTCACAAGGCTAGATGTATAGACGATATGAACGAAGACAAAATGGGGAAGTATCTAAGGGTTGTAGTAGGGGTTGACACAAGTCCAAGATGTGACGACGGAGCCACCAGGACCAAAGGCCGATTCCAAAGCAGAAACCGCAGCCCAAGTACCCATACCAGATGTTGCAAGACCACAGCCAGTGTAAATGAGGACGGGGATACTCAGGTACCAGGTTTTGACAAACCCACGAACCCATCGCTTGATTCCACCGTCGAGCCGGACGGTCTCGCCAGTAGCAGGATCAAAGCCCTCTCCAGGAAGCCTGGCACCATCTTGAATCTTATATGCCAGATACATAACCCCTGAGAGCGAGTAGGTGAAGTTGAGACTGAACAGTCCGCCCACGAAATTTGTGAACGCGCTGAACTGTGGAATCGACATGGAGACGACAAAGGCAATGATCCAATACATAGGTCCCAGAGCCCACCAGATATACTTTCCTTTCCTGGATGCAATTGGTGGCAAGTTGAAGATTTCTTGGCCAACCTCAAGATAAACGGTCTTCATGCCAACATTAAAATATAAGACTAGATAGATCAGTTAGTTGAAACCACAGTCAAGATCTAGCGGGTGAGCAAACTTACAGACAGCGAGCCATCCGGTAATTAGGGACAACACATTGCCAACAACCTGAAGATTCAGGGGGTAGACAGACTGGTTGACGTTGGAATAAGCATATTGACCGTAGTAGTTATAAATCTAGAAACCGTCAGTTTGTTTCAGCAGACAAGGGATGTTGGCCAATCTTACGAAAGCACCAAAGAAAACGTAGACCACAGTGATGAAGGTCTGACCCATGAGGAGTCCTTTCCAAAAGTCCATAGGGCGTCGCATCTCAGATAGGAAAGCGACAAACATGACCGCACCCGAGTAAGCATCTTGTGAGGGTAGTCAGTATCTTGGACCGGGCAATAGACATGAAACGTTCCAACTCACAAACCATGCTGTTAATACCGTTGAATTGAGCGGCGAAAAGGTTTGTGTCGGTCGGCTGATACTCGGCAGGTGGGGTGTTGACAAACGTTTTCACCGGTGCCATTGTAGCAACGGTAGCCCATGCTTTGTTGAGAACTCCATTCTGGACAGCAGCAGCAGGATCGGGGCCGTGTTTAGCCGCAGCGACGCAACTATCGAAGCGAGTCAGCATGTCTCAGTATTGGGTCTTTTGGGTGAAAGACTCACATAATGACGAAGGTGACAATATTGATCCACACTGAGAAATTACAAAACCAGCCAAGATGTTTCAGAGATCGCATATAGCCGCTAGCCATGCCAACGACAAGTGAGATGATACCGCAAACCACGAAGCATAGGTTGGCACTTCCCGCAAGCTGAGCGATAATACCAGTGTTACCCAGCAGCACAACAGCAACCGACAAGAACATCTGCAAGGATTGCATGAAGTTGATGAAATGCCTCATTCTGGGACCATAGAGACGGAAGAAAGGGTCACCGAAGCTCATCACAGGGAATCGCGAAGAATCAAGGGCAAGGAAAGTTCGCCAGATCATCATTCCCGAAGCAAATGCAGCGAGGCCCATGAGCACGAAGATGCCTACTCCGAGTCCGTAGCCCGTGTTAGAAAACACGTACGGAGTTTGACTCCAGCCGAGGATGTCTGTGGTGATGAGGTAGAAAACAGCACCCCAACTGGCGTTCTTCAGGGCTCGGGCTGCGGTGCGCCATTCGGCATCCAGATCATGGGTGTCGGACGGGGGAATTGAATTGATGCCGTTCTCATCCTTGTTGGTAGCCACCGTCAACTGCTTTTCGCTCCACTTAGATGTCTCTTCCTGACTCTGCAAGTTCCGCGAGTTGATGACCTTATCATCCTCATAGGCATTCTTGCCGAAGTATCCCTTGATATGTCCCAGAATACCACTTGATTCCACCGCCCGGAACCGGCGATATTCCTCATCTTCCAATTCGCGCTCGATCTTGGCCCAGTATGTGAATTCCTCAAAGGTGACATTGGGGTCTAGGCGGGCTTCCAACCCCCACTGGCGTTGCAGTACACCAGGGTGAGTCTTGGCTTGGACCATTTTGTCGATATCCTCGGGGGATGAAACGGTCTCACGAACTTGCTCCGTTGGCGCGGTCACGGCCATGGGCCCCGGGAGCATAGACATGATCGCAGATGCTGGGTCGGCAGGAGGAGAGCTAAAGATACAACGGAAAGCAAAAGTGAATCAGTGGATAAATCCTATCATACTTGTATTTCGGACGGAGTGAGACAGTGTGGGGAAAAAGAATAGGAATGATGGTTCTGTCCGCGAATAGATAGACTCCCCAATTAACCCACGCCCTATCAAACTACGCTCGTGACACTTTACTGGATGTCACCATAGACCCCGGCGGCCTCCGAGGACCTCATACTGGATCTCAAGGACTTTGCCCAGGTGGCTGAGTGGTGTGATGCGCCCCGAATATGTGTATCTCTTTACACTGCTCGCTGTTTCGTACAGTAAAACTGTGGTTCCTTTGCCACTGGAAACTACTTCGCGCCATGGCTGCCAAGTCAAAACAAGCAATAGAGGCGTCTACCGAATGTCTTGGTACTGAGCTAACAAGAACTGTACATGTAACGGCCGCTCACTGGACGATATTTGCCGAGTGGGCCGTCGTCCACGCAAAGTATATTAAATTAGCGTGGGTCTGATCCTTTGGTCACCCCAGGAGTCCGATAGCGAAGATACACCATTTTCGTGTGTTGATCAGAGTTGATTGGTGGATTTGAGTACAAACAGGCAGAAGCTACATGGAATGTCCACTGGTCCACATGGAATTGGAAGGCCGAGTCGTGGTCCCAAACTTGGAAGCCAATGCTTTCATGTCGGAGGACCCGAAGCTTGATTCAGATAAGCTTCCTCGAACGGCCCTCATTCAGTGCACGTTCGGTCTAATTTGCATACGCCACTTCGGCTATTTGGCCCCTCCAGGGGGCGGCGTTAGAGACTAATTGGGTTCAATCTCCGGGCTTCTCATTTATATCCCTTCTCCGGGCCAAAGAGATTTCTGGGATAAGGAGCTTACTGTCCCAAGCCGAGCGTTGCATTTGGATGTAATCCATGTATTGCTGGTTCCCCCAAGGAGTGGATCTATCGAGATTACTCTGACCACACCGGAGAAGCTGCGGGACTCCGACGGTCGAGTGCGAGGGGGACCAGTCACTGGAGGTATCCCGTTCCCCACTTTCCCTGCAGCGAACACTGTGCATGTGTGGCTGTCCGGCGTTCTTACGGTCGCCAACTCTACAATATGCACTGGTGTTTTTTTTTTTTTTTTTGATGAATCTTTGGACTCACAAAAAACTACAAGAGGGAAATTCTGGACAAAGTGTAAGTGCATCGCAAAGAGTAAAGCGTCATCAGAACGGGTTGAAACAATTGCTAGCTCAATGTTGCCGAATGAACCACACATCTGCGCCAATGGCTTAGCTTTGTCAGATCGAAATCAAACCCGGCGGTAGAAGAGAAGAAGTATTGTTTTACATGAATCATTTGGAGAGGAACTTTGCTCATTTAGATCGCGTGACAGGTTCAAGAGCAGAGCAGCCCTGGAGGGATTGACCAATCACCGATCCTAAATGAATACAACACCGGGAAACCGGCTATACCGCAATGCAGCCCAATTCAAGTTAGTATTGTCCGTACCCCCTTCCCACACATTTTCCAGCAATTGACGTGCATGGTGGATGTGACCAAAACCGAGGGTGCTCTCCATAACCATCAATCGCTCTTTGACTACCATTCGTCGTTCGATAACGATACTACTTGACCCTGCGATCACCAGAGGGAAAAGAAGACAACCCTCGAGTCTGCTTGCGTAGGGTACTCCCTGGACACTGTCGAGGATGTTTGTAACCGAGCGCGCGACAAATTCGTGCGTGACATCGTATCCCTCGACGATTTGATGGAGCCGAAGTCGAATGGCCCATTCGAAAGCAGTCGCGGCATGATCGGCATCGGACGGGGTATCTGAGGAAATAGTATCCTGATCATAGGTCGTCCTCCATTCATCAATTTGATCTTCAATATGCCTCGCTGTCGCCCGGAAGCCAATTTCAGACAGCTCGTCAACTCGTCGGCTGCGGTGATTGGCTAATACATTCACCATCCCCAATAGATCCAAGAGAGCGGGTGTGATTCCATATACAGCATCTGTTGAAACGCCATGGCCGAGGTCAGGCGAACTGTTCCGGCGAAGTGGTGGTAGCAATTCAATGCTACTATCGCCGGTTTGTAATAAAGGCGCTTTGCAACGCGAGATAGTCGACATGGAGTCGAGATAGTGGAACAGACTAATGCAGAACCCCCACTCATCGGAGGCAATAGCTGAGAGGGTGCGTGACTTCAAGATTGCACTAGCTGCTTTCAAGTGCCATTTCCAAACCCGAGATGTACCATCGAACAGCTCAGTCAAACAAAGCAGAAGAACCGTGACACATGCCTCAAAGACAGATCGGGTATCTGAGCTCCCGAGTAGCTCGTTCACCTGAGTGATTGCTAGTCATAATTAGTAGCGTCGCGCGATAAGCAGGGAGGATGGCAATACCTTGACCCTGTCGTTTCAAGGCACGCCCCCAAATGTCAGGGTAGACCCTTTTCCAATGGCAGCCACTCAAACTCAAGATAACACTCGTTACGGCAGCGGACTGTGCTGCCAGGGGCAAAAGTGTGATGAGAAACGGATTCCGCTCTGTATCGCCAGAGCGGCAAAGCGCCCTAGAAACAACATGGACATAATGATTGAACAGAGATTTATCTTCTTCCGTCTGTAAGTGGGAATTTGCACTCAAAAAACACCGACCCAATGGTGGGTTCACTGGGCGTATTCTAGGCAAAGGGTGCGGAAATAGCGTGGCAATAAATTCTTCGTCGTTTAAGGGGGTTGTGGGGCTGGGAGTAGACAGATCGGCATCGTGATCGCCTGTGGAATAGTCATCCCCCGCAATCGTCGGAGATGATGGAGGACTAGGGGTTTCAACCAATTCCAACCGAATGCTGTCAGTTTGAGCAGCATGTACAGGCCACTGACAGGACAGATTCAGCCGACGGCAGTCACTGCAGCGAGGATGGCATTCATCACACTTCTTTTTCCTGAAAGCTTATCAGCATGCAGTGCAAGGGGCCACAGCGTCCACCGACATACCTTGTCTTGCATGGCAAACAGCCGCCGCGGGACCGCGATGCACGCGGCCGTCGCAGCGCATGCGGTCCGCCCGGCGAGGGCTGTTTTTCTGGCGCGCGTGGTTTGCAAACATGACCAAGACCTGCAGGTGCTTAGGTGGTTAGCAGCTCAACATGTCACAAACGGCAACGCATACATACGCTTGCAGCGCGAACATGGTGTTTCACCGTCGCATCTTTGTTTCTGGTAGTATCATCAGCAAGGCTCTTCCCTTCCGACCGAAATACTCACTATTCGGGAGCAGTGGGCACAGACTCGGGTGGTCATACTGTAGTATGGCAGAGGTAGGGGAAGCAAGAAGCGACGGATCCTTTTCTTCGGGCGTTTCCGACGCAGCCAATACTTCGGCTGCGATATCGAAGTGCGGGGAAATAGTCCGAGGCGGTTGCTGCCGACGCCAACTGGTCGGCTATCAGGGTTGCTTTAGTGTAGGCCAAGATAACCCAGAAACCAAGTTAAGGTGTACTTGTTCAAGCTCCTCAGAGTGAACCTGGGGAATAATACATTTTTACTATCGTAATCTGGGATCGTCTGTCCAAGGTGCGGTATATCTGACCCGCGGACCGCTACTCTCGCTTCTTCTGTACTTTTCACTGGGCCTCTTCTCTGGTAAAGCTATTCCAAGGGTTGCCTCTGGGCGGCAATCCGTGCTTACAGACTGGGTTCGTCATTTTACTCCTCCGTACTCCGTATTGTGACTGAATCTGCATGAATTCCTCATATCGCTTACATTATCGCGCTTAGTAGACATAGCGGAAATTCGCGTCATCGTGAACATCCTGAACCTGCGATTTCTGAGCCAGACGCGCCTCGAGGAGGCTCCGTGCTGGTGTTCCCAGTCTTTCCGCTGCGGAGTTGCGCCTTCCGTAGACAATCCTCAACGCAGTCGAAATTATGACCGCGGCCGCGTTCACAGCTACAATGGTGATCTTTGCCGGAAGATACCTATGGTACGAGTCAGTCATGTACTCTCAGTCGCCGACCCAGTCCCTGTGAAAAAGGCTTACTGTGGAGCATTTTTGGCCTGGAATGTTTGAGGACCAATGATGTTGGCCACACTAAACCCGGCAGAGACAATACCAGCGCCGGATACCTGGGGTAGTTAGCCGAGGGCACTTGTCTTGTCATGGAATAGTCATTTTACCTTCATGGTGTAGCCCTTGAAGTTTGCACCGGTCCATGCATATATTAACGCAAGCGGAGCAACGGTCTCTAGAGTTCAGTGGCCTTGCATTGTCGAATGGATGGGGTTGCCTACCGTGTTCACCAAGTATATTCCAACCAGACAGCCCGCCTTATTATCAGAGGGAAGAAAAGACATCAAACAAGACCCCAGTAGTGTTGGAAGTAATAGTAGGTCAATCGCTAGCCAGCGAGAAAACCCCTTTGAAATGGCAAAGGTTGACACCATTGTTGCCACGATACTCACGATTCCCGAAGGCATGTTGAGCAAAGCACTTTCCTTTGAGCTGTATCCAAATCCTTTGATGAGAATCGCCGAGAAGGTTGTAATTACACCGCTTGGGATCGTGATGAGAATGGTCAACAGAACAAGTAGCCATGTCTGGAGATCACCGAACGCTTCGAGGACGGAGCGCCATCTGAATACTTTGGTTCCGACACCAGACTGATCGTCGCTGAGCCGCTGTGCAATCCGTGCTTTTTCTGCTTCGGTGAGAAATCCTGCTTTTTCGAGGTTATCGGGAAGCAGGAATATCACAAGTATAGAGGCCAAGACATTCACTGCTCCAATGACCACAAACATGATTCGCCAGCCTCCAAAAGACATACTGGCTGGCGCATGCTGGGCTCCGAAGGATATCAGCCCTCCGACGATCTGTCCCACTCCTAGTCCACAGTACCAGAGTCCATAGCGTGGCGTCGACTCCGCGCGGGTATACCACATACTCGTGTAAATTGTGAGAGCGGGCGCTGTAGAATACCTCAGTAACGCGACTTTTTCCATTCCCGGTCGTTTAGGTATGGCTTACCTATCACTGCTTCCATCAAACCCAGCAGAATCCTCAGAGCGAGCATGTGAGAGAAATTCTTCGCTGCTGAAGAACAGCATAGGATGATTCCCCAGCAAAAGATATTCACACCCAGTACCTTGGTCACGGAGAACCGCTGGAGAAGAGCGCCCTGTGGGATCTCTGCCACAGCATATGCAATGAAAAATGAAGTTGCCAGCCAAGAAAAGTCGTTTCCGGTCATATTCAAGTCATCCTGAAGACCCATCACGTTCGCATACTGGAGGCTGTCAGCTAGGTTCAGAGAATACCACAGGCGTTGAAAGGTCCTGTGACGTACATTGATCGAGATTTTGTCAATCATCTGCAGGAAGTATGTCAAGAACATGATAGGCAGTAGATGCCAGTCGACTTTTCGCAGCAGTCTCTTATCATCCACAGCAATGCTTCCCAGTGCATAGTCTTCCAATGACGACTTGTCAGGCATCTTCATCTTCTCGGTCATTTCGGTGGATGCGGCAGAATCGGCCCAAGGTATGAAGCAAAAAGGGACCTCACTGGGTACACGTTGACATAACGTTGGCTTTATCAAGAAGTCGAAATCAGATCTCATCCATGAAAGAGCATGTCAACAATGCCCAAACCTTGTTTCCGCGCATGATAAGCGTGAAGCAGCAATGGAGGGTTCCCAAGGAGAAGTGCAAAGCGGCAAAGATTAACTGCGGAGAAGCCAAGCAATGCAGCCGTCGGATAGATAAAGCTGTTTCCGTCGCTTATCGTGCGATACGAGGACAGGAGAAGCCGATGGAAAAATAGAGGCGTCATGTTAATGGATCTGTCTGTGGTCGAAATCTTGTAAAAGTGAAAATATATAGGTCGACTTCCAACGTTGACGCTGGGCTTGTCAGGAAGAAGCGTAATCGCCTATCGTCAACCCTTCCAAGTAACTATGCCCGCCCGTACCGATTCGCCTCTCCAAGTCGCCATCATCGGTGCTGGACTTGGTGGTCTTGCAGCTGCAGTCTCTTTGCGTCGGCAAGGCCACTCCGTCACAGTCTATGAAAGATATGATTTCGCTGGTGAGGTCGGTGCATCGCTGAGTGCGGCGTCGAATGGCTCTCGTTTCTTAGAAGAATGGGGGGTGGACGTTGAAGGAGCAAAGCCGGTTTGTGAACAAACGGAATTTGTGAAAATGGACTGAAAGATTTCTGACTTGATGCAAGGTCATCCTCAAACAACTCATCATGCACAACTGGTCCAATGGTGAAGTGCAAAGCACATACCCACTGGGTGATTACAAGTCGAAGTTTGGCACTGTAAGCCAGACCTTTGGTAATCTGACTTTCTTTCCTCCTGACTCATTCTAGGACTACAACAACTTTCATCGCATCGATATTCACAAACAGTTGCTAAAGTCTGCTTTCGAAGAAGCTGGAGCGGGGCCAAAATGCGAGTTAAAGGTCAACTTCAAAGCGATCGACGTGGACCCGGATAATGGAACGATCAAGTTTGAGAATGGCGAAGAGAGTACTGCAGATATCATTGTGGCAGCAGACGGGATTCGGGTAGACAATCATCCTTGGATTTCCGATCATTTTCCTCGCTAATCAGGACGCAGTCTCTCACTCGGAACATGATTGGTATTACCCCAGAGTTCGAGATGTCTAGCTCCTGCTGCTATAGGTGTATCATCGGATCCGACAAGCTTCGCTCATTGGGACTTGACGACTACATTTCCAACGAAGCTATCGAGTTCTGGGGTGGATTCGGTATCAACAAGATAGTCATGTCTCCTTGCAGCAATGGGGATGTTGTGAGCTGTTACTGCTTCTATCCAGCGTCGCATAACAATGTCCGAGACGATGGTTGGAGCATCGCTGCTTCACCTCAACAACTGGTGGACACATTCCCAGACCTGGATCCAAGGATGAAGACCTTGATGCTCAATGCAGAGGATATCAAGATGTGGAGATGTGAGATTGGAATAAATGCCCAACCCATGCGGTCCATGTGCTTATATTCTTTTAGTATACAAGCACCAGCCATATCCATACTGGGTCAAAGGCAAGGTTTGCCTTCTAGGAGACGCAGGTAAGTGCCTTCGAAACCCATCGCCCCAGTCTACCACGCTCGCTGACCTACGCACAGCGCACCCTATGATGCCCGATCAATCCCAAGGCTCCTGTATGGCCTTTGAAGATGCTGGGGCTCTCGGCCTTGTTTTCAACACATCTTTCCGTGAGAATTACAGTGCAGTGGAGGGCCTTCGGATCTACGAAAAACTGCGCAGGGAAAGAGCTACACGGGTTCAAGAAGCCAGTTTCAGAGCTCGTGAGAATCTGAATGAGCGTATTGGCTGGAGTTCATCTACCGATCGCCCAGGAAAGTTGACGATCGAGGAAGTCTGTGGCTACAACATGAGAGACCATCTAGCTAAGCTGATTGCTGATAGGACAGCCTGATAATTGGGATTATATGTAGCTTTTGTCCTTTCTTTGTGAACATAGAAATCGAAGCATGTCTTTTTGACTCTGACTCCAAGGTTCCCTTGAATTTCGAGCACGCCTCACGATTTATTGCTCTTTATCTCGGATTGCTCTCTCTATCTCAATTCTCGGCCATCCTTTGAGCCAGTCTCATGGTCTCGAAATCTGGCGAAATTTGGAAGCGATCGGGCAATTCCTCTAGATCTGTTAACGGTCGCTTTTACTCTCTCCAGGACTTCATTAGCACCGTTGTATTCGTAAGGCAGCGGTGAGTCGCTGCTGATTTTACAAGATTGACAGAATAACTCCGATATAGATCGAGATTTGTTCAGCGACGATAATAAAATTATGGAATTACTGTTTCTCCAGGGCATACAGCTGTTCCGCTAATGGAATAATAGAATCTTCCAATGCACGGAATGTCACACCCAGCACTTGCTGCACCTTGGAGGAATCACAAGAATAATGCGTCGCAGCAATTCTCTTGCCTGGCTCCCCGACCGGAACACGCTGGATCTCGGGAAGTCTGGAGCGAATCGTATCGGCAATCTCCTGCATATCATAAGACCCCTGGGTAACCAAAAATCGTTCGTGTCCAATAGCCGATGATGTCAGTGCTCGGAGGGTTGTCTCAGCTAGATCTTCGACGTCGATCCAAACTTGCCCATCATTAGCGTTATCATTTGATCTAATCACACAGCGATACATACCGGGTGCCTTTGTGGGTGGAATTTCTCCATCCTTTCCAGCACTGAGAACTTGCCACACGATTTGGTTGCTAGCGTTCAGTCGGTCCAGAGACTTAATTGGATGAATCATTCTGCCAAAAACCATCCCAGGGCAGAGTGTGGTCAAATTGTATCTCACGTCGTTGTCCCGCACATAGTCCCAAGCAGCGCGCTCAGCAACGACCTTCGAGGCACGATATGCAATTGGCTATGGTTGATCAGAAACTGAGTGAGGGCGCGATTGTGATAGGTTCACTCACTACTGCGGTCGCATTCACACCGTCTTCATAGGTCAATGGACACCAGTCCTTCTCCGTGTATGCCACCCCTGGCTGAGGACCGAGGCTGGCATCGTAAACGCTGGCAAAACTGGACATGATCAAAACCCGTCGGACGTTGGGGTTGAGTTTCGCAGCTTCGCAAACAGTCTGGGTTCCCTTGACAGCTGGGATCATCAACTTCTCTTCAAATTCACCCGGAGCAGCATTGTAGTTGAAGGCTGAAGCCAAATGCAAGATCGCATGACAGCCGCCGAGTGTTGCAGAAAATGCCTTCAAGTTGGTCGGATCCGGCACAACTGCGAATTCCAATCGATCCAAATTTTCGACTCTGGCAAACGCAAGTGCTTCACGCGTCGCCTCTGCCTTTTCTTTGGATCGCACAGTAGCCCGAACGTGATAGTTAGCTCGCAGCAGGCTCGCAATGCAGTGGGCGGCGATAAACCCGTTGCCGCCTGTCACCAAAACCAGTTGATTGGACTCCATGGGGGTTGTTCTTCTAGTGAGATAATCTCGGGGGCATGGGAAACGTAGGCCCCAGTTTAGATATAGGTTGCCATTATATAGTAACAGGTTTTGTTGACATTCGGTTTCGGGTCAGCTTGCGTCGGCGTCGGGTAGGCACCCCTCACGGAATCCGAGCCCCCTTTTTACCACATCAAATACTCCACCGGTCGCATTTCCTCGCCGTGGCACTTCTAACGGGTCAAAGATCACAGCAAAAAACAAACAGAATCTCATGATATCAGTCTCATTGCAGGCCCGAGGGTGAGCTCAAGGGCGCCGGTAGATTCTCCGGGACTCCCGATTCTTGGCAGAACTCCCAGCAGCGAAGCATGTGCCTATATATTCCAGATTTCATTAAAATTGTTTAGTTCGAAGGGCTCCAGGCCAAAAAATTGGGTTGGGGAAATCAGAAGGCTATCATCAACTTCCGTAGAAGCACCTATAGGCGAGCGAATTGATTCCGTTCGACCCATGACAGAAGGTTCATTCAAATTTTGCCCAATATTCAACGTGCGATTGCTCGAACTTGGCGCTGGGGTGACTGCAGGGGGGATATTCAGCTCCAGAAACCGAGATGTTGAGACCGAGGAGTCATTCATGTCGTTAGGACTCTCCGTGCCAATGTTCCGTATGTCGAGTATATCCCAAAGAGGATCAAGGTTGATATAAACACTCCTGTCATTTCCAAGCGCAAGCTGCCGTGATGCAGTAAGTGATTCTTCGAGCTTCTTGAGTTTGATGACCTAGACATGTGTGGTGGTTGGCAGGTGCCGGCAAACCTCCCCCAACGATCGGCATTTCCGAGATCACTGAACTAGAAAGGAGGAAGCAAAAAAGGATTGGTAGAAGAGCATATGAGTTGTTGGGCAATCGAGACTGATAATGATGTGATCATGTAGTCTGAAGTGGTTGGAAAGGTAGAAATATATAAACCTGCCGTATTTATACATGGCAAACAGCCCCCCCTCTCCCACTTCCAAGTTTATTGTGAATCTCCCCAAGAAAGAAACATTTCGATGGCGTCAGTGATAGCTCCTTTTATCCGAGTGAATTTAGTCTCATTTAAATCACAGGATGATAATAATGGCTGCCAATGCATCAGGGATCTCAGGATCTCAGATATTTCGAACGTCCGATCAACCACTATATCGCCACGGTTTGACAGCAATTTGCGCGTTGAGCGGAACGTCATGGGTACTACTGGCACTTCTCAATATCTATTACGTGTTAAAAACCTCGAGCAAAGCTTGATTATATGGTCTATACGGCAGACTGTGACCGGATCTGCACTGCCAAGATTCGATGGTTTCAATGTTGGATCCATAAGAATCAATCCATGGAGGTAAACCCCGTGTATATACATTTTAAGTTGATACCCATCCAGGGTGGTTACAAGCCTGAATCCATGGATGCCGCGCTCACGCGCGGTCAAGAAGACAATCGAAGAGAGCTATCACCACCTTCAGGACCTCTTTTTAACTGTCTTTTTGGCTGCCTCTCCAACTAACCGTCGAGTAATTGTGATTGCTCGAGTAAAGGAAGTCTTGGCTAAGCCGTGATCACTGAATTCGTTATTGTTGAATTATTGTTGATTACAAGTTGCAAGGTTTGTGTTTCCACATCAGTTTGCGAGCAGGTCACATGGGAAAGAGTTAGCTTTATAAACGACCTCGGGACGCCCGAGTGCCAAGGTTGGACTCGATCGAAGATATTCTTGGTGAGACGAAGACTAGCACTCCCTACATTCATATGTAAACCCATAACTCATCCCCGCAAACCTACGCGAATATGATCAGCTGTCAGATCAATGAACTCCTTCGCTTGCCATAAGTCTAGGGAACGCATTAGTGTTACTAAACCGCATGCTTCAAAGACAGATTAAATATCTCACCTTTATCCATATGCATGAAAGGATGCGGGACCCCCGAAAATTGTTTTTGGATGACTTCATTTCCATGAGAAATCAATTTTCTAGCATATGCCTCGCCCTCGTCGCGCAACGGATCGCATCCAGCAGTGTAGATCACAGTCCGTGGTAGATTTGCAAAATTTGGTGCGTTGAGAATGTTCGCAAACCAACTGACCGCAGCAAGCTGGGAATCACGCTGGGAGCCAGCCAATGCAATGCTCTGCCACTTCAGATTGTCGAACCATTTCAAACGCGCCCAATTGAGAGTAGGTGCATGCTCCATGGTTTGCATCGAAGGCCATGGCGCCTCAGATGCGTTTTTGTATTTCGAGATGTCATCCACTGTAGGCGTACCCACAGCTACCAGTTTGAGTGGGATTTTGGCATCCCTTGCTAGGTGTGCACATACCAATGCGATGTTCCCCCCTGCGGACACACCTCCAAGTGAGATTCGGGTCGGGTCAATGTTGAACTTCTCAGTACCCTGCGCATGGATGTACTGCAATGCAGCAAATGAATCTTGAATACCGATCGGAAATGCGTGTTCGGGCACAAGACGGTAATCTACGTCAATAACGCAGACGTTGGCTTTCACGCAGATGTGTTTGCAAATATGGGATTCCGTGTCAAGGTCGCCAAGACCCCATCCTGAAATTTCGTTTAGCTGAAAATCTGCTTTTCCCAAGAAGAAAACTCACCTCCACCATGGAAGTCGATATGTACTGGCCATGGCCCAGGAGAGGCAGGTTCATATACACGAACAGGGATCATATCTCCATTGTGGCCTTGCACTTCTGAGTCAAAGATTCGAGCACAGTCCGGTGCCGGTCCTGTTCCGTACGAATAAAGTACGGAATATTTTGTGCGCAAGATGGAAAGGTCAATTGGGCCTCCTGGAGTGTTGGCGACATGTTCATTGTACAATTCAATGAACACGGGGTCCAATTCGGGGAGCACCGAGGGGTGGATGGGATTGAGAGCTTCGTGAGACATCGTGAACCGCACAAACTTAGTAACTTCTCACAGATATCGTCTCAAATGCCTCTATTTGAACGAGCGGACGTTGCTAGTGGATCCGCGATGTGATTCGAGTGCCGTCGCGATCAATTTGCCGACGGTCCGACATGTCGCTAGTGTCGACCCCGCACTTTATCTATGCGACGGGCAGCGGATACGAGTCGGATAGGGAGATATCCTGGATTGAGAGGCGTTGAGTTTTCTCGTCGCTCAAAAAGGGGGGCACCGACGCCATCATGCTTCTAAAGTGTACAACATGGAGCCTGTTCTTATCGTTGGCGCCGGTATTGTCGGCCTGACACTCGGCCAGGCATTGAAGCAAAAGAACATACCCTTCGAAATTTATGAACGTGATGCCACCCCTGAAGCTCGTGGCCAAGGCTGGGCCATAACTCTGCATTGGGCCCTTGAATACATGTTTCAAATGTTACCCGAAGCCACATTGTCACGCATCCAAGCTGTTCAAGTTGACCCCGAAGTAGCGCGACACGACAACGGGAACTTCCTCTTTATAAATCTTGAGACAGGGGAGCCAAAGTTCAAAATCCCACCAAATCGTCGGTGGCGCGTAAATCGCGAGAAGATGCGCCGGGCATTGCTTCATGGGATAGAGGGACATGTGCATTGGGGATGTCGCGTGGTAGGGCTCGATTTACCCGAACACAAGGATCGAGCTCAGCTTTCATTCGAAGACGGAAGTGTTGTCGTCGGAAAGCTGGTGATTGGAATCGAGGGCAGCCGTTCCTTGGTTCGACAGGTTCTTCGACCTGACGCCTTCAATAATGTGCCTCTGGGGATCAACTTCACGGGAGTGGCGGTGGACCTAACCCCGGAGCAGATAAAACCCCTAAGGGATATGGATCCATTGCTATTTCAAGGTTGCGACCCACGCACGGGAGCTTTCTTTTGGTTCTCCATGCTTGAAACACCACAAGTGAACGGCACAGCAAGCACAAACACTGAACGATATCGAGCCCAGATCTGTATGTCCTGGCCTGAGAAGGGAAATGATGACAAGGTAGCGCCAACCGACCAGGACCGCTTGACAAATATGAAGCAACGAGCCCGTGGATTCGCACCGTTTCTGCAAGAGGCAGTGAACCGTATTCCCGAGGGAACCGCAGTAACAGAGATCAAGCTCGCTGATTGGGAGTGCCTCGACTGGAACAATCATGGCGGTCGGGTGACGTTAGCGGGTGACGCTGCCCACGCTATGACTATGTGTGAGTGAATCAATCCTGGTGTGAGAAGTTTCATTCTGATTGTTGAAGATCGTGGCGAAGCAGCCAATCACGGCATCTTGGACGCCTTCCGTTTGATGGAAGCCATTGAACGAATTTATTATCATTCAGTCTCCGCCTGTGTCGCCATTGAAGAATACGAACAAGAGATGAGACAGCGAACCAGGCGGGCAGTTCAGCTAAGCCGACAGGCGTGTCGAGACGCCCATGATTGGAAAAGGCTAGACGAGTCCTCGGCCATATTAACCAAGAGGGCCATAGTCGCGGCATGAATGTTGGTTCTGTGATTTCGTATGTGGTTAAATGTTTGAAGAAGTCAGGCACATGGGTTCTCGGATGGAAACGCAAGTGAAATGTGCACCAAGGGAAGGGTACTAATCCAGGGGAAACGCTCTGAAATTCTATAATAAAATTGAGCCAAGGAAAATCAGCCTCATACTATGTACAACACACTTTCCAAGCGCTCATGATGTAATCGGATTCCGACAGACAACCATGATATTCATGCGCCGTATATAGGTCTCTCGATCTGCATCTGAGAATAGAAGAAAGGAGAGAAAGCAAACTCCAAGGTAGGAAAAGAAAAATCCAGTTTGTATCCGAAAAGACTCAAGGTAGACAATGTTCAAAGTGCGATCATACCGACGCCCGCCAAGAGTGCAGTGGCCACATAAGCAGCGATCTGGATAGAACCAAATGAGGCGCTGGAGTGAATACCGGAAGCAGCACCGCTGGAGGAGGTCGAGGTCGAGCCCGAAGAGCCGGAGCTAGAGTCGGCGGTGGCAGTTGCTTCAGTGGTGACAGTGCCGGTGCCAGCAGTACCAGCTTCCTTCATCTGCGCGGAGCAAGTACCAGAGGCCGCGGTGGTGGCCTTGGTAGTAGCAGAGCTGGCGAAGTTGCAGGCAGTGGCAGCGCGATCCTGCTCGACATAATACTTGTTGAGAGCGAAAGCAAGCTTCTGCTTTGTAGTGCACATGCTGTAGGCACCGTATTCACCAGTGGTGGCGTTGGCGTCGAGGCCGTCGCAGCTGGTGTAACCACAAACAGTGCTGAAGAGCTTAGAGTACTTACTGCTCGACAGCGAGTCAGAGGCAACACATCCGGAGGCATCGTACATGCATTCGCAAAGGTCGATATCGGCACTGGGAGGGAGAGGAGAAGCCTTGGCAGACCATTTGGTGCCAACGGTAGGACAGCTTTGGAGGGCGGTGTTGGTGGGCGTGTAGGAAGCCTTGTTGGTACCGGTTGGGTTGACGCTCGCGATCTCGCTGGAGTAGTACTTGAAGTCGGCCATGGTGCTCACACTAGTGCTGTCAACCACAGAGACAAGGCCTGTGGGATGAGGTCAGATGATGATTCTCCGACATGAAACCGGCTTTGCTTACCATAGTTGTTGGTCTCTTGGAAGTACATGTACACGATGCCACCGGACCAGACCTCAGCCATAGTGTCGCCATACAGAGCCTGAACCTCAGTGAACTTGCGAGGGGTAACATCGTTGCAGCCGTACTCAGCGAAGAAGACGGGGACAGAGTAGTTGTGGAACTCCTCGGTGCGATCTTTGTATCCGGACGCAGAGTAGCTTGAGCTACCACACCAGGAATAGATGTTGTATCCCCAGAAGTCGATCGTCTCGTCAGACTCGTTGCAGTCAAAGTAGTCAGCCATGTTCTCACGGATAGCTGATACATCAGCCGTGGCATATCCAACACCCATGGAGCGGTATCCCTTCTGCTTGATGTACTTCTTCATGTCGCGGACAGCAGCCTTGACGAAGGCACTGGCATCGGAGGTCGCAACGGTGTTGGAAACCTCGTTTCCGGCGAAGAAACCAATGGTGTTGTTGTACTGAGACAGCTCATCGATCACACTAGTGTAGCGAGTGTACAGGCTGGTCTCCCAAGAAGGGTCGCTTCTGTCAATGGATTGGGAGGGGTCGGAAAGATCGGAGATCAAGTAGATGCCGGCTTCAGACAACAACTTCATGCAAGCCGAGTGATCAGCAGATGCGTTGATGGCGTATGTTCTGATGACATTGGTGCGCAACTCCTTCATGATGGGAACATCGCGGGCACATGCAGTGGCATCTGCCAGAGGGTCGGTGTAGTCATCACCATCAGCAGTTTCTATCAGGAATCAGTACAGTTGCTTGATCCACAGAAGCATTTGACCTACGCTGGTAGGCGACACCACGCATGTAGCTGTTGTATTCGGTCAGTATGAGTCAACAGACGCATTTCGGGCTACCGGCTGAAGGAGAGTTACAATTGGGTATCATTGCTAGAATAGAAAAACTTGGATCCCTAGTGAAAAGGCGTTAGTACGAGGCATCCCGTTCTCCCGGGAGACGGATGGAGACCATACCTTGATGACAATGGGGTCTAAATCGGCAACAGCAGCTCCGACTAGGGTTGCTAGTGCCACCAGAGAAAACTTCATGGTGAAGGCTTTGTGGATTTTCAAGGGCCACAAAGGTATAGCGAGTGTATAGAGTTGGATATTCTGATTGAGGAGAGATCAAAAGAATGGGCAAAAGGGCCAAATGACAGACTCAATAATTTAAAAACGAGTGTATGGTCTGCCTGGTACGCCGCTGGAAGAGGAGACAAGACAAAGTCGGGAGGGATCCATGGTGGCTTCAAGTCCAGCTGCCATTAATAGTCCTGAGTAGCTGCCCAGACAACCCGATTTGTCCTTCTCCCCTGAAATGCAAGTGGACGCGTATAGCTGACCCAGCTGGCATCCACCCCGACGTGGTCGCTACGAGGCCGTCGCAGAATAGGTTCGAGCTACTCCGTACTGGGCGCCCGGATGTCAATTTTGCCATGTCGGAGATGATGGACCGCGTCAACAACTTAGGGCTTCGATAAAAAAGGATCGGTTCATGGAGCCCGAGCGAATCACGGCGAGGATTGAGCTGACTCCATCCACTGAATGCATCTTAGCCTCTGCACGCTAAGTCCGATCTGTCTTGTTAACGGGTCTTGTGCTCAAAAGTGAACCACCATCAAATCCCCCCAAACCACTGTGTACCACGAACTTTTACTGGCCGACATAAGACAATCCAATCCATGTTTCCCGTGAAGACATGGACATCCGACAAGAACCGTCACTTTGATCATGTCTGTTTGGTCCTGAGAGTCGTTAGTGGGAAAAAAATTGAAAATAGCACTAGGCTGACGCGGTGAGGTGGGGCGTTTTCTTTAGGGCGGCAATGCGTGTCTTTTCCTGGGTATTGCGGACGAGGAAGACTTATCCAGTCTCAGAGGACTAGTGCTACCCCGTAGATTCATAGCAGTAAAATCCTCATCTAAAGAGAGCTTTCATTAGGGTCCAGTTGGGGTTTAGTTGAGGTTGATTTGAGGTTGATTTGGCGGGCACAAATGGAGTGGACGACGCCTCGGAGATGATTTCTCCGCACGGCCTAAAGCCGATCAACGGAAAATGATTTACTCAGTGGCATTTTTATCTTGCGTTATTTGGGGTTTGTGGAGCATGAAAAGGCTTGATTCTTTAGTCTTGGATCCTGGAACTTTCCTTGTGATCTAATTCAATGCTAATACTACTTATTTTGGTGTAGAGACTTTTCAGGACCGGCCAATCTTCTTGGCCAAAGTAATTCGGAATGCTTCGGACTCACGTTTGGGTCTAGAAAAAAGACAATTAGATTCTTCTGTCAACTAAGGATCTACAGGTTGATCCGATAAATCGGTACGTTCCGAGTCTTCAACACCAATCGAGTACGGTGTGATCGTCTGGTACATTGGACGAAGCCTAGATACTAATAAATCTCGCAAAAGAACCATTGACAATCTTTCAATATTCCCTTCCAAGGTTTCATTGCAGGTGTGTCTTACTATAGTATTTCCACCTAATACCATGCACCCCTAGGGCCGATATCTGAATGTCTATGTACCTGTGCGCCAATTTTATCAAAACTCCGCACCCATCCGGTTCTCCATTCATTGCCTCGGGATGCAGACCTTGGGGCGCCGTGAAACTTGTCCCCATGAATGCAGCCCATAAGATTCATGTTTGACTCTCCCATCTGGCCGCGATGACATGCTTTGATATCAATGCTGCAAAGCTATTTGCGTACGCCACCGGAGAAAATTCCGTACTCTGTACCGCAGGACCTTCTTAATAAATTCAGGTTTGTGCAATAGATTTATGTCAAGCTTGATTTCGAAATTTGAACAAAATTCAGAAAATAGGATATGTAAATTGAAACCTCCGACTGACTCCGTAAGCCCAATGATAAAGGATATACACGATAACTCCCCAGTCCTCAAATTAGATAGACATGATAAAAAAAACGTTCCTTCGTAGTGTCTTCGGTGTCCGTTGCGACCTTTCCACCGAGCTTTTCACATTCGTTGTTGTTTCCGGTGAGCGTCAATGGCAGCATCAAAGGACCTAATGGTGTCTAATGGGCGTTCCAAGCGGCTGCGTGTTGGGTTGGATTGGTCGGGATCAGCTAGAGAAAGTTAGAATTCGGTTGCAGGAAGGGTCTTTGAAGGTGTGGAACATACTGATGAGTCTGCCCTCTCGGTCCTTATGTTGCATGCTCCGAAGAGAAAAGATGTCTCGAGACCCAGGTTGAAGATTGACAGCAGCTGTTAAAGATTAGTACGTTTGTCACAGACCATCTGGGCACCGGTAACATGAGAAAAGGCTGCCATACTGGGTTCCTGCTCGTAAAGAGCCATGTTTGGGTCGGCCTTGCTTTGCAAGGAGGTTTTCGGACTGTGCTGCGACTTGACGGAGCCAGAGCGTTCACTAGAAGCCAAAGAGGACGGCATTATGTGGATAGGTAAACGTTGAGACAAGAGACTTGAAGATATAGGTAGAATTCAGTTAAGTATGGAATCAGAACAATAAGTCTCAGAGATATAACCCCCCAGGGTCCAGGAGGGGATTCTACCCTATATATGTCCCCCAGGTCCCTGTCAGATGTCAATTGCAGACTTGGCGACCGAAAATAGATCATCTTTTCTGGAAACACAAGGACGAAAGCACGCAAGCCGTGGCGAGACTTGGACATCGAAGATAATGATTGGATCGATCACGATCGGCAACCATGGGTGACTCGCAGCCTGATACCAATTCCGTATGACGTTTTGGACCCACTAGGAGTGTTGCGAGTGGACAATCGAGACGCTCCTAGTGGCTAGTAGAATGCTTAGCATGCTCATTGACCAATGGTGTTGAACCTCTGTCTCAGGCGCCACGCAAGCACCAGTGGCTCAACTCCTGGGCCGCTCCAGGCACCCGCAAGGACGCTCTTGTCCTGTATTAATCCAACCTGCTTGAGCACAGCTGTATGCACCTAGTGAACACAAACTTGTTGCATTGCTTGGAATTTCCCCTGAAGGGATCCATCACATGCAGGTACGCACCACTATGTGACGACTGACCTCCCGCAGTGGAGATGATCGCCGGTTTCAAAAATGTGACAGGAACTCCCCAGCATTCCTTCTCCAGGCACAATCGCTTCCCACTCGGGACCCAATCATAATCCGTGAGACCAGATTCTCACATGGCCATTCGCTGTAGGGCTAAGATGGCTAGCATTCCGTGGTGTCACAGCTTGCATAATGCCACGGAGTCCGGAGCATTACAAATTCCTTTTCCGGCCATTTCGATCGACTGGACCGGCCGTGGCGTATACAATAAATTCCCCGGGTCTCGCATGAATACCTTCAGCTATATGTACGGAGTACGGATTTAAGACATTTCATCTGTCCGGGTGAAAAAGAATTGGATGTTTGTCTCCGCCGCACCGGTTATGCAGAATAACGCGCGGTCGGGTTCCTGCACAGCCCGCGATCGCAGAAGTGAGACACAGGCTGATCAGGCAACGAAATTCGAGTGATTGGTGAGTAAAATGTGAGCGATTGAGTGGAGCCATGAGAGTTGACTATCACAATGTGACAATCGAGAGGAGCATTCAAGCAGTTGTCATAGGTGGTCATAATTGCTTAATGCGGCGCTTTAGTAACAATTCTTGGCCTCAAGGGATCGCCGGATTTGAAACACAGCCCCTGGTCCATGCATTCTCGACGTCGAACATTCTTGGCTATTCTTTTGACTCCTGACACTTGTGGACCCCAGCCTCCATGTGGAAATTTTATGCTGTCATTGTTCGTCATGGCGATGCACAAGTCGATCGGCAATTGGCCCAGCCCTATATGATTGACCGACTATCTCAAGGATGTTCGCTTTCAGTGAATTGACTTTTTTGATGGAAACTTGCGTCAATCTGTAAGACTGTGGTTTTCGTACGGAGTAGATTTATTTGCAGAAGTACACTCAACGCCACATACGCTCATTTCGTCCACAGTCCCGAAAACGTTCGGCCAGGGCCAAAGGGAACATACGCAAAGCGTTTTGCCCAGAATCACTCGACGCCGAGAGGTACGGCCTGGTCTCCCAACTGCGTCGCTGTCAACCATGGCATCTCTTGTGACAGCTTCTCGATGCAGTGCTTGCCGTACCGATTAGCTCTTTCCGGCACGGCGACTATCTCAACACCTACCCGATCTGCCAAAGATGCTGTCCCACAATCCGTTGGTTCAGTAGCCTCCGCGTATTCATGTGTTCTCCCGTTCGCCGTCTGGAGATGGCCCGTTTCGCCGGTTGCCATCTACACTGGAAAGGTTCGGGTGCACTTGACCAATGAGGTCAATGCGCATGGTTATAAAAGCGTTCAAACTAAGAGGAGCAGGTTGAGGCAGATCCGAGGCGCAAGCTGAAAGGGGTATATCGAAGGTGTGTGTCCCGGAGAAGTGATTCGGTTCCTGCTGGTGGCAATCGGCGACAGTCAGTCTTTCCATATGAAAAGGACAGTCAGTCCGAGGCGTGAAATGTCCAATCCACGCCCCCCAAGTTTCTCAGTCCCGCGCAAATGAACTCCCGCCCACAGAGCCAGGGTCATCACCAGATTTCCCAATGGTCACCGTGGTTGACGCGCTCAATCGAACAGTTTCAGCCTTCACGGCTGCAGGGTTCACTCACGATAATATTCATCTGTCTCGCACCGCTTCGGGCTCACCGGTCCGCAAAGTTTCCATCGCTCCCGCAGTGACAATGTCAACTTGTCTGACCAATGCGCGTGCATGGGTGGTTTGCACCGGTCGTCATTCCTGGGGCCCCCACTGTGTTTCCTCTGATCGTTTCCGTCGGCTTCCAGTTGTAGGCTTTGCTGGTGGTCGTTGAGGGCGGAGGTCACCGAAGGCGCAGCTTTAGGTATTGGGAGTCTCGGTGTGCGCCACGGGGACATGGTCTCAGACTGAAAAGATTGGAAGCAAATAACTCACGATCGAAGGAACTTAGAACTCACCAAGGCCATCACTGCCGACCAGCTAGCAGTGAGACGAAAGTAGAAATGTGTTGTGATTGGCTCGGAGTTTCTCCGTTCACCTGACCGGGATGGTTCCGAAGTATAGAACATCCCTTTGCGGAGTCGACTTGGAGCTCGAGTTGATCGACGGAAGCCAAAACAATTGAACATTGAGAGTTTCCGGTCTGGCCGACGGGCACATCCGCCTAACTTCAGTGTCACATCTCATTCCTCCGTCATTCTGCGGGGTCGCGTGACCGGACATTATTCTCAATGTCGTCAGATAAAAGAACAAACCCGTCGAACTAAATATGTTACCGATGAGAAGCTCACCTCGACAACTCACAAATGACTTCCACAATTTCATCCCTCTTTGGCTACAAGCCAAATATCCTCGGAGCACCAAAGGCTCCCGAGGGACCACCGAAGGCCCTCCCTGCCTCGTGGTATCGCTCCCCAGAAATGTATGAGCTAGAGCGTCGGGCCATCTTTTTCAAAAAAATGGATCTTGATCACCCACAAGCTGCGGTTTGAGAAGCCGGGAGACTATCATCGGTTTGAGGAGGCTGGATTTTCGTTTTTCCTGTGTCTTGACCGTGAAGGTAAGCTGAATGGGTTTCACAACATCTGCCGCCATCGCGCGTTCCCTTTGGTGTCTCAAGATGATGGTAATGCCAAAATCCTCTCGTGCAAGTATCATGGCTGGTCATACGGACTCAACGGGAAGTTGGCCAAGGCACCCAAGTTTGACGATGTCCCCGGCTTCAACAAGAGCGAGCAAAGTCTGTTCCCAGTACACGTCCACGTTGATGCGTTAGGGTTCATCTGGGTCAACCTCGACTCATCTCCGACCTCGATCCCATGGGAAGAGGATTTCAAGGGCGTCGACACGCAAGAGAGATTCCAGAAGTTCGATTTCAGCCAGTACACGTTCGACCACACTTGGCATATGACCGGCAACTATAATTGGAAGACTTTGGCGGACAACTACAATGAATGCTACCATTGCGCCGTTGCGCACCCAGATGTAGCAAACTTAGCCGATCTTTCATATTACTACACCGTTTCGAAGCCCGGACACATCCAACACTTCTCGCGACCCAAGGAGGACAAGGCGGATGAGGATATTGAAAATGCCAGCACGTATTATTTTCCCAATGCGTGTATGACCGTTTCGTATGTTTCTGATCCAATTCCTCTTCTGACCAAGAGCAAAAGACTGACCTGAGCCCACCAGACCCCACTTCTTCTATATGATGCGATGCGTCCCGACTTCGGCCGGAACTTGCTCCATGGAGTATGAAGTATACCGTCACAAGGGGGCTTCGGATGATGATTTTGAGCACATTGATTCGTTCTTCAAACGGGTGTTGGATGAGGACAAGCATCTGTGCAACGCTGCGCAGAGGAATCTCAACTCTGGGGTATTTGTCAACGGACAGCTGCATCCAGATCTTGAGAGTGCGCCGCTTTTCTTTCAGAACACAGTTAGGGGCTTACTGATAGCTCACCGGGATCAAGAAAAGCGCGAGAAAGTTGAAATCTGGCCAGCGCGTCAAAGTTCTGCAGGCTCGGCTACGGCCGAGGACATTGAGTTTTGTTCGGGACTTTCGTGCGGAGAAGGGTCGAGTAGTCTCGAATGGTAATTTAAATGGAGTTGAACTGCGGAATATATCTATGAGCCTATGCAATGAATTCATTTTTTAAATCTGGAAATTTCTCGCTACACGTCTTTTTCGCAAAATAAACTCCAAATTGCCTGTCCAAATACGAACCCTCAAGATCACGAACCGCGGAGCTTGGAATCCAAAGCTACCCTCCAATTATACTGTGCGGATTGGCTAGAGATAGCCCTGGAGACAGCAACATAACGTGGGGTGCACTCCACAAGATTACATTTCGGTGGACCCTCAGGATTGTTGTACGAGTACCCCGCACGTCTAGCCTCGTTTATATATCGCGCCAAAGACATACATGTAATCCTCAAAGTTGACCCCGTTGAATTCTTCAGACCTGCCATGTCGGTCGCAAACTCTCGTGTGAGCAAAAGATCACACCAAGCATGTGAGAATTGCCGGTAGAAATCTCGCTGTACTGGGGCAGAGGCCATCAACTTACTCTTGCTAGACGGAAGAAAACACGCTGCCCGGGCGAGCGGCCAGCCTGCTCAACGTGCACTCGATTGAATCAGTCATGCCAGTATAGCAGGAGTCACGACTCATCCGAACGGCCGGCGGAAACTCGAATCTTGGTGAGAGACTTGCGTATCTGGAAAATCTAAAATCGAATAGCTGATCTGGTTTCAGGAGGATCGACTGCAACAGCTTGAAGCAAAGCTGGAGATGATGATGGAAAAGTCTGTGTGAGTAGCTACAGTCTACTCAAACAGAAATGGGATGCTAATCTCGATAGCCCAACGCAGCAGTCTGCAACTCCAAGGTCGTTTTCATGTGGCCCCGTCAGTCTCGAAAACTCGTCCCAAGCTGCTGTTCTTCGAGATGATTCCCCAGATATGAATATGGTTCCAGAACCAGAAGAGCCCCCAGATAATGATTTGAACCCGATTCCATTTACACTACCACCCCAGGACATCGTGGTTGAATGTGTGGATCTTTACCTCAAGTATTGCCACAAGCAGCCATTGTGGCTTTTTGACGAGGATGATTTCCTCCAGCCCGACCTATGCTCCCGAGAAGTATTCTTCGGTATACTAGCATTGGCCGCAAGGTATTCGGACAATCCTTTTTCACCGGTCGGGTACAAGAGATGTGTGCTGAATATGCAGAGTCCGCCCGTGGGCTTGTCATGCTTCAGATAGCGCAGGGGAGTGTCCAACTGTCTACTATACAGAGTCTGTGCCTGTTGGCTCTGGCAAACTTTATAGGTAAGTCACGATCCATCTTCGCTGAGAGATAAACTAATTATCTCTTTAGCAAATGATACCAAAAAGGCGTGGCTGCACATTGGTTTAGTGACAAGTCTCTCGAGATGCGGAGGCCTTGATGTTGAATCACACAGAGGAGAATATACACCTGCGTTGGAAACCAGACGACGGTTGTTTTGGAGTATTCATCTTCTCAACCAGCAATATGGTCCACGCAACGTGCAATTAAACATGTTGCAGGACATCCAATACCCGAAATATATGGGCGTCAACACGGACTCTATGCGAGAGATGGGTATCGTACCCCCTCAAATTCCCCAAGAGATCGCGGGACCAACACAAATCGAGGGAATCTGGATCTACATGGTGCAGCTATCCACGCTTTGGAATGAGGTTCAACATTATGTTTCTCACTGCGCCAGTGGGGACCCAATGCCCCCTTGGTCCTTACAATCCGGATATTCCGTCATAGGAGCACAACTTATGAACATCGAAACAAAATTCCCGACATATCATCGCTGGGACTCAGTGAGATTTATGGATCATTCCTCGCACGACTTACATCAGAACCGCGGATATTGGAGCCCCTGGGTGTACCTCCAGTTCACATACCACGCAATCCACAGCGTGCTCAACCATCCATTTCTATATTCGTGGAGACCACAGCAGTCTACCCAGCTGGCGGTGCCAAACACTTTCTGGAAAACATCCTCTGAGCTCGCTCTCATTCATACCACATGGACTGCCCGCTTGATTGATTTGATCCAAGAAAAAGACTATCAAGTATCAGATCCCTTTCTAGGGCATCTGGTCGCCATTGCGGCAACGATCCAGCTTTACTACTGTCGCGCGGCCGACTCGACAGTGAGACAATCTGCGCAAACCAAGGTTGACGTCTGCTTGGCCTTTTTGGGTCAACTTGCCACCAAATGGCCTAGGTGCCAAGCCATTGTAAGTAAACCGTCAAAGTCACCGACTGTAGAGATGCTAACTTATTGGAACAGCACCGCAAACTTGAAGAGATCCTCCAATCAGCATTTGCCCCAAGTCCGTCTTCGAGTGATGCAAGCCTTCCTCGACGAACACTATCGATCAACACTTCCTTAATGTGGGATATCCTGCTCCACAGCTCACCGAGAACATCGTCCGCTCCGTTAGGAGAAGGCCTGTTCGACTCATCCTTCTTCCAGACCTCAGAAGAGGCGTCAGAGGAGAAGCAGACCGTCGAGACCGAGATCTTTCACCACTCAACCAGGGCAGTGGATACGTCTGATGGTGGTCAAGCACTGCCACCCTATTCAAGTGCTGCCGATAGAAAATCACATTCAGAGGGTGGAGAGCAAAAACTACATAGCAGTTGGGAGCGATCTCGTTTCGGCCCATCCGATGGGCTGGTGGACCAGTATCCATCAGTATCCGAAACAATGATGTGGGCTGGACCTGGTCTGCGTGGGGATTCTTCCTTGATGGATTTAGCGCATGACCCCTTTTTCCAGTTCCAAGATCATCAAAGCCCCTACATGGGGATTTGGGAAATTGGAAATTTGTAGAATCAATCAGTTTTATTCTCAGAAGCCTAGAAACCGTGGTTGGTACATCAACCTGGGGAGACGAAGAAGTTTGTACAAGCTTGGATTGTTGAATTTACTTCAAAAATTTTGGAGGGAGACATAGAAAGCCGAAGTGTCTCCCGAATCTGCGTAGTGTGGTCTGTACCTGCCCAGGTGACCTCCGGACATGAGTCAAAACGTTGAATTTGAAATCAAAATCGATTTGTGGAGTTCTACAATATGACTTAATGCTCATAGGGCCTATCTCAAGCGAAAATGTATAACCGACATGAAACTTGGAAGCCCATAGCGAAGAGAAAAGTTGGTTCTCGGTGCTCAAACAAGTTTATCAACCCCCAGCCTAGCGCAGTCTAAATGCTGCGTCGTCCGCGAGATTCAAGCGGGAACAGAACGGCCAAGATACCGCACATACCCAACAAGCCGGCACAGACATAAATCGGCACCGAGCTTGAAGTGGACGTGAAAGCACCAATGAGCGCAGAAACCATACCCATCAGTCGGTTGAGCGCGACAGCCACACCATTTCCAGTTCCACGATGAGCAGAAGGTAGAATTTCGACAGTGTACGCATACAAGGTGGCGTAGTAGATATTTATCGTGACTGAGATCGCGCAGGAGAACCCCAGGTTCTCGGCACTTGTACGGACAGAGGTGTAACCGAAAAAGAACGCCACTGTGCATGATTAGTCGAAAGTACTTTGGTGCTATGCGCGAGGAGCTTACTTGTTGCAAACGCGCCGAAGGCCATGGTTCTCTTTCGTCCGAAGATTGGCATCTCGCACATGAAGCCAGCAATTATGGGACCCGGAACAGCGCACAGATTGGTGATTGCATAATTTCTCCAGGTGATGTAGCTCGAAGACTCACCGGTGGAGGCATCGCGAGATGCGAGGTATTCAGGCAAGTAGACATAGTAGAGGGCATAGCCTAAGCCTATCAAAGCCCATGACAGCCAGACTAAAGATGTAGAAAGAGCCATCTTGGGTGTGGCGAAGAGACCCTTGATGTGAACCCAAACCTCGGACAAGGACGCCTTGTCATTTGCGTGAGCGCTTTGGATCTGACCACAAGCCTGAAGCTGCTCCAAGATTAGGTTACATGGTCGATCATATCGATCTGCTAGATTACGAAGGGTCTTTATGACATCTTCGTCCTTCCCTTGGCACAGGAGGAATTTGGGGGTCTCATGGAACCGAATGACCAGAACACGGGCGACGCTGAGAACAAACACAAGCGCACCGCACGTGTAGAATAAGTATCTCCAACCCATGTTGTTTGCATTCGTGCATGGGATCGAGCCATCAGAAGGGCAGCTGTAGTTGGCTTTTGTCGCGTTAGTGCCGTGGTGCAAAACCAGTGCTAGAAATTGCTTACCCATGAAGCCCCAAGCTACCAGACCAGCGACAGTCTGGCCCACGCCCCACCATCCCGCAAGAAGGGTGAGAAGCCACTGTTTGTTCGATGGCAAGTATTCCAAAAAGACAGTGGTGTCCAAAACCAGGTTTCCACCGGACCCGAAAGCTGACAGTGCCACAAAGGACGCCCACACGGGGTAGTTCGGGGCAGCACCGGCGACAATGGAAAAGACGGCACTGATTAGCAGTGAAAAATTGAAGGACCATTTCCGGCCGATCACGTCCGCTGTGCTACCCCAGAACAAGGCGCCTACCAGCAGTGCCAGATAGAAGCCAAGCTGTGCGCCTCTTGTGAACTTCGGAGGGTATTGCGCTACTACCTGCTCCGCCGATATGCTCATGAGGAATATTCAGAGGGAATCAACGCCATATCTGAAGACTCACAGTTAAAATGGCGATACCTCGACATGAGAAGGGGGTTACTTGCCCAAATCCATTGAGGAAGAAGAGCTTGGTATGGTAGTGTGTGAAGCCAATTGCGTCGATGGCCTGCAGCTGTAAGCAGTGTGTACATATTCGCATACTCTCACACGTTGACCATTACTCACATCATTAACATAGTGCATCTTCGCACTCAACGCCCGATCGACATTGTCAAGGGACATCACATCACCGGGGCCGGTGGGAGCAGGCTCCTTGGTAGGCATATCGTGCTCCACATTTTCGACCTGGGATATCCCCACACCTTCCGAATCAATTGCCATAGATGTGTGAAAAAGAGAGGTCTATGTAGTTAGTTCAGTATGAAACATTGGATATTGCTTTGAACGGAGATCCCATGGAAAGCCTAGCAGGTAGACAATGCGTGAGGAATTGACATTTTATAGCCTTCCCGCTCCGGAACCGATTGAAGACAGTCATCATTGTTTCGGTCCTGGCTATTGAACGCACTGTCCCCCGAAGGAAAGCAAAACCACCAAGATGGGAAATGCCCTCATCATGTCTTCGACTAGTGGGTTGCCAATGCGACATAGTGGAGTGGATAGCGATAGAGAATGCGGGCACGAATCACAGCCATGATGATATCTGTGGAAATGTTGGGGAACCTGAGAGCGGTTATCACTGCGGCGATTGGAAACGATGTTGCGCTGGTTGATAGGCACAACTCCCCGCCCATGTGACCGGTGATGGCGGTCTATCCCGACCGCGAGGGCCCCGAGTCGGTGGAACGAGTGTACAGAAGTTCATGGTCTGGGCTGGTACGAGAAGTGTCTTCTTTTGTGGGCGTTGTTGGAGCAGAAGCGCATGAACCGAGTCTGAAATCATAATGCCGACGGTGTTGACAAGGGTCAGCGTCGCAGAGTGAGAAGAACAGCGAAAAGGCAACCAAAATTGATGCCTGATTTTGGATTTTGCCTGAATTCTGCCATGGTGCCTTACTGCCTTGATGCCTGATCACGGTGCCTGATTAATGGCTGGCGATGTCTGAGATACTGCCACGACTCACATTCGTCTTTCGGAGTCAACTGACAGGCCTTCATATGTCTCTACTCGAGAGTGATCATGGTACCCACAAAGCTCCTTCTATCCCAAGCGAATCCTCTCACAGTGGCTCTTGGAGCGCACTGTGGCGCTAGGGCTTCTTCGGTGCTGGTATCGTCGACCTAGAGGCTCATCACATCCAACAGTGACGCATGGCTGATAACAGAGCACGAAGAAACTGAGCACCGCCCAACGATTGAATATCTTTGCTCTAGGGTGTTTGCACTGTGAATCACTCTGTGGAGAATAGGTTCATTCATGAAAGATGTAGGGAACCTGGTGAAATTTCAACTCATTGCATTGGTGGCAGTCCAAGTGGTCCAGTGCTCTATGGGGGATTGTTATATCATTCAGTCTGTAAAAAAGGGCATCCATTGTCAATGAATACACGAGCAATGGATTGATCGAGAAAAATGAAGATGATTTGTTCGCTATTCGGGTCTTCCCAAATCTAATCACATCCTTCCATTCCCTCTCTCCCTCAAGACCTTCCTCTGAAGGGTATAAATAAATTCTCCCCTCTCCTTTCTCACCTTCTCTTCTTCTCCTCTTCTCTTCTTCTCTATCTTTCTTTGCCTTCTCAGCCTTTTCATTCCACCTCCGCTTTGCATTCAGCCAGGTAAGCCTTGCGCACAAGACTACATCGCCGAATGTACAAACACTGATAGCATCTCAAGGCAGAGCCCCACAAGCAACCACTTTCAGAAACTCATACCATCTCCACACGATGTCATCGTACGTGACTACGCCACCGTACGTAACTTCATCTTTCCCGATCTCACAGTCTGCCGTGCTAACTGCCCCAGGGAACTCCTCCCCCCTGACCACCTGGAGATAAGTCTCGTTGAGATCCCCCCGGGTCCATGGGCGCAATATTCAAAGATGATCCCATGGAAGTCGGCCCGCTGCGAAGGCCTTTTACTGTCCGATCTCGTTGCTTGCCTCGCTCATCTAGCCCGCAAACGCGACCTGTCTGTCGTCCCAGGAAGCTGGACCAGAACGGATCAAATCCTGGACCTACAGCTTCTGAAACAAGATCTACATGAGAACCTTCACTGTGCAGAGGCTGCTTTGATTTACATGACCGGTGACACCGCCGAAGTCCCTTGCACCCGCTGTTTGAAGAAGGAAGGTGTCTTCTCGGTGTGTGTCGTGAGCAACGAGCCTGGCGCGCCCCGGGCTTGTGCAAATTGCTGGTACGCTCGTGGAAAGAACTGCAGCATCACAACCGAAGCAGGTGTACTGGCCACCCGCAGGCTCATGTTCACTCCTCCTTGCCGGCAAGTCAGATCAGAGAGCGACAAAGCTGCCATCACTCGGGAGCTTCTTCCTACCATCCAGAGCCGCAACGCCCTGGCTGCCGCCTTTGAGACTGCAGGCCCCGCCTCCGAAGATCAGCTAGCCGCAGTGCGCCAACACCTTATTACTCTGGACACCATGATCCAGAACTTCGCACCTCAGGGAAACTAGATTATTGTCCTCAAGATTCGCGGCTTCCCTCAAATGAGAACAATCGTCAAGCCGAATTTCCGAATTTAAGGATGTTGAACTGCTGTAATCGATTTTCATGGTAAAAGGAATCCAGGCACACATCCTCAAATATCTTCTCAACTTAATCACGAACTCATCACGACTCGTAAGTGCCTTCAGTATGCTACTTTCCCCAACCTTTGATCTAGTCGCCCCCTCGGGACGTACCTGTCTCCTTCTCTCAATTTCACATCAGTCCGAGTTGAAAGGAGGTGAAGATCTGTTCATCGAAAATTCCCTTAGCAGTACTGGACAGAAACTCTCTTCGCAACTGTCTGAACACCGCTGTGTCCGGGCTGTATTCCGCCCTCCTTTGCTTACTACTTGTGTCTTGCTTTTTGTATCCCTCAACTCACACTCGAGGTCAAACCATCCAGTTCTTGATCATGGGACCAAACCGAGAATCTCCCAGCCTCGGAAAAAAGCGCAATTGAGACGCTGAATGGATGTCTCGCCGTGCCAGGCAACGAGTCAACTGTTCAAGCTGTTGTTGTGGGAATTCTGGTCAACATAAACCAGATATTCCAGTCCCCACTTGCTTATGCGGTCTTCCAAGGTCAAACCCCTTCAGAACCGATCCTCCCAACACTTCCAGGCACAAGAGAAGAAAGTCTAAATTCTCTGACATCCTCTCAAGATGCCTCCTGCTCTGTAAGCACCTGAGTTCTCGTGCCTCATATTTCGCTGACCTTTGCAACAGCCCCTCCGATATCCACGTCGCCGGCGATGACTTTGTGGCCCCGCGACCTGGTGAATGGGTCCGTTTTTGCCAATGGGCTCCCTGGGCCCGCGGGAAGACTGCCGGTGCTTACCGGAGCACTACCATCTCAGTCCTAAGCACTGCCATTGCTCGCGATCTTTCGCTACGCCCACTCAGTGTGCAGACCCCACTTTCTTTCAGCGAGGAAATCGGCCAGAGCATCAACCACATCGAAGCAGTGCTTATTTACCTTACCGGCAACGAAGTCGACGACACCCCTTGCCGATTCTGCCTCGACGGTCACGGCCCGTTCCCCATCTGCGTTGTATCTTCCGCAAATGGCGTTGCCAAGGTTTGCGCTAATTGTCGCTGGTCGAAGCGCCAGTGCACCGTCACCACCCTCAACCGCCAGTATATGAGTCACATGTGGCGTGAGAGGCTTATCGAAACTGACGCTTGGAACGACTTCGAGGAGGCCATGGATGCACTAGATGGTGTACTTGCAAGGCGCACTGGTGGTGACGCCTCCGGTCAGGCCCTCGCGCCCAGTTCGGAGCCTCCGCGCATTACCCTTCACGGTGCTAGGTTGCAGGTCATCGAGATGGTAATCGCCCTTCGTCAGTATGTGAATGATCGCAATTTGTAATGAGCTGGATACAGGTTCTCGTTTTTATTTCATATTAGGCGCACCGTTTATGTCCCTCTATGTCGAGGCTAGCATAATCTACTGAGAATCGACCAACTTCAAATTGAAATCGTGCCAAATTCTTCCGCTGAAAATAATGTAGGCTTTGAAACCGCGCCTCATCTGATGTGCGCCACAGCACCAAGAATGCCAGTTTTAGCCTGTAGCTTCATAGTCGGAGAAGCAAGCAATCTAAACATCTCTGAGAAACAGCATCGATTTTCTATTCCGGTCGGACAGGGCGCGCGGGGGCTGTTTAACTCCCCATAATCCCCGAGCACTGAGCACCCCCGTCGTCTTGTCTGCGATGTCAGGCCGCCAGCGCGCTCTTCCCACTTCAATATGGAATGAGCCTGCACAATTTCCATTCCTGATTTTCTTCCATCCATGACCCCAGAGGCTGCTCGCTTGTAGTGAGCTCCCCGTGTTATTCCCAACTGAGAGAAGCGCCCAAGAAGACAAGTGCTAGCACGCCAAGTGGAAGGCATCACGCTGTGGATTGTGACTCTCAGGGCTTCCAGTCACGATCTTTTCCGAGCAACGAGTCCAGGCATTTAGCCAAAGGTATTACGATGCAGCCCGGTTGCAACTCGGACACTTGTACTCAAGAGTCAGGTGTCCAAGGGATCGTTGGCGACAGGAGCGCCCGTGTTTGCAATTCAGAGCATAAATTGATCATTACCGATTCCAACGACGGAAAAGGTTCATAGTTACCAGAAGACACTTATTTACAGACATAGGCGTTAGAGCTTCAAAATTCTATGAGGGACAGAAAAGGCAAGCTCTCGCTCACTGCACGGGAGTGAAAATTAACCAAATACTCGAAGATAGGATTCAATACTTCATTGTAAGACAAAGGGGAAAAGGAATGTATCACTGCCATAATAACACATCATCAATTCACGGTTCAGCAAGATCTGGAAGCAATCAGAATAAACCAATGAAAGCCCCATACGACACCACCCATCTGTTCCGCAGTAGAGAATATACCACTGCTCCCCCAGTGCGAGTAGGATCGGTAGCGAGAAAGATTGGTGAGAGATTGGCGTGAGCCCAGAGCTCACATGTGCGATGAAAGTGTAGGTTCGGTCATCGCGAGGCAGCATCGTCCAGACTTCAACAGGCACATTGAGGACAAGCATACATGATCCCCTGGCCACCACCTCAGCGGTCACCCCGGCTTTGACCACATCGGGTGGGATGTTCTGTGACACCCATGCCGTCCATAGATCAGCATCGTGTGGCATGTCTGCACTGATTCTTGCCCTCATCATCACGAATGCTTCTGGACTTCTGCTGGTATGTGACCGAGTACTGTCCGACTGGCAAGGCGTGCTTGACATTGGGTTTCTCGGGCGTGGCACATGGATGGTAGAGACCCCCACTTGGTTCCGCTGCGCCAGACATCAGGTGGTGGCGTATATCTGCGCCAGAGTTGCCGGGGTCCGTTGAAGTCCCGCAGGGTTTCAATCGGGGTCTGCGTGAAGGACCAGGGGATATCGGCGGTGGCGTTTGCTCCCAAGTCAAAAGCGGCCATTATTTGATCACCGTCGTGATTACCCAAGGCCAATGATTCACCGGAAGAACGGTTAAAGATAAAACAGGTGTCGGTAGCGAATCCTCCGCCAGAGCTTGAAACTGGCCACCAATTCAACGACGGAGTTATTGGCCGTCATTGCATCACAAGGAGCGGTACAAGCCTCCTTCAAATAATTCAGGTTGGCCATTTTGATTATAGATTTATGATCTTCAAGCTACCGTCCGTGATGTCCGTTGTCAGCGACAAACGAGGGTGCAACGAGCACTGGCCCGATAGTCCTGTGCGTGGCGCGACAGCAACGCTTTTGTCGGATTTGGTGATTAAAGCTGCCGTAGTGGCAGCCAGCATTCGGCCGGCTAGTGGGACATCGCCGACGTTCACTAAAATCCACGGAAGGGCGTGGGCCGCCTAATCTAGCGGCGCCGGGCCTTTTGGAAGTCTGTTTTGGGGTGTCCGGACATTCCCATTCGCATCGAAATCCGAAACCATCTCTGGGAATCTTCCATATCGGCCAACTCGACCACTAGGATAGAATGGTTAGCATGTGTCTTTCAGGGGGTGACTAGAGGACTCACAACAAATGCCCGCGCAGGGCGCGTCCCAGCGTCACTTGCATGTCCGGAGTAGACAACAATCCTCAGGGGGATCTCGCCTCGATTTCTTTTGAACCAGTCGCCAAGATGCGTTACCAACTCAATCTGCAAGTCGACCAACGGGATAAGGTAACTCTCGATTTGGAACTGATAGACGTTCCTGAACACATCGAGCAACTGCCTATCAAGCCCTGCCACACCCATGGTATCATTTTGCCAATGAAAAGCCAGGACAAACACGTTGATGTAACCTCTTGATGGCTTTCTTTACCGAGGCAGGCAGTTCTGCAGTAACCTCTTGAAGGTTTGCAGTTGGTGAACCTGGTCCGTATGCCGTACTTGGATGCAAAGCCATACTGGTGAGACTTGTCAAAGGATAGGGGATGCATCGCCGGTTTTCGTTAGGAAGCGGGTATGAAATGCGCGTAGAAAGAAACGGATCGATACAAGTTGTCAGTGAGATGGATGAATGGAAAGATGAGAAAGAAAAGCTGGGAAGAGGGAAGGCCACAGGGTGATATTTCAAACGTGTCAAGTGTGCGGAGGGAAACGACGGTAGACATGGGGCACCTTCTGGCCATCCATCTGGTTTGACCATGGCCAGGGATAGCGCGCACCGCGGACACAGAACGAACAGACCGTGAATGATTTTCTTGTCTTCCGAAGACTTCGTTCTTTCACTCCCCACTGGCCAGTACTGCCAGTACTACGGTGTCAATGGAGATCGGCACGATCCCCCTTCGGCGTGACAAATTTTGCGGAAAATCATGGCCGTTCGCACCGATGGATTGTTGGAGATGGCCAGATCTTCGGTATCATTGACGTGAAGTCACGGAATCGATCCCGAATTCAGATCCCGGCGATTTAATGGCAAAATACCGGCCAGGTGCTTGCTTTCATTCTTCATCACGAGGGGCGAAATCCGAGATACCAACTCCCTCGGTGAGTTGGAAGAGAGTGCTTATATTGACGGATTTTGGACGCTAATATTACGGTATAGATACCTCTTATTCGCCCAGAACAACATCGAGAGTTTCCTGTTGGTAGCCAGTTGGGATGAGGGTATTTTGAGAAGGTTACGACCGACCCGAAAGACAGGAGGAACGGTGACTAGCGAAGGAACTGGTAAAGAGCCATTCTTGATTATCTAGGAATATGGTCCCTTTGATCTCGGAACCTTGATCACTGCCCAGATGAGCCCGTGACGGTTTGATACGTATACAGCGTATGATCGCCAGGATTATCTATATGATTGGTAAGAAAGCTACATATAATAGAGCTCGTGATATCCTTTTAACTGTCTTTTCAACTGTCTTTTCAACTGTCTTTTTATCTGTCTTTTTATCTGTCTTTTTATCTGTGTTTTTATCTGTCTTTTTATCTGTCCTTCTAAGTCTCCTTCCAACCTGGGAACTTTAAGGTCATTATGATCAGTCGGAAAAGGAAGTCTTGACTAAAATATGAACAGAGAATCAGCGATTGGGGATTACTCTCCAAGGTTGTTTCTGAATCTACGGAATAGTAGACGTAAGAATAGGCTGATGACGGAATAAAAGCATCTTAAAGCATTTTTGGTTAGTCCAGAGAAGTCTTCGCTAAGCTTTGGAAGACGAATCATCGATTGTAGATTGATATAGTGATAGAGCAAAGGTACTTCTCCTCGAACTTCTCAAAGACCTGCTTGGGTGTGCCGATTCTCATCCACATATTGCCTCGATCAACTTCGCTCATTTGGATACGGATCTGAAGGCCGCACTGGAAGGCCGCAACTGAAGAGAAGAATGAAAATGTTTTGCAGCCTGCACTGGGGGCATGGCAGTGATTGATGGCGCGGAGATAAAAGATACAAGGAAGGTGAGTTGGGTGAGAAGAGAAGGGAAGTGAGGCATGGGAGGGAAGGAAGATTTTACATGGCTATCCATGGATGGTGACTGAGAAGTGGTCCACTTTCTCAGCTAGCGAATATACAAGTGAATATTGACTCTTCTACTATACTTCCAAGGTTGGTTATGGTCCTTTCAGTGGTTCTTTCAAACATACCTAGAAAGGTCTCTTCGGATGTCATTATTTAATCTATAACTAATATAACTAATAGCGTCACGCTATTGTCGGACTAGTTCCTCAAAAAAATCCTCCGAGTTGGTGATGTTAATATAAAACTGGATGAAACCGAGCCCGCATTCCCGTTTAGCATCCTCCGCCACCTCCGGAGTCCGAACCGCCGCCTGAATCACTGCTGTTGCTACCACCTGAGTCACAACTGCTGGAGGCTCCCCCGGAGTGACTTCCATCATGTCCACCTCCGGAGTGGTGGTGAGTGCCGCCTCCAGATCCTGAATCATAGGACCCACTGCCGACTCCAGTATAATAGCTGCTGGTAGTTGACGGGGTAGACGTAGAAGAAGTATAGTAAGGGACGTAACTCGGCTTCGCTGCAGCAACGGCCTTTTCCTGACGCTTGCGGTTCTCTTTCTGCTCTTTGATCACTCGCGCGGTGGCCGCTTTGTTCATTCTGGTCTCTTTGGACCGGAAGAGATCGAGGAACATCGTTGGGGATCAGACCCTCGATAGGCTGGCTGCTGAGTTGTGAGTGGAGTGTGGTGGAAATAGTCTCAAGGTTGCAAAATAACTCACCCATGTATTCTCCGGGCAAGGTTGGCGAATCTGAGGTTCAACAAATCCACACACTCGGATAAGAGCTAATTACTACCAGTATGAAAAGGCTTGATTACTGAACGTTGATTGAGATTTACTGAGAACGTTGGACAATGTAGTGGTTTAAGTAATAATTCTACGACCGGAGCAGGTCACGAGCATGCTATAGATCCAGCACAGCCTCGGGCAACGGGGCACAGCCTTGAACCCGAGTCTCTCTTTGCTTTAGCGCTTATTCAAGACAACGATTGGTCTTTGTCGGATTGAAGATGTGAGGGAACGATGATCTTGCTTCAATGCGTCCTAGCGCCGTCCAACTCGCATCATCACTCCCTTTCTGGTGTTACCCGTAAGGTTAAGGTCAACGATGGCACAGCCAACAATGCGATCGGGGCTTGCAGAGCCTCACTCCTCATTCTCGGCTAATTGTAACATAGATTATGGTGAGTTTGATGCTCCTGTGATTTTGGTGTGCTATCATCAACCCCAATCCCGTGATGCAGCAGGACGCGAGAAGGTGTGACCGAAGGAAACTATATCCAGTCATGATCCGCACGGTGTCCACCTACTCTTGAAAGCCGGGCTTGGGCCCCAGGTCGAAGATGCAATCATTGCTCCAGGATGCTCAGTACAATTCATGATCGACCGAATGAAATGAAAATGCCAGGTTCCTAGCCTGCGCGAATGTGTATTGTGCGCTGTGATCAAGACTTTATGCTTATTGATTAGGGTATGCCCAAACTTTGGAACTTCACAGATGGTATTGACGAGGGCTTTCAACCGTGATGCCCAATCTTTCCCACATGGCTTCGACATTCATATCCTCTCGCCCACTGCGTAGTTGTTAGTATTTGACAACATTCATCTGCGTCACTGCTGGGACTCACTCTTCCTTCAGATTGATCCACGGCTCAGTCTGGCCCTCCGCGGTGTTGGGATTGCGGAAAATTACGTTTTGCTTCTATGAATGAAGTTAGTCAACCTCCAACGGTGCTGATCACACTTCGACAGTAGTTAACATACCATGCCAAGTGTCAAATGAATAGCCCCAGGTCCCTTGACAAACGTATCATCTGCTGACCGGCCTTCAATCAAGGACACAATATTCTTCGCAACTACCGCAGCCTGAGCCGAGCCCGGCCTGGCAGCTTTCTGTGCCCCGGTGTCGGCAATATCACCCACAGCGAACAGGTTGGAATACTGCTCATCCAAAAGCTGCATGGTGGGTCGCACCCGGATGAACCCATTCTCTGGGTTGACGATGCTCTTCCCATCAAGACTAGATGGCTTCAAATCGGAAACCAGTTGATTATTCGGAGTTTGGCCAGTTGCCAGGATGACAAATTGAGTGGACTCGGTGGTCCCGTTGGTGAGCTGAACCTGGAAGGTACTCCCATCATTGGGGAATCCACCTGGTGGGATGGTTACGCGAGAACCGGTGACGAGCCGGATATCCAACTCATCAAATCGACGCTTGATCAGATCGTTGAGGTCAGAGTGGAAGTTGGGCATCACACGATCGCGGGATTGAACAACCGTCACCTCCTTCTCCGGATAATGCTCTTTGAGATCGGCGGCCATTTGGACACCCACAGCTCCACCTCCAACAATCAAAATTGATTTCGATTGCTTGACGCCAATTTGATGTTTTTGCAGGTAGTCAACGGATGATGGCTTGTCGTCATTTTCCATCGCTGCGGGCTTTGAGAGACGGGTACCAGTAGCGAGAACAACATAGTCGAATGGAATCTGCTTCGAGCCGTTCCACTCACGATCTAGCTCTATGAAGTTTGGTTTCACAGACAATACGCGTGCTTGAACAACGCCATGCGCTGAAGGGTTTGGTGATGAGTTGAAGATACCGCTGTATGGAATGAACGCTTTGTGCTCCTGGCCTGGAACAATCGCAAAGCGAGGCTAGAGTACATGTCAGTCTACTACATCGATTCATGACCTGACTTTTCGGATTCACATACGAACGTAAACAGGTGGTGGAAGTGGCTGTGGGGCTCTGTGAGAAGGACCTGCGAAATCTGTCTTAGCGATGCTCTCGCCCTCTAGTTACCGCACGATGGGGATCCTCGCTTACTCTATGCGTTGGCGGCACGACACGGGCCAGCTCTTGGGCGGTAGTCTGTCTCGAGATTAGTGGCTGCTTCAATGAGACCGAGGTGGTGAGCATACTCGTCCGACAAAAGAGCCGCCGACGACAATAATGTTGCGAATATTCATTTTGCGGGGGGTATACAGGGGTGGAGTTATAAAGAAGTAGAAGAAAGGAGGAGACAGGAGGAGACAGGCCTTAAATCAGCGGAGTTATCAGATCAAACTAAGTCCGAGATATACCAGATCAGGGCAAATGCCGAGGCCGGAGTAGTTTACATCCGGCGTGGGCGACCCAACGCCACCGACTGGCAGTCACATCCGATCAACTTACCCGTCAACTTGGTATTTTCCTCGTCACTTGGGTAGTCCTTGGCGTCTGTCGGCTTCAGTCTCACGTCCCTTGCCGCTCTGGTACTCGCTGGACTTATTAGTACCTCTTTCTACCTTTTCTTACAATACCGCAATTGGAAGTAGTTTAAGAATACGATGATGATACAATCTCATGGACATGTTGGCTAATCAACCTTTGAATGACCCAGGGTATTTTTGTCCAATATGTCTTAGCTAAAGATTCTCAGCAGCAAAGATACTAATTAAAGATGCCAAGTAATGGTTCTACCCAGCGGGCCGCCTCGATCATACGCAGCCAACACGGTGTGGTGATCAAGAGCCAAGATTCCAGGCCAGGAACTTGACGCTGGAGACACAATGCATGGCTGACTCCACTGGACACGTCCCTCAGACGGGGTTCCGGCAAAGATGATCTTGATAGAAGCGTTTTTCACCCACTGCACAACCTCGGAGTCGTCATCTGTCATGAAGATCGCTGCCAGCGACCCGTCGGCAAAGGATGCAACTTGGGGAGCGCCTGCGTTGTGCCCTTGCTTCGGTCGGAATACCTCGTGGCGCCAGCCCCAGCTGTGACCATCGTCATACGATAAAAGTGCCTCCACGTTGAAAGGACCGTGGCGAGTGGTCTCAAACACCATCAGGAGAGCCTCTCGGCCATTGTCAAAGGTCCGCGCAATGCCCACCATGCCGTCTCGGAAGGAGGTTTGGCCATCCAAGGTGGCGGGCTGGGACCAGGTACTTCCTTGGTCCCGCGAAATGACTTGCATGGTGCGTTGATTGTGGGGCGCAAACTCTTGAGAGAAATAGAGCTGCACTTCACCTTCACGTCCAAGGCGCATGTAAGGCTCCCAGATTCCAAACGGAGGGGGCTTCTCAAATGCCTGCGAAGCGTAGTGCCACACGCGACCCCCATCCGTGGAACGGCAGACCGTGATGCGGAACCAGGTTGGGCCATTGGGTCCTAGATCATGGTTCCTGAACGCCGCCAGCACTGTTCCCGGAGCCACCTCACACAAAAACAGATTATCCACCTCCCCCGATGCGCGGGTCACCTCAGACAGGTCCTCGAAGGTCTGGCCATTGTCGGTGCTTCGGGCGACGCGTAGTGACCGTTGTCCGTCGGGGAATCGAGTGAAGGAGGAGAGAATGGAGCCGTCGGAAAGCCGGCAGAGGCGGGGATATGTGCCCGTATTGGGAGGCGAAGATAACGGGCGCTCGTCGCCATTGATGGCTGGTCTGCCTGGGAGCCGAACCTGCGGGGACAAGTTTTGTTGATCACCGCCCTTGTCAATCCCCAAATGTTTGAGTACTTTGTGACCGAAGTGTCCGGGCATCTCGATAGTATCGCGATGGTTTTGCGATGAAATCTAGAGAATTGCAGGAATTGAAGTATGTTGTAAGTAATGAGAAGTGTCGTGACACTTCAGAAGGCTGCAGCTTTCTACCCCAGGCGTTGGCTACATGTGATGTCACCAGCCTCGTGGACCCGCAGCACGCGTGGACGCGTGACTCCGTAATGGTCCAATTCAGCCAAATGGAGTGCTCGCCTGCACCGTCGAATCTGGCATGTCGACAAGGTTGATCGGCGTCTTGGTCTTTTCGAGTAAAGCTAGTGAGTGCCAGGGGCTTTAAGGCTGCACTAGCTCATTGGTCATCTGCTTGGTGGTCCACTTGGGAGTGGGCAGGTTCATCTGAGACCTTTGCATTTCAGGGGGTGGACAGTGACCTTGGGAAGGACCGGGAGATGAGCATCTGATGGATTTGCATCACTCGCAGCTATCATGCACTGAGGATACGGAGGACGGAGTACATTACATCCAAACTTCTTTGTTTGCTGTAGCATTCGTGTGCTGCACGTGATGGAAAATGTGCTTATGCCAAGAGCATATGCAAACAGTGCAAACTCCAAAAATGATCCTCGTGACTAAGCAACACCGATGGCCTCCGTACCCAAGAAAAGGTGTTTACGGAGTACAACCTTCAAAGATGTACGGAGTATAGCATCTGCCCAGTGGCTACGCTAATGAGATGACCTTATACTAACAACCATGAATAAACTTGACAAGCGCACAAAAGTATTACTATGAACATCAGTCGAACAACCCCGCACAAAGTCGTCTCCATAGCCCTAAGTGTTCTTTATCTTCCTCCTCTCCTGGGGTATAGATAGTCGTAGCCGCATCTTCCACTCCTCCACCAACCCCGCATAATCTCTGGGACGATGCGGAACGAACAAATCTTCCCACCACGACCCCTTCCTCGAAGTACTCATGCCCAAGTCTCCGAGCAAGAGATCCAGGTACGGCATGACCTCAAAGACAAAGTCGGGAGTCCGCACCCCATGGCCCATCGGGGAGCGCAGCGAACAGAACTCTGTGTGCAGTGCGGTCTCACGAACTCTTGACTCCTTGTTTCCGTGCTGATGAAGCTCAGACCCGTGGTTGAGGTAGACTAGCGCCCAGAGGGCTTGCACTTCGGCAACAATGGATGTGCTAAACGTGTTGAGGGCCCCTAGAAAAGCGATACTATGGTCATCCCATAGCCCTAGGGGGACAATGAAGCGCGCGAGACGGAGGGGGTGTAGAACGGCTTCATCGGTGTTTATTTGATCTTCCATATCCTTTTTGTTGTAGGTTCTGCTCTCTGGGCCGGTAGGGAGCATGGGTAGACACGTGCTTATATCCTCTTGTGCCTGCTTCACGAGCCCTTGATCAATCGGGTCTGCAGTCCAGGAGAAACCCATCTCTTGATCGATCCCATCCGGCAAGAATCGAATTCCAGGAGACAGTTTCCAGCCTGTGCACATGATGAGTGCCTTCGTCTCCAGACTGTCGCCCCCGTTGTTGAGAACGACCCTGCAAGGCTCCAGCCGCTCAACGTCGGCAATATGCACCTTCACCAGTCCCCCCCGAATCAATGCAAAGACATCACCCGGGAAATTGATAATACTCACGGCGGTCCCGACCCAGAAAGGGTCAACCCAGGGTTTGAGCTTCGCCGTCTCCTCATGATCACTGTATCGATTGACCCGAACCATATCCCACTGCAGGCAGGCCCAGAACAAGCGCACAATCATACAGCCGAGCCATGTTCCATGTAAGAAGTTGCGTATTGGGTGGCTCACCCAGACGCAAGGGCTGAACCAGCCCAAGGCACGCACGAGAGGGAGACTTTCGAGGAGGAGGTTGAAGGGCGAGAACACCGCGGCGGGAGTCACCCACGTGGGCCCCATCCCAGAGGCTCTAATAACCCAGTTGACGCGATGTCCCTTCGATGCACAGGCGTAGACGGTGTCCCAAGCAGACTTACTTCCACCGAGTACCGTTATTGGTCTATGGTCATCATGGGCACTTTCATGTTGGACACCTGGCTTGTCATTGCTAGGGTCACCAAAGATGGTGTCTTGGTAAAGCGCAAATTCCTTTGCGTGGAACATGAGTGCACCGAAGGATTCTTGGCCCGAGAAGGTAGGAATATGCGGCTGCGACGTAAGGCCCGTGGCAAGTATCAGCTTTCGCGTCCGTGTAGTACTGCTCTTCTCGTGTCCCGGTTCTGTTGTGGTTTTCCATTTAATGAGCCACTCTTTTCCCCTTCCGTCATCTCTCTCAAGGTATTCGACGCTCTCAACCTTGCAATTCAACTTAATTTTGTCGCCGATCCCGAAATGGAGAGCATACGCTTTCAGATATTCATGCATGGCTCTCCCTGATATATGCTGACCGGGCGTGACTAAACCAGGAATGTTTTCTCTCATAGGAAAGTCGCCATATTCGTATGATCCCAGTAAATTATTCGTCCTGAGTGCTGGATATAGGCGTTCCTCTGCCCAGACACCCCCCACTGAAGCCGCAGAATCCAGAACGACTAGATTGACGGTGGGATCGAGGGCGAGTGCTGATTTGGCGGCCGCGAGACCGTGCCAGCCTGTCGTGAACAAATTAATTTTGGTTAGCTGCAGAAAACCCGGATGAAAAGAGGAGGGAATAAAGTAGCAATATGAGAGGGTTGAATGTACCAGCACCAATTATGGTCAGGTCGGATTTTTGTGTTTCCATTATGATTACTGGATGTAATCGCTTAAGTTTCGCTCTCCTTGTACAGTCCCTGAACAGTCCTGGAATTGGTATATGATGGAGTGGGTACTTTTTGGTATGTGTAGATCTAAGCGTTAGGTGATTTGGATTCCAGAAGAGAGGCAGGGTGTCAACTATGTCCACCGTCCTGATATAAGTAGTACACCGCTTCAGGCGCCCCGTTCCCCCGCCAGCCACCATGGTGGGGTCTCACCCGTGTTCAATCCAGCCTCACAGTCACCACAGCATTGAACAAGACTGCAGTAGAGCACGGACCGGGCGCTAAGTTGTGAGTGGGGGTACTTCTACGTAAGCTCTGCATGTTGGAGAACATTCATGGCCAGCTTTGACATACTCTGTACTCGATAATATGACCGCCCGATATGACAGGCGGTCGCAAATTCCTACAGCAGCAATCAAGGGGGCCTCAGGATGTGACGTATACAGAGAGGATACTCCGTACTATACGGCGTACGGAGTAGTAAATCAAACTATAGCCATCCACACGGCGCTAGCCCTTATTTGGACTAGTGTTATGCCGTCTGTGGAAAAAGGACGCCAAGGCAATCTGTCGTGCCCAGATATTACTCGCGATGCTCGGGTGTCACTCCATCCATGGATATATTGTACCTTTAACGATCACGGAGAATCGAATTGGCTGTCGGCGGTCTCTACGCAGAGCCATATACATGATTAATTCTAGGGCTTTTCCAAGGTTGATCAAAGAGATTGGAAATAAAGAAGGAAGCCGCCTTGGACAAGTATTTGTTAATCCCTTCAACCTTGACATGTAGAATTTTGATAGATAAATAGACGATGCTATATTTAAGATTCCATTTTCCAAGTCTCGAGGCTGTGTGTCACGCAATCAAGTTATTAAAGTTGTTGCTTGCCGGATGGGCATGTGGTCAACCGTCAGAGTTGAGAAGAAAGACATGGAATCCGGGGCTTGTAATGAATGTTTGTTTTAAAGCTTATCTGGGGACCATTCATTCTGTCGAGCCATATTCTGGTTTTGGATCATGCGAATAAGCCGAGTGTTTGGTATAACGGCAGGGGGGGACTCGTAAAGGAAAGGCCACATCATCTCCACTGAAGTGCTCATGCCTGCGTAGAAATGAGGATCCATGAAAAATGTCAGTTCCAAAGCTGTTGTATTTTGGCACTGGGCGCAGCAAAAGGGTGGAAGGTCGTCCACAGGTATTCCGTGCTCCAAACAGAACAGAGAACCTCAAGCTTCATGCGCCGTGGTTTGATGCAGCTACTGTGGCAGAGAACTTCTTGAAATCAGTGTCTCAAGAACCGATTTAGCCACTGAGGCTCTTTCATTGAGGTCACCTAAGTGTGATCATGATCATGTTACGCAGTACTCTGTTCAATCTCATATCCGTACCAAAACTTCGCATTCGTATTCATAGTATATAAAGACATTTTCGTTTGAAAAAAGCTCAGGTCTTCCAAGTATCTTCCCCTTATTGTAAAGTGATTTTGGCGACTTTTCCGGGCTCGATATAAGTACCAAGAACGGGCGCAATCTGACCACCACTGGTGCCCACGTAGAGCGTTTGCCTATCCTTGCTCAGACGGACGGATGTAGGACCGGGCAGCTCGAAGGAGATCTGGCCACCTGCGACGAGGGAGATCTGACCGAAGGGGCTGATACGAACAACACCGTTTTGGGGGTCAGTGGGAATGTACGCTGTCCCATCCGGTGTGAGTTCGAGGTTATCAGGAAGGAATCCACTGGCAATGACCTCAAAGTCTCCGACGGGATTTGCGTCTTCATCCACCTTCACGCGACAGTACTCCATCCGCGTGGTGCTGGTATAGTAAACGTACTCATCGAGAACGGTGACACTGTTGATACCAAGGGGTAGGGGGCCATTGGCGGGTAACATAGTGGTGTCATTCAATGCAACGGCATAGTCTCCCGTTTCAGTGTTGACCTTCCACACAACTCCCTTGATGCTATCGGCGACCAGAACGAGACCCGGTTCTCTTGAGAAGGTGGCCATGCCATTCAAAGCATCAGCCTCTGGCACCGCTGCGATCTCCGAGGCTGTCGGCTCTTGGAGGGCGCGCTCATCTTCAGTTGCGTTCTTGGCATTGAAATCAAGTCTTTGAACAGAAAACGAGCCCGAGGTTGGCTCATAGGTCTTGGCGGAGAAGTTGCCAATAACAACAGCGAACACATCATCCGCGATCTCACTGATCCCGAAGCAACTGGTCACGTTGGGGAATGAGTAGGCAAGAGTTGCGTTTCCGCTGGTGGTGTTGACATGCCAGACCTCGGGTGTGTCGAGGCGTGTCAGAAGAAGGTTTCCATCAGACCGGACGACCAGGTTGTCCACCCATGAGCCGTTGTTGGGGAATTGGAACAGCGTTTCGACTTTCACATTGGGCTCATCGTTACTGTAGCGACTTGCCGAGAGCTCGGCAGAGTTGGTAGCGTCTGAGTAGGGCCAAAAGGCTAGAGCAAATGGGGCGAAAGTCAGACCACTGGCCCAGCTTGTAAATAGGCGCATGTTGAGAAGATGGTGGGTGTGTGGTTTGAGATGAGTGGGTGAGAGTGGGAGGTACCCTATTTACCTGTGGGCGCGGGTCTACCCATCGTGCAAGGAGTTGCAAATGCTTTCAGGCCAGTGTTGTTTTCTCTTTTTCCCGCCAATGAAACGGGAATAATTTCCTGCTCGAGCATTCCTGAGGGATGTTGGTGGTGGACCGACCCCCTGCATTCCGTGCCATGCATTTCTCGGCCCTGACCACACAACAACCCGAGATGCAAGGCTCTAGACTAATTTTCGACCGTCAATTTGGTCTCGCAAATCACATAGGCTTGTCAAATTGCAATGCATTGGCTTCATGAGTATTCACTTCAACTCTATTTGCGACCTTCGCTCATTCACAGGTGGCTCTGAAAAGGCTGGCCCTTCGGCAGCTGAGCATATCCGTACAAATTCACACCACCGTCCTTCTGGACTTCCTGCATCCATTCACCAAGGCTCTTCAAAAAGATTTCCATGTTCTTATCGTCGCTCAAGTCGATAGGCTCCTCGTCCTGCGCAATCTGCAACATGTGAACACCAGCCGCAGGGCTGGTCTTGAAGAAGTCTTGAGGATCGATCTTCTGCTGAATGGCACCTTTGACTGTTCCGGCGAGGAGATCTCTGGGCAAGCGAGGCTCCTGGGTGATGGAGCGCCCGAGACCAACGCCGTCGACAGTATCGAGAGCTCGGACCATTCCTGAGGCTGTACAAAATCCTCCGGTCACATAGCTGCGGGTGCGCTTGAGAGCCGGGGCAATGAGGTCGGCGAATTCCAAAAAGAAAGACTCGCGCTTCTGCGAAGACTCACGCTTGTGTTGGAAGGCACCCGACTGGTAGGTTCCGCCCGACAACTCCACGAAGTCAAACTTGGTCTGGTCGAGAATCTCGCATAGCTCCTTGGATTCCTCGGGTGTGAAACCGTGTTCTTGAAATTCGACGGAGTTGATCTTGATTCCAATGATAAATCCGGGGTCTGGGAGTGCTTGGCGGATTGCCTCGGCGATTTCAACAATGATGCGTGCGCGGTTGGCCAGGCTGCCGCCGTATCTGTCGGTTCTCTTGTTCGTGGTCTGAGACAAGAATTGTGCCAGGAGATAACCGTGAGCAGAGTGCAACTCAATGCCATCATATCCGGCCTTCTGCAGGTATACAGCGACATGGACGAATCGACGAATGACTTCCTGGATCTCCTCTTCACTAGCGGGGTGGGGTTTGCCGAATTGGCCGAATTTCGGCATCACAAGCTGGACATCACTGGCGGAGATGGGGTTGGGCTGCAGCCGTTCAAAAGTCTGGCGACCTGGATGACTGACTTGTCCGACGATCAGACTTCCGTGCTTCTTGGCTTCAGTGGCCAACTCCTTGAATGCTTCAAAGCGTTCGCCGCTATATGGGTTTTCGAGATCAATGATCATGTTTCCAGGTGCCTCGAGCTGGTCGTATGCGATCATGATATTGGCTGTCAGAATCAGACCAAATTGGCCTTCACCCCATCGGCGGTAAAGGTTAATCAACTTCTGACTCGGAATTCCACGGGCTGATAGATCGGTCGCAGACCATGAGGCCATTCTTTCGGAGAGCGAAGCCTTCAGAAAGCGGTTCGAACTCTGGCGCCCGCTGAATTCGAACTGCATCGGTGCCCCAAGGGGCGATACGTCCACGTCTTCACTGGGGAATCTGGGAGACATGCTGTGGGATAATTATTTTATTTACTTGACGCTGGGTATGATGTTTCACGAATTGATCGGAATCAGAGCGTATGGCATCTTTTATGTACCTTGTCCCCAATTACTCAGGGCCCACGCATTTTCGCCGTTGATTAAGAAATTTCTGGGTTGGATCCAGTATTCTCGGACCAAGACCTATACAAGGCATGATGTCCTGCCAATCCGGATCCACATCCTCAGATCGGGATATGTCAGCATTCAATTCGCCCCTGTCGGACTAAATGTTATGCCACGGCATAAAGACGGCGCAATCGGGTTCGGTCCGGAGGCTCTAGACGGTTCAATTATTGCTCCGGAGCCCTTTTGCTACTGTACAATTTTCTTTTTCAATTTTTGTGGGGAATCTGAAGACACCAGGATCCGCTTTGTGCAATAAAACCATGATTTGTAAGCATTTCCACGGCCCTTGGAATCCTGAATTGAGCTCTGAGATCACATCCATGGATACGGAGTACTTCCAGGATTGTAGCTTGCCTTGGACCTCGGGATGTCTAGTGAACTGAATTTACGTGCTTCCAATAATCTGCCTTTTGGGGCTCTTTGTTTATGGACCAATCCAAACCAATCCAAGGTTGGTTTTAATACCTAGGTATGCGCTATAGATAGCGGATGTATATATTTTTGCGTTCCAACTCCCGATGTCTAAAGGTTCAACGCATTTGCTGCAACACAGGGGGCCTACTCTCATTTTTCATAGATATGGACAGCCGAGATTGCGGTTAGAAGAAGCAGGAAGCCTGACTTTTCCGACAACCTTGGACATCTTGGAATACATAGGTTGACATCTTACCCAACTTGGATCCTTTTGACAAGGCGCAATATCATTCAGTGTTTTGAAACTTTCCTGTGTTGAAGCACAAGAATAATGAATTATCAGATACCTCCCATGCACCAATTTCAACAGAGGAATTGACCGCGTCCGCAATGAAAGCTGAGCGTGTGCGATAGGGGCGAGGTGGCGAAAGACCGAAGCATATAGCCGAAGAAGCCGAGCCCCACCTTTCCAATACGAAGAGGAAATCATTTCGCTGACTTGGTCTCTTCTTAGTATTACAAAAAGCCGATTCTTCTGCTATCTGTGTACGGAGTAAGAAAGATGGAGATCGAAAGCCCTGAGCGGCCACGTACGCGGGCGAAGAAAGCGTGTCTGGCATGCAACTCGCGTCGCGTGCGTTGCAATGTTCTCGAGATGCAGCCCTGCCAAAACTGTGTGTCGTGGAACTTGTCATGTGAAGTAGGGATTTCTCGACGCGGAAAGTGAGTCGGAGGTATTGAATCGCACCGTTGATACAACTCTCATACTGTTTAGATATCCTCGCCGAAAGAAAAAGGGAGCCGCTAGAACACTACCCAAACCGGGTGATGGCGCTACTAATACATCAAGTACTCCGCCATTAGAACAAGCGCAACTTTCATTGAATAGCCAGAAAAGGTATCCACCAACTGGGCTTGCAGCATCGGAACAGGCGATCCATAAAACCGTGTTCCTCGGCGAGTCCAGCCCCCTTACTTGTGTTGTGGACGAAGGTCGCCGCTCCCCTGACAAAGGATATGCACGAGGTGGTCAGAAAGGTCGGCTGCATTATTCAATTTCAGAGATCAGTGGTGGCAGTGAGATTAGTCAAGATTCGCTCAGCTCGCGTCGCAAACTACTGCACGATCGTCTTACCCGTGAAGGGGCATTGCAATTTCCGTCATCAGCTATTTGCGATACCCTTCTTCAAGCTTATTTCGACTGGCTCCACCCATGCTTTCCGATTCTAGATCGCCCAGCACTGCAAAGCAGCTACCAAACTGGCACATTGTCCCCGTTGCTCTTGCAGTCGATATTATTCATTGGTGTAAGCCTGTGTTCCGACACAGCCTTGAGCACACTCAGCCTTGGGACTCGATACCAAGCGAAAGAGTTATTTTACCAAAGAGCCAAAGACATTTACGATTCAGGATGGGAGACTGAAACAATAACTAAATTACAGTCCCTGTTCCTGTTAAGCTTCTGGCGCGGAAGTCCGACCGAGGAACGTGATGTTCGGTTTTGGCTTGGGGCTGCTATCAGTCTCGCTCAGAAGAAGGGAATGCATGTGATGTGCGCAATGTTACTCTAGTGATTTTTACAAGAGCTGATGCTGACATTTTTACAGGTCCAAACTCTCCTTTCTCAATATCAACGACCAAAGAGTCTGGAAACGGATATGGTGGGCTTTATATGTACGAATTCACCGGCCATTGTCTACAAGCATGAGAAGCTGACCATTCAAAGGTGCGCGACCAACAGACATCAGCAGCATTAGGACTACCACCACGGATACGCGATGAGGACTGCCAGATAGCTGACCTCGAGCCATCCGATTTTGAGGAGAGTGGGCTCATTGGAGGACCCTCCGAAATATTCAGAGCACCACCAGGTGTCCACGTGTCGTATGTGATTGGCATGGCACAGTTGGCTCGATTATGTATGAATCCCTCGCCTCTCATGAATCACCATGCGCTGAGACATCTCAATCTAGTACGGGACGTCGTCTCCAGCCAATATTTGCCTGGTCGATCGAAGTTAGAGAACCCTGAACGGCCTAGCCTTCACCGCAAGCTCACAGACTGGGAAGCAAATCTCACAAAAGAAATGCAGTTTCAAATGCCGATGAGCCGAGAGGAAATGTTCCTCGTCGGTATGCTTCATATGGCTTATAAGTATGGAGAATTCCCTGTCAATGTTATTTGATACCCAAATTAACCCCAATCCAGCAATCTTTACATTCTCCTCTACAGGCCTCTTTTTCTACAGCCGCCCAGTCAAACCAGCAGCCTCGAAGGAAACATGGCTCTCGATGCAGCAACACGAAGCACTCGGATATTGGAAGATATGCTTTCAGAAAATCTGGTACAGCACGGCTCATTACATCTGTAAGTGTCGCCAATATGTATGCGAAATTGAACTAACAGGGGTAGAATAACACACACTTTCTCTGCTCTGTGTATACATACCATTCACTTCGGTCGCGTGACAGGCACCGCTAGAAAGCTGGCAGAGCACAGAGCGAAACTATGTCTCCTAGGCTTGAAGGAATTGCAAAAATCATGGGACCTGGAAAACTGGGTCCTTGATCTATTCTTCCGTTGTTTAGATGACCGCACCGCTCGAGATCTCCGACTAGCCGATGTCACCATGCCCACGTCAACGACACAGTTACCCGAGGATTACACAGAAATAGAACCTGCCATGCCTACCGACAGCCAATACCGACCGCCATCGCCCAATCCAACAGAAGCTACAGTTCCGGCGCCTCAAATCGGCACAGCCAATGCTACCGCAGAAGAGGCCGCAATTAATATGGATTGGTACGAGCTTTTCAACATGGAAGGTGACGATGTAATGGGGCTTGCTGGATCTCTGTCCAACCCGGACTATCTGAACCCCCAGAACCTGGAATTTCTCTACCGATTTCTGTAGCGAGATGAATATCATCACCTCATTTTTCACGCAAGTGCAGCTTTGGAAAGGTCTTTGACGATGATGTGTATGTACAGTACAAAGAGGTTCACCATCCCGATTCCATAGCAGCGAGAGGAAACAAGATCAATTTGACAGACCCAGCTCCGCAATTATCGCCTCGTTATGCTCACCAACTTCTGGAACAGAGCCCATTTGAGCGCCGTGTCCTCCCTTGTCAGGTGAGTTGGTGAACCCAGGAGGTAACAGAGCTGGAATGACACCAGCAGGGGTTTGTACCGTGGTCCACCGGTCGCGCGCTCGAAGTTGAGCGTGGTCCCAAACATTCTGCATATCGTTCACACTGGCATTGGCAATGGAAGCCTGGTCCAACCTGGTGATGATTTCATCCACTGTGAATTTCGAGAAGACATCGTGGATGATAGACTTCAACTCATCTCTGTTTTTGGTTCGTTGCGAGTTATCCACAAACCGCGGATCGGCCGCTAGGTCAGGCAGGGCAAGAACTCCATTGCAGAAGTTGGCCCACTCTCGCTCGTTCTGTATCCCCAGCATGACGGATTGGTTGTCGCCAGTTTCGAAGGGTCCGTATGGGTAAATAGCCGCATGAGAGGCACCCGCGGGCACCGGTCCAGGAGCATTATTGAATGCATAGTACATGGGGAAACCCATCCATTCGACCATGCATTCTAGCATGGAAATGTCAATGCGGCAGCCTCGGCCATCCTTTCCACGCTGAAGAAGTGCCGAGAGAATATTGCTGTACGCGTACATTCCAGCCGAAATATCCGCAATGGAAATGCCAACTTTCACGGGCTCTTTCCCAGTGCCTGTTACAGACAGCATACCCGCCTCACTCTGGATCAGAAGGTCGTAGGCTTTCTTGTCGCGGTATGGGCCATCTTGCCCGTATCCAGAGATATCACAGACAATCAGACCTGGATGTTTCTCTCGTAATGAATCATAAGAGAGACCGAGCCGTGCGCTGGCTCCCGGAGCCAGGTTCTGAACAAGGACATCGGCCTTTTCGAGTAGCTTCATCAAGACGGCATGATCGCGTTTCTGCTTGAGATCAAGTGCTAGACTCTCCTTGGAACGATTGGTCCAGACAAAATGTGACGCGAGTCCCTCAACTCGAGTATCATACTGGCGAGCAAAATCGCCCACGCCGGGCCGCTCAACCTTGATGACTCGCGCTCCAAGATCGGCAAGTTGCCTGGTGCAGAATGGTGCAGCGATGGCTTGCTCCAGACTAACTACCGTGACCCCAGCTAGTGGAAGGGCTCGGCTGCCTTCAGTAGACTTTGTTGAAGAGAGGCACCTCGCAGAATACAAAGCGGTTGTGGACCGAGTAGAGCCCAGTTGGCCAAGATGCCGGGGCGCGTGAGAGAGAAGCAGCCTCATCAGAGATGTAATAATACTTTCAAGTACGCAAAGACGAATGCGACCGAGTCGAATGAGTCCGGGCCTATGGTTTCATATAATTTAGCAGTCTCATGAGGTTCTGGCCCTCTCTAAATACATAACGCGGGGAACGCTTAGGTCGTAGCGCGGATCTACAGCCGTATGCGCCAAGCCCGGGGAGTCGGCTATATGCAATAGGTGGATTGACGGACGTGGCGGTACTCGACGTTCAAATCACAGTCGGGGACTGCGTCGAGATCAACTAGCGAATAGGGGCAGTTGAATCTCCATATTTCGTGGAGAAGTGCTTTCCTCTGGACATGTTCGTCGTGAGGAAAAGCCTCGGCGGTTATGCGCTGAGCTCCACTCCGCCCTAAAATGAAGCTATTCCCAGCCCCCAGTTGTTTATTCAGTCAGACCATTCTCAATTGAAATCATCACCCAGGGCGTGTGAAAGACCTTGCGATTTTAATATTGGCGCCCCGCTACGGCGTGAGGCATCACAGAGTGAATCTTGAACGAGATCAAAACTTGGATTCTTGAAGAATTGGTAAGGTTTTGCCTTGCTGGAAAAAGCGGAGGAACGCTTACACACACCGGACACAATTTGATACTTTCCATAAAGTACCCTGGTATACGGAGTAACACAATTGCACCAACGGAAGAAATGAAAGAAGACGTTAATTGCTGTCGTGAATTGTGAAACTTCCCAAACTTGAAACCCGAAAGTGACCAATTTTGGAGAGACGATCATCTCCGCAAAACGGGGATCGGCGCTGCCCCTCTCCAGGGTCTGCCTGTTGGCCAGATTTGTTGGATCTCGTTCAGCTGAGAGTAGAAAGAAAAGAGGTCCTTGCGTTGCAATTTCACTCAGCCTAGTTTGACGCCGAGGTACGGAGTATCCAATTTTGAGGATGTGAATATTGGTTTCGAGGGCCGAGGCTGGCACGTTCATGTGGGTATCCCGTCGCCTTGAAGAAGGGCCCAATGCCAGGTATGAGTGATCTTGGTCACTGTTCTGAAGTCAGAAACACGCCTTTATCGCCCCATGGCTCCCATCAATAAGCTCGCAGGGCACATTGGCCATCTCTCGCCTGATCAAGAAGCGAAACTGCTCGAGTTCTGGGCCATTATCTTCACTTCCGTCGCCTCGGTGCTATCGGCGGTATATGAAGTCCCGATCCCCGAGGGTCCTCCGAGTAAACTGTTTGAAACCCTGGATAAAATCAATGAACCGACAGTGGACGCCATTACATCCGCACTGAAGGGAACAACCATACACGAGTCAAACGAGGCTCCCTTCCAAGGCAATGGCGACACCAACAGCCACACCAACGGGGAACCTAACGGAGAGGAGCCGGGAATCAACCCTCATCGTTCACTGGACAAAATTGAATCGCTCATGAATGAAGATGCCAAGACCACCCTCATGTCCGAGATGGCGAACCGCAAGGTCAAACCGGAACATTTTGCTTCACTCTTCGCAGATCTTCGTAGGCTTGGGGTGCAAGAGTCCGAGATCAAGTCGATGGAGAATATTCTCTCACAGATGACACCACAAGAGATGTGCTTCGCGATTTTGAAGATGGTGAAACAAGAGCATCCTGACAGTCTGTTGCTGCGTTTCTTGCGGGCCAGGAAGTGGGACATCGGCAAAGCGTTCTCAATGATGGCCTCTACTATCCTATGGAGAAAGCAACTGGATGTCGATGATGAGATTCTACCGCATGGAGAAGAGTACGCGCTGGAAAAGTCTCGTGGTAAGAGCGCGTCCGCGAAGGAGAAAAAAGACGGAGCCGATTTCATCAAACAGCTCGAGATGGGCAAGAGCTTCCTGCATGGGTTTGATCGGGAAGGACGTCCGGTGAACTACGTTCGAGTCAAAATTCACAAGCCTGGTGCGCAGAGTGAAGAAACTCTCGAGCGGTACATTGTCCATGTCATCGAGTCGACGCGACTGATCATTGCTCCTCCAGTGGAAACAGGTGTACGCGCATTCTCATCCCAACAAAGAAATGATGCTGGCGCTGACATGGGCACAGACCATTGTGTTCGACATGACAGGATTTGGGTTGTCTAACATGGTAGGGTCCTTACGTGAAACGATCCAAAGATGCAACGCCGCTGACTTTGGGGCAGGAATATGCACCTGTAAAGTTCATCATCAAGTGCTTCGAAGCCAATTACCCGGAATCCCTCGGCCTGCTTCTGATTCATAATGCACCATGGGTATTCTCCGGTAAGCCCGAACAACATCTATTTCTGGAATGATAGGCTGACGGTGTAGGAATCTGGCGACTCATCCAAGGATGGATGGACCCCGTGGTCGCTTCCAAGGTCCAATTCACGCGGTCTGTCGCAGATCTTGATAAGTATATACCACGAAATCAGATCCCCAAAGAACTCAAAGGTGACGAGAATTGGAGCTATAAATACATCGCGCCGGTGGAAAACGAGAATGCAACAATGAAAGACACAAAGACCCGTGACTCACTCATGTACGACCGCATGATGGTTGGCATCCGGATGCTCGCAGCCACAGCGGCTTGGATATCAGCCACCACACTGAACGATGGGATGGAGGAAACTTCCAAAGTTGAAGAATTGAAATCCAGACGCAATGGGGTGATCGAGGAATTCCGTGCCAACTATTGGAAGTTGGACCCGTATGTTCGAGCACGGGCGCTCATTGATCGAGATGGCATGCTTCTTCCCGGGGGTGTGCTTTCAAGGGACGATATCAATGGCCAGACCAGATAGTTAGCTCTCTAAATCAACTTGACCAGCTTACTAGAGCATCTCTTCGACTCTCTGGTATTTGAAGCTCGACTTCTTTTGGCGAGGCCGCATGAGATGTAATTCAGTTCTGGCAAAAGTTATCACATGGGTCTCACTAGGCTGGTAGAGCATCTTCCCACCGATGTATTACTAGACGTGTAGCCAGACAGACGAGGACGGACATATTCGCGATCCGAAAAGTCGATCCCACGCTGGGGTAGAGAGCACGCGCACTGTGACGAATGCTCCCATTGTTGGCTGGAGCGCAATTCTCGTCCCTGGGGAGGTGTTTGGCCATCATTGGCATTGGGCACAAGATATCGATCCCAGGGAAGCTCAAGGTATTAGCATGCGACAGTATGGAGAATTGACACAGAAACACATTTCCGAGGATGAGGATGACTGGGATACTCTATCAAGCAAAACAGGAGGAAGCTTCCCCAAGGAAGCGGCTGTACCGCATCACCGCGTTCCACCGCGGACGTCTGTCCGTGTGTTGGAGGCCCGTGGAGAAGGCCAAGGAGAAAGTCTCAAATTTTGGTGGAACTTTGGAAGCCTACCTCAAGTCAGAGATCTCCGCATATGATTGCTTGTCGCGGTTGCTGAATTTGAGATATGATGTTCGGTTGGTCTTCGAGAATTCGAGATTGTGTAGATGAGTGTGAGAGGAACGGTCACTGAACTTCGAGTGCTGAGTTGAGTGTTGAGTGCTTCGCCCGAAAAGGAAATATGTCCCGGTCCTGTTTGGGGCACGGACTGTGCTTACTAAGAATAACAGTGAGTCCCGTGATTGGTTGTTTCACGCGTTATGTCGGCATCTTCCATCAGTCGACCCCGTGGACTTGTCTTCTCGTCGGAGCATCAGTGGACAGCGCTCAACTTCTCTCGCCTCTAAGCTCGTTGTTCGCCAATCTAAGGGTTGAATTGGCACTACTGACTCACAGACACCCGCAGATCTCCGTCCGGACAGCCAATGCCCCGCCCCACCGATTGTGTTCGCGGACGGCGCGTGTTGATGGAAGGCGCGCAGTCTAGTTGTTATAAGCGCGACCGCCATGTTTGAGATCTAGCACGTTAAAAATGTCTTCCACTACACCTCAATCGACGACATTCGACTTGACAGTTGAAGACTCCGTGGGTCTGACCCAAATTCTCACCCAAATCGATTCATCAAATGTGACATTGTCAACCACCCCGGGGGCTGGAGAGGCACGGATCGCGGACTTCTTGGTAGATTGGCTCAATCTCCGCGACATCGAGACCCACAAGATTGAGACTGTTCCCGGTCGCCCATCTGTCGTTGGTGTGATCCGGGGATCGGGTGGTGGAAAGTCGTTGATGCTGAATGGTCACATTGACACAGTCAGCTTGAACAGCTACGAGTGCGATCCTCTCTCGGGGCACATTGCCGAAAAGAACGGACGCCCAGCCATTTTTGGTAGAGGTGCTCTGGACATGAAGTCCGGTCTCGCTGCCGAGATGGCAGCCCTTGCACACATCAAGGCCAATAAGATCCCCCTCCGCGGAGATGTCATCTTCGCAGCCGTTTCCGATGAAGAGGATGCATCTCAGGGCACACAAGACCTCATTGCCGCTGGCTGGCACGCCGACGGTTGCGTGATCCCCGAGCCTACAAACCGTGTTCTCATCAATTCCCACAAAGGCTTCGTCTGGTTTGAGATCGAGATCCTGGGAACTGCTGCTCACGGCTCTGATCCAGCATCTGGCGTGGACTCTATCCTGCAGACTGGGTGGTTTTTGACTGCGTTGGAGGAATATCAGCGTGAACTACCTGTCGATGACATGATTGGGCCTGCGTCATTGCACTGCAGTCTGATCAATGGTGGTGAAGAACCCTCCTCATATCCAGCCAAATGCACGGTGACCGTTGAATTCCGAACGGTCCCTGCGCAAACCGATAAATCCCTTCGGATCGACCTTAGCAATATGCTAAAGGAAATCGCCCGAGTCAAGCCAACCTTCCGCTTCGCAGAGCCTCGGTTGACTTTATCCCGACCGTCTCATAAGCTACCGGTGGAGCATCCTCTGGTCCAACAGACAGCAGAGATTGCACGCGAGGTGTATGCCAATGATGTCTCTATCGAGAGCATGGCTATTTGGTGCGATGCTGCGCTCCTCAGCGCTGCGGGTACTCCGACCATCGTGATTGGACCGGCGGGTCAAGGGTTGCACGCGAAGGAAGAGTGGGTGGATATTGGAAGCATCCGGCAAACGGAGCAAATTTTTGTTCGCCTCATCTCCAATTTCTGTCAATAAAGAGAATAACATTCTAAGCATTCTAATTTAAAAACAAAAATCAGGGTTTCCTAACGTATATCTATATGATCAGCATCTCGCTAGCTCATTTAAAGCTGAAGGTGTCCTATCAACCTGGAATCCAAGAGCTAGAGGCTCCTCTTAGGGTACCTTCGCTTTCCTTTCCCATACGTTTGTTGCTGGCTGAGCATGAATAACAACCTTGGAAGTAGAAGCTGATGAGTAACTAGAAATGACGACTACTGGTGACGGGATTTTCGGCCTAGGTACAACATCATTGCCAAACACTTGACGCCCAGCCAAGTATCATGCCCATGTTTATGCCGAGGGTCAGTATCGATGCGGAGGCAAGATGGGTATCCATGGATGTTCCCGGCGGCAGGAAAAGGCAAGTCGCCAAGCGGACCAAACGAGGTCTGATCTGTTCCGGTGGAAATGTTGCCTATTTCGAAGGGTCTGACGTTGCCCAGATGGTAAGCGGACCCACTTCCCAAAAAGGTATTGATTCCACCGGAATGAGCTGTATGAACTACAGAGTACAGAGAGTTCACGTACTACAAAAGGACATGGTTATAAATACCTGGGTCATCCACGTCAGCTTATCCCATTTTTTCGATATTATTCCAACTGGATTCAGAAAATCATCGCTTCATTCACCCATTCCAACCTTGATCTGTGATCAAATACCCGCTGCAATCATGTCTGACCACACAATTTCCGTGACTCTCACTCAGATTGCCAAGATGATCGACCACTCTCTCCTCCACCCAACCATGACCGACTCTGACATCTTCTCCGGTCTCCGAACTGCCAGAGAGAGCAATGTTGCCACTGCTTGCGTTAAGCCGTATCTCATTCCCCTCGCAAAGAAAGAGCTATCCGGCAGCGACGTCCAGGTCTGCCCTGTGATCGGGTTTCCTCATGGCAACAGCACTACTGAGATCAAGGTCAACGAGGCTATTGCTGCTGCTGAAGCCCGGGGGTAGTGAGATCGATATGGTTATCAATGTTGGCAAGGCGCTTGGGGGTGACTGGGAGTATGTCTCTCAGGAGATTGATGCCATCAACCGCGCTGTCGTGAGCCGTGGCGCTATTCTCAAGGTCATCTTCGAAAACGATTATCTTGAGTCTGAGCACATCATTGAGCTCTGCAAAATTTGTACGAAGCTTGAGGTTGCCTTTGTGAAGACCTCGACTGGCTATGGCTTTGTGAAGCAAACCGATGGCTCCTACAATTACCTCGGCGCTACAATCAAGGACCTCAAGCTCATGCGCGCGCACTCCGGTCCCGGTGTTCAGATTAAGGCTGCTGGTGGGGTTCGCACTCTTGATGATCTACTCCATGTCATGAGTATCGGTGTCACTCGGATCGGAGCTACGGCAACAGTCGCTATCCTGAATGCTGCCAAGGCCCGAGGTATCGGTGAGCAGCCAGTGACCGTTTCTTTTCAGCCTATGACTGAGAAGGCAGGCGGGTACTAACGCTGATACACTTATCAACCTTTCAAGCTGCAGGGTTGGAGGTGTATCCGTCGTCCTTCTGGGCAGTGTCACTCTCACGGTTTACTTTTCATCAATTGCTGTCGACATTCTTGCATTCGCAGGTTTCACCTAAACATCACCGGGGCACTCTGTTGGGTAGCTTTTACCTAGGCTTGTAAGCCTTTGCACCTACCTATGGAACAAACAGTTCGAGGGATTCAATGCCTGATTCCTGGAGCCTTCGTCTATCCTAGCTATCTCCAGGGCTAACTCCCGGGCTATGAAGAGAAACCTTGGAACTTGAAAATTTTTAGTGTCTATCTTATCACCTGCTCATGTCCAAAGGTGTAAACTCATATTTCGCTTGAAACCTCGGGAAGCGCAAATGTAGACATAGATCTTTTTAGGGGGGATATATATATATATCACTTAGTGGGTGCCTACCTACGTGGGGAACTGCAAGTGAATTTCGATTCTGAGGGTTGGAAAATAGCCAAGTCCAAATGGAGGCGAGCTCACATACTTTGATTTGATAGGTATGGACCAAAAAAAAAAAAAAAAAAAAAAAAAAACACACACACATCTGGGCATGCAATGAAACAATCTGCCTTGTAAAAAAAAAGGGCGAGGGAGTAGGAGCTGCCCACCTGCACCTGGGCAGGTGGGCCGGATGACTGATGATCTCATTACTCAGCGGCTCAGGGACTTACTCCCCTTCCAGGGCTATCACTCCGAGGGTCCCGAGTTTTCCAACTGGATCTCAGAGAAAAATTGGGAAGAATTCTATTGAGCGTATTCCAATGAAACCGCCGACCAGCGAAAGAAGCAGATTTGCCAATCATTGGAAGCCTGACGGCTTTGTGGTCTAACGCTCGCTGCCCCGTCGCCTATGCGCTCCGCATTTGACGGCGCCCCAAATTGAAAGATGGCGGCACAGGGGAAACGGACGCGAGTGGGAAGAGCATGTGAAAGATGCCGACGCCAAAAGCTCAGGGTGAATGCTGTCACGAATTCGGAGACTTCTTCTATTGCTGCGCGATGCTAAAACTTCTGTAGTGCGACATCCAGCGTCCGTGCACTCTTTGTGTACATGCAGGGTCAGAATGTGAAGCAGGGCCTCGAGATCAATTCCGGGAATTTCGATCTCCAATGAGTGAAACGAAAAAACGGCCCTGTCGTCAGCGGAGTGCATTGAGTAGACACCATGACCCCGAGAGCATCAGACATGTCGGCAGTCAGCCTTGGTCAAGCTCCACCATGTCCCTAGTAGCAGGGGTATGTGCAAACTCAAGAGACAGAGTTCTATCGCTGATAAGTCACAGGCATTCGAGTTGCATGATTCCGTCACACCCGATACTTCGATGACGACAGCTCTTCCTGGAGGTCAAAAAGGACCTGCGACTGGAGTTTCTGACAAGCCCGAGCACCTAGTACGGGATCGACGAGAGCAACACTATACAGCAAACCCACTGTTGCAAGAGTCAAAGTCGCTGACAGCAGAACTCCTTTCTCTGTTGCCCTCTCGAGATGTAGCCGCCCTTTTGGTCGATACTTACTTTGATCGGATCCACTGGTTCACGCTTATCTTCCATCAGCAAGACTTCAGAGAGAACTGGAAGAAATTGTACGACTACATCCCCGGAAGCACAGAGGCGGCCTCCCCGCACCCGCACCCCGGCATGGTCAGTACATTCCTGGTAGTCATTGCTATTGCCCTACAGTACGCCGGAAGCCACAGAAAGCTAGTACTGCGAAGCCACAATGTGGATCCCAGTGCATTGAAGGAAAATATCTTGGCTCTCATACGGTCCAAATTACTGGAAATTGTGTCCTTCCAATCCATCGAGGCTGTGCAAACTTGCGTGCTACTGGGAACCTATTACCTCTACCACGGAAGCCCAAGTCTTGCATGGCCGGTATGCGGGTGTGGGCTCCGCCTCGCGCAAGCTTTGAAATTACATCGCAGATTGCCAACCACCGGTCCAATCTCCCAACAGCTACAGGGGCAGATCGAAACGCGCAAGCGTTGCTGGTGGGCTATTTACGAGATCGAAACATTCTGTTCAATCTCATACGGCTATCCACATGGAATCGTCGACACCGATTGTAATGTGGAGCTATTGAATCCTCTAGCCACATCCGGAGGTCAACCTCCCCCCCAGCTATAATGAAGGGCATATGTGTCCAGCCAGCTTGCTATCATATAAGTACCTGATGTCTAAACTCTCAGTTATCTTGAAACAGACCTTGGCCGATCTCTATGGAATTGGTTCCCATCATTCTCTTACCAGGAAAGAGGCGGGGTCATCGTTGAACTTCATAGAGCTCATTCGAAAAGTTCCCACGTTGGATGATAGACTCGAGAAATGGAAGGGGGAAATTCCCGATCCTCTTCGTCTCACCTACTTCAACCACACAAACTACGCATGTGGAGAAGAAATGGATCGTGATATTGGCGCCGCAGGCCCGGGGTTTGAGAGTCATATATACCAGCTTCAGGCACTTGCTTTGGCTCTTGCGTACGAAAACGCAAGGATTCTAATCCATCGGCCCTTGGTGTCTTTTCGAACAAAGCTTTACCATGACCAGGGATCTGTGGGTGCATCTGATTCTTCCAAAAGTCCAGCTCTCCTATCATTGCAGGCCTGCCGAGGCGCCGCAATGAACACCTCACGAATCGGAGACTCGCCAATATTTGCTCTCGCTGCAGAGACATATGCCGCAGCGTTTATCAGCATTCACACATTCACTGCCGGTGTTATGCTCTGCGTGGTGACCAGCATCGAAACCTTTACTCCCGAGTCACAAGAATCCAAATTGGGACTGCGTCGCTTGCTAAGTATGCAAGCCCAGCTCAAGTCAAAATCACAATGCACATTATCTTCCCAAGGGCTTGAAATTCTAGAAAGACTCACTCGGTTGGTCATGGAGAAAGAGTTGAAGGAGCTGTTAGCCCCAGGGAGCGATGCTAGCTTGGGAGCTGGGCTTGGTGCACAAATAACACAGAGGGACCAGCAACGCGACCAACAGATTCAGCTCGATGCGCAGCTAGCTGAAGGCATGAATGTGACTTGCCGGGACCACATGCCCGAAGTGGTCGTAGACACAAATGTTTTCCAGGCCTTATCCGACCTTGATCAAGGTATGCTGGTCAAAACGTTGCTGTATCGTAAACAAGAAAGCTTACATTTCCCACTAGTGCTATTTACCCAGGAGCTTGATCCCTCTACAGATCCTTTCTTTTATGATATGAACATGTCTAACAATAGCTTTTCCCAGGAGCAGGCGTGGATCTGGGGTATGGACAAACCTGCCCAATTGAACGAGGAGTGATAATTCCAAGCAACGTTTCATATCCACATTTCACTGCTTGTGTACCTCCACATGTACATTATCTTTGCTCCGTGGAGGGTGATGAACGAGGTCCGCCATTGATCTCAAGATCGCTCAATCGCTTTGATCCACCGAGAAACCCGACACTACAGGCGATCGCATTGCTATACAAAATGCTGCACTTAGCTACCTGTTGTTCACTAGACCTTCCTACTCAAAATCTCCCTGGAGACATTTTCTTTAAAATGCCTGTAGTTTTATTGATGGATGGAGTCTGACGCAGGTTTGTTCTTATGGCAGAAGGAAAACATTGCGGAGACCCCTAGGTGGGTTTTATTAACGGAACTTTGGAACCAGCATTGATAATGACATATGATGTAATTAGGATCCATAGATTGGGACGAATACTATGTATCAGATAACAACACAGGTATTTTGATCTAACACAAGTAGGCAGCTATACAGGGACAGAGACCTGGAGGCTTCTAAGGTCAACCTTGGAAATTGATCTATGCCAAATCGGGTATGTATTGGTCCAATGAGAACAGGCTGCACGTCTGTGCTAGTCCAAAAGAGGTAACTAATCACCCAATGAGAAGCCTGGAATTCACTTTAGCATCGTCAACCTTGGAATATATCAAAAGTGTCTGTAGTGGTTGATCAAGCTATTTTTCCTTTGCAAATAAAAGGTGCTGAGTGAACATCAATTTTCTCAATTCTAAATATTTTTTTTTTAATTCCCGAGGTTTTTTGCTACAAAGTCAATCGCCGTACAGTTCGTCCGTGTTGCACTGCTTGCTCCCTTTAACTTCCCGTGACGCACGCATATATCGCCGCATCGAAATGGCACAGGAACAAGACCATGCACCCGAAGAAATAATGACCGACAAGGCCAATGGGAATCTCCAGCAAGCCGCCAATCATGGCCAATGCGAAAATCCAAGAGGAGATATGGCTTCGGAAGGCCCAATGTATCCAACAGGACTGAGATGGTCTTCATCTTTGTCGCTCTCTGCTTGACAGTCTTCTTGGTCGCTCTAGTTAGTATTCAAGAACCAAATAATCCGAGCTGATCGCTTTTTCTTCTTCTATTGTTACACAGGCTAACGAAGATTAATATCATAAACAGGACCAAACAATCATCGCTACCGCGATCCCGACCATCACCTCCGAATTCAACAGCGTGGAAGACATTGGATGGTATGGAAGCGCCTTTCTTCTCACGACCTGCAGTTTCCAACTTTTTTTTGGCAAGTTGTATACTTTACTCCCGATGAAATGGACTTTTGTTGGAGCCGTGTTGATCTTCGAGATCGGCTCTGCTATCTGCGGCGCCATCCTAACTCCGTCGCCCTTATAATTGGACGAGCTATTGCTGGAATTGGAGGAGCTGGTATCTTTTCTGGGGCGCTCATAATCATCGCTAAGTCCGTACCTCTACCAAGGAGACCCGCGTTCACGGGAATCATTGGTGCCGTATGGGGCATAGCAAGTGTGGTTGGCCCTTTACTAGGCGGCGCTTTCACAAGTGAGCTTCTCCTACCCCTTTTGCCGTCGCGATCTATGTTTTGACCAAAATGAAAAACTATAGCTCATGTATCTTGGCGCTGGTGCTTCTACAGTACTACACCCTTAAGCCTCCATTTTTCTCATCGTGAACTAATTTGATTCTAGTTAATCTACCAATTGGTGCGGTAGCCATCCCATCTATCGCTGTCTTTCTATCTCCGCAGCTTCCAGACCAGCGCCTGAAGCGGACTGCTTGGGGCCTGCTGAGTTAATTTGATCCCATTGGAACGATCTTGCTTGTCGCGGGTACTGTTTGTCTTTTGATCGCACTCCAGTGGGGCGGGAGCCAATATCCCTGGAGTGATGCCCGTCAAATAGTGCTATTGACTGCATTCGGTGTGCTGATTATCGCGTGGGTCGTGGTGGAATGGCGACTTGGCGACAATGCCACAGTGCCGTTTCGTGTTCTCCGCCAACGTACAGTTGCATGTTCGACCTTCTATATCTTTTTTTGGAAGTGCATCATTCATCTTGCTAATCTATTACTTGCCAATCTGGTGAGTTCTCAAATATCTCTATTGGCGAGGAGGTGATCGTAGATTAATATTGAGAGTGGAACAGGTTTCAAGCAATCAAAGGTGACTCTGCAAACCAGTCGGGGCTTCATATTCTGGCAACCGTTTTGAGTGTTGGTAAGTACAAATGATACCCCACAACTTCATTCAGCTACTTACAGCGGATCAAGTGGTATTTGCCATTGCAGGTGGGGTAGGCGTCACCCTTGTCGGATATTACACCCCTTTCATGATCGTAGGATCGATGGTAATGGCTGTTGGCGCGGGCTTGCTTCTTCTATTCAAAGTCGATACCCCCTCTTCGATGTGGTACGCGGAATGTGATCATCCCATCCACCGTTCTTTGCTAACAGATTGCAAGCTTGGATTTCAAATTATCTTTGGCGCAGGAGCTGGTATTGGTCTTGAGCTCCCGAATATTGCCGTTCAGACAGTCCTTCACGAAAGGGACGTCTCTATCGGAACATCTTTGGTGGTATTTGCTCGCTCTCTTGGGGGCGCCATTTTTGTATCTGTGGGGCAGAATGTTTTCAGTAACCACATTGTCTCGGGTATGATCGCGCGGGTTCCTGAGCTAGACCCATCCATCATTCTCCAGGCAGGAGCAAGCCATCTTCAGCGAACAGTGAGTGAAGCCAGCTTGAGCTCCGACGGCTATTTAGTGGCTCGTGTCTTGGAAGTATACAACGATGCCATTATTCAGACATTTATTGTCGCCTTGGCCTTGGCGTGTGTATCTGTCATCGGTGCAGTCGGTGTTGACTGGCAAACGGTGAAAAATCCCCCCAAGGAGCACACTTCCACACTGAAGGCTCCGGGCGAATGAAATCTTTTGTTGGTTTCAAGATTTATGCAGGAACCTGGGCAATCCTGGAAGTTGAGTTCACTTCCCGAGCTCATCCATGCATCCGCTGCAAACATACTCATGCGGGTGGTGGTTATGATGGTGGAAATCATGGAAAAGATAGGTAGAATGGATTCCAAGGTTTGAGTTTGTTCAAAATTAAACAGAACTTCCAAGACTAGAACGTGTTTTTAATTCTCAACGCTGCAAGTGCTGAACGCCAAATATATGTAAAACCCAATTCTAATGAGTCATATCGGTATTGAGAAACTCCCAAAACCAAGAATCAGAAGCCAATTGAAACTTGGATTGTTCGAACTCACTTTCAACGCTCCCGATTTGTGCCACAGGACTATCCAATTGAGACCGATCCTCGCCCAATAGGTCGGAACAATCCGGAGCTATATCGAACGGTATCTGCATCTCAGTCGAGGAGCCGCTATGAGAACCTGTCTGTGTGTGAACGGTAGGTAGCGTCTGTGCGGGAGGTACTAACGGCCATTGACCGTGTTTAGAAAAAGACCTCCACGCGTTGAGCCTTCGTGCAAAGTACATGTAGCTTCCGATTCCTGGGCGTGAAGCCACACCTTCAGCTGTGGCATAATAAGAAACGCCCTGCTCAGGGAGCTCCGTTCATCCGTCATGAGGAGACGCTTTGAAATGACCAAAAGCTGATCAATGCGTGTTTCTAGACGGGGGTGATCAACCTGAATGGATCCATTCCACCTCGATGCGGACACCTTACTTGCTCTATCCAATTTCATCAATATGATGGCGGCATATATCAAGCGACCACCGTATATGTGTGGTGGTAGAGCAAGCATTTCGAGTATAGAAAGATGGATAAATGTATCCAGAAGACCATGTGCAGCGAGGGCCATCTCACGAAGCATGGACAGATGGGATGAGCTCGGATCATTAGTATCGAAGAGGTGGCACGACTCCAATGACTTTGCAAAAAAGGGGGCCTTGAACTCTTCTATGTTGTGATTGACATGCAATGCTAATTCATGCATATACAATGAGCTGGCAAATCTGCCAAATGCGACCAGAGCTAGTACATACGCGTTTGTCAATTTTTGTCCATCAGAAGACGAGATCAGTAGTATATTGAAGAGACTCACATTTTTCGAGTGGATTCAGTTTCCCAAGAGGTGAACAATCAAATTGAGACTGAAACTCCTCAATAATCCCAATGTTGCTGGGTCCCGTAATGATATCGAGCTGCCAGGGTCGCTTAAGCATAGCCTCTGACCGACACAGTGACAAAGACGTTCTGCGCTAACAAGCTTGCAAAGAAAGTCATCTGTGGCAGATGATTTGGCGTGCTGCAACTCATCCATGTAGTCATCGAGCTTCAGGTTCCAGGTAATTGGACTGGGACGTCTCAATATTAAAGAAAGACTAGCATTCCATCAGTTCATCGAGCCACCGAGAAGATATGTTGGCAAGCTAAAAGAAATACCTCGCAGATAACAATAAACAGCCGAGCCAGGCTCGCTGTGCTTCTGTCCGACCCCACGTGTGAACGAACAAGCCAAGTGAAGACTGTGATGATTTAAGACGGTCCAGCCCAAGGTCTATGGCCATAGTCAAAGCCGCAGAGGCCAGTTGATTTTGATTCATCTGGGTGTAATCTTCAGGTGCTCTGTACCAGAGCGAGGTTACTTGCAGTGCTTGAATGAGTTCAAGTGACTTTTCACCTTTCATGATCGCAGTCTCTATCAGGAGATTTTTGACGTCGATTGCTAACTGCCTTTGTTGATTTATAGCGCAATATCCAGCCGAAGCGACACTGAGTATGGAAAGAAAAACCAATGGCTTATTCTTACGCGCATTTTCAGCCGTCGTTCGGGATGGAAAGACGACAACGGGGCAACTAGGGGCGAACTCCTCAATGTACCGATTGAAAACTTGTTCTGCTACTGTTTGAGTGAAGAAACTGTCGATCTTGGAGTCTATTTGGTTCTTAAGAGGTTCTGGTAGTTTGTGAGAATCTGGCTGTATCAGTTAAGAGATCATTAAGAAAAGTATTAGTGGAGCAAGGGGATTTAGGTGGATATACATATTTCGAGATCGGGGCACTCACACGGACTGATCGGACTTGCCCCCTGCAGAAAAAACGGAGATGCATCTGACTCCAAGCTAGAGTCAAGGGGAAGCGCCCTTTTTTGCGACCGTCGGAACATGCGGATATTGTCATATGTTGCGTTTGTGATGTCTGGGAATGCCCGTGCCGGCTGGTTGGAAGAGGGGCAGGAAGATCCTGGATCCCTTGCACAGATGGGGGACCTGCGTAGTCTAAATTACCACCATGACCTGTATGGCTTTTGTTGTCTGTATGGACTACAGGATGGATGTTGATCCCATCGGTCAACGATGTTTGACGAGGAGCTCCCCTCTGGGATTCGTGCTGCACTTGGTCATGCTTTGCCGATGGCCGAGGGGCGGCAGCAGCTAAAGGGACTGGGGTATTGGTTCGACTGAGGTCCAACTTGAACTTATGGAAAGCCATCGAAACATGTCATATAGTACACTTGAAGAGGTAGGGGACGTGTTATGAAAAGTTGCAAGATTAGTAATTTATCAGACAGATCCTCAGGCAGGTAGTTGATTACATAAAACGAGAAAAAGCTTGAATAACTAGCTTCCAGCTCCCAACTCTTACAACCGGTTCAACAAACCTCCGGGCTTGGCACACCTGAGATGAAACCAAGTGTCAGATAGAGTGAAGGCTTGTAAATCGTGGTGTTAAAAGTCCTTTGAGAACCTCTTTTTTCTTTGGTATATATATTGTTTCCGGTCTAATCTCAACCTTGGGGGGATAGACTGTTTGAGGTTAGGTGATCTTGTGTGGACAGGGTTGTTGTTCCATATGGCCCCTAGGGCCTAATTTTCTCACTAAGTTATTGAGCAAACAATTGCTGCAATTGCTGCTGCTGCTTTGTGTAACAGTGTGCGTTTGCGCTGTCGTATATAAAGATAGTTGGACGGAGGTGTGCTGCCTCATTACCCACTGCTTTCTCAAATATAGGTTGATATTCGTATTTAAGAATCGGCCAGTGAAGGGAAAGAGAGAGTAGTAGAATAACGAAAAAAACCCTTGATAGTCTTCTCGTCCTGTGCGAATGGTGGCGGAGCTGCACCGTCCCCAGCAGGGGCCAGCCCAGTCACCACCAAGCTGCCAGTTTCACTCCTAGGTGCGATGGCGGGAGATGATTCTATTAGGCCCAAACTGCGTTATTTCATATGAATGGACTCGGACTCTTTTCTGTCTCCAGGAGAGTTCATTTCCTTTTGCAGCTCCAGTTAATTAATCTACATGCGGATGGAAGCCTCCATCAGGATAAACATTTCGACTCGTTCTTGTCCCGTTAGTTCTCTATAGCTAGTATAGTATTGGTTGTAAAGGAGGTAGAGTATGTAAGAAAGATGGATGTAGAGATTAATATTATATATTTATATAACCTACCTAGTATAGTGGGAAGAGCGCGCTGGCGGTCTGACATCGCAGACAAGACGACGGGGGTGCTCAGTGCTCGGCGGGATCAGGGAGCTACGCAGGCCCCCAGGACTACCGGAATAGGAAAGAGATACTGTTCTTGCGAGAGATGTGGAATGCTTGAATTGCTATGCTAGGGGATTGGGCCTAGAAATACCCCTGGGATGCCTGAGGCACACCTGAGTACTGGCGCGGTTTCCCCATTACACTAGGTACTTGTCAGATAAAAAATGTTCTACTTATCTTTAGATCTAGAGATAGTAGACTGCACAGAATAATACAACAGTATACCCCTTAGCTATACTTCATCAGACCTGTAGCCTACCTAATCCCTATAAAGCTTATGATTCTTTATAATCTTTAGTCTACACAATCATAGAATGGCTAGAAAAATATCGGTAGTGACTATCAAGAAGTTGGTACCTAGGTATGAGGTAAATATAGGTGGAAGCCAGATGCAAGACTTGAAAATAAATGGAAGCGATGTCACTCCTGTAAAACAGCTATACAATATCAGGATCATTACTTGAATTTTACGTACTAGGCGTAAGCATGACAGACGACATACCTTCTGCTTTATCCTGGAGTATGCGATCAACAAGTTTCTGTAAGGATATATGTTGTTGCAGACAATTCTATCTCATTATGAATGCTGAGTCGGTCTGAGACATTTTGTAGAAGCTCCAGGGCTAAATATTGTCTATGAAAGAACATGAATTTGTGACTGTCGCTAGCTTCTTCAACAATTTAAGCTACACGTTAATAGAACCATTGATTGTCTTAGAAAAGCACATTGTGCATTGGCCCTGAGCCGATGCAAGGAACATGTAATCAAGTGTAACAAATACGAGTAGTGGTGTATGGTTGCATTTGGCATACCAGATTCTTAAATTGAACATTCCAGAGAGACCTTGGCAAGAGCTCCTCGTTCGGAAGAAGAAATTTAGCATATTTTGTCCCGATTCAAGGTAGCCATCCACGTCACGAAAACGAAGGTCAGGGGTCAAGAACCAGCCTATAAAAAGAAACTCACATCGCGTAACTAATAACCCCCATCACTCGTTACTTCAATAACTCTACAAATCCGTACAACAATTCAAATCATCACTATGAGAGTCACTACTGTCACTACTTTCCTAGCTCTTGCCATATCCGTTGCTGCGATGCAGTCAAACAAGATGACTATGGCAACTGCCAAGGACCAGTGCACTACTGGTGACATTGCGTGCTGTGACTCGAAGGAGGCCCTGTCTGCTGACGGTGTTCTGGGTAACCTTCTCGCCAAGGGTGCGATTAACGGTCTTCTTGGCAATGATGATTCCGCATGTGCTAAGACTAGCCTACTCGGCGATGTCAACGTCCTCGGTATGGATGCTCTAACCTGTTGTGATGACCACGAATTGGCCTTTTTTTTTTAACGTTTTATAGCTTCCACCAACGACTCCGAGACCGGACCTGTTTGCAAGAACATCATTGCTTGCTGCCCTAAGGGTAAAGGAGATGTAAGGCTAAATTCCCCAAACAATGTAAGCACATTTGGAAGCTGATGATGGTTGATATGTTTAGTGCACTGCTATCGATTCCTCGGAGTAATTATCAGACCTAGGCAGAAAAGTAAATTGGTGGGGACTGGTTAGTTTTGGTATGGCTTCGAAGTGCTATCGCCCAAGTGGAAGAGTAGGAATTCAGTAATAATTTACTTTTAATCAAAGATTTTGGTCAATAAGACGGAATAGTAGGCTTTCTGAGGTTACGGATTGACATAATAGGACCTGGGAATAGTACTATAAATAGTATAAACACATCTTAACTCCGAACTTCCAAGCTTCCAAGCTTCTATAAGTTATACCTCTAGGTACGGAACCTCGGAAGCCCCTGTATCAATATGTTTGTTAGTTACAATTCTAGGATCTATATTGTAGCTCTTAAACACCTGGGCACTTGACTTTGAAGCTAGCGACTCCAGGAAACAAAAGTATCTATCAAAAATATATTCTGTAGACCTTGGAACCTTCCAGCCTTGAAACTTTTAAATTATTCAATATCTCTATCATGTAAGTTAAGGCCTGGTATCTATCCGTAGATCTACCTACCTACATAGGTAGTACTGAGCTGAGGACTTTATCTTGAAGCCTATCAAAGTCCAGAGTCGGGGTTAGATTGGATCGTGTGAAAGTCTAATCGAGACAGGGGGCCGTTTCTCATGAATACAGCCCTGGATTTGATGGTGGCTGTTAACCCCAATGAATTTTTTATCTTTGTGGGCCCTAGGGGCAGCTCTAAGACCCAGGAAGTACGCTAGCTAGTACGAACCTATCTAAGTCTCACCTGTCATCCAGGAATATGGACTGAGGCTCCAAGCTTGGACCTCAGGACGGAAGGGGGTTGAGGGGTATCTAGTCGTAAGGTTGGAATGTAATATGGCTAGACAGTATGTGGTCGAAATTAGTTTGCCAAGTCAATCTGACAAAACGTAAATACGCAGTGATGTTCAGCAATCTTTGGCTTATTTAAAAAGTTTAATAAGTTAGATTTACATACAATAACACACCCTCTCACCTCGTTGTACTCTGCTATAGCAAACGTCCACCAACCAATGTTTCACATGAGAAGTTTTTCTTTATCAAGGAAAGAATGAGAAGCCAATATAACCATTCAAATACTACTCTCTTAATTTCTAGAAAGGGGTTGACGCCTCTATTATATAGAATCTTTGGTATTGAGCCAGAAATTGTACATCTGTGGCGTTAAGCTATGAAGGCGGAATAATTCAACATACTAGCCGATTGAGGCTTGGCTTACAAGCCAACTATGCAGAAATTCTAGCACCATCAACAATACTTGGAATGCCACGATGGCAAGGTATCTTCTAGCCCTGAGCGGCTTACTTCGTATAAGTTATTGCTACTGACCGGCCAAACAAGAGATAAACCAGCATAACAATCTATCACCTTGCTGCTATCAAAAACTTTAATCTCCTGACTGAACAAAATGATCCCAACCGTTCGAACTGTTATTGCGCTTGGATTCGGCCTTGGCCTTTTAGCCGCTGTGAACGCCAGCCCTTCGATGCAGATCGGTGAGCTCGAAACACAAAAAGTGGGAGAATGTAAATGACCCTTAAAATTCAGTCTACCAGCTTATCTTACATGAAATATATTTGCTAATTGACTCCATGTAGGTATCTCTTGGTATTTGCCTCAGCTGCACGCTCCCCCGGAGACCTGCAATGACGTCGTCAATATGCACCCTGGTCTTGACTTGGCTACCTTCCTGAAGCTAAACCCTGCGATTCACCCTTACTGTGAGAATATGCAGCTCGACGAAAAGGTTTGCATTCGTGCTATCCAGGAGACCGACTGCCCAAAGTTGGCAGAACCTAGCCCAAAGCCATGGGAAGCTAGTTCCGTTCCGAAGCCTCAGGAAACCAGCTCTGCCGCTTGGCATTAATTGAGTTGATATCTGATAGAACATGCAACGTCTTTCTCTCAAAGGCCCTTCTATCAACGGCACTTCTGATCACTCTGAGTGTGTCTTGCTTACTCCTGTGTTTCTCATGTTTTATGGATTGGGATGAGAGGCATCTTTATGTACTGAAAAATATACTTTACTTATTTCAGACTGATTTTATCTTATCCATCAATAAAATAAAGGAGATTGGTAATAGAGTATTATATTAGGCAAAATGTAGGTCCTATCCACTTCCACAATCACAACTTTTCGTAATCAATTTTATATTAGCCGATAGCTGAGGACTAGATATGTTTGAATGTTTTCTTTAAATTACAATTGACCCTCTTATCATGGAGTTATAAGTATTTAAAGTTGGTCAAATTTCGCGCGGTATCCAAGTTGCGGGATACCTTAGGCCATGGTGCTAATCGTATCCGAATTTCTATTATATGCACTAACTATATTCGAATTTCTATTATATAGTTTTCTTGGAAGGTCTACAAGATCGTAGGCAGGAAGAAAAGGAGGCTATTCGAATAATAGGATTGTGCGTCTAAAGAGAAAGAAGGAAAAAGAGAGAAGCTATAGAGGAGCGAGAACTAATAGGCAGGAGTAGACCTCGCTAAACGTGGGTTTGGGTTGGGTTTTCAATTTCCTTACCCGCCTATGGGTAACCCACCGCGGGTTTTGGCCTTGATGAACCCGCCTATGGGTTCTTGGCGGGTACTTGCGGGTTGTCTAAAATACCCAAAAACATGTATAAATTGTGGATAAACCTGATTAGTTATCTAGTGTAATTTTAGTTATTTATTTCTGTTACGCTTTTGAGTGGATATTATATTGAAACAATAAACGCTATCGACCTGGAAATATATATTCTCTATATGTAGAATACTGCTTCTATCGTCTTACTTTATATAATTAAAGGGATTATAGATCATATTGATGATTTTATATAAATTTATTAATTGAGAATCTCTTGGAAGGTCTACTAGAACGTAGATAGGAAGAAAAGGAGGCTATTCGAAGAATAGTATTGTGCGTCTAAAGAGAGAAGAAAGAAGAAGAGAGAAGCTATGGAGGAGCGAGAACTAATAGGCAGAAGGGTCACGGTCACGTGATCTACTAACAACAAGAACTCCCTTTCAACATCCTCCACGAGATTATCCATCCATCTCTTCGAAAAAGAGCCCCCCATAAAGCTAGCAATGATGTAAGAAAATGTAGTATAATATTACCAAGTTCACGGGTAAGAAAGGGTAAAGAGGTAAAATAAAAGGTGCATCTAGGGTTCAGGGAATAAGCAAAGAGTGGTCTAATAAGCAAGGCAAAGTGGATTGTATAGGTAGAGCGCGTAATATTAGGTGATATCTCGATTAGGAAATAGAGGTAGTTTCGCAAAGAGGTGTTTAATCGTTAGGAAATCCTTTCTAGAGAGAGGAGGAAGAAGCGATTTCTTCTCATACGAGTGAGGAATCTAGTGAAAGGATGTTGGTGACGATATTTTCTACTGACGAAGTGCTAGTATGGGGTTGTGTCGGCGAGTTGCTAGTATGGGGATCCGTAGTATGGAGAGCTGCGGAGGTCGTATTTGTACGAAGTATATCGTCAGGAAGCTTCCTCAGATTGAATATGGTTACCCAATGTTGAAATAGGATGTGGGCGAGGGGTTTAGTGAAGCTATCTGCTGCCATTTCTGCCATGGGGATCTTTGTAAAGACGATGTTGCTAGCTTTAACTTCTTCCTGAATCTTATAAAATCGTATAGAGATATGTTTTGTATTCGTATGAAAAACGGGGTTTTTAGTGAGTGCGATAGCTCCATTGTTGTCTGCTATGATTTTGACAGGTTTGAAGATCTGGATGCGAAGCTCAGTGAGTAGGCGGGTAAACTAGATGGCTTTCTAGGTTGCGAGGACCTGTGCGATATACTTGGATTCAGTAATTGAGGTCGCAACGTAGGGTTGTTTTTTAAAGATCTAGGAAATAGGTCTTTCGTTGAATATGAAGATGAAACTGGATGTAGAGAGGGCACTCTTGGAATGAGAGCTAGACCAGTTAGCGTTGGAATATCTTATAAGCTCTAAATCTCGATATTTGGGGATAGGATCTGGGTCTGCTAATTTAAGATCGAGCATGTTATATACTCGATTCTTGGTGTCGTAAACAGTGGCGGGACCCTTGGTTAAATAATATCGCTTATTCACAAAGAAAATATATAGGTCCTTTAAGCCTTGTAAATAGTGGAAGATCTTTTTGAGGGTAGCCTAATATTGTTCGTCTAGATTAGTTATAAAACGAGCTAATTTGATGACAGGGAATGAGATATTAGGGCGGGTAAATACTATTAGCTAAATGAAAGTTTCAATCTACTTCTAGAACCGTTTGACATCAGTTTTGGATATAGGAACTTTAGCCGGATTCACGACGAGAATTAGCCTCTTATTTATAGGAGTAGAGGTGCTATTTAGGTTAGTAAGACTGAATTTTACTAGGGTTTTAACGATGTAGTCCTCTTAAGAGAGATAAATCCTTTTTGGACGACGAATGATGTCTGTTCTTAGAAACCGCTTGACTTCTCCTTTGTTAGTGAGGTCGAAGTGCTTTACGAGTTTAGTTTTGAATTGTGCAATAAGCTTTTTGGCTGGGGAAGTGATAAGCAGGTTATCGATGTAGATCAGGACGTAAATGGGGCTATCTTTAGTAAATTTGATGAAGATAGACTGATCTGATTCTAATATAGTGAATCCTATTTTGATCAGGATGTCACGAAGAAGTAGATATTATTCATAGGGTGCCTATTTTAGATCATTTATGTTTTGAAGAAGTAGGCCTATCATCCCAGGAAATCACTTGTATTCTTTTTCAGGAAGCTTAATATAGACGGACTCCTTCATTTCCGAGTTTAAAAACGTAGTAATGATGTCAATATGATGAAGGGGCTATCTATTTTTAATTGTAATGGCTGTGAAGACTTTAAACGATATAGGCTTTGAAATAATAATATAAAGTTTATGAAAGTCGATGTTTTTAACTTGATTAAAGCTACGGCAGATTAAGTAAGCTTTGTAGATGCTATTGTATTTAATTGTCTAAATCTAGTGAAGGGTAAAGGGTCGTTTCTGACCCTTTTCACGACTAACGATGTGCTAGGTACTATTCTTATTGTGGCGTTTTAGCTTCTTTTTTGTAGCGATAAGTTATTTATTGTGTTTAAGGTAGGTCATAGCTTGTTTCTAGATGTATGGGATGTAATCGGGGTCTTTGGGTCCTAGTTTGGAGGGTTTATCCTTGTTGAGAATTGTAGAAATGTAGAGTTTTTTGGTGGTATCAGGATTGCTTATCAATATAGAGGTAACGTTAATGTCTATCTTTATGTGCTTTTTTAGATGTTGCAAAATTATAGGGGATGGTAGATTAATTGTTGTGTAGTGGATTCTATGTGAGGGGATTGAAACGAGAGTAATCAAATAGTAATATCTTAATAAAATAGATACTACTTTCTTTTTAGACAGATACTACGCATCATACGTCGGTTCTCCACCAAAGATATCAATAACGATCTACGAGGGAACATGATTGGGTAAAGACACTGTAGACGGGCGGTTTGATACAGTTTTAGCACTTGTAGGTATAGTTGAAGTAGATGGAGTGGCCGCTATAGTACTCCCTTGATATTATCCCTATTACATTTTAGCAATCCGTTTAGATTGATATAATTGAGAAACTGAATAAACGTCACTTCTACTATCTATTTGTGCCTCTCCTAAAACCTCTTCGCTTGTAACCGTCAGATAAGAAGGGTAAATTCGAGGCTTCAAAGCCGTTTAAACTAGCGGAGGGAGCGGGCGTGTAGGAATCGACAAGGATTGAGAACGCAGAGGAATTAAGGGCGATTTGGACCTTGCAGGAATCAAAAGAGGTCTAGGAATCACAGAATTGGCAGATAGTTAACTATCTATTAGAAAATCGATAAGAACAAATCTTGTAATCTCTGTAAGAGAGCGCTTAGATAGAACCAAAGTAAATCGATCTCTATGTATTTGTTCTCCTAATTTAGTGTTATATTGGGGCTTAGACAAGCTAGCTTCCTTGATTTTATTAAAAACGATATTGCGAGAGTAAGTTATCTTCTTTGTATAGATATTGTAGATCACATAGCGATTCCCAATATTATAACTGATCAAACGGCCCTTATTTATATAGGAATCAAGCTTGTCAACGCGCTATTCTTTATCAATATGATACCAAACCTGGCAGTCTAATACCCAGAGATAAGAGATATACGACTTGTAGCTATGGAAGGCTTCATATAGGGTTATGTTGATTTGTGAATGGTACAATCAATTGATTGTATGGTTTATTCTTTGCAGAATAAGCAACCAAAGATACTTTAAAAGCTAATTTTCGACTATTATAGTGATCATAGGTTTCACCAAATATCTATTAGACTATTCAACAACGCCATTTAGCTACTTTATATATAAGGATGTTGAAGACATAACAATACCATAATACTCGTAAAAAGCCTAAATAGGCTTATAAACAGAGGCATCGTCTCCCTAAATCTGTTTGACCTTAATCTTAAACTACTAGTCTAAGAAGCTGATCACTTTTTACAAATTTAGAAGGATTTTAGTTATTGATTTCATCGTAAAAACCCATATATAGCAGAAGATATCATCAGAAATTGTCATAAAATAGGTCTCGCACTCGTAGCCTATATGGGAGTAGGGTCTCTAGATATCAAAATATAATAAATCACCTAATTTAGTGCGAATTTGGCGCTTTTTATTATATAGAAGCTAATAGCTTTTGGCGCTGATATAGAGAACGCAAGAGTAGGTGATACCCTTACCCTTTTTAAAGGTCATCCCAATTATATTGTGCTCTATTTTACGAACTCGATCCTCGCCAGTATAACAAGCACAGCGATAGGCCAGATTAATTGAAATGGGGTTATTCTTGCGCTTCCTAATAGCATTAATATCTGTAGAAGCAACTATGTTTACCGCGTTTGTGACATCTTGACTGTTTTAGACCTAAAAACCATCTTTTAGACTATTGATAAGATCCTTAGATAAAAGTAGGTTGATTGAGGGCGAATAGATTGCTTATGTAATGCGAATAAAGTGTTTCACTAAGTCTAACAAATCTCCTAGATATTTAAGCTAATAGTGGTCTTTAATGAGGTCAACAATATATAGGTCCATAATTTTAAACCTATTTTTACGTGAGAAAACAGCCTTTTTGATATTAAAGCTGATTTAGTAATCTTGTTTGTTAAGTGCGGAGATAGAGATTAGATTATTGTTTAATTTTGGGGCAAGTTAGACCTCTCGAAGAAATAGTTCTCCAAGATCCTGAGCTATAGGATCCTAAATAGACAAAACGACATCACCAAAGCCCTTAATAAAGAAACGCTAACCTGTTGTGGTAATAACGGGCATACAATAAGGCTTGAAATTAGCAAAAATCGACCAGAAAGACATCATATATTTAGAAGTACCAGAATTGATCATCTAATTAAATTCAATAGACGATAATAGAGAAATAATAGTGTTTTTCGATACCTAAATACTGACCTATTATGTCCAAAAGTTATTGTAATAAGCGAATGTCAGATCGATAACCACCATATCGACCTACATACCATACGTAGAAGGAGCTTTCGCAGATATAATGGTTGTCGTATTCACTAAATTGCCAGAATTGCCAGATTTCTTCTTCTTTAGATAGCAGTTTTTAGGCTTATAAATTCCCCAAGACTTGTGATACTGATAATAACGAGTATTCTTATTATTTTTATACTTTTCAAGCTTTGGGGGAGTTGATCCCTTATCCTTATTTTTAATATCCTTTTTATTATCCTTGGATAAAGAAGTATCTAAAGATAGTGGAATATTCCTCAAAAAGATCCCGGTGATTATTGAGTTCGTAAAAGGAAGATTTGTTGACTTGTTGTTGCTAGAATAAGTGTATTAGATCGACTTATTAGTTATTTTGGAAATATAGAATTCCTAATACATAATATATACATTTGTTAATTTAAATATCTAGATAAAAACATTGTAGCGGGGATTTAATATAATTACAATTATAAAAGCTATATACTCCTATTCAAAGAAGACCTTATTTAATATAATAATCTCTTTGTAGTCATAAAGCGCTTTTTAAAACTTGTTTACAAAGTTAGTAATATTACTACCCTTATAACGAAGCTTATTCTATATCCTAAATCTCTATACGATTGTCTAGGACGATCCCTGTCTATAGAGTTTCTCAAGAGTAACAAAGATCTCAAAGAGCATATCGTGTGTCAAAATCACTAATTTAACATTAATATCTATATAAATATTAAGGTAATTTATAATTTGGGAATAAGTAATAACCTAAGTGCTCTGATTCTACTTAGACTTCGGCAGAACCCATTTTGGGTCGGAGTCTCCGACCCAAAACCCAACCCAACCCAAAACCCAATGGGTTAAACCCAATAACCCAATAATAACCCATTTGAACCCATTTTTGCATAAAAGATAGGTCTTGGCGTTCATAACAATGCTAAGTCATTCAAATAAATTACTGTTTTTTACAGCTGTTCTGGTTTGTTCATCAAATATTGCTACATTATCACAATATTAAGTTGGAAAATTTATGTAATTACCCTGAATTTGAAGCTAATAGGCTTTGTATTATATTGATTACTGATAAAAATTCACATTAATCGTAGTATAGTGGTGTTCTATTAATTTAAGCATTTATTGACTGTGGACTGTTGAAAATATATATTTGTGGTAGAGGGGAGTATGTATATATTATAGGATAACTATGAATGTAAATAGAAATATCTTATTCTTATTTGATTTTATATACAATTGATATTATATTAAAGCTATATTTCTCTTCTCTTATATTTAACTTATTATATGTGCTCCGAATTATATTTTCTGACCGCGGTCAGAAAATCACTTCTGGGAGGTAGGTGTATATGTCATTATTTCTGACCGCGGTCAGAAAAGCCCTTCTAGGGGGGTGTAGGTGTATATATTATTATCTCTGACCGCGGTTAGAAAAGTTCTTCTGGGAGGGTAAATGAAACATTTTTGAGGGATCTTCTGGGGGAGTGGGTTATGAATGGGTCCTCTTGGGTTTTAATGGGTTATGAATGGGTTCTCTTGGGTTTCGATGGGTTATGAATGGGTTCTCTTGGGTTTTGATGGGTCCTGTTGGGTCCTGTTGGGTTCTCTTGGGTTAGACCCATTTAAATAGAGCTTATATAGCCAATCAAACAACATTATAGCTTATACCTTTTGATCTATCTACTTTACTATAGGACTAAGGTGTTTACTGTTCATATACCCTTCTCTTGTAAGTATATACTCTCTCTGCCTTTCCCCCTTACCTCTATAGTATTCCCCTTTTCGGTCGCAATGTCCCAAAGCCAGCATTCTGACTTTTTACCTACTCTTTACGATGCGGATACAGATAACCTTAGCTATCTTATACCCTCTTCTCGAGTTCCAACCCCATCTGGTAGCCAGCTCACAATTGAGCCTTTTGATGCTATTGATACTGACTTCCTTCGGCCCTCCAACCTTCTACCAATTCCACACTCTCTTACTCGCGTTGGCCCCGATCGGAGAAAGGCATATGTGCTTTATGACAATATGGCATATGAAGAATGGGTTGAGTGGTGGCTACAAACCGACTATGGGCAGAAAAGCAAGATTTCCTGGGATTCAAATCGCAATTCAAACATATGGAGCAACTTCGACCAAGTTGCCTATACCAAAGATGGTGCGCCAAAGGTGATGTGTAAGCGCTGCTCAAAGATCCTAGAGCATCCCCATTCTCCATCACCTAGCGGAAAGGGCTATCATGGTACATCAACAATGTTGAAGCATTTAAAGACAGCAGGCTGTCGCAAAGCTCAACAGGGAGGTAAAGGAGAAATTACCCAGTTCCTTCAAAAAGTAGTATCTCCTTACCTCTTTATTTAGTTATCCGATTTCCCTAACACTCCTGGATACATAGGATCACGGCTTACCAGAGGCTCCTTTTTCACAATCGGCATGGGAAGAGCATCTTCTCCAATTTCTCACCCTCAATCGACTTCCATTCCACCTCATCGAACATCCAACATTTCACAAGCTATTCCGATTAGCCCGCTCTGCACCATCTCTCCCTCCGATACCCTCTGCTACCACAATACGTCGTCGTTTACGTGATATGATCATAGAACGACAGAAATCTATCCTCCAAACACTACCCAACGACGCAAAAATCTCGATCGCATTAGATTGCTGGACTTCTCCATATAACCAGGCGTTCATGGCTATCACTGGCTATTTTGTTGACAGTAACTGGGTATACCAAGAGGTTCTACTTGGATTTAAACCACTTTATGGCTCCCATACCGGTTTAAATTTAAGTGGTGTACTCCTTGAAACTCTAGTTGAGCACAAGATCCAGGATCGGGTATTTGGAGTCACAACTGATAATGCAACCAACAACAAGACAATGGTTGAGGCTATTCAGCAGGCGCTCTCTAGCGATGTGACAGTAATCCGAATACCCTGTCTTGCCCATGTTATCCAGCTTTGTTTGAACCAGCTCCTTGATCGTTTAAAGGCCATCCCTCTAAATGAGAATGCAGAAACAAAGTGGACTGACCAGAAGTCATCTGCAGCAAAGGCAAATGCTCAGCACCAGACACAGAGGATCTCATACACCTTAAACAAGGTCCGTTATCTTGCTGTGTATATCCATGCAAGTCCGCAACGCCAGGCGGCCTTTCTCCGACTTCAAGAAAAGGGATCCCAGCTTGTTCCAATCCAGGACGTAAGGACTCGGTGGAATTCTACCTTCTTGATGCTTCGTCGTGCAAAGAGACTACGTAGTTTCTTCCAGCCCTTCTGTGAGGAGTATGACTGTGAGGAGATGTTGCTTGATACTCAAGAATGGCGTCAAATTGACTATCTTCTACAAATCACTCGGCCATTCTTTGACTACACAACAGAGCTCTCGAAGACAAAGGAGGTCACCACACATCTTGTCTTTAAGATTTACAATGCCCTCTTTGATCACTTTTTTGAAGCAGAGGCGCTGCTTAAACGCAAGCGTGTTCCATGGAAATCAGACATGCTCAAAGCACTCATAGCTGGTCGCTTGAAACTTGATGAGTACTACTCTCAAACCGACAATCTCAAAGGACATATCTATGCAGTTGGGACAATGCTGGCACCTGACAGCAGATTTCAGTTCTTTCAATCTGATAATTGGGAGCCTCACTGGCGTGATACCTACCGGAAATCATTCCAGGAATTATTGATTCCGTATCAAGAGCGCCTTACAATAAATCAAGGATCGACTAATACTCCAACAATAGCATCATCTAGTTCTAGACTGAACATGATGCTAAAGAGTAACAAGATATCCGCAAAACCAGCTGGTGATGAGATGACTCAATATCTCGATAGTGGTATGTTTATGATCTATTTCTTCCCTATATAGGATAATACTAATATATTTATACTACTAGATCTAATTGATATTGAACCTCTTCAATTCTGGCGTGAGAACCAATCTCGTTTCCCTGCGATCGCGTTACTTGCTCGCGATATTCTCTCTATTCCAGCAACTGGTGCTGGTGTCGAACGGCTCTTCAATACTGCTCGGGATGTTTGTCACTACCGCCGTGGTCGTCTGAAGTCCGAAACAATCGAGGAGCTTATGTTGTTTCTATGTGCAACAAGATTCAATATTAAGGATGCTGAGGCAAAGCAGCTTGAGCAGTTCTTTACACTAGCTGAGATTGAGTCAGCGAAGGAGCAGAACGATGAATATATAGAGGATGCTGAGCTTGACCTGATTAGTGATAATGAAGAGGAAGAAGGAGTAGATAATAGACTGCGAGAGACATCTCCTCATTTAATAGATATAGATATAGAGGTGACAGAGCCAGAGTTACCAGAGACTGCAACTCAGAGACGGGCCTCAGGGAGGAAGCGTAAGAGCAGGGCAGAT